GGTTCCAAACTACTACTCTGTACGTACTGTACCTAGGACCTAGGTACCACGTTACCAACGTATGGGAGTAGCGAGAACGTACCATTACGGCCAAATTCCCATTGGCTTCTCTTCCAACGTGGCCTAGGCTGGAGGCTGGATAGGACTAGGTCTGGCAAGGTGTTCGTTCTGTTTAGACCACGTGTGGATAGTCAGCTACTGAAAGACTGCAGGAATGGGTTCGCACACGTTCCCCGGCTCGCCTCTCCACCACCCGTGCTTCCTCATGTTGCTGTGCTGGGCTGCGATATTGAGATGATCCGGTACGTCGGGACGACCTCATTTACTCTATCTAAGACATTCTTGGAGCCAGCAGTCCGGCGCTCGCAGCCTTCTTCCACTAATCAAGCCACTACTCTTGAACGGGACATGTCACAGTGTTCTTGGGGAGTTCATCCCGGGTCCGCGGGCGGGGTGCACTAGACAATCCCGCTATGACTTGAAATGGCCCGCAAAAGATTTGCTCGGAGCTTCAAATTTTGGGGCCACTTCTAATCGATACGAGATCGGCGGGAAGAAGCGACAACACCATTCGAGGCGGTGCGGTGCTTCGCACGTCAATATTCTTCGTGGCCTCACCGTGCGAGGGCGATGGTGTCTTGGTGCTCCTCGAGGCACACATTCCTGCACCCATTTTGTTCGCTGAAGAGAAGCAGTTACTTCGTACTTATGCCCCATTGCAGGGCCGCCGTACTATCGTAGGCCTGTGTGACGTCCAGCAAGCTGCCAACCCGTAGTACAGACTGTCCAGTACCTGCATTGTTCCTGCAGGACTTCCTCGTACAAGGTAGGCCCCGAATGAGAAACGGCCTGGAGCAGGGACTCGACGCCCGTTTCCACTGGACCGGAGGGACCACAAATCACGTATGGCCGATAAAGACGTGCTGTTATTACTCGAGCACTACTGTAATTGCTGTGCCGTGCTCGGGCTCCAGCCAAGAACAGGGTCGCGGGGTTGCCAGCCTGTTCTCCACGCGACCACGGCCTATTAGTATCTGGACGGCTTGTATGGCACGACTCCAACCAGCTACTGGGAAGAACCAGCGGGTGGATGTGGAGTAGCTCCGAGGTGAGTGTGGGACAGACTTGACACCAACGACACGCTATGGCGACGATGAAACACTGGACTTCAAGGCTTCGGTTGTGTGAACTTGTTTCGATGCAGTCGACTTCAAGTCCTCAAATGGGGACTCTTCTAGAAGTCCGCCACAGGCTCCAGAGGGTCTCGTCAACACACACCATGGGAGAAAGGATGCAGCGCTCCGTACGAAAGCTAATCCACGAAATTAGTTAGCACCTGCCACATTGGTGCATAATGTGCATAAGGTAAGTTACGAAGTCGCCTACCTCGTGGTGTGATTCTTTAAAGCAGCGACGCCCGTCGCCTACCTACTCGTGCTCAGCGCTCCGATCTATGTTTAGCTCTCTCGCTGGCGTCTCGACAAGTTGGAACTTGGCACCCACACGCACCCACACTCGCAATCTGATGAATTGGAGTCTTCGAGGCTTCGCGCGCCTTGCTCACATGTGTCATTATTATATCGTCACCAGTGGGTGGTTATGGCTGTCAGCCCACATCCAGTTCCAAGGCAACGCGAGACTACTCCGTAAACACGGTGGACCGCTGCTCCACCATGTACTTCGTAAGAAGCAAAAGTAGCGTGTGGGTGAAGAAAATGTGACAATTTACCCGGGTGGGTGTGGATGTGGGTGTGAGTGTGGTGTGATGAATTATTTCTGTTCCACCTCGTACTCTACGAGGATAGGGCGAATCGCGAGTTTCTGACATACACGGCCGCTCGTAACACAATAACGGCGTCATGACAATGCGCCCTCATTTGCTGACCTGGTGCAGCCGGATTTCCATATTGGTCTCAGGAACAGTATTAACCACGGCAAAACTGCACGGGCTGGGACCGCATGTTGGACGCATGTTGGACGCACGTTTCGGGTTGCTATCTGGTATCGTCGCTATCGATAGATAGCCTTGCCCATGCATCTTATCACCGGTACCCATTTTTCGTGCTATTACAAGTATCGTAGACATGTGGGATTTATTTTGGACGGACGCTGCTGCCGACCAGGTGTCTGGAGCCGGTCTTGGTCAGAATGGCAATTGTTCTTTGGAAGCCATTGCAAATTGCCCCCCCGAGCATACTGGTATCTAAGAAAGGGTTGAGAGATGAGATGAGCTGCGAAGGATCACTGTGTAACTTTCTTCGCGCCAAATTACCATGCCAGCTGTATTATTCCTTCGTAAGGATACCTTGGACAAGGAATCAGCAACGGCAGCTTTTGTAGAGGCACCGTATTTTCAAACCTAGGAAATAATGGGTTTCGATACGCTGCCCCAACGGCTGTTTTGGTTTAATGGATCACGCAGCTCACCCGAATGGGGAATGACGTTCCCGTACCTGCAGCTAGCCTTCTGAGAGGCTATAATTCCGTGCCTGCATTTGCCCTCATGAGTGTACACTAGGTGCGACGTGAAGATCTCGACAGGATATGATTGGCATCATTACTCGTGGCAACATTCTTTGTTTGGCCTGCTATCGCGCGGATCTCTTCTGTCACGGCGTCACCATCGTCCATATCGACTGGGTCCAAAGTTTCAGGTGAGGGCTCAAGCCGTCGATTACGATGCTCAATGGCGGGTCAAAACTCGATAGGAAGGCAGACATGACGAGGTTGTCGTCACACGACCGACGTACAGAATGCTTCGAGGCTTTTGATACGTTGCGGCCATTCGAAAACTTTGGCTACCAAAGGCAACACTTGGATAACTGCATTCCCACCTGTGCACTATATTTCTAAGGCTGTCCAATACGCGTGTTGGAGGGGTGCTAAACAGTGTGAGTGGCTCTGGTGGTGTCTCGCGTCTCGCTCCAAGTCACCTCTCTGCGGCGCATATCGAATAGGATCGCGGAGAGCAGAAGATTTTTCTTTCGCCTCCCGCTCATGTCCTCTGTGCGGATGCATTCACACATGCTCGTTGAGCGGGCTGTGTGATTCAGAGAGTCGGGTTATCCGAACTTGAAGTCGGTCTGGCTGCAGACCAGAGAACAAATGAGCGGAGGGTGATTCAAGACGTGGGCTGCAGGCGCTCGCGGTGCCGCCGCCGCCATATCGACAAATGTGGTGTTGTATGAGGAGGCATCACCGAATTATGACCACACGAGAGTACGTACAACTGAGGCTGGTAGGCAGTTCGTTGTTTTCACTCGTTGCTTCGGAGGTAGCCAGCTGCGGTCGTCGAAGGCGATTATTGATGCTCCTCGGCCACCTCTGGAGACTCCATCCATACAAAGAGAGGAGTGAGTGGCCACCAAGCCTTCAGGACGACCCACGCCGAGGCTTGATCCTCAGCCACAGGCACGCAAAGCACACCGATCGCACCTGTCCTTCAATAGTTCATTATTGCCCGCCAGCCGTGCCCAAGAGGCTATCGTCTCTCAGACACCGTCCGGTGGGCAGTGCGGGCGCTGCTGCGATTGATAGTCGCGCTTCTGCGGCGCGGGGACGAGGGCTGTGTATGGATTGTGGATAATCGTGGTATGTAATAATGCACGACTGTTCGAATAGCAGCGTTCGCTGGACGTCGGGCTTATGCATGCACATTATCGCTCCATGCATTTCGGCCGTCCAAGAGCAGCGCAGTCGCCGCTCTGAGGGCCCCGTACGAAGTGGTCGTTGCGGTTGCAGCTGTATCGTAGCGGTGGATTCAGTGAAATCAGTGGATGGGCGACGGCGCTGGAGGCCATCGATCCCGGGCAGGCTGATCCAACCACGGCAACCAGCGTCCCACCCGGAGTCCACTGGAGTCTGGCGAGCCAGCGATGGGCCAACTCCCGAGCAGCCAGCAAGCCAGCAAGCCAGCAGGAGCAGCGAGTTGATGCTATCATGCTGCAGAGTGCAGAGTAGCGTCCAACACGGAGGAGGAGACTAGGATCAGCAGTCCCCCGGACGCAGCAGCTGGAATTAGAAAGAAAAAAGATGGGCACTTACTGTAATGTACCTTCGTACGGAGTTGCCCATCCATACCCTCCATGGTCCCATCCCATCCCATCCCATCCCATCCCCATCCCAGACACCACACAACCCCCCGACAAGGGCCGCGCCATGGGCTCCTCCTGGGCGTGCCACCAATGCCAATGCCACTCCACAACCCAGACACCCTAACCCACAGCGCCCCCCAGTGCTTTGCGGCCCTGGGCGTGCTGGCCCACACCACACCACACCCGTTGGCCATGGAGGCCATGGAGGCCATGCCCCATGCGGGCTTCACATAAGCCCTCAAGCAGTGATCAGGACTGCCTATCTTGCCTTCTATCGCTCGCGGATCGTCCATCTTTACTTTTATTCGCAGGGTCCCCGTCATCACCGCTCGTTTGTTCTGCCTCCAGGTTTACCCTCCCATCCCCCCATCACGCCCGGCCTTCTTCTTATACCGACGACTCGGTTTCCCTTTTGTATATCTTGATACATTCTTTGGATCATCTTCGACTTGTGCTTTCATCCGATAGCCCTCGCGGATTTCGTCTGTACCTTCCTTTGACAACCTACTGTCGCCCTATATCCTCTCTTGTAACGAACGAAACGCCGAATAATAACATAACATAACAAAACAAAACAAAACAAAACATATCACATCGTCTGTCGGTCTCGATCCCTCGGCGAGCGAATGTATAATCAATCCCCATACTACACCTATTAGACAGTCTTGGAACTTCCAGCCTGTTGTCCAGTCACTCCCTTGAACCCGCCTTTCTTTCCAACTCTCGAGCCTCAACGTCTTTCACCCAGAGAACCTCCTGTATCTCGAACTTATATTAATCAAAAACAACCCGAACCTTCGGACCGAAACAATCACCAGTATGTATCCCGGAAGATCCCAAAGTGTCGTTCGATATTGGGAGCGAGACTGACTGACACTTTGTAGCCCAACGCAGCCGAGTAGCGCCATGGATTCAGCATACTCACAAGGCCCGATAATGGGACAATCAGCCTTCTTTTACTATAATCCCGATCCGAAGCCAGACAACCGGCAGCATGGCCACTTCTCCCAGCACCCAACTAATGTTCAAGCGCAGGCGTATCACCCCCACCTGCATACGATGCCATCGACTCCAATTTATTCCAGACCGAACTCGTCTTGTTCACAGCCGCCCATGCAGCCGCCGATGTTCAACGCCGGATTTGCGGGTAACATGACGCCAATGGCCTCCCCCCGTCCGCTGTACCAGAAGCCGACAATACTGATCCAGGACCACACTTCAAGGATGATGGAGGCTGATGGGAGTGAGACCGACATGTACTATTATCCGTCAACCCCCCCCTTATCCGAATATGGAAGTGTGATGAGCAGCCCCTCAAGCTGTGACGTGCTGCAGACACCCGTGAATTCGGTCTTCCTCGGGGTCGAGGGCGTCAAGGAGGGTTGCGAGGGGGAAGTGCAGTCTGAGAACCTCGCCGGTGGCGACTGGGCGCGATGCGGATCTCCGCCCATGACTCCAGGTATGTCGAGTCCTCCAATATACCTGCAACGCCGGGCAACCGGCGTTAGCTGGTGTATTATAGCGCTGTTATACCGTGATATAAATTCATAGTACTTGAGGCTGGAACTGACTAGTGGCCTTTGCAGTGTTCATTCACCCAAACTCGCTTACGAGCAGCGCTAACGAGCTTCTGTCTGCGACATCTTGTCCCTCACTTTCTCCCTCCCCTTCCCCTTATCCGCGATCGGTCATTTCAGAACAGGACTTCGACTTCTGCGATCCGCGCAATCTTACGGTCGCATCCGGCGCATCGCCAGATCCCTCCTTGACAAGAACCGCGTCGGAGTTTCCCGCGCTCCCCACTTTGTGTGCAGGGGACGACGAGGAACACCGGTTCATGCTAGCCGGAGAGACAATTTATAAGGCTGCGGAACTCCACGCGAAGAACTTTACTTTCTCAGCTCCAACGCACCACGCCCTGCCCTCTTTTGATCAATTCTCAGATCTCGACTCCGAGGAAGACTTCGTCAACGGACTAGTGAATTTCCCCCCCACCGAGAACGTCCAATTCTTTGGCAACAAAAGACAACGCACCGGATCTGACCTGGTGTCTCTCGACAACGAGCCCTTCGTCACCGAGGACGACTTCGACGATTTCGAAGAGTTCGACGACTCGGAGCAGTTCGCTGTTGCCTGTCTTCCAAGCCCACCTGCCTCCGGCTCCGAGTGTGAGATTAAGAAGGAGAAGCGATCCAAGAAATCGAAGAAGGCCCCTGTCGAAGACGACGAAGACAGTACCGAGTTCGACAACCTTGTTAGATCTCGCAAGTACACCGTCTCAATGAACGCCGTTTCGGGAGCTTCTGTTCAAGAGAGCTCCGCCGAGGCACAAGGCCAGCAGAATCACACTGCTCCTAGCCAGTCCGGCTCGTCTGAGCATCACGCAACAAATAGCGTCATGGGCTCTGAGGCTGGTGCAACCCCTCAGCCAGGGCCAGTCAACCGCCGCGGCCGTAAGCAATCTCTGACTGAGGATCCATCCAAGACCTTCGTCTGCGAGTTATGCAACCGCCGGTTCAGACGTCAAGAACACCTCAAGCGGCACTATCGATCCCTCCACACTCAAGATAAGCCTTTCGAGTGTCACGAGTGCGGCAAGAAGTTCTCCCGAAGTGACAATCTTTCTCAGCACGCCCGAACTCACGGAAGCGGTGCGATCGTCATGGGTGTTCTGGAGGATGGCGAGCTCCCCAGTGATCACTTGGAGTCTGCCAGTGATGGGGACCACATTCACTCATTGGGCAACGTCCTCTTTAGTGTTGCAGCGGCTGCATCTGGTAGTGACACCGAAGGCTCGTCCGATGATGGAAGTAGCGATAGCCAGACACGCAAGAAGCGCAAGCGCTCCCAGTAAATTCTTGGCTCTCTGTTGAATCGGTGGGAACAACCTTTTTACGTCATGCCAGCGGTACGAACCTCATGAACCAAAACTGTTTACCGGTCTCCGCTCTGAGCCCTTGTTCCATTTTGCATACTAGGTTTTGGGGGTATAGATGGTCTCGCGACCACATTGACGCTATCACGATGGATGGGGTTCTCGAAACAAAAGTCATTGTTTTTTATGTGTCATCTGGTGCCCAGCGGTTTCCCATTCTTGTATCAAACTTTGCTTTTCAAGATTTTTTGTGCCGATTTAGCGTCATGACAGTTCGATTGGAAGATGGTTGGTGGAGGCGTGTATCTTGATGAGGGGATTTGGGCTGTTTGATTTTCTTTACACTCGTTGTAATACAACTGCGGCGGGAGCTGGTCGCCCGTCTTGCAGCGTGTCCTTTCCCTTGCGCTTTCCTCAGGTCTATTCAGCCGCTTATTCTCCAGATTGTGCCAGCCACGAAATGTACACCAACTCATAGTTAAACATGTATAGAATTCTCTTCCACAAGCCTCGTGTTCAACTAGTGATACCTGTCTTGAATAATTTATAAATCCTCGCAATAGAACTGCCGAATAATGTCGGATCAGGACACGAAATTAATGTTATAAGTTCGAGAGTTTAGTAATACGTATCTGCCCTGAAGGTCCAGACTTCATTGCTGGTCGCATTCTGCCTAAGTAAATCTCACATTGCACTAGATGTTACTCTGCTAGTTGTACCTTTGCGATGCGTACAACAATAAGTGTACATAGGTGTCCCCTATGTGCGATGGAGGTACTCGGAACCTCTTGAGTATTATTTATTATTAAGGGGTGTCGGCTAGCTATTCACCTTGCCTGAGGCACCGGTAGCCTGCATTCGAGAAAACTCCTTAGCAATATTCCCAGTGCGATGCACTTTGAAACGAAACCTCCAACACTGTTGGGATTTAGTTGGCCTAGTTGCCAGCCTTGAGTGTTTGGCATGGCCGAATCCCTCAATGTCATTGCGCTTATTTCAGGTGGCAAAGACAGCTTCTTCTCCCTTCTACACTGCGTCCAAAACGGGCATAAAGTCGTTGCATTGGCCAACCTGTACCCAGCTCCAACCACACCAACGAGTGAAGAGAGCAATCATGGGGTCGACAATGAAGAAGAACACGACCTGAATAGTTTCATGTATCAAACTGTCGGCCATACCGTGATCCCCTTGTATGCACAAGCGCTGCAGATTCCGTTGTACCGGGAGCCAATCGTTGGGACCGCTGCTCAGACGGGTGCTAGTTACGCCCATGATGAAGAAGAGCGCTCTGAAGCGCAGGATGAAACCGAGTCATTGGTTCCCCTTTTGAGGAGGATCATAGCTGAACATCCAACTGCAAATGCTCTCAGCACTGGTGCAATTCTCTCCACCTACCAACGGACACGAGTGGAGTCGGTAGCGTTACGACTGGGCCTCACGCCCCTCGGGTTCTTATGGAAGTATCCGATTCTTCCTCCAGGGACGCAGATATCACTGTTAGAAGATATGCAATCCGTGGGTCTTGATGCCAGGATTGTAAAAGTTGCAAGCGGCGGGCTGGACGAGAGTTTCCTTTGGGGGAATGTCGCTAGTCCGCCTGTCATGCGGCGAGTGGAGAAGTGTATGAAGAGATTTGGCACTGATGGCGATGGTGCTGTGCTTGGAGAGGGAGGTGAGTTTGAGACTCTGGTAATAGACGGACCTTCGAGCCTCTTCAAAGGGAAAATTGTGATCCTGGAAGAGGACAGGAGCATAGTCCGAGAAGGAGGGGGTGCTGCATGGCTGCGGATTCGACATGCTGAAGTGGTGATGAAGAATATCGATGAAGCCGAGGAAACGTTGTGTCGACTACCCGGGACTCTTGATCAAATATTCAGTGATGCTTTGGGGGATCTTGATGGAAACCAGGAAGCTATTGGCTCTTCAAGTTTATTGGGAACGTTCGAAGGGCCAGTAAGTCCTATTCAACAACCACCATTGAGACCTGTCCTTGATACAGACAAGGGGGGAATCGTATATTGGGTAGTTAACCCGGCAGCAATAGGATCTGATGCTTCCGTCTCACAGCAGGCCTCCAGTCTCCTAACAGAGATTCAAAAACGGTTAACCAAACTCTCCCTCCAATCTACTGATATAATTTCTACCTTAATCATCCTTCGTTCTATGCAAGACTTCACAGTTGTAAACAAGGTACTATTTTTACCCCTGCCCCCCTTCATCTTTTGAACCAGGTCTCACTAACACGGCCTTAAAAGATCTACAGCACACTATTTACAAAACCCAATCCTCCGGCAAGAGTAACTATCTCCTGCGGCACCAATCTCCCTGAAAATACACACCTTATAATCCACCTCCGAATCAACAATCCGCAGTCCTCAAACCAGCCAACAAGGGTTGCAAGAAAAGCACTTCACGTGCAATCCCGTTCTTACTGGGCACCCGCAAACATTGGGCCGTATTCGCAAGCTATATCAATACCCCTACCCACTCCCTCAGCGGACTCGTCCGGTGGCCAGGGGGAGGTACGAGTTGTGGCTGTGGCAGGCCAAATTCCGTTAACCGCCCACACCATGGCCATACCCCATCTAGGCACTAAAAATTCCACATCATCGCCACTATCTGCTCATGACACTTTTCTGGCAGACTGCAAAAGCCAAACTGTCTTAGCACTACAGCATCTCTGGCGCATCGGGGAAGAAATGGACGTAGGGTGGTGGACTAGTGCTGTTGCGTACCTCCCTGCCGCTTCAGCAGAAAGCAATGCGGAACGAGCCTCGATAGCGGGACAAGCTTGGAGAATTGTCCACTGTGAGACGCCCACTGTAGAGGAAGACGGCGATGGGGAAGAGCGAGATCTGTGGGAGGAGAAGTACTACGCTGGAATGGCACAGCGAGGGGCCCAGCAAACTCAGAAGTTGTTACCGGATTGGAATATAGTGAAACCATGCGGTCGAAGTATAGATCATCCACCGTTCTTCGCGGTTGAGGTCGACGAGTTGCCAAGACAGAGCAGTATTGAATGGCATGCTCATATGGGGGTTGTTAACGGACCTGTTACTGTAAGGTCCCCAAGTGCCTCTATCCCTAAATAAACTTCCTGGCTGACGTACCTTCTATAGATACATCCAAGTGCGCATAACCATAGATGGAGTCTCTATCAATGCACCTTTGGGGGGCGCTTGCAGTCTATCATTGCGATCGAGCACCTGGAACCAAGTTCTGAGACGAGAAACGCATTGCATGAAGCTCTCGAGGCTCTTGGCATGGACGACTCTGGAGAATCTGGATGGTTTGCTTCGTATGTTGACGTGTCTGTTCAAGGTGCCTGGGGCTCGGGAGTTAGCAGTGGTATGATTCCGTGTACAAGGATATGGGGTGGTTCTGGTAACAGACTTGGTGCGGTTTTGATAATTGGTACTGTGGCAGCGTAGTATTGAAAGTGAGTGTATCATGCCTACTCTGTCGGTGAATAAAAGATCCTCAGTTAACCTGTCTTTGATATATGGCTAGGTCATCTGCAGACGCTACAATTCATGAAACATGGGATTGTAGAAAGTGAAAGGCACCTGGAAAGCTGTCATTGAGACGTGTGGATTGATTTCACTGTAGCTAAGTTATAGCGTGACCATAATCCTGATTCATGTCCGCACACTTTCCCGAATCACCCTACTTGCTCGCCGACTCGCCGTGAAGAGTCACTAGCACACACCCATAAAAGTCCCATCCTTGTTACTGCCTTCTATATAATAGACGTCGGCGCTCATGATCCTGATCTATAGGGTACACACATTAGCATCGACCTTGTTCTAGGCATAGTATAGGTAATCAAGCTCCTTACGTATAAGCTCACAAATACCGTGGTCACAGTGCTTACAAGCCTCGTGCATGTGGTTCCACTCCTAGTTTTGCATTTGCCCTCGTTGTTCCGTTCATGATTGAAATAGCACCCCAAGAATTAAACGTCCATGTATAAATTATAGTCTACTTCTCTACTTAAATGAAATCTCATAATAAGCCGTTGTTGGAGAGGGAACCTTGTAGAAAGAGCTGGTGGTTGACGCGAGAACCCCTTTTGGCGGGCTTCATATTCCTCCTAGGAAGGTAGTGAGACGTGCAATAGTGAGGCGTGCGTGAAACAGATGTACGTCACTTCACACAGCAAGCCAGTTAACAACTTGAGCTAGGGGTATCTCCGTGTATTTTACGAGCGGCTCATCAAGAAAACAGCCTCGACCTTAGTTTCTTTAGACCCTGCAAGTCTCCTTCTATGGTCTCCTGAAGTTCCAAATCTACATACTCGAGCGTACATCCACCACCAAAGTCGATCAATATCGCATCCCCAGAAGGATCAATCATGACATTGTGCGGCTTTACATCACCCCAAACAATCCCATAGTTGTGTAACCTCTTGACTGTCTCATCAATCTGATCCATCCATATCAGTTTCTCAGAGACCGAGGCGTCCAGCATTGCATCATAGAGCGTCATTCCATCGATTCGCTCCAACAGCATATCCATGAGAAGAGACTCTTGGCCGTCCCAGTTGACAAGGCCCACAATTCGCGAAGTTCGGATGCTGAGATCGTGTTCAGAGATCTTTTGTAACTTGGCCAAAATCTCAACTTCTCTTTGAAACCCGTGCCGCTTATCGCCTGCCTTGAAAAAGAACTCATCTGTCGTGTTGACCTTTCGCACAATCCGCGGAATCTCGCACATCACTTCCTCGAGGGAGTCTAGACCTGCCGCTCTCACCAACTTGGATGCCGGGGTCAAAGGTACGGTAGGAAGGGCGGATCGAGATACGATACCATCCCTAGGTATTTCGTGGCTTGGTGAAAGCCGACTTTCTGCATTTTCAATAATGGCAACTTTGGGGCTGGCATCTCCGAAAATTTCCTGATCGAAAGCAAGCTCGTTTGCCTTTAATATACCGCCATCGTTGAACAGCTCGAAAACATAAGTTTGGGGATCATAGTATTCCAGTAGAGTGGTTGGTCTGGAGATAGCTACTGGAACCAATTGTTTGACCCGCTCATGAATCGGGCCAATAGCCCATGTCTCGAAGTCGCATAGAATATCTGGGTCGTCAATATCATCCTTGAACTCGTAGAATTCATCGATCAGGCTCCCTTCTCCCTCCAGATGCTCAGCAGCGATTTCGATAATGAATCGTTTGTTGCGACTCATGAATATGTACGAGATGGAATCTTCAAGGGTCACCATCTCTAGCATAGAAAAAGAATACATTGTAGGGGCGCCACTTGCCGCATTTGTGGTCTGGTCCATGATATTTGACAACCGAGAGCGTGGAGACCCCACCGAGAGTAGCTGTTAAGTGTGGAGTGTGGATTCCGCAATTTCTAGAGAAGAGAAACTTTGGTACTTGCAATAGTAGGAACGAGAAGGAGGAGAATGAGGAGCGGCGCTGCAAAGGCACGAGAAAAGAAGCTTGATTGATGGGTAGTTGGGATTGAATTAAGTGTGTAGGAGCCACGAAGCAAGGATCGACACAAGGTAAAATCCAATATGAGATCCTGAGGTTCTGCAATAACGCCCCAGGCCCTGAAAGCTACCGCTGCCACTTTTCAACTCTCCCACCAGGTAATGCGAACGTATTACTTGGTTGGTAAGTAAACCATTCCACTAGCTCCATAATACAGATGCAGTAATACAAGTATGATTCCTGTCTGAATGAAATTCATAATTCATTCTTGTAATGATCCACTAAGTCATTTCCTATGAGCAATTCATAATCAATTTTTGTAGTTTCATGTAATATGTTGAGGCATTTATATATATAAGTTTGCTAGCCTATAAAGTAAATGGCTTCTTACACTTAAGACACTTCTATAGAGCAAGTCAAGTATTTGGGCCTCACAGCAACCACCTTACATGATATATTCCTCTTTCCACCACACATTCCAACCTTCCCGACAGTAAGTTAAGGATGCGTTGCTTTGCTATACATATTTTTCATCCAAGAATGACTTTGCAACCTTGAGCATTGGACAGAGTAAGGGCGAATTACAAACATGTAACGGAGCCTACCTACATGCTAAGCGCCCTTCAAAAACCCATCTCAACTCTTAAAATTCCCCACGTATATTTAAAACATTCCATTGCTCACTACAATGTATGATATCTCAATTACAAGCTTATAGTAGACATAACTCTCATCACCAACCTCCACCCTTCCCTCCAAATCCCGTGCTCTCTTCCATTTTCTTCCCTCCGCCACCTCTCGTAGGTTTCTGCTGCGCAGCTTCGTGTTTCCTTAGTTCTTCGGGCACTTTGGATATCGAGCTCTTGGTTAGCATTTGCTTGAGATCGTACATGACGTCTGCGTCCTCGTTGCCTAGGAAGGTGATCGCGACACCGCTCTTGCCTGCACGACCTGTACGACCGATACGATGGGTGTAACTTTCGATGTTGGTGGCCATGTTGAAATTGGCGACGAGACTCACGTCCGGTACATCAATACCTCTTCCTGCGAGATCTGTGGCAACTAGGACGTTGGTTGCGCCAGATCGGACTGATGCTAATGCGGCTTCACGCTGCTCCTGCGTCTTGCTACCGTGCAAAGTGACAGATGAGAAACCCATATGCTTGATATCTCGAGCCACAGCATCACAGTTTCGCTTGATGTTGACGAAAACAATGATAGGAGGCTGGAATTCGCCCGAGGCCAGGATCTCGTTGAGACGCTTCTTCCGCTTGTCTTCGCCCGACACGAACTCGACGCGCTGCTCGACCGACTCGACAGCTTCTCCAACATTACCAATTGTGACAATCGCCGGTCGCCTAAGATACTTCTTCGCAATCTTCTCAACCGCACTTGGCATAGTGGCTGTGTACATCATAGTCTGTCGGTATCTATCTTTGCCGCCCAGATGTCTGCTCATGGCTTGAGCATCCTCTGCATCATCGGTATCCGGTTTCTCGTTTGTGACCGGCAGTGCGTCAAGGATCTTATTGACAGATTCCTCGAACCCGAGATCGATCATGCGATCAGCCTCGTCCATGATTATGTAGCAGCATTGGCCTAGAACCAAGACTCGCCTTTCAATACAATCGACTAGTCGACCTGGAGTTGCGATAATAATCTCGGCACCATTACGCAAATTGTAGGATTGCTCTTCGAGAGAGTGACCACCGACAATACTCACGCAAGTAAACCCGAGCGGCGTTGCGAACTTCCGTGCTTCCACCTCAATCTGCTGAGCCAATTCACGGGTTGGCGCAAGGATGATGGCATAAGGTCCGTCGTTCTTTGTAAACTCGTTCAAAGGTGGTAATTCGGAGATATATACCAGTAACGGGAGCAAGAAGGCAGCTGTCTTTCCCGAACCGGTTACGGCAACACCAATAAGATCCCTAGCCTGTAAAGCAATGGGGATTGCAGCTCTCTGGACAGCTGACGGCTCGTCATAGCCAACCTGAGCAACGACATCTAATAGCCGTTTGGGAAGATTCGATTCCTCCCAGGTTCTCATTGGATTCGGTATTCCTCCTCCTTTGGTGGCGATGTTGAAATCTTCTTTGAAGATACGCCAATCTCTTTCTCGCATATGCTCCAATTTCTTCTCGCTCCAGTGCTTGTCAAGCGCATTTCTTCCAGATGCCTCCTCCTTTCTCCTTCTTTCCATTTCTAATATTTCTTGAGCGCGGGCTCTACCGGCTTCTGTATCCCGTGCCTCAAGGGCCTTGGCGTACTTCAGTGCACCGCTTTCACTCGCATCTTCTGCAAAGCCACCTAGTCGTCCCCTTCCGAAGAAATTAGCCTCGGCGCGGGTTGAATATAGTGGGTTATAGTCCGGACTTGTGTCCTCCTCTACGTTCCACTCAAAGTTAAACTTCTTCTCTGTGGTTCGTCGTCGCTTCTTCTTTGCTGAGAATGTCGACTGGTTGGTTTCTGCACCCATATAACGCGTCCGAGTAAGAGAAGCTTCTGTAGTATCGCCGTTCGCTGGGCGTTTCTCTCCAGCTAAAGAAGCCTTGTTACTGGCCACAACGGGTCTACCTGGCGGTGGCATTTCACCTCCATTCCGATTTGAATTGGCGTTCCGTCCGCCCCCAGGGCCAGATGGTGGATCGCCATGACGCATCGCTCGAGGGCCAGTGGGAACCGAAGACTGTCCCCGGCCAGTGGTCTCTTGCTGTCTAGGCCTATCGCCATTTTCGAAGCTTCGGCCGTTTCTTTCAGCCTCAACTTTACGTTTTTGTTCCTCGACTTCCTTTGCCCTCTTCTCAAGAGCTAACTTCTCGCGCGCCGCTTTGGATAGGAATTTAGGCTGCAAGACGAATAGTTAGTATATATACGGCAAAAACTAAACACGGCTTTGTGAACCTGGGAATCGACTCCACAATGACGGGTAGAAGCATACCTTGGCTGCGGCTTCATCAGCCTCTTTTTTCTTCTTCAGAATATCTTCAATGCTGAGCGGTCCGCGATCTCGTGGCGCGCCCCAACCAACTTTATTCTTCTTTATAGGTTCTTCAGGAGGCGGTGGCACTGTGTCTGAGGGAGGCGGTGGAGGCAGATCGCTGGGGGGCGGAGGAGCGTGTCCATCTGGAGGAGGTGGTGGTGTTATATCGGTAGGAGGAGGTGGAACTGATGCATCTGGAGGAGGTGGCGGGGGTGATGGTAGCCTTCCGTTCATTTCGGGAGGAGTGTAATTGTCGCCTCGTGTTCTACTACCACGTCCGCTATCTATCTTCACAGATGAGGTCCTGAACTAAATAATATTCAACCGAAATAGGACTGAGATAAAAAGTGCTTGGGGTAATGTTTGATGAGGCGATGCCGAGGTTGATGGTGTTGTAATGTAATGCAAGGCTGAGGAACGAGGTTCAGAACTTTTGAGAGCTTGATGGGCACGGAGTTCTATTAGTAAGCGACACAAGCTCGAAATTTCCGACTACGTATCGCAACCTCACCTCCTACTGAAGCCGCCCAAAGAGCCTGGCAATTACCGTGAGGATGTCGACAATGAGACCCCAACAGTACAGGAAGCTTGCAGAATCGCTGCCCCCTCGATTAACCCGATTCTTCGCGCGCTACCCACCACAAGCCATCGTCTCGGCGTCCGACGCAGCTCCTTCAAATACATCGCCCTCCGCTTCAGCAGCACCATCCGCAGACCAAGATGCGGCAAACGCTGTAGAGGGTTTCCAAAATCCTTTCCGAACGCAGAAGCACCCAATCACGGGGAGATGGCATGATCCGAAATACTCCTTGCGGAGACAGGCAGACCTAGTCAAACTCGCGCGCCAAAATGGCGTTGAGGAGCTGCTACCATTTACAGTGAAGGGCACCGAAGAGAGGCTTCGGAAGAGGATGGAGAATGGGCTCAGGGTGAAGGGAACAGGTATTGGGCAGCGCGTGAAGGGGAAAGAATCCGAGCGGACACTCAAGGGACGGTATGTTTGGGGTGTTTCTATTACTCGGCAAGCATGCTATTATGCTGCTTGGATGTTGCTACGAAGAAGGATATTTTGCTGATTGGTATGTGTGATAGATTGGAGAAGCGGAAGCAGGCTATGCTGGGGATGCCGCAGATGATCCAGACGTGGAAAGAGGTATGTTCGCCCCAGACGTGGAATTGGATGTTCGCCAGCCTACTAACACTGGATTGCAGAGGGGCCATGGTCGTGGATGGAAGAAATGGCCGAAATAAAGCAAGCAATCAGGATTCTGGGAATGGTATCCGTCTTGGGATACTGCTGTATCAATATTACACGGGATGCGAACTGCATGGGACTGGCGTTAGAACAGGAACTGTGGTTCAAGTGTATATCAACTCTGCTAGAAGCTACGAGAGGGGGAGTCGAAACCAGCGACTGAGCCAATACATTATTACCCAAAGTCGTATGACTGTTTGAGCGTATTTTCAAGGGGGGTTTCTGTGGCGGGGAAACTGATCCAGTTTGGTTCGTTCCGCAAGTCTGATCTAATCTTGAAGGTATCGGTTGAGGGGATGCGCTGTATTTGATCATTTGATGGAGTAACTGCAGAGCAAAGGCAAAGGCAAAGGCAACAAACAAATTAACAGTTGTTGAGACCGAGGACCATATTGACGAGGAAACCAATGCCGGACAAGGGTTACTGTATTATGGCTACCTCTTCGCTAGCCCAAAGGATGATCAAGAGATACGCAGGTACTTCGTTCGTAGTGCACTTCGTAGCAACCTGAGTACCTACATACTCCGTAGGTACCTAGGTACCGACGAAGTGGGATTAGTGGCCCGAGACTGCTGGATGATAGGGAACCCGCGAGTGCCAAGGAGCCGGAAATATACTGGAGTACCTCGAGCAAGTCACTCCACGTTTGCAGCCTCGAAACTCAGGCCGCCCTCAACAATGCTCCCAACAAAACATCTTAGCGTGGGATTAAGGTGTGCAGGGGTGGCGGAAGGGTCTCCAACGCCGTGTGGCGATTGGCCAATGCAGACGTCCAGCATCGAAATGCAAAGAATCGATCTGTTCCTGGACGGAGCGGGCAAGGGCCGGCGACTGGTAACTAGGGATTGTTCCTCCCTCCTGTATATATCCTGCTGGTTTTTGGCATGTGAACTGGAGATGGCCGAGGGACGAACTTGCGGAGTGCATGACATAGAGCATGAGCAGGAGCATTAGCATTTAGCAGTACTCACTAACTACCCACTTCTCACTCACTCACTCACCCACTCACTCACTAAACTCACTAAACTCACTCACTACTAAGTCCCCTAGTCTGGCCATTGAAGCTTTCTCTCAGCCATGATCAGCAGACTCCCGCATCCACCACCACCACCACCACCTGCACCTGCACTGTGTAACTGCATCCTCGGCCTTTTGCTGGCTGGCATTGGTGGTGGTGAACTTGTGCCAGCTGAGCGGCCACCGTGCCAAACGAAGCTCAGAGTTGCATGTGGTTATGTTTTGGTGATGAGACCGGAGCCCGCCCAACTCTGGTCTCTTCCGTCCTGTGGGATGGATGGGCGGTCAATATACTCGAATAAGAGGCGAGAGAAGCACACGCAGGTGTCACTGTTTCTGGTCCCCGCCGCTGCATATCTGGCTCCACCGCCTGTCTGTCCTGTGTGTCCGGTGTCCTGCTGGCAGCTGCTGATCAGTGGTGGTGCCCAACGGATGAGGGCCTATTGCTGTAATGCTGACCCGCTAGAAGATGATACTATCCTCGCTACGTAGTAGTACGTAGTAGTAAGTAGTAGTGGTGCTCCATATTCTCTTGGGGTTGTAACTTGTCAGAGCGTTCTAGCAGGTAATAGGTAGTGGTAGAATACTCGTAGAATAGAGTAGAGCCATATAGTGCTTCGTCGATGGAGCCCAGTTTAGCCTTAGCCTGGATAAAAAACCCCCATCTGGCTGACTAGCAACTAGCAACTAGCGTGCTGTGGGGGATCAATGGATGGGACAAACGGGGATGAGAATTTTACATTTGGCGTGGCCGCCGGGGGCGAGCTGGGGGCAAGTAAGGGGTGGCCGCAATAATAAATAAAACCCCCCCAACCAGCAACCACGTTTTCCTCCTCCTCCTCCAGCCCTCCACACCACCACGCCCTCACTCCCTTTCGGCCTCTACATTCCGCGGGTTCTTCAAGATCAGAAGACGGTGCATCGTTCTGTACGTTATCCTCGTCGACATCTCACAATCGAAGCCTAATTGCTAACATTCTACTCAGCGCTCTCGTCACAATAGAACCCTCCCCCGATTGCGGTCCTGGTTCGCAAAATATATTCTGCCATTCTACGATCTGCCACTCGCCCCCCAGTGTTGCAGTATAATATAGGCAAACGCCCATAGCCAGACCAGAATATATACCCAATTCACCATGGCGTCCACTACTGCCCTCCCCCGACACCCCGTCCTCAGACGGACGGTGACTTCGACCACGGCCGAATCCTCCCCCTCCACCGCCGTGGCATCTCCCAGCGATTCCCCACGCCAATCGCCCTCCACCTCGTCCCTCACCTCCATGTCCTCTCTAGAAGAGACAGAGGATCAGGGTTACGGCAAGCTTACTGATACTCTCGGCAACCAGTTCGAGCTCCCGGATTATACAGTCAACGATATCCGAAATGCCATTCCCAAGCACTGCTACGAGCGGTCCGGATTGACGGGCCTCATGTATGTCGCCCGTGATATTGTCTATTTGGGAACCACTTTCGCCATTTTCAACAAATTTGTTACCCCTGAATACATCCCCTCCACGCCAATCCGTGCTGCCCTCTGGGCCTTGTATACCGTCCTGCAGGGCCTCTTTGCAACCGGTATCTGGGTCCTAGCTCACGAGTGCGGCCACCAGTCTTTCTCCCCCTCGAAGGTCCTCAATGACACCACTGGCTGGGTCTTGCACTCGGCCCTCCTTGTCCCATACTTCTCCTGGAAAATTTCCCATGGCAAGCACCACAAGGCCACCGGAAACATGGAACGTGACATGGTCTTCGTCCCCAAGACCCGTGAGCAGTACTCTTCCCGCATTGGGAAATTCGTCCACGAACTCGACGAATTGACCGAGGAGACGCCTATTGCAACCGCATTCCACTCCGTCCTGCAACAGCTTTTCGGCTGGCCCTTGTACCTCTTTGCCAACGTGACCGGCCACGATAACCATCACAAGCAACACGAAGGCCGTGGCAAAGGAAAGGCCAACGGCTATTTCGGAGGCGTCAATCACTTCAACCCTTCCAGCCCTCTGTACGAAGCCAAGGATGCTAAGCTTATTCTGTTGAGCGATGCCGGTCTCGCCATCACCATCACCGCCCTCGTTACTCTTTGCAAGACTTACGGATTCAACAACATGCTCGTCTGGTACTTCATCCCCTATCTCTGGGTGAACCACTGGCTCGGTATGTATCTCCCCTAATTCGTGTTGAAAATTTATGACTCCGAAGCACGTGCTAACCAACTCTCAGTTGCCATCACCTACCTCCAACACACCGACCCAACGCTTCCCCATTACAACGCTGAAAGCTGGAACTACGTCCGTGGCGCCGCCGCAACCATCGACCGAGAATTCGGCTTCGTAGGCCGCCATCTCCTCCACGGTATCATCGAAACCCACGTGCTCCACCACTATGTCAGCACCATCCCCTTCTACCACGCCGACGAGGCATCCGAGGCCATCAAACCCATCATGGGCCGCCACTATCGTTCCGACACCGAGGGCGGCTCTCTTGGATTCCTCAAGAGCTTATGGACCAGCGCCCGGTGGTGCCAATGGGTTGAGCCATCAGAGGGCGCAGTTGGCGAGGGCAAGGGTGTTTATTTCTTCCGCAACCGCAACGGCCTCGGTGTCAAGCCCATGAAACTCCAACCCTCCGTTGGACGTGGCAAGTCCGGCATGGTAATTGGAGCCGATGAGTAAACCGATACGCAAAAGGCTTTAAATGTATGGGAAGCGTGGGGAGCGGGGGCATTTGGCATTTAGTACAATGATTTTTTAAAGCGGTGTTCTGGCGTCCGTCGAAGCACATCTCGCGGTTCTTTTATATTGCGATGAATGTTTTAGTTGGGGGATTGATTTGATGACTAGAAAGCTTCTCTGTCCAAAAACAAATAAGGGATAAGATGGAAATTTTAACAGCGAGAATATTACAGAGCGCAGAATAAGAGCTAGGCTGTGATAGACAAAGAGCGCGCTAGACTGCTGTGTCGAGATGGATACCTACCTACCTAGATAGAGGAGGGACTTGTATATAGATAAGGTGGCTATGCTGTTCTTCATCTTGAGTGATGGGGGGATGGTAGCTGCTTTGAGAAGATATTCATGTTAAAAACTTGGAATGTATTTCGTGCTGTGATGTGATGTGGAAGAGAGTAACCCACAAAGGTACGTAAGTGGGTGAGTTACGGTCATAGAACATTGTATACACCCACAAGTACATACATGATGTTTCTCTATTGGCCTACATGACGCATTTTATTTCCCTCCCCTCCTCCCCTCCTCCCCCCCTCGCACCACTCCCCCGCCCCTTTCCTCAAAACTTCCTCCTTGAATATCCCCTCCGAAGACCGAACCCGCCCCAATCCTCACGCCATCCTCACACCATCCTCACGCCATCTATATCTCCTCATCTCACGTCTCCTTCCCTCCTCATATCCCAACAAACACCCTCCAAGTCCCACCAAAAAGAAACCTGACCACATGGTATTAAGTAATAAACGAGTGTACATACCCCATTTCTGAACTAGCGATGCACAGATATCTCGCATCCTAGTAACGAACGCGTTGAGGATAATTGACTAGTTCAACGCAGAGCTAAAAAAGCAGCTCTTCTCCGCGGGCATTGTAATTGCTTCTTCTAAGTAACAACACGAAAACGAGAAAAATGTGAAGAGAAGACACATTACCTACGGAGGTACGCCTCTTCTATTTTGTAAGTATACAGTGGCAGGGGAAGGAAAATAAAAGAAAGCGAGATAGGTAGATAGATAGGTTTGAAAGGTAAATTTGCCAAAAGATCCTCCTCGTCAGTTATCAGATCCCTAAAGTATCACTTGATTTCTGATCTCTAGCGCCGAACACGAGGAAAACGAAAGCTTGCAGGAACCCCGCCCCCTCCAAGAAGGAATATATAGCTAAGCGGATCAAGACTAGGACAATTATTTTTTGCAGCGAAACTGAAACAGCAGTCCAGCATGTCCTCGGAGACTGAGGTACTCGTGGTTAACACTTCGCCATCATCGTCTGAGGAGCGGACTGTACATCCAAACTTTAAGTTGATTGGAAATGTGGATTATATGCGACGGGAGAAAGAAATAGGTGGTGCTATAATTGAAATGGACAGTATCTAATTCTCCTTGGTGAACTGTTGCCAGTTCTGCTGCTATTGCCAGTTCTGCTGCTATTGTCAGTTCTGCTGCTACTGTCAGTTCTGCTGCCGTTGTTAGTTCTGCTATTGCTACCAGTTCTGCTGTTGTATAAAGTGTTCAGAGCCCGCTCAAAGACCAGGAGGGTCACGGCTCGATAAAAAGAAAAAAGGGGGGTTAAGGAACTCAGCAGTACACTCCGATCAATCCGTACATGGAGCTAGGCTTGGCTTTACAGGCCTCATCCTGACAAGTGCAGTTAGTTATAGGATAGCTATGGCGATCACTGGTCGAAGCGTGAGAGCCGTAATATAGAGGATTCCGGCTGGGGTATGTTTTATCGGGTAGTCCACTGTACCGACCCAAGTACGTAGCAGTATATCGTTATAGAGATCATGTCTCCTTAGTTCTGCTGCCGCTGCTGAGCGTTCTGTTGCGGTCTGCATAATCGTTAATAGTAGCACAAGAAGTGTAGAGTGTCGAATCAAATAACGCGGTATCGTAGACCATTATTACTAGTAGGTCAACTGAAGTGTGACGAGAACAGTTGATGGGGAGGCTGTTTAGTACTCCATTTTGGATTGGATTGAGCGGTTGAGGCTTGCAAATGAGAACCTACATAAATGTTTAGACACGCGGAATTTGTATTTGCAGAGGAAACTGCAAATTATGGGTAGTAGTAGGGTATTATAGATTTCTTGCTATCTCGACAAGCTAATTACTGATATATGTCTATGCAAATGGCGCTTTCTCCATACTAAATTGCAAATAGCTCTCGCTGTGGTATATCAACATCACCGTTCATACTTGGGCAGGGTCTCATTATGTGAAGGGCCAGGAGGCGATGGTGGGAAATGCTGGGTGTAGCTCCCTCCGTACTCGTCTTCTTCGGTGAGAGTAGGCGCTGTGGGCTCATATTGAGGTCTGGAGCTCCCCTCCCCTGCGTTGTCGTCGTCGTCTGGAGGGAAATGTGAGGGTGCGGTAGCTTCAGCTAACAGGCGACGACGTTCTAGTTCTTGCTTGTCGTCGGTTGGTGGAGCATCTGGAGCTGGGTCAAGGTCGTCGAGGGCTGGGGTGGAGGTGGGGCCTAGAATGGGAGTGGTGGAAGCATTGGGTGAGAGCTCAGGGGGATGTGAAGGTGCAGATGTTGGTGCTGTTTGTGGGGTCACGGTTTCGGCATGGTATAGATCATCGGATGATTCGTGGGGATGTAGAGATGGGGCTGATGGAGGGACGACTGTTCTTGATGATGAAGGGTCCGCGTCAGTATCGGGTGGCGGTTGACTGGGCAAAAGTCGTTCCTCGGCCCGGCGAAGTCGCTCCTTTTCACCCAAGCCTTCATGTGACTGCACCTCCGGATGAGGTACGGATATTTGGGAATGGATAGGCGGAGGAAACTCATTGGGGTGATGATGAGCCACATCATTGTAATCATACGGAGGGTCAGAGTAGTAGTCGTGATAGCCCTCGCCATACGATGGATCATCGCGTGGGTGAAGAGTTTGTGCGTCCATATTTTGCGGTTCAACAGTTCCTTGTGCAAGGGATTCTTCGAATATGGGATCCCGTATCCCCGGAGAACCTGGAGATTCCAGAGGTCTGTCGTTGAATTGCCCAGGTCCGCTGTTGGCTCTGCCTCGCTTGCGCGCACTGTCAGTAGATCCAACGACGACCTCGAATTGGCACGCGACAACGCTCTTTTCTCTTCTGATGTGATCGGTATCGACGATACCCCCGCCCCAGGTCGACAATGTGTTGGCATTTCCGTCTAAGCGACCGCCTGTACTGCCATAACTTGTTACTGTCCCTGCTCGTGGAACATGCCGTTGCTGACCTGCTAGCTTACCACCAAGGTCTACGACAACCTCGACGAAATATCTGAAACTTATCATTTGGCCAGGAACCCCAGAGATAGTTGGGAAGATATCTTCAGGGGCCCTAACCGAGGTGTTCACAACTGCAGTCAGGGACGTCGGGTCAATCAAGATAGGTGCAAAGGTCTGTGAGAGATCTTTCCGGAACACATTGCTGGAACCGGCCGAGGTCAGCGACAACCCTCCGAGCCCGGTCTTAGACTTGGGGTAGTATTCTTCATGCTTCAACCTCTCAGCTGCCTTTCCTTTGATATCTGCAAATAGGGACAGGGGCGGAGAAGAGTCGATCCTCCCTTGTCTGTAGAATGTTATGATGATCCCATGCAAGCTTTTTATTGGCTTAGAATGCTTGATCGATATCTGAAGAGGCATGTTATCACCTGGTAGACACCCAGATTTGAGTAGCTGGATAGCAGCAGTAATCGTCTTGGAGAGCGAGATCTTGCTGCCCGTTCCTTGGCTATCGCGTGCTGATAGCGACGACGGCGCAGGCGCAAGGCGAAAGCTGAGACCCGTACTGCTGCTAAGCGTGCTATCTGTACTTGTAGCTGTGCTGTGAGTACTTTGGATATCGCTTGGTGCAGGACTGCGAGGACCACCCGTATCATGCGAACCCCGCTGGCTCGCCGAGTCATCAGGGAGCGGTGAACCTGGCGGTCGCGCCGTATCAGAGCCCGGCTCAGTCGTTTCCTGGGAGCCATTCTCCTTGGTCTTAGTCGTTTTCTTCCGCTTAGGACGCCGAGATATAGGTTCTAGGGATATGGTGCGGGCCTTCGGAGGAAGCATGGGCCCGATGTCCACCGTCTCCACGAGGGAGATTTTCTGATCACAACTTGAGGTTGCAGCAATCGAGGTCGGGCGTGTGATAGTGGCGGTAATTAGATAGGAAATCGTTCCTCTTTCAAACTGCGTATTCATTAGCCAGGGACCTTCAGCTGAGGAAGAAAGGACTCGGAAGGACTCGGGAGAAAACTCACATCAATGCTCGTTGGCAGGCCTTTGCTCGGAAACTGCAACTCGAAGTTGAATTCGTATATACCGGGCTCAAGGCGGCCCTCTCCACACAGCGTTACCTCATCCTGGAACAGCGAGGCGTGCCCGTTGCCAAAGTATTGGGTTTTGGTCGGATCGCCCGGGGCGGCGAGCGAAGGGTCAACCGCCCACGACTCATTAACATCATTGGGATGTTTGTACACGCGAACGAAGCCGCGCAGGCAAACCGTGAGATGCGTGATGCGGACCGGCTTGACAATAGTGAGTATCACCGCGCCTTTGACCAAGTCGCCGGGCGAGTACTTGCGATAGGGCTCATCGGGGCGGATGTGGAAGTCGGTCAGGTTCCGGGCGCGGGATTTCAGAGGGGAGGTGAGCCTCGACAGGAGGGATCGGGTCGACGCAAAAGCGGATGGCGACGACAATGTCGAAGTAATCGGGGCCGCTGTCGCTGTCGATGCCGCAGAAGGGGCATTCCCATTGGCATTGGCATTGTCATTGGTATTCGCATTCGCGCACATGCTAGGAGAGCGAGAGACGAACAGACAGACAAGTTGTGATATGTTTGCCGCCAAGAGTTCGATCGTGGGAGTGCCAAGTAAATCCAACCCGGATACTGACAGGCGGTCACACGGTCATACGGTTCCGACGGGAACACGAGTTACGGAATCCAGAGAGGCTTTGGGGCGTGGTGCGACACCGTCGTGACGGCGACTGGTGGAACGGCGAGATGCCCAGCAAAGCAGCCCAGCATCCACGGTGCAGCGCAGCTCCAGCGCGGAGTATTAATAACGCGACCTCGGGCGCTGCGAGTACGCGCGTTGCAGTTTGGACGGCGAGAGACAGCTGCTGTCAGAGCGCGGGGCCTGGAAAGCCTCTGCCCTGCTCCAGCCTGTCGGATGGCGAAAAAGATGGAGAGCGGCGTGAGAAGGGCGTTTGGGGGCCAGGATGCTCCAAGAAGCATTGCCTGTATTCCGTCGGATCGTGGCTGAGTCGGGTCTGGTACAATCCGGTGCAGGCCTCGTGGTGTTTTCAGAGCCAGTAGTGAGCTGTGTGCTGCAGAGATAAATCGGGAGCCATGCTATGCTACAGTAGGTATGCTATGCTGGCTATGCCATGGTGCGGTCGGTGTGCAATGTGGTGCGGCGAGGGAGTGAGTAGAATAGACAAGTGCCTAAGGTAAGGTAGGTAATAAATGCTTCGTAGTGATCCGGAGTAATATTTGCAACTGGCAGCTAGGTATTGACTGTCACGTCCACAGCTAGTCTTGCGCCCAATATGCAATTTCGACTATAGCGACGACAGCGAGGAATGGGTGCCAGTCCCACTGTGGGCCAGCCTGGGTGACTTCGTACACCCGCCGCAAGCTGTCTCGCAGTTACGTAGCAGTTGACAGCAGTTGGCAGCAGTTGGAGTAGCACTTAGTACTAGGGGGGTTCCAAGTTCCAACCCTGATATCCTGCGTCCTGGGATTTGGAATTCGGATGGGCCCAAGCAGCTGCAAACCTTATCTCGTCTCAGAGCGAAGTGGCAGTGATCAAAAAAGCTTGATTCTCGGGCTGCTGACGCCAAGCACTGTGGCAAAAGTCTTGTATGTTGTGATACTCGAGTACCATGCGACCCCATAACCCATATCAGGTTCTATTAGCAAGCTAACCACATTGCGTACACATCTCGCTGCTCAATAATGGGCCCCTTGCGTCCCGTATCGATACCTCACCAATAAACGAGATGGCCGGATAGCAAATCCATTTGCAAAACAGCACTTGGAGCTCTTAAGAAGTGCAGAATCCAAGCCGGTTTGTTTCCCTCTGTTGTCATTCGCGTCCGAGCCCCACATCATCATCCACATTGGCGTCTTCATGTGCCCATCCCTCCGTCATGCCGTGAAGCAGAGGTCCTTCAGGCCCTCCCCGACCACGTATTCGTCGCCGCAGGTCGACTGCATCAGTTCAGCTGCTCGAGCTCGATCGCCGGTGAGATTGGCGATAAATGATTCTATAGCCTCGATGTTATCAGTCCATCTCATAGCCCGATCCCTCATCGTCTTAGTCTCCTCTATCTTGCGTAAGATTTCTGCCGGGTCGTTGTCGCTGTAGCAAGCCAACTCCTTGTCAAGCATCTCAGTCTCCCTCAATAGCGTCTCATGTGCTTCGAGAAGGGCTTTTCGGTCCATGCCGTTGTTCTCAGGCATCTCGTAATCTTTCTTCCGCTTGGTCATCTCTTCCTGGATTTGTCTCTCAGTATCAGTAATCGAAGCTACAAGCTTGCTCTCCTCGCCCTTGAGCGTGTTGATCATATTCTCCTTGGTCTTCTTTGCGTCCGACATGAAGCACCAATACCAATTGCCGCTGCCGATTTTCTCGACTCGGATGAGGTTTTCATCCTGGAGAGCTTGCAGATAGTCCTTGACTTGCATTTGGTTGATAGATGCAACTGATTGCAGTGATTTCTCGAGTTCCTTTAAGGTATAGACGCTCATCGATTCCCTGAACCAATCCAGGATCCTGGCCTGTTTCGCGGCGGGAGGTAGGTTCTTGGGTGCCTGGATGGAATGCGATGAACATCAGAGAGCAATGAAGTGGACGAGATACTTACCATTGCATGTGCTTTCTTTTTGCTCGTCCTTGTATCTTGCCACACGTGGGTTTCCGTTTGAGTTTGTAGAGCGGAGGTTGTTTTGGGGAATGTCGCGTTGGAAGCGGAAGCGACCCAAGTCCCCTTTCAGAGTGAGGATTTGGACATCTGAATATAACCGACTCTCTGGTACTATGCCATTTCAACCTAAACCCACGATTACACCAAGTGATATATCTCATTGACATGTAAGAGTCCGCATATCAATACTCTCATTACGAAACATTTTCGCTAGCTAGCTGCAAGTGAAAATCTAGCACAACGATATCTCTAGCAATTCTGCTGGTTCTGGTGAAAATTGACAGAACATCGGATACCTCAAGCCGCTGTACATCTACAAGAGGCTCGCCATCGTACCCGTCGTCAGTCCAGATGAGTTCAAAATTATCATACCCCTCGTCCTTTCTTCCTCGAAATATGCTCAAGCTAGTATCCAAATTTCCAGGCAGAATCACATAGACATTGCTGTTTCTATCAACGCAAATCTTGGCCCTTGAGCCAGTTTCAGTAGGCTGAGAAACATGCGGTACCAGCTTCTTCGTCCATTTAGCTGCACAATATCAGTTTCAGCATCTCGAAGAGTTTCCGCGTCTTACCTGAGGCGTCCCTGTAATACAATATCCATCTCTGCTCATTGTTTATTTTCTCCCTGTTAAGAGCCCAGAATCCACCTTCCCAATCTGCAGTCTGGGCCTCTTGGTTCAATATCCCACTTCCCATGGGAATTTCAAAGACTCTTGCACCATCTGCGCTGGGCATTATCGTGTTCTGGCCTCCAAATGTTTCTCCGTCTCCAATACCGGCCATGGTACCACCATCAGAGCATTTCCAACTCCGGCCTAGGTCATCAGAGAATGCATAGTTGAGATCAAAATTGTTTTCGGGTCCGTTCGGACCAGCTTGCTGTTTATGTGCGTTCGGCGATGCGGATTCTGAAAAGGAGACGAAATTGCGGTAGCACCACGAAACATGGAGCATACCCATCCGGTAATCAACCCCGTTTACATATGGGTTGTTCGAGACACCTGTGAGGTATTGCCCAAGAAAGGTGTAGCTATGGGTCTCTGACGAATAGCGGTACAGGACGTCAGATCCTTCACCTGCCCTAACTCATCTGTTGGCAAAGCACATTATGAAATATGGGCTTGGGGGTAGACTCACTGGCCGATACGGTATGTAAGTAGGAGATTGTCGTCCATGTTCACAAAACGAGGGTAAGTCACTTCTTTTGTGAAGTCACTTGGAGCCACACCGGGCAAGAAGCTCTGTGTCTTGGTAAACTGGGATACGGTCCAGCTGCAGTTCCCGCCTCCTATATCTTCTCCAGGGTTCGAAATTCGAAATCTTAACCTACACAATGTGTAAATATACACGTACGATAAGGTTTAAGGTCAACCATACTTATCACAATGGTGATCAAAAGCGATATGGATGGTTCCATCTCCTCTACAAACACCTATAGATATGGTATTGTGCCCATCATCAACAACTTGCTTATAGTCTTCGAAAGTCAATACCTCCCACCCCTCTTCCTCCCGCCGAAGTCCAAGTGGACCAACCTTCCGCCGAGCCAAGTTCACATAACACCCATTGCTTGGATCGCCCTTATCTTCAGTGTAAAAAGCTACATATTGCCATCCTTTTACTGTTGTTATCGCGTTTTGCTGGAAGCTGTTGGCATTGATCCGGTGAGCCCTTCCTGGATCCTGACCCAAGCGGTTTATGGCAGGTGCATTAAGCATCATGGAATACAAATTCTAGTGGTTCCCTTCAGGGCCTTTCCAAAAATCTAGAGAGAATAGAGCCTCTTGATATTGAGGTTATCTCGCTTACCAAAGAATGATCAGCGGAAATATCCCGGCTTGAGGCATTCGATTTATCCACGCGAACATGCATCCTCAATCTGGAGTTCACCTCCCAACCTCCGTCAATTGTTGCTACCAGGGGCGCTGTTCGGTAGATCATTGTTTCGGCCAACTTTGCATCGGCACATTATCTCCCGTATCCAAGGTCCCCCGCGTCTGTCAACGATTCGACCAATGTGCATCGTTGGAGAGCAACTCAGAACTTCCACAAACCAGCTTGCTCTGCTCCGTAGATCAATGCATGGTGCAAGGTATCTACGAATAGTTGCGGCTAGATGGTCTCCAATACAAGTGTACTTGGTACATCAAGTTCAATGAGTATTGCAGGGAAAATGAATGGCCGACCCCGCAAGCTACCAACAATGCTATAGATTATCCGTGCAGCTAATATCATATATTTTCCTTATCTCTGTCTTAATTTTTATTTTCGTTTTGCTCCAAGCACGCGTATCTAAAATCATGTTCGCCAGCAAGACCAGCAAGGTCGACCGGGCCGCTGTTGCAGGCGCATCACACCTCAACAACAAAGTGGGACCATGGTGGAACGATCCCGGATTGAGGAAGTTGAATTTCCTCATCTTTATTCCGCTTATGAGCGAGTATGTTCAAGGCTATGATGCAAGCTTGATCAACAATGTGCAGCAATTGCCCACCTGGCGGAAGGGCAAGTTCAATTAAGCAGAAGACCAAACTCTCACTAACAAGTACATAGAGTTTCATGAACCAAAAGGCTCGCTCCTCGGGATCCTAAGCGCTAGCTACTGGATTGGAAATATTCTAGGCGTTTTCTTCATTACTCCGTTGTCAGACCGATATGGAAGAAGGATGGCCATGTTCTTTGGAAGTATTGTCGCTATCATCGGGACCGCTCTCTGTACTGGGGCAATTAACGGTCAGATTATAATGATAGTATGGCCCTAGTCAATGAGGATGCTTACTATTTGGTGTAGCTGGAATGTTTATTGCAGGACGGCTTTTGCTAGGAATTGGCGGTGTTGTAGTAGGAGCAATTGGTCCAGTGAGTCAAAAGAGATGCACGTAGTGGAAGGATTCTGACGTATATCCAGGTCCTCGTGGCTGAGTTAGCATATCCGAGTAAGTTTGGCATGATTATTGGTGGTTTATGAGAGACTCATTAGTGTCCCAGGTCAAAGAGCAACTGCAACAGCCCTATCCAATACTCAATACTCCATGGGTTAGTTTTCCATATCCGAAAGTTAGGACCCAATCACTATTGTACATACTAATTTATTTATAGGTGCGATTGTAGCAGCATGGATAACCTTTGGTAAGACCCTCCAGCAAGTCGGTTAAGCATACTAAGAGTAATTGTGAATAGGTACTTTTCGTCTGAATTCAACATGGTCTTGGCGTATCCCTTCTATATTCCAAGCCTTGCCGTCAGTTTGCCAGGCCATTGTAAGTTGCAAAGAGAAACATACACCTTGTCAATAATATAATTTTAGTTGTGGCAGCTTACAACTATACAACATAAGTAAGCAATACTAACTTTCGTCATTTACTTGTAGGGAATATTTTTTCTGCCCGAAAGCCCTCGTTGGCTGGTGAGTAAAGGACGAGAAGATGCAGCTCTCAGAATCCTCGCGCACTATCATGCCAATGGCGATCGCGAAGACGAAGTCGTGCAATTCGAATATCGGGAGATTGTGGGGACGATCGAGCTAGAGATCTCGGCGAAGCAAACTAAATGGAGCGCGTTATGGAAAGCTAATGGAAACAAGTGGAGAGTTTTCATCATGGTGTGGTTTGGAATCTGCAAGCAATGGTCCGGAAACGGAGTTGTTAGCTACTACCTCCATACGGTAAGAAGGCCAAGGGGAATTCAGCCTGACCGAGTATGACTGATTTGATGTAGATGCTCAACGATGTCGGCATAACCACAACATTAGACCAAACGCTCATCACAGCAACTTCCCAGATGTTCTCCTTCGCCTGTTCAGTTGGGTTTGCTTTTCTTCCCCACCGGGTTGGCCGTAGGCCATTGCTACTTTGGAGCATGGCGCTCATGTGGCTCGTTTTCACCATCATTACAATCCTAACTGGAGTTTTCACGAATACAGGGTCAAAGAGCGCATCGTACGCTTCAGTGGCCTTTATCTATCTTTATAGCGGAGTGCACAACCTGGGTTGGACGGGCGCCATGATGCTTTACGTTGTGGAAATTCTCCCGTATAGCATTAGGGCCAAGGGTATTGCACTCTTTTGGTTCGTTACTGGGGCAGCGGGCGCGTTCAACACGTATGTGAATCCAATCGGATTGAACAGGTTTGGCTACAAGTTTTACTACTTTTACGTCGCCTGGATTGCTGTTGAATTTTTTGTCGTCTATTGGCAGTGCCCTGAAACCAAGGGTACGAGTTTGGAAGATGTGGCACTTATTATCGAGGGCGATAAGGCTACAATCAGCAAGGCAAATCCAGTAGTTGAAGAATTTCCAGAGAAAACTGAGCCTGTCTCTAGGGTTGTAACTGAGCATTCCGGGAAGGTGGATTGAGTGTGCTATGGTGTGGAGTATGAATTCGGCTGAGAGCCCAGATGACTTGAATTGCTCGGTGTCTGGAGACTGAGCATTCGCTCGAAGGCCAGGACGGTGGATTATATAAAATGAAGTGATTTATCTCTTAGGTGGCAGTGCCACTTACTCGTCTCCCCTGGCTGTCCCCTTAGGTTCGAAATTTTTATCCTACTCTCCAGCATAATTTCCACACGTGTATTTCCGTCATTCGTATGCCGAAAAAATTTCCGCTCCACGCAAGTTACCAGCCGTTACTCGTGGAATTTCCAGGATCAACTCCGATTCTAGAACCCCGTCGTGGATCTTGCCAACATCTATTGGGTCCGCTTCTCCGGCGGAATCTCGATATATCTTTTTGGGGGCATCATCCGCCTCTTTCAGCAAATGAAAACTAGAATGGTACTCTTTGCGACAATCCATGTAGGCTCGGCATTTTAGAATGTGGGGTAAAAAGCGGCGGAAGGGAGCTCCCCGTGACATATCCCAATCTGGATAAAGTGTATGCTTAATATCAGGATAATGATACTCAGGCCTCAAACTAACCGAGAGATTATAGGTCTTCTATGCCAAGAATCGTAAGAGTTAGCACATATAGGATATATATAAAGGTATGACACCTACCCTATTGACAACATGACCTGGATATTGCAAGCTTCTCTTACTGTACTGCCCTCTCTCCAAAAATGAAGATTTCCGCGTCAATCTTGGCATTTGCCTCCGTGGCTAGTGCTCATTATGTGTTCCCCTCACTCGTTGCAAATGGTGCTGCAACTTCGGAATGGCAATATGTAAAACAATTTCATATGTTTCTTAATCTTTTGCGGAGCATATTATGTTTCCTCACACCTTGTATATATGCCAAGCATCCTTTCTCCTTCTACTCGACCAACTCCTAATATTAATTGACTGGCAAGTACTGACTCTCGCAACCATCTAGGTCCGTCAATGGACTGGCTATTACAGCAACGGACCAGTGACAGATGTTAATTCTCTCAACATCCGCTGTAACGTTGACGCCTCCACGAAGTCGGCATCAACCCTCACCGTTGCGGCTGGCTCAACCCTGGGCTTCACAGCTAAAGCTAGCATCAGTCATCCGGGACCATTGCAAGTCTATATGGCAAAGGTTCCCTCTGGGAGTACTGCCGCTACCTGGGACGGGAGTGGAAATGTGTGGTTCAAGATTTTCGGACAGGGGCCCAACTTTGGTGGATCTCTGACTTGGCCAACTCAAGGTACTTTTGCCGTTCTCATAATTCCCAAATGTCAAGAGCACAGTTGACTAGTGACGCAGGTGCAACAACTGTATCTTTCAAGATCCCAGCTGCAGTCCCTAGCGGCGAATATCTCGTCCGAGTCGAGCACACTGCCCTACATTCTGCTAGCAGCGCTGGAGGAGCACAGTTCTACATTTCTTGCGGGCAAATCAACGTCACTGGAGGTGGAAATGGTAACCCCACTGGCCTGGTTGCATTCCCTGGCGCGTACAAGGCTACAGATCCCGGATTGATGATCAACATCTATTACCCAGTTGTGAGTTTCTATTTTATTAGCCTCGAACAATAAGGATGGGAGATACTAACATTTCTGTGACTTAGCCAACCTCCTACCAGCTTGCTGGCCCAGCGGTGTGGTCTGGATAAAGAAGAGATATCATGTTGTTGAAGGGGATGGGGAAGTGTGTAGTACAAAATGATGATACCATTTTAGGAAAATTCAATCCCCGTGTGTTTTGTATGTTAATCTAGAGTTATTGCTGCCCCTGTGGTTTTAAGCAGTTTTGAACTAGCACAATACAAGCTGAACTTTTGGAGGAACAAAGCAAAGAAGTTGATTGTGTGGGAATTATGTTTAAAGGCTCAAGTCCCTAAAAAGTCGTGATACGGGGCAAATCACCCAAATACATAGGTAAATAATACGAACTGCTAATACATTAAGGAGTAATTATATGTGAGATTTTAGCTTTAATAGTTAAGCTCTTGACCAACCAGCTTCTCACTCAGCTTCCATAACTTCTCGACGGTCTCAGGGTCGCGTGCATGCTCGTCAAGCTCCACACCCCGGCCATTCGCTAAGTAAAGGGGGGCCTTAGCGGGGAGGTTTGGGTCTAGCACGGCAACAAGAGGCGGGGCGCCGATTTGGGCGAACGTCTTAAACATCGGCTCCTCGAATTCCTAGTCCTTGGCCGTACTATGCTTCGACACCTCCGCAATGCTATTATAATCATCATACGCAATGTGAGCTCTGAGCTGCGTGTCGACGTTGGATCCAGGATGGGCGGCGAACGAGGTGACGCCGCCCAGTGCAGTTAGAATCCTCTGTATAAAATACAATTGGAAGATAGGAAAGTAGTTAAAAACTCCTTGGGATATTTTCTGTATGTACGAAGTACAGTATAACATTTTGCCATGACCATGCGTGACATAAGGATGATATCCCGCCGTCTTGACTACCTAAGGTACCTACCTACCTACCTTAGGTAGGCGCCTAGATGTAAGCCTTCCGGGTTCTCCCACCGGCGTCAATGACGTCATAGCATTCGAGGGTAGAGGCACTACTCTGTAGAGTGTGACTCAATGTCTACAAGATACGACTTATTTGCGATTGGTTCGAATATAATGAATTTTATTTGTTGTTGCAGTCCAATACGCGAATCGCAAAAGGGAGAGACGTCTTGCGAAACGAATAACCCTATTCCATGTCCCGTGGGTTCTATAAAAGCCACACCCATTCCCATCACACCAATTTATAAATTATGACCTTAGTCATTCCAACTTTACACCTACTATTTCCCTAAATTTACAAGCATGTCTTATCCACCACAATCGCCGCTTGCTACTACTCCATACACATTAATAAGGAAGAACCAGTTCCTTACTCTTCAATTTCTACTCGGTCTTCGCCCAAGCCCGCCTTCGGAAACAACAGTCTCCTTTAACGACCTCCCAGGCTCTTCGATCAAAGACGTCGTCTTTGCTTGTATAGATACCGAGTTTACACCAGATGGACGAAAGCTTCGCAACCAGGAATTCCAATTCGGGCTATCTATTTAGACACGAGGGATGTCTTACGTTTCGCGCAGACAAGACTGACCTCGGACCGGAGACGGGCGGATCTCTTAAAAACATACAGCTTCTGCGTTGGCTCCTCTAAATACTGCTCCCTAGTTTCGCAGAAATTCCTCTTTGGGGGGTCAGAACAATGTCGCCTTGACGACATCAAACATCAGGTTGCACAAATACTCCCTGACGATAGGGCTATTGTGCTAGTGACACATCATGGGCAAATGGACTTGAAGTTTGCACAGGAGCTTGAAATAATTATCGAACCTGTTTACGTATTGGATACACAGAAGCTTGCCCAACAGCCACTGCAGCTAACGTCGAGAATCGGCCTAAGAGCGCTCCTGGAAACACATCAGATTCCATTTCAGCATGTCCATGTCGCTGGTAATGATGCGAATTTCACGTTACGCGCTCTTCTTTTACTTGGCTTGCGGGATTTAGAGAGCGATGGAGCTTAGGCAGAGGAAGAGAGGGAGGCACTCGTAACAGCTTTGCGTGCAGTCGCCCTGTGCAGGCGGCCTCGGAGTGCAATTGAAAAAGCGTCCGGTCCAGGGTTCAAGAAGTAATTTGGGTGCTGTACGAAGTAACCAGGAATATATGGTAAGTAGTGACAGAATTCGTACCCCTTGAACAATGACAGTGTTGGGGATGGGATTGACGCTTTAATACTAAGTGCATGCCCATAAGTAATAACAGGTTATACGGAGTAAAACCCGGATGCACAATGGTGCACCAAACCAAACCAAGGCTCAATATCTGGTACCCTTGATTCTTGGCAGGAACCCAGATGAATGCATCAAGCAAACTAAACACGGGAGGGCCAACAAACAACTTGGCAACAAGCCCTCAAAAGCCTCAAAAGCCAGTAACCGATTTAGTCACCAAGCCAAGTGCCGCGTAATCAGAATAAATGCTCTTGGCCCTCGAAACCCCAAACATTATCTTCTAGCAATATATGACCCCTGGTACCGAGTATGCCGCGACAATTATAACGAAGGACTTATTTTCCCTGCACAATTTGCAGATTGGGATCATCCATCCAGCAATTACAGAATCCAATAGGAACAGTTGTACGATGCCCGAAGTACTGATTTTGCAGAGCTGTCAGGTCGGTGCTCCCAATACCGTCCACCTGGTTATACGCCGCATCGTATGCAGGTACGAAGTAAGCTGGACGGGGCATGTCTCAGAACGGACATAAGGCCCTGGTCATGGAAGCATTAAAGCGATGGACCAAATTCCTAGATCCTGGGCGCGCAACTTCCCTGGGAGCCAGCATTCGGGTACCGTCCCTAAGAGACAGTAGTATCGCAAGCTCCCTGTATGTCCACGCGCCATGCCTCTGTCAACCAACGTACGAAGCACAGTGCCTTTAGCCATGCTTTTGACCTTCTCCCAGAGCAGAGCAGCTGTAAGCCCTGGCGATGTGGGGACTTTAAAGTCTGCCACCCCCTCACTTAAAACAATGGCCACCACTCCATCTAATCAGTATCCTTACGGCCCTTACCATTCCCCTCAATGTTTCATTCCGCAGGAATTCTATTGTTGGGCGTTGGCGCCGCAGTTGTTTCTGCTTCTCAGCGATTACGCTCCAGCGCCTTTGGGGTGCCGGGTATCGATGCCTCCTTTGACTATGTGGGTATGTACAACTTGTAAACACTTTGCTTTTCTGTGTGTCGCTAAATTTCTTATAGTCGTTGGAGGCGGCACAGCCGGCTTGACTATAGCTGCCCGTTTAGCGGAAACGGCTTCAGTCGCTGTAATTGAAGCGGGTGGCTTCTACCAGATGGACAATGGAAACCTCTCCGTTGTACCCCGTAACAGCTTAGTACAGGGAGTCATTTCTAACGCAGAAGCTTTTCCACCGCAACCTCTGGTAGACTGGGGGCTAGTTTCCGAACCCCAACCGGGTGCTGGCAACTTGCGTTATCATTATGCCCAAGGGAAGACATTAGGAGGTATTTACTCCCGTTGGCCACCGAGGACAAGGAATATAAACTAATAATATTCGAGTACCACAGGATCATCAGCCCTGAACACGATGGGTTTTCACAGAGGCCCGAAGGGCGCCTATGAACGCTGGGCTGAACTTGTTGGAGACCAGAGCTTCACCTGGGATAACCTACTGCCCTTCTTCAAGAAGTCCTGTAACCTTACCCCACCCGACCTGGAAAAACGACAAGCCGCAAATGCAACGCCGGTGTATGATCCACGTGCTTTCGATAACGCTTTAGGGGGACCCCTTCAAGTTTCATGGGCGAATTGGGTTGATCCAACAGTTATTTGGATTGCCAAGGCTCTGGAACAAATCGGACTTCCAATTAGCCCGACTGGCTTTAACAGTGGTATAATCACTGGCTATAGTGGCTGGGGCACATCAACCATTGACCCAACGCATGCTACAAGGTCTTCCTCGCAGACTTCCTTCCTGGAAAAAGCACTCGACGAGACAGAAATCATTGTCTATCCTAACACCCAAGGAATGAAAGTCCTTTTCGATTCGAGCAAGAAAGCAACTGGAGTCTCAGTCTCAACTGCAGGTCTCGAATATACCATATCCGCAACCAAGGAAGTCATTGTATCTGCGGGGGTATTCCACTCTCCTCAGTTGCTTATGGTATCCGGTAAGTCATCAGGTCTTGACCCCCCGGAAGGTCGAATTGCTCACTTTGAATTAGGTATCGGTCCTCAAGATACATTGCAATCCAATGGCATCACCGTGGTCTCCGATCTCCCAGGTGTTGGCCAGAACCTCTGGGACCCAATATTCATGTTGGTCACTAACCAGGTCAACACACCAAGCGGCCCATCCATCCTGATGGATCCGGCCACTTCAGGACCAGCACTGGCGGACTACCTGGATAATGCATCTGGTCCCTACAGCTCGGCTGGCGGACATTTCTCCTTTGAGAAGATACCGGATAGTATGAGGAACTTCACGAGCTCGACGGCATCAGCACTCGCCGAGTTCCCCGCAGATTGGCCGGAAATAGAGTATGATATCGCCCCATTCCCGGGTCCAGATAACGCAGTGATTGGAGGCATTGGGGCTACTCTCACAACATTGTTCTCCCGTGGAAGCGTATCAATTGCCAGTTCAAGCATGGCAACCCAACCACTTATCGATCTAGGCTGGCTTAGTAATCCAGCAGATGTGGAGATCCTGGTAGCCGCGTTCAAGCGTTGCCGTCAACTGTGGAATACTGATGCTGCCAACTCCATCAAAGTTGGACCCGAACTAGTTCCCGGAGCCACTGTCCAGACGGATGAGGAGATTGCGACATATATCCGGTCGAACTTATACCAAATATTCCACGCTAGCGCTACGTGCGCAATGGGAAAGAGTAGCGACCCGATGGCGGTCCTCGATTCGGGCGCTCGAGTGTATGGAGTTCAGGGGTTGAGAGTTGTGGATGCTTCGTCTTTCCCTTTTGCAATTCCAGGTCATCCGCAAGCGTCCGTCTATATGCTTGCTGAGAAGATCGCGGATGCCATTAAAAAAGGAAACTGAGAGTAGACAATGAGTTTCGATTCTCAATTTCTGGGGTTTGGTATAGAGGGAAACTGGCATGTAAGCCTCTATAACGACCAACTTAGGGTAATTGATTTAGAGGCGTCAAGCGCAGGAGGCGATCTATCATGGGAAATCGCTGGAGTTAATTAGGATAATTAGTTCTCTGTCATAAAGAATTCTTGTTACAATTTCTAAGCTGGCTGGGGTTCTTACCGATTTAACGGCTCCCATCAATCCATTGTTTTCAACCAGCGGAAGTTCAACACTCAAACCAGCCACCGATTGCATTATCTCTGGCCGCTTCCTTGGTGACTGTGCCGTTTGTCCGTTCCCAACAATGGCAACCTCAGACGGCAATCACGGCATGTAGTCCCAAATAAAAAGAAAATACAACGTGGGGCGGAACGGGCCCGGCCCGCAGCCGGGGATGTCGAGGTGGTACTAACCAGTTGACTGCGCCGCTGCAAAATCAACAGGACCCGACACGCCCAATAAAGAGAGATATGGAGAACGATATGGATAGTAATGAGAGATACCGACGATATATGGCGCTGGTGGGATGGAAAGAGAGTAGATTGTTAATAATTGGTGTGGCGAATATTTTTTATATGTATTTCTAGAGCTTCGGGGTCTATTATCTAGGCTGCTCTGTGGGTTTCCCACTTACAGGTCTAATAATGGCATCTATAGCTCACTCTTGATGCTCTTTGCCTGATATGCTTCAACCCATTCCTTAATATCTTGTCTATCGCGGGAAAGCCATGCCTCCTTTGCTTTAATGGCATCGCACGATTGGGCGAGGCTTTGGTTAAAGCCCTTCAGGCTTTTACCATCGAAGAACTTTTCGACCCGCTCGAGATCCGCCTTCTTGGTAAAGCTTGATGTGCAGATTGACACTAGTGTTCCGAGCATAGACAAACCAGCGGGGAATCTTCTCGCCAATTCGTCAAAGTTTTGAGTCATCCACTCATACAAGGCTCCAATGCCTTCTGGATGGGTTCTGAGAGCGCTGAGTGGGAGGTAGACGTCCTGCTCCTTGACTTCTCCGCTGAACGGAAGCTCAAGTGTGCGTTTGATAAGTTCGGGATCCTTGGATCGGCCAAGAGTACGAAGTGCAGTGTTGCGCTCATCAACATTAACGGATTTCCGATACGTATCAAGGATAACCTCGTACTATTGCGAGTTAGCTAGGTCCAGAAATGCAAGGGAATATACTGACCTCTTCCTTGCCACCATACTTCAATGCCATTCCGAAAACGCTCCCTCTGATGTTGGGATGGATTGCTGATTTATCCCCCGCTGCAAACTTCGCAAACATATCCTTGGCGGCCTTCCTGACGGTCGCATCACCAGCCATGCCTGCACTGCCGAAAAGCATGCCTTTGAATTGTTGTTGGATGTGGTCATCACCGTCCTTGAAAACCCAGCCGGCTTTGTGCGCTTTCTCGCTCACAAGATCCCGTTGGAATGTTTCCAGGCCATCTCTGATCTTTTGATCCTCAAAAATCCAAGCACCTTGAATCGCACCAAGTCTGGAGATGATCTCATTCCATACCACGAATTCTGTCTCGCTGTCAAACCCCTTCAGTAGGTTGAGAACTCCAGAAGTCTTTTGGTATCCACAGGCCGCAAGGGCCCCCGCATCGGCGATCATGCCGGTACGGTCCTCGACACTTAATAATCCGTCCCTCGCTGCTTGGCCAAGCTTCTCAAGACGCTTTGGTGTGTACGAGGTACGGTATATACCACTGTGATCGGCGTTGAGCTTGAAGAAGTCTAGACTTGGAATCTTGAAGTTATCCTCTCGCTTTGAGAGAACAAGCTCCTCATTGACACCGTCCTTGGTGCGGAGGCCCAAAAAGACTGGGTAGAGTACTTGATCCTCTTCTGGCTTCACATCCGCAGTGCGAAGGAGTCGATTCTGCTTGACGTGAATAGTGTTGTCCTTCTCATTCTCCGTAACAGAAACAACGGGATATCCAACGTGCTTGGTCCAGATGTCCATGGTCTCCACCACATTCTTTCCACTTGCTTGGCTAAGCGCAGCCCAGAGGTCTCCCGTTTGGGTGTTTCCGTATGCATGCTTCTTCAAATATTGACGGATACCCTCCATAAAGGCATCCTCACCAAGGTACTTCGAGATCATTCGAAGAACGCAGGAGCCCTTTGAGTAAGATATCGCATCAAAGATTTGATTCACTTCCTCCGCTTTCTTTACTGGGACCTCGATGGGATGACTGCTGCGTAGGGAATCTAGGGACAGCGCGCCTTGAAGGGTATCGGTGACATAGCTTTGCCACACTTTCCACTCGGGGTAGAAAATGTTGCATGAATACCAGGACATCCAGGTTGCGAATCCTTCGTTGAGCCAGAGACCATCCCAGAAGTCCATAGTTACCAAGTTGCCAAACCATTGATGAGCAAGCTCGTGTTGAACCACCTCGGCCACTCTTTCTTTGGTCGAAGCGCCGCTGGTCTTCTCGTCGAACAAGACATCAACTACGCGGTAAGTAATAAGACCCCAATTCTCCATGGCCCCGGCAGCAAAATCAGGGATTGCTACCATGTCCATTTTGGGAAGCGGGAATGGGCTATCGAACGTCTTCTCATAAAACTCGAGAGTCCGGGCAGCAAGTTCCAGGGAGAAGCGGCCATGCTCAATGTCTTGATTAGGAGGCGCATAGACTCTGACAGGAAGCCTGAATTTATCCGTTTCGATATAGTTGAGTTCACCGACAATGAATGCGACCAGATAGGTGGACATGCGTGGGGACCTGTTGAATTTGACAATCTTCTTCGTGGTTCCACTCATCTCTGACTGAACATCCGCCTCCGAGGCCACGTCCATGTTGCTTAGACATGTAAGTTTCTTATCCGCAATCAAGCTGATTGTGAATTCGGCTTTTAGAGAGGGCTCATCAAAGCAGGGGAAGGCTCGGCGAGCATCGGTAGGTTCCATCTGGGTGGTAGCTAGCACTCCTTGGCTGCCGTCGGTATTCTTGTAGGTTGAGCGGTAAAACCCAGCCATCTTGTCATTGAGCTGGCCGGTGAACTTCATCTCAAGCTGTGCTTTGGATCCCTTTTTAAGGCTGTTCTCGAATGTGATTTTCGTGGTTTGGCTGGACTCATCATAAGAGAGACTAGGGGATGAGCTACACCAGATCCAACAAGTCAGTAATGCCCTTAACCATTAAAACTCGCAGCCAACTACTAACCTGATAGTTTGTGACCCGGAGATAATCTTCGTGCTATGAATATCAAGTTCCAAAGTATTCAGTGAAATAGAAGTAGAGTCCTCGGCAACATCCAAGTCGACAATGACCGTGCCTTCATAGGTAAACTTCTTGAAGTCCGGCTCAACAGTGAGGTCATAGTGCGTTGGAACGACGTTGGCAGGCAAGATCTCTCTGCCTTTCGTGATGTCCATTCCGGCGGCATCGGCCTCGGTTCCTCCGTGAAGTTTGCACATATTGTGTCGTCTGTAGGAGCAGTGTCGAATTGAGGTAGCTATAGAAGGCGGGAGCTTGAACTGATCTGATATGCGAGGTTGGCAGAAGGCAGGCCGGACACTGAGGTTTTAAGTTAGCCAATGGAATGCAACTTGCAAAAGGGTCAAAGGGAACAATATCAAGAGCTCTCTGGTTAGCCCAGCCAAATGCAGCAGGGCTAAGACAAAGACGGGCAATCCAAACCGCAAGAGACGTACGCAGTGTTCCGCAAGAAGCTAAAAGATTTCGAAGCCGGGGAAAACGAGCTACTGAAAGCTCTTCTTTCTATGGACGAAGGGACCGCAGAGACAGCGGGACGTAAGAATGTCGAAGAGAAGATCGTGGCATCGATCACGGTGGTTAGGGCACGCATTGATAACGAGGAATGAGGGGCCATAGAGAGGGAGCCCTTAAAGGAAGGCGGAGGCACGTCTGGAGCTACTGCGAGTTGGCATGACGAAGCCCTGAAGTGCCTGAATCAAGACCGCCAGATTGGCTGGGCGAGCCTGAGGCCTGAGGCCTGGGCTTGGGCACTGGGCGGTGAGAGCGGAGCTCGACCGGAGTGATAAAAGTCGGGATTTTCTGCGCGGGGATTTTTGTTCCCTTTACAAAACCAGCAACATCAGTCCTTCCAGCGCCGTTCGAACTCCCGACGACGTGTTGGCGTTCTCCAAATTGTTATTTCATTTGGACGTTGCAAGAGGATATTATACCGCAAGTTTGAGGCGACCAATAGCTTTCGAGCCCTGATTGGAAGTCATAGGAAGTCGGCACATTACTACATTATTTTTTTCAATTTGCTGCGAATAGAAAAAGGAAGCGCTTCTGTGAACCCTGGATGGAGGAGGCTGCATTGCCAGACCTTATGCTTATGTCTTCTGGAATTTTACTATATTGGGGATTTCTTGTGCCGGTCCGTTTGACACAACACATCTAGAGTGATCAAAGCCTCCCAAGGTAATGCATGCTGCATGACCCGGATGTGAACACCAACGCCTTGCTAAAAGAATACCTTGTCTACCCATTCCGCATATCTCCAGTAGTCTCAGGCCCAGCCCCAGCCTGGCCATCATCTTCAATGACACCAAAGAGCACCTTCAGCCAAAGACTGCAGCCTCTGCAGCCCACATGGAGCTCACCGTCATCAGCAGCTTCTTCCAAGTCGTCCTCCGTAACTAAGAACCCACGTCCATCCCCGCATCTGCAGCTTCTATACCATATCCCTTGTGCCTCATCAGCCTCTAAATCATCAAGATCCAGCGTCTCAACCCCGGTATGGAACGCCTGTCTTCCCTGTACCCCTCCAATGTTTGTAGAGCCATTTTGCAACTTCAGCTCCTTGTTGTATTCCGCCCGCGCTCTGGGAATCGATAGGACATTGAAGGCTTCGGCTATTTGATCGATCGTATACACGGATCCCTTTGTGTTCACCGAAGGTTTTGCGAGCGGGGTCTTGTCTGGGTGGTTCTGGAGGAGTGCCCTTCGGTAGGCGCTTCGCAGAGTCTGCGTCGGGATATCTGATTCATGTTGGAAGTCCTTAGGGAGACCAAGAATTTCGTAGTAGTTTGGCATGTAAGTCATCGATCCATCTGGAGCAGATGTAGGTGAACAGGCGCTTGCTTGACAGCAGATGAGGTGGGGTCGACGAGCTTGAATTTTTGGAAAGAGCACTTTGAGATATTTGTGCCTGAGGCATCGAAAGACTACCCCTTCACTGGAGGCCATTAAGGTTGGAGGTTTATTCACGTATGCAAAAACTTATGGAATTAATACCTACCTAAGGTAGGGAGGTCCTCAATTCAGATCTCAAAACCTTCGATTTCCACCAAAATGGGTATATAAATATTATAGGTGTGATACAGATCATAGATATATATCATATCGTTGCTCATAAATATACCCTCATAAGCCCAACCAAATATAATGGAAAAGGAAATAGACCAGAACCCGCAAAAGTTAAACGTCCTCCTCATCTGGTTTTCGCCCGTACACCACGACGCTTCCTCGACGGTTAGCAATTGTTAACTGCCCAATGAGAACAAATATAAAAGCACTTACATTGGAAGATAACCATGGATACTCTTATTATGAAGATCCTTCCTGGCCTCCGTAGTAAGTTTCAACACCTCATCCATCGTCATACCACCTGCTCTCGTTAAAACGGCCATTGAAAGACCTTCCAAGCCGCGCAGCAGATCCTCTTGCCAATAGCGGCCTAGAGTCTTCATCCTCTCGCCCTTCGGCCAAGTGTTCAAGGGCCATTGGAAATGCGTCTCCACCACATCAACAAACCCAGCCTCTTCAAAATACTGAACATAGTTGCCAACCAGCTTCCAGTTTTTCCCCATGCTTTCGGCTGCATTGATTGTTCTAGTCTGCCAGTCGTTGATTGCGGTTCCTTGCAGGGTGTCGTCAATCGCGCGCATTGGCAATACTATATCTTGAAATTCCAGATAGCCACCCGGAGTAAGTGCTTTGAATGCAGAGGCTATCACTGTGGCGGGTTCTTTGAAGCAGGTTACCAAAGCACGTCCGTGTATTAAATCGAACGGTTGTGAATAATTCCAGTCGTCTTCGGCGTCGTCGACCTCAAATTGACAGTTTGATGGTACACTGAGTAAAGTATTGGATTAGGTTCATCAATATGCTTTGGGCGAGGTTACCCACTATTCTGGTTGTATGGGACTTAGATCGCTCCCGGTCACGCGCGCCGACGGATGACTATTGGCTAATAGATATTAGAAAACCAGATCACGTATGTGTATGTCGCCAGGCATGGAGCGGATACCAAACTCAATAGCCCATATTCCTGTCCCCGTACCTAGGTAATATTAGCTGGCTTATAGTTATACAGTTTAATGGCAATGTTTTCCGTACCGATATCTAAGACATTGTGCGGGTTACAGATAGGCGCAAGGTATAACTTGCCATACAGCGTGATCAACCACAGCTGGTGTTGGAGATCTGTTTAGGGGCTTTAGCGGCTTTAGTTTTGAAGTGTCCTGGGGGCTCTACCGAGTCTATCCATCTCTTCCTGTCAACATATTAGAAATTTGTTTTGGGTCGAAGCATAGATGACTGACCGCGTCATTCGGCAACATATATTCTACTATTGCATCAGCACCAAGCGCTTCTTGAAACACAGCACTTGTGACATACTGCCTTCTTTATACCGGTGGTAAGTGCGCCCATTCTCCTCGACGAACTCATAGATGCTCGAATTTAACGACATCGTCGAGGTCCTACTGACATTCAGCGCCACAACAAAGAAATACTGGGCTAGGGGAAGTACATCGGGGTCATGCCTCCGATGGCACTATCATGATCTTCATAATCAACCTAGAAGTATTCGTAAAGCTATTCCTGGGCATCCGGATTTCATGGACTCACATTGAGGTGTTGAAAGGCACTCTCATCGGCGCTTGTATTGCTAGTGCCCGATACGGTGGAGTTGCCTGCAGTCGGCGTCCTGTCTACCACATCATGGCCCACTTCAGGAACCGTGGCCGCAGAGGGTTCGCTCCTTGCATTCTGGCTATCGTTACTCGCCATATTGTGCTGAGCAGAGGTTTTGAACTTTTGTCTGACGTCCAGATGCCGCCATCGCGAAGAGGCGTACGGAGGCAAGGGACCAACGGTCAGCAGATCTCCGACGCCATTGCGCGTTTCAAGAAAGGCTCAATGATTTTTCGACCGGAGCTCCCACGCTGCGGCCGAGAGGCGTCCAATATCTGAGCCCGTCGGAAGTCTAGCCAACGATGGGCGTTCCGCATGCAGCGTTACTGGCGGGAGAGTTTTTTGGGGCGTTAGGGGGGTGGGCTCGATGGGGATACTCCGTATCCAACTTAATATTCGAAGGGTTTTGATGTTGTTCTATCCGTAAATAAAGCATTATTGAGCCTTAGAACTCTCTAGTCTCGCCCAGGAAAGGCCATGCGCGTGGTTCTGGCATCCTCGGATCCACGCGGGGAACGCAAATAGCCTGCGTAGCGACCAGTGCACGACAGCAGTCCCACGTTTACCCACCGACCTTAATATCAGCCACTGCATTCAGAGCCAATCAGGAGGACGATGCCGGATAATGTAACATCCGTTCAGTGGTCACCCCCACTCACTCAACACATCATATATAGACTGCTTCTGCTTTTTAATAAACTTTCATTGTTCGGTGCGACAGTTTAATTAGTACTATTGCCAGAGGTTACTGTATAATATTATCAAAATACTACCGCGAGAAGATAGCGTCCCTTTTGCCATTTTCGCATTGATAGTTGAGCAGTTAGATAACTAGAGTGGAGGACGTAAATGAAACGTCGAGACAGGAACGAATCAGATCTATTCGAGAGATGGAAGTCCTATAGTTGGCTAAACTCTTTTGCCATTTTGAGGGCCGAAGCAATTTATTTATATTTTAAATACCTCTCCAGGAGTCGAATCGGATTCCTCTTTTTCATGCGTTTTGTTTTGGCTCTTTTAGCGAAGGTTAGATATAGGTAATCACCACCGCCGAGGTCACCGCCTGTAGGCGGTGACAAACTGCCTAGCTATAACTCCTAACCGACCTCTGACATATAATACCAAATAAGCGATTTGTTCTTTCGAGGGGTACAAGGGCGGCCACTTGGTTGAGTGGTTCAGGACGAATTGTACTTTCGAGGTCGACAGGGATTAGGGTACGTAGGCACAGGCCCCAAAAAAAAGGGGGACGTTAAAATAACGACAAAAATAACGATCAAAAACACGACCAAAAAAAAACGAAACAAATACGATAAAAACGATCAAAAAAACGAAACAAAAACGAAACAGATCTTATCCGGCAGAGATGTAGGCCCTACAGCGACGGGGCCGAACTCTTTTGCTATTTTAATCCTTGATCTTAAAGAATTAGATTAATTTTTTTAAGATCGCTTTTTGATGTTGCTTTTGTTTTGATTCCTGTATAAAGTGAGAGGTCGCGCGGTCAAGCGAGGGTGTGTGAGAGAGAGAGAGAGAGAGAGAGCCGTGTCCTTAGTCCAGCAAATATCGCCAGAACTCTAGAACTCATGGAGTCATCAAAAGGTCTGAATTGCGAGGAGTAAGAAACACGAAATACGTATTGGAAGCACCGGCCGCATGGAGACTGTATGCAAGCTAGTTAAGTGCTTACATTTTCAAATCACAACATCGTCGGACTACATCTACCTAGCTCACATCTTTGGAGGGGCTGCCTAATGATATCACTTGGCTGCATATCGAGTCGACCATGGGATGGAGGGGAAGGATGATTGCGATCCGAATAAGGATGCGGGGTACATATTCTTCTTCGACCCACAGGGGAGCCGCTACGATAACTAAAGTGCTTAGTTCGCGGGGCCCCGCAGATCAGGTCTATTGAGAAAGTATCACCAAGCAGCGTCAACGTTACCGAGACTTGCTGGGTTTATAATCCGGAGCCGGGGTTTGGAGGAGTCTGATAAAATAGTTTCAGGCTTCACGTGGCAGTGTATGGTATGGTAGCACCTACTAGGGAGTGGACAAGGTGTAATGCTTCGCTGGTATCCTATGACCACTGGGGTCGTTGATTTTGCATTCGCATTTAATATCTCCCGAAGACTCTGTTTTCTACCATCAGGTTTCGGGTATGCCGCTTTTCGCACATACCCGGAAGCAAGTAGATAGATTAGACCTACCTGTACTTCGTCCGGAAATGCTTTTTTTTTCCAGGAAGAAGAAGCCAAACGGGTTATCGTCGTCGAGACCAGGAGGGCCCGACTATTTTCGTAGTTCCGCTAGCCACATGCCTCCAGGAAGGGCCCTGCCTATACTTGATCCTCACTTGTAAATTTTGGAAGGCAATGTTTTCTTGAGATCGGGGATTATTCGTCGAGGACGGAAGGAGGTTCGAAGGTCAGCATGATTGCGTTTAGCGGTATTGGTTGCTCGGGCGAGGCGAGTCTCTCGGTACAGCAGGTACTCGGTACATAAGTATTCTTTTTACCTACGACTATGACAGCACCTGGCCGCCACGTTCCCCCCCCAATAAATAAATATAAAGTATTGCATTAGCGTGACCCGGAGCAAGCAAAAAGATTTGAATGCTTTGCAAGTTTGCGCAAATTGTCATTGGCCGGTATAGATGGCGGGTAAAGTCGGGTGGTGCTGGTACTTCGTTCTTTCGTAAAAGTCGGTGCTTGGCCACGCTCGAGCAGGAAGAAAAGAGGTTTCTCCTCTTTGTCGGCGATAATTGAACGGCCGTGGCTGGCGGTGGTGGTCAGCGTTGGTTCAGCGTTGGTTCAGCGTGGTCAGCAAGCGCAGGTACCCGGATGGCCTACCGTGAGAGGCGTCGCTGCCTCCGTATTGTCGGCTCATGCTCAGATCCTTAAGCCCTTCTCGCTGATCGCTGGCTCGAGTCTTAGCAAAGTCGTACGGGCACGGGAACGCCTCGTACCATTGTACCACGTCAGGTTGGTGGTTTATTGCGTGACGACGCCGAGAAAAATCACTTTGCATGGCCGCGGGGAACGGACTGGGCATGGGCTGCAAAACCCGGCAGACCTGAGGGATCCAAGGAGTCCAAGAGTCCAATCCAATAATACGGCAGCTGTAGCGGTTCTTCCTTGCTCGAGTATATTTTTGGGTGGTTTTAATTATTGTTGTTGCATGTACTGGGTGGTACTGGTGCTGCTGGGGGGGTACGGAAAGGGGTGCGGAGGACTACGGAGGACTACGGAGGAGGTACGTACCTAAAGAAAAACAGAGACGCCCGCTCTTGTCTAGACTCCAGACTCTAGACTCGAGACTCCCTAGTGCTGATCATCGGGGTTCCGGAAAGAGGATTAGGGGTCCCTCGGAAATTTCTCGGTACCCCGCCACCGTGGAGTCGCAGAGACTGCAGCGTGCAGAGTAGTGCAGAGTACTATGTACTATGTACTATGTACAGTACTATGTACACTACTGCTGTGTACAGTGCAGCGTGCCCAGGTAGGGTATGTACCTAGGTACCCACGTCGTGTGGAGGTACATGTACATGTACATATCCGTCCAAGTGGATACGGTATAGGCACATACATGGACTCCACCGGGACCGTAGTACGAAGTTACTAGAGAGCGACAGCACCCGCTCTCCTCCACCAAGCTTAACCACACGACTGGACGACTGGCGGTACATGTGATGCGGCTCCGTCGCATCACATATGGATGACCACACATCGCCAGCACTTCCGCACGACAGCAGCCACACCAAGCACCACCGATCGACGGCCACCGCAAGCCTCACCACCACCCGCGGCCACAGGGCCCTCCGATCTAATCTAATCTAATCTTTCCCCTGCGCCACCTCTCTCCGATGCCGACGCTTACGGGCGCTGCTGGCCACTCAGCGGGCCAGCAAAAGCGACCAAACTCTGCACCATGCCACAGCACCCGTGGTTTCCGGCATTCTCTGCCAGTCTCTGGATTCCTATGTGTCATAGTCTCCGCAGACCAACGATGCTGCATGGTAACCGAAAAGCCCCCTACGACCCATTACGTGAACAGTCAGCAGAAAAAGTTTCCTGCGTCGTACCAGTCGTATAGTAGCAGCACAGTAGCACAGTAGTACGACGTTGGAGTTGGATGTCACGCCCTCCCGCCCACATTGTCGCCATCCATCCCATCCCATCCCGATCACAACGACGCCGCCAAGCTGGAAAAAGCTTCGCTTCTGCGGATATGGCAGCAGAGGTAAAGAGGGCCCCATGTTGCCCTTCATCACTATTTACCTGCTGGGCTCCTCTTCCTGCTTGCCGTAGCCGGCTGGCATCCGCCTGAGCCCCGGAGATACAACATCCTCCTCATCTGTCACCCCGTCTAGCGTCCCCACCCCCCGCCGTTTGCTCGTCGTTCGCCGTTCGCCGTGTTGTTCGTTTCTTCGGTGGCGGCTTCTGGGTTCCGTCCTATAAGCCTACCTAGGTATATAAGTGTACGGAGTAATAAGTAAATGGGCGTTGGCGGACCCCGAAGCGAAGAGTGAGAGTTATGTTATCAGGTTCTGCCATGCCATGTGCTGCCGACTCACGTACTCACCAGTCTCACGTATTTCTTTGCTTGCTTGCTTGCGGTCACACTCGAAAAAGGACTGAACACTCATAAATAAAAAAAGGGGGGCCATCGGGACACGCGGGGAATGCGCCCAGCAGCATCTCTGGGAGCAGCATCAATGAGCGGCGCGGCCTTTGATTTCGATGTAGACGACTACATCAACCGTTTCGTGCCTCGCTCAAGGCTCTACCTCCTTCCCACGCCCGTCTCATGGCTGCTGGGCTACCGGGCGAAGCCCAGCCCTCGCCCGCCCATTGGGAGTCTGCTGGTCTGGTGCTGGTCCTGTCTCGGCGCCTTCTGTGGGCTCATGGTGGTTGAAGCAGTATTTCGCACCAAGGCCATACAGTTCCATGGCGTGCCCGTGGTCATTGCAAGCTTTGTAGGAATTCCCTTCTTCTCTTTTGCTCATCTGTCCCTTCTCACCTTTTCATTGATCATGTATGTCCTGGAAAACTAACCACATACACCCCGTCCTCAGGGAGCAACCGCCATCCTGGAATACCACACCATCGATTCCCCCCTCGCCCAGCCGCGCAATGTCATCCTCGGCCAGACCTTCGCCGCCATCATCGGCGTCAGCATCACCAAGCTCTTCCACCTGAACGCGAATTTCGAAGAATTGCGCTGGATCGCGGGCGCCCTCGCCGTGGGGATATCTTCTGCGTTCATGGGCCTGACCAAGACCGTTCACCCACCCGCCGGCGCCACAGCCCTTCTCGCGGCCACCACGCCAGATATTACCGTCCTGGGCTGGATGCTGGTACCTCTGGTCCTCCTCGGAAGCACCCTGATGGTGGCAGTTGCCTGCGTGCTGAACAACATCCAGAGACAGTTCCCTACATACTGGTGGACTCCCCTAGACCTCGGCACCGCCCGCCCCAACGACACTATTGAGGAGCTAGAGGGCGTGAGGAGCAACGGACACGGCGACATCTACTGCACTCATGACAAGGCATCTCTCATGATTAACGATGTGGGTATTTTCGTTCCCGAGTGGCTTTCTTTGGGTACGGAGGAGAGAGCAGTCTTGGAGATTCTACGATCGAGACTGAAGCACCAGCCACGGCCGTCTACCAGTAGCGATACCGATGGAGGCGTGCGATGACCTACGTTGAACGATTTATTATACCAGCAAACCCCCGGCCCGCTCCGCCCTACCTAGGTGCATGTCACGCCGCGCCTCTCACGTGCCGCCCCTCGGTGCGAGGACGAGAGATCAAGACCACCACCGTCTGTGGTACCACACAGCAAGATGCTGTGTGTCGAATGGCCCAGAATGAGCCAAGGGCTAGAATTATAGATTTCTACAAAAAGTAGTATCCATTCTGCATTGTTTATATAAAACAAACTGAGCAAGCAGATAAAAACATCCACCAACCAGGATGAGAGATAAAATAAATATAAACTCATTCACAAGAACCCTACTACCCTACTATTACGATTAACTAATATTATATTACAACACATACCCTCCATATCCATATCCACCCATTATCACCCTCCTAATATTTTTTATTTTCAAACCCCCCTAAATCAACATCACTAGTCCCATCACCCCCACCACCAAGACCAACCCGCCAACTCCCTCTGCCCTCCCTCTTCCAGCCGCACCCGTAAGCAGCACCTGGGGCACGGTATCACCCGTCGTCGGTGGAGGAGTACCACTAGCAGTAGCACCACCAGCAACGCCTGCAACCCACACAGTAGAGTTCCCCGCCGCCGTAAGCTGAGGCGTCACGCCCGTCCGCGTGGGACGAACACAAGCTGTCGACGAAGGCATAGCACCCGATACCGCATTCGCGTTCGCCTCATTTTGCACGAGCCCCTGTCCCGACGTTTGGAAGACAGACGTTGACGCGGAGCTGGAAATTTCCGAGACGCTGACGGTAGCAGTGGAGAAGGATGATAGTGTTGTTGTGGTGGAGAACGACGATGGGATTGCCGTTACCTCATGGATCAAGGCGATGCTGGATGGAGCGGCGGGGTAGGAGGGGGGATAGGAGGGGGGGTAGGAGGGGGTATTAGGCTCGGGAAGTGAGACCCCAACTCCAACCCCAACTCCAACTTCAATTCCAAGTGTGAAATTCAAGCGTAGGGCGCAGGCTAGTGAAGTTTCATCCTGCGGGGTACACAATGTCAGATCCACGATATCTTGCTTAAGTAGGTAAGGGGAGGAAGAAGCGAGCGAAGGGTGAGTGGAAGGACGTACAACGTGGCAGCAAAACCCCGCAACAGGTGCGCACACCTCACCTAAGTTGCAGTACCCGTTGTCATGTGGGCAACACGTCTATTTTGCAAGCTTTAAGTTAGCTCTTGTTGGCGAGAGGGGGGAGGAGAGTGACGAACCTGGCCCTGCGTGGGATCAAAGCAAGAATGGCTGGTGAGCGGATCACCGCAGATGGTTGATCCTCCGCCGTAGGTATTTGGGCAGGATTGGTAGCCCCGTTTGAGAGTTGGGTCGGGGAGCGGGCTGTGGAGGGTGTAGTCTGCGAGGGCGAGGTTGGCGAGGCAGAGCACTGCGAGACTGGGGATGGTGAAGGTTTTCATTGTGGTGGATATGGTGGAGAGAGCGGGTGAGGATATTGGAGATGGAGATTATATGAGGGGTGGTTGGTAATGAATTGTGCAGGAGAGATATATTAGGGATGGAGAGTTTGTGAGTTGAAAGTATGAACTGATGAATATCTCAAAGATGTTTGTTTAATTTTAATTTATGAAATTTCCATGCGAACAACGTACGAATATATAAACTTCAATATCTATACAAAAAAGGAAAAAAAGGGGGCTACAGGTCGCATTCGGCCAGCCAGGCTGATAACCCCCTCCCGCTGTATAATTGACCGCGAAGAGTAAGGGGGAGAGAGCGAAAGGGGGAGGGTAAAACATATATTGACAGCCCTGCTGCATCTCTATATATTGCCCTTGGCTGGGAAAGGAAATCGGGGTGTACAGTTGGGTTTAGGACGCGTGGCGGTCCTGTGTGTGAATAATCAAGGGAGGGAGGGAGATAGGGAGATGGTGGTGATAGTAGTTGTCTTAGATAGTTTATCTATGTCTTAGATGATGTGGTGTCTTTGAACGGCTTTATTTATGTCTTAGATAGCCCTGCGCCTACCTAGCTCTCGCACTTCAGAAAATAGCTTGGCACCTTGCTTGCTTCAATAGTCTAAAGGTTTTAAGTGGAAGAAAATGATGTATAAGAAAGCCATTGAGACATAGAGGGATCTAGGCCCATGACGGATAACTCGGCATAGTAAAGCTTGAATTTCTCTGGCTGGAGATGCATGGAATCAATGAATGAGCTTCAACAAATCACATCACAATTTCCTCAATAGTGGTGGTCTTCGATTCCACAGTTATATACAGTTTTGAGTTTGGAAAAAAAAAGAATATTCATCGAATATGAAGTATGTACTGTTAAGGGGCGACCCGCAGGGCCGACGACCTTCTCTAATGTAATGTGCAATGGTACTATCATCGCTATGCTATGTCGCGTCAAGTCATGATTCTCATCCAAACCAGACTCTATCCTATGCGTCTAGAAAATCTATCAAAAAACCGTGCACCCGTTTTCAGCTCTTGCAAAGGCGAAAGCAAAAAACTGTTGCATGGCCATATAATGAAAAAGGATGCCGCCCAGAACAGCGAGATGCCACAGGTTGTGGCTCCCCCCAAAGTAATCAAAAGCACCGGGGAACCATCGTTCTGGCACCTTGCTCGCGTAGACTAAGGCGCCGACCAGGTAGACCGTGACGCTTTTTGTGATGGGAGCATAGAATTCCCAAGCCCAGTCCGCACCGCGTGTGAGACTGAGTTGTGCTATAGGCGCAAAACCTGTCGCTGCCAAGGTCACGTAGAATGCTACACGAGCCCAAGCTAGATCAGAGCGGTTGAACGTTGGATGCCACGGGAGGATAACTCCACCAACTCCAAGGGTGGCAGTGGCTGCCATGTATATACACCGGCTGATCGGTTCACAATAGAAAGCCGTGTACTCTGTTGTCATGATCGAAGCAGCGATCAGGAGTGAAATTCCCGTATAATCCACGCACGCGAATCGTTCCAGGAGCGTTTGGTCGGCCACGCTATTCATGGTATGCCACATTGTGCTACAGACGAGGCATTTGCAGGCGGCGAAGAAGAAGACCGCCGCGATGAATACGTCGGTTTTGGTGCTAACTGAGAAATTGACGCTCGTGGGATAGAAGTAGAATGCGATAGCCAGGACTATCATGAGGCCTATTGCGTGAGACCAGATGTTAACTGACTCATTCGAGATTCCAAATATAGACCGTACGCATTCAATCTTTGAATCCGAAAACCGATAGCCTCTGACGATGTGCGGGTTGACTCTCCAGGGGATGGGGAGGTCCTCGTATTTGATGAGGCCGTGCTCCCGAGCCCTCGCAATGGCGGCCTCAATATGTTCCTCCAGAGACTCGGTGGCCTTGATGGCCCTCTCGATCCCTTCATCGATCACCTCACGCGCGCGCTCGAAGCTCCCATCGACAACCTTTCGGCCCTCGTCCATAAGACTCCCAGCGGCGCTAGCAAAGCCTTGTTCGCGCATCTTGAGAGCTTTGGCCTCGAAGTCCGAGAGCATTTTCTCCAGAAGAAAGATACCCTCGTGTACCTTCTCGTTCAACGTCTCCTTGGCGGCCATGGCGTCCTGATATCGGGATTCCACCGTCTCGACCATGACCTTTGCCCTCCGTCTTCCAGCACCTATCATCTCTCCAGATACTTGCGAGCATCTCGCTCGCACTGCATTTAATGTCGCATAAGCCCGTGATATGCTTGAATCGAAACACATATGCTCGTAACTTTCTAGGAAGTCTAATCGTCGTTCTAATTCGGATAGGAACATATCGACCTTGGGCGCAGTTAGCATTGTGTGGGCTGCAGGGTTATTGCAAGCCAGTATAAGCATACCTTTAACAGCAGCCCCTCTTCCCCCTCCATTGCGGTCTCTAAGAAACTCTTTCGCCGGGGATGGAATGACGAATGTCTCCGGCGATACGCCGGATTGGGACTTGGACAGTCTGCGCCGCTGGCGTTCGCTGTAGCAATATCATCGCAACTGTCCACCGCTAAAGAGGGTCGATTCGTGCACGGCATTGTGCACCAAGGTATCTATCGATTGAGCGGTTCAATGGGCGGCGCCGTCATATAATGCGACCAAAGTGGGGTTTCCAGAGGCGCGTCTTCCAAGAGGTTTCCCCGAGGGGGCGGAATTATCGGGGATGAAGTATTTATTCTATAGGCGTGGATCGCTGATGACTGTGAGCTACATGGCGTGGTATAAAGGAGAGCAATTCTGTCGAGCATTAATATAATGTCGCCACGAGGAGTTGTATGAAAAGAAGATGGATCTTGAATACAGAATTGCGGGTGATGTTGGGGCCGCTTTTGTTGAGGCGCCGCCCCTCCCGCAACGCTCGGCGCTCGGCTGCTTAGCCAAGTGAGGATATTTAGCAAAAAGGAGAAGTACGAGTACGGAGTGGCGAGACGAACCTCGGGATTATCCTTATTGCCATAGAATCTGAGAATCTGCCTTTCTTTAAGCTGCAAATCTGAGTTGCCGTGGTTTACTAACCTTCTCTCATCAAATCTTGTCCCATTTTCAACTGCTGACGTGGTCATTGTAGAATTGATTCATCGCCACGTGAAGAAAGAAACGCCGGAATCACTTACGGGTCAATTTGCTCTTGGTAGGTGACCCCTCATTTTCATTTTAAGGTTCTTGAATTAGGTATAGTATGGAATTAGTTTATAATTGTATTTCCCCCCACAACCCGAAACGCCGAGTTATGCTGTCGATCCTTCCATTCCTTCCTTACAAATAATATACAATACCTTATTCATTATCCCTCCTCTCCCATTGAACCACAGCGGGCGCCATTGGCCGCGAGAATAAACTTGAATAATCGGTAGCAACCACGTCCTTGTTCCCATCGACATTCCGGAGCTTGAGATGACGGACTATCGTGGCCATAATCGTTACGAGCTGTACAGTCGCAAACTGCTCACCAATGCACCGATGTCTGCCAGCGCCGAATGGTAGGTATGGACTCTTGGCTCCTTTGCTGATAAGGCCATAGCCGTAATCGAACTTCTCCTCCTCAACATCGGTCGCAACCACTCCGCTTGAGCCATCATCCCAGCGATGAGGATCCCACATAAGAGGATTGGGGAAGTAGTCGGAGTCGCGGCTTGTAACACCAGGGGATGCGAGAAGCACGTGGGAGGTAGGGATGACAAATTTGGTTCCGGCAACTGGCATTGGCGTCTTGACTTTCCGCATGATCGAGTGGATGGGAGTGTGCAGTCGCAGCACTTCCTTCAGCACATTATTATGAAGAGTAAGCTTCGAGAGGTCTTCGTATCTGAGAGGCGGGAGATCCGGCCCAAGTTCCCGGATCTGCTCTTGATAGAGTTCCTCCATAATATCTGGTCGAGAAGCGAGACGGAGCATGATCCAGGAGCTTGACGATGACGATGAATGTTGGCCAGCCATGAGAAGTGCAATCATCATGTGTGCGATTTCCTTATCCGGGACAGGAGTGCCATCCTTGTAGGTCGAGCGCATCAACTGCCACATAATATCGCTCTTCTCCTTTTCGTTTCCAGCACGTCGGTGTGCGATAATCTCCATGTAGGTCTTCGCAACAGTTTGTTGAGCATGATCGCGAGCGCGGTTGTGAGGGAGAGGAGCCCAGTGAAGCATGAAGTTGATTGGGCTGAATCCCATGTCAAGGTCGTGGTAAAGGGCGGCAAATGAAGAGTCGAATCGATCCCTGACCTCCTTGCCTTGAAGAGAATGCGATGCGGTATATATGGTAATCTCTGCCATGCTGTTTGGGATATTGGCAGTTCCTTTTTGGCCTTTGAATTCGGATGATCGCTTTAGGTATGTTTCGACTTCACCTTGAATGATAGGAACGTAGGATCGGAATGCGTCAGTTGTTAGGCCAATTTTCATAAACTGTGTGACTGATGTTAGCATATATCCAGAATATTGATTAGACCCTATCAATCACATACCTTCTTTTGCTCCATCAACTTCGAATTCGGGCAGTCATACACCACATCCGTCCCAAAAACAGGAGTGGTCAATACCGTGTAGATTTCCTCGGCATTAACATCCCTAAGTTTGCCATTCAGGATGAAGTCGTTGCCCTGTCGTCCAAGATAGACTGTAGTCTTCTTCCCAAGTAGAATGAACGTGAAGACATCACCATACTAAACACTTATCAGTGCCGATTCGCCGCTCCAACACTTGGGACAACTAACCTTTGCACGGCAATTGAAGAAGAACGTATAAGGATCCATGCCATATGTGATGGTACTGCCAATAACCGGGAACCAGTGGAAGACGACCGGAGGCTCATTGGGGTTCTTCAGTAACAATTGACTGAGCACATTGAGAATCACAGAGACGACGATAAACGCGGCGAATCCAGCTGCGACAACCACACCAGTGCCCCGCTGCGCGGCCTGCTGGGCCAGAGGGCCGGTAATTTGTTCAAGTAAACCCATCTCACACAGAATGCGACGCCGGTGTTGGCGTCGAGGAATATAACAGGTGTGAGGTTGGCGATATTATATCGTTGAAGTTGCAGGTTTAGGGGTTGACTTTAAATGTCCTATTTTATTTTTGGGGAAAGGAGGGTAATCTCCAGGCGTCGGTTGGCGTGTCCCTGATTGCCAAGGCTGCGGACAATTTAGGTCTAGCGTCGCCACGATATGGCCTTCTTTTCGTCTTCGTATAGGTATCGTACTCGTGTTCGTGTTCGTTCCCACAATCATGTCATGATTGTACGTTGTAATGTGCAGTTATTAAGAGCTGGCCAACTTTGCTTTCACAGCATTATTAAATATACAATTTTGGGGCTCAAGCTAGTTAAGCAATAGATTGCGAGGTAGCTAATATCCATGTGGTACACGCTAATTACAAAGCCCTATTCGTTACACGGTGTAAGTACTCTCCTACTGCCATATACATGGCGTGATACCTCCACCCTTTGATTCCGGCCCATGAAACCCTGAAATCGAATGAGCCTCCACGACATTACATATTGCACTTCCTAGCTAACCCAGAATGCCCTTGTTGTTTGAAAGATTTCATGACCTCCCCTGAGGCCGTAGACTCCCGCCTATATCCCCTTGAGAATCGAACCACATTCCACCACGTGTTATGACTTGAAAGCCCAGACCTAATAAACATACTTTCATTCAAGGATTTGCATATCCTCCTTTCTATTAGGAGCAAACTCATCCTTGTACGAATCCCATAGCCTCTCCAGTTCCCGGATATACTCCTCATGCACGCGATTGACCTCCTCCACGGTAGGCTTTGAGGACTGGACGACCATGATTGGTCTTCCAACCACAATGTTCAAAGGCCGTCGGTATGGCATAAGCCCTACATCATAATTGAAAACACCCCTTGCATGGAATAAAGGGATGGTGAAGCCAAACGCCTTTTTCATTAATAGCTGGATTTTGTGGATTTTGGGATGTGATTCGGAATTGGACTGATAATAGAGGTCATTTTCTCCGAACGACAATACCGGAACTAGGTCTGCCCCTGTGCGAATTGCCATCTTGACAAATCCCTTGCGGCGTTTGAGGACAAGTCTCAGAGTGTGGGGCTGTGCCCCTAGAGACTCGTGTGCGCCCCCTATAACGATGGTAATCGCACGGCCCATTCCTTCCTATAGCCAACATTAGAAAAACAGTTGGCCGCATGGATATAATAGGCTCTATCATACCTTATTAGGCCCTCCTTTGGAAAGCAAGTTCTCACATGATTCCTTGGAAACCGAGCCTACGCCCAACGCTAGGAGGTAGTCCCGGTATATAGGAATTCGAAAGTTGGCATCAAGTGTTAAAACTGTATTTACAATCCCCGGGAAGAGTTGGGAAAACCCTAGCGCTTCTGTTGCAAAGGCGCCAAACGCACCAAGCGAAAGGATTCCATGAGGGTGATATCCAAATATATATTTCCTCGTGGGAGAGAGCTCCTGAGTTCGGTGTAACCTTGCCGGGAAATAGGATGCAAAGAGCGACCATACTGGCAATCGCCTTAGGAATTCTGAGCGGTGGCTTAGTGTCCCTGAGGTGTGTGCGTTTGATGCCAGCATATATATCAGGTAAGGTATAATCAGAGGCCAGAATAGTGGTATAGCGCAGAGGAACCAGAACAGCGACAAACAAATGGCTATCGAGAGTGTATGCAACAGCACTACTAGAGTCTGTAGTCTTCTCTGTAGCGGAATATTCAGAGGCGCCCATCGAATCGGACTGGTCTGCCATCGTTGGCCTGCTATCTTGCCACTGGCCAGACGCTCCTCCCTGGAAGGTTTATGGGTCTTAATGTTCGCTTTGCCGTTCTTCGTAGTCTTGATCCCGTTAGATGATTCTGTCCTCTTGCCATATTTAGCACCGTCATGTAATCCATTGGTTTTCTGAGACTCAGATCTTCGATCTTTATGCTGAGAGGGGCTTTTCGGCATGCTGTCGAGGTCCTGAGAAGCATTAGCAATCGTGAGCGGGGTATGCAGTGCAGGATACTATACTGTTCCTGAGTACGCATGCGCTGGTTCTTCTCTATCAATCTGCGGATGGGTTTCTCTCTTATCCTGTGAATCCGGTGGCACAATCTTCAGAATCTTATGCCGCGACGGCTTTGGATGAAAGGACCCATCGCCGTTTGTATCAGTCGCGCTTCTACCAGTCTTCTCACCCCACCAATTTGCGCCATCTACAACTGGGGCGCCTTCATAGGCCGCTGCGGCATAACTTTTCGGCGAGAGGTGTTTCTTCGTGCGTTCTCCAGGTTTGGAGGGTTCAGAACTGGAGACAACGTCAGCCATTGTTGGCCGTTCCTGAAAACCAACTGAAGTGGACAGTCGGATATTCCAGGTCAAGAGGTCAATAGCGACTACTCGGAAGACGAGTTCACGATGTAATAGAAGGTTGTGGCCCCTTAGGAAGAGAAAACCAAGGCTTACATCGTTGGAAAAGGTACCGAGGGTACTACCTAGACGTGTATGACGTTCCTCGAATTTGGTGCGCGGCTCTTGCCGGGGTTGGGAGCGCATCACATGCGATTATTGTGTCAGAAATGGATCACTAGTGGATACTGCTGAGTCAACTTAGCTTCTAAATTGCCTAGCCCCCTGGCTCAAAACGGGCTAAATCTTGGAATAAGTGGCTCGCTTGATGAATTGATGAAAACCCTTTATTATTCGAGATAGGAAAACTTTTAGACAATTTGTGCGGTTCTATGGTGTAATGGTTAGCACATCGGATTCTGATATTAAAATCTTCCGGGGATTAGGGTTCGATTCCCTATAGAACCTTTTTTTTCCTTCCCCTATTTCTTTTTTAATGCTTGTAGCATGTTTTCTTATTAGACGCCAAGCATACAATAAAGTATTGGGGGCTGGGAAAGCACTATGAGCATTAAAGACTCGATTGACTGTTAGGCTTAGATGCAGGTTAGATAAGGAGGGAGGGGAATAATAGATCCGTCGCGAACGCTGAAGAGGTATCGAAGTAGGGCAAGGACGCAAATAGACTCTTTTAATGGCTAAGCCACCTTTGCAGACTACTTTCCTAGGTGATATTGGGATGTTTATTCTGAGCGGCCGAGCAGTTGATGAGCTGCAACCGGAGGCTGGGATCTAAAAGTAACTCGTCCGAGTTGATATCGTAGTAGATTGAACTATTCATGTGCGATTGGTAAAAGGGTAAGTAGATAATTACCTCTCTAGGATGTATCTTTCTGGTTATTGACATGGGAGTCGGAGGAACGTAAAATTGCAATCACGAGGTAGTGTACCCTCAGGGAAGTACTTTGCTGGGAACCTTTCCAAAAACCCAAACGCTAACTCACAACGATCCTGTTGCTAGTGCCGATCTTCAATCTTCTCATTGGGAGAATCTAATAAATCAACTATAGCCTCTACTATTTAGATGGTATAAAAACTTCCTTTGGCCAACTAACTAACTAACTGAAGGTGCGACAAACGCAATGTGGATATATTTTCGAATATGACGGCCATCTCACATGGAAATGTCGACATAAGCGTTTTCCATTCCCACCTTTAGACTTGAGCAGTTGCTGCAATAATTTAAGCTACGCTCGAAGCCCCTGAGCATGTTGATTAGTTAACCAGGGCTACTTCAAATCATAGTACTATTGAAGCAGATCCATCGGTGGTTAGACTCAAGTTCAAGAAGGGCCCCCCAATAGAAAGAGTGTGTCAGCAACGAGGAAGACCTCAGCAGGTGAGCTTGATGTCTTTGAAGCAGGTAATGAGCAAATCACGGACACTTCAATGGAGCTTACCAATTCATTGGAAAGTATAAGCTCCACAAGTATGGTATCAAAGTAGTTACCCATAGCACAACCTGAACCACAAAGCAAAGTCGAGATCAAAAGGCATGCCACCAGGGCAGCCATTCCCAAAGCAATCTAAGAGAAATAGAGCCTTGGATTAAAGACATCGCCAACCGAGTACAAGTACGAAAATATATAGAACTCTACGATTAGCCCACCTGATCCGTTTAGATCCGAGGTTATTGTTGGTAAGAAAAATGATACTTGGATGTGGTTGATTGTGTTTTGAAATTCTCCAGATTTGAGAGGTGCGGGGAGTAAAATAGGATTGGTATATTCATCAGGTAAATCTTCTCCTTGAAATGACCCGAACAAATTCTATTGCGGTAGGATGAGCAAACTTGAGCTGGGCCTACCAAAGCAAAAGGCGGCGCTAGTCACGTGAGGTACAGGACTGGGAAGTACCTAGGTACCTAACAACATTCTGGTGGAATAACACCTAGAGACACACTGGCCCAGGCCAGGTTCTAGACTACCACCATAGAAAACCATTCTCTTGCCACAATATATAAAGGGCCCTAACTTATAGTACAATTCTGCTCGGGCTATCTGTAGCACTGTTGAAATTTTGCCAGCTCGTCAAAAGAGGAAAATAAGAAGTCATCAAGGCCAGAAACGACAGAAAGCCAGTGGGTATACTGGCAAGGATCTTTTGAGGCTGCGCCAAAGCAAAATTATTCCCAAAACTCCTGATTTGCCCCTCAAATCGACCGGAGTCCGTACCCAAAAAGTTGTATATGTCTGATGTCTATCGTTACATCAAATTTTCGCAGCCCTACGCCATACAGAGAGGACCCAAAATGACTGCCCATAAGACGCGGTCGTGTATTTGCGCCCTACGGGTATTATTGTTACGAATGTCCCGAAGCTGGTTGGTGCTGAGGTTGATTCTGGGCATGGAGTTGATTTCTAAGGGAGAAGGTCTCCTCGGAAAGCCGATTGATCTTGTCTTCCTGACTCTTCTCCGTATTTTCCATCACCTGGATCTTGTCTGACAGCTGTTTGACCTTATCTTCCAGCGTCTGGACGTAGGCTAATACAACTCGCTCGCCACCAGCAAAGAGATTGGTGCTGTTGTCGTTATTTGCACTGCCTTGGTTATTAGCGGGGCCGCTGGCAAGAGTTCGACCAGCACTGGAGCCTTGTGAGGGCTGATGGTACGTAGTATTGGGAGGTGGAGACCCAGATGTTTGTTGCGCTTGCTGGCCACCTTGAGAGCCGTTGGTAGGGTTTTGTTGGCTGGATGCTTGGCTTGATAGTGTGTATCTCTGATCCGGAGGCGCTAGACCTGCCAGCGCAGGAAGTGTGGGGCCGTGCGAGGTATGCGGGGATGGAAGTGACATGCCTGGCGGTGATGACCTCCCGGATTGTCGTCGGCCAAAGTGTTGTTGCTGGAACTGGGTGGTCAAACTAGGTGACCTTTGCCTATTGATTGAGGATGGATCATGCCCGAGTTGATACGCATGCATGCCAGACGGGCTCAAAGGCTTAGGACTCTCGGTCATCCCACTTTGCGAATACATTGAGCTCCCTGCGGTATTGAGCGGTAAAGAGGATATACTCGTATTTGGAGTATGACCGCTGCCACTGTTCTGCATACTTGGAGAGGTGCCAGTACTTGAAGTTCCGCCTCGGTCTGCAACTGGCGGATATAAGCCTCCTGTAGGTTGCCCATGCCTGGGCCCAGAAGGGGGATAAGTCCGCGAATGTTGAGCAAAATTATCAGCGCCTCCTTGGTGTCCGCTCACATGTTGTGTTTTGATACTCGGGAGGCTAAACCTTCGGCGTTCTTCTTCTGTCATTTCAGCTTCATTAGGGTGTGATGTTCCATTCGTGTACATCACGCCGTCCATGGCTCCTTCGTCACCATCCCCAGCAGAGCCTTCAAGATCATCGTCACCGCCAAAACTACCCATGCTGGCCCTCCTTCCAGCACAGCCGCCTTGACCTTTACTGTGACGCGCCAACGCATCGCCTCGAGCAAACTTGCGATCGCATTTAGGGCAAATATGAGGGCGTTCGCCAGTATGTAATTTTGTGTGGCGTTTTAAATCGTGTAGTCTCCGGAATCGCATGTTGCACGTTTGGCAGACATAGGGCTTTTCTTGGCTGTGGGTCAAAAGATGGCTTTTGAGATTATGGTGACGCGTAAATTCTGTCTCGCAATACGGACATTTGTGTTTCTTCTGTGATGGAGATCTAGGGGCAAGTTGCTGGCCCGGCATTGGTAGGCTTAATCCCCGTGGAGGAGCTCGCGAAGGGTCTGGTTGACCAAGAACGTTGCCAGGAAATGTGAGCGCACGGTTTGAAGGTGGCTCATCCCCTTGAGCATGTATCTGGGTCTCGTTACCCATTCGGTTCTCCCGGTTCTCTGCCTCAATGGCATTTGTCAACGATTGCGGGCTAGCAACTGTTGTTGAACCAGCTATTGCCGTTTGCGCCGTGCTACCTATACTCCCAAGTGTGGCAATACTTGCTGGGCTAATTTCAGACCTGTCATCAGATTGCATCGGGCTAGGGATTGAAATGGCATTTGCAACTGCTGACATGCCCTCGCTCATGCTTGTTGTGGCTACTGGCGCATCTTGAGGCTTGCTCATGCCAGCTCCACCCCCGGCCACGAGCGAAGTAAGTGCCTGGTGGGACGGATTCCCGCTCATCGCGCCTTGTTGATCCCTTTGAATTTGCTCCCGCTCCCGCTGCTCATCGGCCAAGGCTGCAGCTCCAGTCAGTTCAACGGACGAGATGCCCGAAGTAAATGTGCCCTTGAACCGCGGCGACTTCGGCGACGGAGAAAACCCCCTCCCACTATCTGCGATCGGGAACAAAGTCGTACTGTTCTGCGACTGCTCCGCGCGACTTCGTTTGAGAGACTTTGTTCGTGTCGCGTCTGAGGTGGGGTGAGAAATAGTCTCTGTGGTGGGAGTGCTTTCGGACTCTGACGGGTTCGCGCTGAGACGAGGAGCTCCTGGCACAACAGATTGCTCCGAGGCCATGTAGTATTATTCTATGCTTTGCGCCTTTGCGAATAAAATATGTATATCACTCGGGGCCCAATTTGAGGTGTGACTCTGGAAGTGCTGCTGCGTATCGTCAACGCTGCATCTCAGGTCTCCGCGACACTGGCGAGCTGAGGGGTGGGAATTGTACGGTGGGTCGTAAAAGATTCTGGTTTTCAGTCAAAACCCACTCACAGCATAATTCTTAAGGAGGAATCGAGCCTACCAGTAATGCGCAGCTTGATTTGCTATATCGCCGCTGGACTCGCGGAACGGGCTTGCGCGCAGCTTTGGGATTCCCGGAACAATCAAGATGGCGAGAGAATTGGAAGTTTTATGCAGTTGTAGCTTGTAGGCCGAGCTGGTACGGTTCAATGGCCCATCGGCGCACATCTACAATCACAATCAGGCCTGTAGGAGGTGCAAGACGAGATGGAAAGTAAAAGAGTTAGTTAGCTGCAGGCATCTGACGTTGAGAAGTGTTCCTCGCTCGGAGACGGCAGCCACGATGACTTGGATGACACAGCAAAGCACACAGCCCCATTCACCCATTGCCATCGCCAGTCGACGCTAGGACCGAGTACGGGTTTCGGTGCCTGGGACGACTCTCCCGGACATACAATAATTATTATTATACTTTGTACTTTGCACTTCGCCCAGCACATAAACCGCCTCTACGAACCCAACTTCTGAGCCACTACTTCGTACCAAGGCCCTTGTGAAGACCGCCGCCATTATTCTTCCCGAGCACTGCTTCGCCTTTGCTATCGCTTGGGATTAACGCGGCGGTGTTTAGGCCGCAGAGATGGTCGCCTTGGCTTGTTTTGGGGGTGGCGAAGGTGATCAATTATCTTGCCCCATTTGGGGGTCTCTTCTAAGCTTTGAGGTACCGCAGTGGCAGCTGAGCTCCCAAAGGGGAACGGAGAGAGTGTGGCTTGATTCGACGATACCATCCAACACTAGGAAGGGAAGTACAGGGCGACCATCCTTTTCCGACCGCTCCAGAGTCCACAACCCTCAAACCAAGGCCCAGGAGCACGATGCAAGTACTACGTGCTGTACGGACGGAGGAGAGCCGTTTTCCATCTTTTCTCTTGCGTGTGCAATGTGCAACGGTCTCTCTTTCATTTCTCGAACCAAGCTCAGTCAATCAAGCTGTGTCGCCGATGGAGGACAAATTGATTGAAGTTGGCCCTGGAAACACCCTGCCGGTCTGAAAGTGGGTAGTCGGCGTAAGCAGAACCGGACTTAGCTGGCGTTAGCACCAGAAGATCATCAGGTATGTACTTACACGACGAGTCTGCACTCATGCTGCCTCCATGGTTTGTGACATCTCATTCCAATAGATTTTCTTGATACCTACTTCGTCCCTCCCGCCAAGGAATTCGAATGCTAGAAATGCTTCTCGTTCGTGCTATTATTGCACCGGGCTCTAGAAACACAAGGACAGAATAGAACAATAATCCATGGGCCTACTCCGTAGAGTTTCCACCCCATGTAGTAGCCGAGCTGAGAGCTCTGGAGGGCTGCTGGTTTCCAACGGACCAACCAGTGGAAGCCGGGCTCAGAGCCACCGCAGCCACACAGCCACAAATGCGACCATGCAGTCGAGACAAATCACAGGCCTCATCACAACGGTTCCTCAACCCGCGTTTTAAGTGTTTGGGTATCTTACACTTACACTTTCACTTGCACTTGCCGCCCGAGCTCTGTTTTCTCGAACATCAAACACGTGATATTATTTAGCAGCCAACCAGACTGACCGGGATTGTACCTGCTGCATTGCTCCTACAATTCCTAATGATCTCGCTAAGTGGTGATTTGTGAAGCTGAAACTCCGGGCTTCGGTATCACACCAAGCCGGACTGTGGTATTTTCACCTGTTATTCCTCATAGGCACCATGGGCCGGTTGGAATTCAGGTGAACTTTGAGGCCACAGCCAAACATGTCGCTGGAATGAACATGGTTTTCTACAGTCTATGAAACACGGTTTGGGGCTAAAGATTGCTATGAACCTGGTAATTCTATCCTTTCTCATCTGGGGCATACAGCATTCCGTGTATGAATACCCGACTCCTAATCCTGTTGGGGATGGGAGAGTTTTGCTACGCTCAAGTTGATGTTCAGTCTCTGGTTCTGATCTGGAGCCTTGTCTATATATCCTGGAATGGCTCAACGAGGCAGTCGTCCCCTCTATGTACTAGTCGTGCCCAACACCGGCGGTTTGGATGAGGCATTGCATCATTGGCGCTGGCACACTCCAAATAATTTGGTAATGTCGCAGAATAGCCTCTGAAAAGCCATTGAAATGTTTTATTTCCTTTGGAAGCTATCAGCTCACTCCTATATCGGGCTCTCATTGAAAAGTTGTATGATGTCCCTCTCATATTCTTCAGGATAGGACCCAGATCCGATGAGACACGACCCGTGAGGCGACTTGCCTAACCCACCACCATTCTTCTTAGTCAACTCCCATTCTACCAATCTCCCGCCAACTTGGTCATCCCCGTCCGCAAAATCGAAGATCCTGAAATCTGCGTTTCCATATCGCTTGCCACTAACCCCAATCCTCAAAAATGCGGCATGAGAGACCACCGCAATCACTTTCTCCGGCCTACTTCTTAACCATTTTCTCGCACATATCCCTCGTTGGGTTAGAGCAGTTCTGGAGGACCTATACAGCCCAGTCTTGTTGGGATACTCAGGGTCAACCGTAGCCCAGTCGAACTGTGGCCATTCCTCTTTCATCGCTTGGATGTCAGTCCCAGTACCGCAAGGCTTTGCCGAATTCTCCTGCCATTCGGGACGGAGCACAACGGGGACACCGCGATCCATCAGCCATCCTAAACCCCGTTGTGCCGTTTGAAGACTTCGACGCATTGGCGACACGACAACAAGGTCAATTTTCGGACCCATCGGAAGCTCATTCTGAAGACATCCTGCGAGCTCCGCACACTGATCGTATCCTAAGTCAGTGAGCGGAGGATCATGAAGGGAATAGTCACGTTGGAAATATCAGCTTAGAGTCAAAAGCCGAGTACGGAGGAGCATGGGAAGACTTATGAGAGGTATCTGATTAAGGTTAGCTATTGCGGTCTCAAACCAAGGGGGCAAACTGGCTATGAAGAGCTTGTGCATGCCGTATAAGAATAACGGTAGGAGTCATTTGTGACTTTATCTTATTGAAGGATATATAAGTTACTTTTCCAAAAATGACCATGGAAGGCTAAGGCTGACATGAGTAGCTGTGTGTCGCCTCCCCAGGATGACGATGTCCAGATGTGGCGGACGACTGATAAGGATAAGGAACCAACCTACAGTAGTGGCGGATCGGGTGGCTGCATCGTTCCTGGGCCGAGTATGATTCATCCAGTCCTGCCATTCTTATTACCATCACCAACAAGAGAATGAGCTTCAGAGTCACCGCTGCACACTCGAGTCGGATAACCAAACCCAAAAAGGCGCCGGCTTTCAAACGAAGCTCATCAGGATCGTCGCCTTACTCCGCTCTTCCTCGGCGAAAGCCCGCTCCAAACTCACGATCGAAGAAACAAGCTCCGGATGACGATGAAGACGACGACGACGATTACTTCGGCGACCGCCTCGAAGATCTCGGGCTCGTCAAAGCCCTAGCAACCGACTTAACCCTTCGAGATGTTCCGCAAGCTCTATTATATACCAGGGGGAAGATGTGGAGTCCGATACCAGAGCGACGGGCTGGAATGAACTCGACTCGAATTGCGGAGACATTGAACTTTCGAGCATCTCTGCCGCCTATCGTTACCGTGTCGCATATACAAGCTCTACTGAATTCGCCGACTACAGTGGAGAAGGAGATGGCAGAGCTGGTCAAGAAGGGAGCCATAAGGAGAATCACGGTAGGCGGACGGGGGAACTTGGGAGAAGTCTTGATCTTGACTAAGGATCTGGACGACATGATCGCGAAAAGTAATCTGAGTCAGGATGTTAAGGAGAAGTTCACCAAGATATTACACACCCACCCAACGGCGCTGGGAATGCCTCGCTCGGGGTTCCTAGATGAGGAGTTTAAAGAGCTGATGCGTGCAGGCTTCATCACCTCCTCAACCCCGGGTGGCACATTGTCGGATTTCTTCTCCCGCCCCGCGGAGGGCTCGCGGGGTACGATGACTTCCATCAATAGCATATCTAGGGCCGCATCGGGTAGTCTAGCAGCAGTTGGCGGCGAAGGCGCTGTTCACGAGGCTGGTGGCAGTGGAGGAGGTGTTAAAACCCCGTCTGGCTCTGGGGAGCTCTCTCTGGCGCTTCCTGCCACGGGATCTTTCCTGAAAGTGCTATCGAACGCGCGATCCCATCTCGTGTCCTTGCTATCAAAATCCAAATTCCGTCAAGCGCCCGAGACGCTCCTCCGTCAGCGCTGGGACGGCGGCATTGGCGCGGATGATGAGGCGAGTGCCGCTCGGAGGAACAGAGGGGAGTTCGACGGAGTGCTGCCGGGCCGGACCAAGAAGTGGAAGCAGTTCCACGGCGTCTCGTTTGAATGGGTGCTCGGCGAGTGTGTCGGCGCCGGGCTGGTTGAGGTGTTCAATACTGGGAGTGTAGGGAGGGGCGTTCGTGCGTTGTGAGATGGAGATATATGAGTTTCAAATAGGCGCAGGGAATGTGGGGATATGGAAAACATACATGCATGCATATGTACTGTACAGCACCTACATAGATAGTCAATTTAATATCGATACCCAAACGACCGACCAAGCTACTGTACCTTATCCTGTAGCCAAGACAGTTCTACATACTACTCCGTACACAATACGATACGCAATCAAACCGTAAGATGTTTATTTTCTCGTGCCACCTGCAGCCAGATATCGGCTGTGTTCAGGGGCTGGGTGGCATGAGGCCCCTTGCACAAAATATCAATCCGTCCCAAGGTCCATCATCGATCGACTGGCCTTCCTAACCCAAAGAGCCAGAGACAGACAGTGTGGTGGGTAGGTAAGTAGTAGGATTATCGTCATCCCCTCCCTTCAACGCCGATCCGTTATTTACCATTGGGGGACCAACCCCTCGCTGCCGCCGCCGAAGGAGTATTATATTGTATTACACCTACGTACGGAGATTGGTATCTGTATTTGGTGGGTGGGTGTCGTGACTCCTTCCTATGAACTGTGTTCCGTGGTACCGAGTCAAGCTACGTAGCTCCTACGGAGGAGGATGCTGCGTGCTCCTATTCGTGAATCCCATATAATGACTTCGCACAAAACCCCAGGGGGTGGATACGCCATTTTTCTCCTTTTCCATACATACTGTACCACTCCTTCGTACTTCGTACCACCCATCCTCATATCATGTCGTCCAGCAGGAGTCCTCGCTCCATCCACCAATACACGAGTACCGGAATTGTACACCCACATCCACCGCCCCCTGAGAATTAAGCTCACACGCTTAAGGTGGGCGGGCGCACCCAATAACAATCGGCTGGTCCTGGCGGCTTACTTGTCGCCCGCCAACCACGGCTCCGTGCCACATCGGCTTCCGCCCGGTGGTTACCGTCGTCTGTCCTCAGTAGTCTGTCCTCAGTCGTCTGTCCTCAGTCGTCTGTCTTCAGTAGTCCTCAGTAGTCTCAGTTTACTCGGAAAATGGGGGTCCGGCCAATGGGTTGCCCCTGGGGGTGGCGGGGCCAGGGGGCGGATTTGCAAAATTGGGAGGGGGGGGAAAGCCAGGACGCCAGCCACGACGAGGAGTGATCTGTTCAGGGGAATTTCCTCTTTGGAGAGATAGGGCTTGAATGCCTCCGAATGGTAAATTGCGGGCTTGGGGATTTAGGGGTTGTGTCTGGTGCTGTCTCTCGGTAGGAGCTTGTTAGGAGGCGGCAGAAGGTGTAGGTTCAGCCACATAAGCCTCAAGGAAAGGGTTCTTGAATAAAGAGGGTAGCGCCCGAAGCAGCGATAAAGGGACAATAATAAATAATCATAATAGGGAGACCCTCAGGTTGCTGCTGCTTGCTGTTGCCGTGGTACCCCCTGCTGTGCTACGAGTACTACGAGTACTTAGGGGTTGACGGGACGGACCATGACAGGCGCTGGGAAGGGATGATGCCTGCCTTTGGCTAATAGCTCATGGTTAAGTAGTTAGGACCCGTACCATTAGAGCAGAGAAGACGGTACATTATGTACCTCAATGACGACTTGACCGCTTGAACAAGACTCGCTCCGGGGACTCGGCTACATGTACTCAAGACAAGACTCCTTGGGTTAATAATTCGCTGTGATAATAAGGAGAGGCAACCAGCCTCAATCAATGCCTGCCTTGCCTTGCCTTGCCTTGCCTTGCCTTGTCTGGTATCATACCTTGGACAAGGGCCGCTCGGCGAACACTTCTTCCCTTATCCGCCACTGACTGAAGCCACGGGCCGTTCAACTGTCCAACGCCACAGGATGATTAGGTTGCTCCCTACTCTGTGGTCTGGTAAGTGGTACTAGTCCTCCTTGAGCAACCCCTAATATCTATCCCCTACTCCAGACTTTGCACTCCACATTCCCCTATGCGGCACTCCAGCTCGCCTTTCGGCCTCCTGATTTATGAAATAAGTCAACTGTTCAGGACCCTCTGGTCTCCCCATTCCACCCAGAGGCACTGCACAAAGTACTCTCTATACTCTGTGCCGGCCTGCGCCGCCCCGGATATCTATTAAATTAGACTCGAGTCCACCCAGGCCCGGCATCTTGGTGCGCTGCTGCTCCAGGTTGCATGTTGCACCACCGCACTTCACACGCACTACTGCACATTCGCTGTACGCTGCACACTACTGCTGTAATAATATACAGAGTAATATCTCTCTCCACCAACAACGGTCCTAATAATTGGCACTGCTCTCACTGCGCTCACGCTCACTACCCACTTCCGCGAGCTTGCTCTACCGCATCCCCCGGCTTGTTCTTCTCCTGGCCAAGTTCCCACTGCTTCCCAACCTACTACTGTACGCCGGCTTCTGCACTGACCAGGGGCCACGCTCTGCACTCTGCACTTTCTGCACTGACTGCTGCTACTGCACCACCCTGTGCATTCGCATCACCACTCACTCCACAAGACAAGACAAGACAAGACTCGAACAAGACTCGACTCGACTTCAATCTTTTCTTTTTTTGCTTCTTGTTCCACCCTCGACCATCTCTCCCCCAGTGGTCTATCGCAGTCCTCCCCCTCACGCGGCCTCCATTCATTCTTCCTGCGACCACCTACGCACCAAGTGCTGCTCTGCCATAAACTTCCCCCCGACGCGGAAGTCCAACACACGAACTCGCGAATCCCCTTCTCCCCCCCCGAACACGATCCTCGAAATCCCGGCTGGGCATCATCTCTCCTGTTGATCGTCCCAATTTATTATTCCAATTCTTCGAGATATCATCCAGAAGCCAGATCCCCGCCTTCCATCACCCGCCACCCTCGTCCTGCAAGTTCCTTCTTGTCATTCACCGCATCATATCGAAGCTCGACGTTCCTTATATTGCAGCTATTATCGCACGGGATACATACATACGCGACGGATACTTAGCCTAGAACGACCATAAACTCATCACATCCGCAGAAGTCCCATCGATCGTCGAAACAGCTCTCGAAACGCCCGCTTCCGAACCCACTTCCACCGAAATCCAGACCCGCGGGTATCGCCTTGATTGACTGGGAGGCCTGGGAGGAAATTCAACCGACTTCCCCGCGACTTAGCCAGCGGCGAACGGCACGATTCATTGATTGCTTTTCTTCTCATCGACTCGACCACAACGTCCGGTTTATAGAGGTTTATATACGTTTACGATTCACGTTTGGGCAGCTGGATTGGCGCATTGACTGCAACACCCGGATTGACACCATCCAACGTCTCTGCCGGACCAGGATACCTCGAGCCAGCCTCCATACTGCTACATTCTTGCGACCGTGGTGGGCCTGGTATTTCTCATCCGGACTCTGCGCACCCCCGCCCCTCGAAGCACTTTGTCGGGTACCTGCATACCGCGAGCAAAGGAATTGGCACATGATCGAGGACGAGTATACAGAGGTTGAATAGTTCTACAGAGCCACCAGGTGCGCTTAAGTACCTAGGTACCTAGGACGTGCACGTGAGTTACTCTCAACTTCCTCCGTGAATTTCCCCACGGCCTTCGTAGATCTGCTTATCAAACCCTCTATTTTTGGTTATAAGTTTTGATTTCGTCTGGTATTACGTTGATCATTAGGTTATCTTTAGATACACATGCACTGACAGTGCTCTAGGCTCAGACATTGTGTCGTTCGCTCGGACATATTGGTTTGCATGATATACCGTTTCATATATTCCGGCGCAACGGAAACTCTTACCTCCTGCCTTTCCCCCCCGCCCCCTCCCGCCTGTTTTCGTAATCCATTGGACGAAATCACGCTGCTTGCCAGCATTTGGAACCCTATCGGGTTCTGACCCCCGATACAAAGATTTAAGGCTTTGGAAAACCGGATACCTTAGTTTCATGGACCGTCCGGTACTCACGTCCTTGTAGAGATCAGTCAAGGGCGATTCAATATACATTCTACTGCCCTCATCTCCGAAATTTAATACCATAGAGCATTTTCGCCATGGCTGCCTCTATCCCACGCCCACCAAGGCCGTCCTATGGACCTCCTACGAGCGCTTTGCCCGCGTTACCTACCAAGAAGACCCGCAAGAGCACTGGCAACATCCCCAATGTCTCACGTCTCAGTCCTGACTCACCTCTCCCCAGTTTGCCTAAAAGCGGCCTCCGAGCACCTTCGTCCTCGCATCTCCCACCTTCAACTACTCCAGGTGGTGGTAGTACAGCTCTTCCGAAATTACGGACCACGCCTGGGGTCAACGCAGCTGGGAAGACTCTCAGAAAGACCATCAGTATCAATGCCTTTCCACAGCCACCTCGAGGAGGGGTCAGGACCGCGAGTCTTCCCCCAAGTCCACTGTCGGGTGGGTTGACACCGGGAGGCGGTTCATCTGGCGGCGTCTCAAGGGATGAGTCCGCTCCTCCGACTCCTGCAAGCAAGCTTCGGAAGCGCCCGAAGACGTCTCTCAGTCCAAATACACAAACCTTCGTCAACGGTTCGACGCCCAGTTTACTCAATGGTAGTGGAGACAGCAGGTCAATATCCAGCGGACCAGGAGCACGCGGATCAGATGGTCTGTTGAGTCTCCCCTCACCACCTCAGAGTCGAAGCTCATCAGCCCAAGATTCATACTCAACATCAGCAACAAATTACGACGACCATGGGGAGGGACCCAGAGGTCGGGAATCCTCTGCGGATATGAGCAATGATAAGGGCTCATCAAAACCACCGGAAGGAAAGGGAAATGTAATTGTTAGTGTACGAGTACGCCCAGACGCTGGTGGCAGTGGAGGGAAAGGGGACGGAGACTGGATGGTGGAGGGGAGGAAATCTCTAGTTTCCTACCGAGGAAAAGAAGCTGGTGATTATTATTATGGTGAGTATTTACTGCTGCTGTTTAGCGTATCTTTACTAACTCGTCCATAGATAATGTTTTTGGAACTCACGACAACAATGCTAAAGTTTATGATTCGTCTGCGAAAAGGCTCGTTCGACGGGTGATGGAAGGATATCATGGGACGGTTTTCGCATACGGGATGACGGGTACCGGGAAAACATTCTCGATGCAGGGTACCGCATCGTCACCGGGTGTCATCCCTCTTGCCATCACGGACATATTTTCGTACATTCGCGAAACTCCTTCGAGGGAATTCCTCCTCCGAGTCAGTTATCTGGAAATTTATAACGAGAGGATCCATGATCTACTGAGCACCCCGCCCCCAGGGACAACTGTTGGCCCTGGGGCCCCCCAGCAGGAAGAGATCAAACTCCGAGAAGATAGCAAACGGGGTGTTTATGCCACGCCGCTGAAAGAGGAAATAGTTCAAAGTCCAACTCAGCTTCTGAGAGTGATTGCGAGAGGAGATAATTCGAGACGAACGTCTAGCACCCAGTTCAACGCCCGGAGTTCCCGAAGTCACGCAGTCGTTCAAATCGTGGTCGAGAGTCGAGAGCGTATACCTGGGAACGGAGCTATGACCGACAACAAGCGGTCCGGTATAGTACCAGGCGGCGTCCGAGTTTCTACGCTCAGCTTGATCGATTTGGCCGGTTCTGAACGGGCTGCCGAGACCAAGGAACGAAGAACTGAGGGGTCTCATATCAACAAAAGCTTGTTGACCCTGGGCACCGTCATTGCTCGACTCTCTGGTGATACGGACAAAGATGGGAAGCCAACCGACAAGGATGGAAAGCATCTCCCTTACCGAGACAGCAAACTCACCAGATTACTGCAAGGAGCGTTGTCTGGCGATTCCCTCGTCAGTATTCTGTGTACCATCCAGATCGGATCGGCAGGCAGTGCTGCGGCGGCAAACACCCATACTGGCGAGACCTTGAACACACTGAAATTTGCCGCAAGGGCTAAGAATAATATTGTGAGTCATGCTAAGAAGGCAGAGGAGGCTCTAGGCGCAGGAGGCGATGGTGGGGCTCGAGTCTTACTGGAACGATATCGCATGGAGATCTCGGATCTGCGGTCCCAGCTCGAGGTACAATCCAAGTCAAAGCATGACGATGATGAAGAGAAGCGCGAAAAAGAAGCCGAGCTACGCCACGAAGAACAAATGCTGGAGATGCAGCTAGCTCGAACAGCATTGAAGGAGAGAATTGAGCATTTAAATCGCCTCATTCTAAGCTCCAAATCGACGGGTGTTAATGCGAGCGGTTCTTATTCTTCACTGAGTATGCATCCAAGACTGTCGAACGCGCCGTCGAATGGTCATATTTCGTCAATGTCTACCCGTTCTTCCATGGCTCCATCCACCATTGGCCGTAACTCATTAGAACGGTCAGCATCTGTGAACTCGGTGTCTACCATTGGCCAACTGCCAGCAGGTCCAGTACCTAACGGCGAGCACGGATCGGTTGAGGATGAGGACTCGATCGGCGAATATGGTGATGGGACTGCTACGTTGACAGCACAAAACCGAGCCCTACGAGCAGACCTCGCAGACAAGACCCGATACTGTCAAACGCTTGAGAAGCGCCTGCTCCAAGCTAGGCGTTCAAGCCACTCCAGGGCTTCCGTTGGCTTTTCGACGCCTGGGAAGGCGGGTGTGATGGTTGGTGAAGACCATGGCGTCGCAACCTTGCTCAAGGAGAAGGACTCCGAAATTGCGGATCTCCGGGCTCGATTGGACGACAAAGATCGCATGTTGACGGCGTTGCGGAGCGCGTCTCGGTCGCGCGACACTGCTGATCGAGATCCACGCTGTACGCCGATACAGCTCCTCAGGGATGAGCCATTAAGCCCAGTCTCTGCTCGTGCCTCCCAATTGCTCGATAATGGACCAATATCCCCCATTCTTGCTGCGGGACCGATGGGCCTGCTGTCACCAAAACTACGGAAGAGGACAAAGAGCGTGGATGAAATGAGCAAAATGCTAGACGAGATGATCCAGGATCGCGTTGAGAGCGGCCATATTGTAAAGGGCTCTCGAGGAAGTGTCCGTATTGCGAGCGAGAGAAAGCGTGATAACGCCGTGACGGAGGCCATAGAGCCTCCCAAAGATTCCACCCCGCTAGCGAGAGAATCGCCTGCTTTGGTATCAGAAGTTCAATGAAAAGGATAAGAGGGGACGAGTGTACGATGTGCTGTGCATTATGAAAGAATATTCTCCGGGGGCAACTTGGATGGGAACTCTGGCGTTTGGGCAATCGATTTTTCATCATCATTCGCTATTTTTTGCGCTATTTTTCGTTATACCCCTCTGTTTAATGCACGGTTATGTCTCGCGACTGACAAACCTGCATGTATTTCCTCCCCATTCCCTCGCTCCGCACGCACACGCACACTGCTTTTGTTTATACCAGCTGCCTAGCGAGGGATGGGTCATCTATCTATCTCTGTTTCAGATCTTTGACAGATCGATGGAAAAGGAAAGGAAATACTACCTTGTACAATACTTTTGTGTTCATAGGGGCCTGCCAGTGCTTGGATAAAAAAAATGATGTTGGGCATTTTTTGTTTTTGCTTGGCTTGGAATATATCTATATGGCGTTTTTTTCTCTCTCTCTGGGAAATGGAAGGGCCGGCCTATGGGGGAAATCTGTGTGTGTTTTTTTTGGCAAAGAGTGCTTTTTTGTGTTAGATACCATGCAGGCAACTTGGCATTGAGAATGTAGTTGAGGGAAAGGGGGAGAGTGAGTTAGTGAGTAGAGGGAGAGTTAAAAATGAAAAGATTATTTAGATTATGAGTGTCTATTTTTGTGAGATCTGTCTGGAAAGGTGAGGGGGTTTTTCTGCCTGACTTGGTTGGTTGGTTGGTGCTTGAGAATTTGATGCTTCCCGCTAGTGCGGTATTGTCCCGTGGTTCTATATGCCGGATTAGCTGTGATATGCCGTGAAGGTTTTGTTTGATGTTTGGATTCGATAATTATAGCATGCTTGTTTGTTTGTGGGCTGGGTTATCTGATTGATTATCAGGGCAAACACAACACTGAAACCCCCTATCCATCACCAAGCCATCACCCAACACAACGCCACCACCACCCACATCCAAAACCGTTTGCTCCCCTCGAACTTTACCATACGTCTATGCACCATGGCATCTATCCTAAAATGGATAAGGTCCATTATCCTCAGAGCACCATCACCATCCCTACACTTCCCCACAAACGGCTTCGAGGTCATCCCCGACTCCGAAGTCCTTGAAGAGGAACAATTCGAGAAATTCCAGAAAGGAGAGTACTGCCCGGTGAATATCGGCGATGTTTTCGCTTCTAAATATCAGGTTGTCGGGAAATTGGGGTTTGGGGTTACGTCGACGGTATGGTTAGCTCGTGATCTTCAGTAAGTCTTCGTCCGCTGTGAGATAACATAGCTAATGGAAGTTAGGAAGCGTCAATATGTGGCATTGAAAGTATACACACGCGGAGACGACCATCAGGAAGAGTTCGAGGTTTATCAACATTTGAGCAAGGCCAATCCCTCACACCGCGGCGCTCTCTATGTAAGGACCGCCATAGACACTTTCACTGTCCCTCGGGCTGGCGGCGACCATAGCTGCCTTGTCCAAATGCCTATGTGGGATAGCTTTAAGGACCTTCTATTACGCAATCCTACCCATCGGTTTACTGAGGATCTTCTTAAAGCTGGTCTTCAGCAGGTTTTCCTGGCGCTGGATTATCTACATACGGAGTGCAAGCTTGTTCATACAGGTACGTACGAGATATTCTATGGAAGAAATGCAACACTGCTAACACATTATATGTAGATATCAAAGGCGACAACATCCTCCAAGTGATCGAGGATAAACCAATCCTCAAAGCCTTCACCGCATCCGAAATGTCTGACCCCTCTCCCCGAAAATCCGTCAACGGCATGCCCGTATACGCATCTCGACGATTCGACCGGCCAAAATTCTGGGGCCGAGCCGTCCTGAGCGATTTCGGCTCCGCGGTCTCTGGGGAACTGAAGAGGAACCACGACGCCCAGCCGAATGTGTACAGGTCGCCGGAGGTGATGCTGCAAACCGAGTGGAGCTATCCGGTTGATATATGGAATGTTGGTGTTATGGTTCGTTTTCCCTGTGGGGTTCGAGGCGAAAAGATTTTGCCTAACTGTGCCGTGCGAGTGATCTAGATCTGGGATTTGTTCGAGGACAAGCACTTATTCTACGGCAATGATCCCCATATGAAGATGTATACCACGCGCGCCCATCTCGCGGAGGTGGTGGGGATGTTAGGTCCTCCGCCGCTTGATATGCTCGCGCGGGGGAAACGAAGTTGTGAGTTTTTTGCGGAGGATGGTACGTATATCCAGCATATCATATCGTATTATAGCGCTAGTTGCTTGCTCTCTAGTTGGAAAGAAGAAAAAGAAGAAGGGTTCTAACAAATTACGGTGACAGGACAATGGAAAGCGGAGGTGGGAATACCGCAAGATACGAGTTTAGAGCAGGCGGAGGAGAATCTCGAGGGGGAGAATAAAGAAATGTTTTTGAGGTTTATGGGGGGGGGGTTGGCGTGGCGGCCCGAGGAGAGGAAGACGGCGAGGGAGTTGTTAGAGGATGAGTGGATTAATTCGTGATGATATGGAGAGAGGGCGGGGTGGGGGTGTGTATAGCATACTTACCTATGGATGGATGGGAATACGGGAATGTGCATACCCACCGAGGAGAGTGATCTGTTGGGGTAAGGCCGTGCTGAGAGAATAAACTGGTGTGCTATGGATTTCAAGACACCATTGTTTGCGACTATAGGGAAGGTCACCCACGGCTCTGAAAACTAGCACGTTTGAACTGACGAGATGAAGGGAGAAATGGGTCGTTTGTAGACGGATTATAGCCCGACCTCGCAAATTATGTGGTTAGTACCCTTCGATGGAAGTGGAGCTAATTATTAGGGATGAGCTAGTTGGTGTTTAGGGCTACAGAGGACGGGATAGTGAGGCTAGCTAGCTAGCTAATTGTGAGGGGAAATAATAGGTGGTAGATTATTAGCTGAGTTCAGTTTGAAGGAGGGATAGCAGAGGAGAATTAATCCTCGAATCTTCGAATCTTCGATGTTTGATTGTGTGATTGGTGGTTGATTTCTATCCGTAGTAAGGATACATAATGATGTAATAAGTGATACAGAGTATATTATTTCATGTAGTCCCTAATACCCTCCTCCGTGCCAATTCTATTTCCGCCCTCTAAACCATCTAAACCCATATATACCTACAGACAATGTCTATTTAAAAAAACCCCATCCAAAGCCAAAGCCAATGCTGACTGTGCCTGCGCATTTGCCTAAAGAGAAAGACTCCCTGTACTTGCCGAGGCAGAAATCGAGTCGCGGATTGATTGTTGCACATGTGGTGTAACCTATCAGAAATACATCGGCTTCGGCGTTGGGGTGGGATCTGTGGATGGATGGGATGGGATGGGATGGGATGCGTTGCTGCAGAATCTGGCAGGTGGGGAGAGAGAGAGAGAGAGAGAAAGAGGGAGAGAGAGAGTGCTTGATCGATGACTTGGGATGAGATGATTGGAGATCTACATGTTGCATGCATTCTAGATAGTAGAGGTGAGGTAACTGGAGGTAACTGGGTTTTGTACGAAGTGCGACGTCTCACCGCACGATATGGTGCAGTTGCACGGCTTCACTTGCACTCGTATGTCCAGCACAGCACCAAGTAAACTTGAAAGTGGCATTGAGAGCTAGTTATTGCGGTGGAGTCACCTACTTGTTCTGGATCTTTTGTGCTTCGTACTTCGTACGGTACCAACATTTTTGCGCACGAGATGACGAGGATAATAATTATGGAGTCGTCGTAGGGACTTTGTAACGGATTCGTAGGGGATTCGTAGGGGATTCGTAGGGGACTTCGTAGGGGGTTGAATCCCAACGGCGGGAGGACCAGAGCTTAGCAGACGGTCGGTGTTTCAGGAGCGGGGGCTAGTCCGGGGAAGGGTTAGTCGCATTATGTCCCCGAGGCACACAGGTATTTTGGAACACAGTAGGAAGTGCATCCACACCCACTCGCTATAATATCACAACACAACACAACACATCGGAGGAATAAATAATACAGGGGAACAGGGAGGCTACATGATCACCTACTATACATATCCCATCAGGTTTGCATGTGCATCTCACCAATGCAATGCCGGGAGTTGCTTTTGGTGACGTCGCCGGGTCCCATTCCGACTCCATCCTCGAGTAAGGAGGAGTACGAGGTATTTTACCCCAACAATTGCACACCAACCATCGCCAACCTCAGCCTCTCCGACCGCTCCTTCAACTCTCTGCCGGCCATGATCGCCACCGCTCCCGCCGAGCATCGTGCCTTTGTGCCTTTGAAGACGTTCATGGATTCCGTGGAAAGCATGTGGAGGAGGAAAGGGCTGTGTGTTGGTTGGCGTTTGACGGAGAGACCATATTTGATGCTGTGCCTGTGACTGTGATGATCGAATACCAGCAGCGTCAATCGGTACGAAATCGCCTCAGCGCATGAAGACACCCAACTGGTTCTGTACCAACCACCACCAGCAGGATTCCGGCTTTCCAGGAACTGAAGGTCAACGCCAACAAACCACGCCACGCCACTCCAGGAGAGATCGAGGATCCCCCCGTCGCCCTAGTCTCCCCAGCATCTTGAACCATCTTTTGTTCGCCCAATCACCCCGTCGCAGACCAGTCAGTTGGCCCGTTGGCGTCGCCGGGCTCTTGTCTCAGCAGTGTTTCCAAGCCGCCTATCACATAAGCCTCCCACGTACTTGGTATAATTTTGCTGTTTGATCTCCAACGCCCCCATCCCCCTTCATTTTCATTCTCCAAATAATCTTCTTCGACCTCGTCCTTCTTGCGCTCTGCCCACCTGATCCTGGCTGGCTCCGCTGGTTCAAACGGCCGCCGCCACCTCTGTCTGTGTGTGACTTGCAAACGTTGGCCCGAGCCGCCAGTCGCATCTTAATTTGTTTGCATGTATGTCGATCGAAGAAGTCGCGCGCCCGATTTCCTCGTCCCCGCCATCGTCATCTTCAATTTCTCCTGCCCCGGCACCGCCCCTGATCCTGATCCTGCCGGTGTGATTGCAGCCAGTGACCGCGCCTGTTTGGAGCTGGCATCCTGGATTGGCGGCCGGAGCCCGTACACCGTACCCCGTCCTCGCCGAGAGCACGAAAGGACTTCCAGTTCCTATTCCAGTCCCGATTTCTTGATCCCGGATCTACGAGAAGATCACCTGTGGTGCTATTTTCCAGTCCGGCCGGTCGGTCTCAGTTCACTTCCTTTGAACGACGACCTTTCGATCTGCTCTCCAACAATAGGGTGTCGACCACTCCATCCTTTCTCCCTTCACCACAAACCGCACACGACACGATTAACTCTTTCTTTCTCTCCTGCTTAGAGGTCTCGACACATTACGAGTCGGACTCACACATGGGCGTCCTGTAGTGAATCCTCCCTTTGGTTCCGGATCCTCCAGGGCGAGTAGGCCACTCGACAGCTCCGGCAGCAAACGACTGACGCCGCCCTGCTCCTACATACCTTCTCTCCGATTCACTTCAAATTATATTCACCTCACCTCACTTCGTTCCTTTCTTGGCAGTGCCAAATTTAGTTCAGATGCCGCCGACTCTCGATCTTGCAAACACCTACTCACACGCAGACATGATCCTCTCATCAAGGAACTCGCCTCGCATTAGCTTGCGTAAGGCAGGCTCCTACAACGGAGAGAAAGGCCCCTTATCCTCAACTTCGTCACGCTTCAGCTTCAACCACCTAGTCGCCTCTCCTCCTCCATCTCCAAGTCTACCTGCTCTGGTGCCGAGACATGGCAAGCCAGTACCAGCCCACAACTCTCGGAAATACCTGCGTGGATTGCTATGGCTGTCCGGCGTTCTGGTGATACTATACTTCGGCGTTACCACATTACGACTGCATCATCCCATCGAGGCAGTAGGATGGGCGGCCAACAGTGGGAATCAGTATGAGATGGTGGGCGACACGGAACTGCCTGATTTCCCCACGCCAGTGGTGGTGACGGACAAGCGTGGCCGAGCAAAATGGACCGTCTCTATTCCTCCGGATCATGAATTCCCCTTGGATCCCAAGCAGTATGCGGAAATCTGCTCGCAAAACAAGGAAGTCGCTACTCATGTGGCCGATTTACATAGCCATAAGCATCGAGAACACGCAGCTCACTTCGGATACTACCACGTAGACCCTAACTTTATGGATGTGGCCGAGGCAGAGGCTCATGGACTCCTCCCCGGACCGAAGGCTAAGACGAGCATGAAAGGGCAAGATGGCTCCGTGATTGGGGATAGCACCGATGATGGGTTGATCGTTGCCGATGTCTGCGAGAAATCCATGACATTCGTGTTAGAGACGCATGATGCCGGATTGGGTAAGACCTTGATGATGTTGTGGACTGCTTATGGCTTGGCAAAGAAGGAGGGAAGGGAGTTTTTCATCGACGATTCCAGATGGTAAGACCAACGTCGTGTCTTTTCTACAACTTGCTTACAAACTCAGGGTATACGGCAAATTTACCAAATTATTCCAACCACCTCCCATTCCAGGATGCAGACCCCCTCCGCGTCACGAGATGTTGCCATGTCCGCGTCATGCGCGCCATCTTGCAGTCTCTGCTGCCAATGCCGGCCACATCTTTGGCGGCGCTTTCAACGAAGCCTTCGAGGATGCCCGGAAGATGGAGGTGTACCGGCAAAAGCCGATTTTTAACCTTGCTCGCCAAGGCTACGAAGCACTATTCAATCTCTCCGGCGAGGACCAACAGTACGTCGATAAACGTCTGGCTGAGCTAAAATCCAAGACGAAACTTCCAACCACGGAGAACGGTCATGGTATAGTAATCGGTGTCCATGTCCGTCATGGTGACCGTCATCCTTTCGAATTCCAATATAAAGACAGCTATGTGCCACTTGATCGTTACAGCGACAAGGCTCGTGAGCTACTCCACAATGCCTACAAGGGCCAGAACAAGGAGGCCGAAGAGCACAGCTTGACGATCGTCGCATCCGATGATTCCGACGTCTACAGCGCCGAAGAATTCGCCCAGGCATCTCGCGCTCAGGAACAAATCCGACTCGCATCCAAGCAATATTCCAAAACACCAAAGCCCGTAGGCTCCAACGGGATGAGGAATTTCGTCGCCGAGAGCGTCGGTTGGGAAGGCGGTTTCTTCGCACGAATGTTCTGGAGCCTCGGCAAACCCAGCAGTGTCCCCGTGACGGCCATCGAGGCGCCCGATACGAAATTACCTCCTACGGAAGAAGCCCTGAGACTCAGGGAGTTGGTCGGACGGGCATACTTGATGGATCTTGCCGTACTAGGACAGGCAAGCGACAAGGTTATATGCACCGTCAGCGCGATGGGGTGCAGATTACTAGCCGTCATGATGGGATGGGAGAAGGCGATTGAGAAGGACGGGTTTGTGAATATCGACGGGGATTTTGAGTGGAGGCATGTTTCTTGGTAGTTTTTTCTTGTTTGCTTGCTCTTTTACGCAACCACAAACGCACACTGCACATAGTTTTCCTCTCCTATCTCGTTTGCCAGCAAAAGCAAGCTCTTCAACTGTCTATTTTTGTTTTTTTGTATTGGGCGTTTATTACGGCATGGGTGGCGTGACATACATATCTGGGATGGTGTTGTCGGAACCTCTATACCTCGGGCATTTGCATATTATATATGCATGGATGGCGTGTTTCTTTTTATCACAAAATGTGAATAGCGGGGAAATATGCTGGGGGGGAAGCAAACGGAAGTTTGTAGGTGGTCTGTCTGTATGGCCGTTGAAATGCGCGGGAGGGCTGTATATAACAGCGCTGGTCATGGCAGAGGACAGAAGGGTACATAAATGGTGGTTGTCTGAACATAGACGGAATACATACATCAAACTACGTGTTTATAAAGCTGTTGAGGAGAATAATGAGGTGATATTGACCTACAGTACTGCCCTAGCTAAGGAGCTGTAGTGGTCTCTAACCAGTCACCCAATCCAAGAGAAACCCATGGCCCGGCTACGTGCCTACCCGTAAACATGCTGCCGTGGGTGATTACATCATATAACATCGACACATCGAAACAAAACCAAATGAAAGTTTCGGCATGTGATTGAGCTGGTGCCAGTAGCTTTGAATTTACGCCAGTTAGGAGTGAATCTTTATGTCGCAGCTGGTGGGCGTGTATAAAGTATGCATACATACCTAGGTACATAACACACCTTGGAGGCGTGTAAAATATATCAATCTGCTAACACTCCAAAACTGAAGTTGTTGCTATTTCCTCTCTGTTGTATTGTAGGTGTAATAGACACATAAAGCCTCTAACTAGTCTCCAAATTGGTTGTGGTTATAATATATCCTAAACGTTTATATTCAATCCCATCTAGACCCCATCTATTCGTCCTCTAGTCAATTCTAACTCCCCTGCCATAACTCCTAGAATCGCCGTTCTATACCCCTTTTCTAAGACTTCATTGCGCGTGCCTCGCCCCGTTTCCATAGGGCTCGATTATGGCAGGGCTAGGCGATCAAGCGTTTTATTAGAGCCGCTATCATGATATGTGCTGGGCACAATCCACCTAAACCGTTCCAACAATGCGTAGATGGTCGTCGTGTTGATGTGCTGTGAGAAATTGCAGCCCCATTCAAGGCCACAAGCAAGCAGCATACTCGGGATACCCCCTCACCTCCCCATAAATCTGACTTAACTCATCACTCATCATCTGCGGGCCATCCAAGTGCCTCTTGGACTCCGCGAAAACATGTCTCTTCAACGCCACGTTCCACGCAAAACTCGAGTGTCCAATCCCCGCAAAATCAGACGCCTTCAACATCACCAAAAAGTCCACCAGTGACTGCTGATCCCACTTCAAGGCCTGCAACTCCTCCAAATCCCTCCCTTTTAAGAGATCAAATTTCGTTGTTACAGTGAAAGCATCAGAGGCCTTCGAGGCGTCGACGGCGAATCTTGCAACTTCATTAAGGTCGCCAGAGGCTACGTAGACGATAGAGGAGTTTGACCGCGGTGCTTGCTCGAGGTATGCCTTCGATTGGGTTTCGTGCCGCGAGTATACCCAATCTGGGGCAGGCCAACCCTCCACGGCGTCTTTTTCGGTTCGGAGATGTGCTCCGAAGAATGCCTTTGGGAGAATGTCCTGGGATAGGTCGAGGTTGAGAGAGTAGGTTTCTGCTAGGCTTTGGAGGGTTTTGGTTGCAAGGACGCGGACGTCCGATCGGGGTTTGAGGATGGAACCAAAGGAGAGGGCGAAGGCTTCGCCATCTGAATAGATAGGGTAGGTGAGGTATGAGCGTCCGAGGTCGATTACCATCGGACCTGGCACTTCGGGAGTGGAGAATTGCTCTAGCCATGTGTAGAACTGCCCCCGCCAGGCTGCTGGCTCGGGGAGTCCCGTGGCTGGAACGTTATCAACCAGACTCTCCGGCAGAAGTGAGATTGCATCGCGGGGATTGTGGAAATCCTTGATATCCTCTATCGATGAATGGATTTTCAGCGAGGGACACGAGAGCCGTATTGAATCTAGGAAGTGCTGGGTGTCGAACATAAACGACATATCCGTCTTCACCCCCGTCCTTATCTGCGTTATGTCCATGGTGTCCCGCAGCACGATGCTCGGGATAACCAGACTTGCGCCTGCTGAGATGGCATAGCGTACACAGTTCAGAATCGAGTTTTTGATGTTCCCAATGCCTCCAACAGATTCATTGCAGGTGAATACCACGCTCTCATTCCATTGCGTCGCACCACAGATGCTCTTGATGGATTCGGAGTCGAGAGCAGGGAAATCGAAGATGTCCACTGCTACCTCTGGGACTTGACCAAAGAGGGGTCGGTTGGATATACGATTGGGAAGTTGGTACGATGGATCGAAGGTCGCCCAAATCCAGATTGCCCCAAGAATAACTGATGCAAGGACAGAATATCGTCGGTTGACCTTCGGCGACAGTTGGACCCCCATCTCAAGCTGTAGAAAAGTCCAGAGGGACCATACTCGACAGCATTGGTGACGATATATATCGCCAGGGCTGTCCGGCCATGATCGCCATTATATATATCAGAGCCGTCGGCGGCGTAGTTGTTGGCTACGCCTCTCCATCGCATACTGTTCAAATGATCGGTTTCGGCCAGGATCTTCATTGTATCAAGAACTTTTGCGGCGTGGTGTGTTGGTGGATTTGTATGTCGAAATAGTGGATTTAGAAGGGGCACAGGTCTTGTAAGTGTTTCTGCTACCACCCCCATTGGACCACTTGGATCCGTGCTAGTTTAGTAACCACAATTAGGTCGATCCTGTCCGTTTCTATTCCGCCTCCACAATGTTACCTATTTGTGTGCTCGTGGATTGTTAACAGCCAAGAAGCTTCGCGCTTCCGATGGGGCCGCGTCCAATTATTCCCCTGGGATCTGAGTGCAAATGCGCAGGCCAAGTATCCAGCCCAGAATTAGAGTCAAAACCTCCCTGTCCAAAGTGTAGGCGCGGGGGCAGTGCAAGAAACATCCATATCAGCCTTCCTTAGTGTGCAGCAAGGTGGTGGTTTAGTTGAACGGCGCTGTGCATTGATTTCTTGACTTTTTATTTTCCGCTGTTTGGAATCTTAGTCCTCTAGCTCTCGATAGGGGATCATTGTCAAGTCACCCGTTCTTGTTATTTCGTTCGCCGTGATGTTAGGTCTATCTCGTGGCTGCTATGCAATGACTCCATTTTGAATTTTTGAACGGTACCATGGTCATCGAAATCCTATGGGGCATGGTAGGTGGTCATGATATCTATCGGCATCCCACCTCAATCTGTTGATCTTCTTCTGGAGGGCCATAGATCTCAACATGTCCGATACTGCCAATGTCGCAATCTTCCATGACGTGACAGCCTCAAACATACCTTGGACGCTTAATTCCACGAGACACAGAGATATGACTCTATTGAATATGAGATAAGCTATTCATTAATTTTTGATGAGACTCGCCATGAACACTTATGATGGGAAATGGAATAAAACATTTATTAACCCAAAAGTTTGAAACAGACAAAATGTCTAACGACGAATTGGCGGCAAGGAAAGCAGCTTCATGACCCCAAAGCATCTCGGCGCATCCGACTCGCAATATCTCGAGCCACATAAATCTGGCCGTACAAATCCGTTACATTAATTAACACACCCAATGCTTCTCCCACGCGTTTGCTCACGAGTGGGATCAACCGCTCCTTTGCAGCCACGACGCATGACCGTTCGTACTCGGCCAGCTCCATTAGTTCTTTCTTTCTTCTCATCGCTTCAGCATCTTCTGTCTTACTCCTGCCTTTAATCCTATTAACGGTCTCGTGCTTGTCGGGGTTCCTCGATTCGGAAACTTGGAACTCGGGAAAATTCAAGCTGTTCACATTCGACTCTGCTATGTCTCGCGCCAAGGATCCATAATCGTTATACATTCGGCACATAGCGGCCAAGTGGTTAGCAAGATCTTGTTGTAGGTAACTAGCCACCGCTGTTGGGGGAGGCCCGTTTTTATGCCCGGTTCGACAGACCAACCAAGCAAATGAGTACGGGCAAGAGGTGTCTACCGCAGACGTGTTTTGCATCCAGTCGTAAAAGGTAACTTTGGCTGGGAACACCGGTATCGAGAGGTTTGGTGGCTGCTGAGCCAAAATCGCATTGTCAGCACAGTGATCTAAGTGTGCGAGAAGGAATCTTCGTAGTTGGTTTGAAAGGTGTGCGAGGGATGCAGGCGAGGCGGTGATGATACGTGGATGTTGCATTACATGGTTGGAAAACTTTCGAAGAGTTGCTTCTGTCGAGGCCATAACAGGTGGGCGCTGATAAACGTCCTTTTCGGGACAGGGGCTGTAGGACTCGCACGATGTGGCTTTGCTTGAAATGGAAGTTTGTTCAACATCACTAGACTCCGATGTCTCATCCCCGCTCGTTGTGGACCCGGAGGGAGATTCCTCCCTAGGAAGAACATCCAAGTTATGGATCAGATCTTTGATGATTGCTTGAGTGTCTGGAGATTGGATATCCTCGATTGTTTCCATAAACTCATCTGCTTGATAGTTGAGCATCGATATCACCATCATATCCCACAATAGGTCCGCCTCGAGGGGACCGCCGTCTTTGTTATTGCATGCGGTCCAGGTAAACGGGATATATTCTAGGTACTTGTCTTCCTCCATATCCTTCCGAGGAAACACCTCCAAACGAATGCGACGGAGACGTGGAAGGAAGAGAGATCCCTCTATGATAGACGATTGTAACTTCCATTTTGGTTCGCTTTCCAACAATGGAATTCGAGAGAAAAAGCTAGCAAACTTGGTGACTTTGGCCTTTGAACTCTGAACCAGACTTTGAACCTTTGAAGTGCATTGATAAGATATCGTGGAATAATCATTTGCCGCTTTGCAGGCCGCGATGGAGTAAGTTTTGGACAAGACGCTGGAGCTATAGCTAACTTTTTCAATCCAAGTATAGCTTGCATTCTCCCACTCGTGGCGAGATTTGACTAAGAAGTCACGTCCCAGTTTGATTGCGTTGCCAACATGCTCATCGAGACATGCCGTCCATTGAAATAGGGAAGAGTCGACCAGAGTAAGCAAAGCATAGGCAGTTTCCTCACATGATACGTTCTTTCCCCAGGAGCCATCCGGATTTTGCCGAGCTAAGGTTTTGTACAATATTTGAAAGAGGACTAATAAGACTTGGTCGGTTATAAGCTGCTCCGGTAGCTCTGGCAGGGTTCCTTGATCCCATAGAATGATCAATTTCCTAAAGGTTTGTGCTAGGAGCATCATTGGGTACTGATGGCAAAGGTTCTACATCATCGGTTAGTGTATGATGTTTAATAATATTGGATTCAAGGCATACCCATTTATCAGTGATATTTCCAGCCATCCAAGATTTGCAGAGAAAGATGGTGGTCTTTGAAATTTGCTTGGTGTATTGACCAGGGTTCTCGACATGAAGCAGTGCATTGAGGACATTGCAGTTTGCACTGAAACTTGCATTCCGCTCCCCTGGGTACGTTCTGAAGTGTGAGGTGGCTTCGAAATTGGCAATCATTCCGTCTGGGCTAGTTGGGCGACCCAGAAGATTAAGTGTTAGGATGGTTTTGGCAGTGTCGTCCGCGTCGGGGATTAATTGGGGCGCTATGCTTTGTTAGCCTTGTGGTCCAGTGTTTTACGAGGTAGTGAGTCTCCTAACCAAATCCAACAATGCCATTTCTATCTTGAAATTCCTTCTCAATAATACCAGATAATCTTTTAACGTTGTATACCCCTAACTCATCAACGGTGAAGCCGGCACTGAGGAGAGCAGAAAGAACCTATATTATCTAAGTTAGCATGGTCACTCTGATAATAAAGGTGCTAAAGCATTCTTACCCATGTCACTTCAAATATGGTTGTGGGAAAAGCACAGGCAACACCACCATTACCCCTTCCTGTGCCTCCCGTTATGACGGATCTGAGATATGACTCCGCTTCTTGATCCCAGGTAGAACATCCCATCAAGTATGCTGCCGTAGACGCTGGTGATGCCATGATGCTGCCGAGGCATTTCTGATGGCCGATGCGATCAAAGTCTATTTTCCCTATGAACGCTTCTAATGAGTGCAAAGCAGTGGTTTGCAAAGACCCATAGAATAGCTCTGGCCTAAATTTTGCCATTTTCATTTGGTTTAACTCTAGAAGTAGCTCCTTCCCAGGGAACGAGAAGCTTATGTCGTAACATTCTAGCATTGTCATGAGGGCAGGGACAAGATATTCAAACCCCACATGGTCACAAACATCTACATCCCATTGTTGAAGCTGGCTCTGAAGATTCTGCTTGGCGTTTGAAATGCGCAGTTCACTATTCCAAGGGGCTGGCGAGCGAGGGGACGGAGACAAAGTTGTGCTGTGTTTAAGCAAAGCAAGGAGTGCTCCCATGGTGTTCAAGATTCCGTCGACCTGTGAAGCATATGAAACCCATCCACCCGATTCGAGTTGTGTTTCCAGCAAGTATTGAAAACATTCTGGGAAAGTCCAGCATGTTTCTCCGTCGATATCCTGAGATATCATCGCAAGCCAGGCCGTATCATATATTGAAGGAGACATGGAACCACTTCCACACGGTCTATTGGACTCGTTGGCTAGAGCGCTGATCGTCAAAAGAGCATCTTGGGCATCATTGTATTGGCTACCAAGTATACTGTAGTTTGAGGAAGACATGTTTGATCGAGCTAACGAAACGATCTGTGGAGAAAACGACAGAGAATTTGACAAGTCAAAGAAAATCGATAACTATATCTTAGAGAATATCATTTCTACTTTTACAGCTTCACAGCCTCACAGCCTCAAAACCAACTCTAATAGAAAGCTGATTGAGCATCGTAGCCAAGCTGGACCTCGGTAAGTTCGCTATTCTTAGACCTTCCTAAATTATAAAGCAATCATATTCTACACTGGATTTAAAATATTATTTAGCGTATATTCAATTGAAACTAGCAGGGAGTTAGAAAGTAGAAGGATTCTAGGTAGTAGGAATACTTCCGATGTACATTATGAATCACAGCTTAGCTGCACTCCTAGCCCCTGTTAGGCCGCATTCAAATGTCTCGGGTCATCGTTCGCCCTTCGTTGGCCCTTTGCAGTGCATTTTGATGATATTATTGGCCCACGTCCGAAAAATAGAATATCAGGAGCTCTGTGTTACATTACTATATGCTCGGGACTGGTTTATGATACCCTTGTGTGCCGCTGCTTGTAAAGTTGGATTTACTGCAACGGCGGTGGATGGACTTAGACGGAATTAAGCCTATCTGTGTCTCTACTTAAACGTCAGCAATAAATATTCACAGGGAGTGTCCCAGGCGCAGCAACATTAAGATATTCAGGCTAAGTTTATATTTAGGTGCAGGTGCTTTGCTAACTTCTGCGTGGTGGTCATGTTAACTGGATAGACCATACAGGAGCTGAAGGAACCGGCTTGTGAGTACCTCCGTATTATTATCCGATACGCAAAATAAGCCGAGGCCCGACTTGTGTAACAAGTAAGTACTATCCTATGAAGCTTGCATACCAACAAGGCGCATGTACATGGGAATTATTTTTACTGCAAGTGGTTGGATTCGACAGTGCTTTGTATAGATGGGTTGCTGGAAGCAGTGCGCGACTATCAATTTACCTGCCTCCAAGAATGCCGACTCGCAGTTTTACCCCGCTGCACCCTACTCCATTTTCTATCACCCTGCGAGCTATACTTTGAAGCCTCCTTGTATCTGTGGCTCTCATTAAATTTCAGACAATTTCTTTCTCTAACTGACATTTGTGGAGGACACTCAAAAATATACTACATCCTTACTGACGAGCATCTCGACTGAAATACAAATCTCGCATCATTCAGCACGATGCAGCCAATTACACTATACTGGAGGCGTAAGTGTGCCAGCCCTATTGAATATCCTTCTTAATATGTTGGGTCTTGATCGCTAACTAATTGCCCACTTAGCTCAGGTTCCCAACCCCTCCAAGGTATGACGGTATTGCCCGTATAGAGTGATTGTAAGAGTTTTAAATACTTCTAGATTGTAATTATCTTCGAGGAGCTTGGTATACCCTACGTTGGAAAATTCATCGAGCATGCCGACTTGAAGCAGCCAGCTTTTGAAGCAATCAACCCAAATGGGAGGGTCCCAGCCATCCACGACCCAAACACCGACTTAACACTCTGGGAGTCTGGTGCCATTGTCTCGTACCTGATCGAAAAGTACGACACCGAACACAAACTTAGTTACGTCACCGAGCCGGAGAAGTACCATGTCCTTCAGTGGCAGCACTACCAATCCACTGGCCAAGGACCCTACTGGGGCCAAGCAGCTTGGTTCCAGCTGTTCCATCAAGAGCCCCTGGAGTCTGCCAAGAAACGGTACGTCGATGAGGCGATCCGCATTGTTAAAGTTCTGGATAAGTGGCTAGCAGGCCGCGACTGGTTGGTAGGGGATAAATGTACATATGCGGATTTGGCTTATGTGTCGTGGAACGCTGCAATTCCATTGTTTATGCAGGGAAGAAGTGAGTGGAATATGGATGACTATCCAAACTTCAAACGCTGGAACGAGGCTATGATGGGCAGAGCAAGTGTGATGAAGGCACTTAGCATGGCGAAGGAAGAAGATGTGAAAGGATAGGTCACAGGTGCTTGAATAAGCGATGGTAGCCCTTGTGATGTATGATATCAAAATTCAAAGGCCAAGTAGGACTGTGAATTGTGTTCATGTCGGATATTTTGCTCTATTAATAATTTTTCATTTAGATTATCTCACAGGCCCAGATGTACTTCGAGTAGCCTTCTTGAGTTGAACATCGAGAGATTGCTTTTCCCAAGTCCAGTATATCTTTTGCTGAGTCCAGCTGGGTAACACTTTTCCGTCCGGCACTTCAATATCAAAGTTCCAAAGGAGTCTCGAAAGGATAATTCGCATTTCCACCCATGCCAAAGTTTGTCCGATGCAATTGTGAGGTCCCATGGAAAATGGGTGAAAGGATGATTTATTGTCGTTTTTATAAGGCGAATCGTCGCCCTGGTGCTCGCTCAACCATCTTTCTGGTAAGAAAACATCGGGGGAGACAAAATTTGATTTCGACTGGAAAGTCGCCCAGCACGGCACTGAGACCGTCATCTTTTCGGGGATCATATGGCCGCAAATAATCGCACCACCCTTAGGAACCTCACGCCTTAATCCATCTGGAAGCGGAGGGGAAATGCGGAGGGTTTCATTAAGCACCGCTGTTAAGTATGGGAGCGACGCTAGTGATGCTGCCGTAATCTGATCCTCAGACTCAGAATTCGCTCTTATTTCATCAACCACGGTCTTGAATGCCTTTGGATCTTTCAAAAGGTGGTGTAGGGCTCCAGCTAAGGCAGTAGTCAACGTTTCACTTCCTGCCACAACGATGGCCATGGAATTCGCTTCGATCTCTCCCTGAGATAGCCCTGTTTCTGGAGACAGTTTATTATGTTCGATAACATGCGTCATAATATCGGGGTGGTCTGGCTCGCGTGACAGACGGTCTTTGACTTTGGAATGAGCGGTAGCGAGGGCTTGCTCCAAGTCTGCCATTGCGGATTTCGGCGTGATGCTCATGAGGAAGGCTTCAACCCATGGGTAGTACTTTATAGATGTTGCCACAAGTACAGCCTTGAAGTGGAGAACGACTTTGATCCATGGATGATATGATGTATCCTCTAGGCACCGGAAGGAAGATCCCCAGCCCAGATCCCCAATAATATCGAAAGTTGTGAAGTTTATCCATTGTACCAGATCAACTGTAGCGGTATTTTGTTTGGAACCTTGAATAGCTTCCTCCAATCGGCCAATCAAAAGATCAACATACCGCTCGATAGTAGGCTCGTGCTGCCTGACTGCCTTTTCTGAAAATGCAGGTTGGAGGACTTTCCGGAATCGAGTATGATCAGCCACAGGGGCTGAGATGACATTGTGAGCCTCAACTCCTGGTGGTCGAGATCCCCAGACTTTGGGACGAATAAAGGCCTTCTGTAGATAGATATCTTTCCACGCCGTGGAGTCAATGAAGGACAATTCATCCGGAGCCACTCGCACAATGCTACCATACTGATCATGGAGGTCCTTGATACGATACGGAAGCGTACCAGCGAGCATGTGCTTGATGAAAGGTATTCTGGAGATGCTCCATAACTTTGGGCCCCTGAACTTCGCTAGGGGATGAAAGTACGCGTTATAAATTGCGGATGTAGTCAAGTACTGATCATGTCAGCTTCTGGTTCTCTCCGCGATTTCATTCACCTACGCCGAGAACGACCGCCACGGCATATGACCACACGTTGTCGCCTACTGTGATAGCCATGGTAGGTGAAAATCGTGGGATTCCACGAGGTAAAGTAGAACTAAAGGATAACGGCGCTGCGCATCAAGTTTGCGAAGCTCGTGACCGAAGAAAGTGGAAGGCTGAGACTCCGAGTCTCTGAGAGATGTTGGATTCAAGAATCACGACTCATGAGCCCAATGCTGCCTTCACTAGTGCTGATATGCCATGAGGTAAGCACTGCGCGTTTGCACCTGCCAGGCTGCCACTTTGTGATACTTTTCCCTAATAACGGGCACGTTTTATGATTACCTAGGTAGTTGCTACAGCTCAAACAGAACCGGCGTTTTTCCGATCCTCGATGTGTGGAGGTGCCATCTACGAAGTACTCGAGTGCAATTAACAACTTCGGAGGTATTATGCTATGCTGGTAGATGCACACAGCCACGGGCTTGCAACTTCGTGTGACAGCTCAACGGCCACTAGCACTAGTGTATTATTATGTATGACACCACTGGCATGCATTTCAGAAATCCTTCACGATACGACAAGAGTACAGGCTTTTGCCACATCCTAGGATAGCAGTGTTGGTCATGTTGGTTGGTGTTTCATCCCACAATTGCCCGTGACTGCACGCCACCAAGGAATGTCAAGTCACAGCCTCGGCTCTCAACAAGCCCGAAGAGTCGAAGACATACCGGATCCATTCAGGTACCATTAGGAAGGAGCATCCAAGAATACTAACGAATAGCAACATTGCGTCGAATTTGCCGCATAGTCTTGTTTTTTGAACGCAAGTGTGCGCAAGGCGTTGTGCCAGACGATCCCGGAAGGATACGGCCATACGAGTACTCGTGTGCCTAGCTGAGTTGGCTCTACCTCCCGGCGACAAGAGGGTTCCAGACAAGGACGTTCAGCTGCGCGAGAACATCACATATTTGGGCACCACACTAAAATTCAGCTTGCAAAGAGCCAAGACAGGAGGAGCAAGGCGCATTCTGAATTTCAGCTTTTAGTGGCACACCGGTTCCACCATGTACAGGCAAAGAGCTAGTGATGTATCACCCGTTAATCGTTGCTATTCTCGAAATGCTCGGCCTAACCAGAAAGAATGCCGGCAGGCGAGTGATGAATAGCCCCTCGATTGTTATATTCTCGATAATTATCCTGATTCCTGATCCAATGTTCCTCGGGCCAAAGCCACAAATATAGTTGAAGGGACAGTACAAAACTACACTTCATCTTCAACTAAGTTAGATTTTCCCACGTTTAGTACTAGCACTCTGTCGCACTCTTACAACCATAGAACCAAAACCATGGAGTATTTTATAGATCAATCATCTATTATTTTTGGAGTTCTATCTCTTGCCATTCTGCTATATTCTAGTTCGATCTTTTCCATGCGCTCAGCTGGCCGCAAAGTCCCGATGGTTGGGCTTCGCTCGATTCTTGACCACCGCCTAGTTGCGAATTATAATTTCTTTCGGAATGCGGCTAGTGTTATCAATGAAGGATATTCAAAGGTAACCCTATTCTTTGAATCATAATGATAGAATCTATCATAACCAAACAAACCAAAATAGTTCAAAAAGTCCCCTTGGTCATTTGCAAGAGCGGACGTAGACATGCTAGTTCTACCACCTGCATACGTCGACGAGCTCCGAAGCTTGCCCTCGTCAATTGCGAGTCCTACAGTGGCACATGCCCATAACCTCATGGGATCTCACACAAATATGAACATCATCCTGCGCAATAACCTACACTTCCGAACCTTGGTGGAGAAAGTGACGCCAAATTTAAATTTTTTGACTGCGCCTATGCAAGATGAGCTTGACTACGCAGTTGAGAAAGATCTTCCCGAGTGCGAGGGTAAGGCGCCAACCCCACCTTGAGCGCTACACAAAGCAGAGTTAACTTTGAGCATAGGTGAATGGGTTTCAATCAAACCGTACCATGTTATACTTCGCTTGGTCTCACGTATCAGTGCTCGGATTTTCCTTGGTTTGCCCCTCTGTCGAAGTGAAGAGTGGCTGGAGATATCAACCGAGTTCACTGAAAATGGTACGCAATCAGACGCCATTGTTACCTGGGATTTACTGACTCAAATATTATAGTATTCGTTTCATTAGTTGTGTTGAGACTATTTCCAATGTGGACACACGGACTTATAAGTTTTTTGCTACCGTCGTCCTACAAAGGCGCGAACTACATCAGGCGTTCCAAGAAACTTCTGGTTCCAGAAATCATCCGTCGACGACAAGAAACCCCCTCAGAAAAGAAGCCAGAGGATGGTATGAATTTACTTTCATGGATGATGGAGATTGCCACGCCAACGGAGAGCGACCCATCTGATATGGCCCATCTACAGGTCGTCATGTCACTCGCTTCTATTCACACCTCGCAAATGAATGCAGTGCATGTACTTTACGATCTAGCCTCTCGACCCGAATATGTGGAGCCACTCCGAGAAGAGATAATTCAATTAATCAAAGAGGAAGGGCCGTGGAGACAGTGGCAGAAGCCTGCATTTTCGAAACTCAAAAAGCTGGATTCATTCATGAAAGAATCTCAGCGCTTCAACCCACCAAGCTTGCTGTCGTATCATAGAGTCATGCTAGAAAAACATGTGCTCGCGGATGGCATGGTCCTTCCACGAGGCGCTCATATCAGCATGCCAGTTAGCGCAATTCAAAACGACCCCGAGGTTACGTCTGATCCTGAGGTGTTTGATGGGTTCCGTTACTACAAGCTTCGACAGCGTGAGGGAGAGCGACATCTTCACCAGTTTGTTACGACTCAGACTACCAGTCTCAATTTTGGACACGGCAAGCACGCGTGCCCAGGACGCTTTTTTGCCAGCTTGGAAATCAAGAATATTCTGGTGAGGCTCATCATGGACTATGACTGGAAGCTGGAGGATGGGAAGGGAAGGCCTCCAAACCTTACTGCCCATGAGTTCATCTTTCCAAATCCCGAGGCCAATCTCCTCATGAAGAAGCGCCGGAAGGAGCTGCTCTTGGACTCAGTTGTGCCAGACGCCCCAGTACCAGCGACGCGAACCGAGCCAGAGACCTCAGTTGAGATAGAAACCCGGGAGCTTTGAGATAAATGGTTATCGACGAACGCAAACTCCAATTATACTAGTATAGGAAATCTTTCCCTGAGCTGATGGTTATCAATGTTAATTATCTCCATGTAAACTAATTTTGATTTTTGACAATGTAAACAAGTAAATTAGGAGCCTGGAGTAAAATCCAAATGCCCTCGATCTATTCATTCCAGCATCCCAGATGAATAAATTGTGGTCTTCTTCTCTTGGTTCTCCACGTGCGCATCCCTTATGGTGGCTGACAGTGCAGCTGGCTCCTTCAAACGTATCTAGCTAGGATAGGGGGTTTTCCGCTAACCTTATTAACTAACGCCTGGCCTGTTCGATTACCCCGCGGCCGTTTTGCCGCTGCAGGGCTCCACGCTTCAAGCTTTTGCCCCGCTCTTTTGCGGGGATATAATTATTACTGTACTCCATACTCTATTAATAATTATAGATTTACGAAGCAGAAGTGGGTGGTAATACGGCCAAGTGATCCACCGATGCTTCGATCCCTTCCCCAAGTTGCCCCGTTCCGACGTTGCACAATCCTTCCGGCGTATCGCACATCGTGTATGCAGATCATCTACCTAGGTGCTGAGGTACATTAGGTCCGTTAGGCCCATTAGTATGTCCGCACGCCGCCAAGCGCCAGGGCTGAATGTCTGCTGCCAACTAGGTTCCTTAGGTATCGGCGACGATAAGATCTCCTATGAAGTAGATGGACCTTGAGACTTTGGGCCCGGGTCACCTTCCCAAATGATGCACAGAGTTGGTAGCCACGGGCTGCACTGCCACCCAGGGAGCTGTTGAGAGCATGCTATAGCGAATGGACAGAAAGAGGATGATTCAATTGTTCAGCTTCAATGCAGGGTGGCATACAGTCAGAAACAGTAATAATCACGGAATGACTTTTCGGCCGAGCTAGAGTTATAAGAGGAAGGTATTGGCTTATCGGGACGTTTGGATAAGGTTACACGCCGATCGTCTGCATTCTCGAGCGCGTGCAAGTGCAGAGAAGAATCCTTCCATTCAAGGATGCCGAGACTGCTTGTTACAGGAGCAGAGACGGAATATATCCTGCATCCAATTAATATCAAGGCATGCAGCCCTTCCCGAAGGATCTCCAGGCTCTTTAGGTTGACTAGCAGCATGGGCGTTGCGTGGCGCCAGCAAGGTTGCCCTCCAAGCCACATGTGACATGTCCAATCAAGTGATCCGAGTCTTACTGGTGAAGGATGAAACCGACATTCAAGACTTCATATTCTGTTGGACCCCAAGTTGTTCTTTTGAAAGCCAACTGTACCACCTATTCGTATCAATTACTCGAGCCATCTCTTTACTATGCCAGGCCTAGAGATACTCGTGCGAGCGGTAGATCCACTTCTCTTGCCACCTGATGGAGAAGAACCAAACTACATCAATCCACTTTCGAGGGGCCAGAAAATTGTTATTGCCAGTGTCGTTTTAACTTCATTTGCGTTTGTATTTGTTATAGCCCGAGTCATTGTTAAAGGATTCGTTACCAAACGATTTGGATGGGATGATATTTTCTGTGTTGGGGCTATGGTAATACCAGAATTCTTGGGTTCTTGGGGGAACTTGAAGATGCCTGAGCTAACAGATAGCTCATTAGGCCGCCTCGATCGCTCGAACAGTGATGAGTGTTATTTGTAAGTTCACTACTTCCTCCTCGGGTATGATAATTAGTTGGAGTTACTCATGGCTTGATTTAGTGGTCGATACATATGGAATCGGCGTTCATGTCTGGAACTTCAATCCTAAAAATATTGTTGCAGCCCACAACGTAAGTCACTACCCCTCTTTGTCGATGGTCGGCTCACATTGTGGCAGATGCAATTTGCTCAGGATATGGTGTACCTTGTGGGGATAATGTGTGCAAAGCTCTCGATATTAACACTCTATGTCGTCATTTTCAATATAAAAAGGCGGTTCCGTTGGTTTTGCTATGCTATGATGTCGATAACTGTTATATACTGCACGATCTTCTTTTTTATGATTGCGTTTAGTTGTGGGAATGCATATGATACTTGGCACTTCTCTTTTGAGGCGGATTGTTTGCCAACCACCGACATCACTGTAGCCATCGGCGCAGTCAATATTTTTACGGATTCAATCATTATGGTTATGCCTATTCCAATAATCTGGAAACTTCAGCTGAAACAGACCCAAAGATGGGGCCTGTTGGCAGTTTTCGGTACTGGCCTCTTGTAAGTTGTTCAATGCCTCTGTCGATCTGTCTATATTAACCTTTTATGTCCAGCGTCTTAGTTTCTGCAATTGTGCGGGAGGTGATTGTAGTTAAGACAGACAAAGAACTTGACCAATCTTGGGTGGTCGTTGATGAGATCATATGGCTGTAAGTCTTCGTCCCGAGCTCTTCCATTGGCACAAACTGACAAATGTATGTAGCACTGTGGAACTCAATATTGGCATAATATGCATCTCTTTACCAGCACTTTCGCCCCTATACACTCGCGTTTTGGCTTCCAAGTTTTACTTGTCATCCCTTCGAAATCTACTTTCATTTTCGGGGGCCGGGTCCAAATCACGGTCGAAACTGGGATCAACCGACGGCACCAAGGAGTCGAAACAGGATTCATCACCATATACTGACAGTGTTTATCTTGTTAATATGGGCTCTTCTCATGCTGAAGCACAAGGGGATGCAAGAAGTAGCGGTGATCCACATGATTATATGGCGTACGAAACGCATAAAAATGGAATCCAGGTGAGGCACAAGGTTGAGCAGCATGTCACCCAGGCTCCCAATGACGGGCATGATATTGTCTAAGTTAATTGCTGTAAACAACTGTGTTTAGATTTAAAAAAATCAAGATAGAACTGATGGCAGTAACATATCAACTTCTATATCGTAATATTTTGTCAAAGAATCATATGCATCTAATATTAGGAAAAATGCGCTAGATTGTTTTAAGGAATACTTTGTAGCATTGTTGAGCTTATGAGCTGAAACTTCTATTTAAAGATCACTTTCTGGACAATAAGGACGAATTATGTCCCTTTTATTTACAGGGGGCCAATCTAGCTGTAGGTGCCTGCTGCGCCCCTAGCAATGTCATATAAAGGTTCGATGACCGCGTCGAAAAAGTACCGGCGCCGCTACTCGCCGCCACCAAGAGAATTAGAACCCCAAGGAACGTTACAATGATTTTAAATGTATGGAGCAGTTTTTTGATATTGATCATCTGCTATTTCGCATCCATTATATGGTCATTGCGGCGAAACATAGCTCTGGCTAAGCAATCTGGTCTTAAATACACAATTACTCCGTAAGAAGCCAAAAAAATTAATAACCCCATCTCCCCTCCTAATAATCGTCTTAGTGTCCATATTTTTTACAAAGGGTGGCTTGCTACACAAAGAGTCGTGTTGATTTTCCTGCGTAAATTGCCGAACTCATGGACTTCATCGTGGCTTCCGTAAGAAACCTCAATCCCAACATCTTTATGGAGATATAACATGCTGATGCCGTTAAAATTACTCTAGTCTCCTAATTTTTGATCGAGTATGGCACGCCGGCCACGAGCCATTCTCACTCATTGGTGCAGATACATTTCTTGCAGTCTCGCCTTCACGAATTGTGCTTTGGACTTGTGATGCAGAAGCCATTCAGCAAATCTGTGAGCGACGCAAGGACTTCCCAAAACCAATTGGAGACATGGGGATGTTGAATATACACGGCCCCACGGTGACAGGAACTGAGGGTGAAGAATCTAGACGGTATAGACGAATTACAGCTGGGTCATTTGGAACCAAAACATACGAGAAAACTTGGAAGGAAAGCCTGGTACAGGCCCGAGAATTGTTTGCAAGATTGAAAAAGTTAGAAGACAAGCGGAGGTTAAACCGAGAATTAGAAAGGATGACTCTAAATGTGGTGAGTAATGTTTGCTGTGGGACTGGGGAGGGAGAAGACATATCCAGTACAAAATCTCCAACGCCAGGGGGGACTCGTAACCATAAAATGACTTATCAAGAGGCATTTGGTACATCTGCCGAGTACATGGGTGCTATCTATATAATCCCTCATTTCATACTAAGGAAGTATCCCGTATCTGTACTCGACTGATGCACCACTAACATTTTAGCAGGGCACTCTCCGTTCTCCAGTCACAAACTTGCATGGAGGTCCTTCCTCGAGTGGCGTTGGTATATGGAAGACCTCGTAAAAGCTCAGCGCGAAACTAGACTCTTGGGACAAGAAAGCCAAAATCTCCTTGGTACGTTCGATTATAAGATGGGTAACAAGCTCTAACGTAGTTTCAAGATTCGCTAGTAGCAGCTGGGGATGATGAAGAAAAAGGGCGCATCTCCGAGTCCGCCATTCTCGGAAACATCTGGGTTTTCGTTTTAGGAGGATACCATACCAGCTCAAATACCCTCCATTTTATTTTCATCCTGCTTGCCATTCACCCAGAGATTCAACGCGAATTACAAAAGTCATTGGATGAACATTTTGGAGATCGGCCACCCTCTACTTGGACGCATGAAGTAGACTTTCCTGCATTATTGAACGGGCACCTCGGCGCGGTAATAGCTGAAACAGTTCGGGTTTTTGGAGTCCTTCCCTTCATTCCAAAGTCAACGGGATCTAGTTCCCAGACTCTAACTCTTGATGGGGGTTTATATACGGTGCCAGCTGAAACTACTATCCTGATCAATACTAGCGCCGTCCACCGAAATCCAAAATATTGGCCCATTACTCCCCCAAAACCCGGTGAGAGAGCGCCATTCCCAGTCTCAAATTGGGATCCTTGGCGTTGGCTGCAAATTGAGAGTGGAAACGGCTTGTTCAACCCACGGCCTGGATCATATATCTCATTCAGTGAGGGCGCTCGACAATGCATTGGAAAGAGATTCGCACAGGTGGAGCTATGTGCTGTACTCGCTCGGGTGCTAAAGGAGGGTAGTATCGAGCTTGCTGTGAAAGGAGGCAATTCCGAGAAGGGAAGTTTAGATTGGGCCCAGGCTAGAGATCATGCAATAAAGGAGCTATCAGATGGAGTGGGTTTTGGAATGTCACTTGAGTTATTCGGCAAGGTTGAACTTTCATTTGTTTCAAGAGATTAGAACGATGATCTGTAATTTTGGAAAGACTAGACAGATGTGCATTACTATGCTACAATTGAATTCGTCAATGATTGACCATAAATCCAAACATACGTGCAGCAGGTCATTTCCTTCATGTAAACTAATTTTTATCCGCCACTCCATCCCTCAATAACGCCAATGATCACGTTTTCACCCCCGAATCTATAGTATTGACAACATTACTATTGGACCAAGCATCCCAAGACTTGCACAGATGGTCCAATTCTTTTGGAATTTGCCTTTTAGGGATGAGATCAGGCCGTTCCTATCAAACGTCAGTATTGTGGAATAGGTTTGAATGGCAGATACCACGAAAGGTAGTTCCAGGTATCGTTATGTAAGGAAAAGTCGATATGATAAATATATATCAGAATAGGAAGCTAATCAACTGACCAACATAATTGCCATAAATCCCAAGCTCGTATGTGCAGTAACGTGACAGTGAAAGGGCCAAACGCCAGGGTTGTCAGCCACCCACTCAATAACAGTATACGCAGGCAGCTCGGGTGTTCCAGCATTGATAATAAAAGTGTCTCTCCTCATTGGATTTTTCGCATTAGTAACTTTCCCATCCCACTTACCCATTCCTTCGGCCAAAACCCATACATTATGGCCATGTAAATGCATAGGATGGGCCAGAGTAAGAGGATTGGTGAGAATCAAACGGATAGAGGAATGTTTACCGAAGTCATAAACGTTTGAATCTGGCGCGTATATCGATGTTTCATTAGATGTACCATTATTGGGGGTCTTGACCACACCCGGGAGGTTTGCTAAGGGCAAAAGTGGTTTATTGAAGTTGGCTCGGAAAGTGGACCCTCCCAGGGTGAAGACGAGGTGGCCCGTGGCGTTTTGGATGAGGTTCATTTCCATTTCCTTCGTGGTTGCCGCAGCATCAGGTGGCAATATTGGTATGAAGGGGACGGTCTTATTCAACGGTTCCTAAGTGTTGCAGTCCGTTAGTCATACTACCTAAAAGGAGCTAGAGCGGATAGTAAAGGAAGGCGAATTATTACGTTCATGCAATCCGTTTCAACGTATGGATTCGCAGTAGAATTTGGACTAGAATCGTGGTCTGTTTCTGGATAATATACTGCGGCGAGGGCGTTCGGTTGGAGATTCGAAATCGAAGCGCATTTCTGGCTATAGTTCGAACGCATCCAGTACGCCTCTCCCGGATGGCCAGTACCATTGACCAGAACGTCGTAGCGCTGGCCAACTCCAATGCTGACAACATCCGATTCAAAGGGGGCCACAGTAATGAAATCAATAGCTATGATGGTGAGCTTGTGATTGTCAATACTGAAACGCTGCATCCCTTCTGATCCGGCATTGATCAAGCGTAGGCGATGAGTCTTCCCTGGTTCGAATGTAAATTTTGAAACACCTGCGTTTGGGGTACAGGTAGAATTTGTGAGGCCGCAGTTGAAGCTCATTTTGCCATTGATAAGATTATTGTCCACAAGGACAGGCGATGGAGGTAGGAAGAGATCATGTGCGATGACATCAAAATAGTTAGTGTGCCACCAGTCGTTCTTGTTTTCGATATCAGCTCCCTAGCACATAAATGGGATTTGAGGGCTACATACGAGCATTACCGGACCTATATCTATATCGTAGGGGACATGCGTAGGGCTTTTAATGTTTAGCCACTGAAGGAAACCCGTATCGAAATAATTAGATAGACATACCCATGAATGATCATTGGACCGAACAGACCCCCGGTGTACTGGGCACTATAATGGCTGTGATACCAAGTCTTCGTTGGTTAATTACAGTTTTGAGGTTCCGAAACTGGGAAACATACTGTTCCATACTGATCAGCCTGTAATTTAGTTAGCAAGTGGGAATGACAGCTCACGAAGAAAGATTATAGGAGGCTATAAAAATGGGGGACGTACCGTAAATTTATAAACAAATGTGCTGCCCGGGGCGATGGGACATTGGGACACCCCAGGGACTCCATCCATCCATGGTGTAGCTTGTTGGGTCATCCCATGCCAGTGAACTGTGGTACCTTCTCCAGGTGATGATAGCTGATTATGGACCGTCACTTGAATTTCGTCACCCCAATCTGCCTCTATGAGTGGTCCTGGAAATTGGCCATTGACCAAAATGACACTTTACTATCAGTTAGCAAATAACAACTAGTAGCAAGCAATGCTTTAGCCCTTCTACATCTTCAACAGAGAAGTATATAGTAGAAAATAGTAGGCTCGAGCTCAAGTTTTATCGGCAGAACAGACTAACTCACCTTGTATCCACTCCATCCGGTGCTATATTTTCCCGGGAAATGGTCCACTCATAATATCTAGTCATTCTGGTATGAGGAGTCACAAGATGAGGAGGGCTCCCGGGACCATACGGGGACCACGGAAATCCTCCTTTATGCTATCCAGATGAAAATATGTCAGTCAAAGTTGCGTAACTTGCGTTTGACGGAGGCATTGAAAAATAACACAAAGTCTCGAGAGGCATACATTAGATCCGAGAAAATCTGGCAATTTCGGTGCCTCAAATGTCCCCCATAGCGAAGCACCGTTTGTAGCTGTTTGGGAAAGATTTGCAAGCAACAAGGTACCCGCTTCCACCATTTTGGTGGTGAAGGTCACCATTTCAGAAGAACTAACCCACTCTAAAAGGACTCGAGCAAGAAAGGGGGAAGAAATGGAAAAAGAGAAATATTTTCACCAACCACGCAAAAATAAAGGACGCGCAGAAGATATTAAGGCTAGAATACTTATAGGGATGCGGATTTGAGAGTTATTGGAATTACTGTAATCAGTTCCCCGTTGCAAAAGTGTGTGATGTGACCCACAATAGGTATGCTAGGAAATCCTTCCGAGTACATTCGGTATCTAGGTACATGTTCATACATAAAACCCCAGAAAGGCAGGCCCGAAAGAGGTACTGTGGTGCCATGCGACGACGGGGATTCCGTGCCACATGTGAAATATTGTGTTGTCCAACTAAGGCAGTCCACCGTAAGCCGGCGCAATTGTAGCTGTGCAGCCATCACTACCCCCCCTGTAAAACCTGGGGGTGCGTGCAGTTGATCAAAAGTGCATATATTGAAATAGCCAAAGGTAATTGTTTTCTAGAACGCTTGGCTTAATAGCTTTTATCCAATGGCCATACACACCCCTGTTTATTCTATTATTATCAGTTGGAGATACTACGATTACTAAAGGTCGCGAAATATACATATCATGTGTAGGGCATTATGTGAGAGAAGGGTGTAGTAGTTAGGTACCTTTGAACTTGGCCATAGGATACTTCCCTCATTGAAATCCACCACCCTTGTCAGCTCTCAAGATGTCTCCACATGAATCAGGAAAACATCGATTAAAGCGACGATAAAACGAGAAGTAAGACAAGGGCAAAGATGTCTTGCAATATCCATGGAGAAAATGTCTATAAAAATCGTAGAACATTGTTGCGAGACCATAATATACGATTTTTCGAAGATCAAGGCGGGTCTTTTCCTCCCTTACCTTGGCCCTAACACCTTCGTGGTAGGCAAAGTCGAAAGGGGCCGCCTTCCATTGATCGGAAAAAACGTGGGATGAAATGTCATTTGTAACTAGGGCCTTAAAGCACCGGACACTGGCCTTAAAACCACCTCTCATAGCTTTACGGAATTGTGGGGAAGTGATGTTTACGACGATCATCTTTGTAACCCTTGAGGCCCTATTGTAGAGAATTCCATGATATTGTTTTAATATGTCTCTCGATACCTGCTTCGTAATATATCTTATCGCGTGAACGACCCTCGTATCTAAACATATATGTAATAACAATATGTTGACTTGAGAAACTTGAAATGTGAGGAATCTGCATCGCAAAGCTAATAGGGAAACTGTCATGGTTACTTCTTTGCATCTTTACAGGGGCCATGTTCAGATTTATACATCAGCGGATGGTCCAAATACCCTCTGAACAGTAGGATACTGATGCCTGCTCTAGTTATAGTAGTAAATTTTGCCGCCTAGTTATATATAGGGCATCTGTTGGATATCATTCCTAGCTATTTAAGCTTTGCTATATATCACAAGTATTTGGAATATCCCAATCTACACCGGCTGTTGGGCGCCTTCCTTAAAAAGGAATGAATCTATTTTTTATTTGCCGGCTACTCTGTACTCGAGTTTTGTTGTATATCGCAATTCTTCCCCGTGAAATTCTCAAAATGTGGTCTGCGCCTTCCTCAAAAAGGAATGAATCTATTTTCTATTTGCCGGCTACTCTGCAGTCGAGTTCTGTTGCACATCGCAGTTCTTCCCCGTGAAATTGCGAGTCGGGCTTTCCTCAATTGGCGGCCGCCCAAATAAGGTCCTAATAAATAAAACAAGCTTATCCTTGAGAACATCGTGATAGAGCAACTCCAATGCCTTTGCCAATTGTAGGCAATTGTGCGGTAAGAAGTAGACTAGGAGGGTCCCTCGTTTCAAGCTTGCAAGGTCGTGACTTTTCCATCTCTAAGCTTATCCCCTATCGCACCGTTTCTAGGTACGGAAGAGTATTATACTAAGTAACTGTTTAAATGGACGCGACAAAAGTTCCTAAACCGAAGGAAAACGCAAGATTTCTATGTCAAGCTCGGTCTAAACAAGAATTATGCACCGTGAGCGGCAATTTAGCACGAATCCATCAAAACTTCGAGAATGCATCTACCTTGGCACAAAGAGTTGTCTGTCTTCCATTCCACTCCTAGGAAGAAGGAAACGGGAAAGTGGGATGACTATAACTCTCGTATAACAAACCTGAACACTACCACTAGGTTTTATATAATATATATAACTGGGTAAAGGGTGGAGGAGAATACGAAAAAGAATTCGTAATTCTCTGGGAGGTTTCTACAGTGCCTCGACTGGGAGGACGTTTTAAAGTGCGAGTACACCGTGCCGCATGCAAGCAGACGGGAGTCCTAGACCCCATTTTGACAAGCTCTGGCTAGCCTTTGACACGATATCCTAAAAATCAAGTCTGTCTACCATCACAAAATAGGAGATAGCTGTGTACGTCTGGTATCTTTGCTCGCCAAATGGCATTCGTCAAAGCTACAGAACTACCCCCCTTTCCCAGTCCCATCTGAGGGACAATTGGTACTTTTAACTCTGAAAATCGTGTGTGCTATGCCACCGTCGCAGCCTCTCAGCAATATCGAAGTTATCAAGGCCGATCTTGGAGTTTGATTAGGGAGGCCCAACCATCCGTGCTGCCCGTGGTCTTTCAGCTGGAGCATCGCCGACCCGGAGAGGTTGGTGGAAATGGGCCAAAACAACCAGCAGTGGGACACATGACAGGGGACAAAGCTCTGCCAGAGAGGGATTTCTGGATGTTGAAGGAGGAGTTGAGAGAGGTGGCAAGCTTTAGTGAGAGGTTAGGCCTTTACACCCCTCAAGAGCAGTGGTAAAGATCGACATGCGGTTGATACTCGCTCGGGAGATTCGGAGCGAGTTCTTGAATAGCATAGCTGAGTGCGCAAATGGAGTAGTAGGCGGCCGAGATTGGCGCCGTCCGTACCGGCGGTCAATAACAGTATTGAGTTGATTTGACCCGGGAAATCCGCTGGGTTTGAATTCTGTTGATGGCATCGTGGACCAGAATCGTTGTCCCTAGTAGTCGCGAAGGAAAATGATTACAAAGCACCTAGCGGATCCTTTCCCAGCAAATTTTCTTTCCTCTCCCATGTGTCCAAACGGTTTCACGTGTTTCTTCGTCAGATGGGCAGGCTTCAGAGGTCTTTCGGCACCGATCTCGATAGATCTATCAGGTCTCCGGTTCTAGGACTGGAGGTTATAGATCTATGCGGACAAAGAATTTACCATATACTATGCCCTTTGGGCACTATTGCAACGGGTCATCTTCGTAACTTCCCGTCCCGCTTCCTCACATAGCTTTCCGCGATAATGACTTTCTCACCTTCGGTCACCCATCGGGCTGATCATGCACCGCCGGCTTCTCAACGGAAGAGGGGCCAGCATTCTGCCATGAGAGTATGCGAGGGGCTGGCTAACTTGTGAAGCCACACCGCTGCCGAGTTGGTGCTTTGTAGGTCTCTGACTAATGGCTTGTTCAGTCATCTTATGATAACGGACGAGTGCGGCTCTCCTGCAATATTCCATGTGGCTTTGAAATGTCACGTTTAGAACCACCTTTTGGTCGGACTCTCTTTGATATCTTCGTCGCCGAGGACATCCGCTTTCGCGGTTGGGGCTCTGTTGATGAGGGCTGTACGAGGCTGGTATTCCTTTGGCGTGGAGTTCTAAGTGCATCGGATGGTGCCACGCCGGCAGCTCTTAACCGTACTTCTCATTCCACAATCCGAGCACTACGGTGGTTGGCGCCTAGAGGAACGCCTGGGGGATTGTTCTTTTTGCCTGCGACGAGTTGTGAGTTGACGAGTTTCCGTTCACGCCGCCCCTATCCCCACTTGCCAGTGTCCCGTTTTTCCACATGTAACTAGTTTCCTTCCCTCAGGGTTCTTGATGTAGCCATCCTGGACTCTTGTAGCCGTCTAGTTGGCGTCATATTACCAGCGTTGGATGTGCGGCGAGCAGCGAAACCTGGGCCGCTGCACTTTAGCCGCTTCGAAGGCGACTGTGTTAACACGGAGACTGTATTTACGCTCGTGGTTTTTTGGGCTTTGCACTTCGCTGAGTTTGTCAGCTTGATCACAACTGCTCTCATTCGGTTTACACGAGTCGTTCTCAGCTACTTTTCGTTGGTTGGACTCAAGTTCGATCAGGGGAATTTGCTCCAGAATCCAACGCAGCAGTATGGCGCGGCGCTCTGCATCGCGTTTCGCGATCTAGTAGCTCTTTTTCGGCTTACCCTTCACGACCTACGCCTTCCCCGTATTCTTGCGGAATTCGTCAATTAGGTCATTCCACCGCTTGGCCAATTGAAGGGACTGCATTGCCGCGTTCAACTTGGATTGGGTTGCTGTTAACCGTTGTTGCGACTCCCGCTGGGCGAGATTAAAGCGTCGTAGATCAATGATGGCCCTTTTACCCGGCTTAACAGCAGATCTCGCAACTGTTACAGCCTTCTCAGCGCGGTATTCTTCACCTGCGCGCTGAAATGCAGAGTCGATGTTGCAGATGATCTCCTCTACCTCCAACGGCTTCAAGATCCGGGAGCCCAAAAGTTTCCTCCAAGCCTCATCATACCGTGGCTGATGACGCTTAGCGAAACCAATATCTTTATCGTGCCGCTAGTATTCATAGTTAAGATATTCGATCCACGTCGTCAACTTATGCTGCTGCTCTGGATCCTCATCGAGTTGGAATGGCCGCGTGAATCCATGGGCTGCCAGGCTCTGCTTCACCCATCAGATATATTAGGAAAGCGACCTTCCTCTCTATTATTTTGTTGACACTTGCGAAATTTTTCCATACCCCGATCCGAGATTCAAATACCATCTAGGCACTCTCTTCATAGTCGTTATTAATGCTCTGCCAATATGACAGAATCTCCCGGTACTCTTTAGGATCCACTATAACATCTCGACCAAGATTGACTGGGTGTGAGGGTCGACCACCTTCATTGACAAGAGTGTCGCAATATTCCATCTGTTCCTCCAGGATATAACAGTACATTTACTCATCGGTGTATACTATAGTCGACGCAGGGAGGGTGGTTGAGGCGGTATATCCACTAGGCGTGCCGTAAGGTAATCGAGATCAATCGGATATGACTGAACAGTATCGTTCGGGCCTGCTCGCGCCCTGCTACAGCTGTTAGAAAATGATGAACATAACAGATACAGTATATCATTACCTTAATCTCTGAAGGAGCGCTGTGTCTTGCTTCAAAGTATGTGGGTCTTCTACGCTAATCTGTCTGCTTAAATCTTAGCAACTCTAGATATTATAGAATTCTTAGAATTCTGGAAACACTAACCCCCTGTTGACTGCTAGATACTGGTCAAGCTCTGGATCAGTATAAGCAGCTAGATCACGAGTAACTAATTTCAAAGGCCGGGGCTAAATAGGCGTCATTATCGACGTTGACGTACGGAGTATAGAAGTTGGTGATGCCTGAGAGGTGTGCTCGGAAAAACGATCTTCCGATGAAGCGTTGGGGGCCAGATACGAATACATCCCGAATCCTACGTCCCTGCGATGTATACTCCGTACAAGCGCGTATCTGAGTCAAAAGACCAACCTCTTATTCGTGCAGCATGGCAGCCTCCCAAGAGTATGCCAATCGGAGTCCATCCAAAGGCAGGTTTACCGCTCCCAAACTGGTCTATAAAAAGCACAGCACAACACTTTCAACCAATACTAACTGGCGATGTCCCCTCACAACTAACAACGGCCCAGATGCAGCTCGATTGGATCTGGTGTGCTTATTGTGAAGCATGTTATTGTGCAACCGCCTTTGACTAACCCTTGCGGAGCAGGCAGCAAATATATAGTGTCAAGGCAGCACTGAATGATTTTGGTAAAGATGATCATCCTACTGCCATATTAAACGCAATTGTCTCACCAATAATGGAAGACCCGAATTCGATCGCATGGTTGTTTGCTGTAACGAGTGAAGGTACAGTAGTAGGCAAACGATCTTGGGAGGCGATTCGGATGAACAAGTCGGGATACGAGTTGTGCATGCCGATAGAGAGACAGGCCGAATCAGATCTTCGCAGTCGAGAAACAACAGTTTCGTTAGATGATGAAGAGGACAATCCTCAAGACGGCACCTCATCCCCAGGACTCCATTTGACTTTCGACTCTGAACTAAAAGGAGGCAATGGACTTATGTTTGGTAACGACCCGAACAGCTGCGATATCGTTCTGCCAAAACTGAAGCATATCAATGATCGTCATTGCTCCCTCACATTTGACAACCAGCGACGATTGATCTTGCGAGATTTTTCAAGAACTGGAACCGTGGTCACATACGATGGGAAAGGAGGAGAGCTACGCCGCCATTTCACGTGGATTCTTGGTGGCGCCGGAGCCCCCAAGGGCATCAAAGATATCGGCATTAAGATTCAGGGTATTAGTTTCCGGATCAAAGTCTCGCGCCACGATGAGTCTCCACAACCGTGCAATACCAACGTTGATCGATTCCTCCAGAAGTCAGACGAACTCCTTTTAGGTGGACTCGGAATTCAGAGCCCGACTGCACCTCCTAGCCAAGGCCCCATCCGCCTCAAACAAGAAACGCTGGGCATGGGAACCTTCGCGGTTGTGAGGCGTTTCTGGGATGTCAGCACCGGGGCTGAGTATGCGTATAAGGAGCCTTGTGACAAAAGGGAATTCAACTGGGACTTGTGGGAGAAGGAAGCTGATATTATGCGCCAAATCTCGCATGTAAGTTGACTAACTTATTCTTTTGGTAATATGTTCCCAAGTATCTTACTAATACCTTGCTAGGACCATGTAGTTAAGCTTATGGAATGGGTATTCACTCCGTCACCACAATTGGTTCTCGAATATATTCCATTCGGGAGTCTAGAGGGCATGGAACTATCGCTTGATGAGAGCACGGCAGTTCTTTCTCAAGGGCTTTCGGCCTTGGTGGACCTTCACGGACGCCAAGTCCCAATTGTGCACCGAGATATCAAGCCGGGCAATATCCTTCTCCAATCCTTAGACCCGTTCCATATCAAACTTACCGACTTTGGTGTTTCCAAAGCTAGCGGTGACTTGTCAACATTCTGCGGGACGCGATGCTATCTTGCGCCAGAAGTTTACAATAAAACGAGGTATACGTCGGCGGTGGACATCTGGTCTCTTGGCGTGGTTGCCTTTGAGTGCGCCTATGGTCTTCCGAATAACCGTACGGGTAGATACCAAGAAAGAGACTGGTGTGAACTGATTGTTGACCAAGCCAACGATTGGGAGAATGGGGGCCTGATTGACCTCTTATCAACGGCTATGTTAATTATGGACCCGAAATTGCGAGGTTCGGCCCCAGATTGCTATAGAGAAGCGTCGCGGCTCACTATCGCATCCTATGACCGTTGTCTAACTCCAACACCAACCTCCTATGCCGAAGAATCCAAAATAGTGGCCCATTATCCGGTTGAAGGACAAGAAATCGGGCGTGGAAACGTACAGACTTTATCAAATACAGTAAGGCCCGCTAAACCGCCCCATCACGATAGAAGATGCGATCGAACAGAAGCTTAATAGGCCTATTATTGTACCAATTATAAACGGAAGCATGGCTAATCCTTACTAGCAAAACTCCTTTCACGATGGGGATTCAACACATTCTTCCCACCCCTCTGACGACCGATATCAGAGATCGGATGCCCTGTCTCCCTCTTCTAAATCACCAACCATCACAGCCAATTCCAGCAATGATGCGCACCCTGTGGAATCTGCGACGGGGATAGACTTGTTTGGTGGGGGCTGGCTGCAAGATCCCAACTGTGTCGGATCATCTGTCGCTTCAATGGGACGAGAATCCACAGAATGGAGTAATTGGACTACGGATACTTCTGGCGGAGATATCCCACGAAGTATACCGGAACCTGTGGAGCATGAGCAGTATGAGGATGGCGATCCCCACCCTGCCGTGGGCGATAGCATCTTACCACAAGACGCATATTTCATTAACGACGGGGTCCAAGGTCAGGGGCAACTGGAACATGTCGTCGAAGGCGCTGGGACCAGCAGCGAGTATTCGGCTGCAGAGCCCCTGTACACAATACATCAGGGAGAGGGCCCTTGACTTTTCACTTTGCACCAGCCAACATTCCGTTTCCTTGCTAGCTTCTTCAAAACATTTTTACTCTGAGTTCTGTGCTTAATAGTCTATATTTGGACATATTGACTTTCTCCGTAGGAAAGTCTTGCCTGTTAGTGCGGCACTGTCAGTTCTAGAGGTTTGGACAGGTGGATTTTTATAAAGAGGGTCAAATTTCTAGGCTCAATTCTGAATAGATCTCCAAGTCCTAAGCAGTAGGTTCTCTCTTCTTACCATACTTTGCATGCCATGACACTTGCAATCTGGCTATCTACCACACCATCCTTGTACACCCTCATGACATGATTGGCCGGCTAAGTTGTCCTAACCGCGTTCAGTTCTTTTGCGGTATGCTCAAGTCATGAAGTCGGCCAGCTGGTTTCGACCCAAAGTTGATTCTATTAGTCTCATCGTTTTGCATATCAAGAGCCACGTTACGCTACTGCTGCACAATATTTACCTTAAGGTAGATAAAACTGTAATTTCTTTTTTCCAGGTGTCCCTCGTTCCTCATATGCTACTGTGGGCACTCAAATACTAGCGTCCAAGTCGCCTGGCTGTAACTTTAGAGTTTAACAACCCTGTAGGTAGGCAATAGATTAATACACAGCACTACTACATTAGCACAGTGAACACGTACTTAATAATGCCTCTTTCGCTTAATTTGATCGGCCAATGGTTCTCATAATAGGAAGCTGAAGGTTCAAACAAAGCATCAATATGCGGTTAGAAGTGATCTGTATTGTATTGCTAATTTGCTATAACAGATGACCGCGGGGGGGAAACTGTAGAAATACAAGAGAGCCGCCTAGGTCGGCTGAAAGGGAGGGCAATTTGTTACGGGGACTTGCCCCTTTGAGAAAGAAACCCATAATAATAAAAGGAAAAACCGCATGCCAGATGCTAAGTTCCGTTCCGTTGCTGAAGAAAAGTAATACAAATATGAATGAGAATAAGTGGTTGTAAAATCAGGACAAGAGGAGAAACCATCCCCCCAAAAATTAGAGATTCTTGCTGCCGTGCTTTACTTCATTCGCTTGGCCTTCCTGTCCATGGAGGTCGCCGGCCTTTTTCCTGAAGTGCTGTTACCCGGGCTAGGTTTATCCTTCAGCTGGGTAATAATCCCCGCGAGCTTGTCGCGGTATGCCTGGGGAGCGGGACCCCAGCCGATGGTCTCCAGAATAGCCAAGGTATCCTCCAGGTCTTCGACAAAGCGCTGGGCTTCGGGAAGATCCTGTAGTGCCTTGAGGACAAATGAGCCACCGGCAGGATTTGCTCGGGCGGTAGACCCTATTAGACGGAGATATAAGTTGCGATCGATCTGCGGCTCCCCGTGCGGCCGACGTCTGGTCCATTCGAGATTTTGGTAGACGTCATGGTTGCGTTCTTTGACAACCATTCGGAGAATTGTGACCAATGCTCGAGCAGCCTCTTCCCGGGATTCCGATGACAGAGGTTGCCGTTCCGCGATATTTCGGTGGATTGTATCGACAATGTCTACCAGTATTTGAGCACACGAGATCAAGTCATACTGACCAGCAGCAGGGCCAACTTCACAGTACTTGTCGAGGGAATCACAGGTGTCTCGTGCCTTGACCGACAATTTGCGGAAGTACTCAGAGGCGCGGGTGTTGTTGGGCATGAGCGAGTTGAACTGGTGGAACATATCGTCGTTGAGGAAAAGCAACCTTGAAAGCGTTGCTTCAAGATCCCGAGGAACGAACGCGTTGTGAATAGAGATGTCTTCAGGATCTTCGAAGATGTCACGGCGGTAGTCGTCCGTGACCTTTTGGGAGAGGGTTGCCATCATATCCCGAATCAATTTCATCCTCTCCTTGATCATTCCCCTTGTCTGGCGGCCGGGGTCTGACCACATGCTTTGGCCATGAGGAATGTCTTTCTTCTTCAACAACTGCCACTCCGTCTCCTCCGAGTCCGCCTCAGGTCCCTCTCTTAGCTCCCAATGAAGTCTGTCGCATACTGTCCAGAGTCCGGTGGTGGATATTTGTTCGTACGGACCAAGGCCAGTGCCCTGAGACCTATCGGCGGTAGCTCTGGAGAGTTGTTCCAGTAACCAGTGTATATGGTGGCAGACACCCTCCTCGTCGCAGGAGCAGGTTGGTCGGGTAGGATCGGCCGGGCTGATACGGATGCTGTATCTTTGCACCTCCGCATAGGCTATCTGAAAGGCATAACGGGGACCAAATTGGCGGCAATGGTCGACGGCAAAAATACGGTCACTCCACAACATATCTGTGTTTTCTTCTTGGTCATCGTCGTCGTCGTCGTCGTCGGAGCTCTCCTCCTCTTCATCCTCCTCCTCCTGTGAGCTTTCATCGGACGTGGAGGGGTCATATTCAGGGACGGGAGCTTTGCCTTTGCCCTTCCCCGCTGACTGGCCAGAGGAGGCGCCTCCCGATGATAGCATCTTCGGCGCGATAGAGAGCTTGTCGAAATTTGCGAGAGGAGAAGACATGAGGGTCTGAAAGCGCTTGGATTAAAACTACTGGTGGCGTCTACCAGGCGTATATATATGCCAGATATGAGAGTCATTCTTCTGGCGGCCTACGGTAATGACATCTATGACACTTCCTCAAAAGCTTCCGTAAAGGAGCAAACAGAACTCAGCCTTTCCATCCCTTCCAACGGCGCTTAAAATACATCATGGCCGCACAGAGGGCCGCATGAGGTCGCAAAGGACGGCCGGCTGGGAAGGTCAAGGCAGTCATTGCGGGAAGCTATCTGATATAGCGTCGTTGGGATTTCGTCGTCTGCCACGATGGGGAGCGTCTGTCGGCCGGTGGCGGAGACGCTGCAAGCCGGCCCTGACATAACAGGAGGGAAGTGGAGGGGCATCCTGATCACCAGAAATTACATTTCCCTTGCTATGCATCGAAGGGACGAAGGAAGTGCGACCACATTTGCTGGAGCTCCCCACTAACGGTACCGTATGCTGCCAAAGGTGCCAGTGTTCGCAGGTCGCAGGTTGCAGGTTGGGGGCTGACTCGGCTGAGCTCGCTGGATTGCTGGGACGGGGCCGGATTGGCCGGCGGAACCAAGGCTGATTCTTCTCCCCAGCTTTTTTGCCCCTCGGGTTCTGAATTCCAACATCTCTCCCTTCCCTCGACATCAACATCAACATTCTCCGGTACGATTACAGGTCTAAGCATCTGCATCCGCAACTGCCACTGCATCTGTATCTGTAACTGCCACTGCGAATCTCTCATGTTGGCACGCCGCCGAGGCCAGATCCTAGATCCTACTCTTGTCGGGCCCTGAGGCCGCCGCCACTCACTGTCTACGAAGTATCTAACTACGCTTCGCCATGAACCCATCTGCCGTCCTCCTTGAGGTGATATGATAGTCGTGACCGGATGTTGCAACAAAGGTCTATTGCCAGGACCGCGGAGGGATCTGGATGGCACTCGCAAAATCCGCCTGATGGATGATTGATTGATTTACTCGTGCTCCGTTTCAGTGACTTGGCAGCAGCACCATCCCTCGTCGACGTCCACTTCTCCTATGCACCGCGAAGGGGTATCATATCATATCAGACTCGAGTATCTCCAGGCTTCACAGCACAGAATAGCACAGCACGGCCCCACACACCGAGTTGCACGAAGCTTTGCGTACGAAGTATTACGATCCACCGCACTGGAACCGTGGACCGACATCGACCGTCCGTCAGGGCCTACCCAGCCTAGCGCGCTAGGCCCCCCTTTCCGGCCTCCCTGCTGCGTCTGTCGTCGCATGCACTGCCTGTCAAGTGACGTGCTGCTGGTTTGTTCGCCAACGCAGTGGCTCACAGCCGCGAGAGCCTGCGCCTCCGGCGGCCTTCTAGACGACCGCCATAACACCAGGCAAAATAGTTATTTGTCTGGTGTCTAAGGGGGGCCCTTGGAAATATCTCAAGCTTCAAGGGAGCTTGGTCATATTTCTTCCCAGCCCTTGCATCGCGACTATGATTCGGCGTTGCCGTTGAAGTGTAATCGGTGTGCTCGCCGAAATCGTCCCTTTTTTGCGTTTCAGCCGTTTTCCAAGTTTTATTCGTACCATTCATTGGTTCACATTATTCTAAGGGGCGGCGCCCTCCGAGATTATCAAGTTTCACATGCTATTAAACGTTTAGTATTATGGCCACTGAGGTGTCCTTTTGGCGGAAGTACGAGTCGCTAGTAAGGCTGCCTTGGGGTAAAGTCGTTGGGTGTCTTAAAAATTCCTAGACATTCTGGGTGACAAATGCGGTCTGAGATATATCACGCTAATTTCTTTTTGGGCGATTCATATCTTCCGGGGAAATACAGCGTGGCACGTTGTACAAGGGATTCAATTGCACAATCATACTTCATGTGTAACGTAACACAAAGGGCGCCGCAAGTCCTTCGCGGCCTCGATTAGAGCCTGATTTTGAAATCAGACTGCTTCCTTATTCCATCCCACTACCCCTTTAATCATTGCAAATCGATGACTACTCTACCTTGCATCTGGCCGGTAGCCATCTCCTCGAATACATCTGTCAGCTTGTCCATCTTCTCAACCCTGACATGTGACTTCACGATTCCTCGGGCCACAAGATCGAGCACCTCGAGGGCTTCACGCTGGTTACCAACAGCTGAGCCCTTGATAGTAATCTCCTTTGCTATCTGGGAAATGTTAGCATGTCACGTGACCGTTCTGCTTTGCGGGGATCACTTTCCAGTCCCGCTGGGAAAGCCTTAGCAATGGGCTGAGGGTCTCCTTCTGGTAACCCAACACAAACAAGCGTTCCTCCAAATCTCAGAAAGGCAAGAGATTGTGCATAAGCTTTGTTTGATGCGGTGCACGCAATTACTGCCTGGGCTCCAAGTCCGCCCGTGACCTTTTTGACCTCTTCGACGATTGTCGTGTCGTCAAATTTAGTAATATCGATGAATACCTCTGCCCCACACGACTTAACAAACTCTTCTTTGCTACCGTGATCAATTCCTATTACTCTTAGGGCCATCCCTCGAGCTGCGATCTGTGTGGCGATATGACCCTGGCATTGCTGAGTCATCATCGCAACGAGCGAAAAGGGGATCGATGACTTACAAGTCCTCCACCAGCGCCGGCTGTCATAGTGCGTCAGTAAAGCAAGATCTTAACAAAAATTCACGGGCTTGACCGTACCAATTACCACCCATTGACCGCATTTTGCGTCTGATTTCATCAACGCCGAGTACCTAAAATGGATTGAGCTTCGGTTAAATTTCATGCGGCCCCTTTTTGCGGCCAGGGGGGCTGAGCGACCAGCGACCAAACGGGAATCTAGAACTTACACCGTAACTCCGGCACATAACATCGGGGCGGCTTGTTCAGAGCTCACGGCCTCAGGAATTGGCGTAACGTAATTAGCAGGAGCAAGTGCGTATTGCTGGAATGTCCCCGGGTCTGTGGACCGGTCAGGATAGGAGCACAGCAATGGCTGATCTAAGGAGTGGTCTCACAAAAGTAGCCTGATATCTTCTGGTTCTAAATTACACAAACTTATCAGCTAGGCATACTCAAAAAATGCCTTGACCACTTACAAAGCAAATACCGTCTTTTCCCACGAGGCAAGGCGGGCATGCACCACAGGCAGAGGCAATCCACTGTTGGTTGTCAGCTCGAAATAACACCTAAAGACTCACCAGCCGTACTCACCTTGATGCCTACGCGATCGCCAACTTTAACTCGGCCATGTTCGCCCCCAGGTCCTAGTTTATGGACAATTCCAACTCCCTCGTGCCCTCCAACCTGGCCTGCTGGCGTAGGCGGCACTATTCAAATCATTAGGATCTCTTTGATGAGAACAGTGACCCAGGAATCCGAGGCAGTTCGCTGTTCGTGTGACGCTGGTCATATGAATTTTAGATTGCCTGATAGCTTTGGGTCATCATCACAACTAAGTGGCGATAATCCTTCGACTCATCTTAAACAGATGTTTCAATCCCTTCCAGCCCTCAGGCTGTTCTGGGATCCCATATTGCGGTATGTTTGGCGGTTGCCTTGCCTCACGGTACGATGATAAAGCAACTTGGGAGATTAAGTGGAAGAATGTCATTTCCACTTACATCCGCGCCAGCTGTTTGACATAATCCCCATATCACTGTGGCAGACACCGGTATGCGTTCTATACGAATCGTAATATGTTAGCGGCTTTCGGGCACAATCGACGCGCACACCTACAGCCGAACGAGCACCTCTCCCGGTCCTGGGTCAGGAGTGTCATGTTCCTCAATTTTCGTGGAGATAGACCCCGGTTTATCGTAAACGATTGCTTGATACTTCGACGGAATATCAAACGTCTTTTGCGCAGTCTCTGTGGCCATTGTGGCGGGTTGAGAGGTGCGAATAGTTTCTGGGAAGGTTTAATGTTTGTCGGAAGGAGCTAAGTAACGATTTACAAGAGCGATTTATTTATTTTCAATAGTAAACATTGATCGCACTGGGCCACGACGCTGCTATATACGAGTTAACTCGAATCTTGGGGGCTAATATCCTCTTCCACACTTCCGCATTGGACACCAAATGCGGGGATGTCCCACACGTCGCGTCCCTTGACACAGAAGTGTTGCTTGTGATGTGAATAGCAACGAACACAGACACTAGATGTGAGGGGCTGTTTCCACGGCACTTCTGTATTGCAGTAGCGTAGTAAGATCTTACTTCAACTGTGCGGGGCAGGGGTACGACAACAGGCGGGGCAAGTAAGTCCTTAGCACCTACAAAGTGCAAGTATTCTTTACGAGGGATGGGATTATCATTATTTCCCAGGCTCACCAGGGTTATAAGGACGGCCGAGGTAGTCACCCGGTTCGTTGACGGCTAGAAGCCATCTTCTGCTCACTATTGGCCGTATATAGGACAAAGCGTTCCCCGTTCGACTTTCTAGCTTAAAGCCTCGACTTTTATGAAAAGTAATGCTGTTATGTCCATTTGCTTACCTTGCAGGTACTTTTATCAACCCTACCCCACTGCTGACTGATACTCGTACGTGGGGTAATCTGACATCAGATAAGCTCCCCACATCGGATGAATGACGAAGCCTGCAACATCCCTCAGACGCAAACAAAACAAACAACAATTCCGTCTTGGGAATCTGCCAACTTTCCACAACTCTTACTTGGGTTACTTGGCTCTTCGATCTGAGCTACAGACGGGCTGAGTTGGCCTAATACGTCGAAAGTACAAGTGATCCTCACTCCTCCTTCAAGTTTCTGCGGGGTAGCCTGCATGAACATACCTCGGCATTATCCACTCCGGCGGTAATTCTCGTAGAGCTCGCGGGAATCTAAACCAGCTATATTACTGTATCACTGTATTTAATTATAAGAGATAGCTTTATTTCTCCTTAATTTCCATTGTATTTTCATATTTCATATTTCAAATTTCAGATTTGATTTGTTCATTGCACCACACCGTCGAACTTACCCTCCCGCCCCTATCATGTCCTCCACAAACGAAGCACCGCGGGGTTTCCAAGGCAGCGAGGAGCACCGCAAATATGGAGCCTTCCAAAACGAACTATACAAAGGTTTGATTGAACCTACATGCCTATCATTGGAATTGCGCATATGCTGACCAGTTCTCTGAAGCCGGGATGTTCGCCCAGCGTCTCCCAATCGTCACCACTGACCCGAATAAATTGGAGGAACAAGCAAGGAGCAAAATGGCCCTTACATCCTTCAATTATGTCTCAGGTGGAGCTGGGGAGGGGTCAACGATGGATGCCAACAGATTAGCGTTCAGACAATGGAAGATGGTACCGCGGATGTTGAGACCAACATCAGGTCGAGACTTCAAGGTTAATTTATTTGGAGAGACATACGGTACCCCTTCTCATACCCAACCTTAAGAAATAATACAGTCTGACTCGTGGATTTATAGATAGCCCGATCTTAATGGCCCCAATAGGCGTACAACAGATCTTCCACCAAGACAAAGAAACTGGCGTCGCGGAAGTCTGCGCCGAAATCGGTGTCCCATACATCCTCAGCACGGCATCCAGCTCTTCCATCGAAGAAGTTGCGCAGGCGAGTGGAAATGGACCGAGATGGTACCAATTATACTGGCCGCAAAGCGACGACATTACGATTTCTCTCCTGGAACGCGCGAAAGCCAACGGGTATAAAGTCCTTGTCGTGACGCTGGATACATGGGCGATGGCGTGGAGACCGGCGGATCTTGATCAGGGGTATGTTCCCTTCTTCAAGGGCGTTGGGAATACGAATGGCTTCACGGATCCGGTTTTTAGGGAGAAGTTCCAGAAGAAATATGGAGCTGCGCCGGAGGAGAAAGCGCTAGAGGCGTCTGCGGAGTGGATCGGTGATGTGTTTTCTGGGGCTCCTCATACTTGGGATCACATTGCCCTGTTGAAGAAGCATTGGGATGGGCCTATTGTGTTGAAAGGAATTCAGGTATGATATGTTGTTCTTCGTAGTTTCGCTATGCTAACTTCAATCAATAGCACCCTGATGACGCTAGGCTTGCTGTGGAACATGGATGCGACGGGATCATCGTATCTAACCATGGCGGTTAGTATTAGTCTTATCATATTGAAAAGCGTATCCTAACAACACCTAGGTCGGCAACTCGATGGTGCAATCGGCTCCCTAGAAATGCTTCCAGAAATCGTCGAAGCAGTAGGTGATAAATGCACAGTGCTATTCGACAGCGGCATCAGAACAGGCGTAGATATCATCAAGGCACTGTCACTTGGAGCAAAGGCAGTCCTTATTGGTCGGCCCGTAGTCTATGGATTAGGCATCGGCGGGAAGGTACTGTTGAATCCTAGAGTCATAAGTATAGGAGTTGAAGCTAACAATGTCTATTAGTATGGAGCAAAGCAGGTTCTTCAGGGGCTCTTGGCAGATCTTGACCAGTCGATGGGTCTAGCGGGGATTCCAGATATCGCTGGTTGCAATAGATCTATGGTTAGAAGGGTGCAATATGGTGGAGATCTCAAGTCATCGAACTAAATGGGAACGTTCCAGGCAGCATGGATTGATATGATATTATGACTCTATGACTGCCTAATTTGAGTAACAGTCTCATACACTGCAAGAGTTCGCTGGGAAACCTTTTAATAAGCTAGATGATTCGCTGTAGAGGATATAGAGAGTCGTAAAACGACAATACTGAAGCCACTCCGCAACACTTCATCGATACTACAAAACTCCAAATAAAAAGCATTGGCAAGTCTCACCCCTCCCGCTTCCTCCTTCCACTTTAACCATCACTCCTCACCATCTCTGCCTACCCTTCCTTTCCCTCATCCTATATTAAGGACCCGAAGCCACCGTCTCTGCACTTGTAGCATCCCCCAAATCCACCGTAACATTAAAGCTATCCAACATCGGCGAATGCAACGCGCCATACAAGCTCATCAAACTCGCCGTTAAAATCGCCTTTCCCTTGGTTGTACTCTCATCCATCATCACCGTGAAGTTCAGCGTATCCACCGTGTTGGACTTTGAGGGACCCAGGTATTCAGAGCTAATGACGCTGCCGAGACTATTGGGGTAGGCTCTCCCAGGGGAGATCCCGAAGACTATTGCTACGTCGTAGACGGCTTGGATGTAGTCTTGGGTCAGGACTGAAATTTGGAACGGCTCGCCGGGTTTGATAATGCGGGGAGCGGAAATGCCGGTTATGCGTGCTATGACCGCGGCGGGGGAGAGGAAGGCGAGGAGGGAGAGCGTGGCGGGGAGGATTGGGATGCGCATTGCTGTGGTTTGTTGGTTTGGGTGAATTAGATTGAAGAGCTGAGGATGGAAAACTCAGTTGACCTTGATAAAGCTTTTATGGAGTAGGTGGTGGATGGATGGTTGAAGTTGAGCTAGTTGATATTTATTTTAACTTCGTATTTGATATTAATGGAAGGTGCAAATGCGGCAGAGTGCTTACATCTAATATATGCATCCTTTACGTCACAACTTCTCCGAGTATACTGCTTACCTAGCTCACCTCCTATCGGTATGATAGGTACCCCTGATCATAGCCATATTTCTGCCTCATCATGCTGTATCCACCAATTCCCAAAGACTGGCTAGCGATGCGCATGTCCTATTCGTGAAATAATAACTTTTTAATTTGCGGACCACGTTGTGAAACATAGATATTACTACGTTCGTACTACATACTATGCGAGAATGATTTTGGTGCTACATATGGTGCTTGGTGTGTGGCAAATTCATAGGCTATACGATGTTGTTGGTGGAGTAAGCTTCGCGAATAGGGGCTTAAACGAAGTCGGTGGCTACACAACGCAAGTGATAGATGACCTATCTCACATCGGCCGCATACAATACGGCTGTCTTTGCATAAGGCAGTGCCGATTTAGAGTTATATACGAGGAGTCTCTTTAGATATGAACTTTTGAAATCCGAGTTGTATACCCCCTGGATGTAGGATTTTGAAGTGTGGAGGTTGAAGCTGTACAGCTTTGAACGCAAAACCAGATCGGAGCTCTACGAATCAAAAACACCCGCCAGTTCCTCCCTAAGCAAATCGCTTAGTATGCATAGCGAAGACGAGCGAGCTGATGTCAACAACAGGTACGAGTGACGCGCGAACGGGGATGAAATTAGGGGAAAAACATAGGATGAAGGTGTTCGCGTAACCAATGTAGTTGCATCTACCATAAAAAGTTTAGCCGCCTGGATCGTTTGATCAAGGGGGCCCTCGAAAGTTAGACAAAGTAACACACCACTAGATCCTCCATGCCGAAGAGGTTACTAATATTATTATATAACTTTCGGGGCCATCTCAACGGTCAACCATAGGTGACATACTCCAACACACAGCACCAAAAATACAGAGCAATATCACATAGAGAATCCGCTCAAGAAAAAGGCTCGAGGTATATTTAAAGGATCAAAATAATGCGAAGTAGAATATTGAATAGCGACACCTTTATTCTTGGATTTTTCAAGTTGACCTCTGGCTCAATAACTATATTTGGAGATATGAGGGTTATTGACATAATTCAAGGTGTCTGTTCCGTTAAATATCTCATGGCTATCTACTAATGATAGGATATGTACGAATGTCATTATAGTCATTAATATGTACTGACAACGGCAACTCTAGGCCGTCCAATCGGTCTTCATCCACCCATCCAACTTGATCACAAATTTGGGCACCAATGCCCTAGACATGTTGATACCCCTTTAAGTCTCCGCAAGGAAGTAAATTATTCTCTAGAAACGCGAGATCAACCTTGATCCCCCAGACGTTCTTGAAGGTGCTAGTAGTCGGCAGGTACGGAGCCGTAACTTTGATATCTCCCTTGATAGTGACGGGGGCATTTGCTCCTTGGGAAAGCGTAGTGTTGTAGTAGAAGATCTGATTGTCGCATGCCAGAGCATCGGTGAAGGCTGGCTGGTTGGTTACATTGACGAAACTAAATGTTCGTTAGTTCGTGAAATTGCGATTAAGAGGAGAAATAGGAGTATATGAAACCAAAGGGTGGACTTACAAATTCAGCGAATATGGGCCGGCTGGAGCAGGCATAGGTTTGAATTTGGTTGTGACAACTGGTTGAGAATTCCCCGGGACATATGCATCAAAGAAAATGTCACCTTTGTTCTTCCGAGGATCTGGGCAAGTGAAGGCATATGCTTTATCCGGAGGATTAAATGTAGCTGGAACCGGGATCGTGCCATATGCTTCGGTGCCAGATATCGCGTATGGGTTTGTGCTTGTCACGAAGAGGTACTCTTGATATTGGAAACTTGAATAGCCGTCTCCAAGAAGATCAACGAAAGGATATGAAATATGGAAAGACTAAAAGAATTATAGTTTAGCAGAGCACTTCCACTATGGAGATCGGACTTAACTTGCCTGGAAATCTGGTATAAGCGCAACCCCATTTATGCCAACATCATGATCTACTCCAGCCCTGACAAGGAGCTTTCTCGCGTGATCAGCCCCGGTCTCTTTTGAAATGCTTGCCGTGAACTTACAGGATAGCTGTTTGCTGGAAATCCAGGAAGAAGGGATTTATATGCGGCAGTGAGAATTCCATATTGGGCAGGAATAATACTTCTTGCAAGTGCGAAAGGAATGGGTACAATTGAAATGGTCTGGTTTAACGTCCCGGTGACATTGTTGGGGTATTGGGAACCAATTGGATTTGGAGCCGAGTCATCCCGTCTGTAGCGGTTGAAGGGCTTTGAATCAACAATTGATACTGCGCAGAATGCGAGTGCGAGGAGGAAACAGGGGAGACCCATGACCGAGATCTTGACTAGTAGCAGGAAATGAGAAATTAAATCCCAAAAGACTGATTCCAAAATGCACTCTGAAAGTCGATGGCTAAATACATGAGAACCAGCACTGGGACAGCATTATAATTAACCTCCACGAGGTGGACCAAGAATGGGATGCAACTGATACGAAATGGATTCATTCTTTAACTGAGGGTGCTGAGTATCTCTCGCTTCTTCGGCGCCACCGTAGACGTTATCGAATTATTCCTTGTATCGCATGGTTGCCAGACGCTTTTGGTATGTTGCGAGTTATTCGGGCCTCGAAATTCCCGGCTCACCCCGCAATTTCTCAATAACGTGGTGCACTAGGGCGGCATATTTGCTTTTTTCATGCTGACGATTTTCTTTCGAAACATCTGCAGCGGATGCTGACTACAATCCTGCGGCCGGGTACCTGGTACTGTACTTCGTACACTGGACTTCGGGGCGTAGTTTGCGCTGTTACTAGACAACAAGCCAGAGCTAAGAAGTCATCAAATCTGGCCGTCCCGGGCACACGCTAATCTTAACTAAGGAATTTGCGCTGTCGAAGCCTCGAAGGATATTTACACCGCCCCTATCTCGACTGTTGATACTGTAAGATCATTCATCGTCGGTACAAAGGGGACAGGTCTGCTAATCGATGTGTCTACGCCGCATTTTCTGCCCGAGCCCGCGGAGGCTTACGCTCAAGCAATCCTTGTCAGTTGGCCAGACCAACACAACGGAAGCCGAGAAGCAAGCGCTGATTGCCTCGATGTTGTTGATGTTTACAGAGGAGAGATCAACTATCTGCTTCCTTTGCTTAGGGAAGCAGATCTTACCGTTCCAAAATCGCACCGAATCATTTGCGAGTTCAGGAGACTTGACGAAGGACTTCAAGCGGTAGAAGTGGAATTGGGTAGTCCCGAAGTTGCTCGCCTCTTGTGTCCTCTTGAACATCCCTTCATATTATCTGCGATATACAAATCGCTCTTCGCACCCACAAGGCTTCTCTGGTACTTCTCGCCTGCTGACTTGAACATTCCTTTCATTTCTCATTTCTCGCCCCTCATTTCTCAAATGCCCCAGCGGTTGGTCCGTTGGCAGATACCTTTCGCGGGCTGAAAATATTAGACGAAGCGCAATTACCGCGAATCAGGACGCCGCAAAGCACAGCGAAATCATCACGATGACCAAGTCCTTTATGTCATCTCCGGCCTCATCATCGAAAGGTAAAGTGACTGTGTCAAATAACACAGTCCTCGTTCTGGTGGACTTGTACGGGCCAAGCAGCCGCCCGGCGGCCCGGACCCTTACGTCTACACTAGTGGTCGATGGCTGCATCGTGACCAACTACAGCGTACATCACGTTCAATACACTTTGACTTCACTGCACTCTGCGCAAAAGTAGTAGAACTGTGCCCGGGTGCCCACGAGATAGCCAGCTACGACAAGAAGGAGGGTGGTTTTAATAGAGTTTTCCTTTTCACTATGGACAATGGAGCACGCGTTGCCGCTCGATTATCATTTCGCGTTACAGGCCCAGCACGATTGACGACTCACTCCGAAGTTGCAACAATGGCGAATAGTCAGCTCGTCCCCGTTATAACTGCCTTCCTCGATGCTAACGAGTTCCTAGTTCGAAAGAATACTAACATCCCAGTCCTAGAAGTCCTCGAATGGAATGACGACAAAACGAACGCAGTCGGCGCCGAGTATATCATTATGGAGCATGCGCCTGGCGTGCAGCTGCATGGGCTTTGGCCCGGAATGAACCCGGAGCAGCATATGCTAACTATCAAAGCTCTTGCAGAACTAATACAATCTGTGGCTACCTCTACAATTCTTAGCCTATGGTAGTCTATATTTTGCGGATGCTGCTATTGAGCAGCAATTTAAATTTCCTCTTGGAGATGGAGACTTTTGTATTGGGCCGCATTGTGGTTGGGAATACTGGGATTGCGCAGCTGGTGAAGCTCGTTACTATGATCAGAGAAAGCCTAACAGTGGCCCTTGTGAGTACGCACATCATGGCTCATTGACCCTTGGTGAGTATCTTTCTCTATATAACCTAATATAATTACTTAGGGCTAGATCTGAGCCAGTACTGCTCAGCACTACTAGATACTGGGTTTTCGCGTATTCCTAGTGCTGAGGTTGCTCCAAAGGATGAGCTTGTGTATCGGGGATCTGTCCAAGAGCATCTCCGGTTATTAAAAATCAATGAGAAGGTTATTCCGGAGTTGATCAAAAGCCAATTGATCTAAGATTTGGCCACACCGACCCTGCTTCACGCGGACCTCAACAAAAGAAATATTTTTGTCAGAGGATGATCCTACACTTATAACCTCAGTTGTAGATTGGAAATCCACGAGTATTGAGCCGACATCTGTATACGCAAATGAGACTCCTGACTTGATACCTATACGGCCTCCCCCGGTTTCTGCTTTAAGTGATGCAGTAGAGGCCCCCCTAGAGGATCAGGATGAGTCTCCGGAGACTCCAGAGGAAAAAAGGAAAGAGAGCGACTTGAAACCGATATTTGGATCTCCCGCCAGACATTTGAGGTTGGCAGGAAGGCATGGGTTCCTCGAATCCACGAGGCTAGAGTTGCTGATGGCACTCTGCTTCGACCTCTGAGATACTGCTCCGCTTCTTGGAGAGATAGTGCTACCGCCATACGCCAGGAATTGATTGATTTATCTCAGCGTTGGACTGAGCTTGGGTTGCCTGGCGCGTGTCCATATCAGCCGTCACCGGAGGAGCTTGCTAATCACGTGGGTCTCTACGAACAGTTCGAGGTTAAGCAAAAACTGAAGGACTTCCTAACCGAGAACTTTGACTCGGATGCGGAAGGCTAGATACCTCCGGAGACTTGGGAGGTTTCTAAAGAGATACACAAAAACGTATATAAAACGATGATGGATGAGGCAAGATCAGGAAGGGATCCAAAGTTGACCGTCGAGATTGCGGAAAAGCTCTGGCCGTACGACAACGCGAAAAACGGGACCCCCTACAAAATGCGATACCCTCCTGCTCAAAACCATAGGATTGCGCTTGTGGGGATGGATAGAACCCATTATCTCCCCTCCTGTTTCGTGGCCACGTGGAAGCATGGAAGAGCCCAAGGGTAGGAAAGTAATAATAGTCTAGATAGTCGGAGATTAAATTAGAAAGAACCATTCTACAAACCCCCGATCTGTACGTAAAGTAGTCAGCTGACCTACAACCTGCTGGGCATGTAAGCTTGCTGCTTACTCCTTTTTACGTAGTAACAGCTATCGAATGCCCCTAACACGATCACGGACCAAATCTTTTTGACGGCGTTTCGACTAATACGGCTATTGCGGGTGTTCAATACCACGCAAACGTTCATGGATCGCTTGAACCAACTCAAATTCCGAATAAAGTAAAATTATCAATTAAAGTGACCCTGCTAAGGGCCCGCAAATTAAAAGACGATATTACAGTGTGAGATCATCATGATGCATTAAACAAAAGACCCGACCGCAAAATACTAAAATGACCCAACTCGATAAAGCATACAGTAAGAATGAGGGCTGTTGTGAAGCGTATTAGGTTGTGTTATAGGTATCTTATAAGATGGCGATTAGATACCTACTGAAACGTATGTATAAGTCGACAAGGTTAACGGCTTCTATTGGGCGCTTTCACGTCTAGCCGCCTGTCCCAGTGATAACAGCAAACGATCACTCCTTTGCTGCATCGACTTTGACAATATCCCCAACCTTGATTGTAGGATACTGACTCCCCTTGGTTCCATTTCTCTGGGCGAGATGGCACATGTGCGAACCAAAAAAGATCTTCGACTCGAACCTGCGAGTTTTCGCTAGGGTAATAAATGGTTCTTCATCCTTTTGTGCAGTCTCCTGGTCGATACATATCATATGGCAGCGTCGACACGAACCTAGCATCTGGAACTTCTGTTGGTCAATTTGTATAGAGGCCCAATGATCTTCACTGTATGGTTGCTCGTCATTTTGACTAGACGAGGACAGGACAATGTTTGCTCGAAAAACAGAAGCTGAGGCCTGTTTGCCACCAGTTTTTGCGATGGTATCATTGAGAGAATTCAGACTTGCTCGGTTGATTAAGAGTATCGGGCTTTCATTTGACAAGAGAATAGGTCGCTTCTGAGTTTCGTTGTCGGAGTCGGGAGGCGTTGGAGGCTGATAGGTTCCAGGAAGATTATCGGTCCTTGTTATATCATTTGAGGGAGACCGGCGTTTCTGCATATGCGCTTTTGCATGCCTTGGGCTGGAACCCCCGGCCGGAAATCTCGCCAGGGCGCAAGGTAACTCAAGCACTCGAGAGAAAAAGTAATTTATCTCGTCCGTGTATGTCTGTGCTAATATCTTATCACCACATACGCGTGACGAGAGGAACTTGTCTCCCTCGACTTTGCAAAAGGCCGGATTTGATGACAACGGTATTGATATTTCATCAGGCACATCAGCAGGCGGATCGCCTTGATATTTCACGCGTAAAACCCCTCGGTCGAAATCAATCGAAGGCCGGATTAAAGCCATACGGGGATGCCGCTTTTGGTTTAACGCTTGTCCAGTCCCTTGATGAACTAGGCACCACTCTCTATCCCATCTAAGGCCTTCTGGTCTGACTTCCCAGTGTATATCCGGCGCAATACTGAAACCCCCACAGCTCTTGATAGGATAAATAGTGAGACTTTCAACAAACAGGTCGTCTGGGGTCTGCGAAGTGCTGGAAGAGTCTAAGATGGGACGGCTTGTTTTCTTTTCTGTGTAGAATTCATCGACGAATGAGACGAAGGCATCCACATCTTGGATCGTGCTCATTGCACCTACACTTGCCCGAAGAATTCCGGTAATCTTGCCGGCGTAAATATCAGACTCTACTCCACATCTGAAACCGGCAGAGAAGTTCTGTCTCATCTCCCAGGGCTCGAGGTTTAGAGATGCAGCCACACCTCCAGGATTGCACAACCCACCACTTCGGATATGGAATTTTCGAACAGAAGCCAGCTTTTCGATCTCAGTGTTGCTAACCCAGGCCCCTTGGCAGTTGCGCACATTGAATGCAACGATGGGACCTTGCATATCCCTTGTATTCTTGGAGTCAAACCCACGGGAATGCAATACGCAAACTGGTTCAGAATTGGCATGTCGTAGAGATTTCAAGCCGTCATATAACCTCTGTGATAGAAACGCCGTATGTTTTGCAATCCGATCCATAGACTCGAACAATTTTTTATGGATATCAATGGCGGCACCCAAGGCTATAATGCTGTGGAAGGCCAAAGTGCCATCTTCGAGGCTCTCATGTAAAGAGTGATCTTTTAGAACATGCCACTGTTCCTTCACAGAGAGCACCACGTCAACTGTGCCTCCACCAAAGTATTTCCGTTTTTGCAGAATCCTCCCGGAGTCCTTCTTGACAATCAAAGCACCCAGGTCGGGAAACCCAAATATTTTGTAGAAGCTGAGCACTGTAAAATCAGGGGCAGCACTGATATCGCCCAGATCTAGCTGGGCCGTAGAAACAAATGCAGAAGCATCCAATAACGTATATGTTGTAGGCGTGCCTTGGGACCTAAGATCTCTCGACCTTTTGATCCATGATAATGGCAGCCGCCTCCCGTCCAAATTCGACTGTGCTGGATATGCGAAGAGCGTAGTGGTCGTGTCCGGGGGACGATCGTCGCATGATAGCCACTCCTCAACCCCCTTATCGTCAAGGCAACGGTTCGCCACAGCACTTTCCCGCACGCCAACAAGACTTGTATGCGCATCTCGGTGGTATATATAGGAGAACCCTTCATCCAGCTCTCGGAAAGCTTCAGCCACCAGCTTTATCCCTGCCGTAGCATTCGCAACAAAGACCACATCAAAATATTTAGGGTCGGCCTTGAAGAACCGCAAAACACCCAGGCGGATATCCTCGATACGGCGTGTCGACAGTTGGGAGGAGGGAGATGCGGAATGTGGATTGCCATAAAGGTTCGAGGTCATGTCAGTCATGAACCTTTCCATAAGTGACTTTGAGTAAAGGGTCGTCCCAGCATGGTCCAGGTAGATAGCATCTACTCGTTTGTTAACTGTGTATCTAACTCCTTTTCCGGACTTTCCTACCTTGAAGCATAGGATACTCGTTCTCTCGCAGCGATTCGACGTTCCGATTATAATCATCGTCCATTGCCACTCCAGTTTCCAACTTGTTCTGTCTAAGGCGGTCGTAGTATTTCCTCCCCTCTCAATAAAAACAACACAAAACAACAGTAATCAGCAAGGACTTTCATCCTTATAATTCCGCATCGAGGAGACAAAGATAGGAGCTATGACCTGAGAAGCGCAAGTTCAGGAGCCCCCCGCTCTACCCGTTCGGAGTTCGCCTCCACGATTTCCATATCTTAGGAGAACCACGTGATCCGGATTATCCTTCGGCCGTCGAAAAGCGACGCGATCGAAATATTTCGCCGAGAACCATCACGACGTCTCACCAGCGCCAACAATGTTACGGCCCAGCATCCCCCGAATAGGGCGGTCCTTGAATACCTTCCGTCGGTCACTTCACCATGTTCCCTTGCTCCCTCACAATTTCCAGAATGGCGTGCCAGGTCTGCTCTCGCCAGCAGCCTTCGACATTTCATGGACTCAATATCAGAGCTTGATGGTCGAGAAGCTGAATGTCCTCACAGCAGGTATGGCCAATGTCTTCCTTTCCTACGGATCTTTATGTCTTGAGCATGCAGTATTCCAGGGACCACCGATCACCATCGAAATCCAGAGTATAGCCAAGCACCCCAGCTAACAATACCTTTCAGGAGGAGAATGGGAATCGCGAACCCCCAAAGAAATCCTCCTAAAGTACGCCCGAGACCCCAATTCCGCCCCGATCTTCAACTACGCGTCAATGGCGCACAATAACGCCTTCTTCTTCAACTGCCTCTCCCCCAAACCGGCGGCCATGCCCAAGATCCTCAAAGAAGAACTCACAGCCTCCTTTTCCTCCATCGAGACTCTAAAACAAGAATTCATCGTCACAGCAAGCTCCATGTTCGGCCCTGGTTTCGTATGGCTTGTGATGGGCAGGGACAGGAGGTTCTCCCTGCTCACGACATATCTGGCAGGTTCGCCTTACCCTGGAGCGCATTACAGAAAGCAAAATGTGGATATGAATACGGAGGATAAGTCGGTCTCCGAGCATATGAGGCGGATAAACCGCGGCCCGCCAGCTAATAGCGTTGGTGCCTTTGGGGCTTATAGCGGGAATCAGAGTCTTGCGCCCGGTGCGGCGGATGTTTTGCCCGTCCTTTGCATCAATACATGGGAGCATGTGTATCTTCCTGATTACGGGGTCGGAGCGTTTGGTGGGGGCGGCAAGAAGGCGTATGCAGAGAGCTGGTGGAATGCGATCGATTGGGATGTTGTAGCGAATAATGCGGGCCCTTCACCAGGCAGGGGAGGAATCTAGTGTCTCGTTGTAGCATATTGGGGCAGTGAGCGTACTAGCGCCCATACAGAGATGTGTAGGACTGGATGCTGTGTACGATATTGTATGATGGGACAAACTGAGAGTCCCGGGCCCGCCGATATATAACAACTACCAATATTATAGAGTTTAAGAATCCGGGGTGCAAAGTATGCGTCCCAATATGTATCAATGGCCCTTAAGTAAGGTTTGCGTTTCTGAGATATAGTATAGCCCCTGGTATCAATGTCTAGCGGTGCAAGCATATAGGCTGGAGTACGGGGCTATTTTGGTGCCGGATTGAGTCAATTCTAGTAGACACCTCTATAGATTTATCCTATGCTCTAGCAGTTCTCCAAATTGACGATCAAGTGATTTAGTTGGTTTAGTAAAAATCGCAGGAAACTAGGTCAAAGCATACTACCTCGGGTGCGCATTACTCTGTGCTACTCACGTGTAGCGAGGGCATACTACACGGGAGAGATCTGACTTCCATACAAGCCAAATGCAAACCAACGTACTTCAAACACATAGTTTATTTTCACGGGAAGCTTAAGATACGACGATTCTACATCATCATGTATAAACATGTTTTTATTAAATCCTCGTCTTCAATTAAGCTATTTTTATCAAAGGAGTGTTCTAATCCCAGTTTGTTTCCCCCTATCCGCTTCAAGCGAAGGGACTTCCAAAATACAACGCCCAAATATGCCGCCTGCTATAACCAAAAAAGGGCATCAAAACTATTTCCCATCATCGTCATTCAAGGTATATATAGCTGCCCCAAAAAAGGCTCAAGAATAGGTATTTTCTCAGAGACGAGAGAGAGAGAAAACGACACAGTAAAAAAAACCTCCCAAGAAGGTCCTCAAATGAGTGGTATGTTTTTTCTTCTTCTTATTGCTTAGGTAGGTGGGGAGGGAAGAAGCTTAGATCATGTTCCCGTTTACGTTCACCTCGTACCCTTCGCTCTTTTGCTTCAGCGCTTTCGCGAGCATCAATTCCCGCATCCAGTCAATCCGCTCATCGCGGGACTTTACAGCAAAGTAGTGTGTCTTGTTATTTGCGGCTTTGCCGTCGGCGCCCGCGGATCCGGGTGGTACGGAGCTATCTCGCTTCCGTAGACGGACGCCTTTCTCGATCGCGGCGGGGATTAGCTGGAATGAGAAGGCGGTTTCGTCCTTCTTGTCCTTGTTGCCGCGAGAGATGTTCATTGCCTTGAATGCGGCGTTGAGCTTCGAGCCCGACGCGACGGAGGAGCAGGCAATGGCGTAGTCGTCTACGTCGATGTACTCTAGGGTCTCCATGGCGCTCTCGTCCTTGTGCATGGCGAGATGGGTGCCCTTGAGGGTAAAATGGTGCTCGTGCCATTCATGGCGGAGCATCTTCGTTTTCCGTTTCTTCATCCATCCTGCGTGTGCCATATCGTCCTTGGCACTTGTTGGAATAGCAGTTACTGGTGACCAGGGGTATGCTGCTTGGATTTCTGACGGAATTTGCGTCTGCTGCGGTTTGAATCTTGTCTGGGTTGGCGGCGCGGTCGAGACATTCTCGTCGACGCGGGGCATAGCGAAGGACGGACGGCGAGCGGAAGAGCGGGATTGTGTGCGTTGGATTTGGATGGGTGGAGCGGGGGCATGTCGATAGGACATGTTGGGTGGCACGGATTGTGAAGCTTCTCGGGAGACGGGGCCTAGTGGGATGGCCGTTACGGGAACGTCCATCTCGGAGAATGGTGTGCCAAAGCGATACACGTTGTTTGGGGATTGCGTAGCGTTGCGCAGCTCGGGGCTCATGGCCTCCGCTCGTTCCATGCGATACGGGGAGAAGGCATTTGCGCTCGCGGAACGTGGCGGGGGTGTTGGCCGTGGAGGTGGGATGGCGAGTCGAGGAAGTCCTCGAAGTCCGGTATGAGGGCCCTTCAACTTGGGAAACATCTCATAAGGGGGCGTCGGGGGTTCCTCTGATGACCAGGTCATATTCTGGGGATCCATGCGTTGGAATTGGATGAATTGCTTGACATTGTCCTGGGGATCGCGCGATTGAACGTTTCGAAGACTGGCCTCCTCCAAGTGGCGGAACTGAGGAACTGGTCCAGGACCAAGGACGTCTGATGAGGCCACAACCGATGGGACCGCATCTGATATGGGTCGAGCAGCTTCAGCAACTGCATCAGCTGTAAGTGCGTTTCCAGGGTCGCCAGCAACCCATATGGACCCGCCTTCAGGGCTAACTGGGTGTTCCTTCTTGAAGCTATCGATCAACCGTTGTTGCTTTCTCCATTTCGAGCAGTTCTCTCCTTTTGAGCATTTGTGTGTTTTTGGAATGAGTTGCTCAATGCCAACAATAGAGACCGATTCCAAAGGTGTGATTATGTCCTCGTTCTTCGGTCGTCTTCGCGAACCTTTGCGCGTTCGCGATGCTTCCCGTCCACAGTCGAGGCGCAACTTGTCTCGCCCTGACCTTGAGTGTGTTCTCGAGGGTTGTCGGATTGCTGTGCAGGGAGACGAGACCTCTTCGATAGGGGTAGGGGGCTTGGGTGTACCCGGTGCGCTACCCCTGAGAACATGGATCTCATTCCAGACCTTTGTTCGTTGGCCGAAGGATTGTATATCCAGCTCTCTCAGGTCCTCGAACTTCAGGGTGATCAAGATCGCGCCGGAGATATCGTTCTCCTCGAACTTCTCCACGATTGATGGGTCGAATCCTGCATCCGCCATCCACATTGCGACTTGTCGAGGTGTCCATGATGCGACCTCGTTTAGGTTTAGGTCCCCAACCGCGTTTGTTAGTGAGCTGAGGTGACGGTGACGGGTTGGTATATCCGGTACTCGAGGCGCATTCAGGGTTGCTCGTTGTGTGCTTGATGGTCTGGGTGTCATGGGGGACATTGCCAGCACATATTGCTCGTCCGAAGTGAGTGACGAGTCCACCGAGCTCCGGAACAGATGTGGTCCCCTTGGTCCCTCCACAGGCTTCTTCACCGCAGCTAGGTCGAAGTTAAAGCCTCGAAACTCATTGTTATCTGGGCTTGGAGTGTGGATCTCTTCAAAGGAGGATAACGTCGTCTCACTCCTTCTATCCGTCTACTCTGGAGTCAGATAGTCTGAACAAGTAGGTGGACGATCGCCATGACTTACCGAGTTCAAACTCAGGCGTGGTGAGTCGTCGTCCATATCACTATCGTCGTCCTCGAAGTCTGTATCAAACATCTCGGTGGCTTCTGATAGTGGTCGTGGCGCCAGCGCCTTCATGTTAAAGAATGCATCAGTGGGCCGGGCCTTCTGGTACATCTCGGCCCGTTGATCGACATGGGCAATTGTTGCCATGGTGGCCTGGTGGTAGTCAATATCAAAACTCCTTCGAGATCAGATATATATAGGGGAAAGTGAAGGAGACCACTTACCACTGCAGTCCCAACTGGAAGGTAGGGAGTGGGGGGGGGGTATCTTTCTTTTAGTGAGGGGATTGCTAGAACACTAGCAGACCGTTGCCGGTTCGGTTACTCTCTACTACTTATATCTTATATGACGCTAATTGCAGATGATGGGACGAGATAAGAAATCGCAGATAATCAAATGTAGCACGGCGGGGAACGATCAGAGGCATCAAGAGAAAAGGCCGTTGAGAATAGCGGCGGCTAGGAGAGTATATGTAGACGCTCGCACCGTGCAAAGGGCATAGGGGGATCGTGGGCTTCAACGCCCGGGGGGGGGGGGTTCAGGCCAATGGGCAGTATCATGCCGGCAGAGCTTGCCTGTCTGCACTGTGATGATATGTGCGAGAGGGTTAGAGGGCGAGAGACTCCTCCGTATCGACTAGAGGCCCCCCGGCGGCCGCGGGCAATGCTCTGCAGGCTGCAAGACCGGTGCAACACGGGCACTACGCCGGACCACGCAGCACGGAACATGGAGGCCCAGAGGCTATTTCCAGGCGTGGGCGTTGGGCTGCGCGAGCGGGATTCGCTGCCCAAGTGAACGGTGGCTTAGGGGTGCTTGTTGGCTGGGGAAGCGAACAGAAGTCGAGTCGAGAACGAACATCAACAATGATGATCACACTGCAGACACCGACTCGAAGAGCGCACGACGAGAGGCTGGGTTGGTTACAGGGCCGCCCAACCACCAATTGCACGCCCTCCGCCCCATGCGCAGCGCAGGATTCGCTCTTTTCCTGGTCGCTCTGCTATTTTCGCCGTCTGCGGTTGGCTGGCTCCAAATAAATCAGAGCATCTACGCGCCCGTCCCCCTCTGGAGTTCAACAGTTCAAGCCATCATTCGTCGTTCGCCCATTCCCGACACCCCCCCTCAGGCTTCACCAAGCAGAAGCAGAGCAACGTCGGCCTTTCGTTGGCTTCCGAGCATGCTTCCACGATCCTTCCCGCACGAGGGTCTCTTGCAAGTGCGGTTTAAACTCTTTAACTTCGACTATGGGAGCGGACCGGTGTGCGGTCCGACGGGGGCGAAGGGGGGCGAAGGGGGTTTGCACGAATGTTTTACTCGAGTACGTAGTATCGGGGTGGCAAGAAGGGAAGAAGGACTGGCCCGTTCGGCTCTATCCGACCCTCCAGTGCTAGCAGTTAGGGACGTAGTATTCCGTTGCTAGGCATGACACTACGAAGTACACTACATAGGTACTTCGTACAGATTACATTACGACGTGCGAGAGACACGATATCACAACGCTGGGTTCGGGCAAGACGAGACAAGACAAGACGGGTTCCTCAAACTCGTCGTCCGCTTTTCGTTCCACGTTGCTCTACCAATTACTCTGCTCTGCTCGACCTGCTCTACTCTACTCCAAACATATATTGTACGTACAGTATAGCACCATCTGGCATCAGGCCAGGTTTACTTTATCCAGCGTCCAGAATCAAGCAACCAGCGTGCAGAGAAGCACATGCAGAGAGAGAGGTTGTGCCGCAAAACCCGCGATGTGGCGTTCCGCCCCCTCCTCAGTGGCTGATCGGTCGTCACGCCTTTCCTCGGAGCGAACGGTCTCTGCACGGCCAGAAGCCAGATGGCGACCTCCGGACAGCTTAAGTTGGACGAAACTCCCCGGACTCAGAAGATCTTGACCACACTAATGCGGTAAACTACTGGGTCCGTCGTATGTGAGATGACGAGAGAGCATTCCTCCGTACCGTTCAATTCAAAAGCTCTCATCGAACTATAACAGCTCAGCTCCTCCATTCCTTCCCGTGTGCGTGACCCCGTGATATTCCTCAAAAATGGGCCTTGTAACATATCGAATAATAGACCTTTTCTAACAGCAAGGGACGAGCGCATGACTTGGGAAAAGCCCGCTATATGCCGCAATTCCTAGTGTATTGGCCACGAACTAAGCCCATCCTTCAACACAAAACTCCATTCTGCCACGCTTGAACCGAACCTCGGGAAAGACCTGGATGGATGGACTCATGTGCCCCTCTCCAGGCCCTCGGAACATCTCGAGCCAATAATTCCACGAAAGTAGCACCCACACGGAGCTCACATGATTGCAATCTCCTGCGAGGATCCAGGCAGATTTCATAATCCAGTCAATTATCCACGGAGGCTAGGCTCGTGAAGAAGGTCCGAAAGATGGTGGAAAGAAGCATAAAGCATCACGATGATGGTGTGGTCGAGGAGAATATATCGAATCGCGATTCCCACACCGCGATTTTCCAGAATGCAGCGGGCCGCATTGGGAGCAGCATGGGGGGGAAACGGGGAGATGCATCATTAACCCATTAACCCATTAACCCCCCGAATGCCATTTCCAGCCCAGCTTCTACACTGCGTTAGTTCGGATGGCGACAGATTCGTAGGAATCTTTGGCAGCACTTCGTAGCAGTAACTACTGCGTAGCGTTGCGCTTGGGCTCGGACATGGCAATGTTTAACGAGCTTCACGAGCAACGTTGAACGGTGAGTTGCCATTATTCAGGAATCATGAGCTACCAAGCACTAGGTGCGGAGTCGATGTGAGAGGTTTGGGCACCTACCCCTCTGTTTCTCTGTTTCCCAGTTTCCCCCTCCATCGCTTTCGCTTTCGCTTTCGTAAGGGGGAGGAGCTGCTATCATATATTTCCCTGATGATACTACCTGTGGAATATGGGATATCGACATGATTATTATATTATGCTTCGTGATAAGCCAGGATAAAGATACAGATAACATCGGGAAGATCAAGCTGCTCGTCACCGCATTATGTGTGCGGGGGTGTGGGAAAGCTATCAAGTCACTATGCTTGGCAGATGCGATATCAAGGCTTCTTTACTGTCTGCTGCTGCCCCCTACCTCCTCTATGCGGCCGCCGGAGCGAGTTCGGAGACAATTCCGGGAAGAACCTGGCCACGGCAGAGAAAGACGATAAACTAAATCCTGGCCGGTTGCCAGAACTGCCAGTGTGGGGGTAGGGTGCGAAAATGTCAATAATTAGCCAACATTGATGATTCAGATTGATCCAACAAAGTCCCGAAATAGACCTGGATCGGGCGGTTATGTTGGATTCCATGGGCAGGTGGTGGGCGCCAAATGGAACCAAATTAGCAATCAATAGTTTGGGGTGACGGAGGGAAAAGAAGGCTAATGAGCCTGTTTCGGCACAATTATGTTTCTTTAAATATCTTTACTAGGGGGGAGGGGTGGGAGGGTCTGAGCTCCCTCCTATCTGTCTATCTTTTCCGATTAGGCATCTGCTTCCTCGACTTCCTATGCAAGCAATGGCCGGGAACACTAGCGAGTCTAGCTTAGCGTTGCTGCAGAGCAAATCAACCCCGCAGCGGCTTGGGCATGATGACGGCGTCGATTGGCCGGTGCTTCGACCGGGGGCCCCCAGCACGCATTTGGCGGAGCTTGACGGTTGGCTCCCGTCTACCCGCACTTGACATTGCTAGCGCCCACAAGCGTCCACAAGCGTCGACAGCTCAATCGCGACTTCAACCCTCCACCACTCATCCCCGTATCACGCGCTGCCGGTGTGTGCCAGCAGGAAACCTTCATCCTTTCGTCGTGGCTGGCACGCCCCCCCTGGTTGCGGTCGGGGGGCCCAAATGCCTCCTCCCGAAAATGACAATGGCATTCATTGGGGATTTGGGATCATTGGGGAAATCATGGTTGCAGTGGTGGTTCGTGGTGGAAATACCGTGGTACGTACTACAGGACTACTACGTACCTCCGTACACAGGAAGAGTCGAGTCGTCAACTCACTGGTCTGCCACCCAGCCAATCTGCGGCTGGCCGCCCCGTGCCGTGTTGCCATTCGCGGGAAATGGAAATTGGATAATTCGCCAGCATTTCTGCATCGGGCCATTTCGTACCACCGGGTAGCCACCACCACCACCACCACCGCCGCCAGACACGAGAAAGGCATGTTCTTTTCTTCTCACCGCTGCCACCTATTCAGCCAGCCAGCCAGCTTGCGGAATACCTGTTTCCGCCTAGGGGTCCAGATACACATATTGCCATTACACACTTGCACAGTATTACACCACACGCACGCCATGCCATGCCCTATAGGCCGACGGATAGACTTTTCCCTGTCTGGGAGATTAGATCAAGCCCCTCCTCGTGAATCATTTTAGCGAGGCTTGGAATGGGGGAGATTTCCAGCGACAATCATCACCTACGCGGCCATCTCGGCATGATGATCGACGAGAACGTGCGTGCGTGCGAGTTGCGGCATCTGATTGAGGATTCGCGGCGGAGCAGTGAGGCAGGACAGACTGACAGTACAGTTCAGGAGCGGCCCCCAATGCCATAGGTACTTGGTACTGTGCTCCTTAGACCACGATTGTTTATTCTTGTTGACTCGACTCGAACTCTCGAGGATCGGGCTACAGTGCGTGCATATGATATGACGCAGGTGAAGCTCGAAGGAAGCCGTCTGCAGTCTGCAGTCAGTGCCGCGAGCAGGTTCCACGGCAGCACCCACCACTCCCACTCAGCAATTCAACCGAGATGCAGGTCAGAACGGTATACCAAAATCGAAATATTGACAGTGGCAGGGGTTGGGCGACCAGGTAGCTTCGACTACCCTCTTACAGCTGACGTTGTGCGACGCACTGTACGGAAGGATATACGAAAGTACTTCCCAATATCTCAATCTCATATCGAGGTGCATATGAAAAGGACAGGGCTGCGGAAGAACATCCACGCCCAATAGCACGTCGATAGCACCCGATTGCCGGCCTTTTTTCTTTTGGCTAGCCTTGCTAGCTTTACCAGGCCGGTTCGAAGGAATCAGACGAGGATGGCTGGCGACGATCTGGCCGTGTGGCTCCCGCTTTGGGATGATGCTCATCTGCACGACAGCTGCTGTGCCCAATTGCAGCAGCGGGGGCGCGGGCGGCTGGGGGCGGGGCGGGGCGGTTGGGCAGCGGCTGCATAAGGCGCCTCGCAAAGCAACGCAGCAGAGAGAGAATAGAAAATAGATATTGCTCTTTCTGGCAATGATGTCTGCTTCTTTTTTTTTCGCCTGTACGGTACGTAGTAGTAGGTAGCATTACTACGTATTCTTTGCGAGCTGACCGAGACCAAGGCTGAAGCCACAGCGGGGCCTGCCTTTGCTCCTCCTTCTCAACCTCCAGCCCGCAACCTCTTTCGCTGGTGTCAAAATGACATTGTTGCAACTTGTAAGAGCTAGGGAGCTCGGACAGCGAAGGGAATACCAGTCAGGAACTGTACTCCCACCTCTCGTCGTGGTGCTCCTATATTGCGGTGGTGCAAAGCTGGCCTATTGGCCCGTGGCCTGGAGGGGACGACGGCTAATCAGTTCGAGAGGACATGCCGGGTGTTGCTTTCCCAGTGGACCCTGCTCCTGGTGCCCAGCCTCTGTGCATTGTTTTCCCACGTCTTGTCCTATCTGGTCGATATCCCTCCTAGGGTCTCAACGGCATCACACCCCTGCCCTGCACCTGCATATGCAGCTGCAGCTCGAGCTGCAGCGTGCATCTGCATCTGCATCTGGAACCCTGGCACGGCCTCCCGTGCGGAAAAACCACATCGGCCAGGATCCTTCCAGTCGCCCACTCACTCACTGCCATTCTCGTCCGCCCTCTTCGAGCCGCACGTGTGCTTGCATTGCTCTGTAGTCGCCGTCGCCCTCCACCAGTGTTGGGAGTTGTCCACTGGCTGCCCACCGGTTTGTCCACTGGCTGGCCACACCGCACAGGAATAGCAGCATCCAGAAATAGATCCCGAAATAGAATCTGGAGAGAACAATGGCGCACACAGCAAACACACCTCGCCAGTCGCGATGTGATGTCTTCATATATAGGCACCGCTCACACTTCCATCGTACACATCCTATCTCGATCCAGCGTGAAGAGTCAAAAGGTCAACGAGCGTACCTCTTCCCGTTGTCATCCTCATCCTCATCTCTCCTCGCCCCTACGCCTCCCTGTATCTCCCTCTTCCCTCTCGCCCTCTCGCTGTTTTACCTGCTCTTACTCCGCCCACCAACCATTATCAAAGTATAGCTGGACTTGCTTTGACCCGTTCACTCACTCATTATTAATAATTTAATCGCGCCCCCCGTCTCGCCAATAATCGTCGCCGCAGCACCCCCGTCGCTCATCGCCTCATATCCCCCACTGCAACCACACACAGCACTCGAGCACTCACTCACTCACTCACCTCAAGCCCCCTCGGCTTTAGGCACGGTCACGCTCCCTCCAGCTCCCCCCAGGCCCTGGTCCAGGTACAAATACAAAATGTCAACACAACCCCCCAATCCGCAGTTGATGAGCAGATCGAACGTCGCCATGGCGGTCGCTCAACCCAAGCAAAAGTCGGCACCCAAGCCAGCTTCCAATTCAACTACCAAGAACAAGATGCAGATGCACCGGCGGTCTCGAACAGGTTTGTGGGATTCTGCTTTTTACCTTGTCTTCCTCCTAGTGCACGTTATGTTCCCTACTGTCGCTTCGCTCCCGACTTACTTACTGACTCTCCCCCAAAGGCTGCTACACATGCCGGCTACGGAGAAAGAAGTGCGATGAGGGCTCTCCAAGCTGCACCGCCTGCAAACACCTCGGCCTGCGCTGTGAATACAAGCGGCCCATGTGGTGGAGCAACAATGAGCAGCGCCGCCAGCAGAAGGACAACATCAAGATGATCATCAAGAGAAAGAAGCTTTCGGAGAAGCCCAGCTCCACCACCAACCAGGTCATGGCCCCCGGCGGCGAAACCCCTCCCGGGCTCTCACACTCGCTGCCAACCTCGGCCACCTTTTCAGATCCTCTGGACCGCATGCGATCCGCCTCAATCGACTCGCAGCTCTCGCTCTTCGACTTCAATGCGCCCCCGGGCATTGCAGACTACACCGCATACAACGCCCAGATGCACTCCTCCCACTCGCAATACGCTTCCATGTATCCTCAGGAGTTCTCTCCATACGAGATTGATGTCAAGACGGAAAGGCAGATGTTCATCAACGATATCCCAACCCGCCGCGAATCAACCATATCGACATTCAGCACCTATCACCAACCACCACCTCCCGATGCGATGCTCCCATCGTACCCCGCGGAGAACGAGTGGGATGCAGCTTGCGACGACCGGAAGGAGTCATTGGCCGAGGAGGCCTTGAACATCAATATGTTTGACTTTGCTCATGGCCCAGCAGCAACCGTCCGCCAGGTGGCGATCGAGCTGGACGAGGGCGACCAGAGACTGCTCGATCACTTCATCTCCGATGTGCTCCCAACCGTCTTCCCGATCCTCGAGACAAACCAGCACGGATCCGTCCGCAGCGACTACGTGCTCCCCGCGCTCCAGAGCAACAAGTGCTACTTGCACTGCTGCCTCAGCATCGCGGCGCAGCACTACAAGTCCATGATGAACGCCCAGGGCGATCAAATCGACAACGATATCATGCGCCACCGCTATGCGACAATCTCGGAGTTATGCGAAGCCCTCAATCGGGACACAGACCACCAGGCGATTCTCGAAGCCACGCTTGGCATGATTTTCTTCCAGTGCTCGGTAGGCAGATTCGACGACTCGCTCCCGGATATCCCCTGGCACCAACATTTCCAAGCCGCCATCTCGCTCGTGCAGAAGCTCAATCTGAACAACAGCGTGCTCGAGTCGCATCACACCAAGTCCTTCAACATGACCCTTACATCCTGGATTGACATTCTCGGCTCATCAATTCAAGGTCGCGCGCCGACTTTTGCGCATACCTACCGTGAAAAGCATCTCTCCCCAACCAACTCATCCCTCGGACTTCGTGAACTCATGGGCTGCGATGATCGCGTCATGTATCTGATCTCCGAAATCGCGTGCTTGGATGCGCTGAGGAAGGACGGCATGGATGACATACAGCTTTGCCAACATGTGCATGCGCTTGGTGACCAGATCGGTCTGACCGAGATGGGCGAATCGGGACCAAAGATCCCATTTAACGCCCACGGTGTGCTTAGCCCCAAACAACTGAGTCGCAACATGACCGCAGCTTTCCGGATCGCTGCCCGAATCTACTTGTGCAGTCTTGTGCCCGGCTTTACCCCCAGCCAGGCAAGCTGTGTGGGCTTGGTAGAGAAACTCACTCAAGCGCTCGAATTCATTCCTTCTGGTCAGGTCGGGTTTGACCGGAGTCTCGTTTGGGTTTATCTCATTGGAGGATCCGTCAGCACTGCTGGCTCCACTTTCCGCGCATTCTTCGACGACCGCCTGATGCAACTGGGCGACCTTGCAAACTTTGGGAGTTTTGGTCGCGTAGCTTGTCTTCTTAAGGAAGTCTGGGGACATGTCGATGGGCGATTTTCTCCCGGTGGTGGTGAGGCACATTACGTTTCCTGGAGAGACGTTATGCAGATGAAGGGCTGGGATTTCTTGTTGATCTAGGAATCTCCAGCTTCAGCGCCTTTGAACTGGCTTTGAATGGTTGAGAAACTTCATCTGCAGTGCTGCTGCGTGCGATCAATCGCATCGCTTTTCACTTCACCCCCGGGACGTCGAGCGCCCTCGATAGAGTCCTGGAGACGATTTATTTTGAAGCATTAGGTTTTGGAGCGAGGAGCATGCATGGGCATCACGGGATGTGATAGCATTGGCAGGAACAGGACCCATAGTCTCTGGATTACGAGAACCACGAAGCACTTCCTTTTTTCATCAAACGTTTTACATACACACACATACTTAATGGCTCGTTATCCAAACGAGCGGACCAAAGGAGCATCTGGCATACCCATGGGATCGGCGTTCGGGGCAATGAAGGGGTGGCATGGGAAAGGGAGTTTTTTTTATATATTACATATTTGCATATGGGGCCTCGAGGGCAATCCAATGCCCTGCGAGGCCAGGAGGAAATGGGATTCATTCACAAACAACAAAGACGTACAAAATACACACCCTCGACGGGCCAAAGGCTGGCTTCCAGTACGAGATTACGTTCTTATGGGAGGAATAGGGGGGGGGGGGCAAAAAAACGTGACCGAAAGGAAGAGCCGTTTTTCATCATCAGAAAGGAGTTTTGAGCATTGCTCCTCCGGATTTTTAAGCAGTGGGCTGTGTAAAAAGCCGCTCCACTTGCTGCGCTTTTCTCATGCGGGGTTTAATTAAATTTCGCATTGAGCTTAAGTTAAATAAAAAATTATAGAAAAAATCAAATATAAAAATCATAAATTATTCAAAATATCAAATTTTAAAATGTGCTTGGGACGTTCATGCGCATGTAGAGACGTTTCTGTGTGCTACCTGCATAGCCTCCTCACCTATAGGTAGCTGCCAGTAACTAGAAAATATAGAAAAAAATCAAATATAAAAATCATCAATTATTCAGAATATCAAATTTTAAAATGTGCTTGGGACGTTTATGCGCATGTAGAGAGGGTTCTCCGTGCTACCTACATACATAGCCTCCTCACTTATAGGTAGCTGCTGGTGAGTAAACGTTCTGCATTATTTGCTGTTGTACTACAAAGGGCATCTCGTCACGTCTGATCACCTCCGGGATATCTAACCTCTACATACATAGCCCCGCTACTGCGCCCATCCATCAATCACCCATCTCCTATCTCCCCTACCTATCTGCAGGTACATGTACATGTACATGTACCTATCGATAACACACAAACCCCCAAAACAAAAACCCATCCCCTTCAAATCAGCCCATCCATTCCATCCATGCATCTCCGGATTACGAATAAATTACATTTGTTTTTTAAAAAAAAAGGTTTTGTTGCTCATCGCATCGGTTCGGAACGGGGTGGCGCGGCGGTATCCGGCGAATTCTACGATAATGAGTAGTGGTTCGATAGGAATAACAATGCTTAGTTTTCGTTAAGAGCGGACTCCGGTGACAGGAATCAAGGATACAGGATGTAGATACGTGGCTTTGTCGACCCGCACCGGCCGGGTTAATATCTAAAACAGCTGATCTGTGGAACGAAGGGGGGTTTTGGTCACGCGTGGGGGGGATTATCATATCATGGTATTATCGTTGATGGGACAAGGACGTTGTTGTTGTCGTCGTCGTTCCGATCTCGTTTACGAACTGTATGGGGAAAGGCGAGAAGGATTGCTTAGCGGCGGTTGAAGACGGGATGCTGAATGAATACTCGTACGGCGTAGGGAGTTGGTTGCCTGAGTTGCCTCCCTGGCTACATGCTGTGCTTGGTTGAAGCCCGTTCGTCCTCGAGATGATCCGCCGAGCCATGATGCTATGAGGACCACTCGTCAGGTATCTCGGCGTGCAAAGGAATTGCTTCTCGTATCATGTCCATGGGCACGGGGTACCTTCTGCCCGACTCAGAGTCACCTGTACCGAAGGTCGCTGCCAGCCTGGGCAGCAATGGCCCGTAACCCTACACCGCTGGGAGGTGACGATACTGATACAGGAGCTGAAGATTCCAAGGCACACACAGTCCTACGGAGTTGTTAGCAGCTGGAGATCACCAACACATGACTCCTCCCATGTGACCTCTTCAACTCTCCAACAAACCTGAACTTCCAGGTTCCTTCGCTGCTGACTGACTGATACGCAAAGGACGCAAAATACGTAATTCTCTCCAGCTTCGCCCTCCTCCAATCGCGCGCCAACGCCAGCGTCAATTTGTTACGGCTCCCTGCGCCAACCAATCCGCCGCTCGCGTTTCACCGTACCCCTTTCTCCAGCGCTTCCCGGCCTGTCAATCCCTTCAACCACGACGACACAGAGACAGGCAAGGCCAGGCCATGCCTTTGCACTGCCGCACCGTCATTCCCACCACCGGCTCACCAGCGCATCCGCAGCCTGTAAATTCTGCGACCCCTCGAGCCGCCGCCAAAACCGTACCAGTTCGCTGGTGTTGCTATTCTAGCACCGCGAGAGCTATTCGAAGATACATGGCCGACGCGTAGAGACCGCCCTCGCTGCCAATGCAGGCAACCTGGTGCTCGGCCGGTCGTGGATCTCGAGGCCTTAGAGGCTGGCTGCCGCTGCCGCTGGAGAGCAAGCCAGATGACGATGATGGTGTGGAAAGACCACGTCCAGCCAAGGTGGGCAGACAAAGAGGGCTATTTTTGAGAGTTTAAGAGAGTAGCGCGTCTGTTTCTAGGCAATTTTGTTTCTCTCTGCTTTGTTTCTGCTTTTGCCGCTGACCTTCTGACTGATCTCTGTTTCTTTGTCAGCCGTCTATCTTATACTCTTTTGCAGTCATTATTTCTCTGATTGCTCTGATTCCCTGATTCTTTTGACTCACAAACTCTTATTTTTCATCATTTGGATACAGTAACTATCTATCCGCCGATATTCTATCAAACTTCTAGTTTCCCTTATAAGATATCAAGCAGTTTCACCCCTATAACCCTTCCTATCTGAAATTTCGCGGGATTCGAAGCCAGATAGACAAGTCGCAAGAGCTACGAGCTGGTGGAAATGCGCCGCCTTCGAGTGTCCGGGCAGCTAATGCTCATGGCAATGTGGCTCGCAATACCGACAGAAGCGCGATCCCCTCGAGACCTCTTCGAACGCGACGGGAAATGTTCTGATCCCACATTTTCCCAGTGTGCCAACTCTGGCCTACCATCGAACTTCTGCTGTCCTAGCGGATCAACCTGTCTATCACTGGCAGCGAATACAACACTTCTGTGCTGCCCCAAAGGCTCGGACTGTTCAGCAATACAACCTATACCATGTGATATATCGATGCAAGACGCAAGCCAGCACCCCGATAATATCCTGAAGACGACGGCACTTACGGGGACTTTGCCAACCTGCGGAAGCCAATGCTGCCCCTTTGGCTTCTCTTGCACGGGAACCACATGCACCATCAACACCAACCAAAAGATCGCGCCCTCGACGAACCCAACCTCCACGTCCGTCTCCATTGTCCCAACCATCTCCTCAAACCCTTCCGCAAGCCCTAACTCGGCATCAAACGGAACAGCAGCAGTCCTCTGCCAGCGATTCCCTACCGAGGCCGTCCTCGTAGGATTTTTCCCGGGCCTCTTCCTAGGAATACTCCTCACCATAATAACCGTCTGCATCATTAACGCTCGCCGGCAAAAACGCCGCCGCAGCGGCTCCTCCTTCGGAAATATCGGTGAGCCGCAACTGTCAGGAACCGATATGCGATCCGATTTCCTACGAAAACCGCCCCAGACGCCCTCGACCACGGCGGGAGGAAGCACACGATCACGCTCCCATCGCGTGCGCTCTCTATTCACAAAATCGAATTCCTCGAGCCCAAAACCGGGGATGAGCATGCAGGAGAGCCCTCGACCGAATTTCCCCGCTCCGCTCGCGGTGCAGAGATCAGCAACACAGGGGCAGAGACCGGGACGGCCGGTGACACCCGTCCTTCAGCGCGAACCGAGCTATGAGAATATCAATATTTTCGCAGACGGAGACACAGCGAGTTCATTAAGGGAACAACAGACGACACCTCAAGGGAGCTCGCATAGTGGTGGATTAGCGCCTCCGGCACGTATAGGAGGAGATGGGAGGATGAGCAATCAAACGACGTTTACGGATATGATGGAGCATAGCGGATTAGCAGGACTACAAAAGGGCCAGCGTAAGCCTCTCTTAAATTCCCATGACTACCCTACTTACCACCGACCCGGGTGGTACTAAATTGCATAGCAGAGAGAAACAAATTAACTAACTAGATTTGCAGCATATGTGTATAAAGGCGGCAACGCAACACGATACTCGTCGAGCCCGAGGACGAAAGAGGTTTAAAAGCCTTGTGCAAGGCAATACCAATTTATTAATTATTTCCGTACCGGCGTTTGGTGAGCGGAGTCAAGAGGGTGGATGTGATGTAATTTTTTACTCTTGTTATTTGCTTAAATGCATGCATGGATTGGTGTTTGGAGCGGAGTCATTGCATACATACCCACACACCTACAGTTTTATCATTTTTCGTTTGCGTGTTGCTGGAAAAGACTTTATCGGGAGGGAGGGATTAGTCAAATTGTGTTAATCTAGGTGGTATGTCGAGTTTAGGTGTATCAACAGGTAGAATATGGCAATAAATTATTTGCTCAATTTAATGAATGGGGTGTATCAGTAAGATAGTGAGTGACGTTCTGGTGGGGGTTATAGGGTGGGTATGTTACTTAAGATGTGTGATATTTCTTTTTAAGGCTTTGAAACTAGCTTGTGTTTATCTGATTAAAGCGAGGACGCTTTCGTGTCTATCTGTAGGTAGTTGATAATTACACGCATAAAAGAGAAAATTTAAACATAAGAACTAGAAGAGTACTTGATGTAAATGCAAATCCTCCCAAAAGTAAAAATAGCACGCCTAGTTGAGCTAAAGACGTATAACGTCCATCTCTATATAGCGAAAAACCCTACGTACGGAAAAGACTTCATAGTTTGGGGGTCTTAAATACTTACTACGTAAACATATAAAGTTATAATTAGTTTACTATTATTCTTTAGCTATTTCTCTATCAGTACTCGACTTATAGTTAGAAAATACTATAATTTAGCTATACTATCGATCGTCTTATAGAGAGCGTTAAAAGCTACTATAACTATTACCCTTTACTCTATTATAACTATCGACCTATTCTCGGAATTCGGGGCTATACTATAAAGCTTCTATTAAGTTCAAATATAGCTCCTAAGTTTGAAGATACAGAGTATAAGGAAACTTACCTACTAGATTTATTCGGATAAAAGTAAGAAGGTATATAAAATACTAAGTATCTTAATAAGCGAGGAAGGATTTATCGTACTTACTTAATACTATATTTATAGCTACGCTAGTTACAATATATCTTTATATAAATAAAATATACTTTACTTTAAAACCTCCGAAGCTCCGAACTTTATCTAGTTTATATTTTTATTAATTTAATCTATATATAATAATTGAATTGAACTAGTCTTCTAAGATTTCCGAAGTTATATAGACGATTATTTTATTTCTTCTAATACAGAAGTTCGTCTTCTCTATATTTTTCGATATATTTATTATCTTCTCCTGCTCCTGTAATACTAGATAGCTTTCACGTGGACTTTCAATTCTTCTAAATTCACTACAATATATGTAAGGTATTTAATTGTACCCTGGTTATGAAACCAGGTATCTGGGACGATCTTTGAAGAAAGATCAGGGGGGCTATCACAGAACGTTGTCTTTTAAGTTACTAAGAGTGAAGGGGAAATTGGAATTATTATCGTGAGTTGGTAGAACTATTATTAACTCACACGTAACTAAAAATTAGATCACTATATATAAAGCTTGGCTAGTATTGTAGTAGCAAGGAGTGAGTTTGCGGCCTTTCAAGGAAATCGCGGATTTGAAGCGAGGTATGAAGACGGAGGACTGGAATAAGTTGGCGCCGATCAAGAAAGATATGGACAGAATAGACGTGCTGAAAGGAAAGGGCAAGGGAGCGTCGTGTCCGAAGTAGATGGACGAAATTGGAAGAGAACCAGTGAGGTCACATATTAGAAGGCGTTCCTATGACGAATCTAGATTGCAACTGTAGAGGCGCTGCATTTCGAACCTGTCCTAGTTTGAATGTTTGAGTAAAGTAGACATGTAGACGTGAATAGCGATTTAATAATATACTTCTGTATATACTTCTATAACTACCTGCCTATTAACTGACTAGAATAACATGAATAGACGATTGTTGATATTCGGCAAAACATTCACTCGTAAACCACTCTATATTTTTTTAGGCTAAAGCTACGTGAGTCAGAAGGTCTTAGTACTATAAGCTGACGTAATTCTATTCTATAAGGCTAGGAAAATCTCTGCACTGCTCCGTCCTAAGGATTCATCTTTGCAAGTCATCTTCCACGCTTGCTGAACAACACTTGCTTTCGACGATGCCCACTTAAGAAAAACTGAAATACCCTCACTGTTAAACAAATAGCCTCACATCCTCTCCCAACTTACAAAGAACTAAAATCAGATGGCGACCTTCCACCCTTTCCCGCGCCTTATTCCAGAAATCCGCACCCAGATCTGGGCACTCGCAACGGAGGATCGAGTTATCAGAGTCAATGAAAGTAACTGGGGTCCGTGGTCGCCCAGCCCAGTGCCAGCTATAACAAGAGCATGTCGCGAGTCCCGCAAGCACTGCAGCTACCAGAAAAGCTTCTTCTCATCAATTGCAGGAGGACGCTACATCTGGGTGAGTTTCGATCACGACACCATCCACGTACGAAGTACAGTTTTCTGGGGTTTTGAGTTCACGAGGCTTCCGATCGGCGACATCAAGCATTTGAGGATTGAGCTGGTAGATGAAGAGGGAAAGGAGGTCGAGGAAGATTGGTGGTATCACCACAAGGCTTTACTGCGCGACTTTCCCAAGTTGAAAAGTGTTGATCTTCTAGTGCCGCTTGAGCTGAGGTTTTATGGGCAATATATTGAGGATGCGTATTTTGGAACGTGTGACAGAAAAAACGTGAGGATTGTGAACATGAGTACGGGCGAGTGGTTTGATGACGAGACGGCCGGGCCGTATATAGATTATATTGAGTCGTGGGGAGGAGAGCATCTTGATTGTATGACGAGGCTAGTAGAATGGGATGTTGATGAAGAGTCGAGGAAGGAAAGGGTAGAGGATATGAAACAGCTTCAGATGCCGAGGCCGCGGATTAATTTAGATTATCAATAGCGCCGATCTTAATAAACTAACAATATTCCCTATAGGCGATGCTCGAAAGAAGAGAAGTCCGAAAGCTAATAGTATCTCACTCTGCTAGAAGAGAAAGCCCTTGAAAAGTTTTTGAAACTAATATCTGAAATTATCTCATAATCACTTCGCAGGTCGTTCTCCAGGAGATTAAAGTCCAAAAGTTCGCAATTTCTCACGTTCCTCCGTCCAGGCTGTTACAGAGAAAAAACCGCCGAATATATTCTTCACACGCAAAACATGAGCATTCCGGTCAACAACGTCCGCCTGGTTAATACATAGAACATCCACCCAGATTTTCATGCTAAGTCGGCACTGGAAACAAAAATATAGGATTCCAAACATTTACAACGAAAATAAGGGCTTGGATATCGTGTGAGTCACGCGCTGTTGGCAGTTTTCGTGGCGCGACCAGTCGGCCAACCTAGGCTCACAGAGCCTGGGCAGCAAGCAGCCTTGCCATCTTCAATGCCTGGGTAAGGGCAGAGCCACATATAGCTTCCACCTAGCAAAGCTCTGCATTTCGAGATTTGGTATTGTAAACGACGTCTTTTCTGTAAATCAAGAAGTTTTCACCAATTACCTGGCATTTGGTCATACGATATGGTGGTCCCTGCATTCGGCTTCTCGTTTGGGGACTTTACAGGAGGCATTGTCCTCGTGAAAGAGCTCATCACGGCTCTACGCGATGGTGCTGGAGCAAAGCCACAATACAAACGTCTTATCACGGTGTTAGTAAATCTCGAACGCGCGTTGACCGAGGTCCAACTCCTCAAAGTCGAAGACTCTCAGGCTGCACAGAAGATTGCACTAGAACAAGCTGCATTACAATGTCGAGGGAGCATAGAGGATTTCTTGAGACAGAATGCGAAGTTTGAAGCGACGCTCGGTGCCCAGACGACTTCCTCGAAGTGGAATTGGCGAGCCAATCTACACAAGATACAGTGGGTCATGTGTAGGGAAGATTCCATTGATAAGTTGAAGGCCGAGATAATGGGACACACATTAGCCATCAATACTTTGCTGATGACGACACACTTGTAAGTAATGGAGGCTATGCAGCTTGAAGCACAAAGAAACAGAGGCTGACAATGGGTTTAAAGATCAGCGACAGCGATACAGACCGAGTTAACGAAAAGTCACCAATTAGAAAGTAAAGAACATCGCAAAGTAACGGATGAAGCACAAGCTCTGGTAAAGCAGAATCATGCTCTCCTGAGCATTCAAACGAATCTTACTCTCATGATTTCTCGGAATATCGAAAACTTGTCAACCCGCCAGCAAACTGAAGAACTCCAATCAATTGTACTCAAAATCCTCGATACGAATGTGAAAATGTACGAGATGGTCTTGGATATGCAGAAACTTCAATCTCAACTCCCTGTACAAGTTGATCGTCAACAGCCTGTGCACTTTGAGGATGCTCATGGCCGAATAACTCCATTCCACACTGAGTTTATCAACTCATTTGATGCGTTTCAGGCAGTGATAGAAGTGCGTTTCAGGCAGTGATAGAAGTTCGTTTCCGTCATGTGCCCGGATTAAAGAAGGTGCAGAATATCGAATACACAATACAAGAGTCAATTTCAAAAAGAAAGCTTGATCTCACCGCCTCCTGGGACTCTGTTTTCCTGCCAGGCAGGAAGGTGAACATGAGTATGGTGTTTCGCAGGCCGCAAACATCCATGTCATCGTGTCCCGGGTGTCAGGCCGAGAATGAGATTGAGGGTAGTAATAGAGGATCTGAAATTCAATGGTACGCTAACAGTTCTATTTACTTGGCTAGCCATTCACTTACATTCCTCACTGCCGTTTGCTAACCATCTTCTATGAAGTTCTAATATAGACTGCAAAATGTGGTACCAACGAATATTTGAGATAGATGCTCCTCAAGAAGCCCCATTCGCTGCGCCCAAGATCAAGCTGGGTAAGCGCGGACAAAAGGCTACACTAACATCATCTAGGAAAAGATCCAAACAGCTAGTTATTGAAGGTTCTGATTACGGCGTGGAGAATTCTGCTCAAGATGAGGATGAGGATGACGACGAGATACACGAATTCCGGCGTGTACAAGTCGTTCACAAGAATTTTGTGCCGAAATCTCTACTGCAGCATGTGCGGCGCGACTACTCTATGAGCATGACAGACTCAGCTCCTTCTGAATCTGGAATCTTAATGGGCGTCACAAGCTTATCCAATAAACATACAAAACCAGATGGTCCACAAGTCTACACCGTAAGCTCCTCCGACTAGAAAGTAAATTACGAGGGTCGAACTGATTTAGCTGTAGGCCGCCTATCCTAATATTCTCATGTATGAAATGGAAGCCAACGGGGCAGCGGTAATGCGCCGAAGCTCAGATTCCTGGTTGAACGCAACACAAATTCTAAAGGTCGCACAGATGAAAAAAGGACAACGCGCAAAGACTATAGCGAGAGAGATTCTAATCGGAGAACATGAAAAGATCCAAGGTGGATATGGTATATCTCAAGGTATTTGGATCAATTATGAGCGAGGTGTGAGGCTCTGTCGACAATACGGCGTGGAGGAGCTGCTACGACCACTCCTTAATTATGATATGGGAGTGGAGACTCCGACAAAGCGGCAGAGAGTTGCGCAGAGGCACGACAAGACAAGCCGCAAGGCGATGTCTTGGTCGGGGACCGGAAGACATGCGGCATTCTCTAGAATATCAGAGTTCCATTCGTGGAGAATTTGATGAGGCATAATACCCAGGTGCCCGAAACTGGTTCTTTGTATTAATGAATAAATAAACAAGACGTTTACGACTCAATTCAATCGTACTGTAACATCGTTTATGTTTGCGATAAGACCCTTTCATAAGTATTAGAAGTAATAAGAGCTTGGTAGTAGGGCTATGGTGAAGGAATTCTGTATTGCTATAAATAGAGACTTTCTGCGAATTAGGTGCTAAGGCAGCGATATAAATATAATATTTTTGGTAGGAGCGATTCAGAGTGTTTAAGGGTAGCTATAGAATACGACTTATACAAAAATATAGGATTTGCCGATATATATGTACACAAAGTTTAACATTCTTAAAGTCAAAGTACCTCTTATATTTTTCGGCACGGAGGGTTTTTAGCCACGCAGAGATAGACGTTACAGCAGCATATAGGTACGAGTAAATAAATCCTTAATAGGAGGAAGAAGGAAGGAAGGGTAAGAGCGTAGCTAGCAGTTATATGACGATACATATATCAGGAAACTTCTGAACATGGCATGTAGTTGGTGCGCAGATTAAGTGATGGGAAGCTAGAATAATGGGTAGATAGATATTATGATATTATTATGCTTAAGAAGCGGGAATTTGAAATTGTAACTGATTAACACCTATTGGGACGATCAAGATGAACTCTCTACGGAGTACGGAGATAATGGGTTTACACCTAACTTGTAGCAATCTTATGTTGAATTTCTTTCTGCCCTTTGAGAGTTACCTCTTATCTATTAAAACCACTAAGATTTATAAAAGCGCATCTGTTTAACATCTTTTAAACACCGGGTGTCAGCACCTCATCGTACAAAGCAGCTACATAAACCATGTCAAAGGTATAGATAGCTAAACAGAGATATAATACCATGGTGTAGAAATTCCGAGTGTGCCTACAAAGGGAAGGGCTGTTAGTCCTGGCTTTACATCCCTATCAATAACCTCAGCATGGTATTAAGCTCTCCCACCTAGCATATCATGCTGCACATGCGTGCAAAGAGGTTGCGGTCCCTTGGGTTTATATTACAGCATTGTATTATTCACTCTTAAACCCCACAGATAATTATCTAACAAGGAGAAAACCAAGTCCCACTTGTCGATTTATATCCAAGTCCGGAGAGCACGTTCTCAAACCGGTTGAGCTAGCCGAGCCAGGCTATCAGATCAGAGAGTGGAGATAAATGGGTTAACTTGTATGATACGAGAAGACATGTGATGTTCAATTCGGAGGGATAGGCCCTGAGAGTTAGCAAATATGCTTTCTAGTACATATAATTTGGCTTGATTTATTTGACAGCAGGGGTTGCCTTGACAGAGTGATGGATATTGACACTGTGATTCATCTTGACAGTGTGGTTTATTTTGACAGTGCGCTAGTATTTAGCTGTCAAATTGTGTGCCAGAGCAAAGCTCAAAGGTAGTTGAAGGTGGTAGTAGAGGCAAAAGCTGGATCCAAGCCGGAGTGTGGATCGAAAAAGTGTGTAAGGAAGAGGAAGTGGAATTGGAGTCGAAGAAATCCAAGGGCTCTTATACTCGCTAAGCAATCCTGTGCGGCACGAGTTGTCTGGCGTGGTGCCGAAGGGTGCGTCTGTGAGGCATGCGGTAGGCAGCCTCGAAGAACATTCACTGATTCAAAGGAATTTTCCTGTTGTCCTATTTGAGAAAACCTGGTGGCCGGCGTTTAGCTGGAGGCCAGCTCCACAAGGGGGAGGCAAGCTTAAAAGGATAGTTTAGACTTACAGAAAGGCGAGTAATGCGAGTTGAAGTTGAACTTAAACTTAAAAGTTGATGTTAAAGTGGAAGCTAAAGTGGATAGGAGGTTGATATAAATCTCTTATTCCTAACAGGCTTCTCCTATTTAGACTCAATACCATCACATACTTGATGCTACAGTAGCTGACTCTCTTAAATAAAATAAGACCTCAGCGCGAATATATTAATGTTAACAAATACATTAATATCTTCAGGTTCCCCATGGTACCTTTCCTTTTCAAACTCGCGCACGATTACGTGGTAATCCCAGTGGCGACTAACTGCAGACTCTGCGTGGTTATTTATGTGGTAACTCTGGTGTTATAATCCCCAAAATGGTGTAGGTTGTCTTAGCGTGAAATTATACAGAGGTAGTAAGATCAGAGATAATAGATATCGAGAACCTTCGCCCAAGTCCGAGATTATAAAATCTCCTCGTCTGAGTCTGAGTCGTGATATTTCGAAGTTAAATGTCTGGTGGTATTAGCTATACATGCGACATGTTGAAAGGAAATAAGGAATAAGGGGTGAAGGCCAGGCGACTTGTCAGGCTTGGGAGAAGCAGCAATATAAACCAGAGACTGATAAATCCCTTCCTCTAAAGGAGAGCTAGGGGGTTCATTCTGGAAGCAGAGCATCTGCTTCCGGGTCGATACTCGAGAACGGTGGGGAACCCACTCGGGCTATTAGTCCCTCTTTGGTCGACTCCGCATCCAAGCTGTCGAGTTTTTCCTTGAGCTGTGTATGAATGGCCTCGGGGCGACGCATTGCTGCCGAGAGAACTTGCTTTTAATCAACGGAATTTGCCTCCAATTTTCTTCTAGCTTAGGGAGCATATTAAAAGGCGCGGCCTTCTTGGAGATGAGTTGGAGTTGGAGCATCTGCACTCCGTTCACTTTTCAGAAGCTATCTTCTGCCTTGGGAATGGCCTTGCCAGACCCGGTACAAAATCACCACTAATCACCACTAGGATAACGATATCTAGCAGTAGATCAACAAGGATACCCAACGCGATGGAAAACAGCAGGTGAAATTCGAGGTGCATCAGTCACAGGAGCTCTGTGAAGAGCACATGAGATGGTACAGGAGACCCAACGCCAGAAAGACGCCGCAAGGGTGAGACGTGAACAGCTGGATAAAGATTCAGAACTCGAGATGTACAAACAACTGTAGGCCTCACAGTATAGTCGATCAGAGTCATTAGTGATAGCAGACCTCCGGGTAGGAAATGCCTTTACGTGAGATAAAAGGAAAATGACAATCATACTACATTATAACAGAGGTGGCATTGACAGCACTTGACGCTGTCAACTGAATACCATACATTCCTCCACACCACACCACTGAGATGAAAGTGAGGAGGGATATCGCAAATCCAAATCACAACGCTGGTAACGAGAAACTGTATAAATCTTGCCAAAAAAGTCACAAGCCACACTCCCTCCCGGCTAGATTCGATCCAGGCAGCTTACATGTACCAATTATAACATATGTCCAACAGACAAGCGCCTCCCTGTAAATAATGAGTGTCCCGAAAAGCTGAGGGAACCAGAAGTAAATTGATGCTGGAAACCATGTAACTTTTTGAAGCCACTTTCCCGCGACGTCCTTAGTATTACGACGCGCAGTGTAGAAAGAAACGGGTTGCCATCAAACCACGTCTTGAACCTTGTGCTATAGGTGGGTAAGAGATGCCGAGTACACGCTCTAAACCGGACTACGGTCCTTGGCCACCCCATTAATAACAGCACGGGATAAGACGTTTCATATTACTAAGAGGGAAATAAGCTTGAGAAATATAGGTAGGTGGTAGTATAGCGACTTGCTACAGGGGGAACCTGATTGAATTGATTGGGGAGTGGCTCCATGTTAGGAAAGGTAATAAGATCTTACTATACCTTCTAGTAAGCTGCGGCTGAGAACTCGCAAGGTAGAGTTTGAGAAGAGGTCGCATGCATGTACAAGGAGAGAGCTTTTAGTATAACGACATATCTCTGATAATATACACCACAAACAACTTAATTTTGCAAAATAAATTATACTACCCTCGTAACACCAACCACAGAATCCCCATCTCCGCACACCTATTGCTTCTTCTTCGACGACGATCTCGTTACGTTCTTCTGTGTCTTGGAGGCATTCTTGCCCTCCTGCACCTTCTCGAACTCCGCAACCTCGTCCTGCTCCTTGCGCTCAGCGTACCACTGGCCAGCCTGCAAGACCAGCACGCCAACTAAGACCAGCGCCAGAATAGTGTTGCTGGCAGATAGCACTCGTAGACTGTCCTCCCTGCCAATGGCGACTTCGGTGCTGCCTTCAGGAGCGCCGTAGACGCCGGCGGTGATGATGCGGAGGCCCTTGACGATGTTGGTGATGTAGACTACGACGCCGACGAGGTAGAGGACTAGGGACGCGCCATCAAAGAGCAGGTTCGCCTCGGAGGGCTTGAACAGCTTGATGAAGAACCCGATGAAGCCGATTGAGATGGCGATGTGCAGGATGCGTGGGATGATGGGCGGAGACGCGTGCATGAACTTCAGGTGTGCTTCTAGCAGGTCGTAGTATGCCGCCGGCGTCACGTCAGAGGTCCAGAGGAGTGGGTAGTCGTAGGGGAAGGAGGAGAAGAGCATTCCCAGGAAGAAGCATACCGCTGTACGTGTGTGGTGTCAGCCTCGTGGGAATTGACCGTCAGGGTAAAAGAAAGAAAGGGAGATAGGTAGTCTTACGTCCAACTATCATCGACGTCGCAAACGACCCAGAGCCTCCTTGCCCCCTGGGCTTATCATACGTCTTGAACAGCGACACCTTTGAGGGATCCATGATGATGGTACGGGACAGGTGGTATTCGCGATTGGCGGTATACTCTCTTTGCCTAAGCTATTCAGACTATCGAAACACAGCGGGGTAGACAAGCTCTGAACCAGCTGGGAGGGGCGCTGTAGAATTGAAGTGCGACGCGTAAAAAATACTGCCTGTCGTTTGTTTGTCGTAGATCGGCCGTCCTAATTTTTCGAAGCTCAGGTCAGTTTGCGCTGAAGTTGAACTTCAGTTTGTTTGCGCCGCCCAGCTCCGCAAACAGCGCTAGAGCCCCCGAGATAGACATTTCGCTACCGAGGCGGGGGCTCGTTTAGGCAGGTGGACTACGAAACAATCGCGATGGCCGACGCTATTTCCCCACAAGAGTCGTACTCCGGAGGCTCCGACTCGTTACAAGACATTTCAGGGGTTTGGTATATGCCCTCTTTTACAGCTCTGAATATCCTCACTCACTGTTTTTATTGCATGTTGCTGTTCTGTCTGCTCTTTTTGCGGTGTAGCGCTTCCTAGCTAAGAATTGCTTTGTTTGCGAAGTAGTGGTAAAGTAGTGATACGCGCCTGCCAGCCAGCCCTGTTGGGCGATCCTGAATGGACGCCAAAATTAGATGTGCTATGGCGCAAACTTTCTATGGACTAGGGCTCTTGGGAATTGACGTAGTCAGCCCTGTCTATTGTGTCATAGAACTTAGGTGCACATTATGTTTGAATAATAGAATTGTTTAACAAATACGTCCTTTGGTTTTGGTCACTACTCATTGTATGCATTCTCTTTTCGATACGTATGTAGGGCTCAAAATCAAACTGTTCGATCATCACGGGTGGGAGAAATTGATTAATAAGTTTTTCATTACAATACGTTTTCCCATAGCTATCATACCTCTAATCGGTTGTATTACAAGTAGCGAACTTATAATTTCACTCCCTCCAGCAACTCCAAGAACGGCTGATCTGCGTTCTAGTTGTCCAATAATATGCTCCCAGTTCTCCATTTCCACTTCCTCCATCTGGATATATTAACCCTTTCCAGCCCAAAAATGGTTGCGGGATCTGATTGCACTAGGCAGCCCGTCTTCGTTGAAACCAAGTTAGACTTTTATAATCGGGACCGTATAGACAGCATAGTGTGTCCTTCGTCCCGCAACACCTTTTTCCGAGTTGATGTGATCAGTGGCCGATTGGGAATGTAATCTCGACGATCTTTGAATCTTCAAAGCGACAAGTACACCCGGGTCCTCCTCATCAACCAACTCGCTGATAGAGCCGAACTATTTGCAGGATCATTCTGCTGTTCGCGGCATATATCATGGCGAGGGGCATAAGTTGTTGCCCGCTATCCCACCAGCGGTTCTGTTCAAGCTTATGAACAGGTCCGTTACACCAGGACCCAGATCAATGGACGGGGTTGAAATGGCGGGTATCATCTTGGCGATAAACTGGCCCAGAGCGAACACCACCAGTCGTCCCTTCAACAGATATCAAGAACTCTAAACGTCAACCTTTGGGCCCCGTGGTGTACCGTGCGGGACAACCTTCTCGTCTGCTACATCCCCAGTGCACTCATCGGGGAGCGCCCCAGCATTCTCGATCTCTTCCACAATCTGCCTTAATTTCTCGTTCGCTCCCCTGCCGCCGATGATGGCGCCTTCTCCATCGAAATGCTTCGCAATTTCCTCCAGCGGAGTGTTTCGGGTTTCGATATAGAACTTCCAGATGATGAAGATTTCAAAGAGAAGCCAGATGTCGTAGAAGATATAATACTTCCATCTCAGCCTGTCCAGTGCGACTGGGTTAATGTACTGATTGAAGAACAGGGAAAGATCGATGGCGAGGAACATAACAGTCATGCCCTTTGCGCGGATATTGTAAGGCAAGATCTCAACGGCATAGCCGACCAGCAATCCAGACCAAGCGGTGTTGTAGAATACATAGTAGAGGAAGATCATGACAACGACCGCATTCGCCGACGATTTCGAGTGATTGATCTCGAACTGTGCTGAACAAACCGTCCAGGTCAGGAAACAAACGAACATGCCACACGTGGATATCAAGAAGAGCAGTCGACGGCCAAGTCGGTCGACGAAAAAGCACATGCCTACGGCAACGACAATGTTGGTAAACTGTAGGACACCATTAATGATCAGTTGTTGAGTAGAACCTGTGATGTCGATCTGGTTTAGGACGTTGTGGATATAGTAACTGGAAGCGATTTATTAGCTTTGCACTCAAGACTTGGGTATGAAACTTGGGGCCTTACCTGACGAGTCCGTTGCCAGACCACTGTGAGAAGAAACCGAGAGAGACCAAGATGATAAGACGATGGCGGTTGCCGGGTTTTCTCCAAAGTTCGGCCCACTTGTTACCTTCGAGCTCTTGTTCGAGCTTCAGGGTCCCGCGGATCTCTTGGTACTCAAGTTGTACTACTTCATCCATTTTGTTCCCCTCCGCATGGGCATTGGCCAGGATCCGCAACGCTTTCTCATTCTTTCCTCTGGAGATAAGCCACCTGGGTGATTCGGGGACGAACCTGCTACCGGTTAGACCGTCGCCAGATGGGAGTTTGGGGGGGATAATGCATACCAAATAAAGCCCATTTGCAACAAAGATGGCAAGGCCTGTACCAAGGAGGGTGTTCTCCACGCCCAGGTGCTTTGGATCTTGCTTGTGCCTGGTTGGATTAGCCTACGTTCAAGGCGCTGATCCTCTAGTGGCTTGAGCCATTGAATATCTTACCGAATGTCAGCCACGCAGCCATAAAACTTCCCATATACCAAGTGGTGTTGTAGATTGCGGTGTAGATTGCGCGATGCTGAGGGTGAACCAGTTCGGTGATCAAGAGAGGCGACGATCCGTGGGCAATAGCGACGCCGAAGCCCAGGAAGAATCGAGCGCTGACAAACATCGCAAACGTGAACCCAAGACTCTGAAGTGCAACACCACCCAGCATGATTGAACATCCGACCATCACGCCCGTCCGCCTCCCTAACATATCTGCGGTGTACGGGACTACAGGTAAAGCGACGAGAGAGCCAACAGCCCATATACTATTGAGAAGCCCGAGTTGCGACGGGGACGGCTGGTGGTAATCTGGCGCGGAAGTCAGCACACATGGTCCACGGCAAGCAGAGGAACATTACATACAATCTCGCCATTGATCCAGACTTTGGAGGCCATTCATCATCGAACTATCGTATCCATTTGTGGCGGAAGTGAGGACGACGAACAACAGGCAAATGTACAGACTCCGCATTCCCTTCTGCTTGTACCAAGTCACGCGCGGGAACTGCTTTCCCGCCAACTCGAAGGTCCCTTTCGTGTGTTGGAAATCCATGATGATGGTCGATGGATGAGGATGAGGAAGGGGGGATGGCGATGGAGAGACACAGGCACGAACACAGAGCGCGTGAGGCTGTCGCAGCGGCTCTGACTGACGAACTCAAGACCTGGAGAAAAGCGGCGTTTCTGGGGTCAACATAGTATATATGAAGGTTCGCTGAATGGGCCGGGGGGCGCGAGGTTGGACAGTGATTTCCGTCCGTTCAAATCAAGGGCGACTCCACCTAATCCCGACGTCCCTTATGCGCAAAGACAGTGCAAGCACGCGGCAGTACGGACCGCTTAATATCGATCTCTCTTCTTACGGTGGCCGGCCGCTGTTTCTTCCAGGCCCTTAGGGGGAGACGAGCCAGTCAGCAGCGGGTGGTGGGAGGTGGTGCAGGCCAATTCAGCGATGGGGGGTGGGGATWTAGRGCTGTCTCTTATACACATCTAGATGTGTATAAGAGACAGGTTTAGGGGAGGGCGAGGGAGACGACAAGGGGCCTAGGGCTTAATACTTTGGTGGTTCTTGGTTTCTTGGGGGAGTGGGAGGCAGGGAGGGGAGGGGAGGATCGAGAGTCGACTTAGTTTACTGCTATGGGGTGTCTGGGAGTAGCAGTAGGGGGGAAAAGGGGAAGGGGGACGGGGGAAGTCTGGTTAAGCCATGAATCAGCTCTCGTCGCAGTGCCCATCGGCCAATAGCTGCTGGACGGTTGCACTGGGGCAGAACTGGATAATCATCGGGACGAATGACGATAGGCTAGAACAGGGGCGCAGATCGCAATGCATCAATCAATCAACTTGGGATCATCCAGGCCGGGGAAGGGAAGGTCGGTGTTCTGCGGAGCCAGCCAGGGCCGCCGTCTCCCGGCTAAACTACGCCCCTACAGAATATGCTGTCGCTGGCTCAGCCGACAAGAATAAATGGCGACGAAAAGGAAAAAGAGAGGACGCGGGCGGAGACTCGGAAAGACTCCAGCACTCAAAAGGGACGGGGTGGGCTCGAGTAGGAAGAGAGAGGAAGAGAGAGAGAGAGAGAGAGAGAGAGAGGTTCTACCGTTTTGATGTCTGGACTCGGGACGACTCTGGACCCTCTGGACACTCTGGAGCCTGGAGCTTGAAGGAACAGAGGAGGGACGACGACCCGGATATACAGTGTGCAGTGTGCAGTAGTGAGGCAGCGAGTTACAGTCAGTCAGTCCGTCAGTGGTGAGTAACTATCTGAGCGACTGTCTGGGTGACTGAGTGACTGAGTAAGTGCCGTGCTGCTCCGTCCCCATCAATCTCCAGCAAGCACCTATCCTTCTCCAATTTCCATTATCCCACAGTGTTGCCGTTTCACATCCATATTATCACCATATTATTTCCAGCGTCCATGTTGATGTGTTTTTCGTCGCCGTGGCATTTTCTGGCGGGTTGGGCGTCCCATTGAGAGGCGAGCCGTGGCCCATGGACCATGCCCCAGGTTTGGCTTTTCTCCCTCTCACGCCTCCATTCCCCCGCATGTTACTGTATTGGGGGGCATGCTATAGCGGTGCTGCCGTGCTATAGGGTGCGTGCTATGCTGACTTCTAGCGTGTTATAGGGGCTCAAGCCTCGAGGGTTCTTGGCTGGCCAGGTCGCTCGTATCGACGCCAGGGACATCCCGAGGGGTGGAGGTCCCCGCTAGGCCCTGGGCTGGGTGCAGCTCGTGGGCAGCGACTGGGGAGGAGAATAATCACTAATCGGGGTTTGGTGTTTTGGTTTGGTCTGTTTTATTTTATTAGTACCGGAGTGCTCCGGAACGTAGTGCGAAGTATTATTGTGTCCTAGCACTTACTGCGTTTTGCGCGGGAAGAGTGCTATGGTACTTACTGTATCTATGCTCAGTGTCGTCTCGTTGTACTCCATCCTTTCATAGAGTAGTAGTACTCTGCCTCGTCTCGTCTCCTCTCCAATGAGTCCTATCACAACCCTCCACAGACTGACTGACCCCCGATATGCGCAATCAACGCAGCGCAGAGACCCGAACCAGGGATGCGGGTTAAACGGGCAAAATGCGAATCCCGTCCAGGAGGGGAGCGTACTCCTACGTGCTACGTAGTACTGAGGGTACTTCGCAGTGGGCTACATCCCGAAGATACGCCCTCTTGGGGCCTTGGGCCAGAGGGGAGCAGTATCCTCCGTATTACGACGTGCGAGCCGGGCTGCACGTCGAGACCGAGAATGGATTGGCCGCCCGCGGACAGGGCGCTCGTCTGTTTGGAGTCGGGAGTCTGGAGTCTGGAGTCGCCTGGTTTACGGTTACGGAGTAGCGTCGTCGTGCTGGGCTTCGTCTGTCCCGATGAAGGCCCTGGTCTGCAGTTCGTGTTGCCCGTCAATCAGACGATCCGCCAGTGCGCCATTCGCGGCGTGCACCTAACAGCACACATAGAGAAATATCCACCTACTAGTACAGAGTTAATCCCAATCACCATCACAATCACACACAACTTCCACAACTTCCATAACTTCCACAGCACCCCCTCTTATGAACATCTAATAAGACACCCACCCGTTTCTATTTTTACTCTCCCATTATTTTCCGCCTCTGGCTCAACCGCACCCCTACTATCGGGTGTCCCCTATCTGCAGGGTACCTGAGGCAACGGGGTCTTCAGACTCTTAATACATCCTCCGGACCTATCTTTACTTTGCACATCCATAATACATCCTCAAGTACCGATAATCCTCCGCACCAATGCCTATCTCTGGAAGCCCAGAACGGAAGTGCCATGGAGACTCCCAAACTCCCACCCAGCCTTCAGGCTTTCCCCTGGGGGCGCCGGCACAATTGCGGTGCCACACAGCGACATGCTCTGGGAACCTTGGGAGCAAGTCCAAGCAACCATCCGACCCCGTTACAGTTACCGTGGCCGTGACCGTTTGGACCAGACAGATTAATACTCCGTAAGTAAAGAACTTATTTTTATTTCTTTTGTACCGCCGTCACGTTGCACAAGCAGGACGGCAGGACGGATTGGGTAGTCGACGAACGCCTAACCTGCTCCATTGGGCCGCTTTTCATCGTTTAAGCATTGTGTCGAGTGGGTCTTCATTACCTCAGCCATCCCAATATTGAATGCTATGCCCATCGCAGTACTTCTGACCAAGTACTACGTGCTTTTACTGGTGCTTGCTCGTCTGTCTTCATTCGCTGTACCGACGTACTCTGCTGTACTTCGTACTGCGCTGTACTGCGCTTATCCCGTAATAGAACGAAACCCATACTGTCGGGATTCGGGATCCACCTTTCTACTGTCGAATCAAGTCAAAACTATAGGGGTAGTCCCCCCCAAGTAATAGTAAGACAACTCCGGATGGTATCATCTGGTCTATCTCACCGTATCGGTGTTATCGTGTTATCCACGTGTGCTGTACCTACCGACCAAGGCAGCGAAGGAGCGGAATGCTGCCGAGGTGAATTATTGCTTCATCGGAAAAAGCTCTCCCCGACCCACATGCCATGAGGGTCTGAGACAGACGATAGACGACAGACGAGATGGGTCGAACCCGAGGTGCTTCTCGCCACCGATAGGAGTGGAGAAGACCCATCTCGTATTCTCCACCCCATCTGACTGCATTCAACTCTCGAGTATTGTTGATCTCAAGGTACAGTGCCGTGCAAACTTCAACAGCTGTTATCTTCCCATGCCTTTGGGTACGGAAACGAGTGGGCTCAACCTCAATATGGCCGACATAGTACCTATCCAGCCGCACAACTAATCATTCGCCAGATCCAGCCCACCACGCGCCCATTCAGTCTGAGGCAGTTATCGCCTGCACAGACAGAGCCCCTTCAACGCGCGTTGGTTATTTGCGGCGCAGATATGCTTCCTTCCAGCTTTGCCAATGCTTTGCCCGTGGACGATAGCCTCAAATTCAGGGGGTTGTCCTGCCCATCCTTCCCCTCCCCTTCCTCAGATGTTTGCTCTCCGAATAGCTTCCTTCAAACCAGCGGCAAGTTGATACATGAGTCAATCGAGTCCCGACTCGCGATTCTCGAGAGTCCTAGGCGGCTCCAAACGCAACCGCCCCTCCCTTGTTGTTTTCTTAACCGTCATGAAGCAGCGTGTACTTGATACCGGATCGTGAGAAGCAATCAGACGGCCCTGATCAATCAATCGCCGAAGCATGCAAGTCTATGTCAAGACTGGATGGCGAAGGAGGAACGTTGACGCTGTAGAAAGGCCTCTCATCAGGTCAAGCAAGCAGCTACCAGCATCTCCGAACCATTGCAGAGATATTTCTGGCAGCGCTCGCGTTCTGTGACCACCCAGCGTTAAGCTCAGGACTGCTACCAGCCCCATCGATGGATGAAGGAAGGATCCTGCGAGCGGCGCCAGTGAAGTTTATCTGGAAGCCACCCTTAAGAGCCATCCCCATTCGATGAGGACATCCAGTAGCTGGGTAGTGAAGGGAGGACGAAGGGGCTTTTTTCCCCACGCAGGCGCGCGCAGCGAGGCTCCCCTCAGGAGGCCGCTGCCCCCTCCTTCTCTAGTGCAGCAGTCTGTATTGGACGAGGAGAGCGAGGAGGAGACCGCAGCCACTCAGATAAGTCAATTGAGCCTCTTTCCTACGTCTTCGATGCCGATGAACGTGGCGGGCGGCTGCTCTCTATCCATTCCCTAGCCACACCAGGAAGCGCGCGGGATTCTGCTAGAGCGCCGAGGCAGATCGCAGCGGAGGTGTGTAGACTGGTAATGATTCGCCGACTGAGGGCTCCTCCGTCGGGTGCAATAGAGGCGCGCGGTCAAGTTTGTGTCAAGATGGGAGACGGCGGCAAAAGCGCACCCATTGCACGAGTACATAATGAACAGGACAGCCTGAGGAGAAGAAACGTAAAAAAGCGAAGAAAGCATCTCTGACCACCTCCAAGATTCGGATTCCAACATCCTCCAACAACCGTCCAACACTCCCCAACACACCTCCGACAACCACTCCCCCTCGCGCACGTTGATTACTGCTCTGTTTCACGTCGCCGGCTTTCCAGCAACCACAGCTTCGGTGCACACGCGCCACGCCCCGGGCGCTCATCCGCCCCGTAATAGGCATCGTCGCCGGCTTCGAGAAGCCAACACGCCCAGCACGCCCAGCGCCAGGCACTCCGTAAGCCCCAATCAGCGGCTCCAGCAGTGATCGTTTGGCGCCCATCTCGCTCTTCCCAGCAGCGCCTCCAGCACTCCAGCGACGACGACTCTCCCCAGTTCTAAGTATAGCACGAAACAGCAGCCCGGCGTCCCCCCAGGCCCAATCGTTTCACGCCCATCGCCCAGACGCTGTGTTGGCGAGGGCGCGAATCACCATCCAATTGCTCTGGACGGCTGCACGGCTGCCCAGCACCCGTTCGTAGCACACACGCCGCTTTGAGCGCCCTCAGCACTCGCTGCTACTGGGCGTCCGTCACACACATCACCGCACCGCACCGTACTGCACATCAGCACCTCAGCACATACTTCACAGCTCGACAGCAAAGTTGCTGCACTCTGCACCCGCTGCACCACTGCACTGCATGTGAGCTGTCCTCCTCCGCTGCCTCCCTCTGCCTCCAGATCATCCAGCCCCAAGCGCCCAGCTCTCCCCCCTCCCTGATCCCCCTCCGGCTCTAGAAGCGGCGCCCCGTCCTCCCTCCCTTACCCGCCTGGCACTGGCTGCTATATCGGTCTCACTCTGCCTTGTCCACCATCCACCACTCGCACGCGCTGACCTGGGCCGGGAAACAAGAAACAAACAACTGACCAGACCAGGGCCCGCCTCAAGCCCTCAGTCACATTATATACTTTCCCTCCTCCCCAACACCCCGTCCTTGAAGTACCTTCTTCCCTCTACGGACTGCCCCGTCAATCGCAGCTTGCAGGCTCTTGTGATCCCCCGAGTCATTCTTTTGATCTCACGGACACTCGTTATCTCAGAACTAGGAGACCGCCCCCCAAAAAAAAAAGTCAATATGCCTTCAACCAAACCCAAGCTCGCGCAGCTCGAGACGCCCATGACCTCGACCTTCCCCTCCGAGCTCTCAGCTCTTTCCGCAAGAAGTCCACTGCCCGGCTTTGCGGATTTTATAAAGCAGGAGGACTATATCAAAACCCCCATCACCCCGCCCACCGCATACACCGACTTCCTGAAGAATATGGGAAGTCCTGCTGCGGGAGACAAGTCCTCCGGCCGAACCACGCCCACCTCAGCTCCCTCCACCGGCTCCAGCGATCACAGCGACTGTTCGTGCAGCTGTGAGAGCCATAAATCACCTACCTCTGCAGCGCCAAATAACGTTGTCTTCCCCACCTCAGCACCCTCCACCGGACGATTAGGCCGGTTGCGAATACCGCCCTCCCCCGCGTTCTCCACCGCCGAGTCACCCCGGAGCGCAACTTCAGCAGTCCGGTCTCCTTTTAGTGCACGAAGTGCTCGCTCGCCTTATGATTGGGATTTGAGGAGTAAGGGGAGATACTTCGATGTGAAGTCGCCCAAATCAACCCGGTCGAGTGTTCGCCAAGTCCGGGAGATTGTCACAAGGACCGTCACATATACACCCAGGATGAGTCCCGCGCCGAAAGGAAAGAGAAGGAAGATCGAATGAAAACCCAATAATATCCTAAAATCCGTTCATCCTGCTTCATCATTCTCAGAATATCCCATCGCTCTACGCAGCTATCTTCTTTGTCATATCTTTACGCACACGTCACATTTCTATATCATATACCATATATCCCACCACATCACACCACAACAACAACCCCGCCACTCCCGCCGACGTCCTCACGTTTACGAGTTACGCCTTCGCTTCTAATTCACGAAAATATTTTAGGGAGTAGAACCGGGAGAATATCCCGGTTCGGATTTTTTTTGGGGAGGGAAAACACTCACCGTTCAAATCTTGCTCGGCGTATCTGCCTGGAGCATCGTTGGAGTAAGGGAGGGGCGGGAGGAAACGGAAATCCCCGCGAATAGCAATACCGGGTTTAACATTTGCGGATATCATTTATTCAGCATTTCATGCATGGCTCATGGCCATTCTACAGGAATTGGAGAGGGGGCAAATTATCCCATCTACGGATTTGGATATCCCCAAGGACTGATAGGTGGCTATTGGAGCGGGCGGTAGGCAGGCGTTTTTATGCTGGCGTTAAGGAAGGATTCTTCGGGCTACGGAAATGGGGGGATATTTGGGCGCCAAAGGGGTGGTGGTGATACCAGAAATCAGAATTGAAAATCAAATAAACTTAACTTACCAATAAGGCAAAGAGCGGCGGCGGGGGGCCAGCTTGTCAAGCAAGTAACCCCCCCTCTCCCCCCATGCTCGAAATCCAGCACGCGTGAAAATCCGAAGCGCCTATTATTCTGACGTATCGACAAGCACACAACCGCAAAGAGAAAGCGAGTGAGTGAGTGAATCAACAAACAAAAACAAAAGCCCAATCCGCGACCTACCTGCAGCGGACCAAATATCGGCCCTACATCACCACATCCCATCCCATCCCATCACATCACATCACATCACCTCCGGAACCTCCCCTCCCCTCCCCTCACTCTGCGGGCCAGTCAGTCAGTCTGCTGCCCCCAAACAATCCCCGTACCTTACATGCACCAGCACGTCCACTACAAGCTGCTAATGCCAGAAAGCCACATGTCATCCCAAATATGCTTAACTATCCAACAAGTTGGATCTGAGCAATTCCCAGCCTCTGTAACCTAATACTAAGTAAGGTACTTACTACAACACAAAAACCCCCAAGCAATAAATCAATGCAAGCAGGCAGGCAAGCAAGCAGATCCTATCCATCCATCCATCCATCCATCACACACATCATACCGGATTTAGCTCAGCTCATCTCGCTCGTGATACATAGAAACAATAAACTGATTATGGATGGATGGATGGATGGATGGATAGATGGATAGATGGGATGTCGATAAAAGCAGCGCCCGCTCATGCACTTTTAAGCGCCCGCTACGCACCGTGTGGAGGAGCGTCTGAAGCGGTGATTGGGCGCTGGGGGGGGGGAGAGTTAACCGCTGAGGCGACAGGCGGTTTGCAGGAGTCGGCGACTTCAGCGACTCGGCGTTTGCGCCCTGCTTTATTGGCTGTGGGCGGATATGGATGGGGATGGGGATGATGCCCAGTGCCGGAGCTTGTCCGTACAGTGTTTATGTATGAAAGCGCTGTGAGTAGCGGTCACTGGTTGGTCCATACGAGCGAAGTATTAATAATAATCAACTTGGAGAGCGAGGGCTTCATTCAATATGGTTGCCACGCTCTGCTCTCTCTCGACGGTGATGATGATGAAGATGATGATGATGATGATTACTGCCTTTACGAGGTACTGACTGCCGATTATCATGGAGGATCTACTCATGAATGTAGCACAAACCAGATCTCGCACGACTATTGGCTGCCGTGCTCATCCCATCCGGCATTACTCCAGGGCATGTCCTTCCTACCTTCCATACAGTATCGATTCTATTTCCATATTTATCTCATCTCGGAATCCCCTCGTTCCTCCTCCTTCCTCGTCCTTAAATCTCCTTAAATCTCCTTTGACCATCCTCATTCCGAAACCAAGCCCGCGGCGACCCCTATTCTCCCAGGATTGTTTTCCCCCCTTGCCCTGCAGACGAAACAATGCGGAGAAGTAGAGAGCGAGCAAGCAAGCAGACCAACCGATCGTCGACGGCGGCGGGCAGGCTACCGTGTCCGCTGGGGGGAGGAAGGGACGGAAATGGGACTAATGCGCGTACCATGCTCAGCATCATTATTATTCATTATTATATGACGGTCCGCTCTCATCAATGCTGTATTTGCTGCTTGTTATTTGTTGCTAGCTGGCTGCAGAAAACTGTGTGCTGAAAAAGCGCACTGTGCGGGTGCAGAGTACATACATATTATTATTGGTGCTGGAAAAGTTCTGCAAGCCTGCGAAGTTTCAGGTCCATCCATTCGCAGTACCCCACCACCCGCGATTCCTAACAAACCAATTCTAGGAATTCTTGCTTTGGGCTTAATTATTCAAAATTGTAAGAGGTCTCTGGTTCGATCCCGGATTAGGCCCGTTCAATATATAAATTTTTTTAATTCTAGTTTCTAAACTATCACGCCTAAAGGATGGGCCTAATCCAGGATCAGGCCAATTGTCAGGACGATTACTGTGAACGGAATGCAAGAATATATTTGTCTGTTTGTTGAACTAGGTCCCCGTATCTTGTATATACCACACGATGTCTGTTCCTCGCGCTGGTCTACGGAGTAGGAACTTGGAACACCTGCTCCCTGATAGAGCTGAGGGCGAATGCGCAGCCAGGATTAAATCCGGGGATATTTACCCCGTTCCTGGGTCCTATATATAACCATGCATGTGACTGAGATCGTAGAACATAGCGGATAATCATCCCCCCAACACAAGGCGTAGGCACAGCTGAATTTATATTCGGTCATCTTTGCCCAAGTCTTATTTGCTACTACCCAGCTCAAAACCTTACCCAAGCATTCTACGTCGCTACTATCAAGCCCAAAACTATATTGTAAACATGTCAGATTCAGAAGATTCTTTCGATTTCGATAGTTCTTTTCCCCCAACATCTCCACTGCAAGCAGTCATGCGGCCCACCCAATATGTACGAGACCTCATTTGGAACAAGTTTTTAAAGTATGCTGCTATATCCAACCGAGCCCCGATCTATAGTGGTACTAACCTCTAGAAAGGTTCAAAACCAGATACCCGCACAAGGATATCTTTAAGCATCCAGAAGTTACTGAGGATCCGTTAAAAGCCTTCGTTATGTGGTATGCTACGCAAAGTAGGGAGATATCTCCGACGACGCTAGCCCATTATGTATGGCCGTTGAGGCAGGAGTGTATTGTCCGAACAGGGCAGGTCATAGATCGAGATTTAACTGACAGAGTAAGAGCAGTAAGTAGATGCCCTTATTTTATTACACTTTGTTTTATTACACCCGACTAATAAGTACAGTATTGCAAAAACGAAGTGGCAAAAAAACTCGGGCTACAAGAACATATACGAAGGAAGCCGTTTGCTACACATAGCGACCTCAAAATATTACTACATTATTTATGGATAAGTGATAGGCATCCTTTTAAAAATGAGCGATACCGTGTTGGATTAGATTGGGTTATAAAGGTTTTGGTATACACATGTGCCCGTCCAGGTGCAATTACTGTGTCAGAAGCTTATCGTGGAACCAATGAAGCTATAGACTATAGGGCTCGGCTAGCTCTTGTGTAATAGTACTTAATTTATAGCTAACAGAATAATAGTGTCTTGATCTCCAGCTTGTCCGAGACCCGAATAGCGATATCCCCGATAAACCCCTGGCTACATTAACTATCCAGTTCAACTATTTGAAAGGTGCTAGGGGAAGTGGAAAATTGTAAAATATTCAGTTCTACTTCCTATCCTATTTTATACTAATACTTTTTTAGCCTTAAACTTACGTTGAAGGAAGATAGAGAGTTGCCATCTGCGGTTCGAAATGGTGGGGAGTCACGAGGCAAACGCCGTAAACCTACGAGATCTGCCGCCTCGGATTCTGAGTCTGAGGCCCCGAGCGTAGAACGGCTAAAAGGCGAAAGCCGGCAGAGGATGTGGACATGGGATGAACGTACTCTCATTGAGTACCTAGGTACGTAAACTGCGCAGCAGTCTTGTGAGCATTATATATTGAAAATACGTTTTGTACTTTAAAAAAAATGCCCAGTTAGTTCAGTGGTAGAATACATGCTTTGGGTGTTAAACATCAAATTGTATGTGGTCGCAGGTTCAATCCCTGCACTGGGCCTGATAATTTTTTAACAATTCTTCTTTTTTTTGGTTTGGTTCGGTCTAGCAGGCTTGCACACAGCGCTAGCAGGGGCTATATAGCAAGGTCCGAATGGAACGTTAGACGAGTTTAAGCGACTCTCCGTTGTTATTCCGATACAAAGTCGCCTGGAAATAGTCGAATCGGCCAGTAAGAGCGTGTATCGACCCCTCTGGCGCTGTGTGCAAGTCTGCCAGACCAAGGGATACGCTCGATATTGGCATCAAAATAATGTTCCGTGTTATGTCGAGGTTATGGCAATTTGTGGCCTCGAGCCGACAGAAAATATTTATGTCGTTCCAACTACGATGGCCGGATTTGGGAATACTGTGGGGGAACTCAGCTGGACGCGTTCGCGGACCCCATCCAATTTATTAAAAGGGTTTGTGGTATGCAGCCAGAAGTATGCAGCGCTTCGACTCCTTGTGATATCTTGCGATTTTCCAGCATTAGCCACCCCACAGGCAGAATATGCCGGATGAGGGTGTTTTTTGTCACAAGTGTTTAGATGAACGAAGGATTTACTTTGGGACCGTATGCGATGGGTCATCTGTTTTGATTGATCGAGCGTGTAGTGGGTTTCTTAACTGGATACAATACCCTTTCCGCGATATTTTTCCACAGGGGCTGAAAATGTAGGTTAGGTAGGCAGATATAGGTAGCCCGCCGCAAAGAGAAGGAATATGAGTCTATCTTATGAATTCCCCGTTGCCCACCGTGGAGGAGTCGATGCGGTGATGGGGTAACAGGCAGGCTGCAATTTTGGATGAGAGCAGACTTTTACGGAGTATCGATGGATGGTACGCTCCACGGATATTGTGAGGGTTTCGGTGATTTGATTCGTGCCCGTGTGCCCGTGCCTTGAGAGTCACGTCGCTCCAAGATCGTTTTCTGCCTATATGTACGACTGGGAGGTCTGTTCTCCGATTCTGACCACGCGGGCAAGGCTCGCGGAGGGTATGGCGGCATTTGCCGTTCGTTCGTCCTGTGGATCTCCCTGGATTGTGATGTCTATTGCTGCTAGTGGTGCTGGGAGTGGTGCCTGTGGCCTCAAGTGAGGAGGAGAAATAGGGCGTGAGATGAAACGTGAGAGGTTGTGTGAATGGGTATGCTGCCTGCAGCAGCAGCAGCAGCGACACTGCGCTTGGAGGCTGTCATTTTATCATACCTGAAGCTTTTCGGTAGATGGTAGCTACATGCCGTGGTGGAGTGGTGGTCGGCCAGTTTTACTGATGCTGAGATTTGTCAAGTCATGGTAGTGCATGACAGCCTCTCCGGCAAAGCACCATTACGTCTCCGTCCTTTCTTGATAGGACACCGTTGGGCCTTGCTGAAGGTCCCGTCTTGGAATAAGACACGGACTGGGAGGCAGGTTTAGGAAGGTTTAGTTCGCAAGGGAGCGATTCCCGAGAAGTCTAGGTAGGCGCCTACAAGGGGAGGTGATGGTGAAAATATACAGTTGCCTATAGTTAGGTTCCCGCCAAGGGCAAGCATTATGCTGTGGTATTTAATAGGTTATTTTGCGAAATTCAGTTATCATCATTGAGCTAGCTGAACTCAAAGCAGCTTACCAAGTGCTATATCCTCGACGATATGGCCCGCTGGCACTCAGCTCGAGAGTTGTATGGCCATGATGATACCAATGCACTGGCTATTTATGATGAGTGCAAAATTCTAGGCTCTATCTAATGCCTAGGCCTCCATATGTCCAAGATTAGTGGGCGAGACTGAAAGTTGATTGAGTCTTGTTTCGAGATGCTATACAGTGTCATTTGAAAGATTTCTGTCATTCCAAGGAGTGTTGTCAATTGCGATATTGATATTGTTGCTGTTGCTGTGGGTTCGATTATTGGCAGGCAGTTCCGCCGTTCTTTCTTCTCGATGTTTTAGATGAAGATGACGATTTCCCAGCTTTTGATGACGATCCAGCATTAGCAGTCTTTCCAGTTTTTGATGATTTTGGACTTGTTCCAGATCAGTCCGGACCTCTCAAAAGCATTCAGAGCACTCTCCACCCGTGTGAATGACAAGAATAAAAAGGAAGAGAAAGTCACAGTGGAATGCATGTCGACTATCATTACTGCCCCTCAAAAAGTTCCTCCTGGCTACCTTGATTGATGGATGATCTGCGAGTGATTTTGAGTTGGTGACCCAGTCCTTGACTCTTTGACTCAAAATTGGATCAGTGATACCTGGAAGTAACTGGGTGAAGAGCCTGCAGGCATCCTGATTGTCATTCTTGAAGAGGTCGTCGCAGTGTGAAAACGATGGCTAGTCAGGGACTGGGGAGCTGAAGTCTATCTCTACACCACCACGCCAGTTATCTGCCGCTAGCTTGAGAAGTCCATCAAGAATAGCGCATGAGGGAACTGAAACGTATCTTGGCCCAGTGTCCGCTCAAGATGTGGTCCGGCCTCTCCAGCTTTCCGCGTGTTCTCGTTGGTGCATTCTAGCAAGAGATATGTAGGTGATTTCGAACTCTGAGAGACGAGGAAGCCACCACATTGAGCTAAAGTGCCTCGGCAAAACGGAGTTTCCTTGCTGAGTGCTATTCCTTGACCTTCTTCGCTCTTTACACTTTCCCGAACGAGATGCCCGAGCTCTTAGCATAGCAAGGGTTTGCGCAGTTTACACTCACTAGGCAGATGGGTCGTGCATTTTGGTATAGGCCTCTTGTTCGGCTATCATCAAAGGTCTATAGTACTTGGACGTAGCTTTAGCAGGAGTTGATATTTAGTTCATAGTGATATTAATCGATAGTGAAATCTTCGGATTTATTGTCCTGGCCTTTTGAGTTTATATTTTCGGTCCTTGATTGCTGGTGATAAGTCTCTTCATAATCGTACTCCGTCTGTCGCTGATGGTCGTCTCGTCCAAGTTATGCTTCGATGTAGGCGAAGCTGTCATACAGCCTTGGCTGGCAAGAAGTGCTAGGCACAGTGAGGATATACTTCTCTTGAATAGACATTAGCAGAACACATCAAACAGCTCCCCCTCCCTATAAAACCTTCTCACTACATCCAGCGTCCCCCTCACCATTCCATTCCCAAGTAACAATCATCAAACGCCTGGTTCTCACCAGAGCCTCCCTCCCTCCCTCACTTCAATCGACCCGGCTCATCCCCGCGCGGCACAACTTCACCGCCTCCTCTGACGAGGCAGGTATATATATCTGAATAACAAAAAGCCATATAACGACAACCTAGCTCTTTTGCCTTTTTGCCTCTTGCCTGGTTATTTTATTAAATTTGTTTTGTACCGTTGGACGTTTTCTTTTTTGGCTACTGGGTTTAGCGATATTTGTGGGGCAGGAAAAGTGGGCTATCATTCACTTTTACTGTGCACAACGATGTCACTACTTGACACGTAGGGCGCCATATCGGTAGTCTGCAGGCTAGAAATGCAATAGACCCCCGAGAAAAGCTGATAAAATCCAAATATGGCACCAACGACCCAACGAAGACAGGAGAACAAGTATTCAAAAGAGCACAGGCGGCGAGTGTTCTAACAGTTTATTTTGACTTTGAGAGCCACCCCTCCGAACAGAAGATTATCGACTATGATCCCTAAATAATAAATAACTAGAAGGGAAAAGCAATTGAGTCCATCCCATCCTTCTTCGCCCTCCCAGGACTGCCCTGTTATAATATGGTGTGTACCTAAACGCCGTAATGTCATGTGCCCCAAGCTGCAAGGATATATAACAACATAAATGCAGATATTCTATAACTCAAAGAAATCCCACAAAAGCTTATATGCCACCATTAGCATTATCAGCTGGGACGAGGCCCCACTCCGCTAAACCATTGAGGCGAAGTAACTTCGCTCTCAACAGGAAGCTCATGTGCTCCGCGATGTGAATTGAGGCGTTGCGGCCTAGAAGACTCAGAGTTAGCGACAATATCAAGTAATTGTATAGGCAAAAAACCTACATAGGACCCCCAGGAGCTTCTCCTGTCCGAGCTTGGAAAATGGAGGTATCCACCAGCGTCAAGGGAATTTGAGGGGCGTCACTTGCTCGGGCCGGCATAGACCTTCTGATCGTGGGACCATTTCCAAGAGCGGAGCTCGAACCACCTAACGCTGGATCCAGATTCGTCCCCTCGTCTATCGCTGGACTTCTCGAGCGTTCCGTCTCTGCCCGCGAGTGATCGCAATATCCTGGCGAACTCGGCTGCCCAGAAAACCGGTGTACATCCAAACCGTCAAACATTTTATTGGGGTAGGCTGACGCTGAAGCCATTGAAGCATGGTTTATAAATGGGGAAGCGGGATGGGACTGTTCGCGCTGGGGTGGAATCATTTCCTTCAAGATTTGTTGGCGACCACACATGTAAAACAATGCACCGGCCATAAGAGCAACGGCAGCTCCTCCAATGGTAATACCTGCGATCGCGCCGCCTGATAGAGGGGGTTTGGATTCCGAGGCTGCCGCTGCGGCAGTAGGTGTGCTCGTCGATGTTGGAGATCCTGAGGCTGACGAAGTAACACTTGAAGTCTGTGTCGATGATGGTGCAACTTCCGCAGGAAAGTTCTCGCCGGGACTGAAAGCTAGGGTTGAGTTGCGGGCAAAGTCCTCCTGGATGTCGAGCGTTTGCGTCGAGTTCTAATCTTTGGTGAGCGACGTGTAGAAGGGCGGAACTATATAACAAACCGGATTGATTGCCCCGATCATCCCATCTATACATGCGCCAGGAGCCGAGCAGTAAAAGAATATCGGCTGCGTATCGTTGATCTTGATCAAAAATGCTGGGGGCTTGATCCATTAGCTCGTTTGTAAGAAAAAGCATCGACAAGATTGCTTACATTGGATGCCACCACATTGAGGGGATGGAAACCGCTCCAGAAGCCTTGCTTCCCTACCCCAGAAACCTCATATGGTATGCATGGCTTCTTAAACTCGGCCCTGGCGACTGAATGGTTTAGGGGATAGAACAGGAACTCTGCAAACGAATTAGCATCCTTTTGTAGCCCGAACTGTGTCAAGGCCGCGATAACCCACCAACAAAGTCGCCAACATTTGCCGTCACCGAACTTGGAGTGAAGACATGGCCTTCCTAGAGATGAGTTAGTATATAATACTTGTACTTCGTTGACTCACGGGGGCCATACTGCACCGACGGACAGTGTGTGCGTTGGGGCAGCGGAGCTAGAAGTTGACGACGAAGTTGGCGACGGCTGCAAGCTCTGAGCAAGTCCAAGCTGGAGACAGACAAATGAAACCAAACCCAGCCCAAGTAATAGCATTATGATAATCAAGATGTATGGCAAACGAAGGCAAACCCTTTTGAAAATCAACGGAAGGTTAACTCTCCATAACACGGTAACGATAATTATGGAGGTAAATTCCTCATTCAGCTCGTCCGAACCACGAGGGTAGGTGGCAGAGCCATCACATCACTGTCTCTGCCCTGCGCCCACTGGGGCTGGGTCGGATATTGCAAGACCGTCTGCCGAGTGGCTGCAGTTGGACGTATGTTGGTTTTCGAGACATGGCGTTCCAACCCAAAGTCAGCCATTGAGGAACTTGATATATCAAGGAATTAGCAACCGGACCAAGCGTGCGCTGTACTGAAAGCCACAAATTTGGCTGGGGCTCAATCCCTGAGACATTTGCTGGGATACTATTGGAGGCAAAGCAGCCTTGCTGACGGGATGATGCAAATGTGATTGGGTTGGTTTTCAGGCGGAGGACTTTTGTACAACAACAACAGTCCCGGTCCTCTTATCACGGCCCTCTTATCACGGCCCTCACGGCCTCTCTATTCGATAGTGGGAATGGATGCGACTTGGTAGGCGTTCGGCAGGGTCTTTGAGCTTCCCCCAATTCGCTCAGGGGTTCGCAGTACAAAAGGTCTGGAATTTGGCACCACAAATATAAACATAACAGCCAAAAAACACCATATGTATGGCAGGGAGGAAGCAATATAATACTTGTTATCCAGTGCCTGTTACAATCTGCCAAAATATACTAGGTATGTGTGATAAGAGTCAAAACAAGTGTGGAAACCGCAGCAGTACACCCTCATAATGATTGAAGAAGGATTGCTAGGGGCCGCTTTGACATTCTAAGAGCCTTCTGGAATTCCTTCACCGCGCGTACATCCGCCACATCACTAAGCCCTATCAAAGAGAGACAAGAGATTGCATAATAGAGCGAGGAACTCCTCGAATAGGCGACGCTCACCCAAATGCGGATCTTGGCTGCATCGAGGCGTGGAATGCCATACACTGATGCATGAAGATTTGATTTATGTTTATACATCCTGCGGATCTGGCAGAAGAAATCTAATTGTAAGCCATCCCATTGGAGAGCCCTCGCCTCAATCCACTGTTGACATTGTAGTCATCCTCCCCACGTCGATAGAGACGCAAACGTCTTGGAGGTAACGATCGAAATATTTATCATTCCGTTTCTCTAGGCCGGGCGGCTCGGTGGGACTGTAGCCACAGATACACACATGCTTTTATGTAGCATGGTAACGTATGTTTGATGAGTATTGAACGAAGCGGATAAAGCACTTGGTTCGGCGGAGTGACTTTGGTGTCTGTTCGCGATACCTTGAATACTCTTTCAAACTACCTTCTCGAACGTCTTCTGGATCGGTTTCGCAGCCTAATATCATAAGTTAGTCCAGGTTCAGTCCTGTAGGAAGCAGCCGTAGCGCACATCAATAAACTTCTCTAGGTCCTTATCCAGATTTGCCAAGTCATCTTTTCTCTTCTTATTATCCGCAATGAGCCCTTGTTTCTTCTTCAGCAGCCCTTGCCTCTGTTCTTCGAGCGCCAACCGTTCGGCATGCTCGTTATCGATGCGGGCAATCGTCAAAGCCGTTTCGTCAGCATCTGCATACTCTTGGTGTTCGGCCACGAATTGTTCCACGGGTACTAAATCTAGAGTTCTATATTTGTGACTGCAAAGCAAATTAGCTTATGTGTGGGATATAGACGTAGAAACGACATACTCATAAGACTCGCAGCCAGCGATCTCTCCCTGCAGATGCCGTTGCTCATAATACAAGTTTTGAAGTTGGAGATGTAGCCTGTCGACTTCTTGACGCGCCTCGGCGGTCAAAGTCTTCGTTTCTCTTGCGCCAAACTGCGCATCGCGATGGAAACCGCGTAGTTGTGCTAGGTATGCGATGAGTAGCTTCTGCTGTCGGGAGATCTGGAGTTGAAAATCCTGAGATGGTGGTGAGGAGGATGAGTGGCCGGAAACCAGATCCAGGAGCGCGGTTGCTTGGTCGCAGGCCTGCTTGGAAGTTTCTAGTGCTAGTTTTAAGGAAGGATCGGTGACAATGGCGTTGACAGTCATGTTGCACGATTCTGATGTTGGGTTTGAGGGAGCTGTTGGCGATGCTCCTGGTTGAAGTCCTTGGCTTAGTCCTTGGCTTTGAGGTTTGGAGGTCAACTATCATACATTAATGCTGCGCACGGACCACACACATTCTCTCTCGACCCCACCGAGCCCGCCCGCCTGCACCTCGAAACCATTGGGAAATTTTGAGTTTCCAAGTAGAACAACCTCCTCTTGTTCAAATAACAGATCACAACCTCGCGAGCACACAAGTGCCATACCATACCATACCACCCAATTGACCACCATGGCTCACGATCCACCCCCAACGAAGGTCACTGTCCTGATTTCAGGCGAAGGCTCCAACCTACAAGCCCTCATCGATGCATCAAGCTCTCTGATGCCCTACCTCCGGATTGTACGAGTAATCTCCAACAAGGCGGGAGCCAATGGACTCAACCGGGCCAAGGCAGCGTCCATTCCAACTACATACCATAATCTTGTGGCTGGGAAATACCACAAGCCAGGGGAGAAGGATCCAAACGTGATAAAGGAAGCTCGGGAGAGGTACGACGCGGACCTAGCAAGCTTGATTTTGAAAGACTCGCCCGACCTTGTTGTATGCGCGGGATTCATGCATATCCTTTCTCCCGGGTTTCTGGAGCCATTGGAACAGGCCAAGGTCCCAATCATTAATTTACATCCAGTAAATAAATTACTATAACTCTATAACCTCTTTTATTCTTTTCTACTAACTTCTTATTACTAACTTTTATACTAGGCGTTGCCGGGGAAATATGACGGCACGAGAGCTATAGAGAGGGCTTACGATGATTATCACAAGGGGAAACTGGAACACGATACTACGGGTATCATGGTGCATTATGTCATCAGTGAAGTCGATAGGGGAACGCCCATAGTGGTCAGGCAGGTAAAATGCAAGACGCCGGAAACACTAGACGAATTAAAGAATCGAATGCACCAGGAGGAGCATCAGCTTATCAAGGAAGGTACTCAGATGGCAATCCACAATCTTTGGGAAGAGAGGGCGAAAAGTGGATGATATCTATGACTTTTGGTAGGATTCCAATGTTTTGGTTTTATTATAGTACATGATACTGTATGCTAACATTTTTGGAAAGCGTAATCGTACATGCCGCGCTCAATATCACTGCGCTGGTGCGGCCGGCAATTCCTTATTTGACGAGTCGATCCCCATCGCCGACGGCTTAGTGCCAGCCTTTGAAATGGGAGGATGTGTCGTATTAGTATCATTATTATCATTAGAGGATGCCGGCGCTCTAGGAAGTGTCTTTTGCGGGCCGGATTTGGATATCGGGGCTGGTACGGGGTTTGTGTGTCTCTGACTTGGGATCCACGACATGAAGAGCTCAACATCTTTGCCGATTGCACCGGGTACGGCTAGGTTTTGCATCCACTGCGGGAGGACTCCTTTTGCGTTGGCTGCTGTAGCCATGACCCACTCGATATCGCCATTGGTGGGAAGTACCCGTATCCGTTCTATCGATACATATGCCGCCACAACCAAGGCCTTGTCCAGCGCGAATTCTGCGTACGGTGACTTGTCAAAATTATGGACAGGTATCGAGACGAAAATGAATTCCCGAGTTCCTTCCAATGCAGCGGCGATTTGGATAACAGGGAATGTGCGATTTTTGAGGGGTTTGGGATCGATCTTGTGCTTCATCTCCTCCACCACCACAGTGATGTTGTTCCACAGCCCACCCCGTACCTCAACCTCAATGCCACTTGTATCCCATCTCATAGCATCCCGACGATCAATGACAGTTGGTGTAAAGGCCACTTCTGATTCCGCATGGTGTTCCTTAAAATTATGCTTGAATTCGTCGAAATTTGCTGTGCCCTCCTCCGCGGCGTCTTTATGAACGCTCCGTCTACAGAACCACGTCTCATCTTTCCTATCGGCGCTGTATTGGCTCATCCCCTCTAGTTTGTCTAGCTCTTTCCCAAGCACCGTGCACTCATACAAATGAACCGGCGCTGTAGATGAACTATATTTCTTTGGCGACCCGTTAACCTTCCAAGTTGTCGGGCCACCAGATTTCGGCGCGACACCATCGATGAATGGTATCGACTCGGAAAGGACGCTGGTGATAAATGACTTGATGTCGGGAGCTGGAGCAGACCCGGGGTCATGAAAGAATTCTGGACTCGCAGAAGTTTGATTCGAAGGTTCATTTCCCTTGGCACCTGGTGGAAGCTGCGATGTTGCGATCCCCTCCAAACGAACCCAAGGCCCCAGGAATGTTGACGATGATAAATGCTTCATTGCAGTTGCGGTAGGCCTCCGATCTGTCAATTCGAGCGGAATTCCTTCTCGGGGCATGCATTGGAAGGACTATTTAATTCAATTCAATCCACTCGATAAAGGTGTGTTGCGCAATGCAAAATGATCTGTCATCTGTCACACTCTCAAAACACCAACCCCGACTGCCCCTCTTTTAGCTTCAGGTACCAACTGTCACTCGCTTAAATGTGTTTATTCCAAGAGGAGCGAGTAAACATCGGGCTGGTATTGGATTAAGTTGCATACCTTGCGATCAGAAAGGGGGTTTTCGAGACGATTAAATGATGATCGTCATAGAATATGATCACCTACAGTGTACTCCGTATACTGCAGGAGTATTACTAACCTAAGGTACGTCATGACACACACCATAGGGCTACTTGCGGGGCATCTAGTCTGGAGTCGGGACAACAAGGAATTCGCGGTGTCCGGATCATGTTGGGCTGAGGTCGTAACTGACTACAATCTACTGATGCGATCGGACTATCGTGATGGACTTATGTATATCGATATAAAGTCATCCCTGACCCAGACCATCTCGAAATAAACTGGGTCCTAGCTCTCGGACCCGCTCAGCGGAACCCAGTCTGATCTGAGCATGACGGATCCTAGACATTTTGAAGCGTTGTCATGCCTGGAGACGTAATACGGAGTAGTTCTCTAGATACTATAGCTTGCGAAGAAATGCCATAAGATTACTACAAGCTTGGCTGCCGCCTTCAAATGTCTTCGTTATCACCTACGGTCGGTTTATCTAGGTCGACCAAATCTGGCTATATCTCAATCAACACCAAACGAAACATCGCGGGTGTTTCAGACTTCGACCTCTATTTTCTAAAGAAGGGGTTTGTTTGCGTTAGTCGGGTCATTAGATTGTTTTTTATTTAATTCTGCCTCCGCGTCGCCTTTCATTTTCTTTGTCTCGATTTACGTATTGATTAAAGCCGAGGCTTTTAGGCGGGATAAATAAGTCATCTGTACGCTCGCTGGCTAGCTTATAATTGGTCTTTACTTCGGCAAAGTTCTCATAATAATAGAGCGGAGAGTAGTTTTAGCCCGGTTAATGAGAAACGCCTATATAAAATCGTTTAGCCTTAATAGCGGTAACCTTTCTACTTAAACAGCTTGATCTTTATTCTTTTGAGATCATGATTTTAATTGATACATATTGAGATCTTCAGTCTAATATAAGTAAGTTCCAATACATGTTCTTAATATATAAAACCATAATAACCTCAACTAACTGTCCGCTCCCAATAGCCCTTACTATACTAGATCCAATGCAATTTAAGATAGTCTCCAAGGGGTATATCCTCATAACCCTCTTAGAGCTCTCATCTGGCTATTCTATCAATTACGCCAAGGAAAATGCACCCTCGAAGCGTCAGCTACCAACGGTGTTGCCTCATTCTCTAGAATATAAGGGATGCTGGTGCTCGGGAAACAACTTGTTTTCTTTTCGGAGTAGCAACATTACTCTCAAGGACAGTGATGGCAAAATACTCGCCAATGTCGAAGGAACATGCTCATATTACAAAAACGGCCCCACCGGCAACGGATGCTCGCTACCAGGAGATGAAGATATAACCGTTGGGGGATATTTAATTCACCATCCAGATGCTTATTTCGGGACATGCGGATTCAACAGCAGTGACATTGAAGTCAGCATACCGAATGAAAATGGCCCGGTCCAATCAGAGAAGCTTACTGTCTCTTGTTTTTCTGGAACAGACTCCTGCGCTCCGTTTGGAAATATCTGTTCTAGCAACAGTATGCAAGCATCTACTATCATGACTTCCAACGCATAACGCCGGTCAGCGAACGCAATGAAAAATTTGTTCGTGGAGGGAGAGGCTTTTACCATGAGTTATATCTGGAAATGTTATTATAGGTCACACACTCTTTTTGACAGAAAATGGAAAGGATTCCTTGGCTTTGAATTATAGTTTTTGCTTAAGGAGTTGAACTCGGTTTAATAATCAATCCTCTTAACCATTCTTTCTATCACTATAATTCCGCGCCGAAAATATATGCATTTTAAACATAGGCTTAAGGTTGTGCCTAAATTCCAATACTGCGAGCAGTGAGCAGTGAATAAGTGTGCATATATACTTCCTGTTTCTGCTCCGTTTTCCATTTTATGTACTGTACAGTACAGTCGCTTGAGACCCTTAACGCAAGACTTGTACCACCGGCAGTCTAGCAGGATATAACTAACTTTATTAAATACTCCGTGTTGGTTTTTTTACAAACTATGATATGTTCATGCCTTTATGCACTTTAATAGGTACAAACAAGCTTAGCAAAACGGAAGTTAAGACCGTGTACTAGGCAAATTTACACTAAACAAGGAATGGATGTTGCGGGGTGGTTGGCATACAATAGTATCGGAAACTAGTAGGATCTCAGGGAAATTGCCCCTCTACACACACACTTTGCTAGTAAAGGTGTAACTACCTAAGGTACGTACTATTGGGCATTGATTAAGAGAGAAACTTGTGACCATCGAACATTAACTGCTTATCGTAATAATTTAAGAGAGGAACAAGTCATATTTAACGATATAACTTTATTACCTAATGTTAAAACACCCAAATGTCGCTATCGAGTATCTAATTGCCGTACTTAATAGGATATACAGTCCTAATCTAGTCACTCCTCAGGTGGTTCCTCTTCCGGAAATTTTGCCCTACCCTCAATAACCCTCTCCTCTTTTCCCGTCTGGCCATTAAAAATCCTAACCGTCGGATATTCCCAGTCCGGATCGGCATCTATAGCCTCCTCAAAGTCCGTTATTAAAAAATGAAGATACCGATTCCCATCATTCCCCCTAACGACCGCGCCCCTCTCCCCATATATCGCGAACTCCCTTAACCTCTTCATATTCTTAAGAGTCTCCATATGATAGAACCCGAAATAAGCACAATCTTTTGTGTCGAGGACTATTTTCTGGATCTCGAGAAGATAGGTGCGGGGGATGTAGGGGAGGACGCCGTCCGCGAATTTCAAGGTATCTTGAGAGAAGGAGAGGTAGATAGGGCGTGGGCAGGAGAGGGTTGTGAAATAGGGTGCGTAGACGGTGAGGGCTTCATAGCGGGATTCGCGGTTTACCACAAGTAGAGGCGGGGATGGGGTGTCGGTGGTCCAAGATTTGGCGGTACGGACCGTACCGGGCGCGCTACCTTTAATGAAATCTTTGTTGCATAATATGGTAATAGCTCGAGGAACTGAGAGGTTTAAAGACCAGATTTTGAGGCGAATCTCAATAGGGAGGGTGGGGAAGAGGTGAAAGGTGGTTAGTGTTGAGTCTGTTGACATTGCTCAGGTCGACGCGACGCCTAGAGCGGCGTAGAACAGAGGACCTTTAGTGGTCAGAATGTTGTATTGTTACAATTTGCTGAACGTAAGTTGATTTACGGCTGCGTTAAAAGCGGATCGCTATAAAGGAAAGAGCTAGATTCTGAGATGTTGATGTTGTGAAAGTGGAATTAATACAATAAATAATACTCCAGTCGTATCACGTGCCTCGAAGTTACCTAGTCGATTATAGTACCTGGAAGTACAGTGGGTTCCTAGGCAAACGGAACAGACCAACTCCAATCGCACCTCAACTCACATCAACAATGGCGTCACTCAAAGGTCCCGGAGAACCACAACAGTACGATGGCAGCGCTTTGCGCATTGGAATTGTCCATGCCCGTTGGAATACGAGTATGTATTCTCCCTTTCTTGACATGGGGATATTCAATCCAATCCCCCAAGGGCGTAGCGGGGTATTTATTCCAAGAGGAGAGAGCATTGAGCTCCAAGCTCCCATAGCCAACTCCAAAAGCCTCGAATATGGAGAATTATGAAGGGCAATCGTTACTTGTCACTGCTGTTAGTCCGGTGACAGTCCAGTGCCCAAACATACACTAGAAATTGGCCGACTTATATTCCGAAATGCCACTCATATCCCGAGGAACCATACTGACCTTTCTACCCCACCACAGCAATAATCGAACCCCTCCTCGCCGGCACCAAAGCAAAGCTCCTCGCATCCGGCGTCAAAGAATCCAACATCATCGTTCAATCCGTCCCCGGCTCCTGGGAACTCCCCATAGCGTGCTCGAAGTACGCTCACCCCACCTCCCCATTGCCCCTCCATCAGATCAACCCTCATAAACCCATATTCACCAAGAAAGCTAACAACTGGCCCTTAGACTTTTCTCAGCCTCGCAAATCCAATCTACAACCTCCTCCTCCCTCGGCGCCGGCGACCTCCTTGGGTCCAGCACCACTGACCTAACCACTCTCGACGCACCCGGTAAACCAGGCGCAGCCTTGTCGGGGCCCTTCGATGCTATAATCGCCATCGGCGTGCTCATCAAGGGCGAAACCATGCATTTCGAATACATTGCCGAGTCGGTCTCGCACGGCTTGATGCGCGTACAGCTGGATACCGGGTGTCCGTTGATCTTTGGGCTGCTGACGGTGTTGGATGAGGAGCAGGCTAAGGCTAGGGCGGGGGTTTCGAGTGGGAGTCATAACCATGGGGAGGATTGGGGTTTGGCTGCTGTGGAGTTGGGGTTTAAGAGGAAGGAGTGGGCAAGTGGGAAGATGTCCTGATTCCCTTAAAAGTCAACTTGCACTTCCAGTCACTATTTATCAGTAACGGCGGATTTGATATTATCTAGCACAATAACTTGGGAATTTGGAGCAGAAACGAAAAAAACCAAAACCAAATAAAGGCAGATATCGGTTTGAATTAGATTACTCTACAACGTTATAAGCTTTCTTCCCTATGCTTGAGATGATCCAAAATTAACCGATCCAAAAACATCTTGAAACGCCGAAGATGCCATGCATTATTCAACACATTTCCCGTTCGTCTATTCGAAGGTTTCCATTATTGCGTATAGCCTAACATTTCCTTCAGTCCATTAGTATCCTTCTTCATCCTCCATTTTGACTTCTTCTTCTCTCGTTTCTTCGCCATCTCCTCCCAACCTTCTTCGTCATCCTCATCAGATGGAGTTTCGGATTTCCTGACTGGTCTCACTGTCACAGATTGGTGCTTGTTGTCCCACCCTTGAAGAGCTCCTGACATTGTCGAAGTTCTCGATTTGGTGTCTGCTATTGGCATGTGAGAAACTGGTCTATAGCGGCCTGGCAGCCCAACGTTGCTACGCTCTGACGGCGCTATTGAAGGCGCGTACACTGAACCACCCTGCATCTGTTGCATCCAAGGTGATAAATTGGGTTCCATCATGGTCATCGATCGCTGGTGCTGTTGGCCGCTTGACGGTCGGAGCTGAGGGCTGTCGGATCTTTGCATGGATAGAGGCTGTTGTGGCATATGGCCATTTGGCTGCATTTGCGTTTGTCCTTGCCCTCCTTGCCCCGACGTCATCATTTGCATGAACTGCATTTGCATCTGCATGAACTGCGCCATCTGCTGGGACATCTCTATTTGGGCTTGGTCTCCTGGAGTAAGCATCATGGGGTTCATTGGGCCCATTGGACTCATTGGACCAGGCATCATCCCATTCATCATGCTACCGGGAGGTGGGCGCATATTCGGTGGCATACCCATACCATGCGGCGGCACTGGGCCGTACTCCCCTTGAGGATTCGGACTACCCCTCCGCATAGCTCGAGACCTCTCCTCTGTGGCAATAACCCCGACCAAGCCTCCTGGGTGCAGAGCTCTTGAAGACCCGCCATATGCCGAACCCGCTCCACCACCGAACGCCATGGATTCTCGTTGCAAGGGGTTCACAAGTCCGGCCCCGATATATGGATCCTCTGGCAAATTCCTCGCAAATGCTGGTAGTCGTGGGTCGACAACGCCGCCTGCAGCTGATTGCATTGAACCTCGCATATTCGGGTTTGACCCAACACGAGGGACCGGTAGCCTGTTTTTATTTGGGAACCCGTGAGCCTGCAAAATTGCCAAGGGGATTTCCTCATCTTCCTCCTCATTGTCTTCCGGTTGTCCAAGGGTCATCAAGTTTGGGCTGCTCTGAGTGGGAAAGAGGCTTGAGCGAGAAGGTGCGGTAGGGGTCGATGTTTCGCCGGTGACCTTCATCATTTGCTGCCTATATACAGACATGTGCGCCTCCTGCTTCCGGCGCTGTTTAGCAGCCTCTCTAGCCTTTTCGGCCTCGTCCTCCTCATCATCATAAGTTTCTGGCTCGTCATCATCGTCATCGTCAGTCTTTGACTGCCCGCCGAGGCTCCTGAGCCTTTCCTTGTCTTGCCTATATCGCTCGAATTGGGCTGGAGTCATGACCTTGTTCTGTGGCGCGTGTTGGGTAGGTGGGGAAAGTGGCTGTTCCTGGTATCTTTGGGCGGCAGAGGCGGCTTCCACAATGTGATTATCAAACAGGTCATCATCGGCGCTTCTGGGCTCTGTTTTCTTTGCCCTCGGCGTGGTTTCGACGGATCCACCCTTCCAATTGGAGTGAACCGAATCATTATTCTGTTGGGAAGTTGTTAAAGGATTCAACCAGCTATCACGCGCCCTCGAGCCGTGGGAAGGATCATTTAACCGCCGGCTTGCGCTCAGAGACTCTCGCAGAAGCCTGGCATCATCGTCAATTGCGTCCCCATAGTCGATTGTCGACCGCCTCTTCCCCGAGTACCCGCTGCTTCTTCTTAGACCTGTATCGGCAGCCCCACCGGGTCTCTGCGGCTGCTTATTGTAGGAGGAGTTATGCGGTGGGATGGGAGGGGGTGTAGAGTTGGATATTAGCCCATCAGCCGAATTATGGCTGCTCCAAGAGTACGGCGATGGTTCCACGTCCCTCTTCTTGTCGAGGCTAAGAGGAGGCGGTTGGTTAGAGCGGCTGGGGGCCAACGATCGTGAAGCAGGCTCAGACGGCAGTGTTTCCTGATAGAGGTTAGGGGTGAAGTGTGTCTCTTGCAATGCTGCACTACTTACAGGGCTTTGCGGGAGTGGTTTGGTGGCTACGGCATCCAAAACCTGGCTCTTCCGTTTTCCAAACCCCGCAAACATGTCTGAAAAATCGCCCCCTAAGCTCAGCCCTAGGTCTCGCTCATCAAGCTTTGGAGGGGTTGCAGTGCTCGCATAACTCGATGCTGTCACAGCCCTAGCTCGACCCGATTGCTGTTCCTCAGGAGTGGGTGGCTTCGCGTCTTGAGGCAGAGAAGGAAGTTCTGAATTCTTAACCCGTCCGAAAGAAAATGTTCGGCCGGCGTTCTTGAGTGAAAATGCTGATGTTGATTTCGGTATTGGAGGCACAGGAATATCGCCGTACCTTTTATCGTGAGAACGCCCTTCTTCGCGCCCGGATACATCTGTAGATGAGGGCGCAGTAGACGCAGCGCTTAAACGGGACGAATTGTCTGTCGTAGACGCAGTATTTGTATTAGATGCTCCACTGCCGCTTCACACAAAGTCAGCCATGAATGCAGTATTATACGGATAGATTAGATTCGGGGCTGGAACTCACCGATTCTTGCCTAGACGGTCAAACATGTTGTCCTCCTCTAGATGCGAAGTGTTTGACCGTCCAAACGCACCATTGGCAGCCTTAACAAACTTAGCCCCTCCACCAAACGTCTTGCTGCCGCCGTCTGCCCGGTCAAACACTTTAAAGGTTGACTGCTGCTCTGGTACCGGCTCGTCGGTAATGTGCTCTAATCCGTTGACGGACGATTTCCGCCGCCCAAATGCCTTTGTAAATTTAGACATGTGGAATCTATTCGACTGTCCTTGAGGCTCCGGGACTTGGGGGAAGTCGGTCATACAAGATAGCTCTCGGCTAGCGTTGAACTAAATTAAAAGTGGAAAGCGAATGAAACGCGCGGTTTACGTCCACTGTAGACAGTCTGGTGCGTTCCTGAGCGAATAGGATGATAAATTATGTAGCGTTCGATAATAAATAACGAGGGAAACGGCCTTCTAGACAAACGCGCGGGAGGAGTCAGCAAGATCGAACATCAAATGCAACAATCCGGCGCCTGGCTTTGGCGTGGCTTTTTCCCAGCCAAACAATCGTGGCAAGTTGCATGCAACCCGACGCACGATATTCTCTTCTTCTCGGGCAGGCAGGCTGGACTCGAGGACCGGGATCGCAACGATGGTTTGGGATGGGGGCGGAGGTCGAGATTTGCGGGAGAGCGCGCGAACTGCTGGAACTCGAGGAGGCCGGCAGCAAGACCCAGAACGCCGAGTCGTCGACTATGAAGAGCGTTTGTGGGTTTTAATTCCTCGAGGATTGGAGGAACAATCGGAAATCGAGGCACAGGAGGCTGTTGAAGGATTTGTTGACGTTGAATGTCGTAATCCAAATATAGACTTGGAGCGATCCACACCAATGAACGGCTCCTCGACCACAACAACAGCAACGGAGAGAGACAGCTGGAATGCACTCACCAGGAGAGGCCACCGATTCGAACGGTTGCAACTGAAATGCGGGCGTCGACGAGAAGAAATACAGACTGGCACAGGTGGAACAGGAGCGAGGGTGGGTAGAGAACGAGGATGAGGGCTCGTGTGTTTTTCCCAAGATGACCTGGAGATTCGGAGAGCAGCAAGTAGTTTTGGAGTTGGAGCATTTAGTGGAGGTCAGGTTGTTAGGTTGCCAGTTAGTTGCCAGTTAGTTGCCAGTCGCCAGTCGCCAGGCCCGGGAGCACGCGGCGGCCAGAGGAGTTATTAGGCGGATCCGGCTGGCACGCTAGGCCGCATCGGGGCAACAACCCCTAACCATTTGGCCACCTCAGTTCGGGGGATCCGTCGCGGGTTCGAGGGTGATGGCCATGACGAAGAACTTGAAGTTACGATCCTGTACGAACACAGCACATTGCAAGCAGCACATCGCAGCACATCACTACTACAGGCAGAGCACGGGACGTTGGAAGCAGCGGTGCTCCCGCGGTTGTTGTATCTGCACCGTGTACGGGATACAGCCAGCCAAATCCCCCGTTCCCGGCACTCACCTTCGATAGATCTTTGGATCTTTTGCAAAAATAGGAGACGTGGGCAGCAGATCCTTGCCTGGCTGAGCGTCCCGGCCCAGATGATTCGACTCGGAGAGCTAGAGCTTTCCACGCCGACCATGGCGGGGACCCGGCGGACGTAAGTTTCTTAGTGAGGCACGATACTACGATAGTCAGGAACGAAGCACGAAGTGCGTGATGATGCTATCCGCCCTGGAAGGCTGGGAGACAAGACTCGGGTTGCATGCCACAAGCGCACATTGCTGGTATTCCTGTTGTTGGATACCACGTACAATCCGATTCACCAACTGGACCGTTCTTCTCCGATCCCCCGACTCAAAATAGTGGTGCTTTATTGCTTTCAAACCTGAACGGCATCCAATAGACGTGCCGAAAGCTTATAAAACCCCAATGGCATGAGAGGACTCCCGGTTGGAGCCGTGCTCCATGACGGCGCCGCCAAGCTCGGGCTAAGCAAGCAAGAATGAGGTTATCAATACCACAGCTTTTTTCCGTCCCCATTCGCTTTGCCTCCGTCTTTCTCGTTGAAAACAGCGTCGGGACTCAGGGGTAACGAGGTACCGGTGCCAGGCAACCCGGAAACGGGAGGAATGCAAATCCTGCCACAATGACGTCCTTCTATTATTATCTGACGATCAACAAGTTGATCGTCAACAAGCACGGTGCACTGGGTGCAGTCCGATGTTCGATGCTCTTCGATGATCCCGCCGCCCCTGGGGCGCCCAATGCCCATCACCATCAAATCACCTGCTTGCTGCCAAGTCCTGCATATCGGTAGTCCGTACATGACAACCTGTACAGAGGTACGGTACTGAACGCAGTGTAAAGAGCATTACCTACAAAGTACGCACTTCCTTGCTTCATATAGCACTGTGCATCCCGGCGGCTCTATTTTGAACCTGCGATGTCTGCTCTGTGGGACTTGGGGGTGGGCGAAAATACTGACCTCAGCGGACCCTCGAATTCAATAGTGATCTGGCACCAATGCGTCGTCTAGGTCGGGGATACGCCGCCATCGAATACCCCTGAACAGCTGGCCAGGTTTGCGGATGGCCGGATCAAAGCTGCAAGTTTGCGACTTTCTGATCCGCGCATACTACTGTACTTTTAACCTCCGAGCTAAACTAATAATTGCGACAGCTACTGAGAAGCTATAGATTTTAGGGATTGTAGGTTTGTATAGAACGTCTAGAGTGCTAAGTAGAAACTAGTGCTTTGTACTCCGTAGGTGGAGCCTTTTAAGAGGCTTTATCCTTCTACCTAGTTACGTAGCACAATAATGCGCACTTTCATCGTCACGCTATTCTATCAAGACCCAACCAGCCACCCAACCTCGGGTATCGATCGGGATACGAAGTAAGCGTTGCACAATTAGCAAGAGAGACAAGCTTCTTTAGCCCACAAACGAAATTACATTGTGTGGCTGTGCCCACTCCGAATCCACCAAATATTTCTAATCCATCAAATACCTAGGTACTTCTGGTTTCCATAACCTGCTCCCAGCGTGGCTGTTTCTTTCACGTTGATTCGCCCATCTGCCAATCCCACGCAATGATGTAGCGGAAAAAGAAGAGCTACGATGATAATTCGCGGCCGAGATGGCGGATGGAACGCTATCTCCACGATTGGTCCGATCGATGATAGCTAGTGAGGTGATCGACTTCGTATAAATCGACTTACCGAGAGGGTAAAGAAGAAATACGAACTACGGAGTATGAGGTGACTGGTTAAACTCTTTATTTTCTTTGTTCAAACCTGTTCTTCGTACGTCAGCCCTAAATAAAGGGGCATGGAAGAAATCTTAATAATCTTGCCGCCTTGGTTTCGGTGGAGGGGTCTAGTCCGTTGCTCCGCCTCGTGCCTTCAAACTTTATAAATGTTCACATGGCAATCACCGATAACTTGAGATCCGGTATCAACGAGTCAAAATCTCCACTGCCACCACCAATTACAAAACCAGCGCAATTAGGCTGATAATCCAAAACCACTGCCGTTGCTAAATTAAGTCTGTCAAGTCATGCCTTTCCTAGCTGCTTTCCTCGAAGACCTCGGTCTTGACGTGAATATTCAGGGGGATACAGAGGTAAAAGGGCGGCCGAACAGCGGGCAGCCAAGGAACGTAAAATGGAAGCACCCCGCAAACTAAACCTTGTAGGTCCTCTACATTACTCCAACAAGTTGTAGGCTGCAACCTAGAGGGATACGTGAACCTGGCCACCTTGTAGTCTACTGTGCTAACCTATCAAAACGCCTCGCAACCTCACTAATAACATCCTCGGGGTATCAAGGCATGTGCCGGCCCTTAGATAACTAAAGACAATAGCTTAAACCTCGTTGACCTCGCACTTGCTCCTATAACTGGCGGGACTGGAAGTTGCGGATGGAATGATAGCTGGTTGGCGAACAAAAGATAGAGAAGATATCTCGCTGGATGAGGGGTATTTCGCTATCGCTGCCGTCATTAAATTACAGACACCGTCCGAACGAGGTCGGTGGATATTTATAGTGCTCTATTCTCGCCAACCATACCGCTTCATACGCCTGGTCTAACACGTTGCCTTGGCCCTCCCCTCTACACCGATTGCTGTTGCATGTGCGTCGGCAGATTCCAACCCGCATAATCCTGGTGCACAAAGGCGCGGTCAACAAATGGCACCGATTCCAAGACATATTGCAACGACTCGCCCAAGTCGTGACTGTCTCTCAGACTCATATTCTCGTCTAGAACGATATCCACTTCGACATGGAGCTTGTCGCCCGCGTGATAGGCTTGCAAGCCCTGGATCTGCTTGATGGTCTTGGCGAAACGCATTGTGAGATATAACAACACATTTCTCTCATCAGCCGTTGCTGCCGCACCGCAGAGGTTGCGGATATGCCCTGCTGATGTATCCGCCCAGCTGATAATGACGTATAAAGAGAGGAGGAGACCACCAAGGGCATCGAGCCACCAGAGTTGTGCATAGTATCCGACTTAGAAAATGTTAGCGATTAACACAATATGGCAATAGATAAGGGCCATACCTAGAGGGAATATGATACTGAAGATATTGAAAATCACATCCGTCATCGCATCCTGGGCCAAGGCTTGAACACTCGAGTTTTTAATGAGACGACACCATACCCAACATAAAGCTTTGATGAAGACCGTAGTGGACATAATAATGATAGATGGAAGGCCAAGCTCGATGATGGAATGGTCATTAGAGGTCAGCCTATTGATGCATTGTAGGCCTACCTGGCAAAATGAAGTAATCATAATGACGGAGAAGACGAGCACTCCAATAGGTTCCAGGCGCCTCCGGCCTACGGGGTATCGGTATTGATCTTGTCTGTCGATCAGCGTCGTTGTAGTCCAGACGATACCTGTGCTGAGAAGATCTAAAGCAGCATCTACCAAACTTGCTAGGACCGAGAGCGAGCTTGTGAGTGCAATCACAGCGATTTTTCCAGCCAGCAGCAGAGCGTTTGCCATAAGATTGATGTATATGGCCACCAGCACGATCTTGTCGCCGCTCTCCACGCTGTCATCCTCGAATCCGGGGATGTTAGGTTTTGGGCCACTCTCCTCATCCTCAGTGGCTAGCAGCGGAGTTTGGTCGTTGACGACCTTGTAGAGCTCACGTGGAGTCCGCTTGATTTTTTTCGGAAGATTTCCTAAATCATCTGGCTTTTGAGAGGAGTCACTTGCAGGGGAGTTCAGACTTCGAGGCTCCTCTGAGATTGTGGGTGGAACTTCAACATTCTGGAGGATAGTTCCTACTGGTCGTTCAGAGGGCGTGCCATTGTACTCGTTCAGAAGATCGTGGGGTAGAGACGAATCTAGAAGACGATCGGTATATATATACTGCTGTACCAAGCTGTTCGTCCGTTCGTAGTACTCTCGTCTATTAATCATCAGCCAATGGCTCGCAACAAGGCAAGGACTTGTCATGTATACATTGGCTTTTTCATCTTTTTCAATTGTTCCTCCGTCTTCCAATACTTCTCCCACCTATATCGAGGATTGCTATTCCCAATAAGTCTCTGGCTCCGCATTTGCGGGCCAAAGAGAATCTCATTCAATCGTCTCTCCTCGGTGGCGTTCCATCTAGATTCCTCAGCATCATTGAACTCGGCCGAGTTCCTTCGAATTCCTGCCAATAGACTCGGTGGGAATTCGTCGTCCTCTCGGGCCCGAAAAGAGGGCGGCCGTCGATGCATCGACTGTAATGAGGCATTGGAACGCGATCTGATCAAGCTGCTTAAAGCACCCTGCCCATGAGTAGTCATTGGATGCGTGTCGGTACTACTAGAAAGAGGTAGGAAGCTCGAAAGCCTGGCAATTCTACCATATTGGCGAGGAGGGGATGATGACAAGTCATCAGTCGACATGTTGATGTTGCCACTGTTTTGGAGGAATGATACATATACCCGTGCTCATACTTCGTTCTCATCAAGTAGGTACCTGGTAGTTCTATAGATGTCTGGTATGCATGGAAGAGTGACGGAAAAAAAGACGTGCACGCGTTCCTTGTTCTTTGCTTTGCGCCAAAGCACCAAGCTACTGGAGCTACGTAAGCCATAACACTCCCGTCTATCGGACTGCCCCACCTTGCAGGGTTAGAGAGACACTTGTTACGATAACAAAGCGTAGGAATATAGATAATAACGATAGGAATTTACATAGCCTTGTTCTATGCCTTTCTCGTTAAATCAAAACGTTTGCTAATTGCAAGGGATGTGGTGGTGCTGTTAGTAATCTTTACTTAGAATTAATCCACCTTTCTAAAGCGGTTCAAAATAGTAAATCGTAAAGATGCCAATCTGAGAGTTTGGTATTAAGAAGTATATGACTATGTCGCCAAAACTGAAGCAGATGCTCTCGAAGTCGAATGTGATTACGATATCATGAAGCCAAGCGCTTGACAAGATATCCTCTCGTACTTTCGGGCTGGCGCGAGTCGTCACTAAATCTGTTCCTCTTTACATACTTGAGGATAATTCTACACTTAACCTACACTCGTATCACGTTTAGTTCATGATTCATCTTTTGCTGATTTCTACCGAATTGCTCAGCTGTCTTGATTGACAAGCCTAGTATTGAATTGACAGGGACCTCCAGCCCAATCCCGGGGTATCTCTACAAAATATTACTCCCAAACGCCAGCTTGCCCAAACATGTCATAATCATCGAATATGTACCTCGACAACATCCAAATCTTCCAGTTCTGCATCCTCCACTGTCGACGCAGAATCGAGCTTGTCCCCATCAACATACATAGAAACCTCTTTTGAAGCTGGAAGGTTATTGTTACGACGGAAAGACTCTATCATCCTTTCCACCGTTGTCGTAGGCCTAACCTTGGCCTTAAAGTCTTCAAGACCCCGTGCCTTGAATACCAACCTCATAGTTGGAATTCCGGGATCTTGTTCAGATGCCTCTTCCTTATTGCTTTGGTCGTCTTCCATATCTTTCGCCGCTTGCATCTTTTGGTAGGCACTGTGGAGCTCTTCAGTCCAGACTTCAAGATGAATCCTTCCTGCTTCGTCCACCCCACCATCAGCTGTCAATATTCCACGAGCATCAGTCCTGAGGCCGAGTGCCATACAAGTCGTCGAATCGAAGAGACGTTTACCCCTCCAGGTTAAGAACACCTTATCTTCGAGATTAGAACCCATTGATTGGTATTCACACCATTTTGTCCTAACGTCCTTCAGACGCTGAGACAACTTTCTCTTAACTATTAGAGGTTTCGACCCCTCAATTTGAGATGTTATGAGAATATCGACCACGGGATCTTTAGATGGTATGGGTCCCGCAGTCTCGAATATGTCATCATCCACAGTGGTGCCCTTGCTTGATTGATGGCTTTGTTCGTCAAATGCTTTAGCTGCATTTTGACGTTGAAGCGCCTTCTGCTTTTCGCGTTCCCTTGCCAGGTGAATAAGCTCTGGAAATTCCTCGTCGGATAGTTGAAGGTCATAATCATCCTTCGTTGTAGCTTTTCGAGGCACAACATAGCTATCATCATCGTCGTCATCCAGTACAATGGCTCCAACTATAGCCTTCCTGACTGGTATAGTTTTGCTTCTCTTGTCGCTATCGCTGTCGCTCAATGATATGATAGCCGATGCACTTTTCCTGGCCTCCTGCCTAAGCCGCCTTTCTGCTCGTAGGTCTCTGGCATGACCCCCGGAAAGTGTGGTAGGAGAGGACTCCAAATCGTGCTGTGCGGGTATTGAATCTGATTTGTGGCTGCCGCGCCTTGAAGGGGTTGATTTCCTAGGCTGAATTTAGCCCGAGTAATATCACTATATTTATCTACAACTTACCTCCTAGAGCGTGAGCTTCCGGCAATATCCTCATCTGAGCTATATGGATCCTTGGTAGAGATGCGCCTCTTCTTCTCTTCGGGAGGGCTTGATTCTTTCCTGTCCACACTAGTTGGACTCCTCTTGCGCTCTTGCCTCGCGATCTTCCTCTGCCGCCTGCGCTCTTCCTCAGCCAACCTTTGGGGGAAGATTTCGCGGGATCTGCTAAAGAAGGCTACAGCCTCTTCGGGTTCGGACGAGGCTTTTGCGAGTACATCTTTGCTGAATAGAGATCGTTTTGCAGGTGGCAGTTTTGAGTTGTCAAGAGAACCCTCTCCGGTATCTTCTGCCATGTTTATGCGTAGCGTTGTCAGATCGCAAATCCATGTGCCGGTAGATGCTGTGGTGAGGCTGGCGGTGGGTGGGAACCTGTATCGCGGTACATATCGCGCTAGCGGGCATTTAGAGTCAACCCCACGAAGCTCTTGGGCATCGTAAACCTTACAACTCTACTCCACCAATTTCGGAAAGCGAAAACGCCTGATACAGAGTAACTACATATACCACATCTACTTGTGAGAGTAATCCCCGCAGCGAGATGGAGAATGGAAACGCGACCCAAGGCGAGGGAAGAGACCCTTCCGGCTTCCTCAGCGAGATCATCGGCAGCTCAGTAACGGTGAAGCTGAATAGCGGTGTAGTCTACAAAGGTAGGTAGCTCCGTTGTCCTAAGGATCTGAAGTGAATGCTAAAATATCCATTGCAGGGGAGTTGCAATCTGTGGACGGTTACATGAATATTGCGCTGGAAAAGACCGAAGAGCATGTGAATGGAGTAAAGAAGAGAAGTTATGGGGATGCTTTCGTTCGGGGAAACAATGGTACGCTATTATCTCTCGAAGTGGAGGGAGCTCTGATGCTGACATTTTGCTTTCTGTAGTTATGTACATCTCGGCGGATTGATCACAGACGCCTGCGTTGGGGAAACCGACTCAAGGGGTTTTGCAAGCACATTGCATGGGAGTCATGGAGTATTCAGGGCATATATCATGGCGTTAGCGTTCATTGAAGATCTTCCCACGATGACAAGGGCAAAATACTGAATGGCTGCTGGATCGAGCTGTGGAATTCATCTATTGGCGAAAAGCTAAAGCTTTTAGACCCGCGATGTCCATGCAAGATGCGTACGTCCATGGACCGCAACCTCGCCAGCAGCATTGCGCTCTACATCATCTGCTTTCAATGCCTCGAACACCTTCCTCCGCACCTCTTCTAATCTCGCTCCCTTCAGATTCGTTATCTGACTGAGGGTAGAATAACGAGACCATATCGCCTCATCTGTCAAATATACTGTCCACTTCACGTCCTCCTCCCCAATTGGTAGTGAAAATAGGGGAAGATGATGAGTGAAAGTATCTTTCAAAGTCTGTAAAGGAGTAGTATCTTGCTGGTTCTCAAACACCCTTTTCCATGCCAGGTGTCTAAAGCGTGGGTGGCCGTCTTCAAGTGAGGCGATAATATCCTTGAGTTTTTGCTCCCAGTTGCTTGCTGATGGCCAGTCTTTCGGTGCATTATCTGTAAAACTTAGTATGTACCCCTGATGAATGAGTCGGGTAACATACAGTCCTCGATATTCCAAATCATCCCAAAACTAGCACCTGGCCGCAAAGCCCTGTGGATCTCCTTCAAGGATTCCTCTGTAGCAAACCTATACCCTCCATCAGCACCTACTAGGCCACTCACTCATATCTAATTAAGGCATACCAATGAAAAGCCTAAAATATCACAAGATTGATCAGTATCTTTAGCTCCCCTCTAAATCTTATATTGTCTTTATAACTCACTTGCGCCGCTATCAGTGCATCCGCCCACTCCGCCCCGACTGGAATATTCCCCGCATCCCCATCTAGCACCTTAATCCTAGATCCTAAATTCTTCTTCACTAATTCCTCCCTCATACCCTCATGAGGCTCAGCGGCTACAATCTCAAACTCCTCCGGTCTAGCAGCTATCAATTCTGTAAACTTGCCTGTGCCGGACCCAAGATCGATAACTCGTGCATTATTCTGGTTTGCTACTCCTAAATGACTTAGGAGCTTGTCTACTGCTTCTGTAGGGTATGATGGCCTATATTTGTCGTAACGTGAGCCGTCTTGGAAACCGCTTGCTGCGCGATTATCAAGCGTAAAAGGAGTGGCCATTTTGTAAGTTTACCAAATGATCGCAGATTTTCTATATGTTTGGAAGATGTGTAGATGTGTAGATATACAGTATGCAATCTGAACTTCATTCAATGGTGTCTTCCGGGACCGGAAGACGCCATTAAGCGTAGAAATTCATCAAGAGTGGAGTAGCTTTAATAGCCATGCAAGGCATCAATTCGCAGTAAGTACATCGGATAGCAATTGCCGAAGCTATCTTGAGTCTACCTACGTAGTAAAGTAATCTGCCTTGGAATCGGGTATAATAATCTACGCTAACGCAAATGGGACTAAATTATTTACAGGTAGAAAAGAAGCGACCGGTTTCCAGTTATCTAGCAGTCCTAATATATCGTGTCCATCTAATATGGAATACCGTTTGTCAAGAGTTGGAACTGGTCATATACTCCCGTCGAATAACTTGACTGGCTCTTCCTGATCAAACCCCTCATGAAATCCGCAGCCTCCCTCTCGCTCTTCTCTGGTACGAACCTGTCTTTGAAGTGTTGGATCGTCTCCGGCTTGAAACACGGCAATCCGGAGTCCATCATCAATAGCACAATTTGAGACAGCTTGTCTATGTATTGACGCGACGCTAGAAAAGCTTTCACACACAACTCCTCAAACCATTTGTAGGACTGGTGCTCTGTGCTTCCACCCATGACAGCTACCATCTCAGTTGTGAGTTTAAATGGTGCTCGTTCGAATTTGACGCCTCCAGGAGCAATGTCGAAGCAGAAACCGAAATCTATGTGTAAGATATGGCCAGCGTCATCAATCATGATATTTCCATTGTGTCGATCCTTGAACTGTAATAAGAATGAGATCATCGAGTAAGCAGCCATACTTTTAACAAAGTTGCTGCGTGCCTCTTGAAATCGTAAAGAGTCCTCATTGCCATACTTTGAGACGAAATAGTCATAGAGACCATTGACTGCTTCTCGGCCAACCATATCTCGAGAAATCGAGTTCGGCAGAACGTCAATAACACCACAACCCGGTGCGGTGGCCGTGACCCGGTATGGAAACACATAAACATCCAGGCCGACGTTGTTGAAAATGCCTCGGAAGGCCGCAATCATCTGAAGGGCTAAAACGTCTTGACGACAATCATCTCCAACCTTAAAGATCGCTGATTGCCATATCTCGACTGTGTTGTCCTGGGGTATTTCTCCAGTTTGGTTTGTCTCTTCTAGCATGTCATCTGTGCCTTCCATATCGGTCTTATTCTTTTTGATCCTAAAGGTTGCCATGTAAGGTGCCTTCGCGTGGCTCTGGAGGGGCTTCCCAGACTTTCGGTCAATGCCAATAACGACACCATCAGGGTTGCTGGGCAAGTAAACCCCAACTTCAACCTTAATTTTCCGTAGTTCTTCCTCAATCTTCTGCTTTTTCTCTGGTTTCGGGCGCTTGATGTAAGGTTTGAGCTTGCCGGAAATACTAGTAACTTCGTCGAAGAAGGCAAATTCGCGTTCGTAGAAATCCCTATCAAGGGCAGAGAACTCGGCAATCATCCGATCCGTAACTTTATCCAGGGTAGGTTTAATAGCATCAGGCTATTCTTGTATTAGTATCACATATATCAGCTAACTGGTTATAAGACTTACAATCTTAGAATCTTCATCTTTATAAGCGTTCGCTTTCATGTTCCAAATAATTTGATGGGCAAAAAGCTGGGAAAACTGCGCGGTCTCCAAAATATATCTCTCGACGTAGCCAAGTACATCATACCGCAGTGTTTGCACGATCTGAGGAACATAGAAGAACGTGACATCCACAGAGTGACATTCCAAAGCACGCATAGCGTACTGCAAAATGAAAGGATTGTTACGATAGGCGGGTAAGAAAAGCGTGACTGCCGTTATGGGATTTACCGGAGCCCAGTACAAAAGGTACTAGTAACGTTAACTTTTGGATTGAGACTTCGGAATAGGGAGCTTGCCTTTAACTGAAATGAGATATCATCTGGCAAAGACCCTCCAACTAATAGTTGGACAGCTTCTGGTTCATCTATAGCTTTATCTGGGAAATTTAGCAAGAGCCATCGTATCTCCTTATGGAGTTGAGGGGATGGAAATCTTGTTATTAGTTTTATTGCCAAATGTGGACTTTCGTTCCATGCTGTCCTAATAAGGCTGAGTAGAGAAGCCTGCTCCCTATTAGTAAGACTGCCTCGTCATTGCAAAATTGTGGCCTTACCTCAATTGCAGCCTTTGAACCCCGACTGGGCGTGACTAGGTCTCGAGGCTCGCCTAGCGGATAGAGCCATACATTGAGCCTCGTCTGCTCGCTTTCCATTAAGATCTGAAGCAGGTCTTCCTTGGCCTGGAGGGATTTAGAAAGCGGAGTGGGTGTTTCAACGACCATCTGTATATTCTTGAGAGCTACAGAAACTTCGGCCAGTAAACGAGTCTCTGCTTTCAACTGCAATCTGTTGCCACCAAATGACCATCGCGGCGCAAACGTAAACCAGCTCAAGGCAGCTGACAAGATCTTGTCTTTGAGTACAAACCTGGGGTGGAAGCCGAGAGCAGTTACATGCTTGATGACCTTAAGTCCGAAGAGAACAATTTGGAACCTAAGTTCCCTAGCCAGTGGATGACCCGTCGTTTGTGCTAGACCATCTAGGGTGACATTCAAGAGTCTAAGAAATGTTTTTTCCGTATGTGGGCTTCCCAAGCGGCTTGCATTGAAGTGGCTTCCTAGGAATTGTAGCAATCGCATGTGCGGAGACAGAAGATTATGAGATGCATGCTGTCGTTTTGATAAGTTGGCACTGTTACTTGGCGCAAACTCTCCGGCGACATAGAAAGGGTCAGGATGCCTTTATCGGTCAGTAATATTAACAACGAAAAGGAAAGACGGGTACTTACAGAAATTTTACATTGAAAACCCCAAGCCTTCGATGCACTGTCAACTCCCATTGTTGAGCAACTTCCATCAATATCCGTGGCTCCATGCGAGGGTTCTCATTAATCACACCGAGCCAAAGTGATATACCAAGCTTGATGGATGGCTTTGTGAAGATGGAAAATGGTATGACAACAAGATGATGTACAATGGCACACTCATCTCGCTGGCTCCTACATAGTAGAGCTGCCGCCCTCCTGAGCACATCGCGGAGTTCCCCAATTGGAATATGCATTCCCTTAAGCGTGCGGTTTTGTATGTTAGAAAGAACCGTGACAGCGTCGTCGCATTCATTGCCAGACTTCGATGCAAGGGAGCCACGTCGCTCACCGAGAGGCAGAAAATGCAGCCATTCAGCATCCTTGTTTGGGAGTGTCTCTGCGTAGCGGTATTCTTGTCGAGTCGTGTACTGAGCTATGAAGTCAGAGGCGGTATTAATATTGCACTCTCCATGTGGGTCAATCGCAGCAAGCCTCTGATCAGTGCTTGGAATGACAAAGCCCATTTCACTTGCAAAGGATCTCCCCAAGGAGATATATCCATATGCACCGTCGTCATCGTAGTCAGATAGATATGTCTGTAAAAGACCCTTGACATCCAAAGGCGCAATATTGATAACGGATGTTACCCATCCTTTGGCTCGTTTGTAGAGATTATTCAACGTTCGCCGGCGCAAGTTATAATCGTCCGAGAGCTCAACAGTGACCTTTCGACGCGCTGATGTGAACGATGATTTCCATTCATACTCATCTGTCTCAGCATCCAAACAGCTCGTCCACATGAGCGACAAGAGATCCAAAAGGGTAAAAAGTGACAATTTTTGGCAAAGAGCAGAAGGAACCGAATTGATAATAGAATCTGCACACTTTACCGCAGCTTGCTGAACACGGTCAATACGGTGACAACAGGTGTTGAAAATCAGTGCAAGCTGTTTTGCCACGTAAGGAGCTGAGAAGGTCGGGTGAAGCCCACTTAAAGTCTTCTTGAGGTAGGCACCCATAGCAGCCACAACGATGCCCTCCATAGCGTTACTCATGTCACCGGTGCGCATACTAGGTTCCATGAAGTATATCAAGGCCTTGGCACAATCGCCTGAATCCGCTCGTAGTGTCTCAACTAGATATGCAGCTTGTAGGAAAATAACCTTGCGATAACTAAGACTCCTAATATCCGAAGCCCTTGAAGGTAGAAGAGCTGTAAGTCGTTTCTTTTGTATTGATTCGTTTTCGGAGCTCATACCACGACGAAGGACAGTGTTTAACTCAATATCGCTCTCGATTTGCTCCCCTCGCTGCTCTCCAACAAGAGGCTTTGAATGAATTGCGATATGGCGTAGTTCATTTAGGTATTTCTTGCCACGGTTGGTGTTGGTCGCGAAACCGTGAACAGCGATATTAAACCATGCATCACGGAAGAGAGATGATATCTCCTCGCTAAGACTATCATCTGAGGCCAACTCATTGTTGGACATCAATATGGCCAGAGGATGCAAGAGCTGGGCAATGTCTCGTGCCGCGATTTCAACATCTCCCTCCCCGGCCTTACTTTGCCCGTGGTATACATCGCCCTTGCTGACAATAGCTTCAAGAAGGTACTCTAGGTAAATGTCATGTAGGGCAGTCTTTTTTCGCAACGTTGATGAGAGGAAATTACGGGCGCTCATCACCTATAGATCAGTTAGCATAACGGCAGCGGCAGGAAAATCTTGAATGGAACTTGACGGACAGCGTCTAATAAGAGCTCATTGTTTTGAGCCACCCCATCGTGGCAAATTTTAGAGTAGATCTTGAGTAAGGCGCGAAATTCGAGTAGCCCTCCGCTCAACGCCAATGTAGCAGTCTCCTTAATAATGCGTGCATCAGTCACTCTACTAATTTTGTTGATCTTTTGGAGCAGCATAGTCTGAGCCAGAGCGGTAATTTCCGGGTCATTACAGCTAGAGGCAATAGTGCAAATGGCCTGAACAACATCCCCATATACGGTAGAGGTGTCTTCCTCGCCAGTTGTCAACAAAGAGATATTACTACCGGTAGATTGCTTCCCTGTATAAAGCATGGAGCCAGCGCTTCCATCCAACAAAAGGTCACCATTAGCTCCGCCAGCAAGGGCTCGCTCATTAGAGCTAGAGCTCAGAACGTTTCCGAAGGTATATAAAGTGGTGATGATGGCATCTTTCGAGAGTATTTGGAGAACATAGGCCAAGCAATTGGATGCAAGGGAAATAGTCCCGCCTCGTGGGCCGCCCTGAACGATGAATCGTGGTAGTAGACGAGTGACATTCGGCGCGAAACCCGGCGACAATTTTGAGATCAAAGCCATGGCGCGCAGAACCACGCTTGCCAGCGTCTCATCAGCCATTTGTAATGGGTCCGCAAGAGTATCCTCCAGCCAGGACATGAGAACATCAGCATCGGCAGCATCTTCGTCGAGGAAAGAGCAGTTCAGGTAGCTAGTCAAAGCACCAGCTTTTACAGAAAAAGCCAGGCGCTGTTGCCAGGTCGACCCCAAGCGAAGGTAATCAGCTCCATCCTCAAGGAGACTCATCTCATCCGTAGCCATATCAGCCATTGTCTCGACAGCATCAAAATCTACGACGTCATCACTTGGGGGAAATGCTTGGCTCGATGCACCTGTATTCGCGATGTGTATATCTAGAACATCGTTATTTCTGAGGGTGTCTACGTCAGTAACCAGAAGTGAGGACGCAGCAACCAAGAGCCACATGAAGCTTCGTTGGAGGAGCATAGCACCAAGAGGGCGGCCGATTGCTGCGTAATGTCGGACATATCTCTTCCACTCCTTCGCCTGACTGTGCAGTGCGTTTGAATTTCGAATTGCGGAAAACGCTTTCTCGACAGCGACCAGAAACTCCTCGGACAGCAAAATTTTGACACGTTGGATTAGAAGGGTTCTTTCGGAAGCGGTCCAGAAATTAGCATAAATTGCAGTGGCATCAAGGAACCCTAAAACGGTCATAGTAATATTAGCGACATTGACAGCGTCTTGTACTTCGGTATCGCTCTCATCGTCGGAGGCAGGCTCCTGAGCTGGCGAAGCTGCCTTTGCTGCATTTAAGCAGTGCCGCAGATAGGCCCATAGCAGTTCAGTGATCGATTGTTTCAGGTCCTGATGATTGATACCCAGTGTAAGGAGAGCCGCCGTGAGATTGTAGCTCAAGGCTTCTATTGGGGAGGGTTCGATGTCTCGAAAATAGGGCGACGGAACAAAGGCTTGGGTGTGAGCCTCCAGAATATAAGGAGAGAGTTGTTCCACAAGTTTTTTGGCGCTCTCGCGATCTTGAAGAAGGGGGGCTGCCTTGCACAATGCCAGTAGAACCTCGAATTCCCGGATGTTCTAATGTCCCCTCAATCAGCCCTGCCTAGTTCTACGCAGGAACAACAGGTTCGTACCATAGGGGAATCGGATAGAGAGCTCGAGTGGCCATTGGCATGCCCATTGACTTTGCCATTAGCCTTCCCATTTTGTAAACATCCTTTTGAGAGTCGCTCAAGATCTGAATGATCGAAAGTAGTATCCGGTGACGTAGCAGACAGCGCTGCAATTTTTTGCAGTGCCTTCCGGCGAATATCTCGAGAGGCACTACATGCATGTTAGGTTATAATACAGGTCATTATGGGGGTTTCATACGAGTTCATGGCTCTCTCCGATATTGACTTCTCTGGCATGTGCGCTGGTACGGAGTAGGAGCAAGTCTTGCGGTTCAACCCGTGGTCAGGTTGTGGTGGTAGAGCTACCCCTGTCTTACTTTCGCGCTAGTGTGCTTTGGAGGCAGCGACGAGGCGCGTTCAACCTCAAGGACAACCTCCATGCAAAGCTCCCAACTCTAATTCCGAAACCACAACATATTCCTCCAAGCCTATCTCGATAATACCTCCGCCTTCTTACCTTAACCTAGAAGCGAATATGGCGATGTTCAGTCAAAATCCGCTGATGAACGGTCCAAATTACTCTTTCAACCAAGCTCCAGCAACAGCTTCAGATGGCCACAAGCAACATGGATTCTACCCGTACGAGTAATTCCCATCACTCTATCTAGCATTTACTGACTCTCCCTTTAGATACACCGACAATGGAGGCTCCACACTCGCGATCTCTGGTGCCGACTTCACAATAATGGCGGGTGACACACGTTCAACATCAGGATACAGCATCAACACCAGATACAAGCCCAAAGTTTTCAAGATTGGCGGAACCACTGCATCTCAGAATGATGCCACTATTGTGCTGTCAGTAGTGGGATTCGCAGCCGATGGGGAAGCACTGAAGGAGCGTCTGGATGCGGTGGTCAAGATGTACCGATACCAACACGGCAAGCCCATGAGCGTTAAGGCATGTGCGCAGCGATTATCTACGATACTTTACGGAAAGCGTTTCTTCCCATACTACGTTACTGCTATCCTCGGGGGCTTGGATGAGGAAGGGAAGGGGGTTGTGTATTCGTATGATCCCGTGGGCAGCTACGAGCGAGAGATGTGCAGGGCAGCGGGCGCAGCAGCAAGTCTGATCATGCCGTTCCTTGACAACCAAGTCAATTTCAAGAACCAATACGAGCCAGAGAGTGGAGCCGGCCATGAGTTACAAGAACGAGAGAAGATTCCGTTACCAAGGGGAGAGGTGGAGGATTTGGTCAAGGATGCTTTTGATAGTGCGGTTGAGAGACATATTGAGGTTGGAGATGGACTTCAGATGATGATCGTCACGAAGGATGGAATTGAGGAGAGATATCTACCCCTCAAGAAGGATTAGAGAGGGAGGATTTGGATTGCCAGTTTGTAATACTAGAGGGAGCACAATGGTACTCAGGCAGGTTGATTGATCGTCAAAACTAAACTTGTCGAAGAGTTATCCTCATTGCCCTCATCTTGATATCATTTATTAAATACTGGTCCATCCAGCTAACGTTGAACACTTCTCCCTACATTACCTCATACGGCATGTAGAATCTTACATCCCACGTGATAGCTCATGTGAGAACCGTTTACAGCTCACGTGCCAGAAATACTCAATCCAAAACTACCTAGGTACCTAAAGGTACCTACCTAGTAGGATCAATGCCAACATGACCAACATGACCAGCATAACGAACAATTCCACCGGCACAACACTTCCGTAACCCTAACGTAGTGCTTACATCAGTTCCCCCAAATAGTCATAATTCTACACTAGGACTATTTTATCCTTCCAAAACGGGAATGCCAAGAAAAAGTCCAAAGATCCTTGCTTCCTGTTCTGTTCCGCCTCCGTTTTTAGTGGATGTGACGAACTTGGAAAGTTCTGGTACGTGGTTTGTATCTTTCAAGATACGGAAGACGGTCCCGGGCATTGACGGGTCCCGGGGCGGGTAGATATCGTCTTTGAAACATTTGTCGTAGCAATGTTCCATTGCTATTTTTGAGATCGGCTAGCATTACGGGGTGTTTCTCAAGGTGTCTCTTAGGTGATAAAGAATTCGGGCTTAAATTTGCCCATGCAAGCTCTGCGATGCGCTTAGTTATGAAACGAGGCATCAAAGTTGGCTATTTCGAGGGCATTTGTTTTGTGGTAGTACCCTGAGCGTATTAGAAAACGGAAGTCCCAGAAATTTTCTTGTACACCTTAAAAGAGGGACTTCAAGATCATCAAATCCGTGTCAATATTATGCGTCCCCAGTTCCTGAAATATAAAAATCTTTCCGAGAAAAGTTGAAGACACAAACTAGTCAAACCCCTTCATTTTATCGGGTTTTCGGAACAAACCTTCAAAGAAACTCAGTCATCTAGGAAGAATGGCAATAAGCCATTGGTCTCCCTGTCCGGCCCTGCCTTGTATGCCAGCAAGTATGGATGGCTCCCTACTGCCCATTGTGTGTAGCTCGCCAGGCGTCAAACAGTGCCTTCTCCATATCGAACAGTCGCTCGTGAGTGTAGTATTATTCCAAAACTCTTAGGATAACCCCATATCTGGCAATACGGAAGTCATTAAAGGTAGGATGTTGCTCACTTGCTCAGAAATTTGAGTAGAATCGCCACATAGAACGGGCCGCTTATGAGTATTATCATCTAGAAGGTGAGTTGGACGTCATGTCGTGAAGTGCTTCTAGAATACCAAAGCCATTGGTCCCTCTAGTGTTTAACGGATTCGTCCGAAATATATATCGATCGTATCGCGTCGACTTAGGCCATGATGTGCTTCGAGGATGGCATAACAGTTGCCGTTCGTTGATGTCAATGCTAAAGGATCAAAGTAGTTGTTAGCTCTTGTGGCACACACTCTCACCGCAAATATCGACCACGCTCACGGACGCCCGGGAAATATACGACCGACGCAAACATGGCAAGTGGCGATGATGGAAAGCATGAAACCCAACCGTAGGAAAGCGAGAAAAGAAAACTCAACCTTGTCACCTCCAGGAGGGGAAATAACCCAAAGGTAGAGGCCAGTTCTTCGGTTCTGGAGGAAGAATAACCATGGATTTCCTGGTTGCGTACCCAAAACCACCATGTCTTCAGGATTATGTGTGCGGTGTGAAGGTATTTCAATGGGTTGGAAAGTAATTTATAACTAGCAGCTTCCAGTATGGTTTGAAGCATCGGGAGGAGCACTACCTAGCTTGATGCGTTCCTACCTAACCCTTAGGCACTGTGGCGAGCCGGTGACCACAAAGCCATTAAGCTAGCACCAACGAGCGAGTTCTGTTCATCATATGGATAGACTCGGAGGATTGATGATTGGGCGGTTATGGTATTTGATGTACACTATCTCAGCCGTCCGTAGACTTGACAGGGGCATTTCGTGAAACCGAGTTCGGCACGGAGCATTAGGGTAAAACTAAAGCAGCCGTAGCAAGAAGCGGGAGATGCCAGGTGGCAGTCGCAACAAATTCCACTATGCACAATAGTTGTAAATTCTACCAGCGAATTTTATACAATACTGGAAGAATGCGTAGAGGCAAGCACACCAAAATCTTCAGAATTTGAATCGCACTTGCCGGTTCAAAAGCCGTAGGGAATTCGTTATCTAGAGGAGCAGCAGGATGATAGCTTGAATTGGCAAGATGTAAGGCTTGACTTGTCTGCCTTCTCTTTGATTTGTGGCAAACTGCTTAGATACCCCCCACGCGTTGGATAGGTCAGTCCGGGGGAGTGGAGTCAAACAACTACCCCTGCCCGAGGAACGGATAAAAAGGGACAGAGTCTTATTAACTGATAGACCGGCGAGTGAGCTGGACATCCCCCCTTTTTGAGCAACATCTCCAGGACACGCATGGGCCCCATGTGAAGCCATCGGGGTGGCTCAGCGGTCTAGACCGCTCTATCCTCAATTATTCGATGGGTACATGCAAGGTAAAGCGGTAAAGATGAATTTGCCAAATATGAACCACATACGAAGAACGAAAATGCGGAAATGCTGAGTTGGCAGCGAGACTGTAGTAAACTAGTAGTTCTCCTTAACTTCGAAGAGAGCGGCGGAGAAACAGCTAGCTATGAATAAGAAACTTAGTCTTCGCGGACCAGCCATCGGCCGGAAGACAACGGCAGCAAAAAGCATCCTATTATGCAGACTGCTAGCAGGGTTTTGGGGCTAAGATCGGATTACACTAGATAAAACCAAGGAAGAGAGAGACACGCCGCGGGATTGCACAGTCTATGTCTACGCACCTGACTATGCGTAGTACAGTAGTATCAGTTATCATTATGCTGGTATATCGCATGTCACAAAACTCGAAAGTGCAAGGCAAGTGCGGGTGCGTTATGCCACTGGTTCCTCGCAAGCCGTTCACCTGTCACTTGAAGGTTTTGAACAGCAAATCGCCAAATAGCGCCTGAGGGAGGAAACTAGCACGGCGGAGAAAGTCGCTATGAGGTACGTTCGTAGGGCGTGTGTGGATGTTGGGCCTGCATCCAGAACCTAGTTGTAGACCGCCAACTTAAACCAGACTCTCGTACATGGTGACGTGCCCAGCTGCTGTAAAAGCTGCATTAGTGGCGAACGACTGCGGTTTTGCGTTGAAGATGGGGTTTGCGGATCAGCGCACAGTTCCCTGTCGTTGGTAGCAGGTAATGTGCACAGGTACCAAGGTACCTGCTCGAGGAGCCACACGTGTGGCTGGTGGCTCGCGAGAATTGGGACTTCATTCGACATCGACATTCAATCCTTGCGAGCAAACCTCCCCCACCTCGTACCCAGGACCAAGCTTTTTCTGAGTATTTTAAAACGATGAATCACTAATTTCTCTCTATCAGTCTCAACGCTGCTAGAGACTGCTCGCAATCTCCATCGCCACTGAGCCTTCTCGCGTTGAGTCGCCACCAAACCCCACTTGTCAACTTCCAAGGTCACCGCTCTTAGTCGATCCTGTCTTAAACACAACTGGCTTTTGATAGTCCTAGTGGAGCTCATCCAGGCTGTAGAAGGTGTTGGGATAGATTAGCCAGGATACGCGGCAGAATACGCCAAAGAATTGCCACGACTGGTCTCTATTCATGCAATAGCCGCTTCTTAGCAATAGCCTAACATTTCTTGTAACTCGACGCCTATGTATGCACATGGCCACTCACACGCTTTGCGCATGGTAATCGTTTCCACGGGCGGAGTGCGGCTCTCGAGGCCATTCGCCACATATTTATGACCTTGGAACAGAAATATTAAGGATCGTGGATCGAAACAAGTGACGGAGACGGGTTTATCGCCGATAGTCACCCACTAGGATTTGGAGTTTTGGAATTTGGTATATTCGGTGTAGGAGGAGTCCTTTTTACTTTGGGATTTCTCATCAGACCACGCTCTTTACCTCGTCTATCTGAGGCTCGGACTCATCAACTCGAGAGATTGATGTTTTCCGCGGTACTTAGCTAGGACAGTAGAGCACCTAGCCACGCCAGAAACGGGCATCCGGTTGAATTGAATACGACTGTCAAAGCCACGTATGTGGTGTATTCCTTGCGCTCGGCTCCTAGCTCTGTACAGAGTAACCATAACACTTCACCTACGAAGTGGCGTGGCAACAGCATCTCTTCCACGCCAGGATATTGTGGCCTCCAGGGGCACCACAGACTGAGAACATGTCGGCATACAATCGCGGTGAGCAGAATAGCGTGTACTAGAGGTCTAAAGAATGCAGGGCGCGTTTCGTTGCCAGCAGCAAATTAGCCCCGAGGCTCCAGAAGCTGGTGTGCGGATTGATTGTTTATTGCGGCTGGGTTGGCCTTGGTACATCCAACACAACTGGGAATGATCTAATAATCCAGAACTCCAGACCTTTTTTTGCCACAGGGCGGGTTTCCCGGTAGCCTCTGGTTCCCTGGTGGCGTGTGCTAGGCGATCGAATTTTACAAAATCCCATATTATTCCTTGGGCACCTCGCTGTGTAAAGCAGCGCCACACCCACAATTCCCATGTCTGGCATCCCGTCGCCCCCAGTCCTTACTAGGCCACCCCCTTCCCGCGCTGGTCAGCGCCATGGCGACATACTGCTGAGCACCAAGGCATACAAGAAGCACCCATTGAGGGGTCCTTCAGGCTCGTTTCCTCACAAACTTGTTGCAGTGGAGTCGTGGACCCCTACCGGAACACGGCGATTATCACCACTGCTTTTGGGTACTGGCACTTTGTCCTTGTACATGTACCGCCATTGCCACAATGCCCACTCCCCGTGCTGTGTTCTAGGACTCTGTTCGTTCCCTACCTTGTTACTCACTTGCTCCTCGACCCGCAGAAAGGGCCTATTCTTTTTCTTATGCCCCACGATCGACGTGAATTGCATGTACTTATTCAACTGTCCTGCACTCCTGCTGCTGGTTGTATATTCCCCCCAGCCACTGAATGCGGCTTGGGCTTGCCTTTTTGTCACTTCGTTCGTGATTTACCTAGGTACCCGACAGAGGAGGGCGACCACCAATTCTTTCTTCCCAAGTCTATTATCTCTTCTCCCAGCTTCTTTGCCATAATCAAATATTTCGTTAATCGGAGGCATTGGCGTACTTTCTACAAGCTACAGCTACGAGTCCACGAGAGCCAGACATTCTAATTTATTGTTGGCTGGCAAAAGTCTGTCTGCCAGGTCACATAGCTTAACCCCCATATCTTGTCAGTACCCAATCATCGCATCAAGGTCGATCCTGACGGAGGAAACTGCGGCACTGACAGACTGCACACCCCAGCTAGGGCCCAAAACCCCCCATCCACCATTACTAGCAACCTTCTTCTGCTCTATCAACGTCCGTACCTTTTTCCAACACTCATTGTCTATCTTTCTAAACTCTCTAGATATCTATCTATACATAGCCCATTTACTTTCCCTGGCGGCGCCGAGAGTTGCTCCTTCCCCTTTCGAATCCACATCTGGGCTTGTCGAACCCTGCGCTCTGCACTCCCCGCATTTTGGATTATCTTCCAAAGGCACCACTCATATTTCTTCGATCTCCCCAACTACTAGGGCAGTTTATGTCTGGCCTCGACAGTCTTGCCAACATCTGTTATAGTTGCCACTGCTAAAGGCGCAGCTCCCTGTGGATTAAAGTAGAAGCAACCTCTAAAAGGTGTGGCTGAACCACTTCTCCTTTCTTCCTAAAGACAGTTGCTTCTTGTTCGAGGGCTGGTATTCTACGTGTCATCCCTTTCCATATACTTGTGTAAACAATGGCTTTCTTCCGTACATGAGTCTTACCTTCTAAAATATTCGCTGACATGTCCTTTTTCTTGGTGCAGTTTTGGAGACCGCTACCCATCATACACGAAGAATTCATGAGCGACCAAGCATCCGGGATGCGTGGCGGCGATTTTCCAGAAAGTTCACAAGGTGCCAGATCAAATGTATCACATCCAACATCAGGTCCCTCCGACATGGACCCAAGAAAAGCACAAGGCTCAATGTCTCAATCTAAAGATTCACGGACTAGCTACTTGCCCAGCCAGTCTTTCCATTCTCAGCAACATGTCCCCCAGCAAAGGCCAGACGCCTTCATGTTACCAGGGCTTGCAGGGGCGTTGCCAGACATATCCCACCACAACTACGGCAATTTCCCTCAGCAAGGACAGATTCCCAACCAATCTCCTTCCGGGCTTGTCTATCCAATGCAAAATATGACCCAATTTGTTGGCTCGCCTATCCCGAATCAGCCAAATGTAGCTTACGCTGCACTCTATCAAGGCCAACTCCAGGGCATATATCCTACAGACCAGACGCCATCAACGCAACAACTACAGCCGGCGGCCGCTGGCGGCCAGAATTTCCAGGGTGGATACATTGCGCAACATCAGCAACCGAGCTCTCAGTATTTTCTACAACCTCATCAATATGGCTCCCAGGATCAGATATACTCTGGGAATTCGACAACCGCGCAAGATAGAATGAGAAATGACTTTTCTAGAGAAAGTAGGCAACAGCCGGGTAGCGAATACATGAGGGCCAGTCCCAGTTCTAGTGGACCTGCAAGATCCGGTAGCATAGGTAAATCAAGCGTGTCTTTGTGTGAAATAACCCCGCTTACAAAATACGTAGCTTCCAGCCCTGGCAAGTCCTCAGTCGTACGTGGCCCACCACGAAAGCCACGCCAAAGCGGTAAGCCCTCGATGTAGTGACTCTAAAATGAAATCTAAGCTAACGATCCGGGTTTGTAGGTCATGCTATTTGGATCGGTAATCTCCCTCCTCAAACAGATTTGATGAATCTTGTTTTCCATGTGTGCAAGGAAACGCCAGAACTAGAGTCTCTCTTCCTCATTTCGAAGAGCAACTGCGCGTTTGCGAATTTTAGAGATGAAGCAGCCTGCATTGCAGCCCAGGCGAAGATCCACGATTCTCGGTTTCAATCTGTTCGACTAGTGAGTCGTTTGCGGAGAGGATCGGTGGGAGCAGTGGCTGGTTTGGCTGCTCCTTCTGGCCCCGCAGCTTTAACTCCGCCTAATAACCCCGTCGTTGCACGCACACCTTCTCCCGAGGATGAAACGACCCTGAAAGAACCAAGCTTAGAGGTCGATGGCGAGAAGTCAGGTACTGGAGAAGGTTCATTGGCTAAAGATAGGTTCTTTATTGTGAAGAGTCTTACAGTTGAAGATCTAGAGTTGAGTGTCCGCAATGGGATATGGGCAACCCAGTCACACAATGAAGAGACACTGAACAAGGCTTATCAAGTAGGCTCTTACCGACTAGGATAATCTCACAATACGTTAACAATTACTTAGGCGGCAGAGAATGTATACTTGATATTTTCAGCAAACAAGTCAGGCGAATATTTTGGGTATGCACGGATGACCTCCCTAATCAATGACGACCCCGATGCTGCGATCGAATTTGCACCGAAACCTCAATCCGTCGAGGACCCGGACCTTCCGAAGGCAATACCTACCCCCGCGACCGAATTTGCACCGAAAGGCCGAATTATCGATGATTCAGCTCGAGGCACAATTTTTTGGGAGGTTGAACGAGATGAGGATGAAGAGGAGGGCGCAGACAACAGAAGCGACCACGGAGACCTGGAGGCTCCAGCTTCGAAATCGTGGGGTAAACCGTTCAAGATTGAGTGGATGTCAACGACGCGGCTCCCTTTTTACCGAACTAGAGGCCTACGTAACCCGTGGAACTCTAATCGCGAGGTCAAGATTGCCCGAGATGGGACTGAGCTAGAAACTTCCGTTGGACGAGGTTTATTGGGACTATTCCACCTGATGCCAAGCCCAGCTGTACCACAAATGCAGGCCACCTCTGTGCCCATGATGGGAGGTCTTCCGCATATGCAAAATTTTTAGTGATTTAAGCCCGGAGCAAGACTTGGGCGTTGAGGGTCTAGGCAGATGGCAAATGGTAGTGTCTGGGGGATTGGTATGGACTAGGGTTTTATTAGGAATCGCAATAAAGATCTCACTTCTTTAAGACGCTATTTTCCAAAAATGCAGCAGGAAACTCTTCACCGTAACTAGGAGCATCTGGTAATGAGCGATACATTTACTGACACCCGTGTCATAAAGCTCATCAATGACGGAAGGCATGTGTCAGGTAGACGTTTTTCAATGTTGCCCGGTTTTTTGCATTACTCGCATGATCAAGGCCGCTTTAGTTCATATAGCTCATGTAACTAGAGCTACATTTACTTGGTTCCTCGAATTTAGTACGGGGAAAATGCTTGTGGCAAAACGGGGTCACTTTGCCCCCCCTTTTAAGCACAAGCGAGGTATAGAGCACGGCCACATAGCACTCAATCCCTGTTAGCCAGCCCGGGCCCTTTTTAAATCCGGCGACTGCCGGCTTCTGGGCACGGGGAGTGCCACAAGTGCTCAATTAAGGAATTGTTGAATACAACCGAAGATTCAAAGGTTTCCGGAGTGGCGTGGCCTGCTAGGCGGCAAAGATATCTCCCGTTCTGTGGGCTTGGCTTTCTATAGGAAGACGTTTTCGTTTTGTCGATTGGATTATAATAAGTATGGAAAATGGCAAACCTTTAGAAATATTTAGTAAAGGGACCTACAAATCTCTAGGAGACTTAGCTAGAAAGTGAAATTTGAAACTAGGAGTTGATCAATGATTGTTAATTTTCTTAGGTAGATGTACAACTTAAGGCATGTACTACGTATCTATCTGGGTAGGCATTTGCGTTAGTAAGCTCTTGCCCAAGACCGTATTTTCTTTCTGCTAAAAGTATCAAGTAGAAAGTGCCCTATTCTTCCCAAATTACCGAATGTTTGGGACTTCCCTATTCTCCCAAAACTCTCGGGGCGAATTATTGCGGGCGTACCCGAGACTTTTAGACCTGCTCTAATTCGCAGCGGCTCAAGATTTTGAGAAAAAGATTTCAGGTCCGTAACCATAATTTGACGAACCGCCAATATGAAATTGAATATTCGAATATTAAATCGAATTATGCAGCATAGTAGTACAGTGTGTGCAGGTAATGTCTGTTTGCGGTGAAATCCATTTTGTGGCTCGTGATTGGACGGAAATGTTTGGTTGTCCTTGAAATGGGGAAGAACCGAAAATGCGTGCTAATACAACTCCGGTGGAATCCAGGAAGAGCTTTTGGTTTTGCAGGGAATATTCTGGGAGCTTCACTTTGATGCCAGCGATTATTTCGATATATGGTTAAAGGGGGGGATGGGGGGATGACGTAAGTGACTTGGTGGACATTGATTGGATGGAATGTTCTAGTATGTTGTAGCACATCCCTGAATATTATGACGACCAGACTCTTTGGTGGCTTTCCATTGGTAGAATATTCTAGGTTTGGAGGTGTTGCGATATGGCACGATTTATTGCGGCGTGACATATCAATGATGTAAACCACAATTGGCTCTTAGAAGTCACTAGAATCCAATAACATGTATATATTCAGGACTCGGATCCTCTAAATGGCTCTCCTCTCACCAGGAAACCAACAAACAAAGCTTTTCAGCTCTATGCAGTCATACCGTGCACTCACACGCCTACCAATCCAACAAGCATCAAGAAGACTTATCAGACCGAAAACGGCACGCAAAATGTCTCTCTGGCCACGATCAGCTCTCTCTTCCGAGCCATCCTTCGGCTCTCTCTTCCGCCTCCTCGATGAATTTGATAACTACCATGGCGGAAGCGTGAGCGGAAAGGTGGCTCTTCCCAAAGGCTTTAACCCAAAGTTCGACATCAAGGAGAACAAGGGCGACTACGAACTCCACGGCGAACTTCCCGGCGTTGACCAAAAGAATGTCAACATCGAATTCACAGACGCCAACACCCTAACCATCCGCGGCCACGTTGAGCGGTCTTACGAAGAGGGTACTCCTCCCAAAGGTTCCATCGAGGGGCCCAGCCGCGCCGGCGCTATCGAGGGCAAGAAACCACACAAGGCAACAGTTGAGGATGAAGGAGGTTCCGCCGTCCAGCAAACAACCCAACAACAGGCGGTGCAAAAGCAGCCTGAGACGAGCGGGGCCGGGAAAATCTGGGTTTCCGAGCGTAGCGTTGGTGACTTCTCCCGCTCGTTCAGTTTCCCAGACCGCGTCGACCAGGACCACGTCCACGCTTCGATGAAGAATGGCATCCTCAGCGTTGTCGTGCCGAAGGCCAAGAAGGCCGAGGCCCGGAAGATTCCTATCTCGTAAACCATCATCGACCACTATTATGACAAGTGGGAGATTTTGCTAGCATGACTTGATGAAATTGGCAGCGGTGTTTGGTCTTTTCGAAAGGGTTTATAATGGATGGATGGGAAAGCGAAGATGGGCATTGTGGAATATTGGAGGGAATGGAATGAAATTAGTAGCACCTTGACTTCTTGCTCGTTGCTTTACCGCATGGTAGTAAATAAAACCAAATCTAAGTTCAAAAAATATCTTGATCTTCAACTTGCTCGTGTGACAATATGGAATGGTGACTTACTAAAACCGGATTGAAAATATCTCCAGCCTCTGGATACGACACCGGTGGGGTGGTAATTTAGACCCATTGTCGCTGCCTGTGTGTTCTCCCATACCACCTGACTATGATTCCTCATTCTCGTTTGACACAAAGGGCGGCATGACGCTCGCCATGAGTCTCCACAGAACGTGTGCTAGATTTTCCATTTGCTGCGGTAGCATATTCTACCATTCCAGTTTCTCTAGCCCCGCTTCTGTATGGAAGCAAACGTAATCATAATTTCCCACATCCTTAGACTCCAAGCAAGACCATGATTTCCCCTTTTCATTTAGAGAGTCCCATCATCTCCCGTAACGCCATTCAATGCAATTCGGATGCCCTAAATCATGATTCAAAACCTCTCCTTCATTCTCGACGCCACCGTTCTTAGGTTTCCATATACCTTCCCAGGTGGACTTCCTAAAATCAAACTACAAATTGCCTCCCTGGCAATATGGATATTCTTGACTGTTGAAGCTTAGAGTTAGCAATTACTTTGAGAACATAGAGGTGGCAGAAGGGGGCCACATACATCCACCTAGAATATGAATCTTCGAATCCGCAAGCACCACCCTAGTCCGGCTCGCATTCTCAATGGCAAACTTCGTCTTGCCGTCCTTCCCCGCGATACGACCTATCGCGCGCCCAAGGTGCTCGCCCTGCAGCGTTTTTACGTCTTTCACCTCGAATGTCTCAATGTACAACTCGTCCATTCGAAGTAAGGCGATGGCGTCGTCGACGTCGAAGCCTAAACTGAAAGCTTTCACAAAATCTGCGCCTTGTTGAAGGGCCCCATTACTCGTGGTATATTTTGAAGTCCGAAGCTCGACTGCGCGAGTCTTAATATTCATGCGGACTTGGAGTTTTAGGTGTTCAACGAGAGGAGCTAAACAAATGTTCGTCAGTTTTTGTGGCCGAAATTTACCTTACAAAGAAAACACGGGTTTGCTCCTACATATCATCTTTGGCCATGCCGCCTTGAGGGGTGACATTCGGTGGGGTGGGATAAGGACTTTGCGGATTTCGATTCTTGATGGTCCTTCTGTGTTCTTAGCTGGTGCAAATCTTGGTCGTCCTTCTTCGTCGATGTTCATTTCTGTGTCTGCTCCTTCTGTGGCTAGCTGAACAACTTCCATTGCTGAGGTGGTTGCCTCGGGGGCGTCTAGTAATAACTCATCATCTTGGCCTGCTTGGCTATTAGAAACTGATCTCGAAAGTAATGATGAGGGAATTGTGTTCATACTTTCCATAGGTAATGGCACATTCGCGGCCTCCGCCAACTCTTCAGGGCGCCTCGACAGCGCTGTTGGGGCGGGCATTTTTGTTGCGGACAGACCCCTTTATCAATAATATATCTGGTCCTAGTCTTCTTGTCGATATGTAATTGTTGAACAGGAGAGCTGCTGGGTAAGAGCTGGGAGCAAAAGAGCAAAAATTGGCAGTTGTCGTGTAGTGGGGATAAATATTTTTATCGCGGAATATAATTCGGTCGATAAGTGAAGTTAAGATGGTCCGTGCGCTCATGCGAGCTCTGCAATCGCTATCGCGTATTCCGCAAACCTCGAAACTTCTGGTTCGCGTTCGGAAAACTGGGCGAGCCAAGGAGATCGTCATTGTGCTTTATCTCTCTGCTTTTCTACTTATTCTGCCCACTCGCCCACAACACTGCTATTACGGAACGGTCCTCGACTCTCGCGGCTCTCAACAGTCTGCGAACAGTCGAAATGTGCTGCAGGTTATGTCTGCAATGAAACGCCGGCTGTGGTCTCATTTATGGGATCCTGGTAGCCATTTCCTCGCGTTGAATTCGAAGAGCTACAGAGGCAGAGGCCCTGCTGTAGGCTCAGTGTCGGCATTTTCTCACACATCAAGACGAGGGTTTTCTTACGCCAGGCCGAGATTATCCTGTAATTTATCGCAGAACTCATCGACACTCAGAAGTTCTGCTGCTCGCGATCTCCTCCTCGATATCGGCCGAAGTGAGAGGACGGCATATCATTCAGCTCTATCTTCTACATCACACGTTAAAAAGTCTTTATATTCGACATCGATACCACCTGGGCGATCAATTACCTCAATAACTCGACAAACATGGCGTCGAGAAATACACTCGACTAGTCGACGGCGAAAAGCAGCGATAGCGAAAAGGAATAAGAGCTCTACAACCAATGGCCAAACCGGCCAAAAATACCCTCAAAATGGCAACCAATCCTCCAAAAGTCCTCCCCCGACGAATAAATCCGAGCTCCCAAAAGAGGACCTTACGCCACCGACTTCACATCACTACATCCATCTCCCTCACCTCCCTCGAATGCCACATCGACCGACGAAGGAGGAGCTGCTTGCAGCAGCGACTGGGTTCTGGTCACGATTAAAGGTCCGCTTTAAGTGGTTCTCAATCAGAAGTGTGAGACCCTGGAATGTCGATGATTGGAGCGCTTTCGTTTCGTGGTTTGTAGTTGGGAATATCGTTTGGGTTTTAGTAGGAACTACAACCTTCTTCTCCCTAGTGATATTCTCTATTAATACTGTGTTTGCGCAAGGTACGTGGCTCCCCTGGTGTGCCGTAATATTTAACTAATCCACGACACAGAAACGTTAGCCAGATGGATAGGAGACTATCTGACTCATTCAGCCGGAGTTAAGGTCGTTTTCGAATCTGCCATTGTACCAAAATGGAATGATGGCGTTATTACATTCCATAATGTCTTTGTCTCGAGACGGCCGGGTCAGGGAAAGGCTAAAGTGAGCAAAGGCTCATCCGTGAATGCTGCAGCTGCGGCTGCTGCTGAGAGACAAGCGGAGTTAGGAGGCCACGGCGAGGAAGAGGATACCAACTATACCCAGTTTGACTTGACTATTGGGACTGTCAATGTCACATTATCATTTGTCAAATGGTGGAATGGCAAGGGGCTTCTGCGAGACGTGGAGGTTAAAGGGGTCCGAGGAGTTGTTGACAGGACTTCGGTGCATTGGGGCAACGAATATGTTGACCCCAGGACATTCCGCCATGAGCACCACCCGGGCGATTTCGAGATAGATTCCTTCAAGATGGAAAATCTTCTCGTCACCGTACTTCAGCCGAATGGGTTTAGGCCATTCTCCGTCAGCATATTCTCTTGTGAGCTGCCTCGGCTCCGGAAGCAGTGGCTATTCTACGACTTTTTGTCCGCAAGTAATATGTCAGGGGCGTTTGATGGATCTTTATTTACCATCCACCCCCGTCAAATGCACGGTTTTGCGGGTGTCCACTACGAAGACGAAGGGGAAGCTAGTCCCTGGAAGAAACAAAGCCGACTTCGAATCGATGGCTTGAAGATCGATCACTTAAACAGAGGGGTGGAGGGCCTGTTTGGCTGGATCCGTGAAGGAAATGTGGATATTGTCGCCGATGTCATGTTCCCGGTAGAAACCGACGACAGTATCGCAAAAGTCGTATCTGACTTTTACGATCGGATGGAAGCTACTGTGACCTCGAATCGGTACATGCACATCCTCGAAAAGCCCAATACCACCGACTCCGATGTCCCGGAGGACACTGACGCTTTCAAAGCAAGTCAAAAACGAGACGAGGACAAACGGTACCTCGTCATGGACCTCCGCGTCCATCTAAACGACGTTAGAGCTGCCGTCCCTCTCTTCACCGGCGATCTATCATACATAAACCAGGCCCTAATCCGGCCCATCGTCGCATACATCAACTCCCGCAGGACATTCATCCCCATAAACTGCCGGATCGTGAAACGCACTAGCGAATTTGACGGCAGCTGGACGATCTTCGACAGCGGATTAATGGAAGACTTATCGGTGGAGTCGTACGAAGCCTTTGCGAAAGACGTAGTGGATACGCAGCAGCGGATGCGGCGGCTGAAGAAGGTGGGATTCTGGTCAATTTCCCTAGCAATTCAGGCGCTGTTCATGGGCCTGGCGGGGAATATTGCTTGAGCTAATACACGGCGGCGCTATTATTACGACTCTTCTCCCTCTTTTTCTCTCTCTGTTAACGATATCTATAATACATTTGGGGCCGGCACTGTAGAATAGGGATAGCGAGCGGGTATGGTGTTTTTTTCAGGTTCGGCGCTGGACTGAGGTATGAGGTATATTAGCATACGAAGGCGTTCAGGGGTCGAGATGGCCAAAAGTTCATTGTACTGTACGAAGTTAAGCGTCGTATATAGATGTTCAGTCGATGTATGATAGAGGCACACATCTCCAATCATGAATTTATGATGTATAGTTTTGTATATATCACTCCTTTGACGGATTGGTACTTGCTTCCTAGATTATACGTAATTGAATATATTCATGTATCTAACGATTATTCAATACGCTTGCTCACACTCATGAACCCCAATTAACATCCATAACCACCTTTTTCCAATCCTAGACGTATCCCGCGCACTATTTATATACAGGAAATTTTTGATTACAGAAGGTTTTGAATAGGTACGCCGAAAGGTCATGAACATCACGACTTTCTTTTGAACACGACCGAGAAATAAAAACCATGCATCATCCCTTGGCTGCCTTGAGCTCTGTTGCGGGGTAAATGCTGTCTTCATTTCCGAAGAGCTCTTGATCTCCCTTGCCGCCAAGGACCATAAACTCCGCGGGATCACGGCTCTTGGAAGGGGTGTCTTCATGTTTGGCTTTAATTGTTCCGTTAGACGATCCATTGGCAGCCATATTGTTGACTTTGTTTTGTGATAATTTCACATTTGGGTTCTTAACATATACCTTGACTGGGTCTTGGTTAGGTTCAACGTCGATGACTTTGGATATCTTAACATCATTAATGCTAGCGAGCAATGTCCGCTCTCTTGCCAGCTTTCTCTTGCTGAAATCGAGGCCGGCGATTCCTCCAACGAGCCCGTCTGTGCTGTCGTTGACATTTATTGGCTTCTGAGTAGTCCAAGGGTGTTCCAGGCAGTCGTCGATGGTGTAGCGCTTGTCGACGTCCACCGTTAACATCCTGTCGATGAGATCCAGAGCGGGATCGCCTACAGAGTCCCAATATGGTGAGGGATAGTCGAACTTGCCCAGCTTAATCTGCTGTGTGAGTGTATAGGGGTTCGACCGCGAGTAGAGTTCATCAGAAAATGGAGGGAAGCCACAGAGACAGATATATAGGACAACTCCTAAAGACCAGACGTCGACTGCACGGGTATAGCGTCGATGCTTGCTGTCTTCGAGGATCTCAGGGGCAACATAGCTTGGGGTGCCGCATAATGTTGTAGTAAATGATTCCTCTCCAATGATCTTGGCTAGCCCGAAGTCGGCCAGTTTCACATGGAGATTCTTGTCCGTGAGGAGGATATTCTCGGGTTTGATATCGCGATGAACAATGGCTCGGTCATGCTATACATTATTAGCGCCGAAAAAACAAAGCTTCACCGCAAACTTACTAGATATTTCGTTCCATGGAATAATTGGATAAAGACCTTTCGGGTTTCCGCCTCGGTCAACTTCTGCTTCATAATAATCCAGTTGAACAATTCTCCTTCAGCAGCAAGCTCCAATACCAAATAAACGGCGTCTGGCTCATCAAATGTGTCTTTTAAACATAGCACATTAGGGTGGCTAACGCTCATTAGCACAGCAATCTCTTGCTGCAACCCTTCCGTTTTCGACCGTTCTTCGACACCTGGTTGTTTTGTAAAGACCTTGACGGCATACCGCTGCCCAGTTGTTTTCTCGACACACAAGAATACCTCTGCAAAATGCCCCTTCCCAAGTTTCTCGAGAAGAGTGTATTTTTGCAGGAAAACGCTCGTGCCTCGACTCTTTGGGTATCTAAACACGAACCGGGCTCCATCTAGAACTGTGATCTCATCTTGGTCTTGTAGCTCCCGACGTTTATTGCGGCCGAGCATAGCCTCATTAATGAATGTGCCATTACTCGATAGATCCTCAACAACGGCTACCGTTTCACCATCTTTCTGCTCCGTAAAGATAAGGCAATGTCTATTTGACACTATTGGATCATCGATCATCAGATCTATAAGCTTGGAATTAGTTTTGAATCTCTAGTATAGTTCTCCAGTCACTTACCGCACTCTGGATGCCGGCCTACTAGATAGCCCCCTGAAGCAACACCCTTGGTCTTCAACTCCTCATCAGGATTCTCACCCTTTCCCAACGGTCGTTTACGACCAGCGCTGTCCTTTTCGGAGGACTTCTTGGAATCCGACGAGGTGCATGTGGTGCTCTTGTTAAGGACAAGAGATTTGCCGTATTTTGGGTCTAATGGAACCAAGTAACCCCAGACTCCGTCCTCTTCCTCATCAATATCATCTGAAAACATGGCAGGATGGATGTACTGTGAAAACGCTTGTGTATCTTGCGGTGGGGATGATAAGCCTGCTCCGTCAACTAGTGAGTTGTTATCCATAGGGCGATGGTGCAGTTGGCTTGGCCGACCTTCAGGGGGCGTGGCCGTGGCCTCTTTGTATGCTTCGGTCGAGGAACTAGCATCATGGGTAAGAGGAGAAGGAAGCTGTTGTTTTTTCGATATTGGGGTCGTTGGAGCTTGGGACAGCCGCTCCGAGCGTCGAGGTTTCTTGGAGGACAAATCTTCTGCAGCTCCGGCCTATGGTCGCATTTATTAGCCTCATGGAACTACATATTCGCGCAAGGCATCACAATTCAAATACATACCCGGCCTCGTTTCAATTGACTCTTCTCCCCGCGTGGAGCCATCTTCCCTAGGGGGTGCTCGCAGCTCCCACCGAATCAGGGAGCTAGCTATGAGCAAACGCGGAGAAGCTCACGAGATGTTGGGTGCAAAGCGAGTTCGCGAATGGCCGGGCAAAAACCTTATAGCTAGGGAAACAAAACGGAAACAAGGTTCGACAGATATTGTTCAAGCTCGAGTCGATAAAATCGGCAGTTCGGAGGTTGAGGTTGAGGAGGCCATGGATTATAGGCAGGCGGTGGGGCGGAGTAAGCCTCAGGAGGCTATCCAGGATTCGACACAAGCGAAGGCTGAGAAATCCAGGTTGGAACGTCTCTTTGGATGACGATGAAGAAACAGGTTGTGAGCGCCCTTGCAGGATGGAGTGAGCACCGAGAGCCTATTGTTTTCTTCAAATGCACAGCACAAGCGGGTTCTCTCCAAAGGACACGGCAAAGCTAGGTTTACGGCATAATATATAGAGGTAGACCCTCAAGTTACGTTGGCCTATCAGGTGTCATTTTCTGCTACTGTCACTAGACTATTCAGATTTATTGGAACACACAGCGCAGTAGCTTTGATTGGATGCGCATCGACGGTCAACTGCATAGCTTTCACCTCACGCTCGAGCGCGTATCGCGTCTCCGGTGCCTCGTGACCCAGCCGCCTGACCAGCCTTTGAGATCGCTCTCTAAGTAGAGCGACCATGTACGGAAATAGCAGAAGACTGATGTATGTCCAGGTGCAACCTCCGAGTATTGTCACCATCCCCAGTGATCCGCTAAATCATATCCTAGAGTGTCGCGTTAGGAGTCCCAAATGCCCTCGGGAAGCCACACTGTCCAGTACACAAGCCGGACTAACTCCGCGTTTTGGGCCGTGGCCAAGGTTATCCAAGGACATCCGTTGCAGCCATATAATTCTTATGACGGAGCAGCTTTCCTCAACTATCAAATCTGCTTTTGCGCTTGATGCCTTGAACTTGTGGCGAACTTGAAGCGCCTCGGTCAGAGGCAAGCCCTGCCATTACCCTCTCCGCTGCACTTTTTTGACTCGGCTTCCCTCCGATCCCAGGTGTGACACTCCGACTAAGCGATTCTCCAGATATAGATGACGACACGAAATCCACAGTTTCTCTTCTCCCTCCAGTCTTCTCTTCCTCCTTGCGCTTCAGGATCTTCTGCTGGCTCTTCGCAAGTTCCTCTTTGTATGCGTACTCGGGAAAGGCCACCGGATCCCATATATCCTTGGACAAAGTTGTTGAATACTGCCCAACTTCGTCGATGTCTGAAAAATCCATGAGCTTTTGCATTAGGCTTGGATTCTTAACAGCCGATGACCTGGCAAGCTTCTCATTGAAATGGACGCCCTGCCTCTTCAACTCGAGAAAATGTTTGAACTTCGCATTGGTACTCGCAACAGGGGAACCTGGTGGGGAGGCAGGAATATCGTAATTAGGAGTCGTTGGTAATGTGAGATCTCTCAGCAGAGCTCGGTTTGCGGAGTAGGGAGATTGTGGCGCGGTTCGAGGTTCCTGATCATCATCCATAAGCTCCGGTAGCCCACCAGCCATATCTGTTGGAATAGTAGGGCCTAAGACGGGCGCATCTTGGGGCACATCAGGCTCGGCTTGACGCGTTAGAGGTTCGTGATGTTTGCTAGATTCTTTCTTCTCTAGCGCCTCTTTTTCCTGGTGTATTTCTTGAGTGCGTTAGATCCCATAATAGTAGTGGAACAGGAGGTTCATTACACACCATCTCGAATACCATTCCAACCATAGGATGTTGAAGCATGTACTCCCTATATCTGCGCTGTTAGTTACTGGTTCAGGGTTCAATAATGACGATATATTCAAACATACCTCATCGACATTTTGATCAGTGCCCCCATTTAAATTATCCTCCTCATCACTACTTCCGTAACTGACCAACGCTGCCATTACGAATGGGTGTGGACACAAAATTGACTACGAGCCTGCGAATGTTGTATAAAACAACAAAAATGTAGCTCTCTCGCTCGAGGCCGCGCCAATCTCAGGCGGTGGCCGATTAGCCTCGCTTACCTAAGGTACTCCATACTCGCATCCCCTGCGCCACAATACCTCCTAATCCAATCAACGCAGTTACACGCCTTTCAAGCTTACAACTACGAAGTAGTCAAAGGCAGCGGTAGCAAGCTCCTGACCACGCCGTGGCAAAACAATTTAGTCGAGGATACTACGTGCTCAAGTACCAGTAGTAAGTAAGTGCGCCCATGAACAAATCTGCCCTATTCGGGCTTTGGCTATCACCGCGCTTCGAGTTTGCCAGAAGGTCGACAACGGCGAATTAGGACCTTGTACAGCCGTCAAGGGTTATATAGGTACGAAATACAAATACACAACAGCTAACCTCCACGATGATAGAACCAATAGATGTTAACTTCCCAGTCTTCGCCGATGGAATGAAGAATAGCTTCTCAGATCAAAGGTCTAGTAAGCATAGGGGCCATAATAACTCCAGTGCCTGGCCCTTCAAGAATACCTTTTTGAGCATACGTAGCTAAAGGTCTTCGAAACCACTCGGGATCTGTTCTCCTTCGAACCAAGCACGAGCAGTCTGAGCAAATAACAATGGTGCTTGCCTATTCCAAGGATGCCTCATAAGCGGATGAGTGACCGCGATAGTCTCTACATTCTTCTCCCTCCCAATATCCATCAGTTTTCGAGCATCCTCTAAACGATCACTCGACGGGAGAATCCCACTCTTCCCAGCGGCAACAATAAGTGTTCGCGCAGGCCAGGGAGAGGGCCAGGTTGTTTCAATCATTGGCGGAACAACTTGGCGACATAACTCGATTGAACATGGACCCGAATGACCAAGATCAGTACCGTCCATTAGCCATTTTATCAAAGCGCTAGGAACTAGTTTCGTAATTCGATTCTCTGCCCAAAAGCCGTATGGAAGAAACGACGCAAAATTTGTCCGTGGGTATTTAGCAAAGCCCGAGACGAAAGCGGTGTTAACAACTTCTGGGTGGGATGTTATAAATTCAACAGCGACGTTCGCACCTAGGCTGTGGCCAATGATATGTGCTTTTCCGCCGTGGGCATGCTTGCGAATCAGTCTTTCAAGAAGACGCGAGGAGTATTCGGCTGAGAATGGAGTCACGTTCCGTGACAGGCCATGGCCAGGTAAGTCTGGAACGAGCAGATGATATGAGTCGGCGAGATGTGGCACAACAAGGTCCCAGTTTAGGCCTGAAGTACAGGCGCCGTGAATAAGAACCACGGTAGATCTCCCCGATGGGTTGTGCTCTGTGTAGTGCAGTAGTACTTGGTCAAGCCCATCGTCGGGAACGGGCATTTGAGGAGTGGGTTGACGAGATGAGAGGAAGACGCGCAAGAAGACCAAGAGCAGGAGTAGAATAGGCTTGGCATCTACAACTTCGATTTAGATTGTAACAGGAGTATCGCCAGTGAGGACAAAATTTAATACTCTTAGCCTGGTATCCAAGTATGTTGACAGTACCTTGGTGGTTGTTATGGTGGTTGGTGTTGGCGACAAGGGGTTCGCAGTCGAAGGGAATAACCAGCCACCGCTCAGGCGGGCGTGGAGTGCGGTACAGGGTGTGGCGGCCTCAGGCCAGCAGGTAGTATACATATTGGGAAAGTTAACAAACGCTCTATACCTAAGGTAGGCATACAAAGCTCACTCCGGGTGTATAAAAACAATGTTTAAAAAAAAACAAATTGAATAGAGTGGGACTCGAACCCACGCCACATTACGTGACCAGGAAATGTAGTTAAGATATACCTTAACCTGGCGCCATAACCATCTCGGCCATCTATCCATTGTTTATGTGTGTGAAATGAGTAAATTCTTACTTATATCATACCTCACCAACCAAACCGAATTTTAGCCACCCAGTCACATAGGAGCTCAAATACCTGGAAACACGCCTGGGTGACTTTGTCCTGCGAGACAGCTCATCGCACGATTAAATAAAAGAAAGAATTTTACATGCAATAGCCCTAACAGTGTTACCAATTTTTATGCGTTGTGACAAGTCCAATGCCAATGTCTTGGCGAATCTAGTCTAGCGCGGCTGGTGAAGCTGCTGGGGTGTTGGAGCTTCCGCGTCGAGCTCCTGCCTGAGCTGCCGCGACCTCCAACATCTATCTCATCGTCTTCAACTAACCTGACAACACCACAATCTTTCTCAAAGCCTTCCGCACTGCCCATTTTCAGAACCAGCAATCAGATACTACTATCATGAACCATCTTCCGCAAGCCTGGGGTCGGGTGGGTCCATCAACCCCGAAAGCCTGGTCTCACCTTGCTAACCATCATTTAGCCCAGAGACGATGTGTATGGCCCCTATGACAGTTCATATCTACAAAACAATGGTCCAAATCAACATACCCAACAACCTATCGTCACCGGCACCTCGGTAATAGCTCTCAAATTCAAGGATGGTGTTGTGATTGCAGCAGATAATCTAGGTACGTCAACTTGTCCAACCATCTGTTATCTTCTCAGGACATGCTAACACGAGTAACATGATAGCTTCATATGGATCCCTTGCGCGCTTCACGAATGTCAAGCGTCTTCGGAAGTTTGCTGACACCTCCGTTGTTGGATTTGGCGGCGATGTATCGGATATGCAATACCTAGACCGACTTCTCAACTCACTTGACATTGACGAAGCATACAGCTCAGCTGGCGACACACTCAATGCCCACAACCTTCACACATACCTATCCAAAGTTCTCTACAAGCGCCGATCCGACTTCAACCCGTTGTGGAATCAGTTATTAGTTGCGGGGTTAGATGGCGAGGACATGCCGTTCCTAGCAAGCGCAGACTTGCTCGGTACGACATTCAGTTCCCCCAGTTTGGCCACTGGTTTTGGCGCACACTTGGCACAGCCAATCTTGAGGAAAGTTGCGCCAGATGAGGAGACTGCTGCAAAGCTGTCAAAGGAGGACGCCGTGCAGTCGGTGAAGGAGTGTATGAAGGTGCTGTTCTACAGGGATGCAAGAAGTTTGGACAAGTACTCTATCGCAGTGATCACCAAGGAAGGTATTGATCTGAAGGAGGATGAGAAGTTGGAGCAGCAGAGCTGGGCATTGTAAGATCTCCCCTCAATCTTTTGGACGAAACAATCTAACAAAAACTTAGTGCGGACAAAATCCGGGGTTATGGAACCCAAGTCAACTGAGTTGCTCATACTTCCTTGTAATATTAGAAAATCAATGATATGAGGCATGCCCAAGTCCACTCGTGTTATTTTCGCGTTATTCTACCTGCCGGAAAATGAGACAAGCAGGAATCCACGAGTCTGCATCGCATTTATTGCAACCCCTTCGATCATTAAATTAGATTCAAACTCCCTTAATTTCTGGCCATCTTAGATATCCCACTCTAAGGAATTATCATATTTGCGGCCGGCTACCCTTTCTGCGGAGCTTGGAAGCAGCAATCTAAGTACCTATTATCTAGAGAGGCTTCCGGGTGAAACTACAATCCTCAAAACTACCTAAGTTTACCTGGTTCTTGCCCTTACTTTCGATGGTTCTGGTTTCTGAGAATTCAAGCATAGAAACCTCGCTGGCCCCAACCCGGACCCAAATGATACTCTACTAGTTTGTATTGTTTGTGTTAGATCCTATATTAGCCCCTCGGCTTCTGGCAGTAGTCACTTCGGCGCAGCACGTGGGATATAACTTTATTTAAATGCTACCCTGGGTAATGAGGGTTCGATCGAGATTGCACGCAAATACAAAATGGAAAATCGAATTCTGTAAAAGTTAGTTTAATACCTGGCATGTCGAGCATATTAGCATGTCTACAAAGTAATGTTCGCGCTATGCACCAAAATAGATTTCAGTACTCTTGTACGACGTACTTTCGCAGCAAGATTTCCAGTAAGCGAATGCGGAGAGTTGGATCTTCGAAGGATCCTGGTATTCCCCTGCATGGAGCCCCGAGCTGCGACATGATTCTCCCATGATTCGTTTTCTCCCTATATTATACGATTGATCGCGCAGCTTAACTCGGCAGAAGCGCAATGCTCCGCTGAATTCCATGAAACCCCTCTCCGCGATAATCCACCCCTGACGACCAACCTACCGCTTGCCAAGCCAGTTCATCCGAAGAAGCACAAACGAGACGGCGCCTTCTTGAATGTCAGAGCTGGGAGAGGTCCCTTGTTACTACAGCAGAAGGAGGTGTGATCGGTGACTGGTATGCAGACGGCAAGGCAAAAGGCTGAAGCGCAAGGTCGGAAAGCTAAGGTAGGGAGGCTTCTTTAGCTACTGGTGCTTCAAGAGCAGATCGAGAGACAATGTTCCGAATGCGAAATACTAACATTTCGGTGTAACAGCTTGCCAACTCATACCATGAGCTACTGGAGTTAGTACATCCGTCCCCAGCCATAAATTAGCAGATGCTAACTGATCTTCTGTGCAGAGAGTTCTCGTCGAAAGACCTCCGGACGGTTGGAAACTATACACTCGGGCGTCTGATCGGAAAGGGTTCATTTGGCAAGGTCTATTTAGCTACGCATAAGCTCACGAATGGCTCAAAAGTATGTTTTAGGAGACAATGAGTGGCAGAATTATTCCAGCTGACGACGTAGGTTGTCCTCAAATCCGCCAATAAAGATGACTCGAATCTGGCCCGAGAAATACACCACCATCGGCAATTCCTTCACCCTCATATTGCGCGCCTATACGAAGTTATAGTTACGGAAAGTCTGGTATGGTTGGTGTTGGAATACTGTCCAGGTATGCAGCATCTAATGAAGAGCAAACAACTTGGACTAATGAAGCTCTGGTTACAGGTGATGAATTGTATAACTACCTATTGGCACATGGACCATTACCCGTGGAAAAGGTACAGAGGATTTTCACGCAGCTGGTTGGAGCCGTTACATATGTCCACAACTCTGCATGCGTTCACCGAGACCTGAAGCTCGAAAACATCCTCCTCGATAAGAACGAGAATGTCAAGCTTGTCGACTTCGGCTTTACCAGGGAATACGAGGGCAAGGCGAGCTATCTACAAACATTCTGTGGCACTGTCTGCTATAGCGCCCCAGAGATGCTGAAAGGGGAGAAGTATGCTGGCGAAAAGGTCGATGTTTGGAGCTTGGGGGTTATCTTATACGCCCTTCTCTGCGGCGAACTCCCTTTTGATGACGACGACGACAACATCACGAGGACCAAGATTCTAAGCACTGAACCTAAATGGCCCGATCATATTACACCCGATGCTCGTTCGTTATTGGGGATATTGCTTTCGAAAAGACCGCTGCTCCGCCCAGCATTATCTGATATCTTGACGCATCCATTCCTCGGGGACTACGCGCCACAGCAACAAGCTATTCTCAAAATCCAACAGCCCGCTCCTTTTACTACACCCCTAGAGAAAGAGACATTGCAGCGAATGCGCAGCGCTGGAGTTGACATTGACCAAGTCATTGAAAACGTATTAGCCCGACGGTGTGATGCCCTAGCTGGGTGGTGGTCTCTCCTTATCGAAAAAGAAGAACGGAAGCAAGTGCGCAGAGAACGGAAACGAAGGGAGAGAGAGGCCGAAAATCGAGCTTCCCGCAGACTGAGCGGAGCAAGCAGTCGACTTGAGCGAATGGCACCGATGTTAACAGGCGTCGACGAAGAGGGCAAAGAAATCAAGCTCAGTGACCCCCCACGGAGTAGGGGTAGAAAAGAGCGGCGTAGTGCTCATTATCCGGAGCTCATCCTCACTGATCTCCCCGGACTACCTGAGAATTCTCAGTTAGATTCTCCAGATGTAGCCAGTCCACCACCTCCAATCGAAAAGGACTCGGTACGATCAGCAAGCTCTTCCCGGCAACGAAGGCCTATCCCGCCGCCAAAGGAGGGAACCATTCGAGGTGCTCGGTCTCGAGGCAGTACACTACAGCTTGTGACAAATAATGACCTATTATCTCCGCATGCTAACGGGGTAGCACCGAGACCTCAAAGACGGAAACACCAACATGCATTCATTAACCACTTGGCTCATTGGAAGCATTGGATTCTGGACAATGCAAAGCGTGCTAGGTCTCCGGGCAAACGGAGTCGCTCCACGCCAGATCTTCATCAAAAGTCGGCCAACAGTTCCAAGCCAGGTACGAAGGATGCCAGTCCCCGACCTGCCACTTCCAAAACCCCCCCTCAGAGCAGGCCTTCACCGCAACCTGGGCCACAAAGTCTTCCACAAGTTACTCGTATATATACTACACCTACAAATAAACGGCATTCCCTCTCGCCTGCTCCTTTAACACCTCGCTCCACCTATCGAAGACCTAGCAGTGGCCTCCGGGGACGGAAATCAACATCCTCGTCCGTATCTTCGATTCGGACCGTCCATCATCATCATCACACGCACTCCAAGGCCTCATCCACATCATCCAACGGTTCGGGATCCATGAGCAAAGTTTCTGTCCCTACACGCAGCCCACACCACTCCGTAAAAGTCCTTCCAGCAACTCCAACCACGAGTGCCTTCCCCTCCAACATCCGTGTCGTTCGCCAACCCCCTATATCTACGTTCAACGAAGGCGCTTCCTGGAATAACACCGGCGGTCTTGTCTTCGCCAAACGCAAGAAAAACCTCTTCAAGGGCCCCATGCTGCACACATCTCCAAGCCCTAGCGGGGTTGGTAGCAGTAGTGGAACCGGTAGAGCGAGTAGCCATAGCCGTAGCGCGAGCCTAGCGGGGCGAAGAAGCGGCGAAATAATTGAAGAGGAGGATGAGGATGACATTGAGGAGGTGGATGCGTTTAGCCCTATCATCGGACCTGGCATGGTGGAAGAGACTTTCTTCCCTGAGGGCGAAACACCACTCCCAACGCCAAAGGTTCCTTGAGAAACGCAACGTCCTTGTAATGACGGTATATATTTGTACGAGCGAAAGCCTTCTTGTGATTAAGTTGTGATGTTTTGAAACGGCTTTTTTTGTCTGGTACCACGACAGGTACTACGATTTTTGTATTTTCTTTAGCCAGCGTTGCAGTATTATTTTTTGCCCTTGCTGAGTTTCTCCAGTGGTTGCGGTGAAAGTGAATCTCTCACTCGCCCGCTTGTTTTGTAGGGTAGATTTAGGTTGTTTCCTCTGGGTGGTGAGAACATAAAGATGGCCATGCTCATGCGTTTTTGCATGTGTGATGGGGTGGGCGGCCGGCATATATATCCGCTCTTCTATGAATATAAGAGCAACTCTCACAATCATATATTGTAACTTGAGTGGGTGACAGGTTGTCCAGTCATGTAAACTTCTGCTTAGTATCTATCATCTGTCACGCGATTTCAAACTTCTGGAGCGCCATATTCCTCGCAGTCCGCTCCCTCAACCTATACACGTCATCCTCGATCCATTGGCTCCTGTTTGTGCATCAACTTCATTCCCATTTGCACCGCCACCATTCCGTTTACCAAATCCACGCTCTCCCTATCGACGAGAAGGAGGTAGGGAGAGGACGTTGATATTTTGATATACTGCCTTCTTCGAGAACAAAGCAAGCCAAGCGAGAAAGGTCCAAAAAGAAATTTAAAAAAATTGAGCGATCAAAGAAAGAAATGGCAAAAGAAATACCCAATTATCAGTTCCAAATGGGATACCGAGAAACCCAAGTTTTGTTATCTCTGGCGGAGCGTCCAGGGTCATCCTAGGTTGTCTGTTGATCAGCGGTTCAACCTCGGAAAGGCGTTAATATCCCCACTGCACCAACAGGCCTAGTCGCCTGTCTCCAGTTGTTAAGGTAATTCTGCTTATCTTGCCATATATACCTTAGGTGGTCGGTGTCTGGAGGCGGTGGAGGTTCGACCGAGGGTTAGCCGATGGAGTTGACCGCCCTTGAGGATACACCTGCAAAGAGGTCACCAAATCTCCCGTTTAAAAAGGGCAATACAAATTTGGCAATAGTTAAGTAGAATTGAACAAGCCACGAAACATGTCAACTATCCCCAAGTATGTGGGGTTAGAAAGATGGGGTTGAATTGGAAATTCAAACTTTATATCAATCAATATCCCTACAAAAGCGCTCAAATTCGCCATTTCCACAGTTGCTAACGCGTGCTCATATCGTACAGTACTCCACCCTAATCCCCGAGCTCCCTCTATCATGAATTATACCATGACTTCCCAGCCTTTCTTCTTGCTTCCTTTCGCTCAGCGGTCTAAACATCCCATCAGCGATGTTCATGGCGAAAGACAGACATAGACTCCAAAGGCTGAGCAGGGCCCAGCGCCGAGAGTCAGACAAACATCATCACAGAGCGCAAAACCATGATAAACCCATAGAACGACCAATCCCCCTTCAAGGAGTTATCTAGAAGGGTGGTGATCCGGGGTCCACCATAGCTCCATACGTGACCAATCCAAAAGAAGCCGCACTCACCCATTGTTTCTTACAATCTCGATATGCCCTATTATAACATCAGCATTCCCACTCAACACTCACGGAAAATGAACTCCGCCGCCTGGGAACAGTTGAGGGCGACTTCTACTAGGAAAACCAGGAACGTGCAACACAGGAAGAAGCAAAAAAAGGCTCACTGAAAGTAATCTGTGCACATCTCCCTATCCCCTCCATTCCGATGCAGACATCTCAGACTCTTATCCGCCGCGTCCTGGCACGGGTCATAGAACTCCGACAGGCGTTTGCTACATTGCGGAGTGACTCGAGGTTAGCTGGGGTTCCGTCGAGTTCCGGGTGTGGCTTCAACGACAACAATGAAATGGTTCCAGCACAAAGAGCTCCCAAAAACTACCTTTCGAACTTTTCACTCGTCTTCTTATCCCACGGGGTCACTTCCGCGTCTTTGGATGACATGATTGGCGATGAGGCTTCCACGTGTGATGGCAGGAGAGAGGTCAGCCTCGGGGTTGAGTGGTGATTGAATGTCAAATTTGATACAGTAAGTCCGAGGCGGCGGATTTCTCGCTTCGGCACTTGGCCGCCTGCCATGCTTATCGCTTACGAGTGACACTGGGGGGCAAGGAGCAAGGATGCAGGACGAAGGATGCTTAGGGGTCTAGATTCTTAGATGTCTCTTCTAATAAATACAGTAATACTACAATTTAAGAATAGACACACGCGCGCTCTTTAGGACGGACGGGATATTAATAGCTGCGCTATATTGAAACACCACGGGTCGAATATTATGATTATGTGTTATGCAGGGCTCCGACGCTAGGCTATTGTCGAGTTCAAAGCCCACAATGCTGGCTCTTCTGTTCTATGTAGTTTCAATGCTTGCATATCCTGTTCAATAGCCCTCTCCTTTGAAGACCTCCCGTTGCGTAGCTTTCGGGGAAAGCAGAGGTACTCGCCCCGACGCAGCACCATCCTTCCTGATGACAACGGGACACTCTAGCATTGCAAGAGCACGTCCTTGCACTAGAGAGGCCTCCGCCCCCGCACCCCGGCGAACGGTGAGCTTGTGGCCTGATAGAGAGGAAGGTGGTACTCCGTGCTCCTCCATCGTGGATTCCGACTGGCGCTCTGCCTCTTTTGTCACCGCCCGTCAGACATCAAAACAATAAGATGGTTCTGATTACCTAAGCCGCGTCATGTGCATTGTGCTGGTAGCGGGCCGTTACCGGCATTCCGCGCGCAAGTTTTGCTTAGCACGGAGCTCTTTATCTTTGCCAGTTGCCGTTCCATATCGGGATATCAGATCCTGTAGAATCGATAGGTATCTCCCCGCTCTGTTCAGCTCGTAGTTCGTAGCACATCGCCCCGTACTTCGACTCTAGCGCTCCACACCTTTTTTCACATTCTTCCACTGCTGCTCGTGTGTCTCTAAAACGGGCGCCTCTATGTGGAGGTTGGGCGATTTGTGTTCCAGCCGTCCATGGCGCGTGCGATAGTGCCGTAATGCCGTTCCATCGTGGTGATGTCTGTGCTTGACTCCTCCCCTATCTCGGCGGTCAAGCCCCAGAGTCTGGACGGGGTTGGCATGCAGATGATGATACGTGTTGGATTATCACGATGTATCGATCTAGACCATGCTCGTAATGCCCCTGACATTATCCATTTGCAGAAACAGTTTCCATACCACATCCCCGCCCATAGAAGTTGCTCGATGCCCATCCGACATTTCCAGCTGTCGCCTGGTCCGAGACATGCATCCTGCAACCTGAGAGCGGCCCGGCCACATAGATGGCCAACAAAGATGATGTTCATGGCGATAAGGTCCCTGTGTTCAACTATCGTGAAGTGCCCCTCAATCAATCGCTGGCACCTGTGTGCTTGCCAACAGTAGAAGGAGATTGAGAGTAACGTGGAGGACACAGCAAGGGAAACGTGGATTCAATAGCCAAGGTCGTGGAAAAGTTGCTGTTGGTGGGTCGGTAGCGCATTCCCCAGATCGGACTGATCAGGTGGAGGTATTAGACCCCGAGATCGCCTATAAGAACTGAACAGGACGCCCTCTCGAAAGACATTATAATAAGTTCATTTATAAAGATCATTTTAAACAAAGCCAGGACTCCGGCAAGCTCTCTTTGTCATATTGCCTACAACTTTGGCCACTTACAAGTTGGCATGTGTCGAACAGCGCCACAGTATATTGAAGTGAGGATGAATGCATTATTACACGCGGTAAATTGTCGCTTAGCTAACATATATTGAAGTAGTTCTTTACCTGATCACCATATCCAAGCAACTTTGGCCACTCACAAGTTGAAATCTAGCGAGAGGTGCAACAGAAATAAAAATCGAAGTAATGCCAGTAGTGAATGCAATTATACGCGGTGAACAGCCTTCGGCTAACAAACTATTTAAACAGATTCTTGCGCAGTCACCACACTGTCTGCTCCTCTTTCTACAAATATTACCTTGAGTCACTTAACTCGTTGATCAATAACCAAGTCCTTCACATCAAAGGATTACCAACATCAACACTTGTCAACATGCAGACTCCCGATGTCTCTGAACCCGGAACTCCGGATACGTTTTACTCAGAGACCATCAGCTTTCCACAGCTGAACGGTACTGTGAAGGAAACCAAGGAGAATCTCAAACGCTCGTTCGAGAAGTATCTGTCTTCTGACCAGTCCCCTCCTGCCGCTGGTAAGAACTTCGACCCAAGCAAGCATCTCACCTTCGAAGAGCCGACATATGTTCACTCTATGGAGGACATCGGATTCACTGCCAGCACCGGCGTCTCGCCGATGGCAGTTTCTGAGCCCTTCCATCTGTTCAGTGAGGAGGCCGTCAATATCATGAGGAGCGAGATCTTCAACCCAGTTGTCCAGGAGAAGTACAGTCACACCTCTGACATCGCACCCAAGCAGCTCCGCGGCTATGCTCCCCAGTAAGTCTTCCTTCTACCCCCTTCTGGTTGTGCCACATGCTAACGATTGTAGACATGCAAAGTTCATCTTCCAGGCTTGGACAAACCCTGAAACTCTTTCTATCATCTCCAAGATTGCTGGCATCGAGCTCGTTCCACAGATGGACTACGAGATTGGCCACGTCAATATGTCCGTCCCTAGAAAGCAGAGCGCCGGCGGTAACAATGTCACTCCTCCTGATGATGACGGCGGTGCTATCGTTGGATGGCACAGAGACAGTTATCCGTTCGTCTGTGTCCTAATGATGAGCGATACTACTGGCATGATTGGCGGCGAGACTGCTTTGAGAACTGGAACCGGCGAGATCAAGAAGGTCCGCGGTCCGCAGAAGGTAAGAAAATAACCCCGATGTATGATATCCAATGCTGACATAAATTTAGGGATATGCAGTTGTTCTCCAAGGACGATACATTGACCACCAAGCACTCGCAGCTTTCGGCGGTCAGGAGCGTATCACCATGGTCACTTCGTTTAGGCCCCGTTCCCCACATGTGCGAGATGATACTGTTCTGAGCACAGTCCGACCTATCTCCAACCTGTCTGATCTTTATGGTCAAACTATCCAATACCAGCTCGAGAACGCCGAGACTCGGATCCGTCAAATGCTCAAGACAGTCCGTGACTCGATGAAGACTGGTTCCACAAATGCGGCGGCCATCAAGAAATTTCTTGATTTTGAAATCAAGACACTGCAGCACCTCAACGACGAGATTGTTGATGAAGCCAACGTTCAGAAGGGGCACTTGGCCGAGGTCTGCGTGGATGCGGCCAAATGCACCAGCGCTTAAGTAGAGGATTTGATGCATATGGCTGAGTTTGGTTCCGGCATATTCGGATGGCGCTTGGGTCCAAGACAATGTTTTGGCGCTTTGGAACACACCGTTTGCTTTTCGGCGTTCTTATGGTTGCTTCAGTTCATTCTGCATATCGGACGCTGCATTCAGTCACGACTGCTCTTCATCAGATCGCGTTTGGTTTTCAAAATTTTCTTGGTCGGTTGGATGAACATCTCTTGCGCGTTTGAGCGTAGATAAGTTGGTATTCATGAAATTGACTTTACACACAACTATCAATCCATGTTTGCATTGCTCCCATGATATGTGAATGTAGCGACCTGAACTGAGAAGTATGATATGTGCCCGTAGTTGCACCCGCCCGATTTATCGCGTTCCTAATAAACGATATGCCAGTACAGGAATAGTTGGGCTTTGTGATGCTCCTTGCCCAGATTTGTCCACATACCTTAACACAGGTCCGTAAATTGGGGGGCGGGCCGCAAGTCAACCCCGTTGCATGTTGCTTGGATGATTCAAATCATACACAAGCAAGGCCTCGGCCGAACCCTCGACCGAATAAACAAAAGATCCTCGACCATTTTTGTCTCAGTAAGAGACTTGACGGGATTCTGTTCTTTGTAGATCGATGGTGCGGATGTTCAAGAGTGGGGTGGCGGTAACGAGCGATTACAAATAGTTACTGGAGAGAGACCTCAAGCCCGAATATAGATTGGAACAGTCCAAAGTAACAAATTTCATAAGCATGGTGAATTGTCCAGCATTGTTGTTGATGGCCTGTCACTATTTGAAGCGTGTCAGAGAGAGAACTGATGTTGGCTAAGCTGGGCGCGCCAAGGGAGACTACAACATCATCGTGGCGCACGGACCACAAGGCTCGACTTGGTTCGGCTAATTTAGCGCAGCCGCGACCCTCCACGCCTGACGCTACTTGGTTCGATTCTACTCCTGATGCTAACTCTGATCCCTCGTACACGGACACGACAACCTCTTTTCTCAGGACATCCCGCCTGGCGTATTCAGCGTCTACAGTTGGAGCTCACCGACTCTGGGGGCGGTCGCTTTTCAAGCGAGCCAGAACCGAAAGCACGCCCTTTGCCATAGCCGCCCAAATCCCCCCAGCCCAACCTCACATCTTCAGATCGATACGCATACATCATGCCTCCGTCGATTAAGCCGACCGCCCAAAACAGCCCAGGAAAGAAGCGTGCTATTGTCGGGGGTGCCTTGCTTCATAGTCGAGAAACAACGCCACTGCCGATGAAATCAGAACCAAGTCAAACAAAGGTCACTCAAAGCAACACAGAGGTATACCCGCGGATCTTTGAAGCTCTAGTGTCCCTATGCTTACCAATTTTTCACAGCTCGCTACTATCTTCAAGACTGATCTCACGAATATCCGGAATTTGGTAACCTGCTCAATATGCGATCAGTTGCTTTACGAGCCTTGGACTCTGGCTTGCGGGCATACATATTGCTACTCGGTCAGCCACCCCATCATGGATGCAGTTTCATGATTTTAACTAACTAGTTTACAGTGCTTGTGTAACTGGTTCGTTCCTAACAGGCGTAAGAAGACATGCCCCGAGTGCCGGACCCGAGTCAAGCAGATGCCTGCCCCGGCCTTTCTGGTAAGCGTGGCAACGGTTCCCTTTCCTCTCACGCAAGCTAATGTTAGTTCTCCAGATAAAACAACTAGTTGAAGTGTTCACAAAACGTAGCGAGCTGATGCCATCGGATGAATCTGTTGATACCCATACTCAGAGGCGCGCCGAGGAGATCGCGGACGTCGACAAAGACAGAAATGGACGTGATGGGCTCTTCAAAGGCACGTTCCCTAAAACGCTCGCAGAACTGTGGAAGGATGATGCAGATGGCGGTGTGATGCGATGCAGAAACTGTGGTTTCGAGCATGAGGGAGGACCATCTTGCCAGAACTGTGGCGCGGAACTAGATGATGAGGGCTACAGCTTCAGCGATCTCGATGAGGATGCCGATCTTGATGATCTCGACGCGCTTTCTCTTGAGCTAGACGACGAAGTCGATGCCGAATTTGCCGAAATGCATGGCCACAACTTTCTGGGCATGCCTGATTTTGTTCATCCATACATCCATTTTCATCATCTCCACCACCTTCACGATGACCCCACAGACCACTCGGAACTCTCGAACTCAGATGCTAGCGAGATGAATAGCGAAAGCGATGATGAGGATGGTGGCTCGTTGGCAGATTTCGTTGCCCCGGATGACGAGGAACCGATACGTAGACCTGGTCGGCAATCAAACATCAGAAACCATCGCGAAGCTATCGCAATATCAGATGATGATTCAGATGAGGGTGGTGCTGTGTCAAATCGCATACCCCGGCGTAGAGCTCGGGTATCGGGAAGCTCCAGTCCTTCGCCTCCTTCAGTGGTGACCGTGACGGACGTGATGGACAATGACCCAAACGAGTCGGACATCGGTGACTCAAACAGCGAGGCAGATATGTTACGACACGCTGGGTGGAGCCCATTAGACCAAGAAAATGATAGTGATGTTGATGATCCTACCCGGTTTCACGACAGATATGGGTATGGCTATGGAGATACTGAGGATGATCAAGCTTCGGATGATGATAGCGATACACAGACAATGGTTGGCAATGGGGGCTCTGATGACGAGGACGGTGGTCGTTCCCGTGAGGAATTTTCAGAAACACCGACATACGATGACTCTGCTTATCCTCCTTATATTCCGCATGAACACGCACCAAACAACTACTCTAGCTTCGACGAGGAGGCAACCAATTATGGTTCAGAAGCGGGCTATTCAACTACCTACGATCGGGATGGCGATACTGAAATGAGTGTTTCACCCCGATCAAGCGTTAGTGCGAATGTCGCAGGCGAGGGAGCATACGGCAATCCACTGAGCATCAGCGAGGAATCCGGTTCAGAACGCAGCATGAGCCGTAGCACGAATGGGACTCGACCAGAAGCTTATCAGCACGAAACGGGTCAAAACCTTGGCGTTGCCAACCAAATCCACGAAATCGAGGATGATTCCGACGACAATCCTATTCGCCCACCACCCCGGCGACTTCCTCGACGTTATCATCCAAATGCGCGGGTGCAACAATACGATCCTAGGATTAGTTTGATTTTCGCAGAACACCAGCAAAGTATGAGGGGAACCCAGAGCCAGCAACAAATGGGGTTGGATGAGCTGGACACTGAAGTCCGGAGGGTCGAACCTGCATCCAGGGCAAGGCGCCTGACTGCATATCGAGTGCTACCACCACGCCTCGTTGATCCTCTGAGGAGCTCTCGATCGCCTTCTGCGACAAGAGTTATTGCTTCGTCCGGTAGGACCTCACGACCCAATAGATATTATGTTCCAAGCAGACGATAGACTTGGAATGTGCAGCTTTTCAGATTGAATTGGTATTAGCATGCTAGGTGTTTGGGACATCCTGGCGTTACTCGGACTTCGGGATAGGAAAATACCAGGCCACAATATGCCGTATGAGGCGTTACTTAGCATAGCTACGGAATAGACATACATAGGGATTACTCTAATTTGCAACTTTTCATAATACAATATTCACAATCTCTACCATGTACCACGTGAAATGACCCATCGCCACTTCGTACGTGATGCAGCTGACAAATACTTCTGCAACACCAAAATTCATGGGATGTGCATAGGTAGCTAACCCTGATAGTTAGCGTCAGTACTAACTGTCCTGGAGGTCTGGACACCCGGTGGGGTGACACGAGCAGCTAGCTGGTGACTAACTATCTCAAAGGGTTCTAACCATCATTTGTGTTTCCGTGGTAGAATGGTTGTAGCGGCCACTACTCACTACACCTAATACAGTTATAAAATTGTAATAAATGATGGCTAGCTTTAAAGTTGGTAATTACCGGTATTGGACAAACTTAGGCTGTAAATTCTAGTGGTGATCGATTTTCCCATAAGTGAGAGAGTTGATTATAGAAATGGACAGTACAAGTTACAAATTCCTGTTGCAACCTCGTTTCGTGCATATATCTATTTTCTATCTGGGTTATTATACAAGTCTATACTGCAACTAAATTACCCCTTGATTATATTGTAACTCCGTTTCCCATAGGCTGTAGCAAAGTAATACAGTAGAGGCGAGGAGCCACGAAGTAAGACAAATAACTCTCGGGTGTTGCAATCAACAACCAGAAAGCATGCAGAGATCAAAATTAACTTAATAAATAGTTTATATAACTAGCGATGGAAATATGGCGTGATTAAGGGCATTGCCGCACTTGCGACCATCATAGTACCTATAGTCTCTATTTAATATACCTCCTATCCATGGCTCCGGGCCCAGATATCTATCTCTAAATGATGTTAGCACCCCCTATTCCACTTTAAAATACCCATTTGATGTGTTTATACTAAAATTCTCCTTACCTGAGGGCATATAAGTGTAGCTATTGTTTATCAACCCCCTTTTTAGATATTTTATAGCCATGAAAGTGGAAGTTTGCCACTGTCCAAGACGCTAGTGTGTAATTAAATGTGACCCGTTTCGAGCTTTCGGATACGCTCCTTTGCAAGGTAGTTTGCCAGCCCTATCGCGTTCCTACTATCCCAATTGGCACGCCGATTGGAACGATGCCCTTGTGCAATAGAAGCGCCCGTAGAGCACGAGAATATCAGTGGTGACTGATGTTTAGGAGAGGCTGATCGTTTGGTTCCTCAAGACCCAAGATAAAATAACGAAGGAGTATAATTATTAACCCGATCATTCTACTTCCACAGATTGCTTAGAAATAATGTCTCCGTTGGCATGAAGAGTACATGTTGTAGCAACACGCGTTTGCTATAAAGTAATAGTTTGGAGTGTGTCAACTTGAATCGCATTTTGTTAGATGCAACTAATTTATGGTTCCTGTTGGACATGAGATGGACCTCCCGAGACTTGAACCTAGGGCTCAAAATAGATATGAGAAATGTATTGGCTGATCTTATTAAAATACCTTTTTAAAAGGGCAAAAGGACATCGTCAACCCCTATCTCTTCCCCACTAGCACGTAGGAAACGGGTAGAGACTCCACACATGTACCAGGAAAGGGCTCACCTGAAGACAGGAAGTATATTGTTTATTAGAGCCCCTTTTTGGCTTCTTGATATGCTGATGAAAGAGAGGGAGTACTGTTCGAGAGTCCAAGTCTCAAATTCATATAGGAATAGCGACCTCCATCTAATCTCTGTCCTCGACACAAGCTTTTAACATGATGATTTCCAGTTCTTTCTCACCCATTTTCTCCCTCGATATGCAGGATTGGACGTATAATAGCACGCTTTCGCTAGCGAACCGCTTGCTTGAAGGCACTTCTACAAAGTAAGTTACCACTTGCGCCGGTGATGGGAGTCTCCGTTCAAGGACCAGGTTGAAGTGGACACCTGACGTGATGTCAGATAACAGGGTATAGAGTGTGGGTATAAAAGGCTGCATGCGCCCTCTCTTGATGGGCCTTGAGGATATATATGGTGCTGAATGGGTTCCACGCCCTAGGCTTGTGCATATATCGCTTCTTGAGCTTGTTTCTGGATGGATGCCGAGAGGCGGGATGACGTTGTTGGAGACCCAGTGTCTCCAGGATATACGAGAAGTGAGAAGTTACTTAACCTCATCCTTAGAGGTACCTTCTGTCACTTGAGGTTGTGTACAGCAAATACAATAATTATATAGTTCAAAAAGAAATAATTTTGCCTTCATCACCGTCATTGAAAACGCTCGACACGAAAATGATTAGGGTTATCCAATGGTTCCGATATGCGCTCTATGGAACATACATGCATACAGCCATAAGTGTCTTGTCCGCTCACGATCGAGGAGAACAATGGGGCAATGTTAATATCAACGTCGACGCTAAGGCTCCAAGCAAATCTTCTTGACGTCAAACCGCGATGTTGTCGTGATCATCATCAGCGATCTCGTCTTGGCAGCGGCTGGCTGCAGATCAGGGGTAATTACCGAGGATCGTCAGGGGTTAATTTGACATTGTAGCGATCGCTTTCAACGTCAAGCCAAGAACAAAGCATTCAACAATCATGAGAAGAGCGTATGTTCCTTGAGTCTTGGTGTTTGCAATACGTTGAAGTGTTTCACTTGGTGGCCGTGAAGCTGCCTTGCAGTTCATACCCTATCAATAGCAGCGACCAAGCTGGTTTGACTGCTGCGATGCGACGGAAGCCTTGCTCCCTGAAAGTTCATGGGATACTTATTAAGCAATCATTTTCCTGCTTCGAACTCTGCTTACATATGCCGAGCTTTCCAGGCTGTGTTTATGTAAGAAAGGGAGTATGATGTGTGGGGTGCGGACCGGGGCGACAGAATCCATTTTTTCTGGGGACACGAGCCCTTATTTTATATGATTATTTTCTGTACCGTAGTAGCTGTACAATGTGCGCTGGCACACACTGGCACACGTTCTTGAATATAATTGTATTCCTCGCGCGAATACCTCCTTCCCTCTATGTATTATTGTAATCTTTATGCAATTAATTTACTTGGAAAGAGCCATCACTGTGGTTGCCTCATTCTGCAAAGCCTGCTGCGCCCGGCGGGTGTCCAGACCACTAATTTTTATATACACTATGATATATACCCCCAAAATTACCAACATATCATCGTATATAATTGATGGGCATTTGTCCTCGCATCCCTTCTTCGCATTTTCGGCCAAAATACCCCAGCCAACCCCCAGGGCGGCGTGGGAGGTCCTCTTCGGCGAGCATCAAAGATAATATCCATCTCAAAATATTTGGTAATTGGAACTCAAAAAAAATACCAAGATGGAAGCTCTCTATTTCGTATAGTTCCGGTAACCAATAGGTTCACTTCCCCATCATCGCCGCCTTTGCTTTCAATTTCAATGCTAGGTACCAAGTAGCGCCTGACATGTTAGCCGCCCAGCGCCTAGCCTAATCAGTCATACCCATCTACTTTCTTGTCAATTCCAGCCCGACCTCACTCCTACTCTACGCACGCTAGTCTCAATCTATCAACTACCTACCATGATTCAAGAGGTGGGAATTATAATTATTGCGTCATCGCCCCTTTCAAACTCCTGCCTCGTTCTTGCCTAACGCACCGGGGGACCCAACTTTCCACTCCTTCTATCGAATAACTCCCGCTAAATTTTGGCAAGGACGATGGCATCGATGAATTGGTCGAATTGGGAGATGAAATTCTTTGATTTCCCTTTATGACTTTTCTGTAAAGCCTGCGTTTGAGTTATAGGTATATAGCTAGCAGTTAGATCGGTTTTTATATCCGCATTTTAGCTAAACTCTTTCCCCACAGCTGCCCCGCCAGTTCCTGAATTCAGGGTCGAAGACGGCCCTAAAGGGTGTTTCTCTCATTTATCCCGTCATTATTCCTCGTCTAGGACTGCATCTAAGCTAGAAGCAGGCGAACTAATTCTACAAAACAGTTCTCATTCGCTCAACCACGGATCGAGGCTTTACTTCTCTGGTATCGGGAGTCCCTGGACCAAATTGATTGCGAAGTTAGTCATTACGACGGGAGTCAGGCCCGCTCTACTGTAGTTCGTAGGCGGGGTCTGGGGATAAAGGGGGGAGGTAGTTCCTCAGGAAATGGGATTTCTCCATCCATCTTACACATCACAACATCTTAACATCTGACACTTCTGAGGACCTCAACTCTGTAAATAACTCACACGTTCTTCATAACTCACATCCTCTGAGTACCTCCCAACTTCCAAATCCATTACACTCTTTAAACATTCTCATACTCTACCTCTCATAATGTCTTCCCCACACATGCATCGGCAATCCAAGCCTGGCAAGCAACAATCAACCCCTCCTCCCAATAAGCTGGTCTCCACTGGGATGCAACAACAACTATCAATTCCTTTTCCTTCTTCTTCTGATAGCCTCCTCACTGGGGCGCCACAACAACAACCCACCATGGGGCAATACCAGCAGTCCCAGGGACAATTCATGGAGTTGTCACAGCACGCAGGCTACGGCCAATTCCCCGTGCTCCACCACCAAAACGGGCCAATGCCACAGGCACAGTTCCTGGGGTTCTCACAACCCACTGGATACCCACAGCAACAACTCATGGGGTATCCTCAGGGGCAATTCCCATTGCCCCAAGTATATCCAACGGTCCCAGCATACACGGAACACATGCAATCCTCCTTCCCACAGCCTACGAGCCTGCAACAACCCTCGCTCGAGCCATCTTCCTCCTTGGAGCCACCTGCAAAAAGGCCCCGTCTGGGCATCAAAAGACCCGTACCCGGACCCGGACGCCGACCACAACCCTCTCTCCGGCAATCTTCCTCCCCCTCGCCCCCAGCGAAGAAACTGGGTATCAAAAGACCCGCCTTCACCAAAAGGCAAACTTCATCCTCTTCGTCCTCCTCAGGGCCATCCAAACCTCACGCCTGCGCTCCAGCTCCGCGACACCGCCACTGTGGCCACCACAGTTCCACCTGTCCGCGCCGACGGCAACCCTCTTCCAGTGACTCCTCCTCGGAGCAGGCCGCGCCGCTACAACGGCGCCGACACACACCTTCTCTTCCTGCGCCGGCAATTCCGCTGGCGCCGAACTCTGCTGCTCTGGGCCCGCCACGGCAGAGACATCTTTTCGTTTGGCCGAAGGTGTAAGTTCCCCTTTGCTTGTAGCTTCTTTCTTTGGTTGTGGTATGGAGTTTGATGAAGACGTACCAAGTTGGGAGTTAGCGAGGAGTGAGTGGGCATAGTTGTCTATGACTTAATTTAGGTTGGGACGTTCAACGAAGCGTGCCTTCCTTCACAAAGTTTAAATCACTCACTCAAGATGGGACATCGCCATCAAACATCACGTGCTTTCCCCCCTTTCCCCTTTCTCCTTTTCTTCTTCCTTCCTTCCCTCCTCTACCCTCATACCACACCACCACCACCACCTAATACAAAGAACCCGTAACTAACTAACTTCCGCTCACAGCCTCGACCGCACCATCGGCGAAGAAACAAGTTCAAAGGTCTCCCGCCGACCGGGACCTATGAACCCGCCTCTCCAGCCAGACTGGAACCAGCGACAACAGATAAGTCATCTCCTCCCCAACTCGCTCTTCGGGTGTAACAACCTCCCGATGAAGCACCCTCTCCTCCCCCCCACTCATACCACCGCCCCCGCTGCCGCTACCACCGTTGCAGCCGTCCCCGCAAAGCCACCTAAGAGCGGGCCTCAGCCCAGCGACACGGACATGAACAACGACCACCTTGTGGACTATACGTCAGACTATGGCATGGGGGAATTTGGGACTGCTTCTGTGCAGATAGGGATGGAGATGGGGACGCCGGATGATCCGTGTGGATTGCTGCCGTATCTCGAGGAGTGCGAGGGGCTGTTTTTGGAGGACACGACGCTTTGGGGTATGGAGATGGGGAAGTAGGGCTTGTGTTTTGGGGTTCTTTGGGGGTGGGGCTGGAGTTATATGGACTGGGGTTTCCTTTCTTGCTTTCCTTCTTGCATTGTATTGTATCGCACCGCATTGCATGTACACAAATCCATACATACATAAGATGACAAAAAAAAACGAATACACGAAACAGCATTGTCATTATCATCCTCGTCCCACTATCATTTCATTAGAAGTGCTAAGTAAATTTCCTCATGGTATGTTTGTGTGTATGTGTGTATGTTTGTTCGCCATTCATTCGACATAGAAATACATACATATATATTCCTTTCTTCGCCGAACGAGAAAAAAGATAGTTTTATTATAAAACCTTGCGCAAAGTTCAGAAACCAGACCCGGGGGAAAAAAGCAATAGATAGATAGATTAGAAAAAAGCGAGGCACGAGACGAGCAACATTTCCCATCACATTTCATATTTTCATTTGTTCTTTCTTAAAAGTAAAAACTTTGGGGGGTTCATTTTCATATTCCATTCTTCTACTCATTCGCTAAATATTTCATTTATAAAAACAGGGAAACAAGGGCGACTACATTCGTTCGCTCATCAGTATCATTGGGGTGGGTGGTTGCGTTAATCTACTCGACGGTGACGGACTTGGCCAAGTTGCGAGGGAAATCGACGTTGAGGCCCTCGGCGACGGCTAGCCAGTACGCCATCAGTTGGAGGGGAATGACGTTCAGGAGACCTTGGAGACAGTCGACGGTCTTGGGGATTTCGATCTTCTCCGCTTGACCGGCCTTGAACTCTGGGTCGTTGGGGTTGCAGATGACGATGGGTCTGCCCTTGCGAGCGATGACTGTGAAATATTAGCAAATGAACCAATATATTTGATTTACGGATGGGAATATACATACCCTGTTGGTAGGCGTTAAGGGACTTGGGGAAGATGTTATCACGGGTGAGAATCATAATGATAGGGAGATTTTCGTCGACCAAAGCCAAGACGCCGTGCTTGAGTTCACCAGACATGACAGCCTCGCAATGGAGGTAGGAGATTTCCTTGATCTTGAGGGCACCCTCCAGAGCGGTAGAGAACTGGCTGCCTCTGCCCAAGAGCAACAGACTCTTCTGGTCCTTGAACGTTCTGGCGCACAATTCCTTGATTGGCTGGTCGGTCTTCAGAACCTCCTTGATCTGCTCTGAAATCTTGCCTAGACCTTCCATGATATCCTCGCGTCTCTTTTGCTTCGATGCCCGGTCCTCGCTCAAAGATAGCGCGAACATGATCATTGCAATGAACTGCGATGTGTACGCCTTGGTGGAGGCAACACCGATTTCAGGACCAGCGTTGACGTGGACACCGCAGTGGGTGAGGAGAGAGATGGAAGAACCAACAACGTTGACAATGCCCACGGTCAACGCACCGCGCTCCAAGCAGTATCTCAAGGCCATGAGAGAATCAGCCGTCTCGCCGGATTGGGATACGAAAACGCAAGTGTCGTCACGGAAGACTGGGGCCTGTCGGTCGAGGAAATCGGAGGCTAACTCAACAGAGATGGGAATCTCGGTCAACTCCTCAAAGGCACCACGAACAGCCATGCAGGAATGGAAACTCGTTCCGCAGGCGATGAATATGATCCTTCTACACCGGCGGATGGTGGTTATGTATGATCTTAGCCCACCAAGAGTGACGGTCTTGTTCTCGACATCGAGACGTCCTCTCATGGTGTTGACCACGGACTCTGGCTGCTCGAAGATCTCCTTCTGCATGAAATGGTCGAACTTGCCCTTCATGATTTCTTGGAGTTCAAGCTCAAGCGTTTGGATTGTTCGAACGTTGGAGGAACCATCTGATTTTGTAAGTCTGTGGATGTTCAGGGAACCTTCGTGAATATGGGCAATATCATCATCCTCGAGGTACATGACCTTCTTTGTGTGCTCCACAATGGCGGAGGGATCAGACGAGAGGAAGAACTCAGTTGGCATGGGTGCTCCGTCGTCTGTCATGAAAGCTCTTGACTGAGAACGGTGCAGGAGGGACTTGTCTGGGGGTGCGAGAAGGGTGGCAGGAGTTAGCAAATCACCGCTGGCCTTCTTCAGGGCTACATTTTGGGATGCTGTCTCGGCGGGTAATGGTCCATCCTCAGTGAATTCCACATCGACGAAATCAACCTTCATTCTCCTCTCTGTCCGTACGCCAATAACCAAAGGCGAGCCTTTTCGTGCCGCAATGACTTCGTGGGGGTAGTGAACGGACTTCATCAGGAGACCGAAAGCTCCCTGCAGCTCCTTGATGACGGCCTTTGCCAAGTCCGTGAAACCGACTGACGGGTGCTGGTCGTAGAGGTATTTGGCCAGCTTGGCAATACATTCTGTGTCGGTCTGCGTCTCGAACTTGAATCCCTTGGACTCCAGGAGGGTCTTAAGCTCCTTGTAGTTGGTAATGATACCATTGTGCACCACGGAGAACTCCCAGTTGGGATCGGATCTAGATTTACCTGTTAGTGCTGGCTGACACATACAACGGCACACCATTTGGACGGAATTACCTGTGAGGATGGCAGTTGAGGCGGGATGGGGGACCGTGAGTCGCCCATCTCGTGTGGGCAATACCAGCGTGTGAATCGAAGACCTTGGTGAGATCTGGCTTCTCGGTCTCAATGAGCTCCTTCAACTTGGCAACCTTGCCGACCTCCTTGAATGCAAACACCTCATTCTTCTTGTCTCCGTCGATTGCGAGGCCCGCGGAATCGTACCCACGGTATTCGAGTCGCGAGAGGCCATTGACCAGGGTATCGAGGATGTACTTCCTGTCCTTCTCTACCAGGTAATTGATGCTAGAGGGGGATCAGTCAGCACGGGGATTAATTGGTATTCTGTGTCGTAGCTAGGTACGTACTATCCAAAGATGCCACTATTTCCAAAATGTTAGCTGTGGTTGCTCTGCAGTTGCGTAGGGGGGTTTGTTGTGTATACGTACCACATTTTGACGGGGCGAGTAACGAGGGTATCAGCGGGGTTCTTTGTGCTTCTTTGTTGTGAACGAATGTACGGTGAGGATAAGCTTGTGCGGGGTTGGGGAGCTGGGGGATTCGTTGATGATGCGGCGATGGGAGAGGAATAGGAGGAGGAAGAACAAGAAGATAGAGAATTGAGGGAGCTGAGGTGTGTACTTGTAAGAGCGAGTGGATTATTATATTGGAGGAGGAGGAGGAACCGGAGGAGGAGTAGGTTCGTTTGCTGACGGGTTGTTTTTGTTTCACCTCACGTTTTGCACACCATTGGCGAATGCCCGCCTGTGTGCTACTCGTACTACGGGGGCTACTACAAGTACCTACCGACAGGCTATGGTGCAGTGTGCTACTACACGCCGCCACCACCTATTGACCGGGCATGTCCTGGGAGCTCTGGAAGCTTGGCCGGTGGAGCGTGGAGCGTGGAGGGTGTATCGGGGCTGGGCTGGAGACTATGGGCTCTGGGCTACGGGCTCTGGGCTTTGTCTGTAGGGGCTCACCTGCTAAAATGCATAAGCCACCGCCGGCAAGGCTCTCTTTTGCGGCTTAAGCCAGGGTTGCAAGTTGGTACATATTGAATACATATATTACTTCGTACCATAACCTCCATACTGTACAAGCAGCATCTATATCCTAGTTGTAGTCGTAGTACTTCGTAGCAGTAGCTAACCTGGAGCTTCCAAGTTTCCCCCCCTTCCATCGCCGCCCTAAGTTCCCTCACACCAGGGAAGCGTCAGGGGCAGGAACAGGAACAGGCTCTCAACAAACTCCCACTACACTACGGCTCTTCGGTGATCCGCTACGGCCACTCTAGCCTCTTAGCAGCGTCTAAATATAACGACTTCGACGTAGATCAACAGGGGCCCCTTATCGTATCCTCGAAAAAGACCCTCCATCGTACGAAGCACGTAGCAATTGGTAAGTATTCTCTGTGGACGAGTGCAATAAGGCTTGGGCTCCCTAGACTCCAGCCTCCGTATAGTACCCACGATGACGTGCCGGATCCGGCAGTCAGTCAAAGTTTGGTCGACACAGCCCCCCCCTTTTGTTCTTGATGCTTGGGGTCTTTTGTTTACTACGTAGGTATCCACGGACTACCTAGGTAGATGCGCCACTTGTGCTCGTGCGCTTCGGAGAGAACGAGAATTAATTCGTGTTTAGCCTCGTTTCCCGACGCAGCCAGCCGCTGTTTGCATGCGTCTACTACACAGCAGCAGTCAGGGAACGGGGGGTGGGGTGGAGTTCGGTATACATACTGTACATAATGCACCTCTATAGAGTCAGTGAGTGGGAGTAATAAGTGATTATTGAGTGACGGAGTGACGGAGCAAGCAACTGAGAGCTTCGGCGCGGCCGCCGTTGCATAGACGGGCTTGTAGGCTTCCGTCCGAACGACGAATAAGAGTCTACCCAGACTTGGTTTGATATTCTGCATCGATGCTGCAAACTGCCATGGCAGCCACATTGAGAGTACACCGCCATTTGCGAATATATGATATGGTTGATTGGCATAGGAAACGAAGTGCTGGAGGATGGGTTGGCGTGGCTTAATACTTGGTACCTAACATACATAGTTGCGGCATGCCGCAGTTGCTACAAACAGAAAGAAAGAACCCAAGAGTCGCGTCCCTAGTAAGGCTGTGTGTGTGCATTTCTAGATGATACCTATTGTACAAACAACCCAGAGGCCATACTCCCCAACACAGCAAACACCACCTTCCTGGTCTAGAGCTTTTGGTATTCAAGCTTGCCCTCCAGCTTTTTCGATTCGGCCACCTTCCGGACCGCCTTGTTGAAATCATCTTGGTTCACGGCATCTCGGTAGTCCTTGATTGCGAAGAGCCCACTGCAGTTAAACATGTTAGCACGAGGGAAAAGGTCCTAAAAGGTGCTCGCGGGTAACTTACGCCTCAGTAACCACGTTTCTTAAATCAGCCCCATTAAGTCCATCACTCATCTTCACAACCGTCTCGAAATCAATTTCCCCTTCCGTAACAACACCGGCAGCATGGATCTTCATGATCTCTAACCGGCCGACTTCGTTTGGTAAGGGGATCTCGATCTTCCGGTCAAGACGCCCAGCTCGCAGAAGCGCCGGGTCAAGGGTGTCCGGTCGATTCGTTGCCATGATGATTTTCGTCTTTCCCAGGTAATCGAAACCATCCAGCTGGTTAAGCAGCTCCATCAACGTCCGTTGGATCTCGCGATCGGCTGAGGTACCTTCTGAAAACCTTCGGCCTCCGATAGCATCAATCTCATCCATGAAGATGATGCACGGCTCGTGCTCCTTGGCATACCCGAACATCTCTCTAATTAGACGTGCCGATTCTCCGATATATTTGTCGACAATAGCAGATGATACGACTAGAAACCGTCAGCAAAGCCAAATCGAGAACAGCATAGGCCAAAGTACCTTTTAAGAAATTAGTCTCTAGGCCACTGGCAACCGCTCTCGCCAGTAAAGTCTTCCCCGTCCCGGGGGGACCGTATAATAGAACACCCTTCGGGGGCTTTATCCCTACTCGCAAGAAGAGTTCGGGGTTCTTCAGCGGTAGCTCGATAACCTCTCGCAATTCTCTGATCTGCTCATTCAGCCCTCCAATGCCACCAAAACTGACCTGGCCGGGGTCTTCTAGCGACATGTTGTAGACAAGGGGGTCGACTTCTCGAGGTAACATCCGCATTATTGTGAGGGTGGTCATGTCGAGAGCAACCCGGGTTCCTTGCTTCAGCGCCACCTTGTCCACCTTGGATCTGCACCCGACGACATATCGAGGGCCGGATGAAGCTTTGACGATGACTAGCAGATGCGGTGTAAGCTCAGGGAGGTTTGGTGCTCTGGACAGCTACTTACATCTCTCATCATCAAGTTGTTTTAGAACCTCCCCAATGATCTGCCCAACGCTCTGTAACGCCTTGATATTGTCCTCCGTTTGGTCGAAATCCTTCTGCAGGCCCTTGATATCCTGCCGTAAGTTCTTCAGCTTTGCCTCCCATTCTCTCGATTCTAGCAGCTTCGTCTTGAACGATGAGAGCGCTTGGGCACGCTCCTCGTCGGCCATGTCTGAGTTGGGAGGTGGATGGGAGGGGCGAGGTTATTAAATATAGGAGAGGCGGAATCGGCTGGGAGTTATTTGGGGTGGATGGGTGCTGTTGTTGAAGGATACGGGGGATTTTGTTGATGGTGGTGATGGATGGCCTTCGAGAACGCGAAGCTCTAGCTGCCTGAGCAGGGCCACGGTCTGATATGATCCTGAGGCATCAATGTCAAAAGTTACGTCATCACGTGGTTCTCGGTGCTGACCATCACGTGATGAGCTACATTGTACATTCAATTCTCTCCCACTGAATTCTCCCTGTTAATAGTGGTTTGGGAACCAGAGAAAAACTTGCTGATATTGGAATGTTTATTAGAGTAAATATCTTTGGCTGCATCCCATAGCGCTCCTATGTCGCTCTACGACGGGCGTTGGTTCGCCCTATCGTGCACTATTGACTGGCGTCGGGCCGTTAATAATGCTCCTTGAAAATTTGCAACCTTGATAAGAAGTCAAAGCCAGAGTCATATGAAAGCTACCTATGTGCAATACGCCGTACGAACTCTTGGCTATTTTGAAAAATTGATTACATGCCTTAGTATGATTAGTAAGGGATTTACGCAGGATGGCGAGTAATAGGTACAGTAGCCTTCTGTGAAATCTAATGACGCATACTATGCCAATTCTCCCAACAAAGATGGGAGCATCCATACCTATCGTACTCACTCCGAGACTGTAGTACTTCCCCGTTTGCCCAAACCACTAATATCTGGGGGTGCAAACCACCCGAATTACCCCCAAGTCCTGTGATACTGTAACTACCCGTTCACCCTCATCCTCACCGTGTTGATAGAGCACAGCATCCGGCCACATGCCGTCAGCCTTGTGAAGCAATAGGTCACTCAATCACTCAATCACTCAATCACTTCCTTATTAATTATTCCGTCCTCCTCCGGCCGCCGATGTCAGGCGAGTTGGGCAGGGATGGACCAGCGCCGTCCAGCCCACCACAGCTGTCACTGCGGGCTCTGCAGTGCTCATCCTCTCAACGAACGGGCAGAAAAGCACCCCTCCAATATATTACCCCTCCAGCCCTCCAGCCCTTCCCGCGCACACCTTTTCTTACCACACCACACCACAACACAACACAAACCACCACACAACTCCATCTCCATCGTACGTACAATCCTCTTCTATCCCAACCCTGATTGATCTCTCAAGACCAATTGGAGAGACTGCTTTTACTGCGTCCCGCTTTGTATCCATCCCAAACGGCCAAACGGCCAAGCTGCATCTCCGGGTCTCGTCACTCACCCCACTATTTTCTTCATCAACACCGTATTCCCCTCCTCCCCTATTAACTGAGTCCCTGACACCCAATTTTCCCCAGACCCTCAACCCATTCAAGGATACAAATACAAATTGTACGCGCGAGCTTGAACCTGTGTCATCAGCTGATCGTTGCTAACGAAACAATTGATCTAGAAAACACACCATGGCGATCACCAAGATCCACGCTCGTTCGGTCTACGATTCTCGGGGAAACCCTACCGTCGAGGTCGATGTTGTCACCGAGACTGGTCTCCACCGCGCCATCGTCCCCTCCGGCGCTTCCACCGGTTCGTATATCTGCTGCCAGGTTTTATTAGGGTGAGGCTGATTCGAGCTACACTATAGGCCAGCACGAGGCTGTTGAGCTCCGCGACGGAGACAAGAGCAAGTGGGCTGGAAAGGGTGTCCTCAAGGCTGTTGCCAACGTCAACGATATCATCGGCCCTGCTCTCATCAAGGAGAACATCGATGTTAAGGACCAGCCAAAGGTCGACAACTTCCTGATCAAGCTTGATGGAACCCCAAACAAGGGCAAGTTGGGGGCCAACGCCATCCTTGGCGTCAGTCTGGCTGTTGCCAAGGCTGCCGCTGCTGAGAAGGTAAGCTCTCCGTAACTATTCCAACTTGTGGTATTAATTTATCATAGCAAATCCCTCTCTTCGCTCACATCTCCGACCTTGCCGGCACCAAGAAGCCATATGTTCTCCCCGTTCCTTTCATGAACGTTCTCAACGGAGGGTAGGTCATAAGATGAGATACAGATAAGAGAGCCATGGCTGACTAAATGCAGATCCCACGCTGGTGGACGCCTGGCCTTCCAGGAGTTCATGATTGTGCCATCGTGAGTTAAATTTCCCTCGGGTAAAAGAAGCTCCTACTGACATGTGCTCCTTAGTGCTGCACCAACCTTCTCTGAGGCATTGCGCCACGGTGCCGAGGTCTACCAGAAGCTGAAGACACTCGCTAAGAAGAAGTATGGACAATCTGCGGGTAACGTTGGTGACGAGGGTGGAGTTGCTCCGGATATCCAGACCGCTGAGGAGGCTCTTGAGCTCATCACCGAGGCTATTGAGGCGGCTGGATATACCGGCAAGATGAACATTGCCATGGATGTCGCTTCCAGCGAATTCTACAAGGAGGATGCTAAGAAGTACGACTTGGACTTCAAGAACCCAGACAGTGACCCAACCAAATGGATCACCTACGAGCAGCTCGCCGAACAGTACCAGACCCTTGCCAAGAAGTACCCAATCGTCAGCATTGAGGACCCATTTGCTGAGGATGACTGGGAGGCGTGGAGCTACTTCTACAAGACCTCCGACTTCCAGATTGTCGGTGATGACTTGACTGTCACCAACCCCATCCGCATCAAGAAGGCTATTGAGCTCAAGTCCTGCAACGCTCTCCTGCTCAAGGTCAACCAGATCGGTACACTTACCGAGTCTATCCAAGCTGCAAAGGACTCCTATGCTGCTGGCTGGGGTGTCATGGTTTCCCACCGCTCCGGCGAGACTGAGGATGTTACCATTGCTGACATTGTCGTCGGTATCAGAGCTGGACAAATCAAGACTGGTGCACCCGCTCGATCTGAGCGTCTGGCCAAGTTGAACCAGATTCTGAGAATAGAGGAGGAGCTCGGCGACAAGGCTATCTATGCCGGCGAGAAATTCAGAACTGCCGTCAACTTGTAAATCAAGGTGGGACGTATGGGATGCGGCGAACGGTTATGTAGGGATGGTATATGGCTCATCGCTTAATGCGAATGCGAAATGGGAGAGAAAAGTTGCATCTTCTGCTTGCAATAAAAATATATGATTTGCTGTTCAAAGACGCCCTGAAGTCACCGTGCAGTGATATATGACTGTACAGAGTATCGTGACAAGAAAGGAACAAACCAGGCACCGAGGTCGAATTGAACCGTGCCCAATCACTGTGGCGAGCCTGAAAAATGTTGGATGTTTTCCAACCTGGTTAATAAGGCATAAATGCGTTTTCGGTGGCAGCCCGAACAAAAAACCCCTCGGGGCTTTGTCCTCCCACCACAATCCCACAAACGAGTCCGGTTTTACTCCTTCATCACCCAATTTCTCGACCAAACTTCCCTCGACGAGCCCAGCTTGCCTTCAGATAGATATCTACATCAATTCCCGATCCATCCATCGAATTTTATCGTCGCCACAATGGCTGAAAAGTGGGGTAAGTTGTCGCAAATCCCAAATCCCGATACCCTTCGCGCAACGTAATTCATTTCCCGAGTCTTGTCACATTTATCCTGAGCATCAAGAGTATTTCACAACGACAGTGTGTGCGGCTCGGTCCTAGGATCGGCCGTGCAGGAGACTATGCACAATGATGAATTTCTATGGGCTACATTTTGCTGACCGCTACTCAACCGAGCAGATGAAGAAGACGACAGCAGCACGCCTCCGTCCTCACCCCCGGCAGCTGCTACCATTCCGAGACGTAGCAAATTTGACGACGAGGAGGCCGAGGACAGCGACGTATGTTTTCTTCCAACACCCCGGTTTCTTGCACCAAGTCGCTAACACCGAATAGGTTCTAGACAGTTGGTCTGCCGCAGAGGATTCGGAAGTCGAGCGCGAGAAGGCCAAGGTTGTTGCAGAACGAAAGGCCAAGGCTGAGGCTGAGGAGAAGGCAAACAAGAAATCCAAGGCTCAACGCCTCGCAGAGAAGCAAGCCGAGCGCGCCCGCAGACTGGCAGAGGAGAGCGACGAGAGCAGCGAAGAGGATGAGAAGACTCGAAGAGAGCGTCTGCGAAGGACGGAGCAGGATTCTGATCTGAAGCACGCTGAGGATCTGTTTGGCAATATTGGCATCAGCAACAACCGGAAAGTGACTACCGCAGCGAACGCTGTCGTAATCGACGCCAAGGACCCCGCTGCTACCGTCGACCTTACTGCCCTCCCCCTTTTCGACCCAAAGACAAAGCTCCAGTTCGAGAAGATGCGCGATACCCTCGTTCCCCTCATCGGAGGCAACAACAAGAAGGCACATTATACACTCTTCCTGCAAGACTTTGCAAAGCAGTTGGCCAAGGACCTTCCTAGCGACCAGATCAAGAAAATTGCTAGCACTTTGACTGCCCTGGGTAATGAGAAGATGAAGGAGGAGAAGCTCGCCGAGAAAGGAGGCAAGAAGAGCAAGGCTCAGAAGACAAAGGCTACCTTGGTTGCCACTAGGAACGTCGCTACTGGAGCCGACACAAATGCGTATGATGATGATTATGGAGAGTAAGTTTATCCCCATCTCATATGGATATACGAGAGCACACATGCTAACTCATATCAGTGACGATTTTATGTGAGGCGGTCCGTTCAACAACAGTGTCGTACTTGCTTCTTTCCAGAACAACCTCCACCAGCAACACGAAACGCCCTCTGGGCCATCACGACATCATGTCACATCAAAAAGTCGGAACACCACCTCTGTTCACGGCCAACTCTGTGCATCCCAACAGGACATTCAGATATGGTACAGACACCCTTACCATCTCTGACCTGACGGCGGATATCGGAGGAACAAAAACGTGGCAGAAACCGGGGGAGAACGGGGAGTCTGTTTTTTGTCGTTAGACAACAGCATGCAGATACCTATAGAATGCGTGCTTTTGCCTTTGCTCTGCATGGTTTTTTGCTTTATGCTTTGGTTCGGAGACGTAGAGGCAAAGCTGGAGAATGATGATAGCTTGACGATGGATATGATATGAAAAATGCACTCGATATCACGTTTTAACAACTTCTCTCTCTCCTAATCTCGAGTGTCTAAGCTGGCAGGTAGGTAGGTGACGGTTCTCCTATGGCCCGTAGCTCCAAGCACATCATCTTCAAGCAACCATCTCCCTACTACGATGCCTACTTCAAGCTTTATGTTCTACGGAGTAGTAAATATAACCCGACCCCTATCACTTCTCGCCTACCACAGGTACCTGTATCAACACCTACCAACTCCCGAGCCATCAAGTCCTCTCAATCCCTCAATCCCATCCTCTAGCCTAGCCACTCAAATAACCTCCCTACAAACTTCCATCCCTCCGTCTATCTATCCAGTTTTCCCACCTATCTGCCCGAACGCGTCATCTTCAGGCTAAACAGCCCTCTGAAGAAAAAATTCCTGCTTCCAGAACACATATCCCTATCCCATTCCATCATTCATTCATTGTTTCATTCGTCAGCTGCTAGCAAAAACTGGAAAATGTTTTGCCTCGGGCTTTTGTTTGTGCGAGATAATTTGGGTAATGCGTTTGGGGAGGGAGCTGTTGCTTGGCTGCGTTGGGGGAGCTGGCTGCTTTAACGGCTTTGTGGGATGGGTGTGTAGGTATATAGGTATGGTTATAGATGGGTTGGGGGTTTTGCTGGGACGGGTGGTGGGTTATGTGTGTATGTGTTTTGTCATGGGAGGGGGAGAGGGAGGGCGAGGGAGGATGAAGGGGGGATGTGTGAGGGGGTTGTATTTTTTGGTACCTAACTTAAACTATGCATTCCACTGCTTTTAGACCTGTCGGCTTTGGAGCTTGGTTCATGAGAGGAGGCTCATAAGGATTTGGCCGCAGCTGGGAATTGGGTTTTGTGGAGTAAGGGGAGGTGGTGATTGCCCGAGTCTCAGTGTTACGGACGTAGTCTTCTAACTAATAGCTCATGTTTGTTGCTTGGTATTAACTCTGTAGGTCTAGGTTGTTAATGCAGTAAGGCGTTACTTATTTAATGTTAGGTTTAAAGGGAGTAATATTTGAAAATTTGATAATGAGGTAGTCCCGTTTACATTATTATAATCGCTTATTGGAAAAGGGGGAAAGTGGAGAAGACCGAATCAACTCAAGAAGTAGCCAAGCTAGCATATCCCTTGATGATAGGACTATAATATCTAGGATTTAGCAACGGAGAAGAGTAATCTTTTCATATAGATCATAGGGCTCTTACGTGTTTTCCTGGACCTTGTATTTATGCGAATGGTTTTGACCTTTTAAACTCGCTACAAAGTGCACAGTCCCAAAGCCATATAACATAGCCTCCTCGTACTGTATATGTAGGTATATTGCTAATTCTAGTCATGTCTGTAGTCTATATACTTCGGCCACCTATATACAATCATACCGATTAGATCTTGCTCGCGCCCGTCGTACGCTCAGCAGCATTCCGTTCCGCAGAGACAGCCAGAGCAACATGATGACTCAAAGCTACAATATCCCCAGTCTCATCCAAGATAACAACCTCCAGATCCATCCTGCCATTCTTAACCTGCTTAGTCTCGACTCTAACAAAAAGCCACTCTGCGCCCCCCTCCGGAAGCAGCTTCTTAATATCAAGATTCAACAGCACCGTCGGATACCACATCGGCACTCTCTTCGCCACGTCCTGCTGGGTGGCTGAAAGTGTTTCTACGGGCGTAATCCACATATCACACACGAAACCTAGGCTTTCATTCGTCCATTTCTCGCCGCCCTTTAACGTAACCCACTGATCAGAATTCCTTCTAATCGGCTCAACCTGGCGTGGGAGATAGAACTCCATCCTCTGCGTGGCTTTGCGGAAAGGCGCGAACGGCATCTCGGGCAGGTGAAACCAGTTCTTATCTTGGTCCCGAAGTAGCAGGTCGAAGGAAACTGGTAATGGGGCGGGATTGAGACTCCAGGAGGTGGGCAATGATACACCCGTTTCGGTGTGCATGTTGGAGTTGGTGATGTAGCCGACGATTTCTTCTCGTCCTGCTTGCGTGAGCGTGACATGGATGACTGAGGCTTGACGGCCGAGTTTAATGTCACGGACGGTGAAGAGAGCTGGTCCTGCCTGCGTCCGTCGGAGGAAATCTAGATGAAGCGTAATGGTGTGCGGTTGGTTCTGCGCCGCTAGGGTGGTGTTGAAGTGGGTGGATGCTACCCGTTGGAAGATAGATGTCACATAGCCACCGTGGGGTACTGCATGCATGTTAATATCAGGTTCAATTCAGGAGTACTGGGGGACCGTACCGGTTCCTATACACCAGGCGTCATAAAAATGCGATTCATATGTGTGCGATGACAGTTGTTTTACAGCGGTTCCGTCTTCAAACGACTGTGATTGACCTGGGGACACCATGCTGCCTCGTTTTTATAAAAGATTGAACTTCTCAGACCAATAGTAAATGTCTCGAATGGCGACTGGCTTCAATCCTGATTCTGTAGATGTGAAGTTCCAAGTCAATCTTCCGCGGCGGTGCCTGAGATTTTCGACGGTGAGATTCGGATTAATGGTACCCCGATGGAGGATTCGCGTATATACTGGTTGTACAGAGTGTGATATTATCTTGTACAACGTGGGGAATGAGTATAAATACAGCCACTGTGTGCTTCTCTAGTGTTGAACTGCAGTCTCGGTATAGAACGACGATACCCGGAACGATGAAACCTAGAAGCTTCCGAGCCGAGGTTCAGATTTGTACCTGTTTAGTGATACGGAATGGTATCCGTGCCCTTTTAAGCTGTCGAACCATACCAAACCTATAGTGATAAAAAATAATTGTGATTACTGATGCGACCTTGTGATGCCCAATTTCATCGATTTTGGACTTATTTTGGTATGCATATGGATGTTCTTGATATTCGTGGTTGGATTTTGGTTAGAAAGGGTTGCCACGGCAAGGACCCTGGCATCTGATAACCCCTTAAAGTCGGTGATTTAATCTTTCAAGCCTTAGTAATAGGGCACCAGTATGGGAACAGGCGCCGCATACTTGGCTCGAACAGATGGTATATAGTACAAGGGCCCTTTAAAATTATTCTTACCAAACCGGGTTTCACGTCCTCTGTACCTTCACTAGCAAGTTTACGGCACAACTAAATACTAGGGCGCAACCGGAGTACCTAACATTTTATACGGTTTAACTGTACTGTCCATTTAATCTGAGTAATATACAAGGTGCTGAACGCTATCCTCATCTGTGGGATTGTAATTGCGGACGTGGAATAAGAAGGTTATAAAAACCAACCAAGGGGATGGGAAATAACGAGGGAATTGGGAATAAAGGAAGAGAGAAACAAGAGGACTAGAAATAACAACGGGATCAAAAATGAAAACAAGTTGAGCAGTGACAATGGGATTGAAAATGACAAGCGGGGGAGAAATAATAAATCAAAGAACGGAAAGACAGCACAATCCTTAAACTCGGTCTTCTTACCAGATCTGAACTGAGTGCAGCCACCGGCAGGTACCCCACGGGCATGAGCGGTCACCGCGATCTCACGGCCACGACGTCTCCTGACCTGATTGGCTATAGGATGGGCTGTGAAGGATGATCCGACTGGGCGATCAGCATTTCCAGGTGAGCGAGCAGAGTGGAGCAATTGGCCTGTGTTAAAGGTATGGCGGAAGGTGAGAAGTAGGTCGGTTTAATTAGCGGATGCAAAGGCCACTACCAGCCTGACGACGGGTGGGTATGTAAGTTTGGAAAGGGCCAAGGTTGAAACCTTGGAAGCTGGAGGGCCGGACTTGGGAGCGCGCGACAAGAGCTGTTGCAGATTAGCCTTAGCTAAGGAGCCTTCAAGTTAAGGGATATAGGATTACTATACCTTTTGGTTCTGGGCTGCTCTTGTGGCTTTCAGTAGTTGATCTTGGCTGTTGTTTTGTGTGTCTCGTGGAGAGAGGGCGAGGGCTTGGTGATTTAGATCTAGGGCTGATGTGGGCGGTTGTTCTTTGTCGGCGACAGGACGACTTGAGGATATATTCACTACCTTATATACGAGTGATCCCGGGGGGATCGCGTAACACACTCACCGTATAGGTATTTTTTAGCTCTATAGAGCTAGGCCCTATAATAAAACGCTTTCGCAACAACACCAACACTCACAAGGCCACATGGGACGTTTAGTTGATTATTCCCCCCAAACTTCGGAGGACTAGAAGAAGCAGCGGTACGGAGTATGGCGAAGAGATTCACAACGCTAAAGTGGTGATCATGATGATATACTGCGTAGATAAAGATGTGTAGCGTTACATTGCGTATAAACAACCATGCGGCGTGGCTGTGGGTGGCTTGCTGGTGTCACGGGGAGTTCGCAGCAATCAAGTTCTGGTGAGATGAGGGTCGAGGGTCTTGTCGTCTATTAATAGCTCTCTATTAATGGCCAGCGCTGCGGAGGATTTGCGGAGGAGCACTAATGCTGTGGCAACAAATGCGCCTTAGAACGGTGTTTCACAAGCTCAAGTATGGGTACTGTGCGTAGGCATAGGCATAGATGGACCGTATAGTACGGGGTATGTGATGCAATTCACAGCCTCGTTGCCAATGGCACAGCGACCGAGTACGTCAGCATTGCGCAATATAAAACCAGGCAACACGAGAGGTCTTCTGAGAAGAGTTGCCTGTCAGTCTTTTGTGACTAGATCTGAGGGGCAACAGTCTGGAGCAGGGCGCACTTGATTATCTCAGGCGTCTTTTGGCTTTGGCTTTGAGCGGGCAGATTCCGGAGATGAAGCCTTTATATAAACATTATATTAGATGCATGTGCGCAAGTATCACCAAACGGCTTTTTGGGTTCTAATCACCCGTCCCTGCAGCAGGTGGCTACGCTCTATGATATACGTAGCACTACTTAGTACGGTGCTTGAGTTCCGCTGTCGTACGTAGCAACGTCGCCCGGCCAAGCGAGCCAACCCTCGTCCAGTACTGGCGCAGTATTGCAGGCATCGCATCGCATCCTATTTCCTTTGCACGCCGGTACTTCATACATCTAGGATCACTCACCGAGCAGCCCTCCCGCGGAAGCATTCTTTCTTTGGATATCCCATCATTCCATCCCAGCATATCCCTAGATGCTATTGAATACTACACCAACAGCGTTTTATCGCACCTCCAGAGCCAGAGGCCCAAGTGCCTATAACCCAGCCCTCCCAGCGCCTCTTGGTGGGGTAAACCGACCTCACGATGGGCAATGTGAGCAGCAGGCCCGACGAGGCGGCGGCGGCGTTGCATCTTAGGGACCAGAACCGATGTCAGTATAGCCTGGCCTGTGACGGGAAGGTTCACCTGTTATTGCAGATAGTAATGCTTTGTCTGATCTAGTGACGATATCCTCCTTGACCGTCACAAACTCTCGACGCCGAACTGTCCTCCACGTCGTCCCAAACGCATTTCCAGCAGCGAGAGTCTCAGTAACTCGCGATCTTGGGGATAGCAGCCCCATCGAATATGTCCAGGTATGCTATATGGCTACGTACCCTGCCGTGTTCGCATATCTATTACAAAGAGCTTGCGATCGCGCCGTCTCAGTCGTCCACAAACTAACAGCTTGCCCCCCACAGGACCCTGATCAGATACCAGGCGCAGCCTCACCAAACTTCCTCCTCAAGCTCCACAATGACGAGGAACTTACATTCAATTTCACATTCATAATTCGGCAAACTCACCAGGCTGCCCAAGGCAACACTAATCAGGAAGCCTCAGTCGGTTCCCTTGATACTATTATAAATGGCCTTACATATGTATCGGCCTCCACGGCGAGAGAAGTCGAGACTCTGGTTACCCGGGAGTTCCATGCCGACCCAAATTTACACAAAAATGCCAATGTACAACTGGTAGGGGATTATTCCACCGGTGGAAGCCAGTCAGTATCATTTGAATGGTCATGGAAATGGAGACCGCCAAAGCCGGCCGAGGACAGAGGTGGCGGCTGGAGAAACAGTTGCAGCGTATGTGACATACAAGAACTATCAGAACTGATTTGCTAACTAGCTACAGTTCGTCGAATATGATCAACGAGCGCATCGATTAAACACACTTGCTAGCTTTTCCTTCTGGGTGTCAAGTAATGTCTCCCTTGGCCAGGCGCTTGATCCCGAAGCTAATTTTCTATATAGACCCCTCGCAATACCTTAGTCAACCTAACTCCCCTTCTCCCCATTTCAGCCTCGTTCCTCCTCCGAAGCTCCGAGCTCCATCGTCGCAGTCTATGGATTCCAGATTGAGTACTGGGGATATGCGCGAATATGACGAGCCTCCGTCCCCGGGCATGCCCCCGATTGACAATACTGCTGGGATTGGCCAGCTGCCGCAAATCGATCCGGTCAAGGTCGATATCTCCTGTCAACGTCCCGGTGAAGATATGAGCGCTACTGAGGACGGCCCGCTGTTTCGAGCTACGATGAAGTCGCTGGAACAAAAGACTGGAAATATGCGGCAACGTATGAAGAAGGTTTTAAAGAGGGCAGAAGCCGCGCATACGGCACAACTCGAGTGTAATGAAGCTATTGCAGGATTCATGGAAGCCCTTCAAGAAGCTTCTTTTTCCAACGCAAACGCAGTCCAACCGGCCCTAGAGCACTACTTTGACAAGATTGCTCGGGAGATATTGCAATATGAAAAGCAGAATAGTGTAAATTTGCAGAAGATTATTATCGACCCTCTTACAAAATTATACAACATCGATATCAAGCAGGCCGAGGCTAAGAAGCGGGATTTTGAAGAAGAAAGCAAGGACTACTATGCCTATGTGTCCCGATACCTAGGCCAGCGAAACGATTCCTTGAAGGAGAAGAAGCGGGCTGAAAGCGACTCGAAATACCAGACCAAGCGCCGAAATTTCGAACTGAAGCGATTTGATTATTCATCTTTCATGCAAGATCTTCACGGTGGTCGCAAAGAGCAGGAAGTGTTGTCACATCTCACCAAATATGCCGATGCGCAGACGAAAAGTTATCTTGCCACCGCAGAAAAGGTCGAGCAGATGTTACCGCAGCTCGATGCGCTGAGCAACGAAGTCCAACAGGCAGATAAGGAATTCCAGTATCAGCGGACTGAACGCGAAGAGAAGCGCCGAAATCTTGAGAAAAGTACCGTCACTTATGTAGAGCCAGAGACAGTGCCAGTTGTTGGGGTCATCCCGCCGACTCCAAACGCCACCACCAGCGCCTCTCATGTTGGTTCCGATTCGGACCTGGGCCGGTCAGATAGCACTGCCTCTACTCTTCGGCAAGTCTCCATAAATGGCGCATCCATGGCACAGGCCGCCAACAGCAGCGCCGCTGAGTTTTCTCGCTCTCCTGGTAGCCTTACCTCAAATATTGGGTCTATCAACAGCCCTGGGACCAACTCGAAGTTTAGAGGGATCCGAGATCTCGAAGAAAAAGACTATTCCCAAATCTCAAATAGCGATAAGAATGGTACTCAGCGGAAAGAAGGACTTCTGTGGGCCCTCAGCCGACCTGGTAGCCATGCGGACCCCAGAGGTTTGAATAAGCAAGCTTGGCATAAGTGAGTCTTGTAAATATCAGCCCCCCGATCAGTTATACTAATTGGATATAGGTTTTGGATCGTTCTTGATGCGGGTAAACTGTCTGAGTATAGTAATTGGAAACAGCGTCTTGATTTACACATGGAACCGATTGATCTTAGGATGGCGTCGGTTCGTGAAGCGCGGAATGCCGAGCGAAGGTTTTGCTTCGAGGTCATTACGCCTCAGTATACCCGGGTTTATCAAGCCACTTCCGAAGACGATATGAATAATTGGATATCTGCGGTGAATAATGCTATCCAGGGCGCAGTGGAAGGTCGAGGCGCTCGAGCCTCGCCCAGTCTGCTGCCGACTCAGCCGCCAGAGAAGAGCTCGATTCGAAGGGATATAGGCTCTATCTTGACTGGCAAGAGCTCTTCTATGAATTATGGCAATCCCCATGCTACCAACCATGGTAATGCAGCTGCAAACAGCGTCTTTCGACGAACTACAGTCGGCGCCAGACCAGCCTATACTCGACAGGGAAGCGCTGGCTTTGATGACAATCCAGACAAGCTGCTACAGCTTCTACGAGATGCGGATCAAGGCAACTGCTGGTGTGCAGACTGTGGATCCGGTATCAAGACAGAATGGGTCTCTATCAACCTTGCCATCGTTCTTTGCATCGAATGCAGTGGCATTCATCGATCCCTCGGTACGCATATAAGCAAAGTTCGCTCGCTCACGCTAGATATCAACTCTTTCACAACCGATATTGTTGACCTCTTACTACTTGTGGGAAATCGGATCTCAAATATGGTATGGGAAGCAAGGTTGGAGCCTGGCATTAAGCCCACACCACAGGCCACCCGCGAGGAGAGGTTGAAATTTATTACTGCGAAGTATGTTGACAGGGCATATGTGGAACCCATCTCGTCCACGCTGTCACGCTATGCTACGGCGGACGAGACGCTGTTAGCTGCGATAAAAAAGAACGAGATCCAGCAAGTTATCTATGCCCTCGCTCTCAAGGCAAATCCAAATGTTACGGACAAGTCACGAGGGACGCATTCTGTATTCTTAGCCCTGGCAGCAGCAGATCCAGCATCGCCCTCCCAGGCAACGACGCCCACCCGACCGGACACGGCGGCTAAGCCTACAGCGTTCCCCATTGCTGAGATGCTTGTTCAAAATGGAGCGGAGATTCCGCGCAGCTTGCCAGCTTTTCCCTTGAGTCGAAGTGCAGCCCTCTATATTGAGCAGAAGAGTGGGCGTGGCGGGTCATCCACCGATACTATTGGTGCATTGCCTACGTTGGGTACATTGGACAAGCAAAAGGAGCGCGAAGCTCGACTCCAGAAACGTGTCAGTGCCGGTGGACGTCTTGCAAAAGTGCCAATCCCCGAGCGGTGATGAAATGAGGGACGATTAATGTGGACGCGATGGACTTGGGGATACCATGGGATCTGGGACATTGCGGGCGTCTGGATTGGATGTCTTTCTCTTCGGTATCTAGGCGCATCGCTGGAGGCTTGTTCGCCTGTCCTGTATGGCCTGTCTGTGTAACATTGGATTGATGAACCAATATCCTGTATGGATGGATTGGAAATGGTTTTACTAAGAACGATTGTTAGTGTCATGATAATATTAATGAATCAAGATGTTCGCGATGGAGCGAGCTTTGTATACTACGCTTGTGACATCCTCCCGTCTACACTACTGTACGAGTACATGCGTAGTCTAAACGAGCTCTTTCTTACCACGGACATACTATATTACATAGGTTCACGGTCGACATAAAATACAATTTAGGATTCTACTGTAATTATTAGATAAGATACATTATGCCCGGAAGTCGGCATCCTCTGATCTTTGGGCACGGGCTTAGGATAGCTTCAAATGGCTGCATGGTGACGTCGACCCGTAAGAACCCTTGGACTTGGGGTACGTAGCAACTCACATAATAATTTATTTGGTCATTCGAATACTCGCCGAACTGTTCGTGCCGCTTTTGTTCCTGTCCAAATTCAGTAACCTTTTTGCCCATCTGTCGGTTTGGAGGACAATCACTCCTGTATATCAAGAAAGAAATCCGTGGTTTACTAGGAAGACGTAGCCAAGCATCAAGTCCCCCATGCCAAGATTTTATATCTTGGCATTACTACCATAGCTTCCCTGTTGACAAGGCCGAGGTGATCTGTTCCCGAGTGCAAATGCTACAAATATCGTCGGTCGATCTTGCTAATACTCGTACTTTCTTGTAGATAAACTTACCGCAATTGAGTCGAGATAGTTGACTTTGCCCTAGCGACTAGTCAGCATAGCTTCTCACGCCGTCGCGCAAACATACAACCCCAACCCAGATACAATGTCCATAAAGGAGGCTCCAGAAGCGCCGAGCGGTGTTAATGGCGATACCTCTGCTCAAAATAAAGATCCCGCGATGCCTTCGGGTGGGGCCAAAGCCAAAGTCGATAAAGCGAAGGAGAAGTTAGACAAGAAACAGCAGAAACTCAAGGAGAAGACAAACCCTGCGGGGGGATACGATGCCACGCCGATTCCGCCAGCTCGCGATGGCTACACGATCAAGTTTACCTTCCACCGCGCAGAAAACCTGCCCATGTCAGACCTAAGCACGCGATCCTCAGATCCCTTCATACGGGCGACATTGACTGCCCCTCTGCAGAAAAGGCACAAGGAAGACCCTAACCTCGTCTTCCGAACACCCACGATACAGAAGAATACAGACCCGGAATGGAATTCACAATGGATTGTGGCGGGGATACCGTCTGCCGGCTTCAAGTTGAAATGTCGATTATATGATGAAGATGCTCAGGATCATGATGATCGATTGGGGAATGTGACAATTGTCGTGGACCACCTTGGTGCGGACTGGCCCGGGTTTCGAGAGGAGAAACATAGCATTAAGAAGCGTATGGGAAGCAAGAGAGCATACCTTGTCCGAGGCTGCGCCGCCATGTTAAGCAATGTGGACATGAGTGGGAGTTTGTGGGTTAGTGCAGAGCTCCTTGGAAAATCGGACCCTCCTCATGGTCGCATGTATACTGTTGGTGAGACGAGGTGGTTTAAACACTATTCACCCATGATTGGGAGGATTGTTGGGATGAAGGCGCCTGATAACAAGGAGGGTGATGGTGCAGAAAACAGGGGGAGCAAGATTGAGAAGCATGAGTAAGTCCCCCTATCGAGCGTTAGGGGATGATATTAACGGAAATAGCTTCCAAGCAAACCAGCTCCAACTACAAGGTCCCGTCCCTGCTGAATTATACCACCGCTTTGTGGAGTTCAAGCCTTTCGTAAAGGGCATGTTCTCAAAAGCCGGTCTCCGAGGGCGAATCTTGAACAAGGCGCTACACCACCAACATGCCCGCATCTACAACTTTGACAGCACGACAGAATATGGCGTCATGCCTCCTTGCTCCAAGGAAGCTGCTCTACAATTCCTCAAAATGGCGCATTACGACGAAGGCGCGCGAATCTTCACCTATGTCTTAACCCTAGACGGGATGTTACGCTTCACAGAAACAGGCAAAGAATTCGGCATCGACCTCCTCTCCAAACACACCATGCATAGCGACGTAAATATCTACATAGCCTGCAGTGGCGAGTTCTTAATTCGGCGCTTAAAGCACCCCGAGAAGCCCGTTGACGACCCAGACCAAGTAACACATCCGGAGGATGACGTCCCCGGCGGCCCACCTCATACCGACCCGCCCAATGATCCCCAAAATTACGAGCTGATAATCGACAATGACAGTGGCACCTATCGACCGAAAGGCGATCTCCTCCCGCTCCTCAAAGAATTTCTTGGCAAGAATTTCCCCGGACTGCACGTGGTGGTCAAAGAATGCACGGATGAAAAATTGATCAAGATGAAGGAAGGCCAGCGTGAGAAGAAAAAGAAGGAGGGCAAGCATATACGGATTATACAGAATTCCGATGATGATCTCAGTAGTAGTGATGAGGAACGGTTGAATGATGAAAATAAGAAGTCTGGCAGGGAGAAGGCGCTCAATGCGTTGGAGAATCCTAAGGGTGCGGCCAAGGAGCTGATGGCGGGACTCAAACACAAGTCAGATAATGCAGAGGCGGCGGGGAATAAGGCTGAGGTGAATGGAGGGGCGAGTACAGCTTAAGTTGTATATCAAGACTGAGCGAGTAGGTGAACGGTAGGTGAACGAGGAGGATTTATTTTGGGTGGGTAGCGAAGGTAATGATCTAATTTCTGTGGTTCATTTGGGATAGGTTGGATACCATGGGGATGTTATGATGAGTCGGATTACTTTTGGGTATAGCATTGGTTATGATACCCTCGATGAATATGTTTGCTCTGGGTTTAATAGCAGCCATTGAATGAAGTAATTATATAGTATAGGAATGCAAATGTCTAATGTCAAATCACCAAATGCAAGCCTAGCAAGTAGAACCTGCACAGAACATAATTCCATATCTTTATGATAAGCAACCTAACATTTTCATGCGGTGTAGTGAGCGGAATCACCATTTGAGTCGTAGCCTCAAATTAGTTTGGCAAATCGATGCACATTTTAGTTTTCTCGCTTCGTGCGCGTTCGTGGGTTTTAAGAACAACAAACAAATTCTAGTCCATCTCTTGACTAGATCGAACAACGCGACACACACGAATCTGGTTCCGCCAGCACTGTTACGGCCTTAGTATCAGTGAGCTAAAGTTGAAACCGCCGTGTGAGCGTTGAGGCTGGACGGAAGCGGGTACAACAATGGGCGACCAGTTGCTCAAAGATCGGCAGGATGCCCCGATCTGGAACGCCATTGAGGCCAATAACTTCAAGCAAGCACTAAAGTTGGTAGATAAGCGGCTTGCAAAGAAGCATACCGAGTATCTTGAGGTATGTCTGCTAATATATTCCTTATGTCTTCTTTCGATCGTATCATGTCCAGTTCCGTCACACAATTTAGCACGTGACCTCGCCCATATTTTCTCAGTTAGCTAATATGTGTATCACAGGCCCTCAAAGTCTTCATACGATCTCGATCACCTTTGGCTTCTGAGAAAGCTGCAGTTCTGCTTCATTTGGAGGGGCTGGCGGAGAGAAAATTTGTGCTTAAGGATCAAGAGTCGATTGAGCTGTATGATGAGGCCCTTGGGGAGGTTATGCCTCAGCAGCAAGAGGGCTGGGGAAGGATTATTGGTGAGCTGCGGTGGCAGTGTGTGAAGGCACGGCCTAAAGATGAAGATCTCAGCTTGAAGTCTTTTGAGGCATGTCTTGGGAAGGGTGATTTGGAACATGCAAAGCAGGTACGCTCATGATCTCCCCAAAATTAAACCCACAGGTTTTAAATCACGATCTCCAAGACTCCGGACATTGCTAATATTCCTTTTGCCCCAGATTTCCAATAGCCTGGAGAAAAGCTTCCCTAGCAGCCATGCATATCCTTTCTGGAATATTGCCGCCATGTTCCTTTACTCAGTAAGTTTCCTGGCAAAGCCTTCAGTTAGCACCTCGTTAATACTCCGGAGATCTCCGCAAGTTACCCAGAAAATCAACGGAAACTATGGGGCTCATTGGCTTTTGCCCAAATTGGAAAGCTTGCCCTTGCGACTAAAGATGCTGCGGTAAGTGTACGAAGTTCTCTAAATTGGTTAACCAGTATTAAGTCTTTTTGGTAGGATCCTAGGAAATTACCTCTTCGATCGATTCAAACACCTCAGGAATTGCTTCTTCTTCACCGGATTACAGAGGCGAATGGGAATCCTGTGCAGCGATTAGAGTATCTCCGTGACCCCTCGCTTGGCCCCGATTCATTGGTCGCAAAAGGCGAATGGCAGCTGTGGAGATTCAAGCTAAAGCTGTTGGAAGAGGCTTACTTATGGAAAGAGCTCTTCAACACTACCAGAGAGCTACTCAAACGGGGCCGTACCAAAGATGAGTCTGGTCAACTAGTAGAGACTAGAATGTGTGACTGGCTTGTTTGGGAAGGATTTATACGTTCATGGAGGAACCTGGATGGCCATGAGTAAGTCTCCCAACAGGTCGGGTTTTATAGAGCACTGTTAACAGAACCTACAGATACAAGGACGCCGTAGTAGCTGAAGTGCAAGCTCACCTAGATCCTGCATGTGGGATCGACAAAGCCTGGAAAAGAAATGCCTCCTTAGCCTGGGTCAAAAGCTCCTTCGCGGATTCCACCCCCTTCTATCTAGGCAAGGGCCCTGATAAGGTCTCTGGTCACGATAGAATACCTATCCTCCTCCAATATCTACACCAGTATGGAACTGCAACCACAGCGTACAATGATCTCAGGCCTTTTGTTCAACAAATGAAACCTGAAGAGTGTAGGCAATTGCTCGCAGTCCTGTCTAGTCATAAAGTCTTTGGGGACCCGGGCCATTCGAAATACGACCTGTCACAAGCACGTGAAGATTCAAAATCTGATTATGAAGGCGTAAGTCGTTTCCTCTCCAATGGCTAAGTCGAGGTGTGAGGGCGGAGATGAGAAAGTCAGCCTAATCAATCAATGCTAACGCATGCGTTTAGTTCAAGACAGCAAGCAAACTCACTGAGCACATAAACGTGTACAAGCTGAAGTACTTTATTACAAGCAGGCTCCCAGAGGGGGAGAATGAGCCTACTTGCAACTATTGTTTCGAAGCTCAATCTCAATACTGTGCTTCCTGTCTCAAAACGCTTGCACATGATGCTGCAAAGTTATACCTATGTGCTGTTGACGGAGGTAGATCTGAATGGAATCTACTCCCAACAGATAGGCATCCAGCGGATGATCTCGCCGTGCTAGCCGCCATGTGTTTCATAAAACTTTCCAAAACGGGCATTGAAAGTTCTGATGAGCCTCTCACGAGCGTTGAGACGTCCTACATCTTGCAAGCCATAGCATTACTCGAGCATGCGGCTAGCCACTCTCAATCCAACTTCCAGATTTGGCTACTTCTTACACGATTGTACATCCGCCTCGGCTGTGGATCGATGGCCATGCGTGCGTACGAAAATCTTGCGCTCAAGCAAATTCAACTAGATACGTTATCCTACAGTCTTTTCGATAGAATATCATCATTCCACCCACACCCTTTCGGCCACGTCCTGGACGATTCTACATCATTTAAGACCCCTATTGAAAGTCTTCGAAAACAACAAAAGCTCTATCGCGGGGCTCGAAGCCATATCAGTCACAACAGTTGGCTATCTTTCAAACACGGCAGCTATAACACCGTCTTTGAGCTTCAAGAGGTATCGCAGACGCTGTCATGTTCGCTCTCCTCGGTTATGTCTGTTATTGAGAATAGAAAGATCTCCCGGCTAGTACCCTCTAGTGCTTCAGAAGACTCCAATAATGGCGGTTACGATATCCTTCGTAAGTGTATGATATACCGGTGTCGGGATAAGCTAATTGATGAATAGCACCCAATGCTGAGTCTTTAGAGACTCGGTATGCGGATACAAATGACTACGCCACTTTCCCAAGCTTTGAAACCACACGGGGACCATCATTTGAAGAGTTATGTCGGGTGTTTCCAGCACCTTCCGTAAGGGCAGCCCTTTTCTTACGAGTGCAATGGTCTAACATCGTTTAGGATTATCGATATCGAAACGACCTCGCTACGGAGAAATTGATACAGCTCGTAGATCCAAGCGTTGCTATAGCTGGGGCCAATGACGCTGTTGCATCAGATATTCGTTCGTATATCGAATCAAACTCAAACCTGCCTGAGATGGATGATTCCGAGAAATATCTCACCCCGGCCGAGAACTTGGCCAGCACAGCCTACATATCACTACTTCTCATCGTGTCTGAATCTTGCAACCCAGAGCTTTGGCAAGAACCCCAATTCCAAGCTCAATTGGACTCCTACAACAAAGATCTCTGCGAGAGTCTCGAAGGGCAAATACAGCTTATTGAAAACGCTAAAGATTTAATCCCAGCCTTCGCGAAGACCTTAAATCTCCTGTACACAGCTTACCAAGTCGGCCGAACTGCCTTTTATTCTAGCAAGTATCTCTCAAGCAGGGGCAAGGAGGCTCATGCGAGTCAACTCGAAGCTAATAAGGAAACCCTTGACCTTGCGAAACGGCTCATGCAGATCGTGGCAGACAGGTCTGTCGTCGTCAAAAAGGGCTTAGATGAGGGAGGATGGATTGACAAGGTGTTGGATAGTGTTCTACAAGTACCAGGCTCTGAAGGGGAAACAGAGTCGGTATTAGGGAGCTTGAAGGATTTGATGGATGCAGGGCGTTTGGAAGTGTGGGCGGGAGATGTTGTGGAGAGCTGGCGGGATTCTGTCGTGGGACTCTCCTATCTGAAGGCGCTTGCATCGTAGTGTGAATTTCAAGTGGTTGCAGAGAACACCAATGTGGTGGGTTATGCAAAGTAGAAAAGAACCCCAGCAACTCTACGTCTAGAACATCGCAAACATCAATATAAAACCATTGCAAACACCGTAGATCCATGAAATCCGGCCCCATTGCATCCAAATCTAGGTTCTATTTTTGCAGCCCCACACTCATAGCCTATCCTCCTCTTCCGCCGCTCTCCTAATCGCCAGCCTTTGGACAAACTCCCTTCTCTCCTCCCTCAGTGTCACAAAAATCCAATACCACGTAAGGACTTCCACAAATGCCCACGTGAAGAACACACGGTTCTTGAGGCCCTCGCCCCAGGAGCTCGGGGTATAGGTATAGTTGCTAGATGAAGAGGTGTAGAGAGGAGACACGGAGGAGAAGGCATAGGAGTATATCGTAAACACGAAGAGAAGGAAGAGTCGTACGGGTGCTGTATAGCCAATAAATTAGTACGACGGATCTTTGCTTGGTTGTGAGGATGGCGGGGAAAGCGGTTGAGGGCTTGAGAGAGAGGGCTGCGATAACGAACCTTGAGAGCCCCAGAAAAACACATATATCTCCTCTGGAAGGGAACAAGCTACCAAGTCACTGATGCCGAGGAAGAAGAGGACGGCTGCGAGGAAGGAGAGCGGGGCAGATTGGACTTCGAAGGAGCGGGAATGTGGCTATAATGTATCGTTAGAATTTATGTTACGCTCTCTTCATTTTAGGCGGGTCTCGGGAAGATCGGGAAGGGGAAATAAAATTGGATGATGGGCGGCAAGGGAGCGTACCATGCCCATTGCTTCTCCTATTATGAAGACTAGCGACTGGTCTGCAATCTGGTTTGGGTTTGCCAGGAAAAAGTATGCGAGCGTTATGTGGAAGAGGGAGACGGAAGTTATGATCGTTGCGGCGGAGATGAGTGCCATTTTTGCTTCGATGTTGGATATCCCTTCGGCGCTGCCTCTGTTCCTTTTTTTGTTTTGCGCGACTAGGTTTGGATTGAGATCAAAGATGTGATGAGAGCGGGAGTGAATAGCGCTAGACTATGGGGATGGTGGTTCTAGAAGGTGGGAATAAATGACGGGAGATGTACGAAGTATGCGTTTTGGTGTTTCATGACAACTCTCTTAACGGAAAAGACGAAAATAGCGTTCCGGTGACGCGCCGGAGCACGCGCATGATGATCCGTCGCAAACCTTAAATCAAATAGGCTCAATATTCTTCCGCTCCGAGTCGGGATCCCTGCATATCCCGCCAACTTCCTGTGGGGCAATGTCAATAATCAATAACTTCGACACAACCCAACCTCGAGCTCATTCAGGGTAGAACGAAATGGAGGATAATACCACAGAGCCGCACCTCGATATCCCGAGACACATCAAATACTGGCAGCGCTGCCTCCGCTCCTTTCTCCCCACCGAATACACCAGTACTGACTCCTCGCGCATGACCCTTGGTTTCTTCATCCTCTCTGCCCTAGACCTGCTCGGCGCCGGCGCCGACACTGAAGCATTCCCCCCTCAACAACGCGCCGAAATCCGAAACTGGATTTTAAAGTGTCAACACCCCCACGGTGGATTCTGCGGCTCCCCCAATCACCGGTACCCCGATGAGTTCTATGTTGATGGGAAAGGGGAGGGAGGTAAGGAGCAGATGGACCCAGCGAACTTGCCGGCGACATTTTTTGCTCTGTTAAGCTTGAGTTTTGTGGGTGGTTTGGAAGGGTTCAGGAGGAAGCAATGCTTAGCTTGGTTGAAGTCGTTGCAAAGGCCTGATGGCAGTTTTGGCGAGTTGGTTACGAATGAGGGGAATATTAAAGGGGGTTATGATATGAGGCATTGCTATGTTTTGGCGGCGGTGAGGTGGATATTGAGGGATGATGTTGAGATGGGCGAAGACGATATCAACGTCGAGGCTTTAGTGGGCCATATAAGGTCTGGACAGGTGCGTCCACATCCGTTAATTGCTAGAGCGAAGGAGATTGACGAATATAGACTTATGATGGAGGTATCTCCGAGAGTTCTTCACATGAGGCCCATGGTCAGTATTTCCTGCCTGCCCTGAAAAACAACGCCTAACAATTTTCAAGCTGGATATACGTACTGTGCTATAGCCTCCCTATCATTTCTAAACCGGCTCCCAACCTCCGCATCCTCCCCTCTCGATCCAACCGCTGGTAGTGGGTTATTGCCTGGCTTGACAAATCTTCCTGCGACGATACATTGGCTTGTCTCACGGCAAGTAGGTTATAAAGAAGAGGATGATGAGGAAGAGGAGCTACCTCTCAAGGATCAAAGAGATGCGTTGGCGGGCAACTATAACGACCCACCGTCGGATCCCGGCCTTTTGCCTCAAGACGAAGAATTTGTGGGTTTTAATGGCCGATGTAACAAGAATGTTGATACTTGCTATGCGTTTTGGGTCACAGCATCACTCAATGTAAGTTGCCTTCTCGAGTGCCGTAACGTATATAGGCGCGCTAAACATCTAACGCAACTATAGATGCTCGGTGAAGATAAAGCCCATCTCGTGAACGCCCCAGCAATTCGCCGCTTTCTCTTCGAGCAGACACAGCACCGGATAGGGGGATTTGGTAAATATCCCGGAAATCCACCAGGTAAGTCGTTCACCCCTTAAACCCCCAACCCCACCACAATCTTAGTCTAAACCGCCTCGCAGACATATATCACTCATACCTCGGCCTTGCAGCTCTCGCAGTGATGAAGGAACCAGGGATCAAACCTTTAGATTCCGCGTTGTGCGTGAGCAAACAGCAACGCGAAAAAATTTCGCAGCTGAGAGATGCTGCTTCTGTACCGAAGCACACGTATTGGAAAGATGGGTACTGTTATTCGATCGGGGAGGACAATCCGTCTTTCGAAGAGAAGATGGCTTCAACCGAAGCCCCTCCTATATTCTTGACGGAGGCAATGGAAATCATCTCCAAGGGTGCTACAGGGGTAGCTAGCTGAGAGGCCCATCCGGTTTGTGTTCGACACATCAGAGATTAGGAGGATACATTTCGTGATAGTTCCCTCTTATGATGACCTTTGGGGGATATAAGGAACATCGGAATAGTCACAGTCTAGTATACCCTAGAATCAATGGGCCGGCGGACGGAACAGTGGCCATCAAAGTCTATGAGACACTTCTAGCTAAACCCTTCTCTGGAAACGATATCGGTTCAACCAAATGGGATAATCATAGGATCCTGAAAGACTCGAATCAAGTGAGTTATTCACTTGATTGGAACGAGCCAACTATTCCTATTGAGATATGTGCCCAAAATTCTTCACAATCTGACATTATGTACATCCCGTCCGACCATGCACGGAATCCTGTATACTTCCCAGACACTGTGAAACGGATCGAACATAAACATGGCCAATGCATCTGGCTCAAGGCCGGTATGAACACGCCGATTATATCAATGACAAAGAGGAAAATTTGGAAGATGGAGTGGACTAGCTAGTGCCTTAACCATCTATTACTCATAACACGGGGTACACCTACCGATTATATCATTTGGATGTGGCATTTGTTTCATAGACCAAACACCTACAATGGATTGAGTTCCAAATTTCGGAACACATTTTTTGAAACCAATTCTCATCACTATCTCATACATGCACAGTCTCGCTAGGATTCTTGTGGTATCTGTTGTTCGCATCGCTTGTGGCAATCATTAATGTAACATAATGGTACAAACTTATGACCATTTCTACCCATCAAGTCATAACCATTCCCCAGGTCATCCCCAGGCGCCGTTTTTCAGGTTTCTGATTCTCGCTTCTACCGCCAATATGCGGATTTGGCCTCTCATTCATTATCATCCATAAGCCTAACATTAGTACCAGCCTTCTCCAAAGCGCCCTTCAATCTTCCCAAAACCTCATTCCTCCTAGCCAGTTTGGTCCTCAACTGTGTCTTCTCGTCAGCCGAGTAACCGCTCATCTTCTTCCTAGGCGCTGGAGAGTTGGGCCCCAACGAGCCAGTGGAAGACCTGAATGAACTTTGCAGGTTCCGCGAAGTGCGTGTGCTTTCAGGACTGTAAAACAAGCCATATGAGCCGGGATTAATAGATTGTCGGAGTGATTGTCTATGGGGTTGTGGAGTTGAAAATGGTGATCCTTCTCGGCTGCCGACACCGGCCGTAGATTGTAGCCCGAGCTTGCGCATTTGCCCTTCGAGAACATCGATATCTCCACTTCGCTTTTCCGCCATGCTGGTCATCTTGGTAATTGTTCGCATCACAGCCTCAACAGTAGGCCCTGTAGAGCCATTTGCCCTACCGGTTGATGTTGCTTGAGATACGATATTTCCCTTGAGAACCGTCAACCCTTCCTCGGCTTCGGAGAGGAGCTTCTGGAATTTTGTGAACTCTCTTCTCAATTCGCTTTGCTGAGCACTTTGCTCGGCGCTCAAGGGTTGTGCACGAGACATTGCAACCTGCTCGGGGTCTCGATGCGCTTGAATCAGTTTTTTGATATCCTCATGCTTTGCCCGGAGCTTGATGAGGTCCTTTTGGAGATCGTTGCAAGTTTCAAGCTTACTAGCAACATCCTTTATTCGGCCATCCTCAAGTTCTCGAGTTAAATCGTTCTGCACAAGTGAAGACAGATCCTCGATTTCTACTAAACACCAGTCTTCCTCGTTTTCAAGATCCTCCTTAGTGCGACCTTCCTCCTTGTATTGTTCGGTGTGGCCTTGGATAAAAGCTTTCATGGCTCTTGCGTTGACACCCAGTGTGTCGATCATGGAGTTGATATCGCGATATACAGCTTCAACTTGAGCTGGAATGTTGTCCATGGCGGCACCGCCAACATAGTCAGTATGGGCCACGAATTCATCTAAAGTTCTTGTGGGTATGATATCCTCCGCGAGGAATTTTTGCATCTGCTCATCTTCCTCATCTACAAGGGCTTGGGCCTCTTCCGCGTCTTTTCGGGCTTTGGCTTCAACACGTCGCTTCTCCTCTGCCCTTTGTTGCTCAAGCGTAAGGGCGAACGAGGTTTTGGGAGGAGAGGTGCCGCTAAGTCTCTGAGGGCCCAACAATTGCGATGCAACGCCTGGGGCACTTACTGATCGAGAGCCCTCGGGTCTTAGCATTCTTGGGGGTAATGCAGTTCGCACTGGGCTCGGAGATCGGGGGCTTTGTGGAAGTTTGAGAGGCGGAAGTGATGGGGCTGAAGCGCCAATTTCTCCGAATAACGTTCGTCCAGTGGTCGGTTGGCTTGGTTTCGATATCTTCGTGAATAGGCTGCTTTCGGCGGTCTTATTCTTCAAGCCGCCGAACGAGTTTTGTGGTGTAAACCCAGGGGTGGTTTGGTTTGCGTCTGAAATAGGGCTTAAATCTTGGGCAACATCCTCACCACTACCTTCTTCGCTACCCTCTTCGCTGCCCTCTTCACTATGTTCACGTTCATATTCATCCTCGGTCAAGAAGCCTGACTCGTCGCTCTCCTCTTCGGGACCGCCTGGGACATCGCTGGGAGGAATCAAATCAGCAGGGATTGGTTTTAAGGCTGGCTTTTCGGCGGGAGATGGTGGGGATCGGAGGGGTGGGGGAGACTGGATGTCTTGGGTTCCGGTCTTGGGAATAAAATCTGGAGGAAGTGGTTCGTCAGTTTCAATAGATGAGCAGGATGAACCTCCCATCGGATAACTAGTCTTACTTGTCGGATCAGGTGGTAATGGGGCTTCAGGTATCTCGCCACTAACGCCTTCAGTCTCATCTACCTTCGGCTCCTGCTTAATCTTAGGGGGCGATGAAGGGGGTGCGACGGTCTTGGTAAAAGCCGGGGTAGGTTCAATGGTAATTGGGGTCTTGAAAGCGGGCGTCTTAGCCTTCGTCTGATCCTCAATATTGCTCTCCGGCAACGGTTTGCCGAAATTGAAGCCAGCTGAGAAAGCCGGCTTAGCAGCCGTAGGAGGCGATGGCTGTGAGGCTACAGTTCCGAACAGACCACCAGTGGATGTTGGTGTTGTTACCGAGAAGGACTGGAACTTGGAAGGAGCAGGAGTAGATGCCGGAGTTGTTGAATCCTTGATCGGTTCCTCGGGCTTTGCAACCTCATCCGCAGTATCCATATCCGCATCTTTTGATACAGGGGTTTCTGCAGCTGGTTGCTTTGCCGCCTCTCCAAGAGCACTGCCAAAGGCGCCACCGAAGAAAGAACTCTTAGGCTCGTTTGCGGCTGGAGCCTCGTCCTTATCAGATGTATCGGCCTTGAATGTGCTGCCGAGGTTGAATTTGGTTGAACCAAAGACATCGCTACTTGGCTGGTTGCTGGTCTGATTGCTGGTTCCAAATATACCCCCGGTTGACGTACCGTTACTAGGCGTCCCAAAGGAAGACGGGGCTGGCTTGGAAAATATACTTTCAGTTGCATTTTGAGCTCCTGCTGCAGCCGCAAACCCCCCCTTAGATGCAAACGCAGAGAACCCCCCAGAAGTGGGAGCTGCAGACCCAGCGCTGGCAGAAGAACTTCCGAAGGGTGTAGCTGGTTTGGCTAAGCTACTTGCTTGACCAAAGGCGGCAGTTGGGGCAGTAGAAGCAGTGGCCCAAGGAGAAGGACGGTTTCCAGGTAAAGCTGCACCACCAAATGCTGGAGTACTTGTCGAACCAAATGCCGGTTTACTAAAGGGTGATGCTGAACCAAGAGCAGAAGAGGAGCCAAAGGCTGGCGCTCCAAAAGCGGCGCCACCAGTTGGCGTTGCACTTGAGGCAGCTGGTGCTCCCCATGGTGATTTGCTACTACCAAGGCCTGATGGAGCGCCAAATGCACCTGCCGAAGGGCCCGGAAGTGAAGGGTGCCCAAAAGCAGATGTAGGCTGTGCGCTTCCAAAGGCGGGGGCTGCACTTGGGGTTCCGAATGCAGAGGAGCCGAAAGCTGGCTTTGGAGCACCAAACGGTGAGGATTGTTGCGCCGGTGCTGGGGATGCTTGGGTAGGCGCCGCACCTCCAGCCGCAACAAGCCCAGGATATACTGTACCTTGGCGTATCGATTCTGAATATACTACCCACCATGATGCTAGCACTCCCTCGTTATTTAGAACCATCAAAGCTGGCAATGGAGTAGGTGACTCGTCCATCTCGTCACTTGGTATCGGCTTGATAACCTTTTCTGTGCTAGAAAGGTCAAGAGCAAGACCAATGGGGGACGTATCACTCAAGCCACCGGACATGGGGAGTTGGGCTCGCCGGGAATCGTCGGACATTTCAGTCATCGTAAAGACGCCTGTCACTTTATCCGCGGGCTTGTCGGCAGTCAGCGGCGTTTTAGATCTGCTGAATATCCCAATATCTGTAGATGCCGTTGAAGCAACAATGAGCACGTCCTGGAGATTAGGCGGGAAGTCTTTTAATCGCAAGAGGAAATGATGCGGGGGCGATCGATTCATGCCAAAGGGGCCAGCAGGATCGGAGATCTTCTGAAACATAAAGCTCGATGGCAGCTCCCTAGTGACGAGGTGAATGGAGGAATTTGGTGCCATTCCACCGTCGAAGCCGGAGGGAGTATGTACCATAAGGAAAACATTATTCTCCAGCCACGTAATCGAAGAAACTGCAGGTGCATATTAGCCTATGCTTAGATCTTATATCGGCATACTTCTTACCATGATCGCCGCTGTTCGCATTGGGAGGTCTTGGGATGTCCCCCTTCCCAACGCCTTCCGGGGTCATTTGATATGCAGCACCGTTTCCAAGTCCTGCAACCAATTGCTTTCCCTTCGTACTCCACGACACACAGCTGACGCCATCCTTCAGAACCTGGCCGTTGGGACCCTGGATGAAATTCCGTTTCTTAAGGTTGGCCATCAATAAGTTTCCATCAACGGTTACAACTGCAAGTAGCTCTCCCTTCTCCGGTGTTGGATTCGGCGTTAAAGCCCTTAGAGATTGTCCATTTGTCGATAACTCAAAGGCTGACTGTGTAGAACCTCCCATCAAAGCTTGTACATCGTATACCGCTAGTCCGCCACCAGTCTCTGCGGATAATACCAGGTACTGCTCGTCTGCGGAAAATGCGAGCTGTGATATCCGCATGGGCATAGGCAGCCGCAGTTGTGGTTGGAACGGTTTTAAGTGGTTATCACCCGTTTCCTTGCCCTCAAAAGCTTCTCGTACCGACTTCGTAGTTGCTAGTATAATTGCGTCGGGGCCTGCTGCGGCAACGAGACCCTTTTTCGAAGCCACGCTCATGAGGGAGGCGCTCGGAGGAGGGAGTTGATTCGACGGCCATGGTGTCGGCAGTAGCTGGACCTTAGCTTCTCCAGATAGTGCTAGAAACCCAAGACCCTGGATATATGTTAGCACTTTGTATATGTGAGGTCCTGCAATTCACCTTACCTCGGTTTGGATATCCTCAAGATCAGGACCTGCTTGTACATTGCCACCCGCCCCCGCAGCCGGGCTACCCATATTAGAGTTTCCAAAGCTGAAAGCCATAACGGTAGCAAAGTAGCCGTGCTTGGGAGGGGTCCTGATGTTCATAAAACACTGTTGCGCATTGAAGGTTGATAGTGCGGGTCGAGTCCAACACCAGCAACAGCCAAGGATATGAAGTTAAGTTCGGTAAACCAATACTGTACTTTGTAGAGCAGTATATGTTGAATGTATGATGAGAAAAGCCCTCAGAATATTAGTTCAGAAAGCCCATTCTTTGTTGCCTAACTGGAGGAAGTAGGTACCGCTGGGAACAAAGTTTAAGTTCCTCCTCGAGTCGCGCGGCTGGGATTTGAATGATCACGTGCCTGTCGCGTTGGACATCGCGAAAGCTCCAGCTCTCAGGCAGCTTAGCTTCGTAACCTCCTAGCAGCTATCGACAACCCTCAATTCCATCAACGACACCCGCATCTCCAGTTCCTCATAATATCTCGAAAGTTATCGCACCCTTGACACACAAGTACCATTCGCAAGGAGCAAATTAGGCTCCACCTCTCACCATGCCTGGGTTCGACTTCTCAAACCATACCCGCAATGCGGCACTACACGCAAGAGGCGTCCCTCTACCCAGGGCGACAAGTACGGGAACTACGATTGTGGGATGTATATTTGATGGAGGCGTAGTTGTATGTGCAACATCTCATAATCTCAGCCAAGTCCTGAGATCTCTGGGCTGCCAACGCATCTATTGTTGTTTGAAGCTATACTATTTCCCCGGACAGCGCTAACTAATCCACCCCAGATTGCTGCAGATACCAGAGCAACCAGCGGTCCCATAGTAGCGGACAAGAACTGCGAGAAGCTGCATTACATCGCACCCCAGATTTGGTGTGCAGGTGCCGGAACCGCCGCTGACACCGAGTTCACCACTGCCCTCATCTCCTCACAACTCGAGCTGCACTCGCTTTCCACAGGCCGCAAACCCCGAGTCGTTACATGCATGACGATGCTCAAACAGCACCTCTTCAGATACCAAGGACATATCGGCGCATATCTCGTCGTTGCCGGTGTCGACCCCACAGGCGTTGGGTTGTTCACCGTCCACGCACATGGTAGCACAGACAAGCTTCCCTATGTGACGATGGGCAGTGGCTCACTCGCAGCCATGTCTGTTTTCGAAACGAAATGGAAGTCGCAGTTGACCGAGCAGGAGGCTATCGATTTAGCAGCCGAGGCCATCATGGCTGGTATCTTCAACGATCTGGGATCTGGTTCGAATGTTGATGTTGCGATCGTGAAGAAGGACAAGACGACACTGAAGAGAGGATATATCAAGCCTAATGAGCGGACTAAGAAGCAGAAGAGCTACATCTTCAAGAGGGGCACGACGGCGGTGTTGAACGAGAAGATTATCACCAAGGAGGAGATTAGCAAGTACGTGACGGTTCAGGAGTTGGATGGTGGGGAGACTGTGTTGGGTGAGAAGATGGATCTAGATGTTTAAATGCTAGACGTGGGGTTGCTTAATAGAGCAGCATAGATGTATTATCAGTCAGGCTTGGTTGGTATGGCGCATTAAAGTTCCTTGTGTACACCAGCTGGTTACGAAAATCAATCACTATTTTGAGCATTGCAACGACAACTTACACATAGTTCCCAAGGTGCATATTCAAATCCCTAATCGTAGCCCCAAAGACCTACTAAGCAGTTCCAAAATGAGCCCAGCTGGAAACGTCTTCTCATAATAACCCCGAGAACAAATTATACAAACTAAGAGCTATAGATCAGGAGAGAAGTCACTTATATAAATCGTGATAGATAATATCGAACTATAGGTATAACGCATTTTTAAAGGCGCTTACTTAAACTCCTCCATCTTCCATCTTCCATCTTCCAACAGCATATACCACCCCTAGGACTCCTCCTTTTTGTTAAAATCAAAATCGCTAAATATCTAAACCATACAAGGACTAAAATGCCACATAACTTGGCTTCCCGCTTCCTTCCCTCCTAGGGTGTCATTCACTAAAAGTAGTGTCATATCTTGTCTCAGATGGTATCATCGTCCAGCACAGATCGTGCAGTGGGATTGCTATAGTTGGCTAAGTAGCTCAGAAAGCTCAGAAATGAAACTGGTAAACAGGAGCATCCACTTCGCGCTGCTGTTGATCCGGAGGAAAAAGCGCATCAAAAGCTTCCTAAATATTATGTTAATATCCATTTCTCCCACAGCCCATAGCTAGTATAGAAAGAGAACTTACCCAATCAATATCAGCCATCAGATCATCCTCGCCGCTATTCAGCGTGGAAATTTGGACTCCGGCACCGCCACTATTAGAATCACTACTAGCTTCGGGACTGGGCAATTGCTTTGGAAGAGCCCACAGCGCCTCGCCGTTCGAGACACCGGCAAACACCACATCAGGCATTTGCGCTCGGCCAACGGTAGTAGTTGGTGCAGTTGGTGCAGTTGGTGCAGGAGGGATGGCTGGGTTTTGATTTTGTCTCGGTGGTAATGATGATGGCCCATCATTGTCGGGTGCCGGGCGTTTCATATATAACAACTTCTTATCGTCGGTACTAGGGTCATTCATGTGAACGATCCTCGGCGGTCGAAGCCCGATATGCCTGTCCATAACCACCGGGGCGCGCATGCCTCGCATGCTCTGATATATTGCAGTTTTTTGTTGAAGCTCGGCGAGAACTCGTAGCGCCTTCGTCCGTCTTGTTTCGGTGATATCACATTCGAAGATCCAGTCCAGACAAGTCCATATCCGATCAGCTTCTTTTCGGTGAGGGGCGATGTAGATTTCTAAGAGAAGGAGGAAGGCCGTATGGTGTTGGGTCAGGGCCCCGGTGTACCATTCATAATTGTGTAGTTCGGGCAGAGTGCCCACAGCCATTGCTGTCTCGAGATTTGTTGTCGCTGAGGCGATCAGTATATTTTTGAGACGATCAGGCATAGGCGACACAACGGAGTTGTGATATTGATGAAGAACCATGACATGAAGTCGAGATAAAAGTAGCGCTTTTACAAGCCTTGCATATTTCTGGAAGGGTATCCTATCATCCATTAGATGATCATATTTTGCAGCCATAGTATTCTTGAACGTCTCAATCTTGCTAAGCTCAGCCGTGAGGCTTATTTTTCGGCGTTGTATTCGAGGACGGTCGACCCAGATGGTCCTCATCATGTCGTTGATCTCAAACCGGATCAAAGACAAAGTTGTATCGGTCCAACGATCCACAGGTGCAGGCGGATCTCCGGTTGCATGGAGGTCAGCTATATCGACGTTGAGAGGAAGCTTCGTGTCATATTCGTCTCTACGTATCGAGGGCCGTGGACCTTGTGCTTCACAGGTCCGGATATCTAAGAAGCAGAGCTGGTGCCAGATAAGGCGGCGAACATGGGTTTCGAGTGCGTTCATCCCGTAGGTCTCGCCATCTCGATGGAGTCCCATACATTCAGCCATCCTCAACGCAGCGCCAAACAGGACAGAATGGGCTCTAGATACCTCTGCTCTACAAAGTGGGATCTTATCTCCTGGTCAGTTACGATATAGAGAGATGATGTCTCAAGCGGAACTTACCAGGTACATTACAAACCCCTGAAGAGTCTCCAGCTTCGTCGTCCTTAGAAAATTAGCTCGAGCAAGAGCTGTCTCCGTACCCAGCTTGAAATTCGAAATCAAACTCGCCTTGGACACCCCAAAATCCCGCAGTATAACAGACTCGTCCATACTAACGACCCCTGAGAACATTGCGGCGAACACAATGGTTTGAACAGAATTCGGAGGTTCGATTCCCAAGGTGACTTCATCCCAGAAGACGTCATACTCTTTCTCGAAAGTCGGCCGATGTAATATCTGAGCAATTGGATGTACATAAGCGAAATATTGCTCGATAAGCCTATCAGCTGCCATTCGCGAGGGCAGATAATCAACAAGTGATGCTCCTTGGGCTTGGGCGCCGACAAAGAATCCAGATGAGGGAATAATGTAAGAAGGCCCGGGCTTCAACCATTCGGCTGCGGGTGGAATAGGTTTGACGAAGGAGCTAGGGGGCCTCTCGTTGGAGTCGCCTCGGTCTTTGTATCCGGTTGCAAATGAATCGGACACGGTAAAGGAAAGCTTGACAGGTATCAGTATACTGTAATTTAAAAAACAATTTACTTTTAAGTCTATAACAGAATGAATGCAGCATTAAGTAAAGCTATATGTCTAGGAAGTTTGGCAAATTCCAGGTATATTCTGGAGAGCGTAAATTCATAACTCGCTAGCTTTTTGCTAGGAGTAAATCTTAATGTTAATTAGAGCATAGCCTGATGACTACCAGCAGCTCTATAGGCGGGTTTAAAGAAGAACCGATTATGCAATAGCGAGCCCTCTCTACTAGATCTCAAAAGGGAAAGATAGGTAAAATGGAATGGACCAACCTCTTGAGCGATCCTCGGCCTAAAGAAGCCACCAATACGTTCCGTAATACGCATCTTGCCCAACTGGATACCCAGATCCAGTAAATCGTCGTCCTCGCCATCATCGCCATAGGCCGCGTCCATCACGGCCAGAGGCGTAGGCTCTAGGTCCTTCTCATCTTCATTTGGAGGGAGATCATCGTCTGCATCATACGGAACAGATATCTCATGGATTGAGCTAGTCATGGAGACAGGATTCGGGACCGGTTTAGCAACATCTCTCTCGAGCAACCGCTCTAGCGATCCGACCTTCTCTTTGATTTCGGTTAGCTTCAACTGGCTTGCCTGGTCCAAGGCTGGTGCCAAGAACACGCAGTCCCGTGCGAATTTGACGCAGTTGGTACATGGATGGGATTTGTTGCATTTCAGTTTCCGTCGGCGGCACTCTAGACAGCTGGTTATCATGCGGTTCCGCCGCCGAATCCGTGACCCTGCGGTCGTTGGTGCTGGTGCGGTTGTCCCAGCTGTAGAAGCACCAGCGGGAACCATAGAGGGTGGTGGTGGTGATGGTGAGGCTTGAGCCGTGCTTGGTGAATTTGATGCGGATTTTGATGAGTGGAGGTTAGGGTCCTGGGTTGTCCCAAAGGCCTCGGAACTGTTGAGATAGTCCATCTCGGCGGTAAAGAAAGTGAATAGCGCTTAGCACCCACCCCGCCTGTATGAGGTAGGTATCGTAGGAGGAATGAAAACGTGTGGAAAACGTGCTCGTTGAGGCAGCCAAAGATCTTAGATACAGAGACATGTAGAGAAATGTAGTTCGAGATGTTGAGGCCGTGCCACTGACAATAATAAGGAGCGGGGAGCAAGGCTAGTCCTCCGATGACTCTGCAGCAGTGGGCTTGGGCGTACACATAGGCGGCGAAGCAGGATAGATAATTGCAGACTGACGTTAAGCAATAATAATAATACCAATGTCACTACTTCGTATAACCGGGGCAGGTGGAGGGATCTAGACACGGAGTACTGTGCATGATGTACGAAGTATATGTCGATCCCCCACAGCCCTACACGTACACGGCGGCTGCAAGTTCTTGACGGCCTCTCGGTGGCTGAGCCTGAATTTGCTGAGTAATGACCCCAGGATGGTCACTGTTGGTGACGCTGTATGTCAGATAAGCACTCGTCTATTTTGGGCAAAGGAAGCTAAAACACCAGAGCAGAGTGCTGGCATAAGCTTAAATCATATGGCATTGGTTTCTAGAGGGGGCTTCACAAAAGTTCATGTTTCACTAGCTAGGTGGGTACGCTGCGCTTCATGGTCTTTGTTTGTCCTTGCATTCCTTTTGGGTTACTGTCTATCCGTCTAAACGCCAAAGAAACTCTGATCGCGCAGCAGCACCGGCAACAAAGAAAATGCCTTCGATTAGGATGCAAAGCGAAACCCACAATATGCTTGCCGGCTTGCCATAAGGGCCTGGCACCCTGGCTTGTATCACTCTTCCAGTCCCTCATCAGAACCATTGCACATAAATCATGACAGGCGTAGCCCGCACCGTGCACGAATGCCCCGTCCCAATGCTACATGTCAAAAGGAAATCTCAGGCATGGAAATCGCCATAACCAATTCCCCAATCTATTATTTATTGCGAAGCACACTGAACCCGCTCACCACCTTGGCCCTCCTCGTCATCCTCGTCCATGCCTGTTGCACCCCGGGCCCGTGCTTGTTGGCTAGGATCAACATCCTCAAAGTCGGCAATTTCTGTCATGGTCTCTGGAGGTGGGACGGCGGACAGCTTCGAGGGTGGAAGTATCGACTTCAGAAGCTCGAATGCTTGGGGGTCCGATGTAAAGTTCTTTTCCGGGAACTTGACGTCAAATTGGACATACATGTTGCCGAAATCGTGGTGACGGTGCGACGGCATGCCCTGGTTGCGGATCATCTTTACTGAGCCTGCACAATCGTTAGACACAGTCAATACTAGGCGAGGGGAAACAAATGGCTTACCTGGACTAATAACCTCTCCTGGCATAATCTCAACACTGAGCCACCTCTCATCCAAGTGCTCGATAAAAATTGTGCCACCAGCAAGAGCCGTGACAAGGTCGATTTCTGCATGGTAGAAGAGATCATCTCCCTTCCGCTGGAATCGGGCGTGTGGCTTCTGGTCGATTTCGAAAACGACATCGCCGGGTTCAACGCCTGGGGTTTGGTCGCCCTCGCCTCTAAATTCGATCTTATGTCCTGACCGCACACCTCTGTCTACATGGACGTGCAGGACCTTTCGCTCGACAATGGTCTTCTTTCCTTTACAGACGGGGCACTTGTCCTTCTCGCGGATGACTTCGCCTTCACCGTTGCAGTCGGGGCAGACAGTCTGGAAGCGCTGGATCATGGGACCCATTTGGCGCATCATGGTCTTCATACCATGGCCGTCACAGCCCGCACACTTCTTGACAGCACCCTCCTTGCCACCACGGCCATCGCACTTTGCGCAGATGACTGACTTTTGCAGGGCGAGCTTGGAGACTTTGCCCCGGTATATATCCTCGAGCGATACTTTGTGGACGTGGTGGATTGTGCGAGCCTTGGGTGGTCCGCGTTGTTGTCCACCAGCACCAAACATGCCGCCAAGTCCACCTCCAAATGCGCCTCCACCGCCAAAGAATTGGGAGAAGAGATCTTCGGCATTCATGCCACCACCGCCTCCGCCACCCTCAAGTCCCTCTTCGCCGTACTGGTCGTAGATGGCTCGTTTTTGGGGGTCGGAGAGAACTTCATAGGCATGTGATAGGTCTTTGAATTTGTCTGCTGCGTCTGGGTTGTGGGCATTCTTGTCTGAGTTGATTGTTAGCATAGATAGTACTTGCGTAAGAGCCAATATCCATACCTGGGTGGTGCTTCAGAGCGCCAATTTTGTAAGCCTTCTTAAGCTCAGCCTCGGTGGCAGTTACTGAGACCTGATCAATAGTTAGTGGTAATCTCCAGCGCTTAATCGCCAGAATCACTTACGCCGAGGACCTCGTAGAATTTGGTGTCTTTGACCATGGTGTCGGTTGAAAGGTGAATGAGTGGAGATGTAGAAAATGTATCCTTAGGTTGTTATGACCTTTAATTGTGATCGGTCGTCTGGGAATGCGAACAGGATTGAGCGGGTGCCTTTCTGTTGCGGGCTTGTCAGCTTTAGTTCGCAACTTGACCCTGAGAAGGCAAAAGGTCGCGACTCAGTTGCAAAACTAGACAAGGAAGATCGCAACACGCGGAAAGCCGGCCGAAAGGCTGAGGGATGGGGCTACCTACAGCCTAACACAGGGCGCACGAACGTTTTCGCCTTGGACTTTTGAGTGCGTGCAATTATGTATTATCGTGTTCGCTGTCTGTCTGTGTGGGATGGGTATCTGAATGTCCTCGGACTGTCGCGCGTAGAAGGGAAGATATGGATGTGGAAGAGGAGAGGCGATAGGATGTGTACGAGCCTGAGGGCGATGGTTGACTGTTGATCGCTGAATAAAAGTTCGCTAGCCTCCTTCGAACAACATGGAAGCTTCTATCGGGGACCACCAGAAGGCGGCGGAACGTGAAAGAGGAAGTCAGCCGCGCCAAGGGAATCCAACAGAAAATACATGGAATACGAAGTACAGGTCTCAAGATGTGATAAACTTAGGCATGATTTGCAACGTGAGATGATCGAGTTGTTTCGAATAATAATGCAATCTGCAATCATACGCTGTTAGGTATTCTTTTGTCTATGCGTTCGCTTTTAGGGGTCCCTAGAGCCTGGAGCCTTGACTCGCCATCCGCTTCAGATTCTGTCAAATTGAGTTCCTCATGCAAGAAGAGCATCATCCTGGCTGGCAGCTCAGCTCGGCAACCTGCCAATGATCTCTCAGCCGCTATTATGCCTCTAAAGAAAAGGTTTCTTATCGATAGATAAGAAACCGTAGAAGACGAAGTACTGTAGAAGAATGGCATAGCCGTGCTAGGAGAAGGAGGTGGGTTAGTACGTAAGTGGAATGCTATCTTGTTATTAATAGCAAAACACTGTGTTTTAAATCATACAAGACAAGTCTTGATAAGGTTGTCTGCCTTTGGCTTAATGACGACAATCTAAGACAATCGGGCAACTGGTGTGCTGTGGATCCGTTACTCCGCTGACGATTATCGTATCTCCGCAATAGTTGAAGGGGGGCACTAGAGATAGAACATATATAACCTCTGAATATTCCACTCTGCTGGTTATTGTTATTCTTACCATATCAACTCTCACATTCGGACTTTCGCCACAGCTACATCTTTGTAATTGCAAATCGGGTACGATGGACGATCAACAAGGCTTTGCTATCGCCGTGGATGAGGCGAAGATTGGATATGCGGAAGGTGGGGTTCCTGTAAGTTTTCATATTATCGTATCCCTATTTGCACCACTGGAGGACTGACACACGTCCATGGAACAGATCGGCGCCGCTCTGGTCTCTAGGGATGGGAAGCTGCTAGGAAGAGGTCACAATATGCGTGTGCAGAATGGTTCTGCGATCCACCACGTGAGCACGACATACTACAACGAAAATGGATGAATCCACTGAATCTGTAAAGGGCGAGACTGCAGCGTTGGAAAATTCCGGTCGTCTTCCTGCGTCCGCATATAAGGGTGCAACCATGTTTACAACGTAAGTTATCGTGAGACCTTCTAGAGTCTATAACTAAATATGGGTGCAGTCTTTCGCCTTGTGATATGTGGTAAGGCCCCACTATGTAATTATTAACAGGCGACTTGCCGAGGCTCACAGTATCTAGCACGGGAGCATGTATTCTATATGGCATTTCACGAGTGGTAATTGGCGAAAACAAATCCTTCCTTGGTGGTGAAGCATATCTCAAACAGCGAGGTGTTGAGGTGGTGGTTTTGGACAACAAAGAATGTCAGGGTCTGATGGAGAGTTTCATAAAAGAGAAACCAGAGGTCTGGTAAGTGGACTGCATCGGCCCAATCAGCACAGTTACTGAATTTAGTCACAGGAACGAGGACATCGGAGAAGAGGCGAGGGTCTACTCCAAAGAGGCAAAATGATAGCCAGGGTAATGCTACCCTACGTGTGATTGTCTATTTGGCTATTCTGTTACTATGAAATCAGCTCTTAGTCAATCGATGTATTTCCTGGAAGTAAAACTTCAGATCTTCTGGGTTGACGCGTGGTGTGATTCCTATTGCAAAGTTAGACACTCATTAACATACACTGGGAAGGACCACTTACCATGGCCAAGGTTTGCAATCCAGCCTTGCTTTCCGCCGCCGAACCCATTAACCATATCGGTGACAGCTCTGGTAATAGCTTCTCTTGTTCCATATAGGATACCTGGGTCCGCATTGCCTTGCAAAACAATAGGTCGGTCTCCCTTGATCCTAATGGCATCTGCGGGATCTTGCAGCCAATCGAGACCAACGACTTGATATCCAAGACTGCATAGCGCGTCCAATGCATACCAGGCTCCTTTGGCGAAAACGACCATGGGGACAGGTTCTAAATTCAGTTCCTTTAGTCGTTTTGGAAGATTTTCAGAAATATATGCAAGGTACGGCTGCGAGAATTCCTTGAACGAAGTTGGCGACAATTCAGCAGCCCAAGAATCGAAGACTTGCACCAGCTACACAAAAGTTAGCGATGTGCTCAATAAATTGCGATCTAGAAAAAACATACCTGAGCACCAGCCTGAACCTGCAGCGCCAAATGTTCAACACAAACTTCCGCAATCTTTTGCAAAAGGTCCTTGCTAGCTTGGGGATACCTATAGACCCAAGTCTTCGTCTGAATGAACAGTTTACTTCCGCCGCCTTCAACCATGTAACAGAGTAGGGTCCAGGGCGCTCCGCAGAAGCCGAACAATGGCACCCTCCCCTTCAATTTATGCCGGGTCATGGTGATAGCCTTGTAAACATAGTCCAATTCCGCCGCAACGTCGGTTTTTCTTGTTAGGACCTTCTGATACTGTCCGTCGTCTGGCGACGTGAGGGGGTCCGGGAAGTGCGGGCCTTTTCCATCCACCATCTCGACGGTCATCCCCAGAGCCTGGGGAATGACCAGAATATCAGAGAAGATAATAGCGGCATCGACGAGCCCCTCATATCTCTCGATAGGTTGGAGAGTGAGGGTCGAGGCGATTTCTGGCGAGCGACAGCATTCGAAAAAGTCATGTTTACCTTTGGCTTGGTGGTACTCGGGAAGATATCGTCCAGCTATGCGTATTTGAGTATTAGTTATAATGGACTCGCAGAGGGCATTTTAATTGCAGAGAGGGATCGCACCTTGCCGCATCACCCACATTGGTGGTCTTTCAACCTTCTCACCTACAAATCAACAAATCAGCTCAGTTCTCCTTCGTTGTACACACAATAGTATTGGTGGGGAAACGGAGCACGAACCCCATGCTGTTCTGAGGATCAAGTCGTTCTTTAAGGGTTCGAATTGCTGAGCCATTTTTACGTGTCGTCGAGAGCGTATTTGGAGGGAGATGTGGATTTTACTCGAGTGGGAGATGTCCAAGGCATTATGTTTGTCTCTCATGTTTATTCTCCCCCACCAAGGCTGGAGGGACAGTCTACCGGCCAGCCGGGGCCAGATTGTGTGGCGCCGAGCACCAGCCAAGCCTGGTCAGATTTACTACGCTGTTGTATTAGCGACTTCAACAATTTCGACCGCGATCTCATTTCCAATCCAGTCTCCAAGCTTCACGGTGCTGCCGGCACATCAATTGGGCCTCGACGACATCCCTAACGGGGCCTACAGCTTTATACACTTCTTTTGCGAACCTACCGATGCTGAATTAGCATGCGACCATCCCCATCCATGCCGAAGAAACAAATCTGGTAGCTCATGCCCAGCTGCACTTTTGCCTGCCGCCGAGCAGTGCAGCGCAAGCTTCCCCCATCCTCCGATACGATATGGATATCCGACGATGCGTTACACCATGCCTTCCAGCGGTTTGCCCTCCACTCGACCACCACAAAGCGCCATGGCAGCTTTGTGCCAGGTCCCTTGGAGGCTCGAAGACGACTCGGAAAAAGACGAATGGCGTACGCCTCTGAGCCTACCCCTACTTCTCCATTCACATTTGGATCTCTGTGGAATATATTTGGGGGGGAAGATAGGACCAGTTTCCAGTGGGAGGCACCTACCACGCGCTCTCCAACGCCAGAAGCCTCAGTGGACGTGCCCGTGAGCCGGTTACCAAGATCGACTGTTCAGTCTCCACCCACCGCAGCGATGTATGAGTTGGAAAGCAACACCAAGCCAAGCCAGAAGCCTCCTACGGACCTGGGATTGGCTGCGAACCTCTCTCGTTTTCGAAGGGGTATTCGGCGTCAGGGTAGTACAGTCCATGTCAACAACTGCTGCCAAAAGTTCAATAAACGACTCAGGCGAAATTTCAGACAAGGAGAAGTTTCCGATACCACTCTACAAGTCATTGTTGGCCCAGCAGTAACAAACGAACTACGGGCGGTCTTAGCCGACCCAATGTTGTCCGAACAGCATCGCCTTGCGTTGTACCAGACAGTGTGGAACGGGATGTCCACAAGCAAGACCATTCAACTTGCGGACTTCGATGGTGTTATATTGGACGAGCTCCTATGTCGTCTATCGGAACTGACGATTACACCCGAAGTTTATACGATGGCAAGCAGCATTATTCGTTCCGCTTCTATCGCTCAACACAACAGGATGGGAGATGGTCTACATCAACTAATATATGCCTGGGCGGAGTCTTGGCTTGACAATCAAGATCCGACGGATGCCGAATTATGTTCAGTTGATGCTGTCACAGCTGCCAACGCTGTCACTCGCGCAGATCATCGACTATTGGATCTGGACAGTTCAATTGCCGCCCTACACGGCTGCCCAACAACAAACGTCGATTTCGCTGAAGCCCGGAAAGACATCCAAAAGGCTCGAGTTGACATCCTTCGGGGTATAAATGCATTTGGCGAAGCCAAGTATAGCATTTTTTCCTCAACCGAACGTTCTGCCAGAACTCTTACTGAGACTCTCGCGACTATCACCAAGGACGAAGATGTTTTATGGAGTATAATCAAGCCATGTTCCGATGGTATCGCCAAACTTTTGAAGGACACTCCCAAAGAATCCACTTCAAAGCTACGGTATCATTGGCTATCTTTGGTTGTAGACATTACGCCTAAGCACGAAAACAACTTCGTAAGTGCATGGCAGATTTTGGAGTCATCCGGAAGCCCACTTGATGAATCTCTCGCGGGTTCCATTATCCTAAGATACTGGATCAACCGAGGGGTTATAAAACATCCATCTATTTCCGAACGCACCTGGAAGGCAAAACCAATTTGTCACCGAACGTTATCCGGGCTAATTGGTTTACTGGACAGTTATCAGGAACTATCTTGGTTCAACGTATACGAGCTTGTTACAGTGCTATTAAGGCTAGATAATCACACTCTCATTCCCAGGGTCCTCCGTTCAGTACAGCGCTGTCGGTTGCAGCTCCCGGGGCCAGTAATGGGCAAGATTTTGCGTAAATTGGCCCCCCAGAATGCTCGAGCCGCGTACGATGTTTTTCGCTTATGGGGTGCAAGTGCCAGAGACGTGCGTCTCACTCGGTGCGGGCCGTTTATCTTTTCGCTGATCCAAGATACCAAATTTTCACCGGATTTGATCTGGGACATGCTAAGAATATCTGATTACGGAAACGTCCCGTTCTACGAGTGGCCCGGTTTCTCAAATGATCCCCACGACGGCCTATCGCCCGCGATGAACGGGCTTATTCGGGATATGGCATACGCATTCGCACAATCCAAATTTCTAGCCCCGAGGACAGCGTTGAGAAATGTCGAGCGTTGTTTTCTTTACTTGCGGATACGCGGGGAATCTATAACACCGGATATGACCAGGGCCATATGCCATGCTGCTCTCACTAGAGAATTGCTCAAACATGGCAGGGTTTCCCAAGAAAGATTGGAATGGGCTATTTCCTGGATTTATCAGGTTGAAGGGAAACAGGTAGCAGAGGCTGTAGATACGCTAGTGTATCATTGGAGAATGTACCATATTCAGACCGCCCAGAGGATAGAGCGAAGACAGCGATCTTTGGAGGGCGATTTTCATTTTGGCATCATAGGCTAGATGAGCTATATGTAACTATTCAATGTGCTATTATATATTTCGGTTTTACACTTCTGGGGTGTGAACTTGCGGTTGAAGGTCGATTATCATATATTCAACCAGTAACTTGAACATCTTCGTCCTGGACAGCACCGGTTTCTTGGCCGGCGTCTTGCGTAATATCATCCCCAGCTGCTTCACCGCCCCTCTCCTCGCCATCTCTTTTACGCAAGTTTTCGATACTATACAACAGATTCTGAAGTCGGCTGTTGTTACCATCCCGACCCGCCAACGCTTCATCATCTTTCACCAATGCCATCTTAAAACCTTCGTCCGTAACCCACACACCGTTCTCAAAAACGAAAGCCTGGAGAGGGTTGGTTATATTATCACCGACTGGTCTCAGCTGAGTGGCCGAGCCGGGCTCGTATATATCGTCGATGGAGACGAGCATTCGTTTGCCCACCTCGAGTGTAGGGAGATCCGTAGCTACAGATAATGCGTTCCCCTGTAATTTGAGGGTTTGCGTGTATTCCAACACGTTGTTTGCGGTGAGGGAGAATATGAAAAGTGCGGGAATGCTAGCTCAGGTTAGTAACATGACGACCAACGACAGAGGAAGAGGGACTGACGCTTCGCAGGCCACAAGGATCAAATCAAGGAATCCACCATTAGAAGATTGTCGGGTGTGAAAGATCCCCGAGACAGCAACCTTCTGAGATTCCTTCAACGCCGTTCTATCCGCTTCGTTCATCCGCTCACTTAGCACATCCGTAGCATAGCTTTTAATGGGAGCCTGAGATAGCAGTTTGCCAGCTTCCCAGTTCCAAACACTCAAGTAATCATCCCCTCCACCAGAAATGAGTACCTCCGGTCGCTCATTCGGTATGCAAATGCGACTAATAAACTCTTTATGGCCAAGACAGAAGTTTTCAATGATATGTGCTTGTGGGATGCCGCGTGAGACGCGGATATGCTCATCCCTATCGGCAGTGATAATATAATTCCGGTCATTTAGAGTCACGACCAAGAGATCCGTAAGCATTGAGACATGTCCAAGTAAGAGATTGCACTCAAAAGTGGGTGCAATCTTCTCGGGCGCTGCATTTCCGTGCCGCCTTTGGTTCTCTAGCGCTTTACGATTGCGTTGCGAATGGATGGTTAGTTCATTGGCTGCAGGTTTGTAAGGCCGTTCTGATGCCATAGAGGATGCTCTCGTCGCCTGAGCCTGAGGAGTAACTTCTGAGGGCAGTAATGGGAGGGAGTAAACGTCGCCAAATTTATCGGCGCTGATGATGGTCCAGGAGTCGTCCGTAATGGCGAGAGATGATGGCCGTTTAGGCATAGCTCTGTTACTTATTAGATATATTATTTCATTCTAAAGGTAGACTTGACAAACCTCTGGCTAATATGGTTCAGCTGCGGTATTCCATGTTTCTCTATAACTTCGAAAACCCGGATGCTTTTGTCTTCCCCGGTGATGGCAACCACATGCTGAGCATTCTTGGTCACGGCCAGAGCAATCACAGCAGGGGCTTCGAGTCCAGAGGAAGAAGATCCTGGTCTCTTGTTTTGCTTCTGCTTCTTTTCGTTCTTTCCTCCTTTTTCGGGCTCCTTAATATCTTCCTTAGACTCAATGTTCTTCCCATCTTCAGTTGAAGAGAGTTTTCTTCTTTTTGCTGGAGGAGACGTTGTATTCACCTCATTCTCCACGGATGCTGGCTGAGGCTCTTGAGCAGCCAAATTGGCATCTGTGTCTTCAGGAATTGAGCTCGCATTTTGAGAAACTTGGGCAGGAGCAGGAGCAGAGCTCCATGTTGAGCATAATGAGCCGTCAGCTGAGTTAAATATGTCGATATTCGAACCTCTTGCGGCGGCGAGGAGATTGCCACATTTCTTGATATACTGGTAAGGCATTCTCTCACTAAATCTACAAATCTGGCACTGGTTGCACAGATTCCGAAGATGTTTTAGTTATGATGTTGAAGGCTTTCTCAAACATACGATCGATAAATTTATATAGCTATCACGTGATGTTGATATTGGCCAATCAGCGGCAGCCGACAATCCCAAGCTAAGCAGCCGCTCCCACAATAATATTTGGAAAATTGACGCCGATGAATTTCGCGACGCTCAACAATCTGCAACTTTCCACAACTCTTCAAGAGTAACTCCCATTTCAATCTATAAATCTGACCCTTAAACATCCTAGCTTCAATATAAGAAGATATGGGGGGCAGATCAGCAAATAAGGCCGGCTACTTCGACAAGCTGAAGCAGCTCCTCGAGGAGTACAAAAGCATTTTCATCGTCACCGTTGACAATGTCTCTTCTCAGCAGATGCACGAGATTAGACATGCTCTCCGTGGCGAGGCTGTCGTCTTGATGGGCAAGAACACTATGGTAAGATAATAAACTCTTCGCATACTGTCAATTATGCGCAGCTTCTAATCTTAATTTTTCACAGGTCCGTCGTGCTATCAAAGGCTTCATGAACGACAACCCCGAATACGAGCGCCTTCTCCCCTTCGTCAAGGGCAATATTGGATTCGTCTTCACCAATGCCGATCTTAAAGACATCCGAGCCAAGATTTTCGACAACAAGGTTGCTGCTCCTGCCAGAGCTGGTGCCGTTGCCCCCGCCGATGTGTTCGTCCCGGCCGGTAACACTGGTATGGAACCCGGAAAGACCTCTTTCTTCCAGGCCCTTGGTGTCCCAACCAAGATTGCCCGTGGTACCATTGAAATTACTACGGACTTGAAGCTTGTCGAGGCTGGAAACAAGGTCGGAGCTTCAGAGGCTACCCTGCTCAACATGTTGAACATCTCACCCTTCACCTACGGTATGGGTATCTCCCAGGTCTACGACCAGGGCAACACCTTCCCGCCAAATGTTCTCGACATTGAGGAGGCTCAACTTCTCAAGTCGTTCTCAAGCGCTATTACAACCATTGCAGCCATCTCTTTGGCTACAAACTTCCCAACCCTTCCATCTGTCATGCACTCCGTCGTCAACAGCTACAAGAACGTTTTGGCTGTTGCCATCGGCACCGAGTACAGCTGGTCTGAGATTGACGAGTTGAAGGACCGCATCGCTAACCCCGATGCTTATGCCGCTGCTGCTCCAGCTGCTTCCAGTGGAGGAGCCGCCGCTGCTGCCCCTGTTGAGGCCGCCAAGGAGGAATCCGAGGCCGAGGACTCTGCAGATGAGGGATTCGGAGGTATGTTCGACTAAATTAGTCTGGGTCTTGCATAGGATTGCCGAGCAATTGGGACTACGGCATAGGTCGTGCATAGATGATATAGACCATTTGCGGGTACTATGATGTAGCTCACAAAGCACATATCTGCAAATACGCTCTCCATATCAGAAGTGAGGTGATATGAATGCTGGGATACCCATAGTCTGCTTTATTAGCACCCAAAGCTACGAACAAAAGGTCAGTTATTATCTCATTCTTTTTTTGCATCCCCTTCCCCAAGCATGTGATGATTCACTTAACAGCTTTTTAACCCTTAACGGAGACCTCTCCTTGAAGACTAAAAATAACAACTCTAATTTTTTCCTGACTGCTCAATTTGTCCTCTTATAATACAATTTTCGCTCATGTCTATGTACACAAGACTAACGAAATATTATACAGATCCACCCTGCCTTTCCAATACAGCCTTCGCAACATTAATAGCTTCCTCCGGCAGCCCTGCCAACCTTGCAACCTTAAGAGCGTGACTCCGCCTGTTAACCCCCTGCCTCAACCTATGCACATACCTAAAGCCCTCTCCACCACCCTCATCCTCCTCCACATCCGTGCAATAAAAGCCAACACCCTTCATGTCCCCTTTAATTGCCATATCGGCCAAGTCATGAAAATGTGTCGCGAATAAAGTCCTGCATTTATTAAGATGGTACAGGTGATGTAGACATGCAAATGCCACGGCCGTGCCATCAGTAGGTGTTGTGCCTCGTCCTATCTCGTCCATGATCACGAAGGAGCACGAGGTAGCGTGTCTGAGGATCGCGGCCGTTTCCAGCATCTCGACCATGAAAGTCGACTGGTCACGATATAAATCATCTGCTGATCCTACACGGCTGAATATCTGGTCCACGATGCCAATCTCTGCATACTCTGCAGGAACATATGAGCCTACTTGGGCAAGAATGGTAATCAAGGCGTTCTGTCGCAGGAATGTACTCTTGCCAGCCATGTTTGGCCCCGTAATCAACCATGTTCGTTCGACATCCCCAACGAAACAGTCATTTGTAGTGAAACCGCGTCCTTCCCTCTCAAGACCACCTTCGACAGTAGGGTGGCGCCCACCAACGATTTTGTGTGTGGAGGTACGATTCAAGATTGGCCGAGTCCAGTTCTTTTCCGCAGCTAGGAGAGCGAAGGAACTAGCGACGTCGAGTTCGTCGAGCACGATAGCATTACGTCGAAGTTTGACGATATTATAAATAACTTGCTCTCGGAGTTGGCGAAACACACGCTGCTCTTCTGCCCTGATATGGTCTCTACATCGGTCGATGCGGCCACCGAGACTGGTCCATTCAGGATGGTGGAACGAGCTGGTAGTTCTGCTTGAACTGACCCGTTTTCCTTCTACCAACTCTCGCTTTATGTCTTTGCCTTTGATGTGGCAGATGTGACCTAGGCCAGGAGTAGAACGGAGGGTGAGACTTGATGCCCCTAAGCGGTTGCTGAGATCTTCGGCCAGGGCTTGCTTTTTAGCTGCCAATTCTACTAGATCTTGGTGAAGTCGCTGCAGCGTTGGGCTTGCCGCAGGCTTCATGATCCAGGTTTCGTTGTCATCGGAGTAGTATTCTTTGATACTTGTGGGCTTCTTCTTCTTTTTTGGGAGGATGTTAGCATCTTCTCGGGAGCCTTCAGAAATGACGACAGCTTCTGCAAGAGCTTGCATCTCTCCCACTTCGCCATCTTCCATGATTTGCTGTTGAACTACTCCTTCCTCATCTATAGCCTCTTCAACCCGGTCCGCAAGTGCGCTCGGTCCGTCGAGATTGATACGGGAAATCATTTCTCTCATACATTCATCTTCAGCTGTATTCTGAGTAAGGGTCACCTTAAGTTCTTGTGTTGCACGTATCGTGCTAGCCAATCCTAATAGATCATCCGGATCCCCTCGACCGAAGGCAAATTTTTGCAACAAACGATGGGAATCGTGGCTTCGTCTTAGGAGAACAGCGATGCGTTCTCTAAATGTCTCATTCTCCAACATGTACGTCACAAGATCAAGACGAGAATTAATCACACCAATCGAAGTGGACGGAGAGCCTGTTTGGATTAGCGGTCATCAGAACAATGCAATGAATGGGTTGTGGTACTCAGCCAGTTATCAAGCAACCTCGCGCCGCCCTTAGTGACAGTCCTCCGAACTGTGTTCAACAAACTCCCAGTATCAAGATCATCGCGCATAGTCTTCTTGATTTCCAGCGCCCGCATGGTGTTTTTGTCTATTCCCATCGTATCAAGCTGCCTCATCGGTGGTTGAAGTTTCATATTCGAGCCTTGCAGTCGTTCCTCGACATATTGGAGTAGTGTACTGCCAGCTGCCACTTCTTCGGGAGCGAAATCATTTACCGTTCTTGGAGGTACCGGTGATTCTAGCATGGGTGCCCAATCCTTGATGGGTTTAACGGCAGATGGAGTTATGTAGGTAATAAGGTGGCGCTCCTCTGCAAGAACACTAAGAATCCCATGGTCTTTCGACTTCTCAATATCCTCGTCCAAAACAATTTCCCGGGGACCAATGCGAGCTAAAAATGACGGCAGATTTCCAAATGTCGTAGATTGAGTGAAGAAATGGCCAGTGGACAGGTCCAGCCACGCGAGGCCGATAGGCATCTCAGCGAGATTAAGGGGCACAGGATGATCGCTCTTGACCTCTGAGTTTTCCATCTCATCCTTAGCGGGCTTTTGGGCATGAAGGGCAAGGACGTAGTTATTGGTAAACGGGTCCATAAAATTCTCATCAATCAAAGTGCCAGGAGTGATGATACGAGACACTTTTCTATCGTTCATCAAACCACCAGCTTTCGATCTGGCCTCTGCATCATTGCGAAACTCTTCCGCAATAGCAACGTAACGATTCAAATCCTGGACAAGAATCTTAAGATAGCGATCCAGCTGGAAGAAAGGAAACCCCGACTAATATACTCTATTAGCACCTATTACCAACACCGTTGAAAAATAAGGAAGAAAGCGTACCATAGGCACATAAACCGGGTTGGTCTTCGGACCTGTCTTCCTCTGTGCAACTTTTAAATTCAAAAGCGGGCCAAACTCAGTCGCATTCTCAAAATACAATTCGTAGAAACCACCAACACGAGTTAGAAGCACGCAATTTTGAAATCTCGCCATGTTGCTGCGGACTTGCAGCAGTACAGGAGGCAGAGCAGGAGACTCTTCCTCCAACTGTAAGGGCTCTAGTGGAAGAAGCCCTTGAGGAAGGTCCTCGAGTTTGGAATTGGAAGCATTTTCAAGAGGGGGGAGAGCTCCAAGTAGATCCCCAAGTTTAACAGTGGTCTTCCTTTTTGCGCCCCTATTAGGGACGCGCCAGGGCGGACGCGAGAAACGGAGTGCATCATTTCGGAGGTGAGGTTCGTTGTTATCCCGCGCGTGCAAACATCGAAGTTGAAGTTTTGGAAGTATCGTCTGCCATGATGTAGCAACCCGAGGTACGCGATGCGGGCGCAACATTGGTTTGCTTATTGAGGATGAAGTTAACCTCGAATAATTGAAGATGGAAGAAAAGGGGAAATCACCGACTCCACATTATCATTTCCAGATCACGTGACTTTGATGTAGCTGAGAGGTGCAACTGAGCTTGAGTTTGATAGAAAAAATATGCCGGGACTTGTGTTTTTTATATTTATGACATCCGGCTTCAATTCGATAAGTGGCATCCGTTTGTCGTTGCGTTTGCTGAAATCCACACCAAACGGCTCGGTGCAGCACTGTAGCCGAACCAACTTTACACACCCCAATCATTGCAAACAACCAACTCATATACTAAACTCAACCGCTTTTCTATTATAAATGTTCAAATCCAAAAACATCCCCCGTTCCTTCATTAAACCAAAGCCAATAAATTTTTATGCCGTTCCGCATCGACAAGCTTCCATCCACACCAAAATGTCAACCCCAACGTACCCACCATCAAGACCAAGACCCTTCATCCTCGATTTCGACGGCACAATCACCACTAAGGATACAATCTCTACAATATTTCAGTTGGCTATCTCAAGACAGGCCTCCCTCGGGCGTGACTTCACCAAGGCACACGAATCTATAATATCCAACTACGCCACAGACTTCTCACACCACGAGAAAAATTACCGTCCCCTAAAACAAGACCGGAATACGCTGGGCAAAGAAATAAATTATTATAGAGGCCTACGTCCCGTGGAGATTAAGAGTTTTGACCGCGTTAGTGCATCGGGAATCTTTGGGGGGATTGGGGATGAGGAGTGGATTGGGCTAGGGAAGAAGGCTGTCCGAGATGGTGATGTCGTTGTGAGGAATGGGTTCCGGAAGTTTCGTGAGAGGGTGGAGGGGTCTGAAGCTGGGGTATGGGGCATTATATCTGTGAATTTTTCGAAAGGCTTTGTTCAAGGTGTTGTGGAAGCCGGGGGTGGGAATGTTGACGGTGTGGAGATACTGACCAATACTCCAGATGAGAGGGGAGTTCTTCAGGGGCCAAAAATCGAGCGTTCGGATTTGAATGGACAGGTAGTTGCCACTTCTGATGACAAACTAGCTGCGATGAAAGCGCTATTGCAGCTTTGGGGGGAAAATGGATCTTTAGGAAAGTGTGGGTTAGATGGTATTGCTCCTGTTTATGTTGGGGATTCGGGGACGGATATTGAATGTCTAACTGAGGATGGTATTATTGGTATTATCATACGTGACGATGGACATGGTAATGTAGATTGGAGCGGCCTTGAGTTTTCACATGTAAAGGAGTTCCGGGAAACAGATGGTGGAGGGGCAAAAAAGATATACTGGGCTCGTGACTATTTAGAGATTCTCGACAGTCCTCTATTTAAATAGAACTTGTCTACAATACGAACATAGGTTCATCGACCATGTAAATGCGCGCTCTTTATCTAGTCATCCTCTATTTAGAAATTATGACACCCGAAGTCGGGGGAAAGGAGATATTTCTCACAACCCACAAGATGTTCAAGTTGCGAAAGAAAACGAACGAACAATATATAATAGATATATAATAAATAGGTATGTATTCAAATGGCACAATACCAAGATTGGTTCTCATTACATTATGCTAATGCGTGCTCAATCAAGAGCTTGTAGCCCTTGACGGCGTCCACTAGATCCGACACGTTCAGATGCTCGTGGTCGCTGTGAGCCACCAAGATAGAACCTGGCCCGTACAAATACTTCTTGTGGTCGCCCTTTAGATTGGGAATATCTGTTCCATAGTTGACAACAATGGTTTCAAATCCTGAAAAAGTATTAGTCACGATATCCATAGACATTTCAAGGGTGATATTACCTGGTACGTCGGCATCGATATCGATTGGTCCATATCCATACTGGAAAGTCGAATTAAACACCTCACCCGTCGTATTTAGGGCCTTCAATAATATCTCGGCCAAATCAGTAGGTTCCCCATCCGCAATCCTCAACGCCAGGCTGGCACTGGCATCCTCAGGGATAACGTTCGCTGCAACGCCCCCCTCGATTCTCCCAATATTAAGCGTCGTATTACCATACTTTTCACTCCATGGTAGATCAGTATGTAGCAAGGCATACAATCCAGAGATCAGCATCTCATTAGCACTCTTGCCCAGCTCGGGATACCCAGAATGCGCGGCCTTGCCATGGGCCCGGAGAGTCACGCCCATGATGCCCTTATGGCCACTGGCAAGCTTTAATTCGGTCGGCTCACCGAAAATAACCGCTTCCCACTTCAATCCCAAGTCATTGGCCTTGATCATTCCATCGCCGCCCTTTTCTTCTCCGACAACGAAAAGCAGAGCGATATCCCCGGGGCAAATTTTGTCTTCAGCTAGGAGCTCTTCCACGGCTGTTATTTGCGTGGCCACGCTGCCTTTCGCATCGACAGTGCCGCGGCCCCATATCTCATCGCCTCTTCTCTCATACGGCCAGTAGGGCGGGACGACATCGATGTGTGATGATATCAATACTCTTGTCTCCCGCTTGCTACCGAGGTATGCCAGAATATTTTGGCGCGAGGCATTTGTTGCGGAGCCGACGTCTTGTGTTTCAACAGTGAAATTTTGGGCCTCCAGGTACTGAATTAGGTATTTCCCGACGCCGTTTTCGTTTCCGGTGATTGATTCAATTTCAACGAGGTCTTTGTGCAGCGATAGAAGGGATGCTGTCGAGCTGGTGCGCTCGTGAACGGGGTGTTGACCGTGTTGTGGTATTGCGGCCGGGGGAACTAGAGCGAATGCTTGGCTAAATAGCAACGCATGTAATGGAAGAGTATGGAGCTTCATATTGAATGTTTGGCAAGTTGATGGTCGAGTATTGGAAGAATTGAGAAGGGAAGTGGTTTAAGCTTTACCGACTTGACTTTGGCGAGTTGATTGGACCGATTGGGGGCATGGAGAGTGGGAATTGTTGAGGTTTCACGGCTTAACGTCCGCACCTTTATAAGACATCTGAACCCTTCAAAAATGGCGCATTATTGAGTCACTTTGATGTAATGAGTCGTCTTTTGAGATAAATCAAATACGAGCCCGATATCGCGATTTTATTTCGTTTTTTACTCAATTCAGATGTGCCAAGCATTTCACTGGTATATTTGAGTGTCCTACCAGAAAGTCGAGTATTCCCAAGAACTATATCAGCGACTTCACACTTTGTCCCTAACCAACCTCTGCCACTATGTGTTGTATTAACTCGCTTTATAGTTCCTCCTACCATATACTTAATATGCCGCCTTATAATTGAAGCTAATCGCACCTCTGGGTCACTTTCAAATTGAGGTTACCTACGACGTTGTGCAGCTCGAAAATCAATTGCTTACGAATTGCGGCCGCGTTCGCACTATTCAACCTCCAATATATGAGTGCATAGGTGCCCTGTATTACGTCACTTTGACCATTATTTCACTGGTGTTCAATACATGAACTAGACATAACCACTTCGTAGGTGGGGTATGTTGAGATATGAGGCAACGAGTAGGCCGACGCATCAAGAAAACGTCGAAGTGTTCGGCTTATCAACCCTGCTGGCTTTTCGAGAATATGGCAATGCAGGTACAGATATGGTATCTCTTTGCCATGCTACAATTCCGAATATTTCTATTTGTAGTACGAAATAATTATATATGTCACTAAGCACTACTCCGATTGTAGTACTATAATTCGGCATCCTTCCGTCTCAAGTATAAAAAAGGAACGTACATTACTAACAAGTGCGCTAAATTGATTCGCTATTCTAGTAGGGTTAGATTTAAAATAGGGTTAAATTAGAGGAATGCAGAGCGATAGTAGGCTGGAAGGTACTGATTGTGCTAAGTCTATTCTTAGTATTAAGGGATTCAAATAGTGCTCCTTACCACTCTAGGTTGTACAGGATTAATTTAAGCGCCTTATAATGACATTAAACCATGGGCTCAAAATCATCTCTTATGCAGGCTGCTAGCCTGACAAGAGTTTAGGTGACCTTAGGGCGGTTTGTGAGTGGTTTGGTCTTGTGCAGGGTAGTTTGACCCATAGAGTTGTAGTTCATTAAACATTGCTGTAGGACCAATGTGACTGCGAACAAGCTTTGCGTCGTTCGATATGCTTATATCTTGATCGACCTTGAATAACTGAAGGTGCCCACGGTATCGCCGTTTCCTTCCTCGCTCAGAAAGGAACGAACGTCCCATGTCTAACAAAGAAGTATCGTCTAACTCTGTCGCCCGAGAGTTCGACATTCTCAGGCCATGGCCAAGGACTCTTCGTTCGCAAATTCTTCTCATTCTGCGCAGTTAAGAGAGAATCAAACTTGAATTCAGAGTCCACCTTCTGTTCAAAGGCCGCACAAATAGAGCCTCGCCGAAACATAACTTTTCTTCTCATTGTCCCTGCGTGATACCAAAGTCGACTTGCCCATTTGAAATCACTTGGATCGCGACCTTCTCCAATGTCCATCCATCTTGTAACGAACATTGCATTGCCATCTCTCCCATAGCCCTTGAAATCAACTCGGAACTCGGTGTAACAATGCTCGCAATATATGATGCCTTGCCTATTCTCATATCTCTCAATTGTGTCCGAATGCGGAATTTGTATTCCATACCTATACAGACCCAGCATTGTCGCGAACTGGATGTGAGGACAGATGTCAATGCCGCCGTGCCATGGGAGAGGGAGTTTTTGCGAGGATGGTATCATAAAAACTCTTTACTCGCGCACGAGGAGCGAGCCATCCTGGATTCGAGCTGTAGCTGAATATTGCTCTACAAAGCCACTGTGGACAGAGTTCGTCGTCCCGTAGGATAGAAGGTTGATCAAATTAGCAGTGTCGTGGCCCTGCCTGTGAGCTTTCATTGCCATTCGGAAGATCGTCGACGAGAACTCGAAGTGAGTCGCCGTTCTAACATCACTTCCTGAGTCCGCCTTCCAGCATGCCAACAAGGGCTTGCTAGTTAGGAACGTACGTCGAGACGGCAGATGGGTTTCGGCCGAGGACATAGAATGGAATTTGTTGCAATGCGGGCACAGGAGGTGGCAGGGAAGGTCTCGGTCTAAGAGTTGCAGAAACCCATTTACCACTGAACACTCAGCCTTCTTGAGGGGTTGCAGACATTGCATCTCAAGGCATGAATGGAGAGCATGGCAGGAAAGGGCTAAGCTCGCACCTGATTTAAGTGGGAGATAGCTTGCTATGTGGAGGATGAGCTCAGGTGGAAGCTTTCGGAAGGGTGACGCTTCAAGCGCGGGGGGTCTGGCTTCAGCTCCACGCCATTTAAGCAGCTCGAAGAAGTGTCGGATCATATCCATTTCGAAGGAGAAGCTCTTGACTGGAGGGGAGCTATATGTTGTGGATGAAGGTTAAAAAAGAAACGATGCAAGCGGCACCGGAGCGCCCAGATATCCTTAGCACCACAAGCTGGACGACTCTGGCTTGATCGGGAGACTATTGTAACCTTACCCGTACAATCACCCCGGTGGAGCGTAAAGGGGCTGCGTGGGGTTTGATGAGGCGATAAAAGGTGCTAGAGGCTGAGTGGTGTTCGGGCCTTGGTATGTTTTCTCAAGGTTGGAGGATATCGGTGGTTCGGACGCATGTTGGCTGAGCTGTAGAGAGTTGGAGGTCTGCGGTTGAGATAAAGAGCCGTTCGATGGCTGCAACGCCATTTCCAGAACACTTCTACCACGCTGTTGATGGGGCCGGATCACGCAGCTTGACTCACTCTAAAGTGACGCTCACAAATAAAGCCACGGCGATGAATTAGGATCCTCTTGGCTAGGGCATCGGGAAGATTGGTATCTCTCATGTCTCTGCTATGAACACGTCCGATGGCAGGAAAGTATGGGCGTTCGTAGAGCCACCATTGATTTGGTGGATATCAAGCCTAGCGGCCCAAGTGCCGGTGGTGTGACCTATGGCCGGGCGACAGCTTCGGCATATTCCATCGACATGATGAGCCATGAGGCTAAGGAGCTGCGCTTGTGGCCGATTAAATAAGTGAGGAGGTGGTTTATTAGTATAGACGCATTCGAAATCGGCTTCAGTCCTAAACACTCTATGATTTTATACTAGCCCCACATTGTCTGGTGCACTAGTATTATTATGGTTAGATGAATTTGACCCCTGCATTTAGTGACTTCGTCTGCTTGCTGAGGGGTGCAACGGGACAAGTGAACTAATACCTACGGAGTAAGGGTTTAGGTGATATTAGCGGTCCGGGCCCGGATTTCAACAGCAATCATCAAGATGGCTAATATTATACAGTATAGGTCACTTACACAATCAGCTTTCCGGTTTTCTTGCGCGCAACACAACTTTGTTCCTACACACCCCTTGCAGCGCTTGGCATCAACTTTAACTGATTGACCTTAGCTCAGAGCGGGGTATCCCTTGCAACACTAAGATGACAGAAACCGTCTAAGAGTGTTACTATGTATCTAGATACCTTTAGTGCCGTGCTATTACAGATGTCACTCAAAATGATGGACAATAAATCAGGGTGCAGGTTGCGCATGCCATTCCCTGAGGTCCTTAGACACCAATTATAGAGACTAGAAGGATTTAAGCTGCAAGTTGGTCACTACTTAATACTCAGCCACAGCTGAAATCCCTCTAAGGCTTGGACTTCCAACACTTGGCCCGATGTATCCATGGCCTGAACCAAGAGTATCATTCTTCGTGTCCTCATATCCGATATATGACTATCGACGAACTAGCAGAATACATCCTGATCATTCTGTTGAGTTGGTCTGCCAACATGAGACTCATCAGCATGCAGAATTGGGAGATAAAAGACTTCATCTCCGATGACCAAGTCCCACCATACGCCATTCTTTCCCACACTTGGGACGAAGGTGAAGTTAATTTTCAGCAGTGGGAAAACATGGAATTTTCCGACATCAGCCACACAAAAAGCTACAGCAAAATCAAGAAGTTCGGCGAGCAAGCAGCTATCGATGGATTTGACTGGGTATGGGTCGATACGTACGCTTATCTTAATCCGTGCCAATACTCCTAGGTGACTGACGAGACATAACAAGCTGCTGCATCGATAAGAAAAGTAGCGCCGAGTTGGCTGAAGCTATCAACGCAATGTTTCGATGGTACGAGAACGCCGCGGTTTGCTACGTCTACCTGTCCGATGCCATATGGTGTGCAGATGCAGCAATTATGAATGAGAGACTCCGTAAATGTCGCTGGTTTACTCGAGGATGGACACTGCAGGAACTTATCGCCCCTCGTAATGTTGAATTCTATTCAACGGATTGGCGGAAGATTGCAACAAAAGACGAACTTTGTGGCCTACTCTCATCAATCACGGGGATTGATGAACATATCCTCAGAGGCGCAAATCTTACAGATGTTAGCATAGCCAGACGAATGTCATGGGCTTCTCGCAGAAAAACCACCCGGACAGAAGACATGGCGTACTGCCTGCTTGGGATTTTCGATGTTAATCTTCCGCTGATTTACGGAGAAGGCCTCAAAGCCTTCCGAAGACTTCAAGAAGCTATCATGAACACAACACACGATCAGTCGCTGTTCGCATGGGGACGCATCGTCGACCATCCTTCCGGGCTTATCGATAGGGAACAAGAACTCGGTCTCAGCTTAATTCCATGGAAGCCTCCGCAACAGCGAGAGCCGCTTCTAGGGCTCTTCGCTGAGTCCCCCCAGGACTTCAACACTTCCAGTGAAATATCGCCCGTAGACCACGGATACGCGCATCATCTTAACCGACGGCGCCCCCCGACTATAGTCAACGGAGGCGCGCTTCTTGACCTCGTCATTTTAAAAACTCTCGCATCGGCTTTATACTGGGACCGCCCGGCCATCTCTCAGCCACACAAAGCTGAACTTGCTGTTTTGCTCTGCCGCGTCGGGAACACCGGGAGCCAACTCGTTGGATTGGTTTTGCACTCGTGGGGAGATGGTTATTACTCGCGTACAAAAGAACTTGTCCTTGTTGATATTTTTGTCAGTCATGCTCGTTTCCAAAGTTGGACACAAACCCGACATATCATGCCCCAACGCCCATTTCAACTCCGCAATGGTGACATTCTTCTCAGACGATGGATATCTCCGTTCAGGTGTATTGGGGTAGAGAGACCCACCACAAAGAGCGGTCCGGCTTGGCGTCATAAGTGGCATGATACAGTTCTGCGATTACAAGAGGATGTAGTTGGGGACGAAGAGATATCTTTTTTCTTCGAGATACCTTGGGGAGGAGGTGTTGCGATTACTCTGAGGAGGATCTCGAAGACTATGAAACCTATAGGCTCTCTTTTCATCGGTGCTTCGCCCTTCGAGACTACCGGTACCACCCTAAACGATGATATGGAACTGCCTAACTGGATACCGAAGCATGGAGCACCCTTTCGCTGTCCGGCATTCGGTCACGTAATGAAGATTCCGTCAGATACTTGGGAGCTCGAGGTTGAGGATCTGCCCCGAATATACGCCAAGGTCGACAGGGTGTTTCTCGACGAAGGAAGTGGTGCAGTTGACGTTGTGGATTTCATTATCAATTCGGACAGTCGCTCATGAGGCAGGATAAACTAAGTATATTTTCTCCCTGCCGCCGCGTAGATACACACCAATCTAGTTCACGGGATAGCGATTTAAATAATGAACCGAATGTGGAGATCTTGAAAATAAGTAAATTGATTTCTTGCCATTTATTTTAGATAAAAATGTTATGGGTAGCCGGTGACATAGTTATAAGTAGTGCGCGGTGCGAATTCCTTTTAAGGATAAAATTAAACAGAGGGGCTTGCCTCGAACGATGGTGTCTGCTGTGACTTCTGAATCTCTAAATCTCATTTTGTATTGATCGATTCTTTATTCTCCAGTCCTACCTCTTAATATTGACCGTGTTGAGAGTCGACTTGTGATCCGGTCCGCGCGCGCCGCCGAGTCGTAGAGGACAAATACCTTGCGCAAGCGATTTTGTCGAGAACCCGGTCGTTATGGTAGGAGGTAGCGTTCGGGCTTGGTAGTGTCGGGCGGTCTGTGGGGAAAGTTATTCAATATAGGTACACCCAGCTGACTGAATGGCGTTCGGAAGGGACCACAGGGCGTCTACATCAGCAGTGGTCAGAGATAATCGAAAACAATGAATTGCAGCTAGAGAACAGCTAGACTAACATTCCCTTCCCGCGAGGTTGTTGGCGCATGCCTACATCTGCTTGAAGACAGCCTACGATGCGATGTACCGGCCGGTTGCCGCAACTATCTGCCTCTCCCTCTTCTTCTTCGACTCTGCCAGTCGATGTGCCTTACAAGGCGTGTCGGGAGAGTCCTCTGACTAGTGCGTCTTCGCCAAGCCGCAGTCTACCAAGATCTGCTTGACGGCCCGCTCGAGCTCAGTCATGTCGAACCTGCCCTGGAGCTTGCCTCCAAATGTAACTCGGTGGCTCTTCTTCTCGAAGACTTTGTCGGACAGCGAAGTGTAGGCGTCAATGCAGTCGTCGACGGTCATCTACAGGCGGGCCAGCATGATCGCGATGAGGCCGCCGGTGCTGTGCTTACGTTCAAGGGTTCGTTCTTTGAGCTCCAGGCTGCCCGAAAGTGGTCTGGCGCGGTGATGGAAGAGTAGATTTGCATCCTTGGAGTTCTGGGGTAGATCGGGGGAGTAGGCGTATTCGAGGCTGAACAACATGTACTGTGCGGTACTGTATGATTCCGTGTCAATATCAAACGGAGGACGGGTTATTGCTCGAAGGCCCGCCAAACAGCCGGAAATGGGGCTCTATCATGATTAGCAGTAGAATTGACGGAGTGGAGGCCATGGAGCATCAACTACGGAACTTTCCGAAGTGTGGTTTGTACGGAGTAGTTGTAAGTACCGTGCAATGTTGGGACATAGGCATTGTACTCTAGGTAGTCAAGATAGCTAGGACCAGGATACATATATAGTACCTGTCTGGATATTCTCCGCCTGGAGGCCGTCGCTTCCAGGATCCAAGCTCTAGGGGGCGGATGCTCGATCTAGGTCGAGTAACGTAGCCTGTCGCAGGTAGAGTAGATGGATGGGCGCAGTGGCAATTTGCAAACAGAGGGATACATACCACAACCACTGTACTCTACTCCGTATGGCTCCCATGGCGCTGGCACTGGCAGATCCGCAACGGAAACGGGTGGATCACGGGGGGCGACGAGCCCAGATAAAGTTTCTGTTGCACGTCGCAATTCTTGCCCAGACGCCCAGCATCCGGTCTGGAGCAATCTGGAGTTGCTGGGTCGTGGTTTCACGCGTCCTCGGGAGCGAGGGCGTGAAAGCCATGAGTGAGGGACGAGATGTTCCACGACAGTCTGGCCCGCGTCTGCCGCCGAGTTCTTTGGTGGTCCAGCCCTATATTAAAAGCCCAGCTGAGAGCGTCGAGATGGTTGAGCCAGTCGGTTCGAGCCCCAACTTAACTTACGAAGTACCAGGCGTGGGGAATCGCCTACGGCGGCAACTTGATACTGCGTAGATGGTGTTCGACGGGAATCTATAAAAGAATACAAAACACCGAACGAGACATCTTCGGTCCCGAGAAGATACTTCGGTACGGCCCCAAGTACGGCGTACGGAATGAAGATGCCCATCGTACGGAGTACTAAACGCACTACCGGAGTCGAAAGTCTTGAGGATTGCGACAACACAACCTGAAAAGTTGCCACTCCTCCCACTCAGTCCCCTCAGTCCACGCCACAGCCTGTGGCGACGACCAAAGGACGCACCCGTACCTGAAAAGAAGAAGAAAAGACGACGCGTAATACCGCTGTCTGATGGCTACTGCCCAATCACCAACCGTCGAAGCCCCCCATCAAGTCGCACGGCTTTCCTGTTCATGGTCCTAACCAGCCTAATTCCTTAATTCCGTATATGAGATGAGTAGTGAGTACGTATACCCATTGCTGGCTGTGTGAATCATCGACGGAGTGGGCGAATATCTATTCCGCTGTTGACGACGCTTGTGCTTGCCTGTAGGTTTGGTTTCTATCTCTCTACTATATATATATATATATATGTTCTTCTTGCTCCTTTCCTTCCTTCAATACACACACATCCTCCTCTAGCTTTCCAACAGAGTAGCTTGCCTCCTCAAATCACTTAAACACAACACAATTCAGTACATACGCAAATATGGCATACAACAACAACTACCAACAAGGTCCCTTCTGGGACTTTGCACGATCATTCGGTCAGAACGGAGCAGGCGTTGACCATCCTGCCGATGGCTTTGGCTCTTTTGGGCCCCCGCCATATCAAGCACACCACGGAGGCTTTGGCTTTGGCGGACCACCAGGAGGCTGGGGTTCAGGAGCCTTTGGCTCTGGTCCCTGGGCCCGTGGCGGCCACCACGGCCGTCGTGGACGACATTGCCACCGCCGTGATGGCTCTCATGAGGGACATCGACGACGATCTCGAGATCCACCCGCGGATGGGGAAAATCCCGACGACTCAGAGGAGAGAGAGAGTTCGCCCCATGGCCGTCGTGGCAGGCGAGGTCACCATGGTAGAGGAGGGCATCGCGGTGGATGGGGAGGCCATGGCCCCAGAGGACCACCCCCATTCGGAGGGTTTGGTGGTATTGACCTGAACGGTTTGATGGCGGCCCTCTCTACCCACCCATTGGCACAGACATTCCGCGACTATGCTGGACAAGCTGGTTTTGCGGCCGGTGGCCCACAGCGATCAGGGGAGACACCCGAAGATGTCGACACCGAGAACACCTTCATCCCACCCATCGATGTCTTCTCCACCGAGAAGCAGTTCGTGCTGCATGTGGCTTTGCCAGGAGCCCGCAAGGAAGACGTGGGAGTCAACTGGGATGAAGAGAAAGGAGTTTTGAACTTGGCCGGCGTGGTATATCGCCAAGGAGACGAGGCGTTTTTGGAGACGTTGACCCAGAGCGAGAGAAAGGTCGGCATGTTTGAGCGCACGATTAAGCTCCCGCCTGGAGATGGGGAGAAGGAGGAAGTCGATGGCGATGCCATCACTGCTAAATTAGAAGATGGGATCTTGGTTGTCACTGTGCCCAAAGTGGAGAAGGAGTGGACAGAGGTCAAGAGAGTTGATATCGAATAGACCATGGTATCATAGCTTGGTAGTTGGGAGTCTGGGCTGGCGTTCGGAATTTGGGGATAATGATGGGTCTTTGAACTGTTTTCATTGATATGATACTTTGTGTATTGGCAACGTAAAAGACACTTCGTCGAAAGAAAATAAAGAAAAAATATCTGGATTGGACTTGCTTAATTGCCTTGAACGTGACTGAAAATTGACGAGTAATAATACTACAAATTTCGTATAATAGCTAACGTCTATCCCTGCATGCCGGAATGACTTCATAGTTTAGGGGTATTAAATCTCACTATATAAATATATAAAGTTATAAACGTCCGTCCCTAGGTGGCGAGAAACCCGCCGTGCCGAGACGAATCTATTATTTAGGGGTCTCAAATTTCTCCCTTGCAAGTATATAAAGTTATAATTAGTATACCGTTATTCTTTAGCTGTTTCTCTACAGGTGTTCAGTTTACTATAAGAAAATACTATTAATCGTCCTGTCGACAGCGTCGAAAGCCACTTTAGCTATTCCCCCTTACTTTATTATAACTATTAGCTTATCTTCGAATTTCAGAGTTATAGTACGAAGGTATTATTAAGAAAGAATATAACTCTAAGTTTGAAAACACGGAGTACAGTAAAAGTCGAAATCGACGTTAGTACGAACACTCAATGATTTTAAGTTTCGGTCCACGTTTTATACACTAGAACTATCACCGCTAGCCCAGCTTGCATCTTGCATTAGCTTACTTCCTTGGCTTCCAGACATCACACGTGAAAGCTACATTACGGCCTACGTAAGGACTCAAGGACATTGGCAGGCATCAGGCCGCAATCGGCCTTGGTCTACAGTATCACATAATAGAATGACTTGTTGCCTAAGGATTGTAGTTAGCCTTATACAATGAACGGCAATCCACCTTATATATAATAGATAGTTTATTTTTCTTGACTGACAAATGGAGCTTTAATCTCAAAAGTAATAACCTCCCTCAATCCACTTCCTAGCAGCGGCAAAGAAAGTTCTTCCCTTGCCCTCTCTATTTCCTGAAACCCGCACTTCTTTAGTACCTTCATGCTATTTAAATTCTCGCCGTCCGTCTTAGCAATGATTCTATCAGCCGTCGGCCGCAGCTTCCAAAAGCGCTTGACAAACTCCAACACTGCCTCTGTGGCATATCCACAACCCCAGGCTGACGGGTGGAAGGTATAACCCAGCTCGGCGACCGGAGAGGTACGATACACGCCAAGCACGCCAATCATAGGCCCATTCTCTTGGTCTGATATATCTGATCGAATGAAAACCGCATAGTTCTCCCCGTCCGGGTTGCGGTTAGGTAGAAGTCCACCCATCCATTTCTCGCTTTCCTCTAGTGTTTTACAGATGCCACGAGAGCTTATACTTCGTTAGTTCAATATACATCACTTCATTAGTATGCTACTAACCTCCACTGGGTCGCCTCGCTATTAGACCAGATATTGTGGAATCCTTCCAAGTGTTCGGCAGCTATCTTACGGAGACTAAGCCGAGGGGTCTCCATGTTCCACTTGACTCATGTATGGAAATGAAGTATGTAATGAACGAATAGATTTAGAGCGTGTAAGACACATCAATAGGCAATATAGCTGGTAATTATTGCAGATAATTGTATTGCCAGACGTCCAGCTCGAGTTTATGCTTAGGTTTGCTAAATCCTCCACATGCAAGAGTTTATGTTCGAAGGAATAAAGTATTGCCGATGTCAGCTAATACTTAGGCAGCAACCGCATTTCACGTGTATCGCTCAAGAGCAGGGGAAGCAAGCTAATGCGGGGTTTGAAGCATAAGTAGCCATAAGAGTGCTAGCGCAAGTGAAATATGGAGCCAGACATAAAATCATTGAGTGCTCGGACTGACACCGATTTCGACTTTCACTGTACAAGGAAACCTATATGCTGGGTTTATCCGGACAAAGGGGGGAGGTACACAAGACGCCAAGCGAGTTTATTGTGCTTATGCCTTCGAAATTTAGCTGAAAGCTACTGTAAATAAGAAGGTTAGTCGAAGATAAGAGAGCGCGTGCCTTCGGCCTTTTGTTGTTCCATTCGGCCCAATTTTAATCCGTTCCCGATTGTTTCAGATAGTGTTAAGTGGTCACGTGCAATACTTTCTTACACTGTGTTTCTGCTTTGTACAGTAACTTACTCCCTCGACAAACTCGGACTAGGCAGGCAAGAGAGCATCCATATCGGGCTACTGTCGCAGATTCTACAGTACTGCAAAAAGCAACACGTGGTAATGTGTTTCATGGTGTCGCTTCATCCAATTATGGGGGTGAGGCAACCCAAGCTGGGCGTTCCTCAGCCTCGCACACCAACGTGGACACAGAAAAGCATTTACTTCGTAATCCTCATCAACTTCTAGCTACATTCGACACCTCTACAACACTGGCATCACTGAACTTTTATCAATATGTCCTTCGGATGGTCTGCCGGCGACATTGTTTCTGGCATCAGCACACTCGTAAAAGTCGGCAAGGCTCTTAAAGAGACCGGTGGCGCTTCTAGTAAGTACCAGGAAGCCTTATCCTTTCTCACAAGCGTTGAAGCGACCTTGAGAGGTCTAGAGACGATCGTTACGAGTAATCCAGATCTCATCTTGAATGATGAGTTGGTGGAACAGGCACGTCTACTGAAGTCTGCTATGGACGACTTCAGAAAGAAGGTTGACAAGTACGATCTCTCTCTCGGCTCAGACTCCGAAAGACGTAAAGTCAGGAGAATCCCAAGGGAAGTTCAATTTGCGTTATCAGAGAAGATCAAGGAGCTCCGAACCGCAATCACACAGCCTCAACTGGTTCTCGATGTTTGCATCAATCTTCAAACGCTGTAAGTTTGGTCCCCCAAGATAAATACGACGAATACCACCAACTATTAATAGATCATCTATTCTCGAGCTTTCGCAATCGAACGCTCTATCCCAAGACAGCATTCGGACGTTGATAACTAAGATTTCCGACTCACTAGCGACGATGAAACAATCTGTAGAGATGCAATCAATGCAAAGCACCGCTACAAACCAGGACCTTCGGCGAGGGCAGGAAAACATTGCACAATCTATGCAGAAATTTTCCACTTTAACGAATAATCGCTTGGAGATACTTCTCCAGAAGGACAGTACGCCTCAAGTTCCAGGTGTCACGCCACTACAAGTTGCAACAAGTGCGGTCCATATTGTTGCCACTGGAATTGCAAGCGCAATGGCAAGCGCAATGGGAACTTTAGCAGCCCTTCATTTCTATGCCCCGAAGTCCCATCAGCAATGCGAGGCACCGTCTTCAGACCTTGTAAGATGTGCACCTAACTCGCCAGTGCCGGCCAGATCTCCTTCCGACGAAATGACCTGTAAAGAAGCGCTTGCTCGTGCCGCTAGATGTTCAAGCTATAATTTGGAAGAAGTCCCGAGCGACAGGCAATATCGTGCTGGCGCTCCTCAGAAAACAAACCAGGTTGCTAATCCGGGTTCCCATATGGAAAGTGACAGGGACATCCACGATCCACAGGCTGTTCCCTCCTCTGTTGTACATTTTGGCTCTGATCTCTTTATTAATGCACTTGAGCTACTTGCTACTACGCAGATGCGCACCTTTGCATTACAGGCGCAAGACCTAGGAGGAGTGGTCGACGAACCACACAAATCAAAACACCATTCGAAAAAGCTCCCCTCGAAACAGTCTTCCGCAATATCGTCTTCCACGATATTGTCTTCCCCGAGATGCTCTTTCATGAAACTGCCTCTCACGAAATTGTCTTCCGCCAAAATGTCTTCCGCACCCGAAGAGCAGGTTGATGGTATGGAATGGGAGTGGATGTGTTGCCAATGCCTACTACCCATATCCCTATGCATGACCATCGAAATGGATTGCTGCCCCGACTGCTGTCATATTAAGTGCGAGGATTGCACATTTGAGTATCATGGTACGCATTGAGAATGAGGAAAGGCGAGGAGGCGGAGAATATGTCGGTTTAGGCAATGAAAGTTAGAAAAAGAATTATTGGTAGAGAACACAATGATAGGGTGGATAGTATGGAAATGGCAGGCTTGACGTATAACATTAGGGGCCGATGGGATGTAGCTGCAAGTGATAGAGACTCGCAAGAAGAAACTCGGTGCGGACCATCCAGACACGCTGACCAGCATGAACGATTTGTCATTTACGTGGAAAGGAAACGCACAGGAAGGGCTAGTTGGTCACGTGTAATACATTCTTTTTTACACTGTATTTCTGTTTTGTGCCAGTTCGTCTAAATCCTTCGCATCGTCCAGGTACTCCAGATACAGCTGATGGATACATCGGTCTGCTCATTTCGAAGGCTTCGTGTGAGCCACAGGCTAGCACCCATGTTATGTTATAGCATATTATACTATATTTATATAAAATATAGCGTTCTTCTAGAAGTTACTATGCGTAGCTACATGTCCGTTTTCGCTCTGAGCTGAGCTGCTATTCGTTCCTATCCCCATCTTCATCATCGCAGTAAGTTAGTATGAGCGACCGCGCCAGTGAAGCCCTTGTAGATGCCTCTCTGCCGGGAGTGCCCTAAACATATAATACTATATCAAAATACAGTAGAGTCCCTCTTTTTATTCTCCATTATTATATATATAGGCGACGCTGGAAAGAATAGAAAGCCCAACGTCAAAAAATATCTCATTCCGTCGGGAAAGAAAGCTCAAAGAATTTTTGAAAATAATATCTAACTTTAGAAATCTTATACGAATAAAGTTTTTATTTTCATTAATCTTTAGTATCGCTTACTAGCGTTCTACGACGAACCCTTCCTTCCTTACTTTAGATTATTTCAATTATACGTCGATTACTTTATTTCTATCGAGTTAGTAACCGCCGTCGCAGAAAATATAAGAACTATATAATATAGTTTAAATAAAAAGAATGAATCTTCTATAATATTCTATATATAATAATTTAATATATTTAGAAATTGTATTTATAATAATATCTTAAAAATATATAAATATTTATTCTTTTAAACTTTTCTTTATTAAAGTTATAAAATTATATATAATAGAATATAAAATACTTTACTAAAACAGCTAAATCTTATAATTTAATAGCTTGACTACTTCGATATACTTATTCTCTGAAGCTTAGTATAGAGGTGTCCTTCCGTCTACGTCAGCTATAGCTGGATCAGCCCCTTTCTCGAGCAGTAGCTTGACTACCTCGACGTGCCCGCTCCTTGAAGCCTGGTAGAGAGCCGTCCATCCGCCCCCGTTAGCCGCAGTTAGATAGGCACCCTTCCCGAGCAGCAGCTTGACTACCTCGACGTGCCCGTTCTCTGAGGCCAAGTAGAGGGCCGTCCATCTGCCCCTGTCAGCTGCGACTAGATCGGCACCCTTCTCGAGCAGCAGCTTGACTACCTCGACATGCCCCTTCCCTGAGGCCCGGTAGAGGGGCGTCCATCCGCCATCGTCAGCCGCGGCTGGATTAGCTTCCTTCTCGAGTAGCAGCTTGACCACCTCGACGTGTCCGCTCCCTGAAGCTTGGTGGAAGGGCGTCTCTCCACTCTTGGTAGCCGCGTTTAGATCGGCCCCCTTCTCGAGTAGCAGCTTGACTACCTCGACGTGCCCGTTCCTTGAGGCCCAGTAGAGGGGCGTCCAGCCGTTCTTGTCTTTACTATTCGGCATATATCCTCCTAACTCAATCAGCAAAGAAAGTAGTATCTCGTCGCCATACTCTGCAGCATAAGAGGGAACACTCTTCCGCTGTGAAAAACAGAAGCTGCGTCCGAAGTTGGCCCACTTGTTTCTATCCTGGCAGTACTGTTTGCATAGGTTATAAAGCGGAGACTTCGAAGGCTGGGTTTCTGCTTGGATATCTAAAAAACTGCAGATAGCTTTACTACTTTTAGTAGCAAGCGCCGCAAAAAAAGGCAGTCCATAACGCTCATCCTCGATATTGAAGCAGGATTTCCTCTCAGGATGAACTCGTATAAGGTCTGCCAAGTTCTTCTCCGCAAGAAGATAAAGCATACTAACTGACATTGTATATCGCCGAACTTTGTCTTTTTCGAGAGCATTATTGAGCCATATCCATCGTGGAAGAGGAAAATCCGAAAAAAAGCCCGCTTGGTCTACCCCATTCTGCTGAGCGCTATTAGAGTGTGAAAGAATATTGATAACCGAATATTCGAAGAACGGAAACTTCATCCTAATAACATCTCGCATTTCTTTTGTCTCGGACGTCGACTGCGGTAGAGGGTCCGGTATATCGACGTCTTTCTCGATTAAAGTATTCAATTGAGCCAAGCAACAATTTCTCAAATTTTCGTGGCTATGCCCCACGAAATTGCCGGAAGCCCCAGACCATTGGTCCTCATATTTACCTAGTAGGAAGTCTCGAACAGATTCGTGGATAAACTGGACCTCGGAGGCCTTCCGCGTGACTTCGGCCAAGCCTTTAGAAGAATTTCTGACGAAAGTTTTCATTTGGTCTAAATCTATATCTTCTTGATCCCAACAACTCGAGTATTTTTTGTCGAGAGTAAGCTGGATAGCGAAGTAGAGCTCTTGTGGCTTAAGTGGACGAGTCGCGAAAAGGACCCATCTAAGACAGACTTGCAATTGTTCAAGGTTTTCTCCGTCTCGTGTAAGGATCATCTCAAATAAGTCGGCCAGTTTGGGCGGGATTTCCTTAAGACGCTCACGGATTTTCTTGATTGAAATAGAATTGCCAGGATATTTAGCGTTGAGAATATCAAGAACCAAGACGACCCAGAGGAAAATACCGGAAGATTTCTCGAAGATTTCGGACCCAAGTGACTCGGCTTGCTTTGACTTGCCTAGCCTGAGTTTCGATTTGATATATTGTTTGATATCTTCCATATGCCCGGTTTGACCATCGAGGGTGACTTCGACGCCCTTCTGGATAACGACCGTCGGATATTGCCGACTCGAGAAACATATTTGCAGCTGAACCTGCGTTTCTCTCGCGCGATCGCATAAATCCTCAAAAAAAGAAAGCATATCCGTAACCTGGCTCTGGTCGCACTCATCTAGCGCATCAACAAATATCGTCAATGACCGACTCCCAAGCTTCTGAATAGCATGTGCCAATGTCTGCTTTAACGCCTCCTCATGCCATCCATTCCGCTGGATGCCCCTCGCACCATCGGCTGTCATCCACTCTAAACTATCTCTTAACTCCACCGCCTTCTCGAACAGCTGGTGGAGAAGGGAGCGGTAAAGACCCTTTGTCGACTTCTCCTCGACCGTGCCCCGCGCGAGGAAGAAGAACGAGAGCGTGATTGGTGAGGGATCGCCTTTTGCGCCGACCTTGGTCTTTTCGAAGAGGAATTTCATTAGAGTTGACTTCCCCGTGCCAGGATTGCCTTTGATCCAAAGGAGGCCATTGTGGTCTGACTGTTGCGCCACGTCGTTCCAGGATGTGTATTCGGGTTTGGTGAGGAACCAGCGGCAGGTTGTTCCTTGAGCGGCTGTTAGACTTGTCAGGCGCTCGTCGATTTTTGTGAAGTAGAGCTGGTCTATCAGCGACTGTTTCGTGGTGGCGTCGATATTATGCACAGAGTCTTCAAAATAGATTGGCGTTTCAGGATTAAGAGAATTCGAGTTGCGAGAAGAAGGAACAGACGACTGGCAGTGTAGAGTCTTCAATCGTTTAGTGGAACCTGAAGTAAGCGGCGAAAGAGTCGATAGGTTTCCGCGATTCCGCTTCCTTTCACGTTTATGAAGCTCCTCTTCAAGCCTATCAAATGCTTCGTCCTTCCCTTCGCCGTAGATGAGTGGCATAGAGACGCCAAAAATGCCCAGTAGCGAGTACGCCTTGTCTTCCTGGCGAAAAGTCTCACGATTTGCTGCCCACGACATTCGCTCAGCGAAGCTGAAATCACGTAACGGGCTTCCTCGAAGGGCCTTGACCGGAATTTCCGTTGCCTCGCAGATATATCCTTCTAAGGATATCTTATTACCTAATAGCTCCCCTTCTTTCGAGAAGAACTCAACTGATGCCGGCGCAATAAGCTCTTGTAGAGTCCAGCCTCGAGTAAACCATTCGCTTCTCCGAAATGTCAATTCCCAGGGCTCGTTGAACCCGTCGGCCGAATCGGAGCGAGATCGCGAAACATCTGGCAAATAAACGTAGCACTTGGTCGCATCCTGGTACCAGCGAAACATCGAGTTAATAGCCTCTGCGAGTTCAGTGCTATTCGATTTATCGATACAGCAAGTGTCCACCCAAAAGTATTGTAAACCGTCGCGCCTCGCCTGTTCTCCACAGAAGTCTATCTTGCTATAGCCAGCCTTTTTCTGGCTTGTACTATCCATCAGATCCTTGAAAATGACCTCCTCCGCTCCCCATCTGTGCGAAAGTATAGCATACTTGGGTATATTGCTCTCAAAGAACTCGGCCAGGCTGAGCTTGCCATCGTTGTCATAGTATAGTAGACGCATTATTCGACTAGGTTCGAGGATCGTAAGAGAGAGGGTTCTCGGTAGTCATAGTCATGGAGCCGTCGAAATAGCATAGATGCGAAGTGAGGTTAAGATTGGGAAGAGGACGTCGGGTTGAGGCTGGCGCACTCAGCTGAGTGGCAGCCTCGCGGCAATACCATCGTCGTACATCACTCTTAGCGCGCAAGACCTGGCATTCGCTCGGGCTCACCACTGGAAGTCATAGTTGGCATAGGATATTTGAAATGTACCCTCGATTGAGCCATGATTTGTTCGACAGAAATCTGGGATCCTGAATCTACATTCGATCCGCTATTTAGATGGTGTCCAAGCTTCTACTTGACATTTACTTTCAAATTCAGCGCTTGCTTGCGTCACTAGATGCGGGTAAGAGCGGGTACACTGCTGCAAGGTCGATGGTTGGCCAACGGGTAGTGTGTTCCTGAGAACTTGTGCTGAGGCAGAGTGGTGGCCCATTAGGCTTGGCCGTCGCCTGCGGGCTTTGACCTTTAGCCTAGTTAGTATATAACACATTTTACTGTGTCTCAATGACGTCCTTAAATCTTAAAACGTCCTCAGTAATATAATAATTGATTTAATTAAACTGTAATTGATCTTAGAATTAACTCGTATCACACGGAAGCCAGTTTTCTATCCCTGATTCTCATTTTACCCTTCGCTTTTTGAAGGCGTGCTCGTAGGAAACAAAACAAACGTAACGTCTATCCCTGCGTGCCGAAAAACCTCTGTATGCCGAAAAGAATAGTAGGTACTTCGACTTTAAACATCTCAACTCTATGCACATATTAATATCTTAAATATTTTGGGTATAAGTCGTGTTCTATAGCTACTCCTAAATACTTTAAACCCCTCCTACTAGAAATTTATATTTGCGTCGTCGCTATCGCGCCTGATTTGCAGAGAGTTCCCCTTTATAGCGTAATAAAGTTCCCTTACCACAGCTCCACTATTAAGCTCTTATCACTCCTAATACTTATAAAATGGTTGTATCCGAGCTTTAAGGCTTCAGTACTATGTTGGAAATCGCGATCAGCGTCGTGGCTGCTATGGCACGTAAATTTACGCAAGGTCGCCACACAATTCGGTACCCGACTACGCACGTCTTGATAATAATTACAGTAACTTAAGCTGCGACGTAGTTTCACTTATATAATCATTTTGCCAAGCTTGTGGCTGCTCGGGACTGTGGCTGGCGCGAGGCTAAACTGCACAATGCGCGGCCTTGACCGACAGCAAAATATTATTACGCATCCAAAGTCAAACATGTCGATGAACTTGGCAAGCGCCGCTAAGAAGGCCTTTGGCAAGCGTGCTACAGTTTGCAATGGAGAAGTCGCCATGAACCACAGTCATACTAGTAGCAGCATAAAATATAGTCCATTGTTGCATATCTCTCTCCGGCTCAAGACTATCAAAGGTGCAGCAGCTCGATCAAAATCCTCTATAGAAAAGTGCTATTAAATTCAATTTAAGTTATATCTAACATATCATAGTCGTCTAAAAGGCCATGGTCATCTGGCGACATACAACATATTCCGCAGAGGCCTCTATTATTGCCGCTCTCCCCCGCCGCAGTGATAGAGGCTATCAGCGCCGCTGCTGTTGGACGCAGGGTTGGTTGTATCATCAGCATGTCTTGAATCCATATTAACACAACGTTGTCCGTTGGATAGCTTGTTTCCTTGAGATTTGCAAGTAATTCACCCAAGCAGGAGGGGTTCGTGCGCACGAAAGCCCGCCGCGACCCGTGCTCTAAAAGAAACTCGTCAATGAACTCCACCGATTTGCCCTTGAGCACCGCAGCCATCTCAAGAAAGACGACGCCTAAACTCCAGATATCCGACGACGAGTTCCGAGATTCAGAGTCGGCCACTTCAGGCGCGCAATACTTTGGTGTTATCCCGTTTACCGTACCAAGCGTGGTGCTGCGTGATGCATCCGCGAAGTCAAATGCCAGTCCAAAATCCGTCAACAGAACATTCCCGTGATGCACTAAGATGTTGCTAGGTTTAATATCCTTGTGTCGAACCTTTTCTCCATGCAAAAACTCGAGCGCCCTTGCCAGGCAGCCAAAAAAGGTGCGTAGCTCTTTGTGACTGGCTGCATTAGCGCGTGCAAGGTAGGTGGAGAGGTCCATCTCGGCAACAGGAGACATGATCAGGCCCATGTACTTTGGATCGGTATAGCTACCGACGAACTCCGCTACGTGACGGTGCTTCAGGCGCTTCAGGACCTCAATCTCAGCTATGAATCGTTTGATGTCTTCCGTTCTGCGTCCGCCAAAGATCATGCTCCGAGGCACCCGCTTTCGTGCGTACTCTTGGAAGCTGATCAAGCTAAGGATCCGATCAACCTGTCCAAACCCGCCAGTACCAAGAATACCTTTCTCCTCGAATGGAAGAGACTCGTCGGGATGGAAATTGCAATGTCGTCCCTTGTCGCCCTTCTCAAGGTCTAGAGATTTGGTCATCACCAAGCTCTGAGCTGCTACAAACTGTACGCGCTGACTGGGACGCAGACAGTGCGGGAGGCCACTCTCAGTAACGGGGAACCAGTGGTCGGAGAAACCTAGGTTGATGAAGGCGTTAAGAAGGTCTAGGCAACTGATAGTCCGGAGGGTAATGTACGTTCGCGGAACCTTGCTCCATTGGGTGTTGATTTGGCTCAATAGACGCGACACTTGCTGAATCTCCGAGTCGTTGTACGCCGTTTGTCTTTCCGTGCCTTCAGTAAAAAAGTCGCCAAGGCGGCTTCGAGCGGCTTCCGCGAGTGGACTTAACGTGGCTGACGGTACTCGGGCGAGAATCACGTTCTGCAAAAGTCCTTTACTTGCGAGTGTGTCTTTATGTGTCGTGCCTAGCACCTTCTCCTGCTGCTGAACCGACTGCTGCAACAGCTGCTCTGCCTCGTCATACTTCTGCTGCGTGTAAAGCGTGACTGCCAGCGAGTATCTGCTCCAAAGCGTGTCTTTATGTGTCGTGCCTAGCACCTTCTCCCGCTGCTGAACTAACTGCCGCAACAGCTGCTCTGCCTCGTCATACTTCTGCTCCGTGTAAAGTGTGACTGCTAGCCAGTATCTGCTCCAAAGTGTGTCTTCATGTGTCGTGCTTAGCACCTTCTCCCGCTGCTGAACCGACTGCCGAAATAGCTGCTCTGCCTCGTTGTACTTCTGCTGCCTGTGAATCGTGACTGCTAGCCGGTATCTGCTCCGAAGTGTGTCTTCATGTGTCGTGCCTAACACCTTCTCCTGCTGCTGAACCGACTGCCGCAATAGCTGCTCTGCCTCGTCGTACTTCTGCTGCTCGTGAAGCGTGGCTGCCAGGTCGTATTCTTTCTTTCCTGCTTTCCTATTACTGTTCTGGAACATTATTCGCGTCTAATAGATATAATATAGGGTTGAGACGCTCGCGATCGAAGCTACAACACGTTTGCGTTAGATAACTTGGAGGATAGACGCGGTTGCGGATTGGGTGGGATAGCGGTATCAGCGGGGACATATGAAGACTTTCTCAGCTCGCTCGATTTGAGGTCTATGTAAGGAGGAATAATCTATCCGTGTTCGCTGAGTATTGAAGCAAATCTTCTGATGGTGGAAGTACTGGGTTTCTGCCCGTGAGTGTTGGCGGATGCCCGCGAACTTTCCTTCTCCATGAGGCTGATATGGCGGTGGCAGTGTTGCGAGTGCAGCCTTCGCGCTGGTTGGCTCTGCTGCCACCGTAGTAGGTGACGGCGTCTCTGATGATGGCACCGCATCTTTGCAAACTTCAGTCTTTAGTAATTGCCCATTTTATCAAAAAATGCTAGTATAACAAGTGCGCGATCGCAGCGATTGATAGCTATTACGACGCGAAGGGGCACCCCGCTAAGTTCTGACGCGATGGTAGACCCACTCTCCGTTCTTGGAGCCGCGGTTGGCGTCACATCCCTTATTATACAGCTTACGGATGAATGTGTTAAAGGTAGAAAACCTAAGGATACGGAGAACGAGCTAATATCTTGCAGGCTATAAACTCTACCATGAAGCAGTTAACCTACCCGAAACCCATCGCTACCTTCTCGTGCGCCTTCACATCGAACAACAGCGTTTTCTTAACTTCGCATTAGAGGCCAGCCTTTTAAATATAGATGGAGCAGTCTGCAGCACACTTCAAGTCAACAGGTCCTTGCTTTTAGCTATTCTTGCAGAGATTAAGTTGCTATTCGAAAGTTTTGCAGCGGCAAATGGCAAATATGAGAAGGAGGTGGCCTCTAGTCCAGTCAATTGGGCCGACCACTCGTACCCTGAACTCGACCTGATGAGCCTCCTCTGCATTGCAACGAGCGACTATACACAACTAGAGAGGGAAAACTTGGTTAACAAGAGAGCAGAGGCTGTAAAGCGTCTTCGCGGATTGGGGAAGAGCATCGCGCAGACAGCCCGGAATTTGCGGACTATTGTGGTGGAGCCAAAACGTCTCGTTTGGGCAGCTGTGGACAAAGTTGCCTTTGAACAGCTCATTTCGAAACTGGATGGTTTGAACATATTCCTTGTATCGCTATTGGACAGCTCGCAACTCCGGAGATTGCAGGACTCAATGAGTACGGCGTATTTGGAGATCCTACAGCTTCGTAACGACATCGGGGACCTCACAACTCTTGTTAAGGCGCTCGCTCCGGCAGCAGAAACTGAGCTTAATATCCATGCCGGAACTCTCAACGTTGAGAGCAATGCATTGTCCCAGGCAGTTGCAGAGCAAACGGCGATACAGAAGAAGAAGGAGAGCTATCTAAGACACCTTGCAAATATTAAGATTCAGTTCACCAAAATCAATAATCTGAGTAACAGCACCCTTGCTACTTCAGACCATAGCAAGCTCATCGATAGCCCACTATCACTGGGCGACTTTGACTTTGCTGAAGTGGCATCTGAGGCCGGAATTCTTCAGCGCCGGACGCGGACTACTTACCGGGGTAGGAGAGTTTGGATTGAGTGGAAAGAAATTCCAGCCACTGGTCCTATCGCCGTTAATGAGCAAGTAGAGTGGCGGATTGGACTGCTAACGGATCTCCTTCGCTCGGCGAAACCAGAAGGCTTCAGAGCGGCACGGTGTTTAGGGTATATTAAGATGCTATACACGGATGATGCGACCCTGTTTGGTATTGTATTTGAAGAGCCGTTGGTCTATAGTGCAGAGTCCAAGATCGCCACCCTTCGAGACTTGCTTGAACGACAACCGCATCCATCGCTCAGTGCGCGCCTGGCGTTGTGTGCCGTGTTAGCTCGCTGTGTTCACAGCCTCCATGCAGTCAACTGGCTGCACAAAGGCCTACGGCCGGATAATGTTGTATTCTTCTCCTCGTCCGAATTACCAAGTCTCGACGAGCCATTCTTGTCCGGCTTCGAGCTGTCCCGGCCTAGTATCATGGATCAATTGACAGAGAAGCCGGGATTTGACCCAGTCAAGGACATCTATCGCCATCCGAATGCGCAATCAAGTCAAGCGGACGGAAACTATCGGAAGTCATATGACATCTACAGTCTAGGTGTCTTGATGATTGAAGTCGCTTTGTGGAAGCGAATTGAGGATGTAGTACCTTTGGAGGATCTAGCAAAGACCAAGCCATCTGCGCTTCGAGAAATACAGCCTTGGCTGCTAGGTATGCCGTTGAGCACAAGCTTTCCATTGAAAAATACGGAGTCTGGGTCTTGCCTACAGCAAGTTTCCTTTGCGTGCGGCGATTCGTTCCATGGTATCGTTGATCAGTGCCTTAGAATGGATACTGTAGAGAGTCCTGAATATTACGGGGAGAAAGAAGCAGCGATTGCTTTGAGAGTGCAGAGAGCGACAGAACAGGATATCGTGAAGAAGTTGGATCGTATTGCTAGTTTAGTGTAGCGCCCTATATGAAAACAAGCTTTGGATGGAGGCGAATTTGATTTTGGGTAGGATTAAGAAGCTAATACTGGAATTGATCCATGCCTTAAGGAAGAATGACGGACGGGAGGTAGGCAGAGTACGTAAGGTTAACAGCCAGCCAAAACAAAATGACAGCTAACTACAATAAATCTAGTGCTGCTTGGCGCCGTGGCTCAATTGAAAGAAAGAGTTTACAAAGAAGAAGCCAATTTCGAAGCTGACTGTACACTTCTCAAATCTACTATCTATTGCGAGTCTATCAGTACACGACCCCGAAAGCAGGTATCCATCAGTCTTTATGTGACTTGGCTGTTCGCGCCAACGCATCAAGTTAAACGCATCGCTTTTGCCTCTAATAGCGAAAGCCGCTTCAACAAGGTGGTCGATATCAATACGGATAATGCTGCTTCTGGAGGATGCATGATTTGATGGAGCCGCTTCTTCGATGAAGCGAACTTCAGGTCCTCGACTAGAAAAATGGGCCTTCTTGAGCTCGGCCTCGAAGTAATCCAATGCTAATGTAAAGACTATCTTCAGTCCATTTGCCAGTTTGAAGCTCACGTTGAGCTTCGATCTCTTCGAGCTGAAGCCCTAGAGCAAAGCTCTGGTCGTCGAATTGGAGGAAGGGATCAACGCATGCCATGGCTGAGTCTGGTATGCTTAGTTTGTCTGAGTTTGGTAGTTAGATGATTTAGTGTTGAAGGAGGTGTGGAGAGACTCTCGTTGGGAGATCGGCAGGAGGGGGTGAGTATGGCCCATTGTAGTGATCAGTCGCGATTCCGAGCTATCAAATATATATATATATATATGGATTAGTGGTAATACCTATAGAGGTATCAAAACCCCACCACTAAGGGTATTAATACCACCAGTATGGGTGGGTGTACAGTGTATTGTTGAGCCAGGCTTGGCAGGCGCACGTCGAGCTTGAAATCGGGGACTAGCACGGGACGCGAAGTCACCTGATGAGTTAGTTCTCGCTTACACATATGAGCAAACTGGGATGTGGCGCAATAACGCCACATGTAGCTTGATTTCTGCCTACCGCACTGACCTATCAGAGGCCACCTTTCTTTGTACAGTGGCTGTAGTTGCCCATACAACCAAGCTACACACAGCTACTATTTTGCCATCAAACTTTCCCCCACCCCAACCCTTTTTGCTTCCGCGACCTGTACATGTATCCTCACGATCTTGCCAATCCTTATCTGTGCGAGCTTTGAGCCGGGATTCAGGTCGTTCAAAAGCCAGAAGCCGAAAGTCAAAGGTCAAAGACCTGGTGTTTACTTTCACGATCATCAGTGTTTTACGTCATTCCTCCCCGCAACGACAGCTAGTAGTGAGGCTATTTCTTCAGCATCAACATTGCCGATCTGAGGCTTTCGCCACTGATCTGACTTTGCGCAACATCTTTCGCGGACTTTACTGTTCGTGAAGAGCTTTTTACTACGACTATCCTGGTGGCGCAGGATAACAAAGAATCGCCCTATCCATCATGTCGGACACCGAGAGTCTTGACTATTTGCAAACGGGCTTCGATCCCTCCAGCCTGACGGTCCCTCGACTCCGATCTATCCTAGTCTATCACGATATCGATTATCCCTCCTCTGCGAAGAAAGCTCAGCTCATTCAGATTTTCGTCGATAAGGTTCTTCCTCAGTCTCGCAAAATCCTAGCCGCGAGAGCCCGCGCTAGGAGGACAAGCAAAGGTATCACCAATGCGGATTCACGAGATAGCACGGTGGATGACGATGAAGACATAATGCCGCCACCACCTACACCTCGGACGAGGACGCGGAAGCCATCGGCCAGACTCAAAGCGGAAGAAAGCGAGTCTGATGCGCCAGTCATGAGGACTCCTGCAAAACGGGCTGTCAGAGCAAGCACCAAGCATGTCCGGACCTCAGACACTGAGGCTGGCATGGATCCTGAGGCAGCAAACAAACGTGGAAGGAAGATGCCGAGGAGTGAAACTCGAACTCCAACTCCAACCCTTCCAACGCCCAGAATAAAATCCGAGTATATGGACGACGGCGCAGGCGTATCGCGACGAGAGAGTGCTTTTACATACGACAACCCATTCCAGAGTGGTAGTTCTCCCCCGACCGATAGGAGGGCTCCAAGTGGGGAGCGGAGAAGGAAGAGCAGTGGCGTTATCTCCAGTGCTAGAAAGAGCAGCACTGCTACTAGGCGTCGAACGGATGTGCCAAAGGTCGACGATGGGATCCATCCGCCAACTTCCGCCACCTTTGAAATCCCGGTCAACGAGCTTCATGGCCTGAAGGATATCGACGATAACGGAATTGAAGTCACCGAGGAGTTCACCCCAGAAGCGCAGCTAGAACTGATGCAAGAGCGGGCTGCCCAAGGAGTCGATGACCTAGGGCCTCCAAGACCCAAGAAGCAACAGGCACGAAGTTTCAATAAAAGTGTGCCGATATGGCTAGGGCTCCTAACAATATTTTGTGGATATGCCACCTGGTATAGACAAGAAAAGGTCGCTGTTGGCTATTGTGGTGTTGGTAGACACCATCCTCAGGTTTTCCCTGAAGGCGTTGAGGTTCCTGACTGGATCCGGATTCTTGCCGAGCCAGAGTGCGAGCCTTGTCCGCAACATGCATATTGTTCCGAAAATTTCGAAACACATTGTGAGGCTGATTTTGTTCTCAAACCCCATCCTCTGTCCCTGGGAGGGATAATCCCCTTCACACCGACTTGTGAACCAGATGGGGAGAAAGTGCGCAGGGTTAAGGCAGTAGCCGATCGCGCAGTTGAGGAACTGAGAGAACGTAGAGCGAAATGGGAGTGCGGCGATTTGACCGATCAGTCTGGACTCCCAGAGCCTACTGTCGAGATCGATGCTGTGGAGTTGAAGAAAGAGGTTAGCAAGAAGCGGAGAAAGGGCATGGGTGAGGCAGAATTCGAGGATCTGTGGGCTCATGCCATTGGGGAAATTGAAGGAAGAGACGAGGTTGTGAGCCATGTTGACGGGTAAGTCGCAGTCTATTTTCGTAAACAGCAGTTTCCTCCCTTGCCCTACCAATAATTGCCATCTATTATGGTCCCGGTGTTTCAGGTCCCAGCCCAATGTTATTTCTAAATTATCCATCTATACACATTCTGACAACATCCCACTAACCAGGTACCTTCTTACATCCACAGAGCCCGAACACTCCTCACTAGCTCCTCCCTCGCCCGCCTCCCCCTCTCCTGCTCGATCCGACGATCCTTCCGACTCGCGCTGGCAAGACATCGACTCCAAATTGCTACTGTAATCCTAGCCTTGTTCTCCATTCTTTACGTTCGCCACTTTATTCGGTCCCGTGCTGCTGAAAATGCTTTGGTGCCTCAGCTAGTATCGCTGACCCTAGATCGGCTAGCCACCCAGGCTACCCTCCATGCTCAAGACAGAGAGACTTTCCCTGAGAGCTGGATCAGCATTGGGCAGTTAAGAGACGATGTTCTCAGAGACCAGCATAGCCTTTGGAAAAGAGAAGCATTGTGGAACAAGGTTAAGAAAGTAGTCGAGATGAATGCGAACGTGCGTGCAGCTCAGCGTGAGAGTCGAAGCGGCGAGATCAGCAGGGTTTGGGAATGGATTGGAACCATTGGTGGATTAGAAAGCGGCGAGAAGAGGAGAAAGAGTGGCAGGGTCAGCTGGGGCGTGTATGATTCTCTCAGTAGCCCTGTTAGCGGGAGCGATGGTGGACCGGAGGTGGCTCAGACAAGGTGGGAGGAGGGACGGCCGATTTACTGATGCCAATTCCTTTTGTCGTTTTTGTATTTGTTTTGTTTATTACTATACCTTGAGGGGTTGGGCGAGGGATATTTGTTACTTGTTACTATTGGTCTGCAATGCCCGTGACATGATGATACCTGTTAGATAGGGAGCTCTTAATAAATCATAACGCATTCATATATCTATCTATCAAGCGACCGCTTTTCGATGCTAAGGTAATCCGCGCTATCCAACATGTCCATAAGTAACCGCTCAAGTGCCATATCTAAGTCTGCCTAAACTGGGAGATCATTCCTCGCTATCATTGATACGTCAATGCATCAAATTCGTAGCGCTTTATTTAAAAAAGCTTGAATGACACATAAGACTATAAATCCAACACTGTTAGCACATCCTCTCACAAGCATCAAAAAGAGGAATTAAAAATCTTAAAAACTCACCATCTCAGCCCCGCCACTGCCCCCCTTAAGCAACCCAACACTCTCCTTGAGAAGATCCGACGCCTTAGCCTGCTCGTGGAGCTCTTTGCTATCCCAACCGATAAACAGCTTCACGCCCTTGCCATTCGCGGTCCCATCCTTCTTCTCAATCTCCTCTACGACATCACCGACGACATACCCCCTATATCCAGCGGGCTTGGCGGCCGCGATAGCAGCTGCGAATGGCTGGACTTTCTCAGCGACGTATGAGGGGTCGCAGGCGTACAGGGTGAGGACTTCTGTGACGGGGGCGCTGGTGAGGAGGGTGTGGGGTCCGGTGGGTGTGGTTTGCTGGACGTGGTGGAGGGAGATGTCGGTGATGATGGTGCTGAGGTTCTCCATGAATGAGGCGTAGGCTGGGGAGGCGATGAAGGCTCCGTTTGAGGCAATGGAGTCCCAATCTGTGTAACCGGGTGTTATTAGCATTTATATCAATTATTTTTATTTTTATTTCCAACTACTGTGAGTGTGGTGCGATTTATGTTATGGTTGGCTGGAAAATGATGGCCATATTGTTGTGGTGTAACCCCTCCATGGAGGGGTAAATGCAGGGTAGCTTTGGAAGTGAGAATGAAAATGAGAATGGATTAATTTACCAACTAGCAGTTGTACGACATCTGCGTTGTCCACCTCGCGGCCCCAGTAAGCTCGCTGGTAGCCAGCTTGTTGAGAAATAGTGGTGAGTGAATCTTTCCATGCCTGTGATTCCTCAATGTTTTGGCCGGCCTTGAGAGTGATGGTCGCACATGCTGTAACTGCGGAGGCCATTGTGAGTTTGTTTTGTGGGTAGAAATTGGTATTGAAGGTGGATTTGGTTTTAAGACTGTGAGTATTGAGAGTGTAATTGTTTTTGAAGATGGAGATATTGAGAAAATTTTGGATGAGCGGGGAAAGTTATGAGTTTAATAGATGCTGTGAGATTGTTGCATGAATGTTGCATGATTGTTCTGTCAGACTGTTCAACCAACCAACGTGCTCCGTGAGAGCTGACGTTGAAGGATGCAGAAGGATTGTTTGTCTGCTTACCTCCGTACATTACGATGCGTCGCGACCACAAGGGTTACTGCGCAGTAATCATTGTCAGCCGAAATAGGGCTGGCTAACTGGACCCTTTACTTGCTTACGCCCTTAAAAAAGGAATATGTGACAGTGTTTCGGAGAGTGAGCGAGATATAATAAGCAGTTATGATAATGCGTTCAAGTTCATTGCTTTGGCAAATGGATTGTATACATGGATTACTCCCATTCCCCGTCCTTAAAAATGCAGATAAAGTGTAATAAAGAGCACACTTCGCTCTATCTGGCTTTTGATTGCCCCATCATGCGCCGATTAAAAGTTTAACCCTCAAATGCAAAATGAATAGGTGGTGCTGAAATGATTAAACCGACAGATCAATTAGATGCGGTGTTTTTCACTCTCTATAATCTTGTTAGCATACCCATCAAGTTAATTATCCTGTGAAACAAACATACCGAGTCTTGAATACAGCATGTATAATGCCATTTGATTGCACTCTTGGGTTCCCGTGATGGTGACCAGTCGCTCGTTACTGTTGTCCTGGGGCTCGTTAATCTTGATAACGCTACCACTCAGCTGTCTAATCTCATTGATTTTGGCTCCACCCTTGCCAATAATTGCACCGACCATATCGTTGGGAATGAAGATTTGCTGAGTCAATGGTTGACCAGGTACCAATCCTTGCATGGGCTGAGCTGGTGGCCCGGCATGGGATTGTGGGCCAGCATGAGGAGCTTGAGGTTGCTGAGGGCCAACTCCACCATAACCTGCAACCGCGGGCGAGCCACCGTAGTGCAGGGGAACAGCGGGTTGGTGTGGGGTAGGTTGACCTTGTGCATATGGTTGACCATAAGCAGGAGCAGGCGTGTGTTGTCCACGATCCATGCGGCGGTGGCTATCAGGATGGCCATAGTTACCACCAGCGGGCTGAGGAACATAAGGTACAACCTGCATGCCTCCAGGAACAACTCCAGCTGGACCACCACTTCGAGAAGCGTAAGCAGACGCGGCAGGACCGCCAAATCTCTCTGAGAGTTGCTCGAATAGAGTACTGCCCACGTAGTAAGTCGCAATGTGGACAGCATCCGCAACACCGAGGACAACCAGCGAGCGCTCAGTTGATAGAGGAAGGCAGGAGTCGGACGCATTCAGTCGAGCACCCGACGCTTCTTGGATCTCACGAATTCTGTTACCACCTTTGCCAATGATAGAGCCGATTAGGATATGGGGGATGAGCAGACGGAGCGGGTAGGTTTTAGAGTCAGAATTCGAAGGGGCTTCGAGCGGCTCATTGTTGAGTGTGCGAATAATCAACCCAAACGCCTATAACGCCTCCATTAGCTCCAAAGTTCGTTCACAAATGGATATCACATACCTTGGCAACAGCATCAACAACACCGCTAACCGTCAGGATCCTTTCGACAGCGCCCTTTTCATAATCACTGACAGTGCACTTTGCGCCCGACATTTTCCTGATTTGCGAGACATTCTCGCCGCCCTTGCCAATAACAGTGGCAGCTTCTACGCTGGTGATGACAGCCCGAATATGGATCCAGGTGCTTTCATCATGTGGAAGGTTAGATCCAGTTGTGCTTTGATCCCGGGTGGAGGTCGCAGTGGTTTCGATTGATTGGGGTGCAGCATCTGGGACCACAGTATCGCCTTGCTCGTCCTTCACTTCTTCCTCCTTGGTGCCGTTGGTCGATTCTTTCTTGGTATCAGGCGATGAGCTAACCACAGGCAATTCCGGAGTTTCCGAGGATGCCTTCTGGTCCTCGCTGTCACTTTTGACAACCTTGTCTAAGGCTGGGCGCTTCGCTTCTGGCTGGTCGGTAGGGGCAGAGGGAGAAGACGGGTCCTCGAGAGGCCGTTTTGTCGACTGGGTAAGGGCTGCTGGCGGTGAGGCAGACATGATTCTTTCTCTGTTGGTTAATCTCTTCACTTAAGCTGTGGTCGGGGGGAAGGAAGAGTCCGAAAATAAGTATGGATTGATCGAATTATGTACACCAGGGGGTCTTCGAAGGAAAACGTGCTGGTGTTGATCGGAAGGGGGTGAGCGTGTGCTTGAACGGGAATTGTTGATAAAAGAAGGAGGTCGTGAATAGGGGGCGGGAAGGTGTTGCGAAGATAGAATACAAGTCTTGAGAAAAGATCTGCGGGCTTGTGTAGGAGGGAGGTTGACGGCGAGATGATAGGATGATGACGCGAACTGGTTGATTGAGATTTCTCTGGGAGAAAAGCAGTAGTAGAGACCTCTCCTCAAACCTTTAGACCTTTCAAAGGCCAAATGGACTGCTGTCTCTTGTCGCGCAGGTGCCTAAGCTCCCGTCTCTCTTGTTTGGTTGGATGTTTGCTGGGCAGGGGGAAATGGCGGATGTGAAGGGAAGGGAGGTCTGTCAAAGGTCGCCGACTTGGTGATCTTCAACTTGACTTCAAGGGGGGAAACAAAAGACAAAGACTTCGGACGAGCTGCAGCGGCGATGCAGTAGGTCGATGAGGAACGATGGTGTTGATGCCGATGAGGTTCTAGGATGACCTTGTTGAAGGACCGAAAGTCCTGGGGGAGCAAGTAAGCTTTCCGAGGGTCACGTGGTAATTAGCCCTCCCCCGGTTATTGGGCGAATTGAAGCAACGCGTTCGTCGCGTTCCCCAAATCTCCTGGTAATGCGTGGTGGTACTCTATATTATGCTACAACATCTCGTGCTCAATAACCGTACTCCACAAACATGGCGACTTCATCTCAAAAGTCTCGGGCTGCCGCATCATATGCCACCCGTTTAGACCGGACTCTGAAAGCGCTACAAGACAGGGTGACGGAACAGGAAGCCTTACTAGATGAGGTAATTACAGATTGCAACTCAGTGACCAAGACTAATACTATGATAGCTGCGAGCTTCCACAGCCTCCGTTGATACAGAACGTTCTGCGGACCCGAGGTCCCATTTACTGCAACTCCGTGCACTCACAGCTGTCTATGAGACATTGACACCACAAGAGCCATGGCTTCCCGCAGCCGAATCCCCACTACCTAGCCTCCTAGCCCTTCGCGCGACAAATACCTGTATCAAAGAGACGCAAGAATGCATAACCCAAACGGAAGGCGACTTGAAGGAGGCTCAGCAGCAGCTCGAGAAAGAAGAAGCTCATTTCAGTGATGCCAAGCTCATCCAAGCTGACCTGGAAACCCGCATTTCGTCATTTCAAGATGATATAGACAAGCGGACCCAAAAGTCCCGGAGCCAAGTGGTTAGGGAAATGATGCGTGAGATGGAGGAAAAAACAACACATTATGGCCAGGAGACTGGGAAGCTTGTCACTATATTCAACGAATTCATAGACGACCATCTCGCAGCAATGTTAGCTGCTGAAGAGCTTGGAGGGCCAATTGTAGGGGACATATTGGATGTTGACGAGGATATGCTTGAAGCTGGTTTCAGCTCTCAAGGCAAAGCCAAAAGACTCAAGACCACGGGGAACCCAGATAGGCGCCAGCGTCGGATTGATGAAATTTGGGGTCCGAAGCCTTCAGATAACGGATTATTCGTTTCCGAGGAACCGTGGGATGAGAAACGGGCAGCGACAGCAGAAATGCGAGAGCTGATTGAGCAGCTTCTTAATAGCCTGGTTGAAGCTGGAGGAACAGGCCCTGGCGCTTATGTTGAACTCCAAAGAGAGTCTGCGGCCGCAAGATTTCTCATCAGAGCGAAGGTTGCACAGTTTCATCCGAACGATGCCAGACGGCTTCGCCTGGTTGATTTTGGCGGGGAATTGGAAGATTGAGGCGGCATCGCCTGTTCAATCGATTGAGAGCGCCATGAACTTCCGAAACCAGTCTTCTGCCGGAACATTTCGAACTGCTATTGAATCATGGACGTAATAACATTGGCCTTCTGTGTTGCTCTCTGTAGTAAGAGGCGTGCAGTCAAGAAGCGGTTCTCATTAGTGAAAGGATCTTTGCTGGTATAGCATCCCAATTTCCACTACCATTGGTTCCATTTAGTACCATCGATTCCCAGTGCTAGGTCAAGTCAATGAGGTCCTTAGGCTATACACCCATCGGATTGATGAGTCAATGACATGGAGGGTTCTATTTTATCGATGAAGTTGGGCCTTGAACTTCGCTCACCACCTCTCGGTATATGTGCGAATATGTTGCCTAGAGAACTAACGGCATCCACACACGAAGAAGTTGATAAAGCAGCTAGAAAAGTCGTTCCCGGGATGTATATATCCAGTAGCTGTCGACTCTTCCAGCCACCAACAGTGTTCCGATGCCACTTGTCGCCGGAATACTTTCATTGGCAAAGCGGCCAAAGCCTTCACGGCCTTGTGATCGATTTAATTCCTCTAGCTTGAGGGGAATACCTCCGCATAACAGTATGTTGACATGTTGGTGACAAATTCCAAGTGGCCACCAGCCAAGTCTCATTAGCAATTTAATGCGATGAGGATGGATTCCGTAGGTAAGATCGATAGTCGCAAAAGATCGTGACAACCGTTATTCCGCTCCGCATCCGTCAGACGTGGAGCTTTTGCATACGAGTACCTAATAGGGGTTTCAGGTTGAGGAGGATTGCTGAATTTTCTTACGACTGCGTCAGTTATTACGAGAGGACATGGACCGTGGTGGGATGCTCCCTTATAGTCTCTCACGAGTTTCGTCACCTCGTACGGAGTATCCCATGATGATCTGTACCTATTAGTACCACGGACCTATCGGACGCAGAGCATGATACCAAAACTCCGATGCGAATGTTGGTTTGCATACATTAGTGTGCGGAGGTTCCAATTCTTATGGGGTAATGTTCCAGTTCTTATGGGGTAATTCTGAGCTGCTCCTTGAGGAATGGCGTATCTCGGTGGGCAGAACATGGCAGTCAGGTGGCCTGGAACAAAACCTATTGACCTTCTTGCCAAGATCTTGCACGGATCCGGCAACGAAATCCTCGAGTACCTGCAGGAGAACATGTGGCTGCTGTCGAATGGGAACAACATCCTTGCTGGGGTTTTGGGGGTTGTGATTGCTTTTGCTGAATCATGTCGTTAGAGAAATGTGGGATCTGTTCTACTGCATTTGCAGTGCTTTAAGCGTGTTTGCCCTGTATTAACAGAGTCTCTTTAGATTTGCAGCAGATATGATGTTATATACGCCTTTATTAGTGTCTTGAACAGTGCAAGTCAGCAGCCAGCAAATCCCCCCGCTAACCGGCCCTTATTTGCCCCTCGGTCACCGCCCAGCGCTTATCAACGGCTCCCGATAACGGCGATAAGGGATCCTCCTCGAGACCTTCTACGCTGTAAGACTGACTGTACGAAGCACACACGAGTCAGCGGCATAACGGTGGCACTACGACTATAATCGCACATCTTTACGTATTCGTAGTATAGCAGGCCTAAAGCTTGTTTGCAAAGAGCCAATCTCTGACTACAAAGAACGCCTCTTCCTGGTTGCCCATGCGCGGATGCTACCTACGCTGCAGCTTGCCCGCTATTACTTCATCCTCTCGTCTCCACCGAAACGACTAAAACTACTACTTGGATGAATAATATACGTCTCGTGCCTTATCCTTGACCGCCTCTATGCTTCGCGTTCATTCTGCCCGTTTTGGTCGGCCTAGGCTCCTTTTTATTATCGTGGGAAGGCCAACGCCCTTCCTTTGACAATTCACTTAAATCCCCTCTCCGAGATACCTTGCAGCACAGTCCATTCCAAAGCATAAAAGCACGAGGTACAAGTATCTGATCAAGAGGTGCAACATTCCTTCTTCACGTCTCACTTGTACTTCCAGACTTCCATGCTTTCATCCTTCCACACCCAGTAACGCAAGGCTACTTTTGACTACCTATATCATGGCTCCCCCATCTGCAATCGACATTGTCCATGTCGCAGACAATATGGATACTGTTATTCCAGGTCCTTTGACGGTCAAAGGAGTGCCTGCAAGACGGGCCAAATCAGGCAAGTTTGTAGGAGGAACTGCTGCGCTTGGCGACAGTGATTTCTTTAAAGGTCCAGTAAGTCACTCCCCAGCAGTTTATAGAAGGCTCGCCACTGACCTTTCTCTCCAGGACACTGGAAAGCCCAAGGCGAAGAGATGGGATCGTATGTCACACTCACCTTAACCCCAAAATAAATATTCACTTCACTAACTGAATTGAATTCACAGACTATCTCAGTGTCGAGAGTAAATCCAGACAGCCGTCGAGTTTGAAAGGCGCCGCGAAGTACCTCAACACCCCTGGCCTGATATCGCTTGGAGGCGGCCTGCCCTGCTCTGAATACTTCCCCATCGAAGAGTTAACGCTCAAGGTCCCATCGCCACCTCACTTCTCCGAAAAGCAAACCAAGCAGTCGGGAACCATTGTGAAGGCAGGGAAATATGATATCTCGGAGGGGAAAAGTGCATACGACCTCTCGGTCGCGCTCAATTATGGTATGGGAACGGGCTCGCCGCAGTTGATCCGTTGGGTTACGGAGCACACTGAGATTGTGAATAATCCTCCATATGCGGATTGGCAATGTGCGCTCACGGTGGGAACCTCATCGGCATTAGAGCAGGCATATCGCATGTTCTGCGAACGAGGCGATTATGTCCTCTCGGAGGAGTACACCTTCTCCTCGGCAGTCGAAACCGCCCTTCCTCTAGGAATTAAATTTCTTGGAATCAAGATGGATTCGGAGGGTCTGCTTCCTGAGAGCATGGACGATATCTTGAGCAACTGGGACGAGAAAGCACGAGGGGCACGGAAACCACATGTTCTTTATACAGTTCCCACGGGCCAGAATCCCAGCGGAGCCACGCAAGGAGTGGCACGACGACAAGCCATCTATCTAGTTGCGCAGAAGCACGACATCTATATCCTCGAGGATGAGCCGTATTATTTCCTCCAGATGCAACCACATACCGGTCCAGACACCCCCGACGTCCCTCCACCAGCTACCAACGATGCTTTCCTAAACGCCCTCATGCCCACATACGTAAGCATGGACATCGACGGGCGTGTCATGCGAATGGACTCATTCTCCAAAGTAGTGGCACCAGGATCGCGCGTAGGCTGGATCACTGCCTCCGAGCAGATCGTCGAGCGATTCGTCCGCCATAACGAAAGCTCCAACCAGAACCCCAGCGGAATCTCCCAGATGGTTTTATTCAAGCTACTGGACGAGAGCTGGGGCCATGATGGATATCTCCAGTGGCTGAGAAACCTACGGCTGGAATACACGCGCCGTCGGGATATAATCATCGCTGCATGCGAAAAACACCTGCCCCAGGAAATCGTGAGCTGGAACCCGCCAGCCGCTGGCATGTTTGTAAGTGTTTTTGTCCTTCCCCCTTCCCTCTTTTTTTTTCCTCTACCAGTTATAGATCACATACTAACACATACCCTCCTCAAGCTGTGGCTCAAACTAAACTGGCAACTCCACCCCGCCGCCAGCAGCAAATCCATCTCCGAGATCGAAGAAGAGCTCTTCCTCTCCGCCGTCGGCCAAGGCGTCCTCATCTCCCGCGGCAGCTGGTTCACAGCCGAGCGCTCCAATTTCATCCCACACGACATGTTCTTCCGCGCTACATTTGCCGCTGCCACCGAGGAAAAGATGACAGAGGCCATTGAGCGGTTCGGCGTCGCTGTTAGGAGCTGCTTTGGACTCGAGTGAGGAGCCTACCTACTTACTAGTACTAAGCTTGGAGCGGATCCGTCTTCTTTTTAAAAATTAATTTGAAGCATGGTTTTATGAAAATTCCCTTGGGTTCCTTTTTTTTTTTTTTTTTGATTTTGCGTTGGCGTTGAAATTGGGAGATGAGCATAGAAATCACCATCCATCCTACTACGCGTTTACATAGAAAATTATACAAATACGTTAGACTGACAAAAACAATCAAAAAATAAACATGAGAAAAACTTAATATAAAGTGCTACTATGCATTGTGTTGTTCAGTAGATTTCAGTATTCGTAGTACTGTATATTCAACGAATATGTATGGCAAGTATTTTTGTCCTAGTTACAGAGGTAGAGTAGACTTTATCCACCAAATAGAAAAAAGAAAATCAAAACGGCAAAACAATCCTCCCCCTCCCTTAGTTACCCTGATGACCCATAACCGGAAAATAAATTTAAAAACCCATCATCAATATGTTCAACCCATAGGTATATATATATATATATATAAGACAAGCCCCCTATTACTTAGCGCCCCCCTCCGGCTCAAAGAAACCAACAGTTACACCTTGGCCAGGCTGTAGGACAATCTCGGCCTTTAGACAAGGATCGCCGTTATCTACTGCGCCCATGTGATTCTCTACCCTTTCGAACCTCTGGAGTAGTCTCACGATGGTATACCCCATCTCGGTTAGTGCGAACTGCTGGCCGATGCAGATTCTGGGCCCGCCGTTGAAGGGGATGTAGTGCCATGGTTTGGGTTGCCAGGTCTCCCAGCGATCGGGCGAGAAGGTCTCAACATCGGGGGTTAGGTCGGGTCGGCGTTGCATGAGGAGGGTGGAGTAGCCGATGGGTGTGTCTTTGAGGATGCCGATAGGGGAGAGGCCGTCGGGGCCGCCGCCTCGGGGAAGGGTGGTGTCTTTTAGGGCGAGGCGGACGTTGAATGGGACGGAGGGGTAGAGGCGGAGGGTTTCGTTCATGGTGTTCTGGAGGACTTTGTTAGCTGATGTATAGACGTATAGCATTTAGGTTAAGGAGGGCTCACTTGGAGATATTTCATGCTCTTTAGGTCATTGTAAGTTGGTGCCTTGGTTAGACCAACACAATCGATGATCTCCTTTCGTAGCTTCTTGACAACTTCAGGGTTCCGAGCCAGCTCGTAGAATGTCCATGATAGGGTGGAAGCGGTGGTATCTCGGCCGGCTAGGAGGACTGCAATGAGTTGATCACGGAGAACCTTGCGGTCGCGGGTGAAACCTGCAAGAGCGTGGAGGAAGTTGTACCCTTCATCGGACTTAGTCTTCGAGGCGAGCTCTTCGGGTGAGAGAAGCAGTGTTTGGTCGATAAATGGGGTGAGGAACTCATTGAGGACCTTGAGCTTTTTGAAAAAGGTCTTTCTAGGGATGAGAGGGTTGAAGGGTCTAATTCCGTGTTAGATATACAGAGCAGGAGACTTGGGGGATTACTTACCCAGCTCGAGTAATAATACTCTGCACCCGCTGCACTTCCGAGAAAGCCTCCGCAAATTGCTCCTCTGGGTTGTCGAGACTGTTCACGCTGTTCCCCAGCAGAAAGTGCGTTGCAGCATCCAGTGTATATCGGAAGAACAAATCGCTTACATCGAACGGCTGTCCCTGCCTGCCATCGAGTGTCCGCCCAGCCTTGACCATCTCGCTGATAAGTTTCTGCACATGCTCTTCAAACACCGCCAGATCACTGACGCGATCCTTGATAAATTGCGGTCGAATCAGCTGTCGAGAATCATGCCATTGATCTAGATCCGTGGTGAAGATCGAATCACCCAGGAAGTCTTTCCACTCATCGTGGAAGGGCTTGCCTTTGCCATAGTCAACGAATTGGGTGGCCAGGATGGCTTTGATGTTCTCAGGGTCGGCCGTAAAAACGACCCGTCGACCGCCTGGTTTACCCTCGGCGGTGTAATCCATTTTTTTGGCAGCCGTGAACCACTTGTTCCATACTTCATGGTTCTTGTGCGCCAAGTTGCCTTTGATGGCAATGGCGACCAAGTCGATATCTATTTGCCATAGTTAGTTGCAGGTCTATAGCAGCGGAGGATGAAAGTTAATTTGACTCGCCTAGGGGGAGATATGACCGGATTCGGCGTGTATGTCCTCCAAGACGACGAATCCGGATTTCCCGATCAACCCATTTGGCGCCCTGCACCACAACGACCAAGGCGGCGAAAGCAAGAAGCCACCCCTTAGGGGAGGCAATCTCAAGTAGCTGTTCGATCATATCCGCAGCTATTTAATATGGTGGTCGTGCTGCGAGGATGCGAGGACGTAGAGCAATGGACCTCGATATCATTATCGCGGAGGTAGCACTGCAGCGACCCCAGATGTACAGGTATATATGTTGGTGGGTCGGACGAATATTGAGCCTTGTCGCAAGTTACGAAGCACCGACTTGCGATGATACTATGGGGATGCCATGGCCTTGGGTGTGGGGAAGCTTGGAAGCGCGGACTGCGGAGGGCGGGGGAAGGAGGGTCATTTATCCCCGTACTCGTACCTTGGAATATCGAGATTGGCTATTCTTCAGAGCTGTACTGCGTACGTTAATGAAGACGACGAAATAGTTAATAGCGGTTCGCTCTATTCTGCTATAGGAATGCCATAAAGCCCTAAGTAATCCAAACAGCAAAGTGATACATTGCAATCGAGTAGCTGCCCTATAGCCCTATAGACAGGGCAATTGAGGATTGCATAGGTAAGGTACGTATACGTATGGAGTAGTACAAAATAGCAAGCCAGGGACCTCTGTACAGGGTACAAGCCAACATATCAACTGATAACACATGCGATAAACGTCGACACTTTAAAAAACCCCAACCTCGGTCCTTCCCCGCCGTTTGGACCGCCCTGGCTTTGGTTCCGCGCACAGGGGCCAATCTACGCTCGGCGTTTACTCGTTTACCATTGACACACCATTGGTCGGTTAGAAAGACCTTGGATTACGAGGTAGAGCCTGTTATGACGCTGGAAGGACTGCTCTACGCAAACTACACCAACGGATAATATAACCCGACTACGATCATCAACGGATATTTCGGTTTTACTTCGGTCATGGCCGGTGCCAACTATTACAGAACCTAGGGAAGATATTAGCTCTAATACACGTGGTTATAGGACGACTCGGGTCCGAATATATCGCGAATATTGTCGAAGTGGTAACTGTTAGAATTTGTAAAGGTATATAAAGCGATTTGTTACGAATATACTTAAGTATTTTGATCAATTTACTAACGAAAAGATATTAAATTAATCAAATTGTAAGCTTTATCCAGAGCTAATTATTAAATAAGAATTTATAAAGTAGTTAGCTCGCTGACTTTACCGGCTCGATACGTCGCACCTCTACGCGTCGCATCTCAACTATATGATGTGCGCAAGCTGGCAGGCAGGCAGGCAGACTAGATAATATAATACTACTACTATACTGAACTAAATTGTACTATATTATAAAACTGCCCTACTTGATCAATTTGCTTGTACTTGCTTAGTTAGTAGCTAATTTGATACGATCCGCACGTATACTATCAAATTGATACTTACTATTCGCCAACGCGCCGTCAATTTGATGCGGATTCGCGCCGGATTCGCGTAGGAGCTCTCGGCGACCACATCATCTTTGATAACAACAAGTCTAGATCAGATTAACTCTGCTATCTCTTCCATCTACAGATTCGCACACGATAAAGCTACCTTCCTTCCCTCAGACTATGTTGTCGTCGCTTCTGCGGTCTTTGCCCCAGCTCGGACGGAGCTGGAAACCGCTGAATTTCTCCAACCCAAACTTCGTTCATATACCTGAATCCCATAAAATCGAAGAAGAGACCCTCCCAGACTATATTGCTTCTCGGTATTATCCTACTCGAATAGGAGAAGTCATCAAGGAGCAATATCAAGTCGTAGGGAAATTGGGATTTGGATCTACCTCAACTGCGTGGCTTGCACGGGATATGAAGTGAGCTCCCTCTTGATCTATAAAGATACCTCGGGTCCGGTATGCTCATGCAATACAATCACAGTGGTCGTCGTTATGTTATGCTCAAAATATTCGTCCAAGCTTCATCTATGGGCCAGCAAGTGGATCACGAGCTCAAGATGTACAGACGCATGGAGCAATCCCCGAAAGGCCATCCCGGTCGTGAAGCCGTCAGAACGTTACTTGATACGTTTTACATCGATGGACCTGAAGACAAGCACCGGTGCCTGGTGCATCCCCCATTATGGGAGAGCGTTTTGACATTCTTACGCCGCAACCCGGTAGAGAGGCTGCCTTCAGCAGTCATGGCATTCGTTCTTCAGCGCCTGTTTTTAGCATTGGATTATCTGCATACGGAGTGCCAGATCATACATACTGGTTTGTGGCCCGATTGGCCTCCCCTGCTTCTATAATTTACTTACTCCTTTTGCTGTTAGATATAAAGGCCGATAATATCATGCTCGGCATGAACGATGATTCGGTCTTTAGCGATTTCGAAGAGAAGGAGCTTCAACGCCCTGTTCCGAGGAAGGAGGTAGACATAGATGGGAGAACAATTTACATGTCCCGGGATCTCAGAATACCTAATGATTTGGGTGCCCCAGTCCTATGCGATTTTGGTTCGGCCGTACTCGGTGACCAATACCACTCGGAATTCATTCAACCTAATATCTACCGAGCACCGGAAGTGATTCTAGGGGTTCCATGGACGTACAGCGTCGATATATGGAACGTGGGATGCATGGTAAGACAAACAGCCTGATTTCCATGGTGCGAAAATTGCTAAAAGTTGGCTTAGATTTGGGACATTTACGAAGGCGGTTCTTTGTTCACCGGCCAAGACCCTGAATTTCAGAAGTACCGAAGTCGAGCCCACCTCGCCGATATAATCAATCTTCTTGGCCCCCCGCCGCCTAGTCTTATTGCCCAAGGGGAGCTAAAAGAAAAATTCTTTTCAGGTGAAGGCAAGTCAAGGTTTTTTTTATCTTATTCTCTAGCGGATTCTGGTATCCAAGTTTATTAATTATATACAACTCTTTAGGTGATTTCCGCACTGAAAATTTATTAAAGGGCCAGGTTCCGCTTGAGGAACGGGAAACTACTCTCGAAGGAGAAGAGGAGAGAGAGGCTTTTTTACGTCTAATGCGAAAAATGCTACAGTGGGAGCCCGGCAAGCGTAGCTCCGCAAAGGAGCTAGGGGGGGACGAATGGATACTCAAGCATTTATAAGTATGAATCAAGGTATGGAATTCTACATTGGCTGCGGGAACCATCCAAAAAAAACCCCCCCTCTAGTGCCTCAGGCTTTATTGCCCTGCTATACTAAAGCCGATAATTGATAGGTACCATCAAGTTGATGCCATCTATATTTGGTAGTGGTTGGTACCTTAGGACCCTAACTTTTTCAGTCTCATCCGATGGTCCACTGCAGTCGCTCAAATTGTCGGCATTTTGAATACCCTTCTGGTCATACATTATAGGCCTTGGCGAGTGACTTACACAATACTACAACTCTCCCCGGCTGTGTGCTTATCGATGTAGAGAAGGATCTGGGGTATGGCGCATTATTAGAAGGATTTGGTGTAAAACTATTTTTGCCGGTATTATTAGGCATGACGGTCATTACCTAGATATGATCCCGGCATCGCCCTCCTATACTGCTTTCTATACAATCTAGATAGCCCACGCATAGAGTACTATAATAATCATATTCTATTCGGTCTCAAAGTGAAGCTATTCGTAGTCGCCCATCGCTTTGTCTAGCTCTAGCTCAGCAGCGTGGGTACCCAAAGTGGGATAGGGGCCACGTATTCTCCCCAGCCCTTCCCTCCAGGCCTTCAGACGCTACTACTAAGCTACGAGAGACAAGTATAAAATCTTAGTAATGAAAGTATTATATCTCCTGACGAGCTTTATAAAGCTCTTGGCCTGCCTTTCACGGTTGTAGAAATCTACTGAGCATCTGCTTCCACAATCGGGCGCCTGCTGCACTGCACCTTTGCAATTCTCGATACTACTTCATTCATCTTGCTACCTACCGATACTGCTCAACACCCTAAGGCTTTACATTAGGCCTAGCTTGTGAATTTGTAGCGCTTGGTCCTGAAAACCAAGGGTCATTTAGAAGGTCGCTTGCTGAAGGTCGCTTGGTGGCGTCATACTGCAAAATCCATCGCAGTATGTGCATGATCTGTTTCGAATCTTCATTGCTTATCTCAGCCGGCCTTTCTTGATCAAAGAGCTCCTCTAGCGGTGGCTGATGCTCTAGATCGCTGGGATCAAACCCCTCAGGAAGTTCTCCGATGTAGCTCTTGATATTTTCCCCATTAGGGCTGAAGTAAACATCTGACCTTGCCCATTTCGAAAGGACGTCTCTGGGAATGGGTCCGATAGTACTAGATAATTGCAAGAAGTGGTCATCATTTGTCTCATCCTCATCACCAGTATCATCGACGACGAAAAGCGGCCTTCCAGTGACAAACTCGAAGACTAGACAACCAAAACTCCAAATGTCTTGGCTGCTCGTAGGAACTTCTCCGAGTATGGTTTCAGGACTGCGCAGGCCAACGGGAGTGACTAATTTTTTGGGTGGATTGTCAATGAAGAATGCTATAACTAGTAAATAATAATTCATTCAAAGTTGTGATTTGAGGGGAGTAGAACAAACCTCCACCCATATCTGAGATTTTGATGACGAAATTGTGGTCTAGTTCCACAAATTCCGTTAAAGGTTGATTGACCGCGAGATATTTCGGAGCCCAAAGATCAACCTTACCATCCTGTCTTTTGACGGGTTCCAACGAAGTAGGCTCGATGACTTTTTGCGATAGACGAATCTCTCCTACGGATGTCAGGTCCCTGGCCAAGAAGAGAAGGTTGCCAGGCTGCAAATCGCCATGAGCGATGCCAATCCGGTGTAGGAAGTCGATACCGAGAAGAGCTTGTCGAAGTATAGATCTTGCCATCCAGATTGGGTACCTCTCGCTTCGTCCAGTTTTGCTGAGTAGGGGTTTTGGAAGACGTTCAACCATGGTCGCCGTACTTGGGCCCATAGGTTCGAATACGAGACACCCATGCTCTCCGTTTGGACCTTTGTGCTTGAAGTAGTCTTTCAGAGATATGATATGTTCCTTCCCCTGATGTGGAAGCGTGCTCTGAGCTATGGTTTTGAGTATAGACGACTCGGTTTCTGAGGCTGTTGATTGAGCTGTTAATATTTTGACCGCGACATAACATTTAATTCTGCCATGATTGTTAGCTAATATGGAAATGCAATACTTGCTTGAGCCATCACAGTCGGCGATAGCAAGGAGTAGGTGAGCTGTCGGGGTCAGCAATGAAAGCAAAATCATACTGCTCATCTCTTGCTAGCCATACTGTCGAGTATGCCCCATACCCTAGCTTTCTGAGGATCTCGTATCTTCCATCTTTGAGCTGGTCTCCGAGGTGGACAGGATGGAATTTGCCAGGGCGATAGTCTTCGACCCATTCTGTTGGTGCGGTGATAGGGCAAAAGCGCCATTCAGAGCTCTGAGCTGGGGCCAGCCTTGACGGGGTCGGTGGAGGGGAAGCCATGATGCAGTGATAATGAAGCTGATAGTATCGGTGGTGGCGAATAAATAATGGTGGTAAACGATAACGGAGAATCTGAGTGGCAGGTGAGGATCCTCTATGAAGTATAGATGTGACTGTTGCGGCCATGCAGGTGGCGGCGAGAGCTCGTCAGTACGAAGTACCAACGAGCAATATGTACCTGGGCCAGCCGTACCCTTGGACCCTTCGTTGTCGATGTGTCGTCATGTGGACATGGCGCCCAATTTTGGCTTTGACGCTGAGTCAGCATCCTCTGGCTTGGCGTAGCAGAGATTCCTTTCTCCCAACGGGTATTTCGTACTCCGTAAGGTAGTTGAGTCTCGAATGTTACCCACCGCCCCCGACGCATTGAGACGATCACAACAACAGCACAGATGAGGCTCATATTCGTGGTTTTAAGTTCAATGCGATAATCCCAAAAGGTGTCAACTTTTAAAGCCGTGTGCTAGAAAGTAATGCGAAATACATAAGGCAGACCGTTGATATGTGGCCATTGAAAGGCGAGCGACGTGGTATGTACCAATGGGACATTTGCTTGGACATTTGTTCGGATATTTGCTCAGACACTCACCTAGAAGCCTTACCTAGAAGCCTTACCTAGAAGCCTTGTCACAAGCCAATTCAAGATAGTGGTGGTTGGGATCGACGAGCTCATGCAAACACAGGTGAGACGATTTGCGCCCAATATTGACTTCTATCTAACTGGCACATATACCCTGGCCTTATATAAGAGAACCCTTTCCCCTTCGTAGTATTGGTAGAGATAGAACCTTCCCAAACACAAGTATTGTACAAGTTTATTCCTGAAGCCATTCCAATTATACCTTCTACAAGTCTTGTTTTATTATCCACGATACCTCTTTAGCAGATCTTGCTAGACCGGAATTTCAGAGGTACGTTATTATCATAATTTTCAAACTCCCATCAAAACTAAAAGAGTATTGAAAGCAAAGATCATGGCCATCACCGACGATGATATCACTTTTGATCCAAATTCTATGTTCGCCAGAAACCCTGCCAAAAGGCAGGATCATAAGGACAGGGTCAGAAATTCTGCTCCAGACGACGCAGTGAGCGCAACGATCGTGTGAGACGCTTCTAACATTTCGATACTGAGCTGCGCATGCTGATATATGTAATAGCAACGGTTTCCATACAAGCCGCAGTGATGCCACTCAGCACATCACCGTTGATTATTACGATGCCGCGGGCGGCAAAGTCCGCCAACATGTTTATTGATTGGGATCAGCTTATTTGACTAGTTTTAAAGGGTCCTGGGATAAGGGGCTCTTTTCCTCTTAAGCCATTGCAATTTAAGTAGCGCGGTGTACGTGTTATCCTGGGGGATCTAGTCAATCAAATTGGTGTCGAGCTTTCATTTATAGATCATCTTGACATTTTGGTATTTAATTCCAAGGTTAATTTTGATTGAATCGCGATATCAAATTACTAGATGTGATTCGTAGTGAGGATAAGAATGGCATTATAATATCCCAAAATATGTAGGAGCATAGAGACCAGTAGTTCGTCTCAAGTCTGATATATATAAACTGCGCGATTCCAAGAAAACGTCAGTTTCGTCAACTAATGGATCGGCCCGCCCCAGCCCCGCTAGTTCGAATAAGCTTCGAGGTGTTATTCTATTTTTATTTAATTAAGTTTATGTCTGGTGGGCTAATAAAAGGTGCTTTCCTAATTAGTTAAGCTATATTATATGTAGTAAATATTTTGCTGACTCCCAGAGGTCCGTGAAACAGTATCACTCATCTTCTTCCTTTTATCTTTCATGAATCTATCATCAGTTGCTTTTCCCTAATCCCGCTTGTATGGCTCTCAACCATGCTTCGTATGAGATATTTTTTCATCTTCGGTAATTCCAGCTTGTTAAACGTCTTTTTGTGTTTACCATTTTGATTTTGGATTTTATTTCTATCGAGCTCAATCAAGCCAAGTTCTTGTTCCCAGATAATAGCCCAAAACTCGGGGAGGGCATATCTAATATTAAATATCGTCCAGGAGCTTCTCCTGCGGATGATAATATTTTATAGTCTATTTTCTGGTTTCTTTTGAGTGCTGGATTGCTTATGCAAAAAGCACAACAGCACTTGTTGCCGCAGACAGAAATGAAGGCATAGCTGAAGAAATTGTAGCCGAGGCACACAGGGGCCTAATAAATGGGATAGGTATTGCGGAGTATAACCGCGACCTTTGTGTTGGACTCCAGTTCCAAAATATTTCGTTAACGAAACGAACCGTGCTCTATATATTAAGTCGAGTCTTGTTTGCTCTATAAGGGGACTTAATAATTTTATAACGGGAACTGGCTTTTGAGTATGGGCAAATTGCCCTACCTGCATTCTTGAACGTGGGCGGGTGCCATTTAGAGTGTCCGGGGAAGGGAGCGTACATAAGCCCATCGGGTACCTGAATATTTAGTCCTATGTACGTAGTATGTTACACACAAGATGGGTGAGTTATGCAGCTTTTGAGTGGCAGTGCACACGACGACAGGACAGGGCACAACATCGGGAGATTATAAATCTAATTCTTGCTGATTCTGAAACGCCATACTCCAGCCTTGACGTCAATGGCCCGTCAGCCTTTACGGGATAATCCCAGGGATTAAATCCTAAACATATCAGAGTGCGCACTCTGTGGCATTATGCTGTGTGCAGTGCACCATCTGCACCGGCCCTGAGGATATACCTCGAAGCACCATACGCTCTCGCATCTCCGCCAGCCTTGGAGCTGCTGTGATCTGACTCCTATTTTGCCCACTCGCATCCTGTCGTCCTGACCAAAGCACCTCTGCCGCCGCGCCGGCTCGTGGCCATAGCATGTCGTCGAGGTTAACCGGGTCGGTTTGTTCCGACCAGTTATGAACCTCGCCTCCAAGGACAAGATGAGTCTGGTCTTCTGGCACGCCTCCAAGAGGATCGTAGGAGTAGACGAGACGCCAGTTCTTCGATGGTGAGCAGTAATCGGGGAAAGGGAAAAACTTCTGGAAGGAAGCGCCATTGTCGAAGTTCAGCCACTGACCCTTGCCGCAATCAAGGTACTGTGATATTGTAAGTACGTGATGATGATAATACTGAGATGGGAGGATCTTACCCAGTAGTTGTAGTTTCCTGCCAGTGCCTTGTGACCCTTTGCGGTGATTGCCGCAACATTTTCATCGCTCTGCCAGGCTTGCACCACCACATCCTCCCCAAGTGTTAAATTCCAATGCAAAAGCATCTCTTCCCAGACTATAGGTGTGAGCCCAGCCGCTCTAATCTGAGCGTGGTTGCGGTCAACCAATTTCTGGATTAGGGGCCCAAGAACGGCAGTATCATTTGATTTTACGGTATCATCCAGTAAGTAGGTATTGACGTTGACTTCATCGCCACCGGTGTGGAAGTATGTCGAGTATGGCGCAACTCTTGGTAGGACATCATCGAACAGCTTCTCCAAGAAATCATCAACAGCGGGGGAGTTCAGCTTCAAGGACCCGCAAGGAGGTTCCGCGCAATATGTATCCCATGGTTTGGCATTGAAAGCGGCAATCAGATCTGGATGGGACAGACCAATTGACGTTGTGTGACCCGGCATGTCAAATTCAATGATAACTTCGATACCTCGTGCATTCGCATAGGTCTGGATCTTTTGAATGTCTGAAGGGGTATAGGACAAGCCAGTCTGGTAAGCACCCTTCGCTGACAACTCAGGCAGTGCCGGGATATCCATGGGCCATGACTGAGCATCAGTCATATGTATATGAAACCTATTGAATTTATTCATCGAGATCGCGTCAATCGTTCGCAGGATATCTTTGACCGGAAACCAGTTTCGAGATACGTCTAAGTTTAGCCCTCGATGTTGGAATTTTGGCGCATCAGTTATCAGCACTGGTGCTAGATTGCTATAAGCCCCGGCGCCAGAAGAGTGCTCGTAGAACAACTGGATGAAGGTTTCCATAGCACGGAGGACCCCAACAGCTGATACCGCGGAAATCTTTGCTGCTCCATCGGTGCCGATGGATACAGTATATGATTCGTCCACTTGGCCGGCCAGAGGTTTGAAGGTGCTTGAATTGTCGGCTCCCGTCTGGCTAATCGTGAGGGTACTGATGTATGTCTTCTTGGAATTTGCAGCCGGCTCGAACTCGGCGAGCTGGTTTCGAGGAACCAGCTTCCAAGGCACCAGGTTCTGTTTGAACAGAGTGCTCAGAGCTCTGGCTACTCCTTGGTGAACGATCGATTGGCCTGAAGTTGAGTCGCGGCGTCCACGGGAGTAGGAAGACTGTACATCCAACACTTGCTCAGTTTGGCTCTCTAGGAAATTATCAAGAAGGGGATTCCACCATACGTTTCCACTATTATAGATTACATGAACATCTGGTCGAATCCAGACCACTGAATTGCCACTCGAGAACGATTGTGGTGCCGGCCATACGGCGCGGACTTGGCAAATACAGGATAGAAGTAAACAGGCTGACAACCACATGGTGATAGTGGAATTAAGATAACGAGTGAGAGATGATGTGAACGAACGAAAACAAAACAGAGGAATTGCACGCGGGGTTATATATCTATGTACATGCACGGGGAGAGGAGAGACAATAATGTCCCACGGGACAAGGGCCGCGGCCGATCCCAAGGCTCAGGATGCAATGCACCAGCACCAACAAGGAGGCTGAGTGGATTCACGGCACTGGGACGATTCGAGTTGGGTGGGTGATGGGTGATGGGTGATGGGTGATTGTGAGTGAGAGGGCGAGGTTGAGGGCAAGGAATTGATTGTATCCTGTAATTGACCCAGGGCGCCGCGTCAAGGTCCTGGTCGCGGATGAAATCACTATGGCATGCAGCCTGCCAGCTGCCCCTTAAGGAAGAATCAACGGACCGATCGTCGAATAATATGGCGGCCAATCTCCCTGCAACGTTACGATCCCCCGCAAATTTGCTTTTCGACAGCGTGGATTTTAATTACTGTAAGACTGAGGACTCAACGGCATTCAGGATGTCGATCCCGGCTCGATCTGGGGGGCTGATGCAACATTGTTGGATGCTCAGAATAGCCTCGGGAACAGGTCAGGGGCGGGCGCAAGTCGCGACGAACGCGATGCGATTTGGCCCAGTAGGACAGAGCAGATCGTGTTGTACAGTACTTCGTACCTAGACGTCATCTAGAAGGCTGCGAAAAGTCGCTAGCCTCGAGTATCACAACCTGCGGATCCCCCAGCCTCCCAACAGTTGTTGGAGGCTGGATTGTTCTGGTCTGAATGGCACAGAGCTACGAAGTACTTCGCACCCGAGGACTCGAGTAGTACTACGTATGATCGGAATCCTCGGATCCCAAAGGACGAGAGGTTTGCCCTGTGGCTGACTCTGCCTCTCTAGACCTGGTGTTTCAGAAGTGAAGGGCGACTGACCGAGGCTTCGTACGTAGTATAGGTACCGTTGGGCTATGTATCGCTGAGCTGTTGTAAGTTGGTAAGTCGTAAAGGTGAGACGAGTAGGGGGAGTACTTCGTGCTCGAGTATAAATAACACAGAGTAGAACTCCGCCAAGCTGCCAACACAAGCCACTAGGCTGGAGAGGTAGATGAACAACAGCTCGCTGCTTGCTAGCATTTACGACTTACTTACCTGTGTAATAGAACTTTGTTTTGTTTTTGAGAAGTGCTGTCTGGAGTACTTCGTACGATACCTCCCATGAGGTGATGGGTTGCCCTTGCGGCCTGAGGCTGACAAATGCCCCCAAATGATTCACAGTCACATGATTGAGTGTGCTTACTCAGCAGCTCTTGCTTTGAACATCAGGACTTCTTTGAAGCCCTGTTAGCTATGCCTCTCGGTCCTTGACCATAAACATTTACACCCACATCTATTCCTAACGAAAACAACGCGTCTTCCTCTATAGACTGCTAAATTGTGAGCGCGGATCAATACATCATCCTAGACTTTGCGCCTCTTAGTCCGCGCAAACCTCACCTGCGCTTTCTTTCGCCGCGCGCCCCGCAGCCTCGAATCACCCTCCCGTCTTTCGCGCCCCGTCAACAAAGGGTTCTCCGAATCAAACATGTCTGTCGAGGTTGTACTAGAGTCGCCGCTGGCTCATTCCCTGAATGCCGCGATCCAACCGAAGCTGGTGGAGGTGGGATGGAGCACAGGTGGCGCTGATGACTCTGCGCTTTCCGAGTACATCATTCTCATGCTGGTGAACGGCAAGACACAAGACCAGATCGCCGCCGAACTATCAGGCGATCTCCTCAATCTCGGCCCAGATGACCCAGGAGCGAGGGATTTTTCAAGGTGGCTGTTCGAGCAGGTTGAGGTGCTGAACTCACAGTTGAGTGGCGGAAATGGAGGGTTCCCGTCCGGCTCCGGTATAGAACAGGCTGAGGCCACGAATGAAGGACAGGATGCAGATATGGGCGACGCTTCTGATGCTGGACAGCCGAATGTGTATGTGATATCCCTAGTTGATCTGTCTCGGGATCTTTTTTTCTGCCTAAAATTTCTAGAACTAACATTTCATAGACCTACGGGCCCAAAGTCAATGAGAGAAAACGCGAATCGGGGAAGAGATAAGCGTATGCTTGGGCATCTTGCAAAATCAATGGATAGAACGAATGATTCCGTTCTCCACCGGATACGAGGTCACGGAGGTACTGAGCGTGTCAATTCCCATTCTCGAGTTCCTCCAACGGGACCACGACAATCGATGCAAAACAGAGGAGGCGCGCGGATGTCGAATGGTGGGCGAATTAATCCGATGTCTGGCGCGCCAATGCAAAGCTCCGCTGCCATGAACGTCATGAATATGCCCCCACAAGCCCAGATGCAAATGCTTGCAAACTTAGAACAACAGATGAAAGGAATGGCTCAAATGATGGGATTGGCGGGAAACGTGGGAAATGGGATGGGGAACGGCTTTGCTCAACAACAGCAGCCAGGGAAATCGCTATTCGACCGAGTTCAGCCAAATCCTCACCGGGGTCAACATAACGGCTTCCGAAAAGGCTCTCAAGCCTCAAGGCCAGGCGACCAGCAACACGCCCACTCTCAAAATGAGATGCCATCTTCCTCCATGGATGTTGAGATGTCACAAGAAAAGAGAGAGCCTCCCTCGCCAGAAACGCCTTGCAAATACAATCTTTCATGCACAAATAAGGACTGCAAGTTTGCTCACCAATCTCCGGCAGCTCCTCCGGGCACGACCATCGATTCCAGCGACATTTGTTCTTTTGGGGCAGCTTGCAAAAATAGGAAATGTGTTGGCCGGCATCCGTCCCCTGCTCAAAAGGTTGCTCACCAGACAGAGGTGGAGTGCAGATTTTTTCCCAACTGCACAAATCCACGGTGCCCATTCAGACATCCAACAATGCCCTTGTGTCGCAATGGTGCTGATTGCACGACTCCCAACTGCAAGTTTACCCACGCCAAGGTGATGTGCAAGTTCAATCCGTGTTTGAACGCTGCATGTCCATACAAACATGTCGAGGGCCAGAAACGAGGGAAGTTTGAAGACAAGGTCTGGGTAGCAGACGAGTCAAAGGAGCACGTTAGTGAGAGGAAATTTGTGGACGAGAATGCGGAGGAGGAGCTCATCAAACCGGGCGATGAAGACGCAGCAATGAAGCAAAAATCGACCGCTCATGCTGAGCTAGTTACATAATAGATGTGGAGGAGAAAATTTGTGTTGATTGTCTCGTTTTTAATGCACAAAAGTGTACGATATTGGGGGAAAGGCGGATGGCGTTTATGCGCGGGGATATTTGGATGCCCGATGTCACTTGAGCCCGGGGGCTATTATTATTATTACGTAGAATGGACATATGTCTCTATGGCACCTCAGAGCAAAAGCTTTGAGGGAGCCCCTCCAGCCAACATTTCCCCATCGCTTGTGATCCTCGAACCATATTAGAAAATGAGCCAATACACCTTCCTTCAACGATTAAACCCTAATATTAAACCCTCCTAGACTTGGTAGTCCGAGCACGTTGGGAGTTATAGAAGAATGTACGAAGTATAGCACCACTTAAATGTGTCGAGTTAAGCGAATAATAATCTGGGGTGATCTCAAGAAGTATTGACGACCGCAATGTTGCAATCCTACGTGCAACCTCCTCGATGCAATGCATTTTCGAAGGCCTGAGTATGCTGTAGTGGCCCTACTCAGACAATGCTCGACTACATCCAGATACCAGGCTTCAGGTAGCGCCTGGAGAACAGCTCATACGTCCCGCATAGCTCCACGATATCGCATATATACCCACCCTTCGAGTCAACAGCAACGGGGATATCAAGCCCATAGTAGCAATCGAACGGATACCTCTACATCTACCTCGCAATACTCTTCCTCGAATTTAGAATCAACCCACTTCCAAGCCCATTCCTCGAATTCTGCAGCGCAATCGAATCAAAGTCCCGGAGATCCGCACAACGATAAACATGACTATGCTGTGCTGGGGGGTGGAATTACTGGTCTTGCCAGCGCGTATCATTTAGCACGGGAGTTTCCAAGTTCAAAAATCACGCTTTACGAAGGGAGCGACAGGTTAGGGGGCTGGATAAGGACTGAACGCATCGATGTGGAAGGGGGGGATCTTCTAATTGAGCATGGCCCTAGAACGCTTCGGCCGGGTTGGGACGCAGCTGTATTTACTACATTGGAACTGGTATTGTGAAAGTACTGTCTGTCCGAGTAATTGGTGCTAACCGGCTTCTACAGATCCAAGAGCTCGGCCTTCAGGATGATATTTTGAGACCCAGTGATTCCGTGGCCGAACAGAACCGATTCATTTACTATCCAGACCGCCTTGTGCGCATGCCTGCCCCTGGCTCCGATTTCTACTCGATTGCGTGGTCCCTCCTCACCGAACAGGTCTTTAAGGGGATGATCAAGGGAATTGCTTCAGATATTGTGCAGCCTCCTCGACCCTCAGCCCTCGAAGACGAGTCTGTTGGCCACTTTTTGCAGCGAAGACTAGGAAATACAAATGTTGGCGACAACTTAATATCAGCGATGCTCCATGGAATTTATGCTGGGGATATCAATCAATTAAGCATCAAGAGCATGTTCCCGAAATGGTGGCACTTGGAGGGCAATTATGGTTCTCTTACGAAGGGGCAGCTTCTCTTGTCTGTTGAAAAGACAGCCATTGCCGATACACGAGATTTAGACTTAATGGGGGAGATAATGCCGAAGGTGGGCCCTGTCCTGGTTCACCGTGTAGGGCCAAGCATGTATTCCTTCCGCGACGGGATTTCTACTTTATCCTCAGCGCTGGAAAGCTCGCTGCGGGCTAATCCGAATGTCACACTCATGACCGGCAAGAAGATCCAAAGTGTCGACTTCGATTATGCGGCTGATGGAGTTGCTGTGAGCTTCATTCCTTCAAAGCCGTTAGACTGGTGTGCTAATATGTCTTGACAGATATCGACAGCTCAAAGCCAATCATCAACGACATATGGAAAAGTCATATCGACTATTCCCGGCCGAACGCTATCTACCTTAGCCTCAGGATCTCTACCCTCCCTAGAATCCATCCATTCCGTCACGGTTATGGTCGTGAACCTCTACTACCCGGACCCCGACCTCCTCCCAGAACATGGATTTGGTTATCTAATCCCCCGTTCCATCCCATTCGAGCAGAACCCCGAACGGGCGCTAGGCGTGATTTTCAATTCCGACATTATCCAGGGCCAGGACTCCGCCCCAGGAACTAAGGTGACAGTGATGCTCGGTGGCCACTGGTGGGATGGCTTTGACTCTTACCCCGACGAAGAAGAGGGTATTGCCATGGCAAAAGCCGTCTTACAAAGACATATTGGCGTTGACACTGAACCCTTTGTGGCTAGAGCCACCCTGCAGCGCGATTGCATCCCACAGTATACTATAGGACATGATTCACGCATGAAAAATGCGCACCGCGAATTGATCAACAAATTTCAAGGGAAGCTGGCTGTTGCTGGGAGCAGCTATTCCGGTGTCGGCGTCAACGATTGTATAAGGTCTGGAAGGGATGTTGTTATGGGGCTTCAATACCACGCCGAATTGACAGGTTTAGAGCACTTCACTGTTCCAAGAAAATATGCGAAGATGGCTCCGCTATATGAATAAAGGAGGACCAAGGAAAAGCGGCCCCGAGTTGAGGGAGGCCTTTGAGGACGGTAGGGAGGGGTGTATATATGGACAATTAGAAGGCACAGGAATGGGGATGGGGGTGCAGGCTCCTTGTACTTGTACGTACAGCTAGCCTTGTATAATCAGAGCAATATAGAGATAGACTCAAAAGCAAAAAGAATGTTTATTGCCTAGCACACCTCGGTGTTATACGCTCTTGTCCAGCTTGTTTCCTTAATCCGCCCCAATTTAGACCTAGGGTCTAGACTTGGTGCAACTGCTCGAAGGCGGAATTGTATGCAGGAGTTTAAAACTTATTTAATATGTGCACTCTATGTTGCAAGGGCTGATTTGTTATAATATAATTTATACTTTATTCGGACATAAGGTGAACATTTCAATACTCTTAAACACCTCTCAAACTCAAGAGGAAGAAAAGGATACTAAGAAAGCAAAGGTGGTAATCCCGGTGACAATAATAGTGTTTGAAATAACGAAAGTCCCCGCACCTTTATGACTCTACACTGTCAAATGGGTTGCCCTTAGATGCCGAAGGCCTTTTTCTGGGCTTTAGCATCTGCCCGACGATAACGGTTCACCCTCCACCTCACATCCCTCAACGTCGCCATCTCTATGGCCGCAACCCTCATCTCATTCGGATGCCTGTGACGCCAACTATAGCTCATTTCCATCCGGTGTATCTGGTCGTCCGCCCACAGATCCGAGAGATTAGGGTTTGCAGCTGCCCGCTGCTCTCCAACGACTAGAGCGTTGTCCCACACGTCCGCGACCTCGGGCGTGATGGCGGCTGTGGAGCGGAGGGTACATAGGCTTGATGGCCCACAGAGTGGACACTTCATCTGGAGTTTGTCCGGGTCATCCCAGTAGTCTCGGATGCAGAGGAAGTGGAAGAGGTGATTGCAGTGTAGGCGAGCGATTACTGGGTGTTCAGGGTCTGCTTTGAATCCGTCCATACAGATCACACAGTTATCCTCTAGTTGGGGAATCAACGGCTCAGGTCCATGGAGTCCGATGGGGTGGATGGGAAAGAGGCTCGTCCAGATGTTGGCTTTACGGGAGGGGCTATCCTCAGCGAGGTGGGGTTCTTTGATCTGCTGGATATCGTGGATGTATGCGTAGAAGTCTGAGATGGACTCGCGATACATGCGTTCTGGCCCATTGTCTGTGGTGTCAAAGATATGATACAGTTGTTTCCAAGGGCGTTTGTGGTTCCAGTTCCGGAGGAGGAGGTAGTTTCTTCGCATACAGTTTATCTGTCCAATTTTGGATAGGATGGGCTCTATAGAATTTTGATAATCCCGGTCCAGTTGGGATACGAATTTATTAGCGCTGTATTGGTTTTCATCAATGAGAGCGTCGTGTACCGCACACCATTCATCTTCGACTACAACTCGCTTGTTGATTAAGACGTCTTCGACGTGTTCGCGTCTTAATTTGTGTTCTAAGTCTCCATTAAGATTCAGGAGCAATGACCAAAGCCGAAAGTCGTAATCCTCAGGTGTATGACCTAGGTTCTATAAATACCTTAGCATGCGAATCCGAAGATACATATGTCGAGAGACTATGTAACGAGTTGAGCTTAGAAACTTAAGGGGGACAAACGTACTTTCCAGACAATTTGGGAGAACCTCGCAGGATCCTTGGACCTAATTCCCACTGACCACAGTCCCTCTTTATCCATTTGATCAGCAATCGCTTCTATTTTCTCACGCGCCAGACTAAGCATATCATCAATCGGCCGAAATTCATCGTAGGATACTCGCTTTTCAACTGGATCAGGCGCTACGTTGTATACCTCTTCCAAATATAAAGCAAAAGTCGACTGCATAATGTATCGTAGCTGCTCAACACCAAACGGTTCCAATCCACGATGAAAGCCACGGTAGTGTAGCAGCCGAATCCATGCCCGGTGTACTACCCAAGACCTGCGAAGATCAGGTTCGAGTAGGTTAGAGCCATCTGGAAGAGGTTTGTCCCTAGTTTCGGGATTCCTTCCATCGGCGAACCTTCTCATCACAGTGAGGATGTTTATCAAGCGGAAAAGCGTCTTCACACTAGAGAGCGAATTCTCGTCTGGCCCTTTATCTAGCCCCGCCCACTCGCCTGTGGACTTTTTACTTAGTATCTGGATCGGATGTTGGCCATCCAGCTCTAGAAATTGCTGGTCCTTAAGGGGGTTTTAGCATGGCATATTGTATCGAGTCACTGCAAAACGCGCTTACATCTGGATGAATAGAAGTCTTGTAATCCACTATAAAACGATCACTGGCAGTATGTTTTAACATCTCAATTCTGCGTTCCTCTCCAAGTTTTTGGGAGGATATCTTGGCAAGTGTTTTGAAGACATGATTAAAGTCCAGACCGTTCGCTTTGTTATTCATTCCCCAGTCGTTATCTCGGAAACCTCGTGGAGGAGTCAGCCCGCTTATCAGGGTACTGTCCCAAATGAGTTCGGGTTTTTGGATGGCTCTCAGCATTTCAACCCGTGTCCTATAATTGTCGTTTTTATTGCGCCTGTATAGCGAAGCTCGTCGGGTCACTTCGCTTTGGCGTCTATGCCTGCGACGTAGGTCATCCGCCATTTTTGTAGTGGAGGTATTTGAGGTGAAAACGAGAGTCTCTAGGAATGAGATACAGGCAAAGGACAAACGATAAATCCTTGAAGTTCAGACTTTTGATAAGAATCAGAAGGGCAAGAGTGCCTGTACAAGAGAACCTTAACGTCTTTGTTGTTTTCGTACGATGTTGAAGTCCCATTCCGGCGATGGACTTGGGAGCAAATATTTCCGCACAAAGGAAACATACCCACGGCGAGGCACGCGAGATGGCATATTGAAAGGGTCTGCTTTTGGAACTGAGCCCTGCGGATTTTACTATGGTGGGATGTATCAACTTCGGAAACCCTATGTTATAAATTTGGAGCAATGTCTCCTTCGCTTGGAGTGCTACTCGGCATGTCCTCTTTCGCATGCGGGAAATATGCCTCTTTAGAGCCAACTATAACTCTCATGGGGTAACAATCAATAAAAAAAAGCTGCTCACTATAACACTTTATAAAATCGATAGCCACAACAAGGATTCTGCCACAATCAACATAGTTTCCGTCCCATTCATCATTCCAGTGCGTTCCGGTACCATCATCGCTGTACTAGTACTTGCATCGCGGCCCACGGCTACTATCGCCTCGACTACGAGGGCGTATGCCTACTGTGCTGGGCGCTGAACTAAAGTCGTGGAGGAGAGGAGTTAGCGGTACAATGAAGGCTATAAAGGCTCAGGGAGAATAATCACGCGAAGGCTTCAAAGCGAAGTTAGAGAAAGAAACACGGAGATGAGGGCGCGCCTAGTTAGCGGCCTGGATTTATTTATCACTTAGTTACGTAGTACGGCAACGAACCCAAATCGTAGGCAAACCCATCACCAGAGATTCCCCACGCAAGCGCAAGCTCTTTATTAGTTATATTTACTTAAATCCACTAGCCATTAAAATTTAATCCTAACTTTTAAGTTCTCATGTTGTACAGAGCGCAGCGGACAAGTGGGGAGGGTCTTGGTAAGCGAGGGTGGAATAGGGGGGAGACTCTCTCTCTCGCTTAGCCCCGCGACCTCTCGCTTTACCAAGAATGGTAAGTATTAAAATGGCAAAAGAGTTCGGCCCGTTCGTTGGAGGGCCTACATCTCTTTGCCGAATAAGATCCGATTCGTATTTGTTTCGTTTTCTTGTCGGTTTCTTTTACGTCCCCCTTTTTTGGGGCCTCTGCCTACGTACCCTTAATTTCCCTGTCGACCTAGAGAGTACAACTTGTCCTGAACCACCCAGCCACGTTGTACCCTTCGAAAGAACAAAACGCTTATTTAGTATTGTATGTAACAGATCGATTGGTCGCTACACAGCTTTCACATGCTACACTGGTTGGCAACAATAGCAAGGCCTGCCTTGATGATAGCTCATAGCCCGTTCCTAAAGCGTAATTGGCTTTATAGACCTACAGGTAGGTATCTCTCAAAACCAGCTGTCCATGCATTTCAAACTTCTCTTCAATCCATACTTTCAAAGTTAAGCTGATGGGAAAGTTCTGTACAGTATTTATATTGTCTCGAATTAGTCTAATCAAGTATGCGTCTAGGGGGTATTAACTATGCTATCGTGTCGTCATCATTCATCCACCAACCCAACAACGCCTTGTAGTCCTTATATGCAATGTCCCAATTCCCATTTTTACAACCCTTAAAACCTCATGGTGTAGCGTAACGCGATTGCGAGCAACGGTCCATGAGGTAACCCATCCAAATCAACATTCTATGTGCAAAGACTAGTGCAATTCCAATAGCTGCTATGCGGGTCCGTGTCTGTTTTGTACAAATTGCTTTCGAAGCACTAGTACTCAAGATTTTATTACCATTGCCGCATGCAAATGGATCATCGGAGGGCCCCGCTTGTCCATGGCCCTCCTGGTGTTAGAGTTATTCCGACTAGAAATCTGTATCGGCTGTAAGTCACTGGTGTAGTTGTCAATCTCGGGGGAACAGTTCTTGTTATCGGAAATCCACCATTGTCCCAGCCGGCAATAGGTTCAAGGCTAGCGCCCGATGACGGCAAGTATCATGAGGACAATTGGCCAGAAGAGGACGGGCAACGGCTGCACAGTCACTGCTGCAGAATTTACAGGGACGATTTTCCCCTCTGAGGTGATGATCCAACCGCTTGGAACTCCAGCAATTGCCGTGTTGGCGGCAGTTGCTGTTGACATCCCAGTTGGTGAAGCAACCCATGGCCATCCCGTCTGATGAGCCGTATCAGTGTGGGAGTTGCCAAATCCGGCCGGGATTGTTACTGATGCGGAGGAGACGGCTGGTACGGCGGCGCTCGACACTGGAGCGCCTGCGGATCCTTCGTTGCCATTGACTTTTCCACCCACGGCTTGGATTGATTGCCAAGATCCACTGGTATCGCCGTACTTGTATTGCGTCCCGGTTGAATAATCGGTGACAGCAATAGATTGCACGCTCATCGTGAATGGGCCTTTTGAATAATCGGTGGGACCTCGGGCCCAGCCAATTGTCCCAGGGGGGTTCGAAGGATCTCCACCCGACCAAGTTCCAAACTTGATTTGCATTGGTGTTTGTGGATAATTATTTGCATCGGCTTCACTAGCTTTCAGGACACGAACCACGCTGTTTCCGACAGACCAGGTGATCTGCGATGATGTCCATTCAATCGTGTAGGTAATGAATTGGTCCTGGTTGTTGGGCGCAGGGTTGAAAGCCCCACGGTTGTATGATGTGACAGCGCCTTTGCCAAAATAATTGGTCTGCATCTCGGACGGACTTGCACCAAGCCATTCAATATCGATCTCATCCAGATCGTCCGATTGTAGAACCAAGGTGCTAACGATCCCGGCACCCTTTGCTGTCTTCATTGTAACCTGGACCTTTCCGAACATGATGTAGAATAAGCTGGCGAGTTGGGGAGAATCGCCGGATTTGGCTATTGTGAAATGAGCACCGCTCGAGTCGTAGGTGGGAGTTCCGGTAGCTGCGAAGGAATTGACCGAGCCTTTCGTGAAGTCGACATTTATTGCTTTGCCGAGGGCGGTATTGGCAGGGCAGCTAGCTGTTGGAATGTCAGCGATAGTTGGTACGGCTTCGAATGGGGCACTTACTTGTGTAGAGGGGGTTGCAGGATGAGTAGGTCTGAGACAGGACGGGTTGGCATTGCCATGACAGTACTGCCGCCGCAACACTGAGAAGGGATTTGGAAAACATGCTGGCGCAAACGACGAAGGAACAGCGTAATGTACAAAGAGAAAGGAAGACGGCGGAATAGGGCCGAGGTTGGAGAACTGCTTGATCGCACCACTCCCAACTACTCGGTCATGCGAACTTAGGATAAGAGTTGAGCTGGGATGGGGAACAATATGCTTCGGAGCGAGATCTTATCTTTATGGAGGAGGTCGGCGGGATGCAGTCGCGCCGTTGCAGCGGGTTGCAGTTGCAGCGGTGGTTGCAGGCGTGGACAACACAGCAGCGGCTTCACAGCGGGTAGACGAATTATGGGAACGCAGCTTCAATGACGAATGTTTCTGTACGGATGGATGAACATGCAGGTGCATGCAGCTCGGAGAGGAAAGGTTTAAGAAGCTGCAGGAGATTAGAGAAACTCGTGTCTCCCAGCCACCGTGGAAGATTTTCGGGGCCTACGCAGTACGTGGCGTAGGGGTCAAGTTGGCGCAGAGCCTTGTGTTGATGGAGTGTTTTTAGGGAGGCTGGAGGTGGGCCTCCTTTGCCCGGCCATGTGATGCGCTGTCCCCACGCCAATTGCCCAACCCACATCCACGAAGCTGTGACGAGTTACCGGGTACGAGACATAGTTCGTAGTACCTCTATGATGTGGCGCTTATCGAGGAGCCTCTGTAGTGACGGTGATACGAGTGCTATACTGTAATCATGGAGTACTTCGTTTGATTCTCTGATTCTTTGATACTCCGATAATGGTGAGGCTGGGGAACGAGGCGGATGGGGCTGAGGCCTCGCTAAAACGCCCACGCCCGCCTCGGCCCGCCTGCCGAACTGGAACCCCCTGGGTCCTGGTTCATCTGCGGATACAGTACCAACAAAACACGACACACGACAACACTCAAAAAGTAAATAAAATCTTTCTAGGCGCTTCGCAAAGACCATACTATTATTTGCTATCCAACTGTCTGCAAATATAACTCAGTCGCAATCATCAACATCCTGTAGCTACTACGAAGTAAAGGGGTGTACCGCGATTATACTGTGGCTGGAGTACGGAGTACCGCATACAGTTCAAAATCGACGACACGCAACACCCAGCAACGGGTCGAAGACTCTTCATAATTTTCAGGAGACATCCGCTTCAAAGATCGCATCAATCCAAACAAGAGACATCGAATAAGTTAATAATGACCGTTACCCAGGTCGCAATGACAGAGCGAAAGCGGAAGCTGAACGCGTACTAGAAGCCTGAGGCCGAGAGCGACGCTGAGACAGCCCAAGGTTTCATCACGTAGAACTCTGGCACAAAAACCCGTACTAACTGCTAACGATCGTCTGATGCTGCTTCAAGCTTTGGATTAGTCGCCTGTTGCATTGCAGTACATACACCCGTGCTCGCCGCTTGGTCGTTCTGGAAGCAGCGGTATCCGAGATGTCAGCCAAGCCCGAGTAACATAAAACCATCCCTCTCCCTCTCCCTCTGCCGCTCCCTCTCCCGCTGTTGTCCCTCCGTCCATCCCTTCTTGCTTGAGCCCCTCTCTCTTCCATTCGCTTTTTTCTGACTGTGGCTGGCCACCTTGTATTTTTTGGAGTTTAGCTATCTATATTATAATCAAAACGTTCATTTCTCCTTTGCCTTCGTTCAGCCAAAGCTACATCCTGACGAAAATGCACCTCTTATCTTCCTCCCCGCTGGTCGCCTTCCTCCTCCTCTCCCTATTCCAAATCTCCGTCCTCGCCGGCCCAAGCATCGCCGACAATGGAAAATTCCAGTTAGTCACTCGACAACAGGCCACGACCAGCTGCGCCGAATATTCAATGCTAGCGAACTACTCCACAATCGGCCTCAACTCAACTTACCGAGCTGCGTTCATACAAGCCTCACCCCAGGGCACCGATCCTTCAACGGCAATTGTCGATGGGGCAACGAAGAAATTCAACAGCTTGAAGTTGAAGTTTGATACGGCCGTGAATGCCCAGTGCGGGAATTTGTCGACGCTGGCGGTGGTGGAGGCGGAGAAGAATTTCACTATGGGAATTGTGGGCCCTTTTACGATCAAGAAGACGACGAATGCGGGGGTGAGGGTTGGAGGTGATGGTGGATTGGGGACGGCGGCTTTAGTGGCTTTGGTAGTGGGTGCTGGGCTGTGGTTGTAGGACAATTTTGCGATTTGATATGAGGGAGTGGGGTGACATGAATGATATGGATGACTTCTCCGACCAGGGCGCTGCACCAACACATGGAATTGGTAGATGGCAGAGTCGCAAGATTCGGAATCAAATGACAATGACAACCGCCGCTGTATGAGCGAGAACATCCTTGGTCACAAATCCTCGTGCTAGGCTAATGAAGGCTCCCAAAATCTATACTCCTATCTATTGGAACTTGTCACTCTGAACATATGTGACTTATTGTCGGCGCTTGCATACATCTATTCTTCCTTTGCCTATCATTCTTAGCATTGACAACTGTCAACAGTGAGAGCAGAAACCTATCTCCATCTGGCATCTTAAGTACTGTTATTTCTTTGGTCCTCTGCGTCTAGCTTCTCAAGATGAGGTCCTTGTTCTTGAAATACACCATTTTTCGTTTGCTTGTCCATTTCTAAACCAACAGGGGCTGTCTATAGCCCCCCGAGGCAGAGTTCTGCTAGTCAAGTCGCCGGAGCCACCCCCTTAATCACATTCGCTTAATCAAAATCCCGTGTCACCTAAGGTACCTAGGTACCTAAGATAAATATACTCTGTACCACTCGATTTATTATTATGATTATCTTCGAGAAGGATTCTACGTTGTTTTAACTTCCTACTTTAATGTCATTGAGGACTTCCCACAATACGCATTTCTCAACTCATTCTGGTTAGTATATTCACACAATAGAGATGTGCGCCGAGGTTGATCGACTACTCGGACATTACGGGCAATTTCAAATATATAGCTTCATCTCTATAGGATTACAGGTAACGAATAACCCAGAGTATACTGGAAACAGCGCCAACGATATGGGCAACAGGTGATACATGGCGACGATGAAATCATTCTGGTGCAGTAAATGAGGAGTATCTGCAGCACTTTTGTGAAGTTTTACTCCAGCTGAAAAAGGCAGGTCGTCGAATTCAGCCCTCAAGGAACTCATCACAACTAAACAAATGCTAGTTTTGATCACTTTTATACAAGTCTCCCATGGAAGTGACAGGAACGGGAGGTGTACGATATAGTTAACCCGTTGGCGATTGCCAATAGACTTAGTACGAGCCGGGGGCCAATTCAGGTACAGCTTACTGGAAACTGCGAGCTGAAGTTGATTACGTTTACTCATCAAAGTCCTCCGTGATTTTAATTAACGGTGGAAGGCGACCCGGTCTTCGAAGCAGCTACAACCCCGTAACGTGACCCAAACAGGGCCAAACTTATCTTATCTATCATTTATTCACCCGGCTCTTAATGTGTAGTTTCGACGTTTATATGGAGACCAGAGATCGACACCACACCAAGCGGGTAGCTATATAAGAATTACCCACCTGCCGGCTAGGAACTGTTTAAGTGATGTCTATATCGCCCTCTGCTGGTCAATCCCAAGAGGGATGTCAATGTCTCGACAACATCTAGGAACTTTGACACGCCAGAGCCCCCATTCAATAGCAATTGGGAGCTAAAGTCAGATCTAAATTGAGATTCTGGGCTACAATCACCCTCGAGTCGATCCCGGGACCATTTCTGTTGTAGTCAATCAACGCCAGGATATCGTATACTAAGGTATGGGTTTGCAGAGACAGTAGCTTCTGTTAATATTGGCTGCTGGCTCGGCTTCGGATACTCATTTCTGTGAAAAAAGGATTCTCTACCATTTTACTTGGAGGAAACACAGGCAACCATTATACCCAATGGCCAACTGTCGAACCCCAGATCTAGTTTGATGGCCACGATAGCAGAATAGTATATGAAGGGCGTGCAGAGGGAGGATTTGAAAAATAAGTGGCTAGAATCCTACACCTGCATTGTATTTAAATTAATAATCCGCGCTCCTGTTTAAACACAACTGAACATGCAATGATTTCATACCACGTGGCAACCCCCTCCAGTCTTCCTCCTGCATCCTCTTAAACATAATACGTAGGTAGTTGGATCGCAAAAGATCGCAAAATTGAGAACTGATTCCTTTCGCCAAGCTGCAAACCGGACTAAGCACATTGCCGTATTGGCAAACCTGCGTCTTTAAAATATCTTACACCGTTTGGCAAATTAGATGGATGCGCAACGTTACAAGGAATTATCAGCTTCCTTCAAAGGAATGAGTATGTAGTACAGTTTTGGAGGGCGTGCCCACGTTAGGTGCGTCTTAGACGAAGAGGGCGGGCGTGGATCGTTTGCGTTTCAGGTTGACATGTGAAATTTATTTAACGTTCCCCAGTGGCTACCTGTGCATAAAAGTTCACCTAACGGAATCCAACCATGGTTTCTACGCCTCAGTTGAAACGTGCTCCAAGACAATAACTCATCTATGTAGTTTGGCTAGTAACCACCAGGTTATAGCGCAGGACAATCAACATCTTGATATCGACGATAGGTATTATCTACAACCTTGCTCTCCGAACCTGTCACCCAGATCTATCTTATGATAGCTCGCCCCATTAAAAACAAGCCTACATTTATCATCCGATTTATCCCAAGTTGCAGGATTTTAAATTCAATCTCCAGACTCCAGAACCAATAGGCCGTAGGACTCATTGACACGGACACTTCCACAACCACCAATAATGGGTTTCATGTAGTTGAGAAGGACCAAATTCCGTCAAATGTGACCCCATCGAGTTGCTGCTTCTGGGGCCATAATACACTATATCTACCTTTACGGACGATAAAATACTATTAGAGTCCCCGAACGCGCGTTCGGTCCCACCTTTCTGTCCTTGACCCTTTGCACCCGCGAGCTACGGGAATGTTGAATAGAGCGATATCAGTCCAGGTCTCATAACTGTATTATCGAAAATACATGTTGGCCCTAAAACAATTTAGAAAATATTTTATGTTCCTTTTATAAGGATATTTGCAAGGGTATAAAATGCACTTTACTACTTCCATAAATAGTTCCTCACTTTACCTTGGTTTTATGTCAATGTTCATTAGAAGAAAGCAAATTCCAGACCAAATTACTAAATAAATAATACTATGTAGTTCTGTTTACCTACCTAGGTATGTTCGGTAGTACCAAGCAAAAATTTGAGCACGCCAAGTACCAAGCCGTCTAAGCCCTCAGGAGTCAACGATAAGGATGCACCAAAGGTTCCCACACAATAATGTAATACGAAGTGCACCATTTACTAGCGGTTAAACCTTGCGCCATCTATTCTTATCACACCTGTTACGCTATTGCAAAAGTCTCGCAACATTATACTACATCCGATTCATCTGAGGATAGCTATTGTTACGCGCCAACCGGGGCGCAGTGACCTCGGCGCCTGAAGCAATTAGTCTTGGTATGTAACGCTATTTTCGGAACTTGGACGATGGTATTCGCTCTACTATAACACATAGTGGATAAAACTCATTATGTCAAGATCACATGTGGCGGCACGTTTTCGACCCACCAAGGCAGTCAGCTTCACAATAGTCACGATCCATTATCAGGATTCAGGATTCAGCATCCAGATGGCTACAATCCCCCGCCATGGAAGTCTGGTGTGAATCGTCTAATTTCCATCCCGTGGGAGCCGATGACAGAACAATACAAACATAGGGAGATAAAGAGTATATAAGAGGCGTGCTACTCCCTCCATTATTGCTTCAAACTCAACCATCAGGCTCCTCATTCATACTTGCAAGATAATTTCCCAACAAATTCGCAACCACACTCATTTAAACAAATTCGCAACCACGCTCCTTTAAGCAAACCGTCAACATGAAGTTCCTTTCACTAGTCGCTGTTACTGCGTTCTTTGCAACCATCCAGGGGGCTCCTGTCGAGCCTGCCGAGTCAACGGCATCCAACACCTGGGTTCCACTGGATGTCCTCCCGGAACTTCCTCCTGGAGTTACCTTCGAAACCACCGTTGATAAAAGGGATGAGCTTGCCAAACGCTCCGACCTTAAACTGACAGTCTACCAAGGTTAGCAAATTCTGGTTCTAGAGAATAACTTTTACTGACAGTGACAGATAACAGATTTGGTGGAAGACGCGAGGATTTAGCCACGGATGGTAAGCAATAATCTGCACCTTTGATCAAAAACAGATACTAACACCAGAGTAGTTCAAAAATGCTGTATGTCTGAATCTAGGTGGCCCATCACTGCCATCGTCCGCGGCAGCAAACATCTAACACTGAGCTAGATGAACTCGGCAATCACTGGAGTGATGTAATCACCTCCCTTAAGGTTCCCAAGGGATACGGATGCAGCTTCTACACGTATGTAAAGATATTTTCAGAGTAGCATAAAATGTGACGCTGACATGAAACTAGTGATGGCCGATGCACGGGAGACAGTGAGTCCTGGTTTTTTCAACCCAGAAGAAATTTATACTAATATGAAATTCAGCATTTAACGTTGCTGGACCGGACGCCGTACCACATGTTAAACACTTTGGAAAACAATTCAACGACAAGATTTCGAGCTACCTTTGCTACAGACGCTAGATATAACTCAGGCGAGATCAAAATACCAAACTGGGCAGCAGGGAAAATTTGGGAGAGAGTAGAAGCAGGTGGAAGTAAATTTCACGGATTTGAAGACTCCTAACTCTGGATACGTTTTATTTTCGACGGGTTTCTGGATGGGGAAATATCGGGATCGAATTTGCAGTCATAAGATTCAACACATTCACTATAGTTTGATTTTTTTATAACAAATACAAATGTTTTCTGAACAACATTACCGCGGGACACCCAATACTTTGGGGCTTTTGCTTCGATGGACTGCACTTTGAGTCTAGCTAGTTGTGAGGTCAGATCTTCACCAAAAGAAATTATGTCAATTTGAGATCTGCTGATCCAAATGGGAGCGGGAAAATATTTAAGACAAGTAAACTAATACTGAGTCCTCTCAAAAGCATAAACGATGAATGAAGGGATTTATTAGCGCCCGCTTCCAGTCATAGTGAGACATTCCCTTAACAGCTATATTTTTTTTATGTAATAAGTTCGGGACCGCCTGAAGAGGAAAGATCGCAGCGAATGCCATGTATTTCGCAGCGCGCTCTGCATAGAAGCAGCATTGATATTGATGATATGATGTAGAAAATGAAAAGATGCTGCTCATCGGACCAGCAAGGCATCACGTGAACGACCCCTGTTTGATGCGCACCACCGTCGCTGAAGCGTGATCCATGCTCACCATACTGCCAATCCAATCGCAATCCTCCCCAATCACCGTTTCGTGCCCATTCCTGACCAGAGTACGAAGTACCAAGTACGTACCGGACTATACTTGGAGTCTTGGAGCCCTTTGAGCCTCAACACCACCACTATATCCCCGCACAATTCTTGTTACACCCATACCAGTACCAGAAATAGTACTGATACTTGTACCTATACCTATCACCTATCCTTATACGCCTCACTCCCAGTTTGCGCTATCTTCTTGCTGCTCTCTATCTCCACCTTGACCTCCACCTCTATGACTGATGGCCGCCTCCTAGCTGTGGCTGCTGGTCAACAATGACCAGAAAAGATGCGCCGTCTCGTCTGAGCTCTGCCACTAGCTCAAGCACCGATAGCTGGAAGTCCACCGATACCGTCACGCCCAGCTCGCTCTTCCGCGCCCCTTCGCGACGTGGAGCCCAGATGCAGGTTCGGACGGATGCGAAAAGCAGGTGAGCGAAGTTCGAACCCAGCAGCAGCAGCCGGCGTTGTGTTGCTGCTCATCTCGCCTTTAAACCCAAAATCCGGGCTAGACTGAGACTCCGACCCAGAAGCCTGGGTCCGAGCAGTCTTAAGACACTTCCCGCCTCCCGACATGGCATCTAGAAGCTTTGAAAGCGTGTTCTTTGACTAACGGCTACGTGCGTCGTCTCCCGGCATAGGTCAACCATCGAAAACGACCATCAAGTCTCGCCGACTTCTCCAGCTCCGCGCTCTGCTCTTTCTCTCTCCTCCAGCTCATCCAATGTCTCCCCGCGGGAGCATAGGATGACCGACTTCGGCAACTACAGACGCGACCTCGCAGTGCTAGAGACATCGAACTCTCGCATTCCCCAGATCCAGCACAACCCGCCGACCGCGCTGCCCTCGCCAGGCCAGGTCGCGCCGTGGATGGCCTCCAACGGGTCGAATGGCCCACCCTCGGCCGGTTTTGGGACCAGCTTCTACAACGATTCGAGCGACAATGTCTCGACAGGTTCGCAGTTATCCCCCGCCTTTCGCCCCGGGACGGGCCTGACGGGCGGTACAACTACGAGCGAGTCGCCCGCCGATGCTGATTTTGGAGACGAGCGCCGCCCATCCGTAGCCAGCGTGACGACCGCGAGCAGTACCGGGTCGAAGTCCAGCATCAGTCGAACGGGGATCCATAAGAAACTGCAACATTTCTTTGGGGATGACTATGCTAGGGCAGATGAATCTGACACGAGCTTGCCGTCCCGTGGAAGGGAAGCCAGGTCACATTCGTTTACTCGAAGCTATCGAGATCGCAATCTGTCATCGGCAACCAGCGCAACTCAAAGAGACGCTTCCCCGGCGGGCTCTCGTCCTAGGACACCGGTTCCATCAAGTGATGTGGTTCCCTTCTTATACCAAGATTCGCAGGTTAGTTCATTCTCTCAGAAACATTCCGTGAACGACAGGATCTACACGATTTCGCTATGGGGGCCACAGTCCAGCCGTGTCCCAGAGCGGAAGTTATGGAGGCAGGGCATTTCATCCCTGTCCTCAGTACGGATTGATATGTGGCATGCGGGTTCAGCAATATATAATGGTGAAATGCAGTGCTTATAGTTTGATTTAGGACATTGGCTTGTACGGAGAAGCGCCTGTAAGAACCAAACTTTCGGGCCCCGACCGAGATCGATATGCCACCGAGAATTCCTCAGTTCCTCCCAAGACCTCCTCCTCCAATCGTTCGAACCAGTCCCACTTCCATCGACACAATAAGAGCAACGAAGATTCAAGATCTCTAAGGCCGACCGTTAGCAGGGAGGACTCTGGGTTCAATACGTGGAACAAAGACCGAGGACAGAATTCTATAGGAAGTGCCATGGGCAATTCCTCCAATTCGAGCTTAGCCAGAAGACCGTCCAGCCCAGCACCGAGCGGTGGAAGTTCGTGGAGTCAAGCAACGGCTAGAACCCCAATGAATGATGGGTCAACATCGCCAACAGGAGGACATACGAAGCGTGGTATATTAGGGCGGTTTCGAAAGCATAACAAGGATAAAGATGGAGGATCGTCTCGATCAAAGGAGCCCCCAGGGCAGCGATCGCCAGATTTTGGCATATGGAGTCGTGATGGGAGCGTGGCGGGCTCAAATATTAGCCTCCCGAAGACGGACAATGGCCAATTTGCTCGACCATCCGCCAATACCCAGCGACAGAGACCGTTCAAAAAGTTGCCATTCAGGAAAGGGAGAGCGAACACCGCGGACGAAGCGGAATTCGTGTCGGATCCGAATGAAAGGGGCGACTTTTTGGGCGGATCCATCTTCAGCCTTGATACGAACCTATCCAACATGGAAGGTATCTTGGCAAAACCGCCTCCTTTAACCCCACTGGATAATAATATATTTGCTGGAAATGTCGAGGATGAGGCCAAACATGAGGCCGAGGCTGGACCCGTCCTGGGATGGGATGCCCCTGACAGTTGGGCTGTTAAAAAGGTGCAAGACGATAACATGTCACGCTTGCCTGAGATAGATGAAGCTGGAGCTCAGCCCAAGGCAGATGATAAGGGCCCACCATATTGCATTCGGATATTCCGGCTCGATGGAACTTTTGCGACACTCTCCACACCTCTTAATGCTACTGTCACGGATATTATGACCCAATTGGGCAAAAAGACCAACATGAAACCAGAAGATTTGGTAAACTATCAGATCGTGATGAAAAAGCATGATCTCAAACGCATACTAGGTGCGGGCGAACGACCCGTCGTAATCCAGAAGCGACTGCTCGAGCAAGCTGGTTACGAGAATCGGGATAAGGTCGAGGATGTCGGTAGAGAAGATAATAGCTACCTCTGCCGATTCTCCTTCGTCCCTATACGAGAAAGCGGCTACGCCACTGTCAGCAACGATCCAGGCGTGAGCCGAGTGCAAAAATACAGCCATGTTGACTTGTCTGGACGGAATCTCATCACCATCCCTATCGCACTTTACTCGAAAGCCTCTGAAATCATCTCTCTGAACCTTTCACGGAACTTGTCGCTCGATCTCCCGAAGGACTTTATACAATCATGCCAGAATCTCCGCGAAATAAAGTTTGTTAACAATGAAGCATGGAAACTTCCGCCTAGTCTTAGTCGTGCTAGTCGGCTCACCATCCTCGACGTATCAAACAATAGATTAGAGCAGCTCGAGCATGCTGAACTCTACCGACTATCCGGCCTTATTAGTCTTAAACTCGCAAACAATCGCCTGAGGAGTCTCCCCACATACTTCGGCGGTTTCAAGTCACTGAGGACTTTGAATGTCTCGTCAAACTTCTTGGACTCTTTCCCTACATTTCTTTGCGAACTAGAGGGGCTTGTTGACATCGACATGAGTTTCAACAGTATCGCAAATCTACCAAATGATATTGGCAAATTGAAGAATCTTGAGCGTTTTGTTATTACCAACAATCGCCTCACGGGTCACGTTCCAGCTACCTTCGCCCAACTCGTAAATCTCAAAGAGGTGGACATTCGGTATAACACGATTACCAGCATCGATATCATTGCTGCGCTACCCAAGGTTGAGCAGATCTCCGCAGATCATAATTCTGTATCGGAATGTGAGACCGAGTTCAACAGAATTAAAGTACTGCGTCTCAACTCGAATCCGGTAACGAACTTCGAAATCAAAAACCCCGTACCTACTCTCACCACTTTGATTTTGTCCAATGCAAAGTTAGCTCATATACCGGATGCGGCATTTGATAAGATGCCAAATCTTGTGAAGCTTGTCTTGGACAAAAATCATTTTGTGTCGCTTCCTAGCCACATAGGCAAGTTGCGGAACCTTGAACATTTTAGCATAGCCATGAATGCCTTGAGCACTCTGCCTCCGGAAATTGGTTGCCTGACAGAACTCCGCTTTTTGGATATTAGACAAAACAACCTAAAGAAGCTTCCGATGGAGATATGGTGGGCAAATAAGCTCGAGACGCTCAATGTTTCCTCCAATGTTCTTGACAGCTTCCCGAAGCCTGCTTCAAAACCGCCTCAAATCCCTGGCGAGGCCCCCCAACAACCAGTACAAAGCCAACTAAATGGCACTCCAGGAAGCAGTTCAAGTGTTGAGGAACTTGGCCCATTGGAGGCTTTCGGACAACGGCGACCCAGCCAAGCGTCAAGTGGGCTACTCAGCGTTGGTGGCTCCCCGATTCCGGCATTAGGGGATCGCAAAGGTTCTGTCGTCTCTCTATACGGAAAAGGGGGCCGTAAGACGTCGGTTGTGTCTAGGACTGCATCGGAATCAACTATGGGGGGAACCAGTACTCCTCCATCAACTGCGCGAAAAGATTCTGCCATGTCAACCAGACTCATCAATACTTTTGCCGGGTCACTACGCAACCTATACCTGGCTGAAAACCAGCTCGATGATGACGTGTTCGACGAGATTACACTGTTAAGTGAGCTTCGAGCCTTGAATCTTTCGTATAATGACCTCAACGACATGCCGCAAAGGTCCATTAGAAGCTGGCCCCAGTTGGTAGAACTCTATCTTTCCGGAAACGAGCTTACATCTCTTCCTTCTGATGACTTCGAAGAGTTTAGTCTCCTACAGGTTTTGCATATCAATGGCAACAAATTCCAGACCCTGCCTGCTGAGCTCGGCAAGGCACATAGATTGGCTGTTTTAGATTGTGGCAACAATTCTCTCAAGTACAACGTATCAAATTGGCCTTACGACTGGAATTGGAATTGGAACACCAACCTCAAATACCTCAATCTTTCTGGCAACAAGCGTCTTGAAATCAAGCCCAGCATACCTGGTGGCTCAGGTGCTCGCGACGGGCGAGACCTCACTGACTTCAGTGCGCTACAGCACCTACGAATTCTTGGCCTGATGGACGTGACGTTGACAATTCCTACAATCCCCGATCAGACCGAAGATCGAAGAGTACGTACTTCTGGCTCACTAGCTGGGCAGTTAGCATATGGTATGGCAGATACTTTGGGTAAAAATGATCATCTCTCCCTTATCGATATGGTTGTTCCGCGCTTCAACTCAACGGAAACCGAAACGCTGTTGGGCATGTTTGACGGGCAGGCATTGTCAAGTGGCGGATCCAAAATCGCCAAATTCTTGCATGAGAACTTTGGGCATATTTTCAGCGAGGAGCTACGAAGACTGAACGCTCCCCATGAAACCCCAGCAGATGCCTTGAGGCGAGCGTTTCTAGGTCTTAACAAAGATTTGGCGACCGCCGCAACTCAGCACACCGAAGAGCGGTCATTACTATCACATCGAGGATCGGCCGCCCCAGCCGTGCTAAGCCAGGCGGACCTGCACTCTGGGGGAGTAGCCACTGTCATGTTTCTCCAACAATCGGAGCTTTATGTCGCCAATGTGGGAGATGCGCAGGCCATGTTGATCCACTCCGAAGGTGGCCATCGTATACTGACAAGAAAGCACGACCCGGCGGAGCCGAACGAGCGACAACGCATTCGGGATGCTGGTGGATGGGTCTCTCGACAGGGGAAGTTGAACGACATATTAGATGTCTCACGTGCATTTGGATATGTTCAACTAATGCCCGCTGTTCAAGCAGCACCCCACGTTACCCAATTCACCGTCAGAGAGCAGGATGAAATGATTTTAATTGCGTCAAGGGAACTGTGGGAATATATCTCTCCAGAGCTTGTTGTGGATATCGCCCGTAATGAACGCGGTGACCTTATGCGTGCGGCTCAAAGACTCCGTGATCTGGCAATGGCATTCGGAGCGACGAACAAACTTATGGTCATGATGATTGGCGTCAGTGACCTGAAGAAACGGGCACAGATCCGACCCCACAGGGTCCAAAGCCTGTCATTCAACCCCTCGGCCATCATAGAAGAAGGCTATGCTCCCTCGAAACGGCCTAAGAAGAAGGGTGAGACGGTTGAAGATTCCGTGCTCCGTAGACTCCCGCCTGAACTCCAGGCGCCCGTCGGCGATATTAGCATTGTTTTTACTGACATCAAGAGTTCAACTGTCCTCTGGGAGACACATCCAAACGCAATGCGCTCAGCAATCAAGCAGCACAACGAAGTTATGCGTCGTCAATTACGTCTTATAGGGGGGTACGAGGTCAAGACAGAAGGTGACGCTTTTATGGTCTCGTTCCCAACTGCTACCTCCGCCCTTCTTTGGTGCTTTGCTGTACAGTCTGCGCTTCTCGAAGTTGAGTGGCCTTCCGAGATCCTGTCCAGTCCCACAGGTCGGGAGGTTTATGATAACGATAATACTGTTATATTCAAGGGATTGAGCGTTAGAATGGGAGCTCATTGGGGTAGCCCTGTGTGCGAAAACGATCCTGTGACGAGACGTATGGATTACTTTGGCCCCATGGTCAATCGTGCCTCACGTATCTCTACCGTGGCCGACGGAGGACAAATATGTGTCTCTGCAGACTTCATTTCCGAAATACAGCGTTGTCTCGAGACCTATAACGAAAGCGAACGTTCTGGATCTACCAGCTCTGAAGAGGGATATGATAACGACATACTCGCTCAATCGATCCGTCGTGAGCTACGCTCACTCAGCAGTCAGGGTTTTGAGGTCAAAGATCTCGGGGAGCGCAAACTCAAAGGGTTGGAAAATCCGGAGTACATCTACATGATGTATCCACATGCGCTCTCTGGGCGTATCCATTACCAACAACGAGTTGCTGAAACTGAAAACGAAGCTGAGGCCGGACAACCTGCCTCTCTTTCTCAACAAAGCAAATTGTCCATCGATACAGATACTGTTTGGGCAATCTGGGCTTTGAGCTTGAGGCTTGAGATGTTGTGCTCGAGTCTCGAGCTGGAGAAAGGCACAGGAGCTGCTCTCCAACCACCGGAAACTAGCATAATGCAGAGGATGAAAGAAAGGGGCGGGGAAGTTACGGATCGATTCCTAGTAAATTTCCTGACCCATCAAGTTTCGAGAATTGAGGTAGGCAGTTTTATTCCTAACCCTTACTCCAATATATTTAGCTAACTTGGCTTCCTAGACATGCGTCTCGACTCTCGCTACACGCCACCTTGCGATTGGTCAATGTTCGCTATCTAACCTTGATCAGCTTCGAGCTCCAATGGGTGATATTCTAGGAAGTTTAGTGGCACAGTTGAGGGAGCTTCAGGAATATAAAGCGCGTTTTGGGGAGTTGAAGGGCTGATGATGAACCGGACAGGGAGTATTTATAATCCAACAGATCAGTTAACCAACAAATTTGGGGAACACTCAAGTCAAAACTACGAGATGGCGGCGTTCTCACAGCATTGGGCACACGGTACTTTGGGCGAGCAAGGCGTTTGGGGATTTAGGATGTATTGATGATTAAGTTGATCTTGTACAGCATGGGAATGTTCTGAAAACCGGAACGTTTTTACGGCACTTGCAATTTAGGGGCAGGGGAGTTCTCTTCGCGTTCTACCTATTTAGGGAATTGCTAGACGGCGCGATTCGAGCGGGCTCTACTTTTCAAAAGAGGTGGTGAATAGCTTTTATGACTTTTTACGAGGATAGCCTTGGGTAGGAAATGGCGGTTTGGATGGATATTAGGGAGGCATCGGGTTTGTGATTAGGTTTGATTGATGGGCGCGATGGGCGCGATGGTATTGCATATGCATACATATGTATTAGTTGGTTTATATTGGGCGCGATAAGGATGTTTGAATGAAAAGATGATTAACTTCTGTCCAACCCGATGTCCAACTGTAGCTGGGACTTGAAAGGAACCCAATCTAAACTCTGTGGAGATAAGGATACGACTCATGCCGATATGCTATATGCACGGAAGATTGCGAACGAATTCCCGCCCTGAATGTCGCGATGTTTATCCCGATCCGATGTTTAACGCCGGCACTATCTCCACTCCACGCCTTCTAGCATTTCCACATAATAAAACCAAAAGCCATAGCCCTCTCTCAACAATCCCGACAAAACATAAAAAAATTACCCATTCCTAAACCGCCAAACTCCAGCAGAACTGCTTAGATATTATATTTTTTCAGCTTACGATTGATTTGATGAGGAGATAGTGCAGGTAAGTTAAGAGCACTACGTACCGGAAAGACAAATATGACTTGCGATGCGTGTAACACGATCCCACCCGTGACCTCTGGGGAATATACTCCAAAAGGGAGTTATGTCACGGTAGGCGGATTAAAGACTTGTACGCACCTACCTACTTATCTATCGAAACCCTTTCCCTTCTTTCCCACTCACTAACTCCCTTCTCAGACATCACGGGACCCTCAACCTCCTCCATCGGCCTTGTAGGAATCTACGATGTCTTCGGACTCGCTCCGCAAACCCTCCAAGGCGCGGATCTCCTCTCCACTGCGCTGAACGCCCTTATCCTCGTCCCTGACTTCCTTGAGGGGGATGTCGCTAAAGAGAGCTGGTTTACGGGGGCGACTGAGGAGGGTGATACAGCCAAGGCGGCGTTTATGGCAAAGGCTGTGGATATGGATAGGTGGACGCGAGAGTTGGCGGAGGTGGCGAGGGATGCGAAGAGTAAATGGGAAGGCGTGGGGAGTTGGGGTGCTTATGGGCTGTGTTGGGGTGGGAAGGTATGTATAGCTATTTCCTGCTCTGTCCATTTGTTTTTTTATATAGCATTTCTTTCTTCTGGTATTGGCATTCGGCTTTTATGGAGTTTATTCATAAGATGGTCTAGGGAGACCATTCTGTCTTGTTCTCATTCTTGTGGGTTTTACGAACGAGCGTGTTATTTATTGTTTGTCCGTGGACGAGGGACGGATGAGAAAGACCAACCTTGCTAAGCATCTCACGCACTAGGTCGTTGTTCTCTCATCTGGTTCAAACTCGCCCTTCAAAGCTTCCGGTCAAGTGCATCCTGGGTACGTATCTATCCCTTCCTTCTCCCTCTTTCTCCAATCCCAACTAACTTCACTTTCCCTTTTCCAGCCGCCTCGACGCCGCCGACGCCCTCATTGTCAAAATCCCACACATTGTTCTAGCATCAAACGGTGAAGACGCCGGGATGATCGCCTCGTACGCCGAGACCCTCGTCGGCGAGGGGAAACCGCATGTCGTTGAGACGTATGCGGATATGCATCATGGGTGGATGGGTGCCAGAGCTAACCTGGCAAATGAGAGGAATTTGAAGGAGTATGAACGAGGGTGAGTTTTCCCTTGCTTTTTTGAATTTAGGGGTTGGGTGGGCAGAAAGGGGGAAGGGGAGGTGGAGGTGATGAATGAAAAGATGATGCTGATATATGTACGATATAGGTATAACCAGCTCGCTGCTTTCTTCGCCAAACATCTCTAGCTGGAAATACGCTGGTATTCTATCTCTTGTGCGGGATAGAACTTCAAACCCATCAATGAAGATGAGAGAGTCATGAATCTACAAGTTAGCTGGGCAAAAACACCAATTCAACAGCACAGGCAGCGTTAGACTTAGTAGTAGTGAACTCGGATAAAACACAAGAACCTGTTCAATTTTGCCCAGAGAGATATTTATGATGCATAGGTTATTTTTCTACCTTAAAACATCCATCGTAAAACCGCTACCTCAAAATTCAAACGAATGAAGATGCCCTAACCCCCAAAAAAGAACACCGAGCGGATACTCCCTTCATTCATGATACGATCCAGCCCTTTTCCATCTTCATGACCTGAACGGGTGCAGAGACACGACGAAAGAACATGGCATAGAGTGACTGCAGTTACGAGCGAGGGCGCTTGATCAGGCGCTGTACGGGCAGGTTGTCTTAACATGTATTCTTTGCTATCTATTTCCCCGCGATTTTTCTATTGGGTACTCACAGCTTGTTGGGTGCCGTTTCTAGAGGAGTCAATGTGTTAACGATGCTGTTCCTTGAAGGTACGCGATAATAATTGGTAAAATGGTGGTGGGAGATAAATTGCAACATTTACAGGTATTTTAAGAGAAAGGTAGTGACACATAAGGGTCGAAAGGATTGAGTTACGTACGACTTGTTGGCCATTGATATCCTGCTGCATCACTGAATTTATAACCATAGGAAGAAGTGAAGTCGTCTAGGACGGCGGGGCCACGGGAACCTTTTATCCGTTAGTACAAAATCATTACATCGGGCTGATGGCAAATTACCATATGGGTATTCCATAGGAATGATTTCCTTGTTGTCATCAAGGTAGTGGAGGAGCGGTGTGAAAATTCTCCAGCTGGCATCCAATTCATCATCACGAACAAAGTTCGAGTGATCACCCTTTAGGGCATCCAAGATAAGAGATTCGTAGGCTTCTGGGATCTTGAGATCCGAGAAACGTCTTCGGTAGGTCAAATCGAGCTCGGTGACCACAGTCTGCATACTCAAGCCAGGTAGCTTAGAGTTCATTTTGATGTACACACTCTCGTTGGGCTGAATTCGCATGACAAGCTCATTCCGTGGAATGTCCTTGAAAATACCCGAGGTGACGTCCTTGAACTGGATTCGAATTTCGGTCTTCTGCTCGTTGAGAGCCTTACCAGCCTTCAGGATGAACGGCACGCCATCCCATCTCTCGTTCTTGATGAATGCGACCATGGCGCAGAATGTGGGACATCTCGAATCTTTAGGCACGGTATCATCTTCCTTATACGCTGGCTTGGCACCATCCAGTGACTTCCCGTACTGACCAATGATGACATTCTTTGGCTCGATAGCTGGGATGCCTCGAAGAACTCGGACCTTCTCGTCTCTAATATCCTCCGCGGAGAAGGAGATCGGTCGCTCCATAGCAAGGAGCGTCAGCACCTGCAGCAGATGGTTTTGCATAACATCTCTGATGATGCCGAACTCGTCGAAATAACCACCCCGGCCCTCGGTTCCGAAAGGCTCCTTGAAAGTAATCTGCACGTTGTCGATATGGTTGCGATTCCAAGTCGCGCCGAAGAATTCGTTACCAAACCGGAGGATAAGAATGTTCTTGACCATCTCCTTGCCCAGATAATGATCAATACGGAAAATTTCATCCTCGTGCCAGTTGGGCTCCAGAGCCTTCTGCAACTCCCGCGAACTGGCAAGGTCCTTGCCAAAAGGTTTCTCTACCTATAAAACAGCCTAATGTTAGTATATAAATCAACGGTACAATCCAATTGACGCCTACAATGATTCTTGCAATGCCATTCTTTGGGTAGCAATTCTTCTTTAACTGCTGTGAGACCGTAGTGAAGACGCTGGGCGGCAATGCCATGTAGAAGACACGATTTGCCTCCTTCCGGCCCTTTTCAGCCACCTCGAGGTGTTTCCGCAACTCAATAAATGAATCATCCTGGTCATATTGCCCCGACACATATGTGCAGATCTTACAAAAGTCCTGGAGCTGCTGTTCCATATCCTTCGTCGGCGTCTTGATGTAAGACTTGACCCGTTTGAGGTACTCCTCATGGTCCATCTTTGTCCGTGCATATCCAATGATTTTTATGTCTTTAGGTAGGAATTGGTTGCGATACTGTGGTGGCGATGGTTAGCGGAAGGGCCGGGGACCATCTGTGGTTACTTACAAGGCCGAATAAAGCTGGGAACTGCAGTTACAACTGTTAGCAACGGGCATTGTAGTATTCGAACAGGTGTACTTACAGTCTTCTTCTTTGCAAGATCTCCAGAGGCACCCAGGACAACGATGACGGTGTTATCCTTCAGCTCGATCGTCCTGGCGGGGGGTTAGCACCTCGATCTGCAAAATTATATCCACATGATTTCAATTGAGTGATTCCAAGCTCAGCACTACGTTTCCCAGGGCATTGAATAGCCCATAAAACTTTGCGCAAGGCTCAACGCCGTTGTGTTCCTGTTGCGATAGCTTCGGGAACCGATGCCTACGTCGATGACATGGCGGGGGGTTGTGCAACTCACCCAGCATTGGTGGGCACCTCGGGCCTGATCATTGTGTCGGCCATGATGCAGGATTAGGGACGAAAGGCGCACGAGGGCGGTGGAAGTGAAGAAAGCGAAATCTGCGGACGGTCCCAATATCAGCCAGCAGTTCTGCTCAGTTTGTTGAGGCGGCGTGGGTGGGATGGAGATGGAGATGGAGGGCCCAGAAAGCTACGGCGGAAGCGGAAGAAGTGAATTGCAAGGGATAGAGTAGGAATATGGGCAGAGTCCGGCTTACAAAAGAGCTGAAAACGGTGACCACGCCGCAATAGAATACCAGAGGGAGCTTGACAATATATTGAGCACGATGTAAGATGCGGTTGAGGTTGTTTCGTTGCAAGAGGCCAGTTCTAGTGCCAGCTGCAGTTGCGCAAGCTAATATTTAGCTTTTATCCAACCCAGTCTCACTCCCACTCCCACCGCCACAATCGCAATCAATCAATCGCAACCAGAACCACCGCCGTCCCCCACCTTACGCGGCAAAACTCTTGACGGCACCTAAACTAACGGTGAACGAGGACAGCGACGGAGGATGGAATAATTCACAGATAATCTCCGGCGGCGATGCGCGCCAATCCACAATGCTTTCAGAGCTAAGGTACCTAAGGTAGGTAGCTTTGCTATACGGAGTACTTGTCAATTCTTTTGAATCCTACCAAGCTCTAGGTTACCTGCTCTACTCTACTCTACTTATCCATATATCCATATACGGAGTGGTCTATAAAGTCGACCCAAGACCCAAGCTCGCTAGGTCCAGAATACTACCGTAGGAACAGTACTTACGGAATGACGACGCAACGTGCCTATTCTTCCAATAGGCCCCACCGCCCACGTTCTTCCCACTCAGGCACCATAAAAGTAAGTTAGGTAAATTAGTAAATTACAGTCGTAAAAGTATTCTGCGAGCGCCGCCGACGGGCGCCGCGAGCCCTGTCGGCCAGACTGAGCCATTGTCGGGGCCTTTTTAAAACAAGCCGAGAATACAGCAGGTTCGAGAGTCGAGGCTAGGAGGAGGTTTGTCTTGTCTTGTCTTGCGTAGTGTTCTGTTGAGTTGCCTTGCGCTCTGATCTCTTCTCGCGTTGCCTTTGCCCATTGCCCATAAGGAAGAAGTGACCGCGTTATTATTGCATACCTGTATTTTGCCAACAAGCCCAATAATGCATTGCCACCATTAATAATTCATGCTTACGAACCGTCCATCGTATCTCCGCAACCGCCGGTGGCTTCAAAGCGGAAATCCTGAAAGCGGAGAAAACGATCAAGGCTGCAATGCAATGATAATCTTGTGGCGCTCAAATAGAATATTGAATTGACCAGACAATTATCCATTATCCATAAGAATAACTTATTACCTAAAGCCTATTATGGAATTACTTTCCTTGACTGGCGCAAATAGTCTAGTAGGCGATAAGGAAACTGATAAGATGATGGCCTTCCCCACGTGATCCGCACTCGCTTAGCCGGCGCTAACGAAAACCCACGAACTCAGATTGAATTTCGAAAATGCGCGAGCGACAACAAGACCAACGACAAATTCGACGACAACCCGCCTCAACGAAGTCTTTTCAGCAAGACGCGTCGTTGATTCCTCTCGATTTACTTTCATAGTACGAGAGTCCCCACATTCAAGATGCCTACGGAAGCTGGACACCGCCGTAAGTTGCACCCTGTTGCTAGTTACTAGTCCCGCGAAGTTGGAGATGATGGGAGAGGAGATGGGGGAATGGGGAGGGGAGGGGAGCTTTAGCTGGGGGGCATTGCACTTCTCTGCTGGAGGTTCCTGGCTCTCTGTTCTGGTGTACCGCGGGCTGGTATTTGAATATATATGACATGTTGCTGACTTTATCTTCTAGTCTATGTCAAGTAAGTCAATTGATACCCGATCGCCGAGTGGACTGCAAAACAACAACACGAGTCGAGTCTTCGAGTTGAAGGAAAGAGGGGGACAGAGGAGATGGATTGTAGATTTCCGCCAGCAGGCCACATGGCGGTTTATAATGGAGATGAGAGATAGGTGCTGATAGGAATTCTCATAGGGGCCGACATCTGAGCTACCAACGCGGCAAGCGCAACACAACCCCCGGCACCAGCTTGATCAAGATTGAGGGTGTGGATGATACCAAGGCAGCAACGTACGTGCGGGGCAGAAAATGCCATACATACCGAAATGGGAGCAGACTTGCTAACTGTGACTCCAGTTTCTACCTCGGAAAGAAGGTCGCTTTCGTCTACCGCGCGCAACGAGAGGTTAGAGGATCCAAGATCAGAGTTATCTGGGGAAAGGTTACCAGACCACATGGTATGTTTTATATCCACGGGAAACAGAGTTGTCCGTTTTGAGGAATTTATTGCTCACACTTCGTCCAGGCAACTCCGGTGTAGTACGAGCACAGTTCAGACGCAACCTCCCCCCCAAGTCCTTCGGCGCATCGGTTAGAGTTATGCTGTACCCATCCTCGATATAAGCGGGAGGGTTCTGGAGTTGGTTCTCTGCGGATGGAAGATTGGTTGGCGATATGTCACACTATTCGGTCACTAGGTGGGGCAGCGATATGTGCATAGCCTTGCTGGTAGCATTCGAATAAAAGCAAATAACAACCACGAGGATCCGTTGCCCAATTTTTGTGAAGATTCTGGGCGATTCGTTAATACCGTGTGATACTCACTGGTCAAATCCCGAGCAGGCTGAAGTTGGATCAAAACCCTTGGAATCGATAATGACGGTTTTTGATCGTTACGCTCAGCCACCAATAGTTTATGTGGAATCCGAGTAATCCTACCGGAGGTATCGACATCCCATCACGACTTCGTCTCCCTGCATTCCCCTTTCATTTAACTCCCAATGACCACAGTAAGCAACGCTCAGGCGATACTACAGCCCATTTGCCATATCAGTCCCAGAATTTCGCCATATTTGAGCTCCAACTCCAACCCCAAATTCAAGATATACAGCAGCGCCCACCCGCTCCATCTTCATCAACTCCCATTGAATCCCACAAATCCTTCCCCAATGCCTTGGACACTTATATTAACATCTTATGTAGTAATGTGTTCGCAATTCCCCTATGGCATGTTAGTTCGGTGGGTATACAGATATGTCACGGTGCTTTCCACCATACAAGATATCTATGAAGCGTTACCAATTCGTTGCCTCTGATTTTTGAGAACGTGCGAATAACCCCCACCAGGTAGCAAGTCAGCCCTATACATACAACATCAGTTATGTGCAATAGCCCTTGACTAAATTCGGTATATTTCAAGCTTCCGCTGGTGATATATCGGGTGCATCTACTTCCTACTGGTATTTTACTCTTAAACAACACACTGTATGTCGTGATAAATGATCGTTTGCACTTACATATACCATGCCATCCACGCACAGTTCCTACGTGAACTAAAACCGGAGGTTTCCGGCCTGATTAAATATTGAGGGGGGTCATGCTACGCAATTTATAATTTCTCGGTTTTGCTAGAGCTTGAAGTTTGTAGACATGGCCGCGAGTACGATTGATATATATATTTGTGGTCGTTGATACGAGTATGCCTGCTTTTGCATCGAGTGAATCTATGAATTCGAGATATATGATGGATATATTTGGGTTCGTATGTATGACTATTCCAACGCCTGCTTAATTGACGATACGCTTACTTGACAAATACGCTCGATTGACGATACGCTCGATTGATTTCCGTCATGCATGCAGCGGTGTGTGGAAGGGCAAATATATGTATGTACCTACCTAAGGTAGGTATCTATGCAGGTCGTGTTTTCTGTTTCTGTCTTGCATACGTAGGTACGAGCCTTATCTATTAATTAATCTCCACATATAATATAGCCAAGTACTTTTCTGTTGGACTTTTCTTTGTGCGGTTAAATCAATCAAAGGGTGCAGCAAAAAGTCTCATACGCATACACGTGGTACCTACTATATGGATATTCAGGGGCAATTCCTGTTTGTCCGTGCTGAGGAGATAATCAAGTAGCCTTCCTACCTTGAGTTAGTTAGTGACGTACTATGATGTCTCCTAGCCCTAGATAAATGCGTCTTCGAACGGTACTCTTCCTATTTGATGAGAGAGAGAGGTTGATGAGGTCGGACTTTTAGACCATGTCAAATGCCGACCTTTGGATCTGCGTAGCACGAGCGTCAGCACAGGAGATATTCCTGCTGCCGAACCGCAGGTCCGCAAGCGATGTCTCCGAGTGGAGTGAGCCTACCAAAGGCAGCGGGGCAGCGAGATGCGAGACATTTGTGTGGTTGCTGTGGTGTGCTTTCGGCATTAGATTTCATTGTTCTCGGACTGGAATGTTTTCCCATGGAAGCGGTCAAAGGAAAAGAAAATCAGAGACATTGTTGCAAATCCTGCCAGAATGGATTGAGAGATTCTTGTCGTGGCCTGCGTTGCTTGGCCACACCTCGTAAGGCTGATGAAGATGTGCCTCGGAAGTTAACTGAACGCGACGATGCTGTAGTTAGAACTGTTTTCAGTGGGCCCAATATCTAGCTGGTGCTGTAGCTTCCTTCGCCAACTAATAAATATCCTCCGCATGGAGATGAAGATGGAGATCCTACTAATTGACGAATCTGAACCAGCATTCGGCCAATCAATTCACCTGATTAATCGTTCTGATGGATAGTTATCGGTATGTACATGTACCACGGAGCAATCAGTAGGCACCCCCTCGTCAGGCCGGGGCAGGCCAAGAGGGGCCAACTAATAAACCTCGATATAGTTCCAGCGTCAGGGCCCACAGGCTGACCATCCAGCAGGGGACATAGCAGGTTTCTGGAGCACCAGAGTATCCGTTGCTAGGAACAGCGGGGGCGAGAATGCAAGGACGTGAACATTTTCAGAGTTACCGGTCTCATGAGTGCAATGGTGGAACCTGATACAATCGAAGTATGTGCCCCGCGGAGCGAGGTGGGATTGGGGAGATGTTTATGCTGATCGGTGGAAAAGATATGGGGGAGAGCAGAAAAGAGTGGGCGCTGGAATTCTCGTCACCCTGGACAACGGATAGCGCCACTTTGACTGGATTCCTTGGTATTGTATGATCATGTACCAGGTATATTGACCATGTTCCGATTAGGCGTCCGATAAGAACTGGATCGAGCATTTATCTTTGCATGCCGTACAACATACAGCATGTACTGCACATGTACCTATGTATGTACTTCGTACGCAGCAGCACCAAACCTTGACACTCGGCGTCCGACTATCAGTGTCTGCCAGAGCACGGAAGTATGGAGAAGTACGGGTCCGCCATACCTATGTAGGTAGCTCAGGAGACATGCGAGGTTCTGTCGTGCCTGCGGTGATTCCTAGTGTCGTTCGTGTCCGTATCCTGTGGGCTGCTCCAAGTCGCTGACCCTGGGCAAAACCCCGTATTCCTCTGGCCCAAGGCCCGGATGGCTGTTGACGATGCGCTGCTGTTGGTAGGGAGGCGATTGACAGGCCACTGGCAAATGGCTGCTGGCAACCACACTTCTGGGATGGCCCATCCACTGCGCCGGCGGACGTGGCGGATGATCCTTTGACAGCGAACGAGACCGCGCGCAAGATGCACACCGCAGCTGAGGGAGGATATAAACGGTGGTCGCTACTGAGTTAGTTCGGGTGGGAGTGGAGTGCGTGGTGGCGGAAAGGTACGCGGATGAAGAAAAAATATACGTATCGTCGCCCTCGGATCCCTACCTGTGTAGGCCAAGTAGTGGCAGTGTGGTAGTGTAGTAGCAGGTCAAGTAGACAAGTAGACACAAAGGAAAAGTAGTCAAATGATGTGTTGGTGTGGTAATGGGAGAGGGATGGAGTGAGGAGTATCTCTGCTCCGTAGTCTGTAGCTATTAATAAGTACCTAGGTAGGTACAGCGTAAACAATGTCATGATAGCATCTTATTGTCGTCTTTCACTTGTATTCTGCGGAGTGGACCCTCGCCCCGGCTCCTCCCCCCTGCTGGCGCTGTCAATCATTATCAGAGAATCGTCATCACTCTATCACTTGCGACAGTCCAGAGCAGAAGACTACGTAGACGCCGTTTGGCTGCTCAGCCCAGTCCCAGTTCCAGTTCCAGTGGGAGGAGTTCTGTTCCTGTTCCTCCCACCATCTAAAACATTACCCGGGCCTCCCCCCCATCAACATCAAACTTCACACTACTTTAGCATCTGTTACTCACGGGCACACTTCTGGTCAAGAACAACAAACACCACTTTCACACTCCCACGACATTGTTCCATCAACAACAAGACATCTTTATTCAATTCTATCGTTAATCCACGCTCTTATCCTGTTTGCATCGCCGGCCCGCCGCATCTTATCCATTTGCATCGCTAGCTAGCTATCTACGATCGTTCTCTCGGCGTCTGAATCCGGTGCCGTCGCTCGTTATTCTCGCCAGCCTCGACATTTATTTTTCTTAGCAACGCATGCCACAGTCAAAACACGTCCCAATTCCACACCCACGACCCCTCTTGCGCAGTTAACAAGCCTGCTTGCCACTGGCCATCTTGCGATTGCCAACCCAGACGTTACCGTTGCCATTCTCGAATTCAAAGCGCTCGACTCCTCTGCGTAGTGCTCACAGACCCCAACCTGTCCAGGATACACTCTAGACAACTCCACCGTCAGCTCTAGTCTGCTCTCCACATCCGCATCCTGCTTCGACAGAGCTGTCAGCCCCCGCTGTCGTTTCAAGGAACTACTATCAAATCTATTTGGGATCCACAAAATCCTGTTAGATCCCCCAGACAACAAACATGGCCGCAAGCCATCCCATAAACCCGGTGCCCGCCGCGGCAGCAGGGCAGTACCAGAGACCAGCCCCGCGCCAGCGAACAAAGTCAACCTTCAGCTTTCGCTCGCAGCATTCGCAGAAGAGCAGTGGCAGCAGCCCAAAGATCGATCTCCAGGAAACCCACAGGGAGAAGGAATCGCTCAGGCTCAACTCAAAAGCCGACCCGTCGTTGGCGATGACAGAAGATGAGCCAGGTAAGCTTGATGCCGGGACTTGACATCCTGCTCCGGCGCATATCGATGGCGAGACTGACATTTTACGGTAGCTGAGGTTGCGAATCAGAAGTCCTCCCTGGCACCAATCCGTGCGATCCAGCATCGGGATGCACTTGGAAACCCCATCGGTTAGTCTCCTCCCTTTCGCATCGCATCGCATGGCACAACTGACATTGGGATTTCCTGGCAGCCGACCCTGATCGATCGAACCCAACCCGCAGTCGGTGGGAGAGACCTCTCGATACCATTCGTTCCTTCGAGGCAGCTATAGATGGCGATTACTCACGAAAGTCAACATACCTTCGCACAGGTTAGTTAATGGGTTTCGCCGGAGGGTGTTCTCCTAGACATTGGAAGGCTGATATTGTTAACTCTAGCGTCATCGGATAATATATCAAATTACAATCGTCGAAGCAGTTACTATGGAGGTACGTTTAAATTTCATCCGTGTTCCTATTCTTTGGGATCTATTAGGAATGTTGGGGCTTCGGGGTGTGCCAAGTTTGCAGCCTCTTCTCTGGCCCATTCCAAAATAAAACAACCCCCAAGTGCGGGTGCTAGGAAAGGGCCGAAGGATGGGAAAGCTACTAGTTCCCATTTCATGGAACGGACGAATCCGTAAGCTGCCGCGCCGTCTGCGGGATGCTTTGCAAGCCGGTTTCTTCGCGATCTGCCATTGGCAAATAAGCGATCATGGGATTTTGCGGTTCGGTTCATCCAATGACACTTAGCTGACGCAGACATATAGGAGGCCCAAATAGCTACTATGGAGGACGGTCGCAATCTTATAGACCAGAAAGCACTTACGCCGATGGAAGATACAGTGCAGTGGCTAGACCGGATAGCTATTACAATGGTGGTGGCGATACTCCTGGCAATGGGTACGGCAATGGGTACGGCAATGGGTCCGGCAATGGATATGGCAATGGGTATCATCCCAACAGGGCCCGGTATCCACGGACAGCTCCCGAGCAGCAATTCGCCAATGGCCAAGGAGTTTACCCAGTTCAAGGCAACCAGCAGTCCTACGAAACAGTGACGACGGCCTCAGGAAGCGGCAGCTCTGATCCAGCCGGCTACTCGACCGATCCCAGTAGCGAGAATAGTTCGGTGGACCGCTTTGCGGCTGCGCCTCCAAAGGAGCCGGTGGAGACTTACGGATTCAACGGATTTGGCAACGTTCCTCAATTGGCATCTCCTGGCGCCGGTTTGACAGATGCCATCAACCCTAACGGAGCGTACGGTTCGAACGGTGCTCAGAGGCCAGCGTATGGTTTTCCGAATCAGGCACCACCCCCACCAAGCAAAGATGTCAATGGCCCACGAGTTCCGATTAAACTTGGTCAAACAAGTGGAAATATTGTGGCCCAACCAGCGCAGGCTAAACCCGCGACGGAGAAGCGCAAATCATGGTTTGGCAGGCGGTTTTCCAGAGCTTAAATAAAACGGGGAGGGCGCGAAACTCATGGAGCAAAATGGAGAATTAATTTATGAAGATCCCTCGTCGGTTGTTATGGAAGCTTTGTCACGATATTATGAGGCAGAAATAATGATGATATGGGATCACGGTTTTAAGGGAGGGGAACAGGACTGTTCGGATTATGCTTAGGCTTAGGCTTGGATTAAGCATTGATGGCGTTCTGTGGGTACTAATAGTCCAAAATTGAGCAATTTCCAGCGTGAATCCATTCGCAGAGCTTGAACTTTTGGCTGCAACGTGCATCGTGACTGGTATTATATATCTACAATGTTTCCACACCCCAATATTGCGGGAGGGTTTTATCATGCCATAATCTTACAAACTCAGCAACGCCTGCGGCAAGGTTTCCCATCATTTTCAGTTGCAGCTGGAGTGCATCATATTCATTACCCACAATAATACAGAAAGAAAAATGCCTACTGCCCCTTTCTCTCCCGCTCCTTCTCCGCCGCTTCAAGGGCATCACTCTTATCCTCCCTAAACGCCACAATCACATAGCCCATCAGCACGACATTCGCCATTATAGCGGCTGTTGCTCCGGCGTATGTTGAATTGCCTAGAAATATATCAGTTAAACCATACACGTACCTACCAACACACACAACAAACCCCAGCGGGGGAATTGTCTTGAAAAAAAAAGTAGAAGGAGAGTTAAGAAGGAAAACGAACCTCCAAATATCGTATTCAGCGTCAGGAAATAGGATCCGATGGGACAGACTACCATGGCGAGCGTAAAGCCCAGGAGATTGTATATCACATGGCTTTTGGATTGTATGTGAGCTTTAGCTGGACTTGGAGTTGCTTGCATAGGGGAAATAAATAAAAGGCTTACGCGGGGACCACGGGAGTGATATTACTCTTCTCCATGGGTCTGCTGTCATCCTCCTTCGAGAACGACATGTCACTCTGGAGATTCTTTCGTGCGGCCATGGTCTCTATGCAGTTTATAGGTGGTTTATGTGTGCGGAGGTAGTTGATGGATAGTATTGTCTTGTTGTGGTGGTGGTGGGTGTATCAAGACAATAGGAAGGCAAGGCAAGGTTACGTCGTGAATGGGCAAACACCAAAAGACAGGAACCCTGCTGACTTCGTGTCGGGCGCGCGGGGAACGCGTAAAGTGGTTTTTCCCTTAGCGTGTGTTCGCTCTTGGGGGCGAAGCATCGTCACTTTCTAGTTCTTGGCTTGGGCAACTTTCTTTTATACAACTACCAACAGCCAACCAACATACACGGAACACAATGTCTGCGACACAACGCACTGTGCAGATAGCTGTTTTGTGATTTTTGAGAGAGAGAATTGAGGAGAGTTTGAAGGTTCTTTCTTTGGCTTGGTGGTGGGAAAGGAAGAAAGGGGAAAGTGAAAGTGAGAGGCGGCGCGCTCGAATACCTTTCACCTTGACTTTCACCTATACGTCCACTTTCACCCAACCAGTTCTGCTTGGCCTCACTCACTTCGCCTGCGAACACTCTCCATACCCTCTTCACTCCTCCTCCGCTCTCCCGCTCCCCTCCAACAATCGTCGCTCCTACAACTATCGACATGGCATTTCAACCCACAGCCTCAAAAAGCGCAATGCTTGTCCCCGACTCCCCAGCTGTCAAGAGACAGAGGACAGCCACTGGATACAACAACTCGACCTCCAACTCCCCCGCCGATACCGGTGCCTATAACTCGGGAGAAGACGACGGTGATGAGCTGTTCAAGGGCTATGTGCCGGATACGCCGAAGCACCGTGACACCCAGCCTACAATGCCGATTGGAAATGCTATTGAGACGCAGCCTACGCAGATACTTGGGAAGAATGGTTACTATGAGACTCAGCCTACGCAAATTCTGGGGAAGAATGGTTATCATGAGACTCAGCCTACGCAAATTCTGGGGAAGAATGGCTACTATGAGACCCAGCCCACGCAGATACTTGGAAAGAATGGTTACCACGAGACTCAGCCAACTCAGATACTCGGCACTACCGCCCAGCCACTGCTGTCGTCTCCTGCAGCTCGCAAATCAACTATTCAAGTCCCCGCCTCCTCTCCCTTCACGGGACGAGACCCAGACTCTCCAAAACCGAAATCTCTCCAGAACGGCTTTTCAGCATTGACCGAGACCAATGCCCCTCCTCGTCCTACCCTGGCGTCAAGTATGGCTCCCGCAGGCACTGCATATAAACCCCCACAGGGAATTGTTAAGAAGCCTACTGCAACCAAGACCGTTATCGACCTTATCGACTCCGACGATGATGGACCTAAATTCCAGGGTGGAAGCTCGGACTCTGAAGATGCTGGATTGGCGAAGGCCGATATCAAACCATCCACTTTTGCACCCAGGAGCGCGGAGAGCTCATTCGGCCCAACTTCGACCACGGCGAGCGGCAAATCCAAGTTCTTTGAGATCGTCAAAAATGCCGCATATAAGCCCTCGGATGGAAGTGCTAAGAAGCTCGCAACCCAAACTAGACCCGAGAGAGCAAGGCCAATTGAGGATATTGGGATGAATGACCTCTCAGATTCAAAACTCCGGGATAATGTCGCGAGAGTGAGAGCTGTACTTCCGCAGGTCACTGTGCTTGCAGCAGAGAACGCTCTGAGGTCTTGTAAGGGACATCTCGACGATGCTATCACTCTTCTTGCTGCTGAGGATGATGAGCCGATGGTTATTTCTGACGACGAGCTCTCAGCTCTACCTGAGCTTCAGATGAAGCGTGGTCTAAATGCGCCAACAGTGTCTATCAGAGATAAATACTCCTCGACTCAAGCTCGTCCTGGGAAAACGCCAGCTTCCAATGATACCGCCCCAGCGAAGCCCAAGAAGAGACTTGTTAAGGGTCGAAGACATCCGTCATCTCCAACCGTTCCAACCATCTCATCTCCTCTAAAGCCACCACCTGATTCGCCTAGCATGTCCGAGCATAGTTCCGATTCAGATTCTGGTATGGTCTCAGGTTCAGGAGAGGACCCTGAACTGGATGGTCGAGTGCTCAAGTACTTGAATACTTGTAATGTCGAGGAACTTGTCGAACTTACCAATATCACGAAGGAGATCGCTGAAATGATGGTCAATGCTCGTCCTTTCAAGTCTCTAGATGTTGCCAGAACGGTTGAGAACGCAAAGCCCCTGAAGAGCGGGAAGAAGAGCACGAGAGCTCCTATCGGCGCGAAGATCGTGGATACCGCCGTAGACATGTTCACTGGATATGAAGCTATCGATGCTCTGGTTGCAAAGTGCGAGGAGCTGGGCAAACCCCTGGCCGAGGAGATGGGAAAGTGGGGTTTCGATGTATTTGGTGCCTCTAAAGATGGCGAGCTTGAGATGACATCGCTGGAGGATGATGCTGATTCTATTCGCGATTCTGGCATTGGTTCCCCGAGCAGCGGCACCGCTTCACCTGGAAACGCTGGCGATGACGATATTAGGCCAACTGCGACTTCCAGGAAGAGGGGGAACGTGACCTTCCTAAAAAAGCCGGATTTAATGGCTGAAGATTGCGTACTCAAGGACTATCAAGTTGTCGGTTTGAACTGGCTGGCCCTGATGTATAGACGCAAGTTGAGCTGCATTCTAGCTGATGAAATGGGTCTTGGCAAGACTTGTCAGGTTATCGCCTTCTTGTCCCACCTTGTCGAGAATGGAAACAACGGTCCTCATCTGGTTGTCTGTCCCGGATCAACCTTGGAGAACTGGCTGCGAGAGTGTAACAGATTCGCGCCTCAGTTGATGGTTGAGCCGTACCACGGTATGTGATTCGGAGTTCGCATTCCCACACAAGCTAATAATTTGACATAGGCCCTCAAAAGGAACGTGCAGAAATGGCAGATCAGATTCTTTTGAACCGGGATCGAATCAATATTATTGTGACAACATACGACATGGCGGCCAAGCCGGAAGACAACAAATTCATGCGACGCTTAAAGCCTGACGTAAGTTCTATCTGACCCTCTACTGAACGTGATACTCATCAAGCCAGGTTTGCGTGTATGACGAAGGTCATTACCTGAAAAACGTCAACTCTCAGAGGTACAAAGGTCTTATTAGAATTCCCGCCAAGTTCCGACTCCTCCTCACTGGCACGCCGTTGCAAAACAACCTCCAGGAACTGGCGGCACTGCTTGCCTTTATCCTGCCCTCTGTTTTCGAGGAACGTGCAGAGGATCTGAGTTATATCTTCAAAGCCAAGGCTACTACACGAGACAAGGACCATGCGGCTCTTCTCTCCGCTCAGCGCATTGCTCGAGCTAGATCCATGCTTACGCCCTTCGTTCTACGTCGCAAGAAAGCCCAAGTGTTGAAACACCTTCCAACCAAGACCTGCCGAGTTGAATACTGCAACCTTCATCCAGCTCAGAAAGAGATATACGACGGACTGATTGATAAAGCTCGCGACCGGGCCCGGATTCGACTTGAGGGCGGCAAGATTCCCAAAAATGATGAGAACAATCCTCTTATGCAGCTTCGCAAAGCTGCAATCCATCCACTGCTCTTCCGCCGACATTTCACTGACGAGAGTATTGAGAAAATGGCCGATATCCTACGCAAAAAGGACCCTGTCAACTTTCCACCAGAGCAGAAACGTCATTACCTTGTCGACGAGATGCATCTCGGCTCGGATTTCTGGCTCCATCAGTGGTGCCTTAACTATCCTTCTATTCGCTCGTTCGATATCCAAGATCTACGATGGATGGATTCGGGCAAAGTCGACGCGATGATCAATCTTGTGAAATCCTACAAAGAGAATGGCGACCGCGTACTAATATTCTCTCAATTTTCCCTCGTCCTTGATATCCTCGAAGCAGTACTAAACTCCTCCTTGATCTCCTTCACGCGCATCGACGGCTCCACCAAGATCGACGAACGCCAATCCCTCATCGATACCTACCGCGACGACGAAAGCATCACCGCCTTCCTCCTCACCACCAAAGCTGGCGGCACGGGTATTAATCTCATGTACGCTAATAAAGTCATTATATTTGACGGCAGCTTCAATCCACAGGATGATCGGCAGGCGGAGAATCGCGCGCATCGTGTAGGCCAGACACGTGATGTGGAGGTTGTGAGATTGGTTACAAAGGGTACAATTGAGGAGCAGATCTATGCGCTGGGCCAGAGTAAACTGGCGCTTGATGGCCGTGTCTCCGGAGACGATGACGCTGCAATGGCGGATGCTGGCGAGAAGGCTGTTGCTAAAATGTTGCTTGAGGCGACCAATGTTGACGATAACGATGAAGCGAAGAATACCGCAGAGGAGAAGCCCGAACCTGTCCCTGTCAAGAACAGCGAGCCGGAGAAGAAGAAAGAGACTAAGAAGAAGCTCCCCGAGAGGAAGAGGTCTACTATCCTAGACATGGTGACGAAGAAGAGGACGAGGGGAGCGACAGATGATTAGATGCTTGTTTGATGACGATGATGATGCTGATTAGTTTGAATTTTGAGCTTGAGTGGTACACGGTGTGGCTAGCTATGTTTGATATGGTACCTACATACTGGCAAATGCATGCATATGCATACGAATACATATGGGGCTGGGTCGAGGGCGATCATGTTTCCACTGCCGAGGGCGTTTATGTCTGGCATTCAAAGGGGACGGTACACTTTAGTACGCACGTTATGGTGATAGAATAGATTCGGTCCTGCGGAGTTACTGCTAGGACGGTAGAGTAGAGGTTAATAGAAAGGGTTTATTCCGTGTACGAAATTATTTCTGGTGATAGTTCCACATTACCACTTTTACGCCGTCGGATTAAAGATGAGCCATGGTAAGGGCGCTCGCTCTACACATTCTTGAGAGCTTACTTCTACGTCCTAGAGTCTTTATGCCGCTATGCTTAGCCCTTAACCAAGAATGGAACCCATGCAAAAGGTACTCGCGGGCTAGACAGTCATAAGTAATACTGAAGACTATTGTATTATTTATTCTAATAAAAGATATAAACTAAGTTATAAAATATAATACTTAGCTAGCTATTGTAGAGGAGCTAGGAGGACCCTTAGGAGTATCAGGAGGAATCGTGGATAAAACAATCAAAAGACTGCAGCCAAGGTATAGGGATTAATTGAGCGATAGGCGCGGTGTAGGATTATCATCCTATAGTCATCTGGCTAAAGAAGTCTAAACTATGGTCTAGTGTTCCTTGGAGGAGGTGAATATTTCAGGGCGCACTTAGGCGGTGGCATTTCAGGACGACTAATAGTCACAAGATCCGGTCATTATTATAAGTATGGCAAATTGGGTTTGTATTCGTAATTATCTCAACTGGCCAGCTTCTCCCTGGTCCAGCTGTATTCTGGTAAATCTAGTCGCGATAATTGTGTTTTTATTTCAAAGGGAGAGTGAGGGCCAGGAGCCCAGGTAGCTCCACTTATCCACGTGCTAACACTAGTTAGTACACATGGAAATGTAAAACAAGGTAAATAACTAGTAGTCCCTTGGGTCCCCACCACAATAGTTTAATAGGGTTCCTTTACTATATGGAGTAGATCTACTATTAAGCTCTGATTTATCCTAATATTTATAAAATAGTCTTATCTAAACTTTAGAACTTTATTACTATACTAGGAAATTATTACCAGCTTTTATAGTGACTATAGTATATAAATTTATATATAGTCGATACCTCTAATTAAAACATCTAACTCCTTTTAGTTAGTACCCCACACGACTTATAATAATTACAATAAGTTATCGTATTAATTATATATTATATATACCGAATTTATATAGAGAGTGTGTTCTTCTATAAATTTCCATGCGGCCACGTAGCTAACTTGCTTTCGCTCTGCCTTGAGCTGCCACTCAATCATTTCCCATCTCTATCGCCGCAGTAAGTTATGAGCGACCGTGCCAGTAAAGCCCTCGCAGAGGCCTTTCTGCCTGAGCTCAAGTTCTACTCACATGGCACAGTGCCTAGAGCTTGACTAGGTGTTGTGAGAATTATCACGATATTATATCTCAAGCTCCTCCTCTCAGCTGCGGCTGAGTGTGGGCCTACCATTTAACTAACATGCTTAGGATCAGCCTTAACAACCCATTATTTATTACGAGGCCACGTTGCTCACTTCACAATGTACCACCGCATCTGTAGTTTTGAAACAAAGCTCACGAAGAAATGCCTGAGCAGGCCCTGCCAGAGAAAAAGGTGGTGTACCAAGCCGTCCAGGATATCTTTACCGGCAAAAACGCAGCTATTTGCAGGCCAAAGGCAATTCGCAAGCTCATCGAACAGCATAACGATGAAGAGCTGCTAGCGCAGCTGCTCCAGCAGCACAGTCTCGACGATGTCGCCACCGTCACAAAAAAACTCATCGAGGAGCACGTTTTTGAAGCCAGTACTCATGGCTGGATCGCTAGAAGCGGCCTGGAGAGCAGACCGAGGAGCGAGACCGACATCTACAGGGAGCAAACCGCAAAACCAACCACAGAGGCCCTCTGTAGAAAATGCGCACGTATTGATTTTGGGAAAATCTTCAATGAACAAGCTGTTCCAGAGGAAGGCATTCTCGTGGCGCACCTAGGGCGAAACGCTGGAAGCTGGGATACGTCGACATGCCCATTGTGTCGGCTCTTTGCGTGGGTCAGAACCCCTCATCCTCATAATCCTGAATACTTGCCGTCCGTGAACAAGGACCTTGGATACTGCTTATACGCCATCCCGGCCCTCACTTTGTTTAATAGGTACATGAAAGACCCAATTCAAGACTCGGATATTATCAATAATATTGTTCTTGGGGTGTTTCTGGAAAGGGAGGTCGCAGACGGCCGTGTGCGGGATGTCATTCAACAGGATAATCCCGACTATATTTGCAACGTGCTTGACCAAGGTTCGGCGGCAAGATTAGCGATTAATGGTCGGCATGTCGACGCAGACAGGATGAGCAATACTCTGATCTATGATTGGCTTCAATTCTGTGATGCCAATCATACCGACTGTGGCCATAATGTGGCCCCTTATCTATATGGACGACCAGAGGATATTCCAAAGTTTCAGGTCATTGACTGTGAAACACGCCGCATTATCCCACTGCCACCGGGCCAGCCGTATGCTGCGCTGTCATATATCTGGGGCAAGCAGGAAAACCCCGAACAAGTGGCTGACGAGACGGGACGCTTGAAATCAGGCACTCTGCCCGTTGTGATCGAGGATGCAGTCACGGTAACCTTGTGGGCAGGATTACAGTATCTGTGGGTGGACAAGTACTGCATCGCCCAGCATGACGATGAAACCAAGCGGTTGCAGCTGCAGGCAATGGACAGAGTGTACAAGCTGTCACATTTTACCATATGTGCGGTAGCAGGCTCTGATCCCACGTACGGCCTACCTGGTGTTGGATCACGCAGTCGCCAGAAGATGGCACCACAGGCTACTTCCAAAGGAACCACGCTGACCAAATTGTCCTTAACAAGAGAGCACTACAGTCGGCACATTACGAGTTCGGATTGGATCAGGAGGGCCTGGACGTTCCAAGAGGCGATATTTTCTCGAAGACGCGTCTTCTTCACCGATGTCGGTGTCTACTTTGAATGTAATAGTATGTGGTGTTCGGAGCATTTGGACGAGGAACCCTCGATACGCCATTGCCGCTACGCGCCTAATGAGACGTTTCCTTATATGAACAATGACTTGTCCGTCGAGCACATGGTGCAGTGTATCCAGAATTACAGCCGTCGCAATCTCACGTTTGAAAGTGACAAGTTGAATGCTTTCCTGGGAGTTCTAGAGCATTTTGCAAAGATGCCCAAGCCGCTTTACCATCTCCAGGGCGTGCCGTTGCTCACGAGCGAGAAAGTGGCAGAGAGGTCTAATGCCTTGACTGCCTTCATCAACGGCTTGAGCTGGGGAACACGACTTCCCGCAAAAAGGCGTGAAGGGTTTCCAAGCTGGTCGTGGACAGGGTGGCATTTTGCGGCCTTTTACTCGCCAGCTATAAGTACTGGAACTGCTGCCATGGACGAAGAGAAGTCGCTGACTGGATCCCATCAGTCACGCAGTTTCTTTGTCCTGGTGCAGAAGCACGACGGCGTAGTGATTCCCTTCCCTACTGAGGTCTCAGAGTTCGCTGCCTTCCAAGCGGCATATTCGTTTCGTCTCACCCCGTACATTCACATCGACGCATGGACGATCGAGCTTCGGTTCGAGGACTCCGGCGCACCATCGGGTGTTGGCGGCAACAAACCTGCTATCCTTCGAGATAACGACGAGCACGAACCATACTTTGTGCCTTTCAAAGAAACAAAAGGCTACTCGCGACCCGGTCTCGAGGGCGACTTCTTCTGGGCCTTCCCAGTCGACCGTGGACAGCCAGGCAAGGTGTATATACGCCTGGATCTGACGCTGGATCCAAGTACCGTTGTGGGAAACAGCGACATCTCGAAGAGACTTGTCACCGAGACGTGGACGGGCATTGTGCTGCCGACAATGGACATTGCGCGCATCTTGGTAGTGGACTGCAGTAAGGATGTGGCCGAACGGATAGGCACCATCTCGGTGGTTCCTGGATATTCACGCTGGCGCGCACGCAGACCAGGAGTTCACCACAAGTTACCGGAGGGTGCTCCGAGGGATAAAATGTGGGATGAAAGGGCCGAGCTGGGGGCGCGGGTTGACAGGCTTCCCAATAAAGCGGTCAAAATGATAGCGCTGGACCAGATTACTGGCATGACGGAGGAGCAGAGACGTTGTCATGCCGTGCCCTGGAGCCATGTAATGGAGACGTTTCACTGTGAACTAGCGAGAACTCGGCGGGGGATCTGGATTAGCTAACGGCTTGATTCCTATAACCTTTTGTTAGTTGCACTCATTGAGTCTTTGTTTAGGTTAGCGATCATAGCGATGTAGGACATGTTATAAGTCTAAAGTAATCAATATTTATTACTCCTCAATAGATATATTTACTAACAGAAGTTCGGATATGGGAAGACGTGATATCTTGGGGGAAGTCTTCAGAGGTCCCTTTGTAAATCACGTACAAAGGTACCTAGGTAGGTAGGAAATAGGCGAGTGTTTTGGGATAACTCCTATATCTTACTTCTTCCTCTATCCCTTATACAATAACAACAAAACTAGTGTCTCTGCTCATACAACATCGCCCTGCGCCCAACTTGAGCTACTGCCCGGGCTACCGACCTATAGGCCCAGCTAGCCCAGGCGGTCGGCACCTACGCAGGCTTTGTCATATTGATAACACCTCGCTATGCCGACCAACCCTACGATAGAATACACAAGGCAAGTGACTAATAGGCACGGTTCTATTTCCAGTAGATCGGTCTGAGTGTCTGAGCTCTCCAGCAGGACGGAATGTTTTGAAGGTGGTGGAGTTGTTGGTTGTAGGCATCCTACGGATCAGGTTAGCTGAAGCCACAGATGCAAGGGATAGTACTGACCTACCGTGATGGGGGTGCCAGATGCAGGTGCAAAGTGCAGGTTAGGATAGGGGTGATTGTTGAGCGGAAAGTATTCCTCCCGGCATGGTTTGAAGTGGTTCTATTAGACCATCTCCCATATTTGCATTCATTATGTCGGATCTGCTGTAGGGTATGACTACAGAGTTTGAAGTTGGAGCTGTGGCGATGCTGAGTAACTTGTGAAATCTTTAGGACGATTAGGACCAAGACATATCGACATAATAGCAAGGTAGAACTTTACGCCGTTCTATCAGCAATTTATCCTTGACATGAGAGACACTCCAGAAAGCCGTATTTCCAAGTGGGGATAAGTAAAAGCGAGGATACAAAGTTGTACATCCGATGAAAGAGACTCCTTTGGAAGCACAGAGATACAAGGGCACTGATAGAGAACAGTAGGTAATACGAATTTCCCATGTACAATATTGGTAAACGTGATCAAGCTCCCATATCAATACCGTCCTGTCCATATACCCTCTTATATTCAGTGTTGACCTGTCCTAGGTGCACGCCAGAATAACGGGCTTTATAAGTATCTGCCCACGCCAACACCTGACTACGAGGAACCACACCATACCCCATAGTCTGATTTATCTGATGGAGATAGGCAACAGCATCGGGTAGATCATGCGCTTTTCCACCACCGCCGGAAAGCCTGTCGAGTTTTGCTGCAAACGCGTAAGGCCAAGGAGCTGCTAAAATAGTCAAGCCCGGCGCAGTGAAGACTTCCTGATTCTGATCAATAGCTGATTGAGTGATTTCCCCACGGATATTTTGCGGTATGAAGAGAACGGTCTTATTGTTGAGCCACCCTTCTTCGAGGATGGGGTCCTTGGAACGTGCGTATTTGATGGCCTTTTTAATCAGTCCGTAGTCCTCACCGCTGAGGTTTTGGTTGTAAAAGTCAACATCGTGCGTTGACGCCCGGGTTTGTAAGAGGATGGTGTTAACGGCACCGCCAACGGCGATGAGCGTGATATGCTCGTGCTTCCCCTCTATATATCGAGCAACGTTGCCGAGACCTTTGAGTAGAGTTTCGCGATCGAGTTCTGGTTCGGGGTGGTCCGGGGGTGGCTCGAGCAGGGTTTTTCGAGATTGTGCGATGCCCATCGTGTCTGATGTTTGAAATATCTGGGGGGGTAAATATGAGTGTAGACGTTGGAGCTGATTGATTACAGGAGATCCTCTACTCTATGGTTTGGGTTGAGTTGAGGTGTTGAGGAAATTAGAAGGAAGTGTCATTAATTCGGGCAATGGAGGGGGAGAGTGTCATAGCAGCACGAAGTGAGCCCACAATACGTCAACAAGTTATGGGAATCCATTACTCGGGTGCTAATAGTACCTGAGTATTTCAAATATAACATCATCATGAAAATTGTCTAGTTCGAATATTAACAAGCGGCACAGGTTCGCTGTTTAGATAATGTGTAAGTACCTTTAGGTAGGCATTGAAAACTTGCTGCTTTTAATGTAAGCAAACGGCAAAGATTATCCTCTTTATTTAAGTAGTATCCATAACCTGCCACCTCAAATGTACGGTATTTGGTGTACTCGAATAAATGCGTAAATAAGCCCAAGTATACGTCACATAGGTTGAGTACCTTGATGTACTCCTGTTGATGTTCCTGTTGAGAATTAGAGTTTCATATATACGTCAATTTTGGCAAACCTGATCCACACTTTGACGGGTATGTAACAAGTACACCTCCTCCGTCACTATTACGAAAATAAACCCACTTTGTTTTCTGTGTCTGAGGCGATTTTGAGCTTCAATAACCGTTTGTACAAAGTCATTCTAATATCCTTCCAAGGCGGAAGTTTCAATTCAAACTCATAGCTCAAAATTAGAAGGCATCTTGCGGAAATAGTCTAAGTGATAGAACTGTCGAGAGTAAGGGCCGCTCAGACCACAAAATAGGGGCTCGCTAGTCTTGATGCGTCGATGCTTGGCATACTTACATGGCCTAGGGATACATATCCAACAGAGTGCGCGCACTTAAGAAATTAAACCATTCTCTTTATTATCACTAGTTGACCCATATGCTTCCTTCTACTTTTCCATTTTCGCCCTACTCGTTGCCTTATTATCCCAACGGGTGAGGTTGCATGAGGTGATTTTGCAGGCTCAGCAATCATCACATCGCAGCTGCAGCCCTACAAACAGCTGGCTCTCGGGCGACAGCCAGATAGGAAGTTGCTTCCTGTGTAGATTGGATGCAGAAACATTCAATTTACAATCTCGTCATCAAGACTCCTTACCCCCTTCGAAATGAAAGTCTTTGGATTTAATATCCCTAATATCGCCGCCGCAGTCCGAAATGTGTTCCAGCGACCGTCTCATAAAGACTCAACAACAACTCTACCACGGCCTCCCAGCATTGAGTGGCTTCTCAACCACCGCGATATCAGACGACCCCAGACCAGGGGAGACACACCCGCCGCGTCGTTATATCGCATGTACGAATATACCGTGCTGGGTTATAATACCGGCCTTCGAACCGAGATCGAAAGCTTCTTCAACCATCCAAACTGGCTTGTCGCAGACATCCCCGACCCTAAGGACCCTGATCCCGCGCGCTATGCCATCCTAGCTGTCCTTCCGCAGTTCCTCGTAGAAGCGTTTAATCGGCTGATACGTCGAGGTCTACCAAGGAATGCGCCTACAATTATAGCTGGCGATGCCCATGAAGCTGAGCTGAGGGCAATGCCCATAGTGTTGGAGAGAATGCCGCCGTGGGCTGAGAAAGTACCTAAACTAAAGGAGCCTTTGATTATTCCGAACAGTGAAGGTGGTACGCCTGATGAGAAGACTAGGAGTCCGAAGTACTTGAAAATGAATCTCATTATCGAAGAGCCTTCCGTTTTCTTTGTATAGATACTATAGAATTGATTGCACCTTTCGATTTCATTAGATTTACTTTCTCGGTTAGGGGTGCCGGGTTCATAGATATGGTCATGGGCTGTTTTATCTGATGTTCTTTCTAAGATTCAATAAAGCCCAAGATTTAGCTCTGTCTCTTGAATGAGTTATTAAAACCCCCAGAAATTGATACTAGTGACTCTACACATGTACAATGATTGGCTCTTGGGGTTTCCTTGATGAGACGGCTGAGATGGCATGGTATTGTCTAAGGCTTGAATTCAATCTATAAAGTCTCAATTCACGTTAAGACTAGTAATTCGAAAGAGTGTGGGGGTACAACGTGACCCCAGCGATGTTGTTTATGTTAAGTTAGAAAGAATGAACTGTTCCTCCAATGCATATGTATTTGCCTTCCTAGCATGGCCCTACTTTTAGAGGCCTAGATCCTTGATAAAAATGTCTGCCGCCTTCTCGCCGACAACGAAGGCAGTGTTGCCTGTGTTCGCGGCCACGTTCTGTGGTGGGATACTCAAATCTGCAAGCTTCAAGCTGTTCACGCCGTATACACTAAGTGTGGCATCCACGACGCCAAACTCGGACTGTGGCGCCATCTTGCATGTTCCCATGGAGTGCCATGTACTGCCGACGTTTTGGCGCACCCACTGCTCGAGGATTGCATCATCTTCCGGCGTGTACACAATGTCCTGGACGTTCTTGAGGGGAGTGTCAAACTCCTTGCACGCCGCGTCAGATCCGGCGGAGAAGGGTGGGTGGCCTGGGGCGTATTCGCCTCGATATACGTCCATGCGGCGCAATATCTCACGCTGCTTCTTGTATGACCAGATGGACTTCTTAATATCGACATCTTGCTCATCAGAGAAGAAGCCTGTTTGGAAGTCGAGCGGAACACTCAGGTCCTTGCCCGTAATGTGGATGTGGCCACGGGAATATGGATACACGGTGAATGTCGACGTCGACATGAACTGGGCTACTGGAAGGCCAGTTGGGTCTCCCGGGAACCTATTACTAGTTAGAATGCTATTTCCTATTGCAATATAACTGTGGCATTTATTCACCCGTTGAGGGAAGTTATAATAGAGACTGGCTTATTTGGAACGTTCTTAAAGTCCTTATTCCAGGCTTGCAGGAAGGCGGGACCGAGAGTAGAAGCTTCTGCGTCGGATGGCCGAAGCTTAGAGGTAACATCCGCAGCGTTCCAGCCAAGTATACTATTATTAGTGGCTATTAGCTGTCCGATATCAACGCGGCCGCCATAAACGGCGTCGAATGTCTCGTTTGGTAACAGGCTTGACCTATACGGATACGTGAGTAGGTGATGGTCCATATAGTTGCGACCAACGCCAGGCACCTCCGCGACAACGTCAACGCCAGCTTTTGCAAGAATCGCAGGGTCGCCGACGCCAGATCGCTCGAGTACAAGTGGAGTTCCAAGGGCTCCAGCGGAAACAACGACTAGTTTGTTAGACTTGATAGTTTTGACCGTCGGAGTACCGTTATGGAAGGCTGAGTTGGGCTGATACTCAACCCCAGTGGCTTTCTTGTTCTCAAATAAGACGCGTATAACTTGATGCTCCACGAGGACATGTAGGTTTTTATGCTTGCCATCTTGAAGTCGAGGGTGTAGATATGTGTGGGCCGCATCCTGTCGCAGACCCTCTGGGCTAATGAAGCGCAAGTTCCGTTGAGTGGCATTACTAGTATCTAAGTTCTGAATATCGACTTTCTCAGGCCAGCCAATCTTGGTCGCGGCTTGAATAAAATCATTCTCTGATGTGGTAGCATGGTAGGTGCCGTTGCTGATCTGAACTGGCCCGTCTGCACCGTGGGTTTCTGACGTGCCGGGTCCGTGGTATGTTTCGAGCTACGGAGATGACTTTTAGCTCAATGCTTGTAGTAGATGCGATTTATTAAAAAAAAGTTACACCTTTTTCATGAACGGTAGTAATTCGTTCGCTGACCAGCCGGGCATTTTCCATGAGTCGAGGTCTTGCCGTTGTGCCCGGCTGTACGTCAAGAGGTTGATGGATGAGCCGCCACCGAGCACGCCTCCAGATGGCACGACCAGCTCCCTGTTGTCGAGCTTGGGCTCCTTGGTGCCTTGATAGAATAGCGTGTTCTTGCTTGTCGGCATCAAGTGGCTCAAAAAGAGCAGCGGGTGGATGATAGAAGGATCATTGTAGTTATCCGAGCCGCCTTCAATGATCAAGATAGACAAGTTGGGGTCCGCGTCGCTGAGTCTCGAGGCAACAACACAGCCAGCGGTCCCACCTGTAAGCAGCCAATGTCAGCGACTCGGCTTGAATCTTGACTTATCTTAGAATTATTTATATTTTTCATTATATTTTCCCTCTCCCATCTTGCCAATTTGACCCATGAACGCGAACAAGGAAATTGGGGCCCACGACACTCACCGCCTGCAATAATCACATCTACCTCATCGAGGCCAGAAGGAATCCGACTGAACACGCCCATTTTCGACTTAGCCAAGTAAACACCTGCTGGTTGAAGGGTAGTATTAGGAGGAAGGCTTTAGAGCGAGAAGCCAGCACAGGCGGAACTATATCGTGGTTACATCGTATATCAATGGGCGAGCTCGTGACTGTATGGCTGACAACCAGCGCCAATGTGTGCTAATCCAATGGCAGTGTTGGGATGCAGTTGGTCGTCGAAGCACTGGCATCAGCCTAAACAGTGTTCCACGCTAATTTCTCACTGTTAGTAGTACGTGCAGAAAGGCAGATGTAAGATCTTACATTACGTGACTATTCTCATCACTACGCCTTAGGTCTTCAATGATTCCCCTCAAGACAAAATAGTTCTTATATTACGATATACATATATACCTATATAGGTAGTCTTCCTTGCTCACCTAAATAAACATATCATTCCAGATTGTAATAGCATCTCGAAACACAACCGGGCGGGGCTAGATTCGTTTTCCGCTCTCGTGATAACGCCAAATGCCCCCAAATAGAAGAGGTTTTAGTTGCTCGTAGAGAATTTAAACTCCCCTGGATCACGATTTGCTGTGCCAGTGTGACGAAGCAGTGCACGAGAGGGGTATAACTCTGGTATTGGGCTAATGGGTATTGTATGTCGATGGTTGTTAATATCATCGTTGTGTAATTTGGATCCTCACAAATAGAAAAGCTCTTCATTGCAACTCTGTTTCACACTTCGGGCACTCGATCCTCTCCCGCCATTCTCTCACATGGCCCGGTCTTAAATCCTTGATCACGATCATCGGCGGCGAATCATCTTCAATTCTCCCAGAAAGTTTTCCCTGATATGGTTTAGGTTTGGCCTTCCCTTTGCCCTTGCCATTTGCCTTAGTGACACCATTGGTTTGCTTGGTGGGATTGTCGCCATTAATAATCTTTTCGTATGTGCGGGTGAGGATCACATCCACGAGACATGCTTTGTGAAGCCAGATTTTGCACGAGGGGCTGTCACATATATACATTGAAACTTCGGGGTTGAAGTGGCCTTCACAGATGCAGTGTGTTCGGACTTTCTGGAAATTTCTGTTAGATACGTATAATTCTGGGATGAGAACTAGGGCAGGGACTTACGGAGAGTTCCTGGGTCTGTCGACAAAACCTTTGGCGCCAGTAGATCCTGGATTGGAGACTATCGTCCTCCTCCTTCCAATGGACGACATCGGCCTTTCCCGCAAAGGACAGCACATCCAACACATCCATATAATTCGATGCTATCAGTTCGTGACTTCCATGATACGTGCGTTTCCCTCCACGAGGTGAGATTTGATCCGGGGATCTCGTCTTTGGCGGTGGCAGTTCGTCCGCCCAATACATCCAGGCCACCTAGATAATTCACTTGCATGAGCATAAGGCCGCTGCGGATGGCGGAGGAGAATGAGGTTATACCAGCGCATACACATGCTGTGCATTTAGAGCCCTGACTTGCAATATCCTAGCAACCCAGAAATCCTTGATATTCTCCTCTATATCCTTATCTCTGTCGTGCTGCGGTGTCTCCGTACTCCTTACATAGACAAAATGATTGTTTTTGTACGTCTCTCCCTGAACTACACAACAATGCCATTAGCCTACATCTACTATGTTCAACCTTCGCAAGCGCTCTTGGAATTTCCAAACTTACTGATAAAATTATTATATTTCTTCATACTTTCCCACTCGGCGCTCGGTACAACTGTATACCACTGATCCAACGTCCTGTCTGTGTCTGTCTCTGTCTCCGTTTCCATCTCCATCTGCTTTTCTGTTTCCGTGTACGGTGCCTCAAAAGGCGAGTCCTGCCATTCCGCATGCTTACATAACTCCAGGACCTTCTTGGACGTTGTCTCCGCGTACATGTCCATCATGTTTATGTCGGGATACAAGACTTTGAAGGAGACTTTTGCTGCCTCGGCTGGGGTTACTGAGCGGGAGGCGGGCGTTGCGGATGTTTTGGCGCGCTTGAGGTGGCTTTCTTTTGGCGGCTTGAGGCCGTGTTTGGGCGCCATTATGTTTGGTGATGAGGAGGCGATTGGAGAGAGGAAGTATGGGATGGGATGGGATGATTTCCTCTTGACAGCAGAAGGAGCGCTAATCCCTGGTGAATGGAGAGCGCAATTGGACGCGGCGCGAACAAAGTGGCTGGTGTTTAGAATGAGGCGAGGGGGCGTTGATCACTGGGAGATCGCAGGAGAAGGAAGCACGGTATGGAAGGTCTCCTAGATAAAGCTATGGCAGTATTGATGGGAGACACATGAGTGCAAACGCCGTGCTAGGAACGTGGTTGTTGCGTTTGTTGTGGTCGCTCTGTTGTTGACGCGGCTGAGGCCTTGTAACTCCGATGAATGCAACATCGTGAGCGACAATTCTCCGTACCGCGCGCTAATAATCGTCCCTTCCTACACATTGACGCTCCAACCCTTTTTTTGGTATCAGCAATCGCAACCTCCAAGGCCAGATCATTGTTATTTATCCTTGCGATAGGGGGCATCAACGTTCTTGGTCAGGCGGCTACAGCAATTTACTTCCACCCCGGGAGAAGCACAGAGCAGCGTTTGTGCTTCCTGACAATAGCACATAGCCGTTGACAATCGGTCCATCCGAAATATGCGTGTATCATTCGAAGCTATACAAACACTGAATATGCAGAAAAGGAAACGTCATCAAAAAATAAAACCCCAACAAAGCGGTATGGTATCGACAAAAATCTTCCCAGACTCCTTTCCATTCCTGCTCACACCGTCCTTCAAAATGTCCAAGCATGTATGCTTCACCCTCATATGCCCACCAACTCAAGCTCGTAGAAGCCTACGCCTCCTGAAGAGCTACCTCCGCCTCCTTAGCCTTCTTCTTAAATAGCTTGTTCTTCAACTTATCTGCCAAGCCCTCCGGATGCTTCTTGGTTCCTTCCCCAATATGTACATTCCCCCCTCCTCCTCTGCCAACGTGGAAGTTCTCGTTCTCCATGCTGGGTCGCAGGGCGACCTCCGGGATGGAGATCTCATCTTTCCGCGGCGTAGCTTTTAGGCCTGGGGAGCCGATGTTGGCTAATCCGCCACGACCGGTGCTGAAGGCTCCGTCGCCGTGGTCACCGACTACGCCTTCGCGAACGATTTCGCCATCGCCGTAACTGGGTGAGATATCAGTGCTATGTTCTACAGTGAGACGAACGGGGGCGGGGCGAAAGGTCAGTGGAAGAGGCGTACGGGGTGTCATCTGCGCCAATATTTCCGGCTCCTGTGGAGGCAAGGTTAGAATATGCCTCTAAATGTGACCAGAGAAACGGGGCAGCACATACCTCCACGGCCGTGGCTGACTTCTGGGCTATTTTTGACACTCATGGCCGCGGCTTGCTGAGATGTCTCTAAAGCTTTGGTTTGGTAATATGGGGTATGCGGAGGACCTCGTATCCAGGTGGCAACGCAAGAACACGGAGAAGCCGTCCAGAATAAAGCCGCAAGGCAGAGGAGTGACAGGAAGATGAAGCTCTCGAGAGGATGACGGGGATCCTTTGAGCTTAAAGCAGGGACGTTAGATGCCTGCCAGAAGGCTAGACAACCCTCGCTCCAGGTCGTTTTGCTCAGCCTTATCGGTGATTGGGCCGTGGTATTGGCTCGATTGGTGCTGGGTATGGCTGTTTTCTTGGCTGAGATTGGGGGTTGACTGCTGGATATGTGTCAAGGCTGAAGCTGAAGTCCTTTAAAAGGAAATAAGGCAAGCCCAATGGCAAATGCAGATGGCAAATAGCCAAATAATGCAGAGCACCTAATAGCGGCGAAGCATATAATTTGCCTGGTCTACAGAATGCGGGTGAAGCGAGTCGATACAAGACCACGACTATTGGTGATTGTTATAGCGTACGATCTTTCGCGGAGCTATCTATATGGAATATTACTGGTGATTAAAAAAAAACATAGATCAAATCACCGAGTCAGAGTCTGTTCATGACGCCATAATGTGGACGAGCAACGTTTTCCTCCACCGACTTTGGGAGCTGTAATTCTGTAATTCTTCAGGTACTGGTACACGAATCAATATGGAACAGAATAGCAAACCGCCACACATCACCATCACCATCGATAAATATTGATACATAGTTGGCCGCTTCTCTCCCTCCAGGCTTATCGCCCACTCTCATGTCATAGCCAGAGCGGAAGATAAGACCGCTGCCCTCCGTTATCTCTCGCCTATCACCGCCGTCCCCCCATTCCACCGCACTCTAATCGCAGATAAGCTTCCGGGGTATTTTCGTAGCTCCGGTTCCGTAAATAAATATATCAAAATATTGACATGATGTACAGAACATGCGCGTTTCCGCGGTCGACGGTACGCTGCAGCATCAACAGCATGGTTGCCGGTTTGGGTTTTGTTGCATGTCGCAAAGGGTTTCTGTGTCGTAATACTTTTTTCATCGGCCGGTATCTTATCATTGATAAGGATAAGGGAAGTAAAAGCGACTCTACTACATATCTAGGCTAATAGTAAAAGCGGCATGCTCACATTGTCAAGACCTACTTAAACACCTTCTTGCACGTTCACAACACTAGCCTTTATTTCCCCACGACCAAACAGTTGTCGCCTGTCGATCATTTTAAATGTACTCGATAAAGACTGTGAACCTGAGTTAGACGGCTTTTATGAGTTACTCGTATCTCCAAATGGCTGTTTATAACAAAAGAACTCATCGAAGTAGCCAAAATCCGTTGATATCGCAACGTCCTTCACTCTCTGTTTATTGTACGCCGCGAGGACAACTGGGATGGTAAATTGTAAAGTTTATAGAGAGAAGAAGGGTTTGAGATGTAAAAAGATACTGCATTTGCGCTTTCAACCATCCTTCCCTAGTCGAGGAACGCACCCAAACGCTTCACGTGCGCTATTGCACAATGTTAGAAGGTTGAGACTCTCAATCTGATGAGGAATATGATTGCTAGTTGATATAACTTTATAGGCTTTAAAAACGCTTTGGATTTGGGACCCTTTTCTCCGAACCTGCCCAGCTGTATCACAGGTCTCATAGCACGTGAGTGTGTCAAGTGCTCCATTCATGGCCTATTTAGGTAAATAAAGGTAGCCTTTCGATCTTAACAACCACCATCGAACGACGCGTCGCAGCTCCCTGTTCCACACCATTGCATCATTGGGTTTGCTATCCTGATGTACGGAAATGATCTCTGTCTATGGACACGCTCTTTGAACTCAAGATAACTAAACGAACCTGCGACGTCGTATAATACCCACAACGTGCCCTTCACCCGCACCATGTTTAGTTGGTGGCGATGGATTATGTCGTGGCAAATGCCTGTCGCCGTTTTTGCTCGGATCACTGGTACGGTATCATGGTTATACGGCAGTCCAAGAAACGATAGATCGATAGAGAAGGATGTGGAGAGCGCCCCAAGAGCCCCCTCCCCTACTGGAGTGGTCAGCCATGAAAGCCACAAGGAGCAGATTGACGCAGAGACGCACGAACCTAAAACTCCAATATGGTATGCATAACATAAGTATATAGCCTATCATATCCAAACTATAGCCCAGCTCGAAGTTCCTCGTTTCCTAGAAGCACATTTTCTGACCTTCAATAGTATTCTCGGATTTGGAACTTTGGATAATTTAGGAATGTCTAAGGCTGGTTAGGATTCCCCTGGCTTTAGATTTTTTATAAGTAAGAAGTAATAAGCCTTCTAATAAAGTAATGTACTAAAATATAAATAGTTAGACATATGTAGTAATGAGGAAGCTGATTCTCGCAGAGATGTTATCTTAGGAGGGAGTACTGGTTTGATATATGTCCTACCTTCTGGGTATGTGCGAAAGGCAGCGTACCCAGATATCACTAGAAATGAGAGCCTTCGAGATATCGAGCAAGAGTACAAAATCTATCAGAGGCTTCCACGCCACGACCGTCTCCTGAAAATGGTAGGCTACTCCGTGGAAGATGGGCTCATTCTCGAGTATATGCCAAACGGCAACCTGAGAGAATACCTACAGACAAATGTTGCGGATGTGACCCTCGACCAGCGACTTCAATGGGCATGTGATGCCGCCGAAGCATTGCACCTTCTACACTCTTATAATATCATTCACTGCGACCTGAAGCCTGACAATTTCCTACTTGATTCTACACTCCGGTTACGAATTATAGACTTTTCGGGCTCGTCTATTGATGGATCGTATTTTTCAGCAATGGAAAGCGCCAGATTCTGCCTTCCTCGTTCCTGGGAGGCACCCTCGACTATAGCAACAGACATATTCGCCTTAGGTTCAACTATCTACGAGATTATGACCGGCACGCAACCATACGCGCATCATACTGATGAGGAGGTAGAGGCCTTATTCAAAGAAGGAACATTCCCACCAGTGGACACTATACCCTGCGGAGAACTGATCGAGAGATGTTGGCACAGCGAGGTCCATTCAGCCGAGGAAGTGCGCGTATTAATCAAGGTTGAAAGTGGAGAAGTTGAATAGGCTTCCTTTAGTAAATTCAACGATCATCAACCTTCTCTAACGCTTTCTCAAACAGATAACCAGCGAGGCTCTAGCCTAGATCAAGCACCGATCCTATCGTCTCCCTGGGTTCTTATGGGTCTACCGAGAATATCCCTCATCGTTGCACACCGAGAAATCGCCCCTCCTTCTTGACGAGGCCAATTCCCTCTCCTTCAGGTCGTTGCCCGTGCAGTCTGAACCACGGATCTGAGCGGCTGTGCATAATTTTATTCGAAGAGGGAGTTTGACCCGATACCCGCATTTGTAGATATAGAGTGACACTTCCTTGGAGCACATTCTTGTGAGTGTTGGGGAGAAGCAACGGTGGTGGCTGACCGTTGGGTATAATTTGTGGGAGTTGAGGATGTGATCTTCACAATGTCAGCATGTAGAACTTCTAGATCGAGGGAGCCACGTACAATATGCCAGGTTAGTCGGAGCTTCAAACTGTTAGCTTCAGTTCCTAATAGCGTGGGTAATCACAGAGCCGTTTTAGTTAAACCACTGCTTGAACCTAGCTTTCCACTCAAGGTGTGGGATAAATCGTCCTCGAGATGGAAACGAACAAATTACGTTATATCTAGGGGGTCAATTCCCCAGCCTATATTCACTGACGAGGCTGTCAGCCTCCCACAAGGATTGACATTGCAATATGCGGGGCTGTGAATCAAGCCGCCTCGCAAATCTCGTGGCTGCTAAATGCAGTACCTCGTTGATTCAAGTGGTGATGGTTACCATCCATATCTAGCGAATCAGTAACGAAAAGAACACCTAGCGTGGGTGTCAACGATCTCGATCAATCTAGCACCACATCCCCTAGCAATCAATCACTAACAGGAATCTTACAGTTGCAATCATAAAGCTAGTCCTTGCTCAAGTTGCCAACAAAATCAAAGAGCGTAGAGATATTCAACTATTCCAAAGACTGACTAGGCCACCCTCGAGGAGCGCTTCAACGTAGTGTAGAGGGACGGCAGCGAGTTGCTAAACATTTTAACTCTCTCGTTAGTCAAAGGGTTATTAAAAAAGGCAGCGTGGGAGTAAATAGCTCTCCTATATTTGTACTGACCAGCAACACCTGGAAGTGACCAGGTATAAGTTATAGACCTGATACTATCCCCAAGCTTAATATTCATTTTAATGCATTGATCCTATTGTCTCGAGTTGATACAAGAATGAATTTAGAGTGGAATATATGCCCAGAAATAGAGATAGAGATATAGAGATAAACGCTCTTCAAGTTAATAATTCAGCCTGAAGATAAGAAAAGATGCTGAGAAGGATGCATCTCATAAACTCAACACATATCACAGAGCAATGGATGTAGAACATAGACACATCTGAGGACAGAGCCAGGTCCACTACCTGTATAGCAAATTCCATGGGATCATATTTAGTTCCTATCGCCGAGGCCTTAGCCGTGGGGCTTCAAACCTGTTCGAAATCGTAACGCGCAACACCAGTGCTAAATCTAGTCTCGAAGTCCACAGACGGCCGTCTTGCCAGGTACTGTTGTACTCGCACCTTGCATCCCATAACCCCCGATCGCAACCCCAATTACGCCGGTCTCCTCCTCGCAAACTCCTCTAAATCCGTCCTCGTCGCAACGCCCAGCACAAATCTCCTCCTCTCATCCGTCACCACTGCAAACTCCTGCCTCCCCCTATCTCCACCATCGCCCTCGCCATTGAAGAACATTTCCAGCTCCTCCAGCGGTGTCTCCATCGTAATAACCTTATACACCCTGCCCTTCCTCCGGAACTTAACCATCGCCTTGCTCACCTCATCAGTTTCTTGGACGGCCCCTGAGGACAGCAGCGAGCGTAGGTACGGGATTGAGACGTAGCCTAGCAGGGCGCGGGTGGAGGGCGAGATGACGGTGAGGTGTGTGTAGTCTCGTTCAAAAGCGGTGAGGAGAGCGTGGGATATGGGATCGGTGGGGTGGCAAGAGAGTGCGGAAGGGGGATCTAGGTCTTCTACTGTTGCCTGAGAGAGGGGATGTTAGCATAAGGTAGGTTCCGTAGGGGCATCAAGCCAGAATCAGGAGAGGGAATGTACTCCTCTATAGCGGCTTGAAAGCGGATGCGAGGACGCTATGTCGGCCATTTTGCCAGCCACATCGGCGGTGTTGGTGCCCACTGGGATGGCGTTGGACATTGTTGTCGACATGTTGGTCGTTGTATAGATAGATTACGTAGCAGAGTGGTGGTTGTGGTTGTGGTTGTGGTGTGTGCTCACAAGGCTGAATCCATCATCATATCCATCGGAGGTCGTTGTGGAGGGGCTGCAATTTTTTGGGCCTGGGCTTGGGCGGCCCGACAGGGGGCCGTGCTGATTGGTGAATGCCGCCCGAAGCCCCAACTGGATAATAAATAGAGAGCAATCGAACGATGTCTCTTTTGAGTTCTTTATGATTAATTAAATTAAAATATTGTATTGACTTCTCCCATTATCGAACTCTCGAGCTAATGTCAGCCCTACCAGTCCCCTTGGCAGGCTGATCTTTGAAGTGTATTTCTATGCTTAAAGGAATAACTCTTCTCTACCCCCAATACGTCACTTCTTAGCGGGCCCCTTTCTCCACACTCGGCAGCTATTGTGATCGATCTTGCGAGTTATCCTTCACATCTCTCCCATTGTGGTCTTTTAAATATAAGGGCGTGCAATCCGCATTGCTATACTTCATACGGCTTCTTTCTTCCGATGGAGAACGTGCGAATTCTACTGCGTACCTAAGGACTATTGGATCGGGATGGTCCGGGGTGGAGGGGTGGTTGAGGGATTAACTCACGTCAAGTGATGGTAACCATACGGAGTTAATTCGCAGAGGGCCTATTACCGGGCGTAGATGATCTCCTCAAAGTAAGCAACGTTTAATCTGACAGTATCTTGTATTTTGTTCATCTCAGGTCTTCGATTCCTATCGGTTTGGCGTCATCAAAGGTGCATTTTCCCCTCTAAAATCTGCTCCGATGCAATACCTTTTCGCATTCTCCAATTGATACTTTTCAACCTATACAGCGACAATTGGCACAACTTGACACTTCCAAGATGCCTCGACTATTCCCCTCCCAAGACGCGCTTCATGATGCGTTTCTCCCCTCTAGCCAGCGGGTATCTACCAGGTGGACTCCTGAGTCTCAATCGAACGTAGTAGAACCCGAGCGGACCCCTCTTCAAGCGAGCTCCGAGCTCTACCCAGTTTGGTCCGTCGTTGACGACTCGAAGAACAAGTCACAGGCTTTGGGCGCCGAGGCCACCCACGAGTTTGATAAAGCGAGCATGAAGGCTAAGTCTAAGACTGGGAATATCGAGCTGTTCTCTGCTAAGTACTATGCCGCGTGTACTGTAGGAGGACTCCTTGCTTGTGTAAGTATAGTTATTCCCAGCTACTAGGCCCATCTTCGCTGGGGATCTCCTCGCAGGGTAGAATCCAAGTGCTTTCAGTGAGTGTCTAACGCCGGCTAGGGTCTTACACACACCATTGTCACACCTCTTGATCTAGTCAAATGCCGCCGTCAAGTCAACCCCAAGTTGTACACTGGTAATTTCCAAGCCTGGGGTAAGATTGGTCGTGCGGAAGGTTTCCGCGGTGTTTACACCGGATGGGGCCCAACATTCTTTGGATACTCAGCCCAGGGTGCTTTTAAATATGGAGGTTATGAATACTTCAAAACGTGGTACTCGGATCTGGTTGGTGCTGAAAATGCTAGCAAATACAAGACAGCCCTCTACTTGGCAGCTAGTGCTTCTGCTGAACTCATCGCCGATGTAGCTCTCTGCCCTTTCGAGGCCGTAAAGGTTCGCATGCAAACTACCATTCCGCCATTCGCCAAAGGTACTTTTGATGGAATCAGTATCGTTACCGCCAAGGAAGGTTGGGGTGGATTGTTCAAAGGAATATATCCTCTTTGGGGCCGCCAGATTCCTTACACTATGATGAAGTTTGCTTCTTTCGAGAACATTGCTGGGATAATCTACCAGCGCCTGCCACGCCCGAAGTCTGATTACGGCAAAGGTGCTCAAACGGGTGTCTCTTTCGCTGCTGGTTATTTGGCCGGTATTCTCTGTGCTATTGTCTCTCATCCTGCCGATGTCATGGTAAGTTTTCTTTCCAGAGAGTATTAGCATGACCGTAAACTCAAATATCTTAGGTTTCTAAACTGAACGCCAACCGACTTCCCGGCGAAGCCATCGGAGCTGTTACCGGACGTATCTATAAGGAAATTGGATTTATGGGTCTATGGAACGGACTTCCTGTCAGAATTGTAATGATTGGTACACTTACAGGGATGCAATTCTGGGTATATGATTCCTTTAAGGTGCTGGTAGGTTTGCCAACAATGGGCAGTTGAGTATAGTTGAGTGTATAGTTGTGGTCGGGAATAGCTAACAGTAGAGTTCTGCATCAAATTCTAGCTAAAGCAGCTAGACGGTGTATATTATTACGAATCATCACTCCTCTTGTGCAATAGAAAAATCCAATATGTTCGGGGCACGAAGTCCTTGGATAAATCAACAGGTGGTTACGACGAAGTCTAAGGATACCTCATGAGTGGGTTGTCCAACTCTGTCTATATCATATAACGTTGGCTCCATACACCTTGTTACTCTCTTCTGATCCAGTTGAAATGAGCGGTATAATTATCTGTACTATAAAATTAGATTAGAGTAGATCACAATTCAACTAAGATAATCTATTTAGAAATTAAAATACGCCTCGAATACTCTTCTACCTCCATCTTTAAACTAAGCTGAGGAAAGTAGCTTTTACTTCTTCTAGCCTGAGTCCCCCTTACCCTCTTACCCCCTGACCCCTTTATACGCCTCACAAAATTTAAAATATTTATTAGAATATAAGGGTTATAAGAGTTCCCTTGCTTAGCTGAAAGTATTACTGTTTATAACGGTGTAGTAGTTAGCGAGCCGCTGTTTTTTAGGGGTCGACTAACTAATTCTTAGCTACACGCGTACTATTTGCTCTCTGTACCCGCACCGCCTAATCCAGGCATCACGCATCTTGAAACCCCGGTTCTCTAAGGGCCACGAGCTGACACCGTCTAAATTAGAGTAATGTCCGTCCAAGTCAGGCCCATCGATGTGACCGCCTCTCCTTGCATAATACCATGGATGTGACATTCACCAACGAGTGTGAATCTTGGTGGGAGAACATCTGGTACACGTCTAAGGAGAAAAGGAACTCTTGCGCCCGAAATTATAACAACTGTGTCGTCCTTATGCGCTGCTGCTGGGACCAGGCCAGTATAGTTCTTTTTAAAAATGCATGATTTCCATCCGCTCAACTTTTCAGCAATTACTATCGTAGCAAACTCGGCAGAATTCCATGTTTCGCTACGGCAGATCCGTGGAAACCCTTCTTTGAAGAGGCTTCGAGCTGACATGAGGGATGTCTTTAGGCTCTCACTAGCGGCAGAACCATTGACAAAAGGGCTGCAGGCAGTACCACCTTCTTTGAACCTCTCCATTGTAATGGTCTGCCATAAAACGTCTTCTATTGCGTCCCTAGCCGGATAGGTGGCACACACAATTTGGACAGATCTACAGAGAGATCTCTGTAGATCTGTCCAAATGCTTCCTACAATAAATTGTGAATATTTGAATGCCCTGCTCCAATCTGGTATCCAAATTGGAAGGTGTGGATCTGGAGAGCGTGGCTGTGCAATAGACAGAAATTTAAACTCCTTGTCTAATTTCATGAAGAACTTGCAATAACGATATGCTACTTCGGCAAACGCTTCTTCATAGTTTGCCTGGAGAGAAGTCTCTTGAGACTCAATCGAAATTCCAAGCAGAGCAAAGTATTTGTCTCGCCTGTGGGTAGACTCGGTGTCGCGACAAACTTCAAGCACCTCAAAAAGACTCTAGCTTAGTCCACGTAAAGCATTTTGTAGTAATTGCATAAGATTTGTGAAGCATCGCACGCCTTTGAGACAAATAGTAGAGACAGCCTCATCAACACCTTCTCGATGAAACTCAAGGACCGGCACACCAATTCTATGAATCTGGTTCAATAAACCGCCAATCACTTCGAATGGCAGCATTCTGCTGTGTCCCCAGTAAAATTGGACGCGTTTCGCGAGGACGCATTCCTGCACAATCCAAACTCTTCGAAACCATTGACGAGAGAAGAATCTCTGTGCCGCGATCCCTGCTTCATCCTCAAAGGCCAGAATGCCATAGCTCCCCAGCTGGCCAACTGTCTGGGGTCGATGATGAGTAGTGTCGAAGTCCACCAAAGCCAGGTTTGAAATCAATTTGTAGATAAGTGCAGTATCCTCCCCATTTTCTGGGCCTAAATAAGCGGCCACGAACTTGGCATTGCGATATATTTGCGGCATCAGACTAATCTGAGCAGCTTTCTCTCTTTATTATCTTGATCAATGCACACAGCGTCGGCCCAGACCGTTACACGCAGGTTCTAAGTGGTCAGGCTTGGGTAGGTTTAGCGACGCTCGTCCAGCCAAGGCGTCTCGGACCGGGCGCTTTACCCGGCCACCTAACTTCCTCCCCCCCGGTTCGATATAGCATGATGCTATCTTGCTGCCTGGTGAATTAGTAACTGCCTTGAAGTGACATGCCTGTTTATGTATATTTATAGTGTATACCTAGGCAGCTATGTTTGATGTTGGAGGTGGGGAACATATAAGGCTGCGAAAACTAATCAAAGTTAACAATCTAGAATTATAGACTGATGCCTGATCCATTGTCCTAAAGGAGAGTCTGTCATAAGACCTGATTTCAGCCTCTTCGTACTTTCTGTACTTTTTGTTAGGGCATGCGAGAAGTGCTATGCAATTTCAATTGAATCTCTTCTTCTGCCTGTCTACAACTCATAACAGACGATTATGTCAATATCGTCTAACGAAGTTTGCACAGCTATGATGTATGATCGACTATATGAATATCAGCCGTTGCCAGCGGACAGGTATATCAGAGTGCTGGCGCTCAATCCTTCATGACCAGAAATGGAAACCTGTCTGTCCGGAACACTATTGATCTGCCCTGTCTCTGCTGCAAGCAACTATGTTGCCATCTCTTATCATTGGGGTGACAATGAACTTGACAAGCAAATCTCGACCCCTCATGGAATATTAAACATTACAACGAGCCTCTTTGGTGCCCTCGCTGGGATTAGGGACTTGACTATTAATCCCGTAGTCCCGATTATCCCTCCTACAAGAGGGTAACCGGTTTGCGTAAGGTTTCGGTTGCGTAGTAAAGTAATATAGTGATCACTTATAATAATCACAAGGTTGAAGTAGTATAAGTAAGTCAAAGTTGTAATTAAGTTTATTAATCAAGTATAAACTATTATAATCGAGAATTAAGTTGAGTATAAAGCTCTTATCTAGTAAAGAAATACTATTCTTTATATATTTTAGTATAACTTCTTAATTTAAAGAATATATTGAAAATATTGAATATTAGATATAACTTTCTTCCTTCGTACTACTGTGAAGGGGTAGAAGTAGTTGTTTGCCAATTAAGAGTTTGGAGTTGTAACTGCCTAAAGAGAGAATAAGAATACACGCGTGCCCGGAGCCCCTTTATACCCCTATTCCTCCCGTCGCACGCTCACGTGACACCTGCAGTTCCACCCACTACACTACTTATATATATAAAGAAATATTATAGTAGAAATCTAAAAGACTACTTATTATTTACTTTATTTTTATATTTCTATTTATACTAGAGTTAATATATAGATAAGTAGAGTTACTTAAGTATATAAGTATTTAGCTTTTATTCTTCTTTTTATAATAAGATATATATAAAAGTATATAGTTAAACTAAAGAGAAGCTAGCTAGTTAAAATAATTATATAAAATAAAAGTGTATAAATCTAACGTCTTGCCCTACTTTAGCGCAACTAGTTAGAGTTAAGAGTATTGAGACTTTATAGCAATCTAAAATAGGTCTGCTATAGCTGTTTTGCCAAGAGATCTTGCCACCTGCTCAGGCGTCGCTCCTTTAACGCTTCTCACTGTAGGGTCTGCTCCTTTCTCTAATAGCAACTGCACCACTTCCTCATGTCCTCCAAGGGCCGCTAGATGCAACGGCGTCATTCCGCCTCGTTTTGCATCTTTTGAGTTTGCGTTAGCTCCCTTGTCCAACAGTAGATGCACCGCAGCTGCGTGTCCATTCTTCGCCGCCCACAGTAGCGCATCCTTTTTTGTGGCACCCATTGTGATATCGAATCCGTTTTCCGAGAGTAATTTTGTTGCTTGAGAATCTGCAAGAGCGCGTTCCGGTGCCACTGCTTCAGCCTGCTCTTGTTGATAACCGTTGTAGGGATTTGTGATCTCCTGCGTTATTCGCCCTGTTGTAATGACCTGGCCCTGAGGGATAAAGTTGAGAAGCTCCTTTGCATATGCTGCCGCTGTCGCTGCCGCGTACTGCTGCCATCTCTTATTCTTGTGTGAATCCGCATAATCACAGATTCCGCGAATCACAAGGCAGGGAAAACTATCCATCAACCCAGCCGCCTCCATCTCGAAACATAGAATATCGAACTCCTTTCTCAATCTTTCCCGTGTCAATCCATCTCGTATAACTTGATTTCCAGACGCTATCACACCGTAATGGATCCTTGGATCAGTTCGAGTGCGCGGTTTCCGTTCGATCAACATGCTTTTGTCGCAACTTTTGCAATCTGTGGCGTCCTTATCTTTATGGGCATACCCTGCCTCAAACAAGACGTCATTCTCTGGGCCTTGATATTTGAAATTCCCTTCTTGCTTCGAGTAATCCGATATACCTTCTGACAAGTATTTTGGAAGCTGGGACGGACCCAATCCATGGCTTGCTTTCAAGGCATTTACCGCAGTGAGCAATACATCTGGTGGCCTATTTAAGGTGCCAGTATGTACGAACCGGTTGTCTTGCAACGTCTTTCCAAAGTCATATTGAACGACTCCCCCAGATTTGGTGCCCGGTTTGCTAACCACGACGTCGCCCAGGCGGATATCGTCCGTGCTCGGGTTCGGAACCCCCCCTCCAATGCCAACCATTAGGCTAAACCTAATTGCATTGAATGTTGATAGCATGCGAGTGGCTACAATTGCAGCAGAGTTGGTTCCAGTCACGGGTAGACAGGCGATCGCAACGTTGTGCTTTCCAATCCTCCCGAGGGCATAATTGTTATCGTCGTGAGGGCGAGGCTGCAAAGTGTCATGACGGCTATCGAGCATGCTCATCGCAGCCGTCATCTCCGTCGGCAAAGCGCAGATGCATCCTACCGTATAGTCGTCGTGGTGCATGGTATCGCAATGGATATTGATATTCACGAAACAAGTCGGTCGTTGGAGGTAGTCTCCGTGAGGTTTGGTTTGGAGTCTGGGACGCACTCTAGTTATGTGCTGACCAAAGGTCCAAGAACGGTCTCGATAGCCGAGTATTGGGTAGAAATGCAGTCATAAGTCAAATGTAAGGCTTAGCTGAAATGCCACAGCAATCATGTGAATAAGTCAGTTGGATAAGGTGTTGATAATTATACAAATTAACTAAATTCCAAGATTTTACGATAAATAAATCATAATTATAATCTATCTTGTAAATAGTAAAACAAGGGAAAATCATTTAAAAAGGAAAATAAAAAAACGCCTTGGGAATAAGGGAAAAATAGCAAAGTGTAATATATCTTTTAAGATGTTGTTTTATGGTACTTTTACACTTGATTATTGTCCGAGGAGAAAAGAGAAAATTTATACTGAAAGTTCAGCAGAAAAGAACTTTGCTTCAAGTTGGACAGATCACTCCATCGCAATAAAAACAGTAAAATATAACATTTTTAATCATTGTTCTTATCATCGTCCCATCTACTGCTACCCCTTTTATCTTCTTTACGTTCTTCGTTAACTTCCTACTCACTTCCTTCTTCGGGCTCCTCTTCACTTGCTTCCTCGGGCTCTTCAGGCTCCTCCTCACTTGCTTCCTCGGGCTCTTCAGGCTCTTCTTCTTCTTCAGGCTCTTCTTCTTCTTCAGGTTCTTCTTCTTCTTCAGGCTCTTCTTCTTCTTCAGGCTCTTCTTCTTCTTCTTCAGGTTCTTCCTCTTCTTCATCCTCTTCCTCTTCGGCGTCCTCCTCGGTCTCTTCGGCATCCTCCTCGGCTTCTTCAGCGTCCTCCTCGGCCTCCTCAGCATCCTCCTCGGCCTCTTCAGCGTCCTCTTCGGCCTCCTCAGCATCCCCCTCGGCCTCTTCAGCGTCCTCTTCGGCCTCCTCAGCATCCTCCTCGGCCTCTTCAGCGTCCTCTTCCGCCTGCTCAGCATCTAACTCAGCCTGCTCAGCATCCTCCTCGGCCTCAGAGCTCTGATACTCCTCATCATCTTCCCCTGAATGCCCGACCTCATCCGCAGCACTATTCTCACCAGAGTGCTCCTTGTCATGTTTGGCTCCTACCCTATAAGTTGCAATTAATATCAGCATTGCCTTTGTCGTGCCCAGGGAGAGTGGATGAAAAGAGATACATACATGGCACCAATCGCTCCCGCAATTACACCACCACCAGCAGCTAATTTGGCACTGGTCGAGTGCTTCGATTCACTTTTGCCACTCCCCTCGCTCTGATGTGCGGTCTCATTTCCAGAAAGCCCTTTTTCGGTCGATGCGTCTTGGTGGTGCTTAGCGGTCTCTCCGCCGTGGGGACTTGCCATTCCACGAGGCGTGCCATGGGACGCGGGTGGATGTGATGATGTGTGGGTATGATGTTCTTTTTCCTTACGGGATGCCGGCGGATGCGGTGATGTGTGGGCATGGTGTTCTTTTTCCTTATGGCGTGATTCGGCGACATGTTGCTTGCCTTTGGCCTATTTTCCAAATCGAATTAGAATTAACGGGCCGCGTTAAATCTTGAAGGCAACAGAAAAGAGCACACGCCTCGAAGGGGACTTACCTTGGGGATCTTTTCAGGTTTGGGTGTCACGGCGCGTGTTTCCCCCGGAGTATTACCTACTCCATAAGCACCGGTCAGGAAAGAACAAAGAGTATAAAAGGAAGTGGTGGCGCAAGAAAATACCTTGATTGGAGCCATGGGGTTTATTTGCCTTGGGAGTGCCTGATTGCCTATCACCAACCTGAGTTGGTGCTCCTCTGGCTTTCGGTTTTGCCGTCTTGGGCGTTTTCGCCTCGACACCCTGACTGTGTCCTGAAATCACTTTTGCTTTCGCTTTTTTTATCGCCTTTTTGGGTACCAGTGACCCGCCTATTTGCGCTCCAGCGGCTTCAACCCCGCGACTACTCTCTTGAATGTTCTGGGTGGGTTTTTTGGTTTTAGTGGCCTGTTGCTTTGAGCTCGGTGGTAGGTCCGAAGGTTTGGATGTACTAACAGACTTTGCTTTCTGCTTCGGAGTCTTTTTCTGCACTTCACCCGATGGTAGTTCCGAAAGAGTAGCCATGGTCAGACTCCGATCCAGAAGTATACCGGCACCCGGAGCTGCGGGCTCAGCAGGGAGGAGATTTTGCCGGTTGAGAAACAGCAGCAGCGGGGATGGAGATGAAGGCTGTGGCCCTCGATTCTGAACAGGCGGCGCATATTCAGCCCAGGCTGGTGTCTCGACAGGACTGCCAAGCGGAATTGGAGCAGGTCGAGCGCGAGCACCTGCGTATCCACGGGAGGGCATTGCCACGGAAGCTGCAGAAGCACCATCGAGTTCGAAGACGGCCGTTGGAGATGTTCCTTTACCAAGAGCTCCTGGGCTTCTTTGGGCTTCGACGGGGGTTTTCGTCGACTTCGACGTCGTCTGTGAAAATGCAGGCTCTGCAGGCTCTTTTGCAGCGGCAAGGTCGCCCGTTGCAGCCATCGTAGCGGCACCGACACTGACACGGAGGGCAACGTCTGCCAGGCCAGTCTTCTTCACTTTGAGTTTCTTCACCTCTCCAGATTTCACCTCTTGTGTCGGCGGCTTCGCTCTCAGCAGAGTTGCTCCATCAAAGGTTGTGCCATGCTTCGCTGCGATTGCTGCATCTGCCGCCGCGCGCTGTTCAGCGAGAGGGCTCCAACCTTCAATGGCATGTAGCTGGTCGATGTAGAAAGGCTTCCCCTGGGATGCCAGCCACTGCCATGATTCTTGTGCTTCTTCAACGAGAGGTATCGGCACCGTGGCCGGATCGGCTGCCATGCTCTTTGCGATTACGGGGGCCGTGTCCCGGGCGAATCTGGAGCGTTTTCTTTCATTCCCACCCGTGAACGCCTCAGTTCCCGCCTGGAAAGCACGTGGATATAGAATAGTAGAGGGGCTTATATCGAGCCATCGTCTGGCCAGCGGTTCACTCTGGGACTTAGTAGGGGGCCCAGCAACCTTGGGTGTGGATTTTTGCGTGAACCAAGACCACACATTGTACCCGTCCGGCACAACATCCGTACAACAGTTTAGACACAGCTTTTTGGTATCCAGATAGCTGAAGTTCGAATCGGTTCGGTGAAAGAATCCAAGTCGGCTTGGGAATGGCGATTTCTCGTCTTCAATTCTGTACTTGGGGAAATGTGGACAGCTGCAGCCCCGACCAGTGAGCTTCGTGGCTAGATATTCGGCGGTGCCTCGAGTGGTGCTGGCTTCGAGGAAAGAAAGGGCCTCCAGTTTAGGGAGGTCGACTGCAAACTCCAAGACTTTGATTGTTTTGGCAGAGGAATCAGGAGACGCGGGTGTGGTACTGGACTTGGGCGTCTTTGTGCTGGATTTCTTCGTGCTGGATGTCTTCGCACCAGGTTTCTTCGTGCCTTTCGGCTTCGCTGGCATTTCAGAAGCCATGATATTGTCGCTATTGTCGCCAACAGCGAGAAACCAGATAGTGCAATAATATGCAGGTGTATCTCGACATAAAGATCATGTATATCATATATCTCCTGAAGCCAATGCCGGTGGGATAGCCAACACCGCCGTCCCCAAATGGCCCCCACGGTTTCCATGTGCCTCCAGCCGCAGCCTCGCGCACCCTTGAGACCGACTGGTGCTGCTGCGAATAGACATGACGCTCGTGTAACTAATATTCAGAAGGTGGCGCGGAGATTGCTGTCTGATGCGGCTCTGGGTGTTGGGGTTTTTCAGCTGTCTGCGCCTCATTCGTCGACAATCTTCCCGAGCCTGCCGCATGAAGAACTGCTTTCGTAAAAGACATAGCACGCAAAACGCCTTGACGAGTTATAACAGGTCGGTGCTCGGACGCCACGAATTGAAGTTGATATATACTCTTTTGTGGCGGGAGAGATGAGAGCAAGAATACCCGATATGCAACCAACCCAACTGCACTCCAATACCAAAAACGCCCAACAGCCCATCACAGGCTTGCGCTATACAATAAAAAGCAATACAAGCAATACAAGCTTCTCAGGGTCGCCTCATGACATCGCTGATCGATTTTAAATCCACTTACCGTACCATCGTCAGTCGTAAAGCAGCAGCCAAAGTGGCTTCCATCGGCTTCACTAGTTCACGCCTGGCTCACTTTCTCATGAGCATTCACCATCAAAATTCAATGCGATAAATTTAATTTAAATCAATTTGTTTCTGCCGCTTCACTAAAACGAGATCCGCTTTTCCTGTGTGAAAAGATGGAACAGCCTCTAAATAACACGATCCTCCCACAATTGTGTACCGATGTCGACGCAAAAGCCCACATCGTCACAGAGACATCAATCTCATCACCTCTCTCCATCACCTCCCAACACTCTTCTGCCTCTGCATCTACATCTCTTTCCCAGGCCCCTTCATCAGCGGCAACTCTCAAGCCAGTTCCACCTCAGCCATTTCCTCCTGCACCCAAATTTCAAGAGAACTACATTACCAATGAAGACAGACAACGAGTCATAGAACTGTTGGACCAGCAGCGAGTGGCCAAAAAGGAGAACAAGAAGATCAAGAATAAGGAGCGATACAATTCTAAAGAGGTCAATCCTGTGCTTGATACCCTTGTCTCCGACAAGATCTCTCCATCCCCTGGCCTTGTCCAAGCCTTGCTTGAGCAGGGCGGAGACGTCAATGTTGCCCGCCAAAAAAGCACTGCTATATGGAAGAAAGTGGCCAGGAAAAATCAAGAAGTCCGTCGAAGCGACGTCCTTGCGAAAGCTACACAAAACTGTGTGCCCGAGGTGGTGTGGGTACTATCACGAGAAGCGGATGATACAGCCAAGACGGAGGCCCTCCTATTCGCGATTCGGCAGAATGATACGGTCAAGGCACGCATCCTGCTTGACGCCGGCGCCGATTCAGCAGATTTCCACTCGGAATTCCTATCCGCTGTGGAAAAAAAAGCGGATGAGATGGTCGAGATAATCCTACGCGCAATCAAGGGCCCCTGTGCGTCCTGTTGCTCAACGGGTCTGGTGAAAGCAGCCAACAATGGTTCCTTGCGAAACTCGCTTATACTGTTGGAAAAAGGGGCGAATGCGGATTTCGATAATGGAGCTGCCTTGCAAAAAGCGATTGCGGATGAGAGAGAAGATCTTACAGACGCCATTTCCTTTTGCGCCAACAAGCCATCCCCAAAATCTTTTGATATTGCCGTCGGACTGGCATATTCCAAGATAACGGACGATGGGGATAAGCAACACCGCATGATAGACATATGTCTCCGAGGTGGTGCTCATGGTAGTACGACAGATGAGACCCTTGTGAAGGCATGTATCAACGGACAGGTTGCCCTCATCGATAACCTACTCGCCCACAATGCTTCCGTCGATTATAGGCAAGGTGCTGCTATCCAGTATGCTGTTACAAGCAAACAACCTGGTTTACTCACTACTCTTCTGCGCGGCAAGCCCTCCATGCCAACTTTCGCCGCATCTATTCCCATGATAACGGGCATTGATGATCCAGCAGTGGCATATGAAACCACCGACATTGTCCTATCCGCTGGTCTTCGAGGAGACTCGGTTGCCGCAACCCTCATTAGTGTCTTGGAACGCCCACCACAAACAGCCACTGACTCGGATGATTTGAAACTGATCCAGCTCTTCTTAGAGAAGGGGGCCGCGAATATCAACTATGACGAAGGGAAATCCATTCAAGTAGTCGCCACACGTGGGTGGACTAACGCCTTGAAATTGCTTCTTCAGCACAACCCGTCGACTGGATCACTTAATGGTGCCTTTCCGCTTGCCATGAAGCTTGATGACGCTGCCAGAAGACTCGAGATAGTCACTATGATTCTAGAGGCTGGAGCTAAAGGGGCCGTCATCGATGCTGCCCTTGTAGCCTCCTCGTGTACGGGCAAAACTGGCGTTGAATTGACATCAGTGCTCCTGAAGCAAAGCTCAGTTGACTACGAAAATGGCAGGGCTCTGTGCAATGCTGTTCAAACCGAATGTCTGGAACAAATGCAGGCCCTCATGCTTGGCAAGCCGTCGGATGGTACTTTGAGAGCGGCTTGGCTCGTCGCTGACGCCCTCCAGAATGGCGAGTTTCAGTACCAAGCTTTCGAGATACTTCTCGCTGCTAGCATTGACAGTTCATTAAAAGACGCTTCACTGATTACCGCGGCAACGAGAGGGCAGCGCGGTATCAATGTATGCACCCTCCTGCTCCAGCACCAAGCTTCACCAGACTATTCGAATGGCACCTGCATGGTTAGTGCAGCAAAGGGGCTGCACCTTGACACGCTGGAGTTATTGGCCAATTCAGTCACTTCTGCCTCTGTATTTTGCACTGTTTTCGACGACTTTTCCGAAGGGGATGAGTGGCTTACCCCGAAAGGGCTTGCAATCGTTCACCTGTTGCTCGAAAACGGGGCATCGGGCCCAGAGGTAGATGCGGCTTTCTGTAAAGCTGCTCGACTCGGTGATCCTGATGCGTTGGAACTTCTAGCAACTTCTGTCAATCCGGAAGCCGTAAACGTTGCTTTGGTTGCGGCGACCGCGGCCGGTAAGGATTGGTTATCGCCTGACAATAGCCATCTCTGGCTGATGCATTCGCTGTTGAAATGGGGTGCCGCCGGAGACTGCGTCAATTTCACTCTGTTCGAGGCCTTGGATGCCTTCGCTCGCGGACTTGCATCAGAAGATCTCATCGATACGCTTTTACAAGTCGGAGCCAAGGCTGAGGTGAACTTTCAAAATGGCGAAGCCGTCCAAATAGCTGTCAGGTATGGCAAACCACTGCTGCTGGAGAAATTGATTTTATGTGGTGCCACCGCAGAAACACTGTCGATAGCATTAGCAGAAGCTATTACGGCCGGGCTCGACGAGAATGTCCTCCTCTCCCTTCTTGACGTTTTTATGGAAAGTAAAGGCGCAAAACCCGACGTCAAAACCGCTCCCCAGGGATACCAGCCGCCCATTTTCGCCTGCTTAGCTGCCTATCCACAATCCGCAAAGTTGGTAAAGCAGCTGGTAGAAATGGGATGCGACCTGGAGGCCCAAATTGAGTCGTTTACTTATGACGATGAAGAACTTGAAGCAGAAAATGTCACTGCGCTTGTTTGGGCGTTGTGCCAACCGGAAAATCGTATATCCTCTGCAGCAATAGAAGCTTTAATTGATGCTAAAGGTCAGTATTCCTTGATCCTTGCCTCCAAAAATTACATTGCTAACTTGAACAGCCGATACGAACCTCACGCTCAAAACTTCAAATGCAACGCCTTTAATTCTTGCAGCGAAATACTCCCGAAGCGACCTTGTAGTCAAGCTTCTTGCAAAGAAAGTGAAATCTTCTGCCAAGGACAAGTTTGATCGGACGGCACTCTTCTACGCGTCTCGAAATGGAGATATTGACTCAGTCAACGCACTTATCAAAGCCAAGTCCGCCATTAACGATGGTAGCCTCCAGGAGGCGGCTAAGAAGCTCCATAGCAAAGTGGTTGCGACACTCATCAAAGGGAAGCACGATCCAGACTTTCCCAGTAGTAAGGAACAGCACGAGGGTCGCACCGCTCTCCAAGAGATGGCATTGATGTGTGATTGCTCCAAGGCCGGCGCAGAGACCGAGGAGACAGTCCAGGCGTTGGTAAAGGGGAAAGCGAATCCATTGGAGAAATCACGGGGCAGGAACGCTTTGTTTCTCGCCCTCGACAATGCCAATCCAGTGCCAATTACAAGGGCGATCCTCGATGGCGTCATGTGGAAGCACATGAACAGCGATGAGAATGTTTATATTGAAGTCGATCCTGAGACCGGGACGAAGTACTACTTCTCGCCGACAATGTATGTCGCCAGGGGGTTTTCTCAAGGCCCCGAGGAGTACAGCGACCAACTTCAGAAAATATTGGTCGACAAACGAGGCGATGATCGCTACTATGCGGAAGAGGGAGCAGTACAACCAGCCGACGCTGTGGGGATGCCCCAAGCGATTCTCGATGCCGAGAAAAAGAGAAAAGACCGCGAGGAAAAGCTACAGCAAAAAGAACTGGATCACCAGCTGAAACTCCTGCACGAGAGGCAAGCTGCAGACCAAAAGGCACAAATTGAACAGGAGAAATTCGAGGAAAAGAAATGGCGAGACGAAGAGCTGGCCCGCCAGAAAATGGAACAAAGGGAGATGGAACATGAGCAAAAGCTGGCCCAGGAAGTCGAGAAGGCGAACCAAAAGCAAAACATCATGACCAACACTGCTGCTGTAAAGATCTCGCTGCAAAATCAAATCGACGCCCAAAAGCAGCGGGCGGCCCTGTCGCGGGCTCAATTTGAAGAAACCCAAAAGGCGCGAGCTGCAGCCCAAAAACTCCAAGCGATACAGCAGGAATCGGAGCTCAAGGCACAATTCACGGCGAAGGCAAATGCGGCGAAACTGGCCCAACAAGCTCGACAGAATCAGCTGGCCGCAGCGGCCGGGCAGCAGAAGTTACTCACGGCCTCGAAAATGGCAAACATGCATGCGGCCGAGGCGCGCAACAAGCTTGCCATCAAGGAAAGACAAAATGAGCAGGCGTTGAGGCTCATGCGGGGCACTGCGAGGGAGAAGAGCACCATGCATGAGATGCAGATGCGACAGTTGCAGGCCCAGGGGCAGAATACGAAGCTAAAGATGTTGGATAAGTATTTTGCGTCACAAGGACAAGTGGGCAAGAAGGATTTGAAGAGGATTGCAGCGGGATGATTGTGATATTGGTTAACGGAGTATTTGGGTCTTTCCTTGAGGAGTTTTTATATCCCTTGGTAGTTTGAACATGAAATATCCCACGAGTCTTCTTCGTATGGCAAGAAATCTAACAGCAACTTCATGTCATGATGTAAAGATTAGCCTTCTGATTTATTTCTTGCTGACTTGCTGAAATTCAAGTACCCCTCGCTCTGTTTTTCTCCACTGTTGCTGCCCCCACCTCCCTTTAGTTGAGTAGTATATTTGCCACGTGAATTTTGAATAATTGAGAATTATTTGATCTGCTGGGAGACGTAAATTAGGAGACTTTAGGGCAAGCTTTTCAAGTCACGGCATTTTTAAGATAAGCCTTGCTAATATAAGCAACTGAACACTTTGAATATTATGCGGTTATTTACTGTAAACCCTTATATATAGCGGCCAGTCGTAAGATTAAACCAAGGGGGTATCCTATCTAGGTAGAGTATAGCTTTCAATAAAAAGCAACACCCAATCCCGCAGGTGCCGAGCCTTATTGTGGCTGCACAGACGGAAAAAGCCATAATAGCGGGACAGATACCCTTGCAACCTCTCTTGGAGCGGCATCTTTACACGATGTGGAGCTGAAACAACACTGTGCTGAAAGTGCAGGTGGCTGCATATGAGGGACGGTGAGGGAATGATGCATTGGCCATGTGCCCAAGGCGAGGCTGAACACCGCACACCTTTTTGTACTTTGTAAGAAAAGTCGGCGTTTTGGGACAAAATCGACAGCCTTAGTAATGACTACCCGTTACCATGCCTTGCCTCGGGTCATGATGTTTCAAAAAACGAGAAACTATCTACACGGTCTGCCGACTGTGTCTCTGATAATCACGGAAAATTAATCTTCTCAAAGATGACCGAAGTAAAACCAAAGCGCCCAGTAACAGCTGAACAGCTGGGATTGAAAACTTTGTACACTCCAAGTGCCGGGAAAATAGAAATAGAGTAAGTGCAAGCTCCGTTGCCATCCGCGTTGCAAGGCCTCAATATACTGATGGAAATACAGTATCGTCGCAGTTCATGGCATCGGAGCAGACCCTGATGAAACATGGACAACCCAGCAGACTACCTCACGGGAGGAAGTCCAGGAAGTGGATGGGGTCAAAACAACCAAACAGGTCGAGGAAGTCAGGACCACGAATTGGTTGGCATCTCCTGATATGCTCCCTAAAGCAGTCCCCAAAGCGCGGATTATGAGATTTGGATATGAATCCCAATGGTACGGAGATAGTGCAGTCAAGCAGCGACTCCCCACGGTCGCTCATGCACTGCTATTCTGGCTTGTTCAGGAGAGAAAAGTGGGTTTGTTTCTTCTCCTCTTGATTAAAAGGGACCAGCAGCTGAATGTTACGTAGGACTGTAAGAACCGGCCGATTATATTCATAGGTCACTGTTTTGGCGGTCTTGTCATCCAGAAGGTATGTGCAGCAATTGTTGGCACAGATGCTCAAGCAAGCTAATTGCAGCTAGGCGTATAATATGGCAAGAGCCAACGAAGATGACGCTCCCGGCATCGGTACCTCCACAACAGGAATGGTATTTATGGGAACGCCCCACCAGGGAACAGGATCAATTACCTCTCAAGGTTTGATGTATAAAGTCATCGCTGAGCAGTTGGATGTGGAAGATAGTGTGTTACGTGCACTGTCGGCCGGGGATGAAGCCCTCGGCGATGCACTCGATGAGTTTATGAGACTTGTCAACGTCTCAGCCGCCCGTGTCCAAATATTCTGCTTCTTCGAACAAAGGCAGACTATGGTTGGAAAGGAAGTTGGTGATGACTCTCTGAAGGTTAGAGTGAAGTGATCCCTCAAGTCATGGGTGTTGCTAACAAGAACGCCTTATAGGAGTTTGTAGTTGACCAAAAGTCGGGCAGCTTACAAGGGCATCGCAGTTTTGGCTTACCATTGGATCACTTCACGTTGACCAAATTTCTCTCCCCAAAAGATGGCAATTTCATGATGGTTAAAAACGTCATCCACGACATGGTGCTTGAGTCTGCCCAGATCATAAAGGGTCGTAAACTAGGTAAGAGGTCTTGACAATAGGATTAAAAAACCGACCTTCATCCCATCGTCTTTGCTGCTTCGTGTACGTACCTAATGCTGATTTATATTGAAGCTCAAGCCTCGACAGACCCGAAGTCAGCAGAAACTACGACAGTAGCTAGTCCACAGCCAAGGGTTACCTACAGGCCACTTTCTAGGCCGCCGTTCCTAAAGGATGACAAATTTGTTTCCCACGGGAACATCCTGCAGCGTGTTGAAGCAAAATTCGACAATCAAGCGAGAGTTGCTCTCTACGGCAGTTCTGGGGTCGGGTAGGTCAAGTCATTTCTCTCCGTCCTCAGACACAAGAGCTGAATTGCCCCCTTTAGCAAAACCCATATTGCGGTTGAATACGCCCACAAATATGGCGAAGATCATCCTGATGCCAAGGTCCTTTGGGTCAATGCTGGGACTATCGAGGAATTCGAATACTCGTATAGAACCATCGGCACCAAGCTCTCCATCTCGGCCTTGAGGGACGCGAAGGCCGATGTTTTTCATATCGTGAATCGATACTTGAGCCAGGACGCCCATGGACAATGGCTGATGATCCTCGAAGGCGCCGATAATCAGGAAATGTTTCATCAGAGCATTTCTGCCCCGCCCAAGGAAGGAAAATCCGGTAAACAAAAGCGCAAAACCCTGCTCGACTACATCCCGAATTGCGCAAGTGGAACCATCCTGATCACAAGCCAGTCTCTTCGCCTGGCTTCTGAGCTGGTCAATCAACAAATGGATTGCGCGATAGAGATTACTCCGTTTACCCGCGAGGAATCCATATTGCTGGTCCGCAAGACACTTCGTGAAGAGGTATGCGATGACCAGAGCGCCCAGGAGCTCGTCGAGGGGCTACACCACTCGACCCTTGCAATTGCCCAAGCAACGACATATCTCCTCGCTCATGGCCCCGAGACTCCCATACCCGATTACCTGAAACTCGTGGACACTCAAACCTTGAAATTGAGCCCCGAAAGCGAATCCGACGCCGTCCGGACGTGGCAGATCTTGTATGAATCGCTTCGACAGAAAGACGCCGAAGCAGCTGGGCTCTTGTCTGCCATCTGCATTTTGGAGCGCCAGACGATTCCGGTCTTCTTGCTCAACAAGTGGTTCAAGGATGCCCGCCAGGTCCGGGCCGCGCTCTCCACGCTCGTTCGTTATGGCATGATCACGTATTTTGCCAATCGGAAATCCATCAGCGCGACGCGGATGGTCCAGCGATGCATGCAGGCGTGGCTGGGCCAAAAGGGCGACACGGCGTGGGCGGAGGAGCGCGTTCTGTGGTTGGTGACCGCGTCTCTGGCCGAGGAACACGAGACGTGCGAGATTCTGTACCCGTATCTCATCCGAGCGCTCGATTTTAAGCCCACGTCCGGCCCCAGCAAGCTCCACCGGGCCGAGATCCTGTTTAGCACCGCGGGATATGTGAAGCACTTGGGCCGGACCGACGACGCACGCCGATACCTCACCGAATGCCTGCAGCTCCGCAAAGAGCAGGAGGACGAGAGGGTCGAGGAGACGAAGAAGGCCATCGAAGCCCTTGAGGCCACTCGGGACGGGCCGCAGACGACGGGAGCGGGTGCGGGTGCGGCTAAAGGGTCGGAACGTAAGGTTAGCGCGCTGGCGTTGGCGCGGGCGTCTAAATGGCCCAAGGCGTCCACGGTCGGCGTGGCGCAAAGATTCTTGCAGCGCGCACAGCAGTTGCTAGACCAGGAGGAGCACCACGCTGCCGAGCAACAATCACAAGAGGGGCTCGAGGCGTGCGAGAAGACGTTGGGCGTGGACCATGGCGACACACTGCAGATGGCTGACTGCCTCGCCATGACGCTCCAGCGCCAGGGGCGCCACGCAGCCGCGCTTGTCGTGCGCACGCGCGTGCTCGACTGGTGCACCGCGACATACGGGCCGAACCACATCGAAACGCTCCGCCAGACCTACAACTGCGGACTGGTGCACGATCTGCTGGGCCAGTACGACCAGGCCACCAGTCTCTACCAGGCGGCTCTGGATGGCAGCACGCAACTGCTTGGTGCCACCGATCCGCTCACCCTGCGCGTGCTCAGCAGCCTCGCGACCGTGTATGACCTGCAAGGCCACACGGCCGCGGCTGAACGCACCCTTCGCGAGGCGCTCGCGGGTCAGGCGGCTGTCCTGGGTCCCGAGCACCCAGAGACCCTCCTCACCATGCACAATCTCGCCCTGTGCGAGCAGTCCCAGGGCAAGTATGCGGACGCATCGGCCCATCTCCTGCAAGTGCTGGCCGCACAGGAGCGCGTCCTGGGCCCCGAGGACATGGCCACGCTGCGGACCGCGAGTAGCCTGGCCTTGAATTTCGCTGTCCAGGGCCAGCCCGACCAAGCAGAGGCGTTGTACCGGCTGGCGCTGGACGGGCAGACCACGAGGCTGGGTGCCGCGCATCCCGAGGTATTGCACACGCGCATGATGCTCGGGGAGCTGCTCGGGAACACCCACAGAGCCGCCGAGGCGCGCGCCGAGTACCAGGCCGTCCTGGTGGAGAGGGAGAAGGCTCTGGGCATGGATGATGCGGAGACCGTGAGCCTGAGGCAAAGGTTGGGGGCTCTTCATGACGCTTAGCGAGGAGAGCGGACGTTGGTGTTCGTGCAGCGAAGCGAGGAAAGGAGACGTTAACTCCGCTTCACTTGCCCGACTTACTAGTTGGGTAGCACCATCAACAACGCACCCTCGGTAATACAATCCCGTGTAGCTTTTATAGAGCTTACCGTGTGTGTAATAGTACTATGCAGCTTTGATTCTGTGGCAAAATAACGTTGTCAAACGAGCAGAAACTTCACGTGCATGTTGAATTGCAACAACTTGCCAATAACCAGACCAATGGTGGAATTTATAAAATCAGCAAAAGCGTATTAGGTAGTATTTTTCAACCACTTCCCAATGTGACAGAATGGTAACCAATTTCCACGGATTGTTGCGGCAAAAGCCAATTGGCGTCTGACACCTCGTAGCACAAATGCCGCTTGTACAATATGGCTCCTAATACGTCAACGCGACAGATTGGTTTTCCACATTTGATGCAGGTGATAGGTATTCAGCTGAGCCCCAAGTTATGAGAGCCTTCACCGAAACTACCTGTGGTAGAATAAAAGCCACTGCCCTTGGTTTCATTCTATTCTCTGTCTTACCAAACTCTCCTCTCTTCTTCCTTTTCCCTCCGATTTTCCTCTCTCTGACAGCACACCACAAAACTTTACTCCGCCTTCTACGTAACCCTCAGAAATCGGAGAGATGGCGAAACGCAAATTGCACGGCGGGAAGCACAAAACAGGAAAGCTGCACCACATCGGCACCCTCCTGCTTCTCGCTGTCGCTCTCCTCGCCCTCGTCACTAGTATTACTACCCCTACCGTTCAAGACATTTCTCTGTTGAAGGTGACTGGGCCCAGTAGCACCGTCTTCCTGGGGACATTTGGCTACTCTTTCAGGTACGAACCTCTATTGCTTACAACAATCGAACATAACTAATATTGCTACAGCGATGGAACAAGCTCTTCCAGCTCTGTTGGCTACGATCCACTATTGCCAGTATCCCAAGCCATCCCAGGATACATCAGCTCGATATCCCACGAACAAGCAACCGATCTCGCGAGAGGCTTGATCCTCCACCCTCTCATCTGCCTCATCGCCTTCATCTCATTCTTCGCCGCGCTCGGCTCCGGCTTCTGCGGCACCCTATTTGCGGCCCTCCTCTCCGCCGTCACATTTCTGATCACCATCCTCGCCGTGGCCTTCGACTTTTCACTTTTCACAGCCATCAAGAACGATGTGGTGAATGCCAATGGAACCGCAGAATATGGCACAGGGATCTGGACCATCCTTGTGGCGATGATGCTCTCTTTTTTCGCAACATTCGCCGTATTGTTCTCGTGCTGTGGCTCCAGACGGCACAAGAAGAAGCAGGGACACCAACAGCACCACGAGGCTGGCCACCACGAGGAAGCGATCGTTACTATTACGACGACGACAACGAAAGGTGCTGCACATAAGAAACAAAGGGGCTTCTGGCGCAAGATCAAGAAATGTATTTGTTGTCGTTGAGCATTGACAGGCGATCCCTGGTCTTTTTGGACTTGCGCGATACGTTGTCTTTCCACAAAGAGCCCAGGGCAAAGAGCCAGCGCCTTGGTAGCCTTCATATTTCGCCACAACTCACTCGTCTATGGGAAACACTTTCCGCGGCTATTACAGAAAAGTTTTATTTTCTTGTCTTTCCATCTCAGCTTTAATTAAGTCAACTTGGAGCTTGCTCCTGCTATATTTTTCAAGTCATTGTATCAGCCTCATATTTTGGGTGTCTGTCGCTGGTTGTTAATGATGCGGGGAGATGGAGAACCCCGGATTTGAATAGCTTCGCGCATTGCGATACGAATGACTCGCGCCGAACCACACGGTAGCGTGTGCTGCGTTGCCATGTACCTAGCTAGCTTTTGAGAAAATACGATATAGTTAGACACCCTGGTTCATAAAGGACACTCTTGCATTTGTAGTCTACTAAATATAGAAATTTGTAATTACGTCCTAAATCCACGATACTCGGGTTTTCTGCTATGCCCCCCTGGTTCAAATGTTAGGTGGGGCCACTAAAATCCAGTGACGGAGTTAACACTTGAACCAGAGGGGGATAGTAAAAGCTTGTCTTTTATCAGAGCTTCTTGCAGGCCAACTACTGGTTGGCTCTCTCACATGGCACAGCCCCGGTTTGAAGCTTTGACAACAGCCCGCGTAGCACGAGGGGTGACTCGACTACCCTGAAAAGCGGGAGAGAAAGGAGTGCTGTCGTTCACTTTGTTTGTCTCTTTTGCAGTGTAAGGCTGAACCCGCCCCCGTGCGTGCAAGGGCCTTCAGGCGCCACCAATATTTCCGTCCATCTTACTTAGCAGCACTAGTTGCCGCATATGGAATACGATACAGGGAGGAGTGAATTACTGACTGAGTACAGCCACATATTCCTGTTTGGGAGTTGCTGCTCATCAAACAGCGTTTCGCTAAGCTAAAATTAACCACATAGCACTATAGGCTCACCAACTTCTACTCTGCTTGTGCCACGTCGTTGAGCTGAGCAAATTATCGACTTATTCCCTGGTTCAGCCTCATGGCCAATATTCCCCGCACCACAGTTGGATGGCTCTGCGCCGATGCAGGCCAAATGGTCATGGAGGTTGCGGCGGCCGTGTTGGATGGAGAAGGACAACGCGAGAAAGATCTGCAGACGTCCCCCGCCCCCGTCTTACCCGCCTTTTCTTTTCTTTTTTTCGTCAGCAGTGCCTCATTCTTGGCGTTGGCGTATTGTTCTAATGCAGAAAGGTGCAGACCGAGCCCTCTGCAGTCTCCAAATACCCACCGTTGTCGTTGCTGATGGCACTTGGACCACACTCGCCTCTCAAAACGTGGCTTCCTACGCATTCGAACTGATTCGTCTCATGACCGACGCATCAGCCATGGAGATCCCATTGCTTTATCACACCGAAAATATTGTCCCGCCCAGACCGGATCCCCAGCTTCCCCCCTTTCCGCTCCATCACTTCCCCACCTACGGCAACACGGTCCTGCTGGGCATTCCGACGGAAAACGAACACAAAACAGCCCTCCTCCATGATTTCCTCGCGGAACGAGCGCCGGACGGCGTGAAGGTGCATGTGGTGACGGTCCCGGTCGCGTCGGGCGTGGGCGAGCAGCCATACAACGAAGCTGGCGTCGCTGGTGCTTACAATCGCATCAGTAACGCCCTAAACCATCTACACGGCGCAGAATTCGTGGAAACCTTCAAGGAAAAGCTTATCGGAACGGTTATCGTCGCGTCCATCGAAAGCTACATTCAGACCGAGGATATTGAACGCCCAGCTGACTTCGGCATCGTGGTGGTCCACAATGCCACGACCCAACAGACTAGAGCATGCTGCTCAAAGGGCACCACGCTTCCGCCAGAATACGTCCGTCGAGCCCAGCACTTTGGTTCTGACGGGGATCCAAATCATGGCAATGTGACGGTCGGCCAGATACTGGCGGCGAGGGTGCCGGGACTAGACAAGGCTGATTGGCAAGCTGTACTTGGCGGACGGTCACGATACGAGCTGCTGGGTGAAGCGACCAGACGGCTGACGATACCGTGGTAACCTTTTCAAAAAAATGCTTGAAGGCATCGCAAACTCAGATAGGAGCACACAGGCATTACCTTGGTATACTTTTTGGGGGGCCTGAAACGTGCTGAATTGTACTCTGTCCTGGGAAGGAAATCGTAAACGAAATTTTGACAGCACATCCATGGAGATCTCTCCCATTCCCTAGAATCATTCTGGACCTTCAAATTTCAGAAGTGGATTCTCCCTGTGTCGGTGCAACTCCCTTTTCGGTGTCACTAACCACCTTCTTCTTTACTTCGTGCGGCTTCCACCACGAAGACTTGGTGTACTTGAGCCATCCCCGGCACATGTAAAGGACCACCATGGTCAGCGGGATCACAACTGCCCAATATATCCAAAACTGCTTGGAGAGCTGCCATTGTTCCACGCCAAAGGTGAAAAATGTTGTGCTGAACAGCGCCTGTCACAAGTAGAATTTAGCATGTGAACAAATGGAGGGGTTCGAAGTGCACTCTGGAGTGATCGTAGCACCTACAGAGACGAAAGTGGCAGGCAGGACCGTCATAGTTAGGAGAGCAATCGATTTCATGACCATGTTGTCCTGGCTAGCAATCATGTTGAATGCCTGCATGGCCGTGCTGTTAGCCAGCTAGCCCACATCATCTTCCCGGGAAGGGCTTTTGAAGAGATTACCAGAGCGATTTCTGCGCTGAGTCTTTCTTGGTTCGACAAGCAGCGCAACTTCAAGGCATTCATCGCCTGAATCTGGAAGTGCCACTCCTCCTGCGCCTGTTCCTGATATGTCTTGTTGAGGGCCACAGGCAGGGTTTTATCAAACATCTCCTGCCGCCGAAGTAAGCTCTTCATCGTCTGGATGGCAGCTTCTTCAACCTCCAAAACGTGGCCCGTGTGCCGTGCGATTTCGTGCATGTTTACGAAGTTGGTTTTGGGGGTGAGTCTATTCTACCAAAGGGCGGGGTTATGTCAGCCCACGTTGGGGGTTTCCCCCAGGACATCAATCACCCAGGGATGAATATACCTTCTCAATAAACCGGACTTGGTCTCGCACCCTCCAGATACTATCGTCGTAGAGATCGATAATCTGGTCGAAAAGCGGGCGAAGCATGGCGAAAGGGTCGCGCAGCTCAGGTGGAGGTGACACTTGCAGGACTTCCTCGAGCTTCAAACGCAGCTCTACGGGCGTGTCGATGCAGAGGACTCTGCAGCCATGGGGATGATGGCGCCAGCGCGTGAAGAAGCCCATTTCGTACCACAAGTATGATTTGCCATCGGGTGTCAGTTCCTCCCCAGATCGCAAAACTTTCTTGACCAAGCATCGAAACCAGGTGCCTAGATCGTGGTGAAGAAATACAATAAGTATGCGTTCAGCCAGCGGGATGGGCGTTGAAGGGGGTGTAAACACATACTAAGCTCCACCAGTTTTTCCCCGTTGTCGAACGAGCTCTTGCTGCCAAAATAGCCATTGAGGTCTGTACACATCTGATTTGTAAGAAAGTCGGGCGCGCCAAAGGGCTGGAGGATCTCCCTCCGGTCCGACACTTTGATCTCATCGCCCTTTTCCTCCCCTTTGTACCATTTTCCGTCCTCTAGGAAGCTTAGAGCAATCAATTCGATTCAGCAAATCAACTTTATTTTCTCCAAAGAGCGTATGTGCGTCTTACATGTAGCATACTTCGGGCAAAATAGGATTCTGGTTCAGTGTTAGCGATGCGGCGGAGACGTGGGTGTGCAGAGGACGCGCTGACGTGAAGAAGATCAACCTTGTCGCGAGTCCATTTCCCCGCCGCTGTCAAGAGAAAGTCAGTCTGCAGTTGGGGAACGTCAAATTCCAGAGTACAGGCGTTACACACTATAAGCTAAAACATTTGCTAAAAGTGGCACATCAGCCATGGTGGGTGGGTGCGAAGAACGTTGGATAATAAATGCCTCGATAAGTGTTGAGACCAATTGATGGATAAACCACAAGATGGGGACTCGGGATAATATATCAGGCTCTGGGGACATATGTTACTTATGTTCATAACGCTTGGCTAAGACAAAGGCGCATTTGAGGCGCGATGGCTTGCGTTAGAGGCACCAATTAGACAATATTGGATTGTATTGGTTTTAAAACAACCACGACTTTTAAGGGGGGATGCTAGGCGAGGAACGAACCGCCCTCCCCCTAAAAAGATCTTCGAGTCGCGAAATCTAGTAAGGGGGGACTAAAAGTTGAGATCTTGCAAGTTGAAGAAGTTATATTTTGAATTACAATTATTATTGATTATTTAATCCTAGGGGAAGACGTAGATCTTAGTCAGCCTACTGGGTTAGTGTATTGTGGGGGTATTGTAGGCGAGGTATGGCGTGGTGAGTGAGTATGCCTGAACACATATGCACAACATAGTCACGGGACTATACTTGTGCGATTGGGTGGTGTGCTCGATATTCACGGTGGTTTTAGTTAGTCCGTACAGCTTTAGAAGACAGCAGAGCATACAACGGGGGCCTCATAGTGTTATAACTTTCATAACGTCCGTCCCCGCGTCGAGAGACACACCCTGTCGAGAGACGAATTCACGTTTTAAGCATCTTAAGTCTCTCCCTCGCAAGTATATTAAAATTTGGTTAATGTGACTCTGTTCTACACCCATTTCTACACCTTATACCACTGTGCAATGAAAATATGTCTGATTTTGATCTTGCTGTCGATTATTCCGTTAGTAACGTCGAGAGCCGCCTCTACAGTCCCCCCCCCCCCGCTTAATCGCGATCATTCATGTTTCTTTGAAATTCAAAGCTATTATATGATAGTCTTATCAAAGAGAATAGTATCCCAAAGTTTGAAGACATTGTGCCCTTGGAAATATGTATTCCGAGAGTTTTGCCGCAACGAGAGAGGGCCTTGACGGTGGTAGGATATTTTAGCGCAAGTTGGCATGTATTAGCGTAAGTCAGCTTGTTTACACTGTACTGTATTCAATGGTATTGTATTTTCGCACTATGCTTCTTTAGGGTAACTGTGCGCACCGCCGAATGCTTCTAGAAGTGTCTAAACGCGGATTGTAGTAAATGATATTGATGCCTTATCAACATGTGACTCATGTGCCAAAGTTAAAAAGCCTTAGGCGCTGTGGCTTCTGAGAACTGCTCGCCCACTCCATCACTCGACCCGACCACCCTCAACTTCACTGTGCCACTTTCGCAATATTCGCTCTAATTTGGTCCTTCCTTGGCTGGAAGGAAGAGCTATCACCAAATCCTCCACCTGTTACTATTACTAGTGTTAGGATACCCGCCGATAGTACTCCAGCTCACCTCATCCTACTTACTATGATAAGTGCCTCCGGGGCCACGGACGAATTCCTTTTTCATATTCCTGACTTTCGCTACTATTGGAATACGGACTGAGCCTGGGAATATCGCAACTTATATAGACTTGATCTCTAGTAAGATTATTATATCCCGTAATAGTATTTTCTCTAGTAAAACTATTATCTCTAGTAACTACTTCTTACCTTGTAATAGTTTAATCGATAGTAATAGTTTCATCTTTAGTAAATAGTATTTTCTCAAGTAGTAATATTTCGTCTTACCTTAGTATTATTTATCTTATATAAGAGTTTATTATATATTTTCTCTTTCAGCGGAGATAATCTACTGTCGAGGTTGCAGAGAGGACCCTTAGGATTATCAGGAGGAATCGTGGATAAAACAACCAAATGACTGCAGTCAAGGTAATAAGTATCAATTGAGCGATGGGCGCGGTGTCTGATTATCGTCGTATAGTCATCTGGCTAAAGAAGACTAATCTATGGATTAATGTTCTTTAGGGGAAGTGAATATTCAGGGCGCGCCCAGGTGGTAGCATTTCAGGACGACTAATAGTCACAAGATCCAGTTATTAATATAAGTATAGCAAGTTGAGTTTATATTCGTAATTATTCTAACTGGCCAGCTTCTCCCTGGTCCAGCTGCATTCTGGTGAATCGTGTCTATTGACCTGTGTGTGTGTAAAAGAGAGAATGAGTGCCAGGAGCTTATATGCCCAGGTAGCTCCACTTATCCACGTGCTAATTCTAATACAGGTAAAAGTGCAAAAACAAAGTAAGTAATTGGTAGTCCCTTGGATCCCCACCACACTACTAAAAGATCCAAGTCTTCCTACTTAGATTTATAATATTAGCACTATCGAAGATAGCATTTATTATTAATATCTTAGAGATATGGTTTTAGTTAAAATAGCTTTATATAAGTACAGAGAAAATAGGTTAAGCTACTTATAAAGATATAGTTCCTAATTTTCTAGATTATCTAAATAAAGAGTTATTAATAATTAGTTAGAAAGTTAAGCTATCTAGCAGACTGGGACTATTAATACAAAGGGTTGACTTATTGCTGGTACGCAGAGAGGTGTGGCGTCACATGACTAACAGAAACCCCCCGTGCTGAGAAAAATAATAGATATTTTGACTTAAAGCTTTCCAAGATATGTACATATATCGAAAATTCCTATAATATTGCGTTAGTCCTCTGCTATGGCCATTTCTGAACAATCCTAACACCAGCTACCTTAGAAAATTAGAGTTGTATCGTCGTCTTCGCGCTTGATTTGTGGAGAGTCTCTTTTGATGGGGTAGCAAGACTAATCCACCACAGCACCGCCATCAAGCTTATACCATTACGAGGCTTGTAGTCCTACAGGAATACTATGAAGCATTGTCAGCATTTGTGGCTGTTGTAGCAAGCAAATACATGCAAGATTGCCGCGCAGGTCAGTACTTCCGATCAAAGCGACAAACTACTTTTGGATAGTACGAAACGACCCCACACATCCTACGAGAGTGCTGGCCTACGGCCCGTATAAAGCCTTCGCACTTGATCTAGGGCATAGACCTCTCTAGACCTTCGAAAAAACCTAAAAAATATCAAGGTATCCTCAAAAACCACGCGATTAGGAAATCCAGGTCATATGCGAAAAGTATGAGATATACCCAGTTCTGTAAATTTTGCAGAATTTAGAGTAGCTTTATTCGGACTAGCGGCAAAATTTTGCTCTAGAGTCAACTTTTTTCAGCTCCTTCTCCTCCTCTTAGCAAGCTAAGAAATACGAAGGCATACGACGTTGTTTCTGCTTATATTGTGTATTGAAACACTCATATTCACAATCAAATAACTAGTTCAAATCCATCAACAAGGGTCTGGCTAGTGCGGTTCGGCAGCTCTCCCAGTAGCGCCGGGTAACTGTAGAAGCTTCGGATTTGCCGCCGCACTTGCACATTAGCATATCCCATCGCCATGGCGGCCCCAAAACACTATCGAGATTACACAGATGACGAAATGGAGGAGTCATATATGGCGATGCTTATGCAGCAGTTCGTTGAAGAGAATGCCTACAAGTACAAAGGCCTCGAAAAGTCAACGCACTTCCGTCTGTTCTATCTCGATCCAGCCACCCCGGACTCCCCGCTAAGGAGGAGAGGAAGCCTGGTAGAGTGCAGCCTAGATAACCCTCCAGAGTATGAGGCTCTGTCATATGTATGGGGAATCGGGGACAAAGATGCAATCATAGGAATCGACGGAAGTGTCCTGCAAATTACAACGTCGCTTTCAAATGTTTTGCTGCGTCTACGGCTTCCCGATCGAGTACGCGCTCTTTGGATTGATCAGCTGTGTATCGACCAAACGAATCCGGACGAGAGATCAGAGCAGGTGCGGCAAATGGGAAAGATCTATCAGAAAGCGAAGGGCGATCTGATGTGGCTAGGTGAAGAAAGTTCGAGCAGCCGAGTTGCATTTGGCTGGGTTCGACAGACAGTCGAATTGTTTTTTCTAAAAAACACACGAGCCGCGGGAGTCGATAATATGTCAAGACAACAATATGAGGCAGTCAGGGAGACATTCTCAGAACGCCCAATATGGCGGCGTATATGGATTGTGCAGGAAGTACTCTTATCTCGCAACATTACGCTCCTATGCGGAGGAGATTCGCTCGACTGGTCCAACTTGGAAAAATTGTTGGCGACTGATTCCTTCCAGCCAACAAATATGTTCCGAACAGCCATCAACAAACTTTTGAACCATGCCTTTGTTACCGTGATATTTCTTGTTAGCTGGCGCAACAAAATACAACGGAATGTCCGGGTTCCGCTCAAGGATATGCTATACATGTTCAGAGACTGGAATGCCACGGATGAGAGGGATAAGGTGTATGGATTGCTGGGACTAGTCGAAGATATTGAAATTGTGCCTGACTATAAGAAGTCCGTCTGTGACGTATCCATTGACACTGCGACTGCTATTGTCACACAGTCGCTCAGCCTGGACTTTATCTGCAGCGATCGAATTGGGCAACTAAGAGAAGATGTTGCCACTCTACCCTCGTGGGTTCCCTATCTTGGCATCAAACATTTTCTTCTCAATGGTGCAACCGTCCGACTTTTTGATGCAAGTAAGGGTACCATGATGACTGATCAAGCCTTTACCATCCATCACAATGTTCTTACAGCGCGTGGTCGTCACATCGACTTCATCGAGTCTGTCAGTAACAGCGCCGACATTATGCTCTCGTCAAGTTCAGGATTTCACGCCCAGCTATTCGAATCTATTCCAAAATCTTGTATTCCGAAGGATGAGACGGAAGAGAGCATCGGTCGGTGGGATGCCATATGGCGTACTCTTGTCCATGATCGCAATGTGTCACTGCACAGACTGACTGGGTCGGAAGTTCTCGCCTATCGCGCGCAATTCTTCCAATGGTTCCATGCAATACTCTCTACGGGCACTCCGCCATCCACGAAGCCGCCATCAGATTTCATGATGGTGTTAGAAGCTATTAATATAACGGAGCGGCAGTTTGCGATAACAAAGAATCACAAGCTGGTCGTTTCTGCAGCTAATGCAGCGAAAGTTGGCGATGAAATTTGCATCCTGGAGACTGCTTCTGTGCCTCTGATTGTGCGTAGCATTGCGGGTAGCGAACAAGGCGAGGCATTTCATTATATTGGAACTGCATATGTGCATAGTCTGATGGATGGTGAATTGATGAGAGATGGTCAGTACCTGACACAAAGTTACAAACTGATATAGCTATACGTAAACGATATCCACGGGACGCAGGTGGGCATCCATGGACATTTCTATAAAATCATATAAATATCAAGATCGGAACTCACCTTTAGGCAGAAGTAGTAGTTGACAGCTTAGTAACTCGATATAATATAATATTCGCGACACCTTTATTATACGCTGTTGAAATACTAGTTAGTATAATAAGTATTAAATAGGATAGAGTTGAGAGATAACGATCTAGGAAGGGGGGAGTATATATAAGCGCCTAGTGTAACAGTTTATCGATAGCCTACCTGTCGAGGTAGTGAGACATATAACCTCTGCCTAGGTCTATAAAGCTAAAGAATTCATATATCTTTACTTAGGTATAGTAAGAAGTACAGACTAATACTACACATATCGAGGAGTTTAATGCTATAACTGTCGTCGAATGCTTGAGTTCTTGCATGAAACTCTCCTTTAACATCATCCAAGGTTATAGTTTACTCCTATATTGGACGTATCATTCAGTGCCCAGTGGAACGCATCTGGCTGAAAACCACCACTTGCATCTATGAACGACGATTCATACATGGCAAAAGTCATTCCATCCATATCGACCGTCGCATTCATATCATCTGACAGTGCGCAGTCTTTTATCAACAGATTTCGAGAAACCTGTTCCAGGCCAGCTTCGTTGGAAACGTTCGCGTTGAGGCTAGTATCTCTGATGACTGTTAGTTGATCACCTTCTTGATATGAACCCGCTACAAGTGTATCGGGTTGTGTGGTCACATCCCAGTTTGAAAGTTGGCGCTTGATTATGTTAATGCTTTGGCGGATTCCCGGTGTCTGTCTAGCCTCCGACTCCAGCACTTGGAGAGAAACGTTCAGTCTTGCAGCGACTTCGTGGCTCATTGACGCATCTGAATGCTTCATATCGTGGACGTTGATTGTTGCTGCCGTGTAGACACAGTAGCTAACAAGATATGTCATAACCTTGTAATTGAACGTATGTCCGTATAGGAGGAAAAGATCGTTGATGATGATTGATTGTGCAGAACAAATTTGTTTAGCATGTTGTTGAAGTTGAGAAGAGCCTGCAGCTCTGAGAAATGGTCGAAATACCAAAATAAGTAGGGTGTGGTACACAAGACTAATAATCACATATTAGACTAAGGCGCATCAAATATAAAGACCTGTCAAAAAACTTACTTCAATGACAGTATATGAGGTGGTGGGCAGTACTCGATGCATGAAATATCATCCATTCGCAAGGCGACGGGTAGTTTCGCAAACCAAGAGTATAACCTAGCTTCTATATCACGTATATCTTCCTCCTCGCAGCGTATCTTCCGGTCATTATAAACGACTGAATAGATTTGTGTGATAATCTGGAACGTCTGTCAGATATGATTCAGCAGCGAACGTGATTAGAACGTCACCTCTCCAATGCGGCAGAACTCCTTAAACGTGGAGGTATTAAACCCTGGAGTTATCGGGTACTGTTGCATACCCCCTAGACAGACCGGCGTCCACAAGTCGTCATCATCGAAATTGTCCACTGAATAGGATAAGTGACTACCTGCATATTTTAGATTCCAGGATAGCTTACACAAGTCGTCAACAGCATGTGGCATTTCGACCAAAGTGGGTGGTCTGCCGAGACATAGACTAATACTTTTGTCCCAAATATATGCACTGAAAAACAATCGTTTCCTGGCTTCTAGATCGGCTGGTGCTAAGTCTTCAAAGGCTTGCAATGAATGTGAATTCAAGTGTAAACCGACGTCTTTCATCATTCGTATTGCCTGAGTAAAACGGGTTACTTAAATCAAGTGACCTTAGGCATTGGTGTGCAACTCACCATACCAGTGTAGAGCCACCCCTCAGAGCTGTTTCCAATTGCACACTGGCGACCCCCAAGAATTAAGAGAGCTTGTATGGTTGAGATCTTAGGCTTTGGCTGAGATAGTTCTTGAACAAGAAGCGTCTTTGCCCGCTCCAGACATCCTTCACCCTTGCCCAAATGGATGAAGTGAGGATCACTCTCATCCGCATGTCTTGCAGCAAGTGCGTATATGGACATCAGGAGCAACTCCGAGTAATATGGCCCGCCCAACGCCATGTCACGGAAGAAACCTGACAGATGTAAGCCTGGATATCCTGATATACGTATAGTCGTACTGACATGGTCTATAGACGCAGTTGTGTAACGGATGCTGCCAGGTCCAATAAATCTTCAACAGCGTAGATCCCATGGCGGGTGAGATTCCCTCGTGCTCCTGCAGACCTGCGTATGCGAGAGGCTCCCAAACACGTCTTAAGAGCTCTGCATTCGAACGTAAGGTTGGTAGATCTGCAAGTCTGGCAACCTCCGAAGATTCTTTCGGTTTGCCTGCAAGCCTCTTGACATTTGCTTTATCAACCTCCAGATGGAAGCGAGATGTCGAACCATGGTAAGTTGGCTACGCCCAAGGTACGTGAGTAATTTTTCTCACATAAAGAAAGGGTGTTCTCACACTGCCTTCATCGCCGAGGCTGACTTGAGACCAGAAAATTTCCAAGTCCTCCCGAGATCTGCTCTCTTGATTACTAGCTTCAGAGTCACCCGTGTACGGGTAGGGTGGTCTCTCTAAGGCTCTGGTTACAGGCTCTGTGATGGAATTGTCTGCTATGCGATGAGGCAAAGCGCCATCCAGCTGTTTTTGCAGTAGAATGATTTTTTCCTGCGCCTGCTTTAGCTGCATTTCCACCGCTCTCTGATGTTGGTATCGACATGTCTCCTGTAGACTCCCGGTGCAGTTACTACAGCTTGGCTTTTCACCACCACACCTGACTTTCTTCCTACGACAATTCGAACAGGCGAACGCATATCGTCGCGACGGCTTCTGGGAGCCGGAGGAAGCTGTGACGGACGGCGTATGTGTGAGACCACTCTCGGAATGATTATCCATGGGACTAACGTGCACACGACTTACTTGGCGCTCGAAACAGGTACAGTGTAGGTGAGCAAGGTGCCAATGCCGATGGTTTGATATATCTCAAGTTATACCCCGCTTGGCGAGCGGAAGCTAAGACTTCAATTGGTGACTAATCATTCGGCAGGATGGGTGTTCTCCGGAATGATGCCGAAGGGATTCTCTAGTGTGGAGAGCTGTTGGCGAGTGGGGATACCTGCCTGTGACCTTTACTCGAGTACCGCCTTGTCGATCTCGAGATGATAGCGAAGGCTACGACTCCTTGGCTACTCGCATAATTATGCCTCCAGTCATTATAGACCCCAGATGCCGACCTCGAGTAACACCACAGCCCTTTGATATCACATTTTTGGAGTGAAATCTAAATTGCATTCGAAAGTATGGCCTGGTATCTTGAATTTCTTCCTTACATGATGAGTTTATTTCGAAAGGGGGAACCACGTCGCCACGAGGCACAGATATGCCAGTCCTGCAAAGAACTGGCATGTCTATCGACGAGCATCTCAACAAACGACGAGTCACCACAAGTCCTTTTTCAAGAGGCGGCCAAGCAAAAAGCAAAGGCATCCGTTTCAGCTCGGCCTGCTTTCGAAAGCCTTCCATTGATGCCAGACCACCCAAAGTCCTCATCGTGGGGATTATGGGGAAACAGTGACGAGCTTGGAACGTTGAATTTGCTAACAGAAGAGGTGGTTCGGAAGGCATCGGAAGAAATTAGGACAGGCCGAGTCGTTCCTTTGAAGTGCGTCATCTTAGATTATCAAAGGATCTGCTCTGATCATTGTTTCACTGCAGCCTGCCTTTAGATTGTCCTTTGCGTCCAATGAATCCATTGAGAAAGCAATGCGAACACCGAATAAACGCCAAAGGGCATGCGAATGATGACGAAGTTAGTTTCATTCTCATGAATTTTTCACAAATCAAAATATATTTAACGAATTAAAAACGCAGCTAGATCTCAATACCCAAAGCTCAAGTCACTGGGATGGTTTGCGACATTATCCCTATCAACAAACACTTCAATATTACAATGGTGCGACCCAGTCGGACATCTCCAGCTTCAAGCCCAATTACAAGATTGGTGTTCAAAGTGCGTTAAACGAAACCGAATTTTGTTGATACTCCCAAACATAAACTAATTCCCTTTTTGTTAGACATTGCACAGAAAGGCATAGCTGGTCGCGGCGTGCTACTTGACTGGCGGCACTATGCTCTGAAATACAAAATTAAATATTCGCCATTTGAGGCACATGCTATACCTCTATCTCAACTTCTGGAAGTTGCGGCCGAGCAGAACGTCCAATTCTGTCCCGGAGATATTCTGTTAATCAGGAGTGGTTGGCTGGAAGAATATAACAAGCTGACTACCCACGAGCAAGACGCATTGGGACGGCGCGAGAAGCGGACATTCTGTGGAGTTGAAGCCTCTCGAGATTCGATAAAGTGGCATTGGGACAATGCATTCGCTGCGGTAGCAGGTGACACGACAGCGTACGAGGCGTGGCCTTCACTAAAACCATGGGGTGTGTCAATACACGAGGTTAGTTCTCGCCTCGCTGACGCAAGATTAGCAGACTGATTTCAAGCCAGGTGTTCCTCAGTGGATGGGGTATGCCTATTGGAGAGACGTGGGATCTGGAAGGTCTTGCGCAAGCATGTCGGGAGCTTGGAAAATGGACATTTTTCCTAACTAGTCAACCGCTCAATATCAAAGGCGGAGTAGCGTCACCAGCAAATGTGATGGCAATTCTCTAAAGTGTAGATTATGATCTAGATGCTGTCTTTAGAAATTCTATGTCATTTTTAGACCTGCCAATTGGCGAATTTCCGTAATTCATTGCTAATTGACGACGGAATTCTCCATCTCTGAAGAAAACGCCGGAACGCCACAGTAAGCTAGGCTTACAAATCACACTCTGCATGGCCACCCCCTGTGGCGTGGGAATTTCCCGCCATTCCAGCGCGTCGGCATCTTTCCAGTTTGCCAAGTCTGTGGGGTAACGGACAATTCCCTAGAGCAGGTACACTAGGGAACCTTCCGTTACCCCACAATCCTGTAATGGACTGGCACGGAGAGGAATAAAATTTGGAGTGAGTAGCTATGCGGGGACGACGCAAGCCATCAACTCTTTGATCTTCGTAACGTACCTTAGTACAATGGCTATCACCATGCTATATAAGAGGGCAGTGGATTAACTGAAGCATTTCTTAATAAACTATACTCGTATTCTTACTGCTTAGAATTCGGCACTATGATCGCCCAGGCTAGATCCAGTCTCACCTTCGTTCAACTGGCCGGGCTGCTTGCAAGTACAGCGACACTCCTTTCAGTCTCCAATGCCGACACGGGAATTAGATTTGGTCATGACATTGCTCGTATCAGCTCTGAATTCAATTCTGTGTTCCCTGCCGGAAATTTCAACCGCAACGTCTCAACTACGTTCTGGCAAACATCTGTCCTTGTCAACAATTCCAATGTTCAATCCGATCTGAACCGAATTCTTAATGTCTCATTTATAGCTTATGATGACTCTTTCTACCAGGTGTGTTCCCCATCATATGTGTCTACTATTGAGATATTTTCATATTCATCTTTGTTACTAGTTGCTTGGCGTAGCTGGTTACGAATCGCCAAAACAGCTAGAAATAATTTTCAAGTTTCCCCCAAAGCCGGCCTTCGCGACACGCCAGGTCCATGATGGAACGGTATACGCACCAGAGGCAAAGGCCATATTTTTCGCAGAGCTGCATGTTCCAAGCCCTGGTTACTCTGCAGATGCAATGCCATGGGTCTGGCGTATCGACTTGTCCAACCAGTCCAACCCACAAACTACTAAAGTTTACCCTTCCCCGCAACTCACAATTCCTAACGGTGCGTACTACCACAATGGAAGTGTTTTTTGGGCTCAGGAGGGCAATTATACCAACCCGGGGGGAGTGGTCAGAATGGATCCGATCACCTTAAAAACACAAGTTGTGCAAAACAACTTTTATGGTCATCGTTTCAACTCGCCTAACGATATTGTCATTACGAAAACGGGTGCAACATACTTTACTGATGGTTACTACGGCACCGACAACTTCAATGACAGCCTGCCCGCGCTCCTCGCCAATGGTATCTGGCGCTGGGACCAGAAAACTGGCAACATCCGCCAGGTCGCCGGCGCCGCTGAGCAGGCGTTCTTCAACCCCAACGGCCTCGCCCTCAGCGCCACAGAGGACAAGCTGTACATCACCAACCGTGGGAAGACCAGTGATGATCCAGCTGGCGGGCGGACTATCTATAGGTACGATGTGACGACGGCTGGGATCAAAAATCGCGAGGTTTTCGCGTACGTCGACGCGGGGTTTCCAGACGGTGTCAAGACCGACCGTGATGGGCGGGTCTACGGTGCAGTCACTGGCGGTGTCGATGTCTTCAATGTGGATGGTATTTTGATTGGCAGGATCAAGGTCGCAAATGGGGATACTGCTGTAAACATGGTGTTTGTTGGGAATTGGCTATACATTGTTGGACGAGACAATGCGTACCGAGTAAAGCTTAACACCACAGCCGTGTAGGGTTGAACTTGGTGCCAAGTTTACTTAGCGATTAGGAAAGACAAGTCCCGGTGATTAAGTTGTAGCCGTTCAACATTTCAAGCCTTAATACTTCTTACAAGTTCACCTGCTAACCATTAACGTGATGTATAATCAGGATAGCAGTGTTGTATTCAGTTTTTATGAGGCAAAGCGGATGATTAGAGGCATTGGGGCTGAAACAGCCTTAACCTATTCTCAAACTTTAAATATGTAAGAAGTCCTTGTTGATTAATTGAACATAGACATTCGAATGTACCAACACTAGTCGGCCATTTTTGATAAGCAGAACTGGCGGATGCGGGATGAACCGAACAATGTGTAATGGGCAACTTCATGCCGTGATATATTGCTATTTCAACAGACATGGTGTGAGGATATGCATCTATACCAGTTCATCAACACATGCACACCGCATCACGGAGTTGAGCTTGTTCCAAAATATCCTAGTGCACATGCTTCAGAAATTACTGGTGCGAATGAAGAGCAGCTGGATATTTCGCTATGCGCAGATGAGCAGATATGTATGGCGCATCGTCAGCGCAGCAGCAAATGATAAAGTTGAATGACTCAAAAACAAAGAACGTTGTGACATGAGATACCCAAGTGCCTTAGTTGCTGGCATCCAAAACATAAACATAATCAAATCCATTCGGCCTTATCGCTCCCCAGCGGCTTGGGCATGATGTCCCAACCAGGCATCGCCCTTTCAACTTGAGCGGAGTGACGTACAGCTTTCAGCTCACCGAACCCTGACATCTGCGTTTCGAGATACTCTGGGATCTGCTCCGACACGGTGATGTCCTTAACCGCAAAGCCTTCCTTCCCAGGGAATTGTCCCAATGATCGCAAGTACTTCATGGTCCCAGCTAAACTCACATTGACCTCCCAGCTTCCTCCGATTGCCGCCTTCTTATAGAGGGCCGCATTGATGCCTGCTGCCAGGAAATAACCTGCAGCGTGATCAAGAGCCTGGCAAGGTGTTGGTCGCGCTGGCTCACCTTCTCCGTAATGCTCAGCTTCAGAGACGTTCATTCCAGAGCAAGTTTGGACAAGGCTATCAAATCCACGGTTCCCAGACCACGGGCCTTCGGTCCCGTATGCGGACATATTCGCATATACGACCCCCTGACCCAAAGCAGCGACTTCTGAAGGACCAAAGCCTCGGGCGGCGACACTGCCAGGCCTATAGCCTTGGATGAAAACATCCGTCTCTTTCGCCAACTCACGAAGGGTTGACCGATCAGATTCGGACCTCAGATCAAGCTGCGTTGTTCGCTTACCTCGCGCAAAGTCTCGATCCATTGTTGGAAGATCAGGCAGATGAGGCGCGGTAACCCACAAGACATCGGCGCCGTGTGCTGCAAGTGTTTTGCCTGCAAGTGGCGCCGCAATAACCCTCGACAATTCCAATACACGTAGGCCACGGAGAGCACGATCGTTGCCGGAACGAAGGCGTTTAGGAAGACCTGGAGGCCCTGGATGAATCTGGCGGACGCTTATCGGGAAATTTGGAATTGCGCGGGCGGCAGGCAGAACGTCCCACTGAGCATAACTTCGGAGCGCAGAGATGACAAGCTTACTAGAAAATGCTTCCCGCTCGAGATCGATTGATGCCCATTTCGTCGCTGCAACGGCTAAATCTTCACGCGTCGCATTTTGCTCGCAACCCAGTAGGGCCAAGGCGCCTTGCTGATGGTTGGGGAACGAATCGTGGACGCGCACGTACCCGTCCGATGTTTTGTGCAGGCCACCAATGGGACCCCACGGCGATGGCGCAGGCTTCCCATCTAGAACATAGAGTCTCTCAGATTTGAATTCTGTGACTGCGTGTTGAAGAGGAACGGTGACACGAGGCACTTCGAAGGAGTTGCGTACGGAGTGCACTAGTGCCGCTGTCAGTGCTGAGAGAGCGATAGAGGATTGAGCAATATGGGCAATCTTGAAAGAGGATGGCAAGCCAAGGCCACTTCCTGTAAGGTTCAAAGATTCTAGAGCCGACTTGGGAAGATCAAGGCCAGACCAAATGTGCGAAACACTATCGAAAGGGCGGAATTGAGATCGGTCCGGTATGGCAGACAGAGACTTGGCTTGTGCCGCATGATTTGAGTTAGTCTCATTAGGTACTGCTTGACCTGCTATGCCACTGGCCGAATGACTTTTTGCTGCTGGAACCACAATATTCAGAAGAGGTGCGTGTTGCTGGGTTCCAAGGGTATCAAGTTCGCCGACAGAGCCCTGGGCATAAGGTCTTTTGATGGTACATTTCCATGCGAGGGCTGGTTTAAAGTACATATTTGCAATGATGTCGGAATCTTTAACGCGATAGAGTTTCTTGATCGTGGCGTTGGTCAAAAGCTCGGCGCTTTTGACTCTCTCATACGTTTCCGTATCGTCAAACATAATATCGAAAGTCATTTCGAATGGTCCCGAATTTTTCGATCTCACGATCTTAGAGATGTCCTGCATTCGTGCACATTGTTGCGGGACAACTTTATGAACTTCATTTATGTTAATAGTCTCGCAGTGATTAGAGAGGATGTAGACGTACCTAATGCTGTCAACGTAGTTTTCTCTATCGTGCTGAAGACTTCGTTGGAGAGAAATATCGGCTCACTCAGAGGAGTCTTTGTGCCAATATTATGGAAAGACACTGGGAATAGCGATACTTGCTCTCCCGGCACCAAATTCACCAAGTGGTAAAGACTAAACTTGAAAACTGGCCCAGCTGCTTGCTCATGGGGAGACAGAGGAGAAGCAAAATTGCCGGTAGTTGCAAGTTGTCCTTTGTAGGGCCAGTGTAAAATTGAGGCTCTCGCATTATTTGCAATCGTGTAGGAGAGATCTTGCGTAGGAGCGACAACTTCACCCAGGATGCCAATTTCGTGTCCGGGCGTAGGGGTAGGCTCAAGAGGTCCCATAACACCATCTTTCCCATAAATGTGGTAGATTAGGCGGCAATCCTCTGATTTATCAAGGGAGGGAAAGAGACCTTGGGTGTACTCGCGAATCTCGGCAAGAAAGTTGTCGATTTGGTTGATAAGAATGGGATCCCGAATGCCTCCGATGAAGATTGTACGGTATCCAAGGTGCTGAACTCCCTCAAGCTTAATTTGATATGTGCTAGATTCTTCAAAGACCGCTCCACTAACCCTGACCGTCTTTTCTGTGAGCTGTACATATTGAGCGTCATCAAGGGTGAGAATGCCTCCTGGTCCGGGCAATCTATCCGGTCTTGTTTTCTCGTAAAGTGTATGTGAGGCAACGGATAACGGCGTGCAACGCTCTAATGGCGATAGTGGAGTCAAATCAAAAGAGTCCTCACGCATGGTGGCAATCATGGATCGACCTTTAGGAATAGCGCAAATACCACCGCATTCCATAATTTTCCCCATGTGCCACGCCACGCCCGTAGAAACCCCTTTGGAAAGGCAAAATGCAGCATAAGGGGCAGGATCGTAGGATCGGCCACCAAGAACTATATCTGGATCACTTTTCAAGGCTTCAAGATAGCTAGAAAGATTAGTCCTAAATATATTGTCTGACGACCTCATAGGAACTTACGGTTCCGCTCCCATCTGTGCAACAACATCCACCGCCAAATCAACCGCCTCTATAGTCAAAGGCTCAACCGGTCCGCAGGGGCTAACCTGTGATTCTTTAATGCGCGACTTGATCAAGTTGCGACTTATTCCAGCGTCAATGGTTGCTATTTTGAAGTCGAAGCCATGCTCGAGTGCAATTTCCAACACAATATCTAGCATTTCCTTCACATGCTTCGTGCTCCCATCACCGCCAACAGAGCCAATTAAAAGTTTCACTTTGCGAAAGTATACCGCTTGCAACATGGGGGTGAGATCTCGGATGTAAGATTCTCGGCCACAAGTCATCTTATTCAGGCCCAGTTTGTACGGTCCGCCATCTGTCGAGCTTTGGTTTGTCAGAAATATACTTGCTCTTCAACGTAGACGGAGCTGTTTAATACTCACCCACTATCTACAATTATTGCAGCTGGCTTGTATTTGTTCATGCCATACCAGAAGTGCTCCAGACGATAGCCATAGCCAAGCATGGCATTGGGGGTAAGGATGTTGAAGTCTGGGACAGCCATATTGCAAAATTGCAAATACTAGGAAACGATATAGAAATATTATTTGGCGAGTGTGTAGACCCCGGATATTGTTCTTATTTTGGGGGAGGAGCGTCTAGAACTCCAATAGGAGAAAAGGGGGGAAAGAAGAGTTGATGAGCTAAGCAAAGTTGGCATCTATTGATAAATATACCAAGTAATGAAAACACCACACCACATATGGGTGGTAGGGAGGGAGGGCTTAAGGTTTAATTTCAACGAGTACTCTCTCCTCATTGGCTTCGCACTCTGTTCTCTACATCTATGGTTGACGAGGGCTGTCCTTCCCCGCACAGCCTTAGCCCGAAATCCTTATCAGCCCGCGTCTCACATTCCTTACCGCCCCCTTTCAATATACTCCGTAAGGTTCCTCAGCTCATTTCGGCATGATACCGAAAACGAATCGTTATTGTACCTCAGGCATGCCGTTACGGCATCTTTCCGGCCCTAGCTAGATTTCATTGCTTCCTGAATTGTGGTGGCAAACGGGGTTTACCCAACCGCTAATGAGATGTCTCGTGCTCAGGGCACATCACCACCACTGCTCTAGCGAGAGTTTGCGTTTCCCCATACCCCATTTTTCTCCTGCGCCCCATGCCTTGTGTGCCGTAGATTTGACTTTGGACTTGGACTTGGGCTTGAGCTTGGACTTGGCGGTTCTCTCTCTACCAAGACATGCTATCAATTATAAGGTCGACTCGGAATACAAAAAGAGTCAGCCCGCCATTCACCAAATTCGAAGCATCACTACCTAGGTATCTTTCATACCTGCTTCTTCTTTCTCCATTTCAAAGAGCAAGTGCAGCCTAGTCTCAACTTTTACCCTTGCTACCATGGACACTGAGAAGCAAAACATGTCTACCTTGCACAGTGAGTCCGTTGTCAAAAAAGAGGAAGATGGACCTATTTCCTACTCGCCAGAGCAGGAGAAGTTGGCCGTACGCAAACTTGACTGGACTCTCATTCCCCTGTAAATATATAACCTCCCTGTGGCTTAACTCAATTCTTACCAAATTAGTCTAGGAATTCTATACCTCGTTTCCTTCATCGACAGAGGAAATATTGGAAATGCGTGAGACACCCACTTCCTGATCGTCGAATTTCTTGACTGATATTACCGTCACAGATATACCGCCGGCCTAGGCTCTGCCTGGAAGATTACTTCTGATCAATATGCTTGGATTGTGCAAATATACTATATTGCATATATTTGCTTCCACTGGACAATTTTGTTGTGGAAGGTCGTTCCTCTTCCTGTAAGTCTCGTATTCACACCATCAATAGACGATTTTCCTGATTTTCGATCTAGCTCTGGGTTATGATCATGGCTATTGGATGGGGAGCAATGAGTATGGTTCAAGCCGCCACGACCAACTTTGCAGGTATCATGGTGACCAGATTCCTGATCGGTGTCTTTGAGGCTGGTTTCGCGCCAGGTGTCGCGCTGTACTTGTCTTTCTTCTATCATCGCCGAGAGATGGGCCTTCGCTACGGGCTCTTCATATCTTTCTCACCGCTTGCCAGTTGTTTTGCCTCTGCAATGGCATTTGGTATTGTGCAGGCCAAGACATCAATTGAGAATTGGCAGCTCCTTTTACTTGTTGGCAAGTCTTTCCCAAGAGTATAGAAAACAATCCATCTGCTGACTATTTTACAGAAGGGGCGCCTACCATTCTCATCGCATTTCTTGCATACTTCTATTTGCCTGACGGACCGGGTCACTGCCCAACACTGGATGCACGACAAAATGAGATTGTCGGAGCTCGTGCCCGCGTAGGCCGTGGACACGAAGAGGAAGGCAAGCTCAACTTTAAACAAGTCTTCTCTGCGTTCTTCGACTACAAGAACTACATCCAGGCTGCCATTATCTTCAGCCTCAACGTAAGTAAATTTATCTTGCCAAAACACTTTAGCGGCGGTCACTATCCATCATACTTACATCCTGTTTAGACCGCGTTTGGCTCCCTTCCTGCTTTCCTTCCAACAATCATTCAGGCCATCGGCTTTACATCCATTAAAGCACAGGGTCTCTCTGCCCCTCCCTATCTACTTGCATACATTACGTGTCTAGGTAGTTCATTCCTCTCTGACCGTGTTGGTAACCGCGGCTTCTTCATCACCGGCTTTTGCTGCGTAGGTGCTGTCGGATATCTCTTGCTAAACGCTGTTCATACTACTGCTATCCGTTACTTTGCCTGCTACCTCGTGTGCGCCGGTGTCTTCCCCGCAGTCGCACTCACCTTCACCTGGGTAACCGACAATCAGGGTTCTGCCTCGAAGCGTGGTGCCGGCCTGGCCATCTTTGGCATGATCGGTCAGTGTGGCCCTATTTTAGGTGCCAAGCTGTTCCCTAAGTCTGACGGTCCGTATTATTCCAAAGGTATGGCTATTTGTGCCGGGTTGTTACTAGGCGCTGCTGCGCTTGCGCAGATTCTGAGCTTGTCTATGCGTTTGCAGAACAGAAAGAGAGATAAAGACCATGGAAAGGTCGACGTTGATTCTGTCCCGGATGATATTACCGATCTCGGTGATGCTCACCCATCGTACAGATTCATCTTGTAGGCGTTTTAAAGATTGGCACAAGGTTCTTGTATGGTTATATTACGTGCATTCTAGGAATAAAGTCTGTCGTAAAACTCAAGATTAAATAACTGTTTAATTTCATTTATTCCTTACCTATTACATTACAAACTCTTATTACAAGAAGTTTAACTTCTAATTAACTATAGAGATTTCAATTACCTAGATAAGAAAGGAGATTTTAATACTTTCTTTTCTAACGATTAACCCCTATTAGTAATTAATACTATTAAATACAAAAGGTAGATGTTACAAGGTAATTATATTGCAGTATTAAGATGAGAGTTCAGATAGACCAAGTATATATAGACTATATTAATAAAACTAAACGCTGAAGTTCTAAGAAATGAATATTTTCCCGAGAGCTTGCAAATTTGTCAGCGGGCAATGGAGCAGGTGAATCCGTACCAGTCACCTAAGAGGATGGGGAAGGGAGCAGGTTTGGGACCCCTGGCAGTGGCTAAGAAAGGGGGCCTTTTTGGGCTCCCCATTAAAAGTTGACGATTTCTGGTGAGATGGGTGAGCAGACCTGAGCAGACTTGAGCCGAAGCTAAACCATGCCTGAGCCAGCCTGAGCAACGGCGGCGCGCGTCACGTTAAATAGAGAGTTGGGAAGTGTCAAGATTTCGGTATTGAAACAAAGCTTTCAACAGGCAGCTTGTAATAACCTAAGAGCCTTTGCGAGGTGGGACGCTGGTATATATGTCTTTCTCAATATCAGTTAATCCGCTACCTTCTACAGTTTTGTTGCATATCGCACTTTTTTCAACCGGGTAGTTCCCGATCCCCAATCCTCCCCGCCATCACTCTCGCGTTCCCCGTAGATTTTGCAAGTGCCTCCCATGTATATCTTTTTCAATATCAATCGATTCACTACCAGCTCTAGAGTTTGTTGCACATCGCACATCGCACTTCCTATCCTCCGTCCTCCGTCCTCGTTCCCCCTAAATCCGCACCTTTTCTCGAGGTAGACGGGGTAATTCACTACCTGCTCTAGAGTTTTGTTGCACATCGCAATCGGCGGGCGGCGGATTTTGGATCGGGAACACCGGGGTTGAAAATGTGATATGCAACAAAACTCTAAACCGAGGAACGTCAGAGGATCCTCGGCAATTTGACATGACTCCAGGAGATGGGTAAGAGACAACAAAACTCTGGCGGGCAGTGAATTACGCCGTCTACCTCGAGAAAAGGCGTGGATTTATAGACTCATAGAGAACTAGGAGCTGGGAGCAAGAGAACCATCTAGGATTTTCACGACACAAAGCGACTCACATACGCATTAGGGAATAGGCTAAGCCTCGGAATTACGAATACTTCTGGCTTGTCTTAGTCACTGCTTTTACGACCATCGAGTCCCCCCCAAATGCCACCACCCTGGGTGAGCCCTGATTATTGACCTATATAGAGACTTCACCATACCATGGTGTGGTGCTCTCCATGACGATCTGACGATCCGACGATATAGCGACTCTACGAGGGGAGTTCTACTCGCACCATTTAACGCTATTCCCTTTCTCCCTTGGCTACGTACTTTGTTAGTTGTTTTATACCCTCTTTACTCCTTGCCTTTCAGAGGGTCCTTCCTGTTCCTCGACACTGGGTCTCAGGTGACATATCAACAAAATTTTAGCAGGTAGTGAATCAGCCTAGTAGAGTCGCAGAAATGTATGAGCCGGTAGCCAGAAGGATGAGCAGCTGGATGGATGATCGATGAGCAGGGAGCTCGATACGATGTACAACAAAACTTTAAATAGGTAGTGAACTATAAGTCTGCATTGAGGAAAGGGGGTGGATTTACAGACTCGTAGAGAAGTGGGAGCTGGGAGCTGGGAATGGGTTCCATTTGGGTTCCATTAGAGTTCCATCTAGGTCCCATCTAGGTAGGTTCCAGGTGCGACGTGCAACAAACCTTTCGCAAGTAGAGAAGAACAAGCTGGTAGAGAAGGGTGAGCTGGAAGCTAGATGCGATATGCAACAACACCTCAGGTGGTAGAGAGGGATGAGCTGGAAGCTAGATAGATGAGCAGGTAGAGATGGATGAGCTGAAAGCCGCATGGGCGATCAACGATCAGGTCGACCATCAACGATCAGGAACGATCAACGATCAGGAACGGTCAACGATCAAGATGCGATGTGCAACAAAACCCTCAGTCAGGTCGATTAATGATCAGGGTGATCAGGATGCGATGTGCAACAAAACCCTAGTTAGTAGAGAAGGATGAGCAGGTAGGATGAGCAGGTAGCCAGATGCGATGTACAACAAAACCTTAGCAATTAGTGAATGTAAAATTATAAGCCACAATGAGAAATAGCGGGGAACCTCGAGAAATTGAGCCATCGCTAGGAAGGACGAAATATGCGACATGCAACAAAACTATACCATGTACTTCTAGGCGGTGAATTGACCTATATCCGAGACAAGGCATATAAGTCTTGTAGCCTTGTTTCTTCGACTTACTTTTATCTCAATATTTTCCTTTTCGCTCACCAGTAACATCAACGCTTTCCAACCTTCCGAGGTTAGCTGAGCTTTCTTCCACTCCATGTCGAATGGGATGGACATATTGTAGGCTAGGTGTGCTAGATGCTAGCTTTTTTTTATGCCAGAGAAGTTGATCTTAGATTTTGCTGGGCCCCATATTACTTGCGATGGATAGAGGGCAGATGGATATCATGAGAGGGAACGAAGTTGTGGATTGCAGATCCCCTGCCTTGCGTTTCGTCCATGGTCAGCACAGAAGATGATTTGCGAATCAAGTAAATAGGATTGCAGGATTAAAGGGTACGAACCATTTGTGGCTTGGGGTCAAGTGATGCGCGTTCAGAAAGGGGATAAGGCAACTTGAGACCGAGTAGTCTACACTCTCTCGGCATTACATGAAAGAGACATGACTGTAACGGCTAATAAATGTTAGACTATATGTACTCATTTAAGCCTTAATCGATCTAGGACCACGCAGTGCCATCTCTCATGTCTGGAGCCTTGATTATATCAGTAGAGATGGAAATATGAACGCCCTACCAACCTAATTAGCGGAAACCGTTAAAAACCACTTCAAAGACATTGAACAAAATGACCCCAAGGCAAAATCCCAATGGGAGCGCTCCACAGCTGTAATAATGCAACATTTGCGGCAATATAGGTTTTTTTTTGCTACGTTTGAAGAAACACCATACGTAGCGAAGTAGCGGTATGTGTAAGACCTCCATGCTATGAGGAACATATATCGTGCCCAACCAATGACTCCAGAAAAATGCTCCATGCCATGCAATGCTCAGTCATCAAAAATCATCATCCTCCTCACTATCCTCAATTCGCCGCTTAACGATATCTCGGACTTCCTCGTGGATAAGCTCACCAAGACTGGCACTATCCGCTAGGATATCCCGTGCTTCTCCGGACCCGACACTCATGTCTTCCTTAATCAATAGCACCGCGACTTCAGGAACGACAACGGACTCGACAAACCCAGCCACACCTCGAGCAGCCATGAGTCTATCCTTTACAACCCTCTTCTTAAGCAAAGGGGTAAAATCATGCATAATATTCTCTGACATAACACGTAGACCACGGGTCCCATAATATCCTGGTGTAAGATTTGAGGTCATCTGTAGCAAATTTCGGTCTTTTCCTGTCTGAACCTTCTCATCTAGCATAGTACGGTAATGCGATTCACCACCATTTATCAGGTCTTTAATAAACGAGCGATGTTTGGCTATTCGAGAGTCGAGGCTTTTCCAGTCGATTTCAGGATAGCCTTGAGCTTTGCAGGTAGCTCGGGCAGTCTTTCTTTGGTGAGATAGGCAGAATTGCTCTTGCTTGCGGGTATTCATATGGCTCAACTCCTCCAGATCGGTAGGGTCAACAAGCTCATTGCACATGGGACAACGGGGTTTTTGGGTCTGATTTGCAAAATCATCACTCTCCAGTAGGCTTGTAAGAACAGGAGGTCGGTCAGCGTTATCTTCCGTCCGAATGGGCCCTACGAGCTCATCTATCTCGCTGTGAATCTTGAAAGAGGGCAATTGCGTGAGGGGCATCTCCTCCACTTTGGGTTTCCGTCGCGATCTTTTGGTTCTCGTAGGTGAGGGTTGGCCAGGAGCTGGGCCTAATAGCTCGTCCGTAAACAAATCATCTAAGGAAGGTACTTTGAATAGAGCCCCGGGTGTTTCGCTCCTTTTCAAGGGACTGGGTGTGAGGGTGCTGGCGATAAATCTTTTACTGGATCCTGGAGTTGAAGGGGTCCCTGGCACATCCGAATATTTAAATAGCTTCCTATCTTCTGCTCCAGATTTCTCGGGGCTTTCAAAATCCGTAAGAGTAGATATTGCTCGGAAACTCTTCTTTGGAGAGTCGTCGGAGCTTTCTATCTAACATTAGTTAAATTCCTCATAGAAATTCCGTCGGAACCAACAGACCTTCGGGCATGCTTGAAGACTTAAATGCCGCAGATAATACATCTTTCGCCTTTCCCCCATATGTTGGAGTCCCACTCTGGCTAGACTGGCTTGAGCGAAATGTTGGCTTTGTCCTTGGTTTCTTGAACTGCACACGTCCAAAAGAATCCACCATTCCCGTCCCAAGCTCCTGGCATTTTCTCTTCGGACTACTCAAATCACTACTCTGTGATGAAGCTATCTCTTTTCTTCTTGGACTGCTTCGGGTGTTTTTCTCTGCGCGAGCTCCGTTAACAGTTACCTGTCCAAGCTTGCTACCGCGAGCGCTTTTGTTCTTCGAGGATGCTCTGTCCGGTTGCTCTGATGCTCTTTTTCTGAAATTCGTGGGCATAATATTCGCTGTTCGTGCTAGGTCATCTTCGTCTGACGAGGTTCCCGGGCTCTGGGGTGGTCCATAGATATCTTTGTCAGTTGCAGCGAGCTTGGTTGGCACCGAGCTTGATGTACTGCTAACAATTTTCGGCCCCTTGTTGCCTGCGCTGCCTGGCACAGGAGACATATTGAGAGTGTTGGAAGTGATTGTAGTAGATTTTCGCCCTCTACATAGCCCAATGCGCCTGCCTTTCTGGTTCGGTTTGAGGACGAGGATGGAGGGGATCATGAGGGGAGAAAGTCGATAGCGGCCGTTCCCAAGCTAGGAGCCCCTACCACCAATACGGCTAGGCGCAAGGGGAAAACATGCAACTATCTATTTTATATTGTTATATGCCTATTGTATTAGAAATGTCAACATAGGATCTTCTTAAGAGGAGATCAGACGCGACAAGGGAAAAAGATAACGACAGATGGAAATGCTGGACATAATGGTTGTAGGATAAATAGCAATTGACCAGTAACTTACAGGCAACGATCTCGTTTTCCGAATCTCCAAAGAGCTGCAAATGTTTCCTAAGATAAATGAGTACTATACTCAGCACATTCGAGGACGATGTTAGGCGTACTTAGTTATGATGACCATGAGCTCGGCATACACGATACGATAGCTCGGAATCGCACCCCTGCAAAACGGCTGCCCGCGTCGCGTTCCTAGCCCGAGCCGCTGTCATGAAGCAGGTCACAATTCACTCGCCCTTTTCTCCCCGGTTTGCTTCCACAACTTCAATTTCCAGACACCTGAAGATGACCCTCAGCAGGAAGTACGCGGGGTTGCCAGATCTGGTATGTATTTTATGCGAGATCTAAGTCCATCTGCAACTACAACTACCTTGCTAATTAAGACTGCGTTAGGACTCTGCACCAGATATCTACGAAACTCCTGAATTGACCGACGACAACTCCACCGCTCCAGTCAGTTATTGTGCGAATATAACTATCTGATCTCTTGCTGATCAGTCTACAGACGGGCAGAGCACATTCCGAATCTACTTCATCCTCCTATAAAGATTTCGACGAAGAGGAGGACGACACCCCTGGAATTTCCCGTTCACGTCTACACCCTGATGAAGCACGCTCCCATTTCTCGCCCGCGCGGGTTGATGCTCGCGATGTAGACTTTTCCGATCGGGTCACTGCTAAGCGGAAATCATACAAAGCTTCCTCGAGACGACAGAAACTCCGCGAGGATGGCACAGTTACAGAGGAGTATGGCGATTTTAGTGATGAGGAGGACGGAGAGAGTCTGGAACGCAAGGTTGCACGACTAAAGAGGGAAATCGAGGAGGTGAAAGAGGAGTTTGGACGGAGACAAGCCGAGAAGAAGGACACAACCACTGAGGATGGCAAGGATCTTGAACCAGATGTTACATCTCTCACCAAAATGCTCAATGGCATATCTACGAATGATGGAGGAGCTCGTGTGAGCGCTAGCGCCAAGCTTGCTAAGGATCTTGGAACTGGTATTAAAGCAAATGGACCACCACATACTTCTCAAGGCACTGGCGAACCTGCCACCTATACCGTTACATACGCTCCGACATACCAACAAAGTCACGCTTTAGCCAAAGCAGCTGACTTTGATGGACGGCTAGCGCTCTTGGAAAAGGCTCTGGGTCTCGACCCCATAGCTTTAAACTCGAATGGAACCCCAAAGGCAATTCTACCCACACTCGACACCCTTCAACGACAGGTGTCACTTATCTCCGAATCTACGCCCTCATCTCTAGACAATATCAGCCGAAGAGTTCGGACACTAACCCAGGAGGCTGAGAAGCTACAAGAATCTCGGAAAGCAGCCAAATCTGCTCAAGATGCCTTACGAGAGGGAGGCGGAGACTTGGCTCCGGAAGGAGAGGAGGATGCCGAGCAAACAGCCAAGATCCATGCCTTATATGGTACACTCCCAACTATTGAGAGCTTGGCACCACTTTTACCACCTTTGTTAGATAGATTGCGCTCCTTACGAGCTATCCATGCCGATGCCGCTACAGCTAGTGAAAGCTTGGATGCCGCTGAGAAGAAACAAATGGGAATGGCTGAGGAGATTAGCCAATGGAAAGAGGGATTAGAGAAAATGGAGATTGCTCTGAAGCAGAATGAGACTGCTCTAGGCGGAAACATGAAGGTTGTGGAAGGCTGGGTGAAGGGCCTAGAACAAAAGATGGAAGAGCTGTATGGTGCTTGAAAGTTAATTATGTTTGATTGCCCTGTATTAACGATACCCAACGAAGATTTAGCGGTTTCTATTGTCAATTGGTTGCTTATTATATTTTTGATAAAGTGAGAAACTTAGTGTGTCTCGTCACGATAACAATTATTATTAGAGGGTTATACCGGTGTGATTATGGTGCTGCTTTTCAAACATTGGCCTACCCGTACTATATCGTGCGACGAGTAAGTCATTTTAGATAATTTACAAGAGTCGCTGTCAATGGAGCTTCAAGCAGCTTGGACGTCGTCCGAAGTCCAGGTCAGGTCCAGGTCGCGAACACGGCGATCAATGTAGAGGGTCCCATTTCGTAATGGTCGTGGATGCCTGAAAAAAGGGGTTAGAAAGAATAGGCGGTTAAGCGCAATCTAAGCGCGCAAACAGCGCAAACTACGTGCAAACAGCGCAAACTACGTGCAAACAGCGCAAACTAAGCGCGCTAACGCCGAGAGCCTTAGGGCATTAGGCCTCATTTTTGTGGGTATTTAAACTCCCTCCAGCCATGCAAACTTAACCCTGCTCAATCCACAATCCACCCGCCANCCCCATCCCCATCCCCATCCCCATCCACATCCGCATCCGCATCCCCATCCGCAGTCATGGCATCTGTTGCTGTTGCCACTCCCTCGCCCAAAAAAACCCCCGTCGTTCGACACAAAAGTGCTTCTCCGTGGCGTATTGCCCGATTCGGCCCCTACCCGCCAACCAACCCGCCAACCAACCCTCTCATCCCTGTGCTTCCGTCCTTGGCTCTCGCACCGTCGATCCCGAATCCGATTTATCAAGCTTCATCATCAGCCGAGCAGAACAACCCGCAACGACTTCCAGAGAAAGTCGTCCAGCACTCATTGTCCTTCAGCCTCCTGGAAAATGGAATTCCTCGCGACCCTAGAGAAGAAGAACTTCCTGAGCTCCAAAGGCTGTTTCCGACCCTGAGAAATGTGTCCTTTCAGCACCCCTTCTTGGTGTTACTCGTTGAAAAGCTCCCAGAACACCCTTGGCCAACAATTCTTGCCGGTCTGCCATTGTGGCTCGCAACGACTGCTGAAGGCCGGCCCCCTGTAAACATCGGGTCGGTGGCCCGCTCCAATCAAAGGTTCAACGTGAATGGCAAGATCGAATACTACAAGACTCCAAACGAGGCGACAATACTGGAAATATTTGAGCTCGTGAATGAGAAAGGAGCCGGCGTTAACCGAATCACTTGGGATGGATGCGGGTTTCATGCATTTGGGAACCAGGCGCCGGGACAAGGCTGGCAGAATCGTCTTCCAAGTCGCATCAACAATTTTTTCATTAGTTACACCTGGACCAAGTCAACTATGGAAGAACATGCATTGCGGATGAAGGTTCCCACAATGGACGCTACAGATGACACTCGATATCCGCGGGACCAGTTGCGACCTGGCATCATGATTGCTGGTTTTCAGAACAATATGAAGGACGGACTTGGGACAACTGCAGGAGTTTGTGTGGAATCCCCGACTTCGAGCAAAAAATTTATAACTGTTGCTGCACACGGTTTCACTGCTAGCGTGGGCGACGCAGTTTTCCACCCCCGAGTTGCCCTTTTGAACGGAAAACCCGATCCTAGATATCAGATAGCTACGATCGAGAGGAAGTTCGGGGATACGGATATCGCACTGGCAGAGCTGGAACCAGACATTCGATACTCTGCAGAGACCTTTACTGATCCTCAACCTGACCAACCACAGGCGCAACCATTCCGAAGCTTAAAGAACCCAGCTGATCTCAAAGTATTCGACATGGTATACATGAACACCCCAGTCAATGGACTATGTCAAGGTCAACATATAGCAACTGACTGGGCGCTTGGTTTTGAAGCGACTGATGAGGCTCCGCAAGAAAGAAAAACGTACTGCGATATCTCACAATTCAGCTACTGGGGAAATGGAAGTGATATTTTTTTCGAAGGTTGTTGTGGGGGAGTGATTTGGAATGATGATTTTGATGTACTGGGACAATTTCGTTTCCAGGAAAAGGATGGCGCGAGGTTTGCGTTCTCACCTAGCTTCAAGATACTGATCGACCTCGGCTATAAGTTGTCATCTATCTGACATCAATGGGCTAACCAGGGATAATGCGAGCACTAGGCTATGGGGAGGAGAGAATAGGATGGCGAGATTAGCTTGCGGTGTTTTTCGGACGTATTTGCACAATAATCAATCCAATCGTTGACATTCTACACTGTGTTTTCTCCTACTTGCTAGTGCCTTCACCATTCATTAGCTTATAAGACGGGGTACACCTGTTATCTCATTTGACGGTGGCATTTGTTTCATAGACCCAAACGCCTACAGCACGGGCCGCGGAGAAAAATCATGACCTGTACTTTGTATACTCCGTACGCGTTGATTAGCCCCTGAGGCCTGCAGCGATAACAGATAGACCAGTCGGCGGTGAAGTTCTGCTGACGTAGGAGGTATCCCAGTACTCCTTAATAATGCCAACTCCGGCCAAGTGCCCAGCGATGCCAGTTACGTATACGACCAAGCTATCCTTTCGTCTATATAGGCGCAGACATTCCAAGCCATCTGGCAAAATAATATTTAAATTTTTTGCCCCTGATAGACTCGAACTCGAGATGTAAAAAAGAATAATGTAAGATACAAATCTGTCCCCGTCCCCAAATGGCAACCATATCCCCACGCTTTCACCCGCGCTGCGAGTACCGAAGTTAACAATGGGGCACGCGACAGATCCCCACATATTACATTTTAAAGCGTGGTAATGAAGTTGAGGATACAGAGGAAGACATAGATTTCCCCTCTCTCATACACACCGGAGGATCAAGGGCGCAGATATGGCATCATGGTCGGGACAACCTCATATCAAGGGCTCGAGCGAGGCGATGCGGATGGCGCTATTGACATTCTCGCTCGTGGGATTACAGTGAGTGATTGCACCGTGGGAATAGGTAGATTTCTGGCGATGGATGGCTAATAGAAATGCTTGTTGCGCAGATTTACGTGGGGAATTGAATTGACCTGTAAGTCCTCAATTGCCACATTTACGTTATTCCAAGGGCTATTTTCTAACAAGAATCCCAATGCAGACTGCACACCCTACCTCCTCCAACTCGGTCTCACGAAATCCAAAACCTCTCTCGTATGGATAGCAGGCCCTCTTTCGGGGCTGATAATGCAGCCTATCGTCGGGGTCATCGCCGATCGATCGACGTCGAAATATGGGAGACGGCGGCCGTTCATGGTCATAGGATCCTTCGTTGTCGGACTGTGTCTTCTAGTTCTTGGGTGGGCGAAGGAAATTGTTGGATATTTCGTCGAGGAGGGAGAGTTCAAGAAGGAGTGTACGATTGTAGTTGCTGTGCTAGCGATTTACGCGGTTGATTTTGCTATCAATGCTGGTGAGTGCTGGTCGTGCTGGGATATTGATCAAACATTGGGCTGATTGCAGGATAGTCCAGGCGTGCTGTCGAAGTTTGATTGTCGATACTCTTCCGATTCCTAAGCAACAAACCGGAAGTGCATGGGGTAAGACCATCTAATGCCGAAAATTTAATGAATTTAACTAACAGCTCATAGCAAGCAGAATGGTTTCCGTTGGACATCTCATCGGGTACATGGTTGGCATGGTTGATCTCGTTGGGGTCTTTGGGACATCCTTCGGGGACACCCAGTTCAAAAAATTAACATTAGTTGCCGCTTGGGGCTTGATACTTGCCGTTGCGGTTACTTCCTGGGCAGTGACAGAACGAGTTTTAATATCCAACAAAGCCACGGATTCTCAAAATGGCGGTTTCCAAATCATTGGACAAATAGTCAGAACTGCTACACAACTGCCTCCACAGATCCAAGCTATTTGTAACATTCAAATGTGGAGTGTGAGTGTCCTACTTCGGAGCGGTTTTAAATTTGATGGATGCTGACTTTTTGCAGTGGATTGGGTGGTTCCCATTTCTCTTCTATTCAACAACTTGGGTCGGAGAGACATATTACCGATACGATGCCCCCGAAGACATTGGCCATTCCAACGACGCATTAGGAGATATCGGCAGGATAGGCAGCATGTCGCTAGTCGTTTTCTCTCTCGTCACCTTCGCAGGCGCCTTCCTGTTACCCTTCTTCGTCAAGTCACCCGAGGAGGAGGGTTTCACAGCACGGCCGCCCGCAGCAATCGCAAAGATCGTGACCAAGGCGAACAAGCACAAGCCTGACTTACTTACAGCCTGGACTTGGGGCCATGTGCTATTCAGCGTGGCAATGTTGCTAGCACCACTTGCCCGTTCGTTCCGCGTAGCAACTTTCCTAGTCGCCTTGTGCGGTGTCCCTTGGGCGCTGGCTTGCTGGGCGCCGAACGCGTATCTGGGCATAGAAGTCAATCGGCTGAGCAGCAACGATCCAAGTAATTACCGCCGTCTCTCGACCGACGATCCCATCGAGCTTGGATTCAATTCTTCCCCATCGCTATTACGACTCGAGCACGGCCCCGATGACGAAGCCGTATCCTCCACCGGCGAACTGTCCGGTCTTTATTTCGGCATCCTTAATATTTACACCACGATTCCACAGTTCATCGGGACGTTCATCAGCATGATCGTCTTCCACATCTTAGAGCCGGGAAAGAGTCCCGAGTTGTCGGACGACCCGATTCCGGAAGAGCCGCACGGCGGACCGAATGCCATTGCCGTATGCTTATTCATTGGGGCCGTGAGCACGATCGGTGCGGCATTTGCGACGAAGAAGTTGAAGAGCTTGTACTGAGTGCAGTTTTGTGTTTATTGTTTGTATGAGTATGTGTGGCATTGCGAGGCGTTTTATAGAACTTTTTCGTTATAGCGGGATAGAGGTAGGGTGGTGGGGTTTCAGGGTGAGCCTTGCATATGTTGTAAAAATACCATTGCTTTTATCAAAATATTAATAAATAAGGAAATGCTTCCAAAAAGATATTCCCTTGGTGGTGTCTCGTCTCTAGTGTTCCTGGTAACTCATTGGCACAGTCTGAAAGCAGCAAATTCTACCGTTTATTTCAACCTTGCAGACGTTGCCGAATCAATTCAACAAGCAAAGTAATGTGTTTTAAGGAATAAGTCTTTAGCTACTGTAGTAATAATAGCTATTCCCTAGTGGAAATCATATATTATCACTGTGGTACAAAGCATCTGATAGGTAAAGGTTAGCTATCAATAGCATATCATAAATACAGCTTGGTAGCTGCTACGATATCATATTGTAATAGCAAGTACTAAATTTATATCTCGGGAGCTAGTCCTGTCGCGACCTACAGTTATTTAGAATCAATATATCGTAGGATATACAAATGCTGTTTCAGCGTAGTTAGTATACGCAGCCTTGTTCCCTGGTATTTTGTTACCAGTTCTGCTGCAGCTGCCCTTAATAGTTTGAAGTACTTCGCGTGCTCAAAACCAACCTGATTTTGCAATTTCCGCGCTGGACCTACGACGTATAGATTTTGGGATCGAAATCTCAAGCTTCTACTGTCTCAACACCCGCGGTAACCTACCCCACACTTTTGATTTTGATTTAGGAACCATGATTCCGCGATTCCCGCCAGCCAGGATGCGGGTATCCGTGATCGCGATCATGCCACGTGGGTTGCGACAGGCTCTGTCGACCAGGTACCCACGGAGAGTAGGGTTGGGTAAGGTACAGGAGGTAGGTATCCCAAAGCACGGTATGCCAGCCGTGACACGAGGTGTGCCGGCTCTGGAGATCCTGTGTCAATCGCAAGGCATTATTGAGGGTGCTGCTGGCACCGCGATTTGTAGATTTATCCTATAGTAGGTGGGGGGGCTCGCTTGCTTTGTAAACGGGGGCGAGATGGATTTTAGCCTGTGGTTAGGAAGCCCTACGCCCTATTTGTGATTGCCGTCGCTCGATTGTTGGGCAATAGCGCACAGCATGTTGTTGGGATTGTTCCCGTGGTGATGTAGTGTTGCTAACTTGTTGCAGTGTTCCGTTGCTGGTAGCGGGCCCCGTCAATCCCAGACTCCAGAGCCAGGCAAGGCGGGGTAAATGAGGAAGAGGAACAGGATTTAACCGGACGAGTGTTAGTATAGTTGAGGTTGATATCGAAGGTTGGCGCGCTCTAGAGAAACTTTAGGCTCGAGCCTTGAGGGTAGTCGATAGTTTGGAAATCCACAGTACAGAGGTATGTGATCTTATCATCGTATCATCCACAGACTCAAAAGACTATCATAGTGACCAACACCATTTCGGACTACTGCCTGAGCTGTCACCACTCTAGCCATGCGCCAATTCGGATTAGGAGGTAGTTGTCGATATTGGGCCGACTAATAAGCTCTGGAAGAGGGTTTGGATGGAGAGATGTTTGAGCTCTACTCCGGGTATTGGGCCCTTTCGGGGAGGTCTGGTGGATGGAGTTCAACCTCATCATGGTGAGGGTTGAGTAGAGTCGAGGCATCCAGAGTCAGGAGGACAGCATTTTCTCCTCTTACCCGAAGATACCTACCAACAGTTAGTTTACCAACATTCTTCCAACATTTTCCGTACTTGGTCCGGGTTTGCGCCGCACGCTCTCCGTGTATATATATTCCATGTTCAGCATCCGGGCCGACGATGCAGCCCTCAAGAGCACTCCAGAAGTTGCAGCGCGTGTGATAGGATATGCCGCGCCGTTTGCTGTCCGCTGTAGCAGCGTTTTCGTCATAGTAGAGTTAAGAGGGGGGGAATATCCGATTCCAACAACGGGGACAGCCTTGGAGACGAGCGGCGTAGGCCAATGAGATGATGTGACTGGGCGGAGTGTGTGGTTTTCGATATTGCGGCAGCCATCCCCGTCCCTTGACCGTGGACAGTGGGCTGGTATTCGCAGTAGCAGCCCAGTAGTGTAGGTATTACTCGTGGTACCACGCCTCCAGTGGTGGGGAGCAGCACATCGCAAGCCAACCCCGAGAGCGATCAGGACCCCGAATGCCGACCACCCCACATTCCTACCTAGTACCTACATGTACAGTACATCCGTATTATTATCATTATTGACCATGGGGCCCGATGGACTGTGGGCTGTGGACCGAGGGCGAGGGCAACGGCCGGTGCAGCTGGGAACGTTGCGACTGCGACTGCGATAGAGACTGGGACTGGGACTGGGGGCGACCAAGATGATGTCGCGTACTGTAGACTCCAGAATCCAGACTCCACGAAGTACAGTACCATCTGTTCATTCGGCCAGCAATAATAATCAACGCAGGTCCAGGTACAGGTACCACATCTGTTAACTATTCAGAGCCAAGAAGGGGCGCTGCACCGTCCGAGGGTTTAGGGCGTGCTTGGAGATTGGGAGGCTTCGTAGGCGCGCGAAGTGCTCGAGTAAGTGCTAGCGAAGGATTGTTGAGCTGGGCGGAAGGCGAAAGCGGCTGAGAGAGGGAGATGGTAAGAGTAGGCGAGAGGAGAGGATATATTATAATATAATAGAGAAGACAAGAACTGGAAAAATATGAGAATAGAATAGAAGGGAAAGAGGACGAGAAAGAGAACGAGAAAAGGACACCCATCATCCTCCGGTTTGTGTTTATCGCCTGCATCACTACTGCTGCACGACACCACGCTGGGACTCTGAGACAGTGATTTTCCCGAGTCGCTGGTCTGGGTTGAGAGGGATCAGCGTTCTCGAAAGTAGCCGTTGGGGAGATGGAGGGAGATGGGAGATGGTGTAGTTGCAGTGCAGTAGGAGGAGCAGGAGTTGCAGATGCAGATGCAGCGTGAGAGTGAGAGTGAGAGAAAAGAGAGGCATTAAGGAGCGTTCTCTTTATTAGGTACTTTACCTACAACAACTACAGTGCCTGTATAACCACATAAGGTACTCTACTCAATAATCCCCCGTTATGCAGTACTACACTACCTTGCCTTACGAACTGCTACTATAATAACAATACTTGTAGAACGTAGAACGTAGACCGTAGAACGTGGCGACACCGAGAGGGTTCCCAAACTCGGTCAAGTTCCTCCGCCGCGGACGAGCGTTGCATCCACACTTCATATCCACATCCATGCTGGAGCCGTTGAGCCCTGGAACTGGAATAATCCTGGAGACTGGATAGTAGTGTTTGTACACTACAAGAGGAACGACACAGTACAACGTCCAGCACAGCCATATCCTCCAGATCCTGCATCTCCGCCATCCCATCAGGAGGAATCCAAGCCCATCCATCCATCCATTCACCCACGCATACATACATGTTGACGTTCACCTTCACGTTCACCTTCACGTTAACGCTCATGTCCATGTTGACGCTTACCCCCAAATAATCCTCCTCTTCGCCTCTTCTCTCTCCCCCACACCACACCAATCGTAACGCCGATCAACGACCCTTCCACCTTTCCACGCTTCCACCAGACCAGCCCTGCCGATTGAATTGCCACGAGGCTTACCATAGCAGATCGAGCAGCAGCAGCAGCTAATAATAAGCAGTTACGCAGTTACGCACTGAACGCTGTTGCACGGGTTACACCCCGCATGCGCCGCAGTGCGACCTTCTTGACGAGCAGCTCCCTCAGCTCGATCGAGGTCCCCCGGCAATACTACAACATTGGTTCTCGTTCTCAATCCTAATCCTCCCGCTGTCGAACAGAGGAAGATACCGTCGTGAACGGGTTGGGCATTATCGCAGAATAGCCCATTACCACAGAACAGCTTGCGCATGAGTACAATCCCACGGGCATCCTGTTGAAATCGCGTTGGCCCGTCGCCGTCACGGCGCAGTGACGATCCACCGAGCGCCTCGTCGGCCCAGGAGGATCGAGAGAGGGCAGCACGATGTCGGGTTTCCTCAGCAAATTCAAAGGGGGCGCATCTGTTAGTTATATCCTATTCCCAAATCTGTCACTCTCAGATCAGTTCCAATTTCATGAACGAGCGGATGGCAAGATGGCGAACTTGGTGTGGGATTGGGCCGAAGGCGCCCAAGTTGTAACTCTACTAACATCGTACACTGGAATAGGGATCCACGAGTCCAGGCGTCGCCTCCCCGAAGCATAAGAAAGATGCCGAGCCGGAGACGGAAGCCACACCATTGATGAAGATGCTACAAAATGCTGGGCCCGTAAGAACCGATGGAAGTGACAAGTTCTTCGGGATGGAAAACGTACGCATCATATCGTCCTCGACTTATAGATGACCTTGGCTAACCTCTTCTCTAGTTTGGCAATACCTGGTTCGTTTCTAGGATCTTTTGACACGGATAGAACTAATACCCTCTAGCTATTGTAATTCAGTGGTCCAAGCCTTATACTACTCGGTCCCATTTCGAGAAAATGTCATCAGATACCCTCCCCACTCGCCCTTCGATACGCCAAACGGACATCCACCGATTGTCACCCCAATAAGAGCACCTGTACAGAATGGCGCAGCGGTCCCACCGGCCGGCAAGCCAAAGGGTATATCCGCGGCGGAAGCAATGAAGAGAAGAGCGGCCATAAATTCAGGTCAACCATTACCCCCAGGGCAAATACAGCGACCAGAAGATAAGCCTGACTCGCCCGAATACAAGAAGAAGCACGCGATGCTTGCGGGACCCATATTGGAGTTAACATACGAGAACGCAAGCTCATATGCCATGGAAGAATCGACATTCACAGCCTTGAAGGATATCTTTATGGCCCTCATTGCGAATCCTTCCCGGATAGGCGTTCTGAGCCCGCAGAGGTTTCTAGAGATTTTCAAGCGTGATAATGAGATGTTCCGGACATCTATGCATCAAGATGCCCATGAATTTTACGGATTGGTCCTCAATGCTGTTATTTCCAACGTCGAAGCGAATGCTCGGCGGTTGAAGGAGTTGGAATTACCACACGATGATACAGCTCTCGCCAAGGCAGCGATGGCCTCGGCTGCCAATGCCATGGGGTCGAATTCAGGAACAGGTTGGGTCCATGAGATATTCGAGGGCGTTTTGACATCCGAGACCAAATGTTTAACTTGCGAAACTGCATCGCAGCGAGACGAGACCTTCCTGGATCTTTCAATCGATTTAGAAGAGCATTCATCCGTGACCTCGTGCTTAAGGAAGTTCTCGGCGGAGGAGATGCTTTGTGAAAGGAACAAGTTCCACTGTGACAACTGCGGCGGCCTTCAAGAGGCTGAGAAGCGGATGAAGATCAAGCGGTTACCGAAGATTTTAGCTCTCCATTTGAAGAGATTCAAATACACCGAAGATATGACCCGGCTACAGAAGCTATTCCACCGCGTTGTATATCCCTATCACCTCCGCATGTTCAATACCACGGATGACGCCGAGGACCCGGATCGGCTTTATGAGCTATACGCTGTGGTTGTTCATATTGGTGGAAATGCTTACCATGGTCATTACGTCTCCGTTATCAAGACGCAAGATCGCGGTTGGCTATTATTCGACGATGAAATGGTGGAGCCAGTTGACAAAAACTATGTGAGGAATTTCTTCGGAGACAAACCTGGAATGGCATGCGCCTACGTTCTTTTCTACCAAGAGACGACTGAGGAAGCTATGCGCAAGGAGCAGGAGGCGGAAGGACTTGCCGAAGTTACCCTTGCCTCTCAGGAGGCTGATGCTTCTCTTGTTGACTCGCACCCAAATGGTATCATCAGACAGGCCACTAACCCCAATACACCTGTCGACGATAAAGAATATCTATCGCTCGACCACGCCATGTCCGCTCCGCTACCTACCATACCTCATGCAAACCCTCGACCCATGGTACCTTCACCCCCTCTCTCTGCACAATTCCCGGCTCCAGAGGCAGCAAAACCGAAGAGCAAGGAGGAGAAGGAACGAGAGAAGAAAGAATTGAAGGAGGCAGAGAAAGCGAGGAAGGCCGCGGAAAAGGAGAAAGCCAAAGCCGATGAGCAGAGAAGGAAGGATCTGATAAATAGCAGAAAAGAAATCCAGAAGACTCAGGCGGATGAAGTTAAAAGAGCACTGGCTGCGAGTAAGCAATCCGCCGCCGAAGATGAAGAAAAGCGGAAGCGCGAAGCTGCTGCTGCCGCCGGAAACGGGCACGAACCCCCGAAGGAGAATGGACACAGCGACAGAGGTTTCGGGCTCCACGCGTTAAGTCGAAGCCAGAAGCGATCCAAGAGCCTGAGCCGCAAGAGCCTTGGATTCCTAGGTGGTAAGAACGGGGAATCCAAGGGGACATCATCAGGGGATGATTCACATTTGGCAGTCGAAGGAGAACCAGGACCACCGACGCCAGAGAAGCATTCGAAATTCAACAAAGATAGATTCAGTTTCAGTGGATTAGGGAGGAAGAAGAGTAATCTAATGAGTCCCTGAGGCGGGGTGGCATTGAAAGGGGAGTTGGCGGTTTGAACAAAACACACTTGTATTATGAACATTCACATTTTTTGGAGGTTCCGGGGCGGCCCAAGAATCTCAGCAAAAAACAACATAACTAAGGATGATGATGATGGACAAAACGAGAACCACGGGATGATGTCTACAATCTGGTGATATCACCTCGGAGTTTGTAAGGATACAACATTCGAGGGATGGAGAGCTTCCGTCCCTTGGATTACAATGGATGTATAGCACACAGAGAATCCACCCCATGGCGATGTTCTAGAGCTAATATATAGCGCGGGCATGGATCATAAATACGATGATTTATATGCATCCCCTTGTTTTCGAGTCGTCAAATCCGCTGTGCATATTGATAACTTGTATCTAAACCTGCATTATGGTAAATGGGTATGCCCTCTCGATGCACAAGCCTAATAGTAATGATGATGGCTTCCCCTGGTCTGATGACGCCCAAACGCCGCGCCGAATGGTAACTCGACGGCTCCGTCACTCCATCCTGCCTTTAAAGGGTAACTAACTCAATGTGCCATGTCGCTCGCCTGGTCACGTATATCATACACTTCTTGTTTCCCTTTCGCTTCAATGATTGCAGTCCTTTTCCCCGTCGTCAACCTAGCGCTATCTCGTACATTATAATCAACACGTTGATCCCAATCAACGGTACTATATCTGCGGTCAGCAAGCTATTCCAACTCCGGACTGTATTCTTCGACATGCTCCCCAAACTGTCTATAGCGTGCGGGAAACAGCAGGGTAAAAGTAGATGGATATACATACTCCGCATCAACGTCCGCACACTCGTCATAAGATTTATCATTTTGCTCTTGATGCTAGCATCTCCCCCGCCACTGCTCGCGCCAAATGCGGGTTCAGTGCCCGTGTTCGACCATCCCACTGTGTAGTTCTATGTCAGTATACGTATGGCATGTTGCGAGTATAGCTTCGACGTGCGGGAGGGGGCGTTCGTACCTCGTGCGAGAAAGCGGTCCTCGGAGAGGATTGCTATGGCGTTTACGAGTAAACACGTAACTGTGCGGGAGGATGATAGTTAGCATAGCTGCATACGTATAGAATAGCGGAAGGTGTTATGTGTGTTTATCGACATAAAGCTGGGAAAGCGATGCAAGATAGGGGGATGGAGGTTGGAAGAGGGGTGCTGAGGGTGCCGCATACTGTAGATCAGATTCCCAAACGCAAAGAACATCATCTTGAAGGTTTGTCCTGGGTGAGGTTTGAAGGGTAGGCGGAGGCGCAAGGGCGGTCGTGGTAATTGAAGATGCCACAATTTGGATACAAGTGTTTGGAGAGCTGGACTTGGGCGCACGGACCAGGCGAGGCTATTTGTATCCTCCGGGTGTTGCGTTTGCCGACTACAGCTACAGCCTCCTGTGTTTTGTTTTTGTCATGTGCTTGCAATTGTTAGAAGCGAACTGAAGATATCAATATCCGCCTGTGGGTAGAGTAGAGCTAAGTTGTTGTATTCGAGAAAGCATAAATGGCGGTGCGGCAATAATTCAAAGCTTCAAGTTTCGACGAATGCTCTCGAGGCTACGAAACAAGCTACAGTATTCGCGGGACTATATTTCAAGATGAAGCCGATCGGTATATATACCTATACCATCCGCACGATAGCACCGTAAAATCCTGATCTCAGCATTGCTAACAAGTCCTTACTAGACGCATTCCTCTCCCTCCTCATCCCCGGCCTCATCCTCCTCCATCTCCTCGTCGCTCCCTACACCAAAGTCGAAGAATCCTTCAACATCCAAGCAACCCACGACATCGCCACCTACGGGCTCCCCACCAGCGATATACCCGTCCGCTTCCAAGCGGCCTACGATCATTTCTCTTTCCCAGGCGCAGTGCCGCGGACTTTTGTCGGTGCCCTCGTGCTCGCTGCTTTATCACGTCCAGTATATAGCCTCGCAGGCATTCAATATGCGCAATTCGTGGTCCGAGCCGTCCTGGGACTATTCAATACGGTTTGTTTGTTGAAATATAAGAATGGGCTTGAGAAGGCTTTTGGACAAAATGTCGGGAGGTGGTATGTTGTGCTGCAGGCGGCTCAGTTTCATGTGATATATTATGCGTCGAGGACGTTGCCGAATATGTTTGCTTTTGGACTTAGTGAGTTAGGATCAGTATTATTATGTGTGGCTTTACTGAGATTCTGTAGCGACGTTGGCATTTTACCATTTCCTACCGTTAGCTGGTCCTGGACAGCTTGCTCAGGAGAAAAAGAGACAACAGCGGGGTATATGCCTCCTAGTATTTGCAGGCGTGGTATTCCGCTCCGAAGTCGCTGTTTTACTCTTCACTCAACTGCTGTACCTGCTTGTTCAAGGCAGAATATCCATCCGGACAATTTTGTCCGCAGGCGTGATAGGCGGCGTGTTCGCCTTGGCCTCGACCATCGTTGTCGATTCCTACTTCTGGCAGAAGCCCATTTGGCCAGAGCTATGGGGCTTTTACTATAATGCCGTGCAGGGGAAATCTGCAGACTGGGGCACGTCTCCGTTCTTATACTACTTTACCTCACTCCTCCCCAAGCTTTTGCTTAACCCTGTTATCCTGGCATTGTTGATTCCAACTGCCTTTGCCCTGCCGTCCACCCGCTATAGCTCCATGGGTTTTATCATACCGTCTCTTGCATTTGTCGCAATATATAGTCTGCAACCACACAAGGAAGCCCGGTTTATTATTTACGTCGTTCCTCCTCTCACTGCGGCGGCCTCGCTCTCCGCATCATACATCTGGACTCGGAGAACCAAAGGCATCCTCTACCGTCTCGGCTCTCTCCTCCTAGTTGCCTCTATCTTAGGCAGCCTCGCAGCGTCAACAGGAATGCTTCTCATATCCTCACTCAACTACCCCGGCGGAGAAGCCCTCTCTCATCTCCACACCATCTTAAGACGGACACCATGGCCAGAAACCAGTGCAGAAAACGAAATAGCCAATATCGATATTCACATGGATGTCCTATCATGCATGACAGGCGTAACGCGCTTCCAAGAAATCCCCTGGCGAGGTTTAAACCAAGACAGCTTCCCGATCATCAATGGCCGACCTACAGCCCTCCACTACGACAAGACGGAAGACGAAGACGTCCTACTCCGCCCCGAATTCTGGGAGCAGCATGACTACGCACTCATGGAAAATCCGGGCAAGGCAATTGGAAAGTGGGAAATCGTCAGCACGGTCTTCGCATACGCCGGTATCGAATTCCTCCGTCCCGGCGACGGGAGTTCCTTTTCTGAGATAATGGAAAGGGTATACGCCGCCAACAACATCACCGTCGACCATGACGGACGGGAAACCGCGCCCGATAGCCAGGATGTCAAGGATGCCGTTGAGAATAGCGCAGATCTTGAGCTTGGGAAGGTGGATGGGGATGAGAAGAGGAGCATAGCGAATCTCAAGGCGAGGTTGCGGGCTGAGGAGATGGATCGCTTTGGCACGTTTAATTTGCTGAGGGATACGGTGAGGTTGGGTACTGGGGGGTGGTGGGTTGGTCCTAGGATGGAGCCGAAGATTAGGATTTTGAAGAGGGTGAAATCGTGAAAGGAAAGATGAGTCCGTGGTATTTACTCAAGGTATGCTGATGTATAGAAATTTTACGGACCGAGGTCGTTCAATGCTCTTAATGATTCAATGAGCTTGATGTATTACTTCGTACCATAGCATTTGGTAAGGAAATCTTGTTCTTTTCTTTTAGTCTTGTACTACGTACTATGTCCTAAATGACCAAAATGGGTATCCTAGGGAGGTCTCCGCACAAGAGCGCCTCTAAGGCTCCAAAGTTAATCAAAGCAGGAAATAAATTTATAGAACTAAAGGAGATGGCCCAGAACTCACGAACAGTTATATAGCCACTTGCAAAAATTTTAGCTCCTTCAAATTATAAGTTGACATTCTCCTTACTCATTTAGATAGTCGTTATAATCAAAAACTCCGAAGAAACCCTCGGTAATATCAATGTCGTTAGCAGATAAATCGTTAAAGGCAGGATCCATTGTTTCGCAATCATTCTCTTCGCTGTCAGCAGGCGCCCCTGCTTGGTTATCAATCTCCTTACCACCCGTGTTTTTGAGATCAATGTTTATCCAGTGGCTTTTGCACCCCGCTCCAGAAGGTCTCTCCTCATCTCCATAACGCCACTCTCTGTTTTCTGCAACTGAGCCTCTCCCTCCATGGTCAAATTCTCTGTAACTATCGCTATCGCCGCCCTCATCCTCATCATCAATATCAACTTCGTCACTATCACCATCTGTCTCCTCCCCGTCTTCATCATCAGTATCGACTTCTTCGAATCGGGTATTCTCTTTCCGCTGCCGACAATATTCTTCGAAGGTCAGTTTAGACTTCTGGTGTTCATGCGTACAGTCGCGATGATTTAGATCCGAATGTGCCAGGACCTGATGGATATCATAGCCACATAATTCAAGAGCTTCGGTCCACTCATCAAGTCGTTCCGAATCCCTTGCCACCATAGATGGCGTTTTACCGTCATCGTTGACTGCATATATGTCCGCACCAGCAGTTATGAAAACAATAAGAAGGTCCTTTAGCTCTGTTAAGCAGGCCTTCCTCTCCCGCGACAACCCACCCTGAATTGCTCTTTCCTTTAGCATCATCTCATGTAAAGGGTTGTAGATAATAGCTGTGTGAAGAACTGTATCACCATTATAGTCGCGACACAAGATGTCAGCTTTCCGTTGTAGGAGAAGAACCGCCTTGTCAACAATATCGATTGCGATTGAGGCGTCGTACCCGGAGAACATAGCGACGTATATTAGACCACAGGATTCATCCCCCCTGAAGTCTTTGTAAGTACTATTCAAACTAATGAATGGTGCTCCTAAGTCTAGTGTATCCTTTAAAGTTGCCTAATAAGAATTAGCGCAGGTCACATCTTACTAAGGGGATACCTGTGTTTACAAGTGGACATTGCATGATGATAGATATAAAAGCGCAAATCCAAAAACCATCTCCTGTGCAAAATTCGAGTGAAGTATCTGCACCAGCTTCTAACATTATCTTTCTACAGTGAGAGATTTTATGCCGCTCTTCCTCTTCTAGATTTGTCGTAGTAAAGAAAAAGTTATGTACAGGGCTATATTGTGTCAGCATATTCGTGTTATATTTGGGGAAAGAGCTAGCTCATGAGCAAAGCCAAAAGAGGAGGGCTAGGGTTTATTTTACCCACTAAGTTTGTCGTCGTAAGTTTCAATTTCATTAACATCTAACTTCATATCAACGAGAAATTTACACATGTCCGCACGCCTATAACGAACTGCGTACTGTCCCATGGTTACTACCCGTTTAGATGGTAATTTGGATTATTTAGGGCAACTCACAGAAAGAAGTGACCGTCCCTGCTCATCCCGATCAGTCAGGCATGCGGTGGCAGTGTGCCCTTCAGAGGCTTCAAAGGCTTCAATGAGGTCTTTGACTTGTCCAGATTTAATAATGTTGAAGACCTTCGAATCATTCCGAACCATGGCTTGATACGTTATTGTTGCTGGTAGATTGAGATGCGGAGTGAAGTTAAATATAACATAAGATGAAGATGTTTTAGTTCTCCTTGGGACTATTGCTAGCCTAGCAGCAAAGGTTCTGTCCGTTGTTTTCTCAGTATCTTCACCAGTAGCACTAGTACCAGGACCGTTCATAGCGACCCAGAATGAAGCTTCTACCCTTCCATAAGGTGTCATCCAAGCTGCATACCTCTGGTTGCCTCTAGAAAGGTTGGTCTCTAGATTCTGATTTGGAAGGGCAGGTATAGGTTTGTGTGCCTCTAACTTCCCTTTAGCATGTCAAACCAAGCGTTGTTACACAGTCACCTACTATCCCGATCCTCATTCACAGTGAGCGCTTGGGTCATATTCATCAGATTCCGGACTCGCGTAATATCGTCCTCCACAATAGGATTCCATGCGATACTACCGTACTTCTCACAAGTAGGATTGTAGCCAAGAATGAGCTGAAGATCATTGAACACAGCCCGTGCCTCTTGAGACTTTATGATATGCTTTGGAACTCGAGAATATTTTAGAAGTCTCTGCATGACAGCGTCTTTCATGTCGCTCGGACGCATGGGCCTAAAATGTGGTATTTGACATTCTAAGAGAGCGGGTGATATCTGTTTTGAAGACCCGTGGTGAGAGTTGGTATATATGCTTATGCCGCTTGGTAGGGCTATGATAGTTAGGACGGTACATAAAGCAATAACATGAGGACTATAGATGAACTCACGTGATAGAGGGCTTGCTGAAATGAATGGTTGATCTACAACCTCTTTCATCCAGCGGGATAGCTTTTCCCCAGTTTTCTTATGACCGCTAATTCTGACATGGCTACTCTTCTTTCCGACTGCGTGTGCTCTATGCCGGATGTGTCGTACAACTCTTATACGTTCTTCTGTTTTCACATTTCGCGCAAGCTTCATTCGGTTAATCTGGATTATATATTGATGTGGACTGTATCGAAATTAGCCTACATTCCCAGCGACTTGGAGAAGTTCGAAGGTTCTATGAAGTGACTCTACTGCGCCTAACCAGCAGGAGAGTACAGGCGGCCTCTTTGTCCCCCTTCATTCACTCATAAATGTCAATTTGCGAAGCGGACAACTTACCTAGCCTCAAGTTCAAACTCCCTGTTTATAGTCTCACGCAACTCCTTGTAAGGCTTTCCCTCATCTACAAAAAGTTCCCTTATCCGGCTCTCGCAAGGAGCCCACCTCTCTGCAGACATTTCCGGAGCCTTCGGGCGCCGCTTTCGAGTCGACGATTGAAATGGTTGCGGCTGATCCTGGGACGGATTATTAACTGTCAGGTTATCTTGGGCCTGAAAAACGACATCATTTGGTTGAAATGACGACCGACCCAGGGGGAACCCGGAGTTTGAAGGGAGAAGGCTGCCATAAACATGAAAGGTAGGTGGCTCGAATACTGTATGTGGAGGAAACGTCACTCGCGGCTGTTCTGTTGGGAAGTCCATAATGCCGCCAAAACCCCACGGAGGTATGGACCGTATGGGAAGGCTTTGAGGCCGATGCTGGAACTAATTGGCAGAAGTGCAGAGGAAGGATTCTAAAGAAGGCTCAAATGATGTTTGCTGACGAGAATATACATGCGCTTCTTCCACATTAAAGCGAGAAGATTTGTCGCATGGTTGTGTAAAAATTGTCTGCTGAAATGGGCAAAATATGGAACAAATGGGCCTTCTTATCCTCCAAGCACATCCGCATAATACGTGATGTGCTCGGAGAAGCCAAATCACGGACCATGCGAGTTGTGAGGTGAGAGGTGAGGCTGAGACAGCCACAAAAAAGTACTATCTTGACTATCAGCCTATGGCTGTGTTGGATCTTGGAGGTTGGGTTCTTGGGGGCCCTCTCGCTTGAGAAAAAAACTACTATTCTACTCTATTAGGATATTTGGTTACACCAGAAACACGGTGGTAGGTTGAAACACAAGCATGATCCCTGATATAATTACTATTGTACTTTTTAAAGTTCATGTGGTTGGGTGAGAGCTGATTAAAAAGACTCATGGCTTTTGGCGTATGCATAGTACTTTCAGCCTATCTGCATGGTACGCAGGGTATACTACACGCATGGTATGAAAAGGAGAGACGGACGCGACGGGCATGACGGACAGACGCGACGGGCAGTTGCTACGAGTGCAGTTCGTAGGCGTAGGCGTTGGCGCAGGCGCATGGTACGTACCTAGGATAAGGAATTAGATAAATCGATCCTATAGATGATAGTAGAACAACCCGAGTTTATATCACAAAGTATCGCATAGACTCATGTCACTTCTTGTTCTCTCTAGATATTGACTTTGTTCGTTAAGAATACTATGTGTAAGTCGTTTTCTAGGTTCCCAGAGGATTTCTATTTACTATAGATTGGCTAAAGTTACCATAGCCTTCTCACCAAGTGATCAAATTGCTCTTGCCACACTCATCATCAGCATTCCAAGCGTTATGGCTACAATTTTTGGTGCCTTTATTAGCTACCAAAGCTTTAAGCATTGTTATGCTTCATGTACGTTTAGCCCGTTCAAACTTATGAACAGAAGAGACACACTAACCAATAAGGTGCAGCTCATAAACCTGCTATCCTTCCAATCCACAGACTTCCTGCTCGCGATACATTCCCTTACACGACGGGCTCTGACACCCATACCATGAGCTTCAACTTAATAGAAACAAGAGGAAATACGGTATATGTTCCGGGTTATTCTATCCGAGGGCCACGAAGGAAGCTGTAGGAGGGTCCAGCAACAAATATTGATTTTGCATATGGGCTGGGACTCTTGAATGTCTTCGCCAAGGACGAGGAGGACGAGGAGGACGAATACTGGACGGAAATATTAGGACTCGAGATTTTCGAAAATTCCATATCTGTCTTATCACACAATATATATTATGTCCTACAGCATGTTCTTCCATCACTCCGGTTTCGCTACCTCAGATCACCCCAAGCTTACAACTCTTCAAACCGCCCCACTGCCCTGTCATACTCCCTTTCCATCCTCTCGGTATGTAGGAAGGAGGCGGATTAATAACATGCCAAATTCGCCTTGGGTTTCGGGGCTGTGGGGAGTCATGCACCGTGACAACTCCTCTAGAATCCTCTAGATCAATCCAAGAGCATTTTCTAAAGTTTTGATGGCTAGCCAACAGTTGCAAACTCGCTTGTCGGAGGCAATGTAGCATAGAAATACCCCGATAACTAATTACAAACATTGACAACACTAATATGCAAATTATAAACGCGGATTGGCTTAAGTTGGAAACTCTAAATGGCTACTGAATGCACGCTTTCTTCCTTGCTCTCAATAAGCCTTCGACTCAGAGAACTCTTCAACTAGTCCCAGCTCAATACACATCACGTACTAATATAGGCTAGCGACATTCTTACTCCATTATGAGGTTCCGTACCAGCACATCATCCAATTTTCGGACCCTTCTGGGTTTCTCAACCAGCTTAGTGACATCCATACCTACGATTGTTCCGTCCGAGCAAGAATACTTATCCTCTCCTCAAGACAACGTCGCAAATTGGGAGAAAGTTCGCGGCAACAATAGGTTATATCTCTGTTCGGATCAACTAACTAATCGTTTCGCCATTGAACGATTGGATGATTTTTCGAATCCACCCGGGTGCAGCAAACTTTGAAACAAGAGTCGTATACTCTCTCATGCTTTAACTACAAAACTGGAGAGCACACTCTATCATAACTTGCAAACGCGAAAAAACAGCAAGCAACATTATAAGTTTAAATGGCAAAACTGACATATTCACAGGAACGAGTACGCTACCTTTTAACTCTGGGGCGGGCCATCGTCTGCTATGGGTCTCAACCCCTCAGCCTCTTTCTAAGTCCCATATAGCCGTACCAGAAAGCCAAATAACGAGGCTTCACCCTTTGTATTTCCTCTATGTAGGAAGTAATATTAATTATAATAATATTATAAGGACTAGAAAAAGTTAACTTCGAAGTATAGTAATTAGACTAAGTAATTAGAAAATATTTTTAAAATCTATAAAACTCGATTTATATATATTCTTTATTTAGCTTTTAACTTTATCTTTAACTTTAATACTATAACTATTATCTTTAATATCGCGACGAATATATATATATAATATATTAAAAAGTCTTAAATAATTTTATTTTTAATAAATATATTATAAGTATTAATATTAATATTTTATTAATATTTTATTTATAATTAGTTTTATTATAGTTTAGAAAGTATTATTTAAAGAGTTATTTTACTCTCGGTTAAAGGAGGTTATATAACTTAGTACTTCGGTAAAATAAAAACACGATAAATTGTAGGAATATTAGAGTTATATTAGAATTATTATATCGTGACAAATACTAAAGCTAGTCGAATAAATTTTAGTTTATATTAGAATTCAGATAATTTTCTATAATTTATCTTATATAAAGTATATACTTAGATGCTTTCTTTATAGAGTTTGACCTCGGTTGCAAAGTTGAACTTAGAAAGCGTGGAACTGACCCTTCGTCTTGATTTGTAACCGACTCGGTTCACGCCTAAAAAAGTAGGGGAATAAAAGGTAGAAGTCTGGATATGTACAAACAGACAGCAAAAATGCTGCACTTGTTTCAAGCAGACGGCCGGAAGGATATCAAATGGAGAGCATAAGTGAATGGGAGAGTAGCAAGGCTAAAGGTGGGACCGTGAATGTCCATGTGGGTTATCTTAGCCCAGGTAGCAGTACTTCTGGAAGTGAAGAGGTGATTGTTCTTGATGGGAAGCAAATCATCAGGACCACGCAGATTACGATCTAAACTGCGCTAGTCGGTAAGAAGTAACCATGTTGATGACGGGATATATCACTTGTATTATAAATCAGCTTAAATGAACGCGGAAAAAGGTCGAGAAAAATGCCTCAATGAATTGAGCTATCAAAATTGAAGATAATCGATCATGGCAACCGAAATGCCCTAGGTTATAGCAACTCCAGAAGGCGTCGAAAGACAAGAAGAAAGCACACATCTATAGAAACAACGTAATGCGAGGACACGATCCACTCAGTGGTGCGAGAATGGATGCCACTTCTTTGAAAGGCTACTGCACGATTCCCGGTAAACCCCTAAGGCTTAAATAACTTATAGTAAGAGTCTTTAAATAACGAAAATAGAGGAGAGAATGAGGATTAAACGATCTTTAACGTTAAGAGGAGCAAAATTGTAGTCATTGAGAAGTGACAGAGCGTCCGAGTGTCCGAGTAGAAAAGTATACGTTGTAAGCAGGAAGTTTCCCAGGACCTTTATATCCCATTGGACTCCGGTTAGGCGAGTTCTTATAGAAACAAAAACCTGATACCCAGAGTCTAGAGTCTTTCGTGCTCGATCGGAATTACATAAATATTTGAATATATGAGCGCTTTCAGGGTCCCAGAGACTGTCAGAAGATGCAGCTATGTTTTCGGACAGCAAAGATTCTTTGTCAACAATCGCACACCACGGCACCACATCGGTCATAGTACCAAACAGAACTCGAACCGGTGTTCTACTGTCTAGTATTAGCTCGACAATGCCGGTTGAGTAGCATGAGTTGGGGAAATGGGCGAGCCCCCTCTCCATAATTTTGGTTTGTGGATCCCAACATGGACCTGATGACGATACAGGTCCCAAATCGTTAAATTTTGGATAAGCATCACTAATTATAATAAGTGAAGCGCCTTCTGGCTTAATCTGAAGGTGGAAAAGACACGAGGGAGCGCTCGGGTTCAAAGATACCTCCCCAAACAATCCTCCTTGACTAAAGGCACCGAGAGTACTCGCATACATTCGCGAGTGAGTAAATTTCTGCGCCACCTCTGGTGCAACGAATTTGAGCATGTCGGGCCTCCACCTTCCAAAATGATACGGCTTTTCTGGATTCTCTTTCACTAATAATATGCACAGCATATGTTTATCCCGTTGGCGTCGACAGTTGAGATAGGCAAGATACATTCTCTTTTCGAATCGAGAGACTAAAGCGTATACCTCTATTAGTCAACGAAGGTGGACTTTCCACTGGATTATTGATGAGCTGAGAGGCGTGCTTAACACCCATTCCTAAATAGTCGTGTTCGATTGGCGGATTTACTTCGAGGTCGGAACATAATCTTTTGTCCTCATCACATCTGAAAACATCAGGTGACAGGGCAAGCAATCCAGTGGATTGTGTGGAAAATCTCCACGCGTACCTGGTGTAATCTTCTGTCGTCTTCATGATCTCTTCCTGGAGCCGGATGAATGCCTTTGTACCACCCTCTCCGTATAGCATCGACATATTAACACCGGAAAGTCCTATAAGACTATATGCCCGGTCTTCCGATCGGGTAGTCTGCCTCTCGGCAGCCCATGACATTTTCTGAGTAATATTCATCTCTGAAAGTTGCCTATCCCTCCCTAGAACAATAAGATCAATACCTGTTATATTCGAAAGCCCACGTTTTCAACTCCTCTTGGTACCGATTTCAGTCCAATCTGCCGAGTAAAACTCCATTGTACTCGGCGCAATCAATTCCTGCAACATCCACCCCCGCTTGAATTATCGACTCTCCCTAAACGCCTCACAAATCTGGTTATCATTTACGTCACAATTGCACCTCACGTCCTCCAACAAAGCGTAGCATATCTTGCTCCCTTTGTACCAGAGGAACATTGAGTTAATAGCTTCCGACAATTCCGAACTGCTTGTTTTATCAATGCAACAAGTATCAACCCAGGCCCATTCAAAGCCGTCTTTTGTAGCCTGGTCACAACATCTCTGGATCTTGGCAAATCCTTTCAACTTTGACGCGAGAGAGAGATCTTGGATAGCCTGGAAGCTGACTTCCTCCTTATTCCAAGTGTGGGAGAGGATCACGTACTCAGGGATGTTATAGTCGAAGAATTCCGCTAGGCTGAGCGTTTGGGTGTTGAGGAGACGCATGGCGGGGTTGCTGAGAGGCTTGGTCCGAAGATTCTCTGCCTGTACTTGATCTGATGAAATGAAGCAACTGGAACTAACGTCGGGACTTGGTCTGTTTTGTTACTGATAACGATATTGAACGAAGACTGACAAGATGACGAACTACGAATAGGCCCAAAAGAATGACTAATAAGTGATTATAGTCAAAGTAAATAGTAATCCAAAGTATAGATTAGGACAATAAATCTAATTATAAGAGTATAGGCCTAGGGACCGGATATATAGGACGTGCTTACGCCAAGCCTGACTCAGCAACACTAGTCCATATACGTATTTCTGACAAAGACTCGTCATATATTCAATCACGAGCACAGCAGCGGCGACGCAGCCCCCAATCGGCATCCCTGGTTAATACACACGCCACTTGAACGAAGGCTTTTTGCCTCTCAGCTGAAAATTATTATTTATAACCAACGAGTTTGATATGCAGTTACCTGTTACTTGAATGCGAAATAATAATAAAATATAATAACTATAAATGCATATACTTTTGAAATAATCAGGCGACACTTCAGGCTGAATGAAGATGAAGAAGTTGCTGAGGCTCGGTTGTGTTATTATCACTGACTTCGTCTAAAGACATCAAATTTGAAGAACTATAGTTTGCTGTTACCTGGTTGCGAGCCTCGACAGAAGATACTCCAAACGAGCAATATACAGAAAGTATAGATCGGACTGGGAGATGCTGACAAAGAGTTTTTCGTTTAGGCAAAACTTTTGTCTACATGACGATAATCTCATATCTGCCGGACCTATTACCTCAGCTTGTATGTACTGTTGATTCATGCTGTATTGCAGTGCGTTGGTACTTGTAAACAAATCCCAAGACGATCGCGGAAGAGAAGCTTTTCGGCTCCTCCGATTCTCGGATTTCAGGGCTCCGAATCTCATGCCATCACAGATCACTGGATGCAGCCAAGGAGAATAACGGGCATCGTTACTCCAACCCGCGAGCTGAGGCGGTTGATTGGTACACGTAGTTCTGAACCAGGTACAAAACAAAATCGTACCATATCATCTTGGTATCAGCCAGCCACCCACCTGCTTGAAAAAGGGCCGCTCTAAGCGAGTCGCTTGGTTTTACACTTCCCCCAGCTCAAGGCCATAATCTCACACCGTGTATTCTTGGCGAGTTCAGCCACTGCTTCTCTTCCCCGTTCTCTTGGCCTCTTAATTAGGAAGTTCATCGTTTCTGTAACAACTTCAGCATCATGATTGTAGTGACCTCAACACTCTACAATTACGGTCGAAGGCCTGGTAGCTCTTAGTAAATGATACAATAATTGATAAATTTTTAATCCTTTCTCAGGCCGACGAAGGGAGCGTGCCGATTTTCATCAATTTGATACATTTGTTATTGTTAATGCGCTGTATACTGACTCCATCTCAGAGTGGGTCCAGTTGTGCTCGGGGATCCCGATTGATGTGCTCTCAAAAGCCACACGGGTAGGAAGCGGAAGCTCAGTTCTCGGCGCATTTACATAATAGAGCTAATGTTGCTCTTCTCTATAAATCCTTTCAGAGTTCTGATAGTTTATCTTGTAAACATAAATTCATTGCTGGGCCAAGGGATTGATAAATCATTGAACGACGCTTCAAAGACTTGATAGCTTTGGGTGACTGCCACTATGTTTTATCTCAAACGTACCCTTTTGGTTCTAATAGCAACCTCGTTCCTGGGTCTTGCCTCCCCAACTCTCGAAAGGTATGACTGCTATTATTACGCTCCGCTTGTAATGGCCACAAGAGTTTTCTAATGTGAAAATAGCCTGCGGTATGATGGCGAGCTTTTAGGTCGAAGAGGAAATGTATCATCGAAGCCAGTCCAGTCAGTTCCCAATATATTGATTTCACACGGAACTGACAGAACAGCAGAGAAGGGTTTGCTTACAAGCGTCAAGATGATGGTGACGACAGCGGAGATGGGAATATTTTATGTCGTGCTGTTGATAGTTCCAAGGACCGGAGGCCTGCATGGATTACTCGTAAACGTAGTCTAAGTTCAATTCCTGCCATTAGGAACAACACACTCAGCCATGCAATTGAAGAGAGAAGACTCCCTCTTCTAAATCGCCAAGTCAACATGGATGATTTCATGGTAGATAGAACTGATGGTGATGGAGAAAATCGAGACTATTATACTGCGGTCTTCACTGGTCACGATGATGAAAGGGACCCAAATGGAGATTTGGTTAATACTGCCGAGTTTGCACTACTTAATCAAAGATTGGACATGGGTCTCCAAGGTCTTCATGGCTGTACAGCTCTGGCTATTGTGTCTCAGGAGGCGGTATACTTTGCCCACTACTTGTAAGTCGTTTGGAAGTTATACAATACCTTTATCTTTTCTAGGCGCAGTTTCCTTTTATCAGGTATAAGCTAACCCCCCATCTAGTGAGGATTTGTCTTGGGACCCGGATACGTCGAGTCAATTGGATTTCGAAAACCGCGTCTTGAGGTTTTTAGACGAGGGGAGCCCGCGATATAATCGCCCGTGGCCAAACAATAGGTATATAGGCCTGAGAGAAGTGGCGCATCATTTCCAACACGGAGTGGAGGTCCACATCATGACACCCCAACTGGAGGTTGTAGACACGGATGATGACGGTGTAGAGTATGTGGTTCCAGTTAATTTGCACTATAGAAATAGAGTTATGCAATTGATGGGGGCCGTTCAAACAATCATGCGAGAGCAAGGTTGGTTTGTTTGGCCTTCAATTTGGGCATATCAAGCGCTAGATAGCAGCGATCCGGAAGGTGACTGGCTATTAGACAATACATTGAGAGGGAAAGCGCTTTACCAGTTTGATCCATTTGGAACCACAACAAGACAAAGAGCAAGACTAATAATGGAAGGCGAGCAGTTAATGGGCCAAGTAAACGACGTCCGATTTGGACAAGTCTACATACAAGATTGGTCAGCTGTAGATATCCGTTCAATGGATGAGACGACGCTCTCATGTGGAGGCCAAATGTACTCCGAAAGCGAGGTACGTGAAACCGTGTCCCTAAACTGCATCTTTCATCAGCAAAATTAACCTATTTTAGCACACCTGTTATGGAGAAGTGCTATGTCCTATAATTAGTGGCATTTCTACGCTTCTTTGTGGATCAGAATGCTATCTTGAATCCCTTTATACCTGCTATGGAACATCTTTATGCCCTGTTGTTGACGATGTTCCCACCTTGCAGTGTGGATCTGCTTGTTATCTTGAATCTCAATATAGGTAAGTCCTTTCTGTTTAATTTCTTTTACGTTCATGAAGTGGAGTCAGCGTTGTTGACTAAAAGCTGACTATTAAAGCTGTTTGGCATCGCAATTAATTCAAGTTTCACCCGACACTCCGCCGCCATATACTCAATCAGGAATCGTAACATCCACTCACATTCCGGGCCAAGGAAGCGAGGTAATAATCAACGGGACGACTTATCAGATTGGAAGCCAAGCTTCCACTCTGACTGGCGGTGGAGCACCCATTGTCATTGGACCTGGTACCATAGTTGTCGGCTCAGAGACAATGACCTTTCCTGCTTTTCCGACGGCACCAATTGTGTTTACTGCTGATGGCATTACAATTACGCTGAAACCATCTCGACCTCAAAGCTCCTCGGGCGCATCATCGACACGGACTGCAGTCCCTACCTCTCCTCCGGTTCCCACGCAAGTAATTATTGCCGGCTCAACATTCACATTAGGGCCAACGAGCTCCGCAATTACAGCCGATGGGGCTGTAATAATAATTGGTTCCAGTGAAATTGTCATTGGCACGGATACTGTCAATATTCCAGCGAGCGTGACTGGAGCATTCCCAATGACTACAGATGGAATCACTTTCACTGTTATTCCTGGGTCTAGTTCCGCTACATCAACCGCCGTGCCAGGAGGCACTCCCACCCGAAGCCTACCTACCCCAACGAATACTCCATTTGAGCCTATAACTCAGACGATCGAAACTTTGATTGCTTCAGATGGCTCCAGTACGCATTACATAACTTTCAGACCCGCAACAATGACACAGTTTGCCTCAATTACAGCTTTAACTTCAATAACAACTATCCAGAATGAGCATCCTACAACCATAGTCGTTGGTCCTGGGGGTGTAGTCTGGGAAACCTTTGAGAGCACGAGCTTAAGTGGATTCCCTCCAATAGTGTACCCATCTCTACCGCCATATCCACGAGGCTCAAGTTCCATCGTTTCGCCGACGTCCTCCTCGATCAGTACAGATCCTTTCCCATCATCGGAGTTTCCTTTACCCCCAATTGTCACCACAGAAGTGACGACTACAGGGCCAAACGGCCCCATTGTAACTACGGTGACTGGAACTACAAACGTGGATGGTATCGTGACACCAGTGGTGACTTTATCTACTGACGGTGCCATTAATACAGCCAGTTCTTTGGTATCACAATATAGGAGAATATCCAGCATCATCAATTCATTCTCATCTAGTACAGCAGATTCTGCTCAAGCTAGTGCGGCAGTTGCCGCAGTGAAGGGTGGCGAATCAGGTCCGTACACTCGTCTTCATGAGTCCATATTCCTGGAAAATATCATCACGACACCATAATTTGCATTCTTCGTTTTATCATGAGGAGTTCCAACTGACATTTTTTAATATGTAGACACAAATTCTTTTGGACGGGCCTTGGGCAATGCACTGTCTGGGCTGTGTTTCATCTTTTGCGGAACAATTAGTTCGGCAGCAAAGCTTTTAGACAGCCTAGACACGGTTATAAAACATGTGCTTGATGGATCGACTAGCACTGGATCATTAACTCCTCTCTTGACTGGTCTTTCGGAAATAGCGAATGAGCTTGAAAAGGAAGTAGAGCACGAGAAAGGGCTTACATCACAATCGACATTAGCCCCAACGAGCTCCTCACAATGCGTCATTGCTACTGTTGCGAACTGCGAGGTACATTGCGCCACAGGGTTTATTAAAGCTACTGTGATGACTTCAAGCTGTTTCTCAAGTGCTTGCAGCATAATCAGCTCTTGTAGTGCAACTGAAGCAACCTCAACGATAACGCAGTCAAGCTTTTGTCCAACTTCACGCCAGTCAGCAGGACCAATGACTTTATTCTCTTACCCAGGATTTGTTCGACTTCCAATGGGAACATGGGGACCGGATGACCCTGATACCAGCACAACTATCACTACCTTCACTTCTGAAATTTCAAGTATTCCTCCAAGCACCTTCATCACTTCAACTACCCCACCAACCCCCACACCTTCACCAATAATTTGTGGTAGTCCCCGGGCCTGTGATGCCGATGGATGTGCCGGAACACTTGTCCATAATGAAGCGACATGCAAAGGCAACTTTGCGACTTGTACATGCATTCCTAATGCCAACACTCCTGGGTTCTCGTGCGGAAATCCGCAATCATGTGAAAGCAACAACTGTGTTGGAAAATTTGCCGAGGGAAAGGCTACATGCACGAATGCTTCTGCTGGCTGCAAGTGCTTCCCATCCACAAATACTCCAGGATTTTCATGTAGAAATCCGCAATCATGCGAAGCCGACGATTGTGGTGGAACAACCAGCGTAAGCCACGTCTCTACTTGCAAAAACAACTTCGCTGGATGTCCTTGCCTCCCAAGTAAGAATACGCCGGGACTTTCTTCGGGAGAGAATCTCATCTTGAGCGATTGTGGCATCGGACTTGGCGATAACGGCGGTTCGACATCTAGAGAGATGATGTACTACTCTGGCGATGTCTGGCGATCTGACGGATCCGTCGCCAGCAAACCAAACATGATGGTTAACGTCCCTTGGGACGGATCGTATCCTTGGAGGGGTAGCGGTGTCTCGGCAACATTTCCCAATGGCGATACATTCAAAGTCACCATCAACCCCGGTTTGAGTGATCCTTCATGGGCCGGTTATGCATTCCATACCTACAACGAAGTAGTATTGATTTGCTATTCCTTTCATAAGGAAAAGGTATATCAACTCGATGACGGGAAATGGTGCTCCTCTGCTTATGTCTGCACTCACGGCGACCCTCCAGTATTCGATTCGAAACCAGAGCCTATCCCCAAGCCTATCCCCAAGCCTACCCCGGACCCTATACCCGAATATGGCTTTAAAACACACATCTCCTCGAATAAAGATTTCGTCAATATTTATTTCCAAACCGCTACTCAAGTATTTAGCCACCTTGAACACAAATTCGGCAATGGAAGGGACTGTGTGGAGACACCCGTTAGTCTCAACAGTCAGTGTGCGATTACTTTCAAGTGTCATACCGAAGGGGGACTTACTCTTTACGACATGGCCAGTTTCCTAATCTATGGCATGCCAAAAGTTCCAGGTTTTGCTTTCTACGAGGAAGACACTTATCAGGTTTGCAAGAAGTACGATTCTCGGCCCGGTCATGAAGGTGAATGCCTGGGGTATACGGACAAAGTCGATACTTACGTAGTCATCCCCAAGTCACTGGATATAAACGTGGAGACTGTTCTTTTGAATGGATCTGGTGGGCAACCCAAGCCCCAAGCAACGCTGAGGTATGATATTACATGTGCCAGGAGCTCGTGGAGCTGCAACATGTGCACTCTTATCAGAACTTCGCCTCCACCTCCCGTGGCTTGGGGAGGGGAGGTTTCATTGGCTTGCGAGCAAGCATGTTAAATAATAACTCAGCAATTTTGAAAATAAAAATCCTATTGGCTAAATAAAAGAGACCTTGGAGCTCCAAGATCGTATTAAGATACTTATAAATATATCTTGTTTTAATATCCTCTGCCGACTAATGAGAATTAATTAATAGTTATTTCATGGGGAGTGATCGGACGCTTGGATTGGGGGTTATCAGGTGATAAATATGAGGATATGGCTTATATCTACATATCCTGGATATGGAGATATTGGGCGTATTCACATATCCACCACAACAAAGGATCTATTTAAGATGTAGCTATTTTCTTTAGATAAAATCTTCGTGCTTAACTCAAATAGTATATCTTACCATTTACTAGCGACTAAAAGTCTTACTTCATAACTTGATCAGTGATAGCGGCCCTACTCTACCTAACCAACCAGACTAACTGCCTTCGACCACTACCAAGTTGACCGTTCGTCACACTGGATGAGCGTGGTATCATGACGGCAGGCAATGGACGAGGCTATTGTCGTTGGCATCGGTGTCATTAATCGAGTTTCTCAAGGGAATGGATGCGTTGCCGCATCAGATGACTTGATCCAGTTCTACATTCGATCGAGATGGATAATTCAAGCCAAGATGGCGGGTGAAAAAAGCAGTTCATCCGGCGAATCTTTCATTCTGGGCTTGCAATCTCCGAGTTCCGACAAGGTTCACTCTTCCTTCTCTTGGCATGCCAAGAATTCCATCTGGTCCGCCGAGCCCTGAAAATGAATTCAGCATCCTCCGAACTCCTCTGAGATCTTGGTAGTATATCTAAAGCATTCGGTTACAGGCCTTCTTCCGAAAGAACAGCCAAAAATGGTGATTGAATTCCGAGTAGTGTTCGCAAAATGGCAAATCACAGAGATGTTTTCAATAAGCGACTTTTTGAGTATCCATTTATAAAGACAAGCCTTTAAATAAGTGAAGAAGCTTTCATATCGCTTGAAAACCTAAGAACGGGCTCCCCCGGTCGCATTAGTCGGGGCGACCAATCTCGAATGAGCTGCTCTCTGTCTCGGCGCCTCCTTTACGTACGAGCTTTTCCGGTCAAACTAAGCCATGGGTAACGCTCCTTAGGCGAGAGGTGGTCCACGCATTCCTTTTATAACACCCCACCCCCTCCGAAACTAGTTGAGGAGGGTCCGGTTTGAATCATCTTCTGCTGTAGCCGGTGTCGCTCTGGAGGATCTATATCTAGAAAGAACAATGAATCGTAGGTAGCACTAGTGTTCTTCCTGACTCCTTATACTTTGTCAAATATCAAATGCGTTTCAAACCTAGCTTTCTGTAATTGGAATTATATAGAAAGTTCTTTAATTATTTTATTATAATCGATATTATATTATAAGAAGTTTTTTTATAACTCAAATTAGACGTTAAGCCAAAACCTAAAGAATTATAAAAGCTATATAACTTAAGTCTTCTTCATACCTCTATATTATAATAATTACTATATAATTTTAGTATTATAGTTCTTTAGATACTACTACTTTACTCTCTATAATAAGATTATATTACTACTTTGTTCTCTTCCTTTTATATTCTTGTTTTAATAAATACTTCCGTTTTATATCTCATGCTTCAAATATTTCTTTATAATAAACTATTAGAATCCGAATCTTCAAAATTCTAATTTACTAAAGATAAATGCTTTAAGATTGTCGTTAGAATATTTAGTATATTTTCAGTATTACTACTAATTATTAAATTATAAAATTATATACCCTTTTTATTTAGTCTTTTATACTACGTATAGAAGTATATCTTCTTCGACTAATAATATCGTAAAATTTAATAATATATAAACATTTACAATCGTATTTCTAATATAAATAAGCTGATTCTAGGTAGTGTCGAAGTGCAGAGAGGACTTTTAAGATTATCAAGAGGAATCGTAGATAAAACAACCAAATGACTGCAGCTAAAGTATAGGGATCAATTAAGCGATAGGCGCGGTGTATGATTATCATTACGTAGTCTTCTAGCTAAAGAAGTTTAAACTATAGTTTAGTTTTCTTTGGACGAGGTGAATATTCAGGGCGTACTCAGGCAGTAGCATTTTTAAAACGACTAATAATTACAAGGTCTAGTCATTATTATAAGTATAGCAAATTGAGTTTATATTCGTAATCATCCCAACTGGCCAGCTTCTCCCTGGTCCAGCTGTATTCTGGTGAATTGTATGTCGACTGCTTGACTTGTCGACTGAGGTGTAAAAGGGAGAGTGAGCTCCAGAAACTTATATGCCCAGGTAGCTCCACTTATCCACGTGCTAATTCTAGTACAAAGGGAAATGCAAAAACAAAGTAAGTAGTAGGCGGTCCCTTGGATCCCCACCACAGTAGTCCCTTTTAAAAGAGATAAGTTCCTTAGAGTAAACTACCTGAATTATTTCGTTGCTAAGATCAAATAAAGTACTAATATCTAACTAAATAGAAACTAAGTAATATTCTATATTTTGCGGAGAAATATAATTAAAGTTAAAAACCTTTGGCAAGAAAGTTCTTTCACTTTAATATATTCAGTCTTTCGTATCTTTCTTTGTACTTTCCGCAAACCTACGGTCTGGACGTATAGCAAAGGAAGACGGGCAACCCTTAGCTTCCCGGTAGACTATTTGACTAGAGATACCTTCAGAGTCTTGCTTGGTTGGAACTTACCTATATCTTTTTCGTCTGGGGCTTTTATTTTGATGGGATCTATACACATCAGTTCAATATTCTGGATAGTGGAGGGGAGAACATGATCTGCTTAGAAGGCCGATTGAATGGTGCAAATAAAAGCCCTTGATGAGTATGTTTAAGTTCATAACATTCAAATCTATACTTGTACCAAATAAAGAGGTTCTGGTTAAAAGCTTGTAGGCATTTATAATCTTCTATACCTATGAATTTAGGTGGGGGCCAAGCAACACAGGGGCGGAAGCCTGGTGGGGTATGGTACTAAGCTCTTCCACGAATGGTCAGAACAGTGGTTGTACTATAAGGAGGCTCTTCGCAGTAGGTGAAAGGGGTAAAAGAGGAAAGTTGTAGTGGTGTTAGTCTCTTGGCTTGAGCCTAGGTGTTTTTGGACGGTGCGCACGGACCTTTGCAGCTCAAGTGTGCTTTTAGCGGGGGCGTTCCGGCTACACGATAATCCGACCGTTAATATATTATCGATCTACTTCATAGACCCTATCACATCTTCCAAACAATATCCAACTCACTATCACTAAACTTCTACATCGTGATAGTTTCAATTGCATATAGCCGCCCAACCTCTCTTTCAGAGCTGTCCCAAAGCTTCGGGCATGTTCTACCGCTAAATCTGACCACTACGAGCCAGATTCTATTATAACAAAGATCGTCGGGTTATTCTTTTAGCTTTTTAGCGGAGTAACTGGACAGTCGCCGAAGGATACTGTCGCCGAAAGGTGCTTTTGAATTATTAGGCAACGACTTCTCCGAGGAATTATAACTAGTAGGTTTTCTAAACATGTCACTTTCTGTTTCTAACGCGTATAGCAGTAACACATCTACGACCGTGATGATTGTACCCGAAAATACTGCACACTATATATGCAAGCATGCCTGCTACGCGTTTTATAGTCTCCGGAACTCCGCCGAGCAAGATTATATATATCTCAACGAGGAACAGTCGTGGCCCTCTGGCATTTTGAGGAATCACACTTCTAGAACGACCGCTATCCGATGATCCAGAGATGTAGTTAAGATACTTGCCAAATCTGCTTTGGTACAAAGATGGTTGTCAAAACGTACGTCATAAAGGTCGTATCTACGAGACGATTGGTTTCCTAGGATATAGAAACCTGCAGCTTCTTATTAGATCACGAATCACGACTTTCATCTGAAGATTGCGGATTTCGGGATGGGCATCACTGTGGCTCTCCGCTATCTGCTATCGCCGGAACACGATTTCGATGTCCTATTTCAGACTAGAATGCGCCTCGTGCTTTTGAAGAAGATATATTCAGTCTAGGCTCACTGATCTACTTCATTATGACAAATGAATATCCCTCCGCGCATATCCGATATCCCTAGAGACAAAGCTAAAAAGCTTATACGAAACCCACACCTTCCCCGACGTCGTGCACCCTGCTTGCCGGCATATTATCAGACACTGTTGGCTGAAGTAAGCAAGTGAAAGCTGTTATGAATGTGCTCACTTACTTGGAGGCTGTTGATGAACTGTGACCATTGATCTCATGTTCCCAAGCCCGAATTCCACCGCCATCACTGGCAACTAGGATCATAAATGACAAACCGCTCGCCTCTGACGCTTGGGGATTGATTGCGCCTGGTTGCCTGGCCGAAGTGGATATCTTTGGCATCTTTGCATGCTTCCTTTGTCTCCGCGTACTTCGTGCAGTTCTCGGTTATCAAGTATCTTCCACCGATTGTGCACGGTGAGGTGCACTTGGTATACCGGGTCGATACAACGAACACCCAGCACATCTTGGACAGTCTGTGTGCCTATTAGATCTGGTGTCGATAACAGAGGTGGACCCGCGCATCATACTCACTTGCTTGCTTGTTTGAAGTTGGTTGTTTGCTTGCTTTGGGAGTGTCTGAGTAGACGTGGTGAGGGTGGTGGAGGATGGTGGAAGATGGTGTAGTGAGGGTGGTAGATGTTGGCGTAGGATCAGCCTAGAAGTTGAATGGGCAGTGATCCCCCGTAGGTACGTATTGGAGAAAGTGAATACACGTCCTGCAAACAACTAAAAATGATACACGTGTAGGTGAACCGCATCTCCTGCTGCAACCTTTTTAATAGAGTTACATGCCCCAGGTTGTATCCTGATCTAAATGCAACATAACATCCTATTATGTGGACAAAGAGACACAACTGGTAGACTACCCACAGCGACAAAATGGAGATTTTGGACGAGAGCTATCAGCAGATGTTGCCCGGTGGAGGTAGGATGTTACATATAATATCCCCGCCGAGTTACTTCCTAGGTACGTTTTGCACCGAAAGCATTAGCTTGAAAACCGAATGTCTGTATAAATGAAGAGTATATCAGACAAAAGTACTTGAACCACAATAGCGGAGAATGATAATAGGCCATGTCAGCGAAGCTGGCTGTTAGAGATATTGTCCTAATAGATTGACTGAAAATAGTTTGATTATATCCCTTACCCCCTTATAGGGTTGCGTACCAGTTGGCATCTTTACTACAGCCGGCGCGGGCTCTTATTGATAATAATCACTATCACAATGGTCTTCTATGACTTGTCACCTCCCCAATAATGCCATTGCAGCCCCGAATCGATGCAGATAACGTATCTTGCCGTCGTCATTACCGTATTCTACTAGTATAGTGACATAGCGAATTAATAAAGCCTTCAGATTACCATACCCCACCCGTAGAGTCAGCTACCTCTGAACAGTTTGTTTTAACTAACACCAAACAGCAACAGCTCATTCAAGATCTCATCCACATCGCCTCCCTAGGCTCCAGCGACGTGGTTTCGGGAAGTGCAACTGCAAAATGTAAGATAAAAAACAGCACCTACTGCAGTAGTAATACAAGTACCAGGGCTTCTACCCACAGGACAAATTCCTGCGTGCCTTGGAAATAGTTATATGGCCCGATCCGCAAGACTTACTATTTTGATATTCGGATTAGTCGGTCTGTAGTTATTTTCCAGTATCGGTAGCTCTTTATACGGAAGTACCACTCATCACCTCATCGACATCAGCCGTGAACCTTTGGCGCAACTGGCTAGAATATTCCTCCTTCTCCCTAACCTTTGCAGCAATGAATTCGGTCGTGTCAGTACTCCAGTATGCCGACATAATTCGATCGAAGTCGCCTCCAGCCTCTTCGTATTTGGTGAATCTCGGCCGAATGTGGGTCAAATATAGATTGTACAAACCATCCGGACAGTCCAACGCAGAGAAGAACCAATAGGCTCCAATTTCCCAGCCCTTCCGCATTACACGTGTATATGGGATATCTCCTTTTCCAAGAGATCGCTCTTCCATTTCAAAGGCTTCCATGAACTCTGAATGTGCGTTACTATAGGCTACGAGATCTTCGCCATCAAGACCGTCAAGTGAACAGCTCGTTAGCCAATATGGTGGGCGCTGCATCTCTATCGGTCGGGCACATGCCCACTCGAGATCAATTATCGCCGTGATATGCCAGTTGCTATCGACGAAGATATTACTTTGGTGGAGGTCGGTGAGCGTCAAAACGAAGGGCCCATGACGTAGATTGCGATTTGTAAAGTGCGGAAAGAGAGCTCGCATTATAGTTAGAGCTGACAGTTGTTCTTGGCCGTCAGATGTGTTGTGAATTGAATTAGGCATATACCGCATGCGGTTGTCATGGCATGCTAGGAGGTCCGAAAAGTACGTGTCTGTAGTACTATATGTTTGATCCCTTGGGATATCTGTCGGGATATCAAGATTCTCCAGCTGTTGGAGTTCACATGTCAGGGGCCGGTTTATGAGGTCTATGACACCGCGATCATCTATAGTTAGAGATCCAATGCGCGGAAATGGAAGCCGATTTAACGAAAGTATGATCCGAGATAAGTCCCTAAAGAGATTGGTCCTCCGGTCTAGATCGTGCCGTTGCGTCTCCCAAGACTCAGAGAGCATAGTACCCTCATCTACGCAGTCCACAATTAGATATCCAGCCTCTAATTTATAGGGCGGTTGGCGGATAAGGTATTGACACGGAATCGGGCATCCGAATAACCATGAAACTCTCTGTCGAAGGAACCACGCAATCCTGGAAAGCAGAGGTGCATTTGCAGCAGCGGTAAACTAAGCATTATAAATCAGTACGGTTAGTAGGCCATCCTCAAGGGAAGTAAAATCACCTACAGTTTGACCTCCAGAAAAGCCGAATCCCCTTAGATAGGGTATTGGAACGTCAGGACAATTGCTCTGCATCCATATGTAGGTGGCAACCTCACAGCGGAGCTTCTCCTCTGCGTTACCGGGATACTGTGACTCGCCGGCTTTGTATGGCAGGGGGAACCTGATGAACACATTTTTTAAGGATTTAGTCGGGCCATTGATATATACAGGTATACAGGCATTGAAGCTGCCGTGAACCCACTCGCTGAACTCCCCTGCTACCTTGCAGACATCCTTGGAAACCCCAAGGTGGAAAGATACGATGGCCTCAATCCCCGCACGGTGCTGAAAGAGATAGTAGAAAAAGTCTAGTCGTTTCTCTGGATACGATAGCTGTTGGAGGATATTTTCATCCTGACTGAGCGCCTCATCCAGCGTGATGGTTTTCTTAAGAAGGGGGAGCGAAGGGGGCATCGCTGGAGATGTATAGACGACCTAGATTGATGAAGTAGACGCAAGGAGCAAGCTGACAAGGCTGCTGTATGCATCACGTGATTATCAAAACGTTCGCTTACCCAGATGCCTCAGTCTCAGTCCTCGAACTTGGACGGACTCGAAACAACCTAACACAGGGTCTGATTTATAAGATTAATTCTTCGTAGCTTTCCGGATTTTATTAATAGTAGTCTTAACTGGCTTTCTATTTTTAAAATACCTTCATCACTCGAAACGTGAGCAGTCCCTCAGTGTAACATACTTCATGCATATATATATAGTGCAGATAACACAAAGGATAAATCAACATCACATCTACACATCAAAGCATCCCTAATATTTATTACACAACACAGTGACAGCAGCCACATTTTAATTCATTAGATACTTTGCTACCTATCTATCGCTATAATAATCTTAACAGAAGGTAAAGGCAAACGGGGGGGCTTTCCCGCATCCACCCAACTGTCAAGTTAAGCGTTTGCCCAACTCCGGTTTGCAAAAAGGGGAATTCCGAGGACGCGTGCATATCTAGTCCCATTTCCCCCTAATGTAACGCCACGCAAAGTTCGACCGATTTGATAAAAACAACAAGGAAACTATTGTAACCGCCCGCGCCAGAATAATGCACCAGGGCCTCCGGATATGCTGTTTTGCTAGACACTGTTCTCCCCTTTTTTTCTCTCTTAGTCGATCTCTACGACCTCTCGTTTCATAGAGCCATTTCTCCCCTGACTCTGGTGGATTTGACTTTGGCTGTGGTTTGGCGTGGGCTGTTGTCTTTGCTGTTGCTGCTGTCCTGGGACCTGAGGGCGGGCCTTTGGAGTAGGGTTGGCTAGGCTCTGCTGCGGCAGTCCTGTCGTTTCCTGAGCAAGTGCAAAGTTCCTCACAACTTCATCCATCTTGCTCAGAAGTTCTTCAACGCCACTAGCTTGCGCAACTGCACTAACACGCATCCCCTGCCATCCATGACCAGATGAGTTCCATATAGGCTTCAGGGCAGTATCCAGATCATCGCCATTTTTGTCTCGAGAGTCGATGCGACGAACATCCCACCACGGCACACCTCTTCGTTGTCTCAACTTGACGACGAACATTATTTTGCGTGACCTAGGCGGTAAAGTGGGATTAGGTGGTTGGGCGGTCGGGAGGTTGTATCGAACAATGTACCAGTCGGTTGACCTGACGAGCATGAAAGCTTCTCCTTTGGACCTAGGTATAGAAGCCCACGACGTCTCAATGCTGTCAATAGCGAACAAAACAGGGAGTGTAAGTGGGAGTAGGGTGGCAACGCCATTAAGCCCTTCTGATCCGTTCAAGATCCGGTTCAAGTAATCGCCGATGTGGAGGTGGGGATTGCCTGGCTCTAAAACTAGAGCCATGCTACCGCCCGTGCCACCAAAGTCTACCACAGCTTTGTATTCCCTGGGGCCGGCTTGATCAACGTCCATGGCATCTGGATTCGATTGTGATTTGATTTTTCCATAAGTGAAGACGATCTTCCCAAGAGATATGGTCTCGCATTTAAGTTGTTTCTCGTGATCCTGTAGTACCCGGACGAACTTCAGCAGGCGGTGGACACGAGTGGCGCGCTCGATGAGATTTGGGATAACGGATTCCCCAACTTGGCTGCGTAATCGTAAAGCCAGAGATCCGGTCTCATAATCAAACGCAATATCAGGATCAATTCTTTCTTTGATATCCCTAAGTGCAGCCGGAACGGGCATACTGATTCGTGCTTCTGTTATTATGTAGGCATTTTCCTGGGCCAGAGGGGTGGCGGGTGACTGGCTGCTGGGCGTTAATGCCAGCGTTTGCTGTTTGGGCACTCGGCGTCCCTCAAGGCCTTGAAAGGTAAGCTTGACGAGGTCTTTCTTGAATGCTTTAGGCGAGTTGATAAGCTCCGAGAGCCGTATGTAGATTGCGGGGAGCTTGACTGGAGTGGGCAATTTGTTACTCTCATGGGGCATATAGTGGACCCGTTTTCCGTATAGAGATTTGAGGTTGGCATAGTGCGAGAGGAGGGCGGCAGCAAAGATGTGAAGAGTAGTCAAGAATGTGTATGTAGGGGTGGGTGAGGGCGATTTGATGGGGATACCAAGAGCGCTATTGATTTTGACATTGGCTTCTTTTTTGGACTTCTTCGTGGTAGGTGCAATACTAGCTTCAGCGGGGGGGTCGGTGCTGTATCTGTTAGCATTTTCATATATAGGTGGATTGGGGAAAGGTACGTTTCAATGAGCCACCAGCGCTCCCCACTCATGCTCATACTAATTGCAATATACCAGTTTTTAACCCAGCCCGGCCTTCGAAGCCAAACCACCTGTGAGGCGTCCTTGGGAATTACTGCTTTCAAATCGTCTTGTCTGAGACCGGGGTTGTCTACTCTAATCCACCCGAGACTTAGCCCGCGGATAACAATATCTTCGGTGATAGCAGCATGACGGAGACCATCAATATAGGTGTGCGCATCGGTTGCCGGGTCCACAGATCTATTGATCCTATATTCAAACTCCGTGGTGACCCGAGATGCAGGGCTGAAAATGAAACGACCTGTGATCGGCTCGATTCTGATGGATACGTGCCGCTCATTGGTCAATTGGACCCTCAATTCCGACTCTGCTGGCTCGTCATTTGAAGTCGTCAACGCAAGGACAGCCTCGCGACTAGCAAACAAGGGTTTCGCCCTTAGTTTCTCATACGTCGATGTCAGTATATGGTTGACATGCTTCGCAATAACCGTTTTCAAGAGCGATTCTGTTGATATGTTTACCGTGTCGAACGGAATATCTACTTCTTTCACTTCTTTTGAGTCTCGGAACCACCTGATAGACAATCGGCTGGTATCCTTCGGATGACGGACTCCAACCTTTCGTTTGCCGCTGTGTACCCCGAGGATAATCCAACTCTTGGGGCCAGGCCGGCCGTATGGGTCCAACCAGTACTGTATGGACAACGCTCTGTTCAGCGCCTCCACCTTGAGACTCTCTACCCATTTGCCCCTTGCGAGACCTGCGGCTTGTCGTCTGAATTCGCTAATCTTATGGCTCAAGACCATGCCATGCAGGAAATTATAGCACCCGGGGAGCCCGCCTCTGAGCAGAGCTTCGTTGACTCGGCTTTCGATGAAACCACGGATGTGGGGAGCAAGATCCGAAATCGCAGGGCTAAACAGGAACCTAAAGTCGATGAACCAGAACTGAGTTTCCGGATCATCGTCTGCTATGGTAAGATCGACTTCAAACTCCCCCTCTACCTTGAATGTCACGCGCCCGGACTTGATAGTATATTCCCGGAAGTGTATGGGGATATTATCGTACTCATGCAGGTTCAGTCGGATCGAGAGAAGGGTGTTGAGACTCTCGAGCGACTTCAGGATTTCGTGGGCCGTGAGTGGAGGAGGCTCAATGTAACCAAGATCTGGCATCCAAGATGCTTTCCCTGTAGTCAGAACTTCGAGAGCCGTTTTTATGTCCGGATTGGGTAGTCTTGCGTGCATCAGGCTCCGTTTGACCTCGCTCAACTCATGGACAGCAAAATCATAGAAGGCCTTCTGTTGGTCTAGATGGACCTTCGCGTCAATCATCTTGCTCACATCTTCGCTCCTCCGGCTCCAGTTTGTTATGACGAGGGCCTTGGTCCATTCGGTATGCGTCTCCTGGGAGAACTTGAGCAGGCGCAGCTTTTTGGCAAGATTCTCCGCGCTATTGTCGTCTACGGTCGTGATATGAGATGCATTTCCATTGGCAACCGACGCAGGTAATGGCATCTGCGCCAAATCCAGCACGGTTTTCGAAAGGTCATTATGCGTCTTTTGCGCCAGTCGGGCGAGCAACGTCGATAATGACAAATAGCCTTGGGTGATATGGACAATCTCTGGCGGCAGTTGATCCATTTGGCTCCTGCCATCTTTTAGGGTGGTGCCCTCCACGCCAGCCTGATGCCGCGGGCTTTTTGCGAAGCCTCCATGTATGCCATTCGGGATCGTAGGGCTCGTCGGCGTCACGTTCTGCTGCGGCTCCGCTCGCCCTTTGCCCTTCTCCAGCAGCCTCTCGTTCAGGTGGTTTGCATTTGCTCCATTGAGCCCATTCGGCCGTTGATCTCTGTCGTGATTCGTATGCGGGCCCTGCCTTGCCCCATTCTCCATAATGACGCCGGGCATGCTCTCTGCCACTGCCGCGGGCCCTCGATCGCCTTCCAGCCTGGCCGCCCCCTTCGCGGCGCCCACGACAACCCCCTCGTCGTCCCTGCTCCTTATCCTCCCCGTCGACTCTATCTTGGCTGATGGCGCGGGAGGCGAAGGCTTGGGGTATTCAGCAGCGGACCGGAGGAGTCAGATGGCATGCGCTACCTCGTGTGACCCAGGAACATCGGCGCGATCGAGCTCTTGAGGCACTCCGGGCCACTCCTGCTGAGTTTCCAACCTTGATGGGGTTGGGGAAGGGTGCGAGTTGGTCTGGCGGTGGTTGAGAATGCACCGCGCGACCTTGCAGTAAGGGAATGCCTAGTGCTGCAGCGTCCGCGGCAAAGGGCTATGACGGGGGGTGGTGATTGATCTGGATGCTGAGATGCGCGGCGTCAAAGGAAAGTGGGCGAATGGGCGCGCGAAGCAGCGGGTGTGGATTGGAGAGGATCGCAGGTGGGATTTGGTGGTGGTGGTGGTGGGTGAGTTGGTGAGTTGGTGAGTTGGTGTTGTGTTTAAGTGTAGTGTGGGTGTAGTGTAGTGTTGTGTTGTGTTGTGAGTTGTCGTCGCCCTGGGCTCTCTGGCGCTGGAAGCCAATCTTCAACGCTCGGCGCTCTGCTCTGCGTCTTTGCGTCTTTGCGCCTTTGCGTCCTCCTTCCATCTCGGAAGCTGGCCTGGCGAGGCGAGGCGAGAATGGAACGCTGCTGGGATCACGTGCCGAGCCTATTGCCTGCTGGTGGTCGGCAGATCTACGGGCGGCCGAGGATCTGCCGGCTATGATGCTGCATCATTCGTCGTTCGTCGTTCATTGTTTATCGAGGAGTTGTTACTATTGGAGGTTTGCTCTCGCTCCCAGATCTACATTTGTTAATGGGTTTCGTTTCTATACATGTTCTGTCGCATGCTATTATACTGCTATGCACACTGGCAACAAATAGCAGATACTTGCTGTAGATACTGCAGACAGCGGCTGCATATCACTGATACACCACCACTGGCCGTCGGCCCTCCCTCCCTCCTCCTTGCGTGCTCGTCCTTTGTCTTTGTCTTAAACATGATGCGTGTGGTGCTTGTGATAGATGGAAAAGTCGCGACCCTGGCTTACTATAGCATAGGTACCTAAGGTAGGCACAGTAGGTAGCGGAGTTGCCCAGCATCTGCCACCAGCTCCTTCGTCCCAGCTATCAGCTACATATCAGCTATCAGTTATCAACTCCCACCATCCTGCTTCTGCCATCTCACGCTCTATTCTCGTCATCCCCAACCGACTTCATGCAGCCCACGGAGCGCAAGCATCTGGGGGGGCTGAAGGATTCTTGACCGTCCTTCTCCACGATCCGCCATTTGGACGATCCGATACTTGATACCACCGCTCGCGTCCTCGACCAAACAATGGTCGCGTCGTCCGTGATCCTCCTGCGCAGCCATTCGGGAACGGGTTACACGGTGCTGAGTGCGCCGTGCTGACTGGTCCGCCCGCAACTCTAACGAACGTCACCGTCACCGTCACCGTCGCAGCGAGTCCTGAGCGCGGTCCATTAAGTGAGTGATGCTTCCTCGTCGCCAACCTCGGCCGCACCACCAACCACCCAAACCACCGCCCATCTCGACTTCCAACAGCCCGAAACGCTCGAATCCTTCCTACTCATCCTCGTTCGAGGCCGATGACGAGCGATCGAGCTCGTCCGACCACGATAGCATGGGGCCGGACCTAGCTGCAGCCTTGCGCGATGGCCCGGCGAAGTACGCCGGCGAAGATACGCGGTTGACAAGCTCGAAAGAGCTGTCGGGATGGTATGCATACGCATTCGCCGCCGAGGTGTTCGTGATATGCGGAATGGGTGAGTTTGGGATCTCGCAGGGCTCTGCCATCGTATAATAATATACTACGACCACATTCCTGCTGGCAGATATGCTGTGTATTGGTGGCCCTCATGGTGCTGATATAGGGAGCTTCTCCAGAATCATTGAAGCCAGGCGGGGATGATGCGTCACATAGATCTTATTATGGCAGACGTTCTGAAGCTGCCCTTATTTTACCGTCGCAATGCTAACCATCTCTCACAGGATCATTCATCCCAATCACCCTCGAACAGCTCGCGCGGGAAAATGGGGTCTTACTCTCTGACCGCACAACACCATGTCCATCAAGCTCGAATACCTCTCCTGGGCTTCCCGGGACCCCCGGGGCCTTCAAGGACGATGGCCAGTGTGTGGTATACATTTTGGGCATGGAAATAAACACAGCAAGCTTCGCCATGTACACTTTCTCCCTGAGTGTGCTTTTCCAAGCAATTCTGGTCGTGTCTATAAGCTGCGCAGCGGATCATGGCAACTATCGGAAGCAGTTGCTGCTGTTCTTCGCATTTGCTGGCTCCATTGCCACGATGCTTTTCCTCGCCGTGGTCCCCGAGGTCTACCTACTAGGGGCTGTTCTGGCGATGGTTTCGAATACGTGCTTCGGCGCAAGCTTCGTTCTTCTAAACTCATTCCTTCCCCTCTTGGTCCGACATCATCCCAAGGCACAATATGCGACTCCAGATTTAACCCCTGGTTTGCCGTCACCTGCTTTGGAGGAACCTTCTGAGGCTCCGCTTGATGAAACTGAAGGGAATCATATGGTTGATTCGACGGCTGCGCTTCTAGGGCCATCCTCACGCCCTGATCAACCCAGTCCCTCGAAAAAGCATGTTACTTCCATTGAATTACAACTCTCTACGCAGATATCTTCCACGGGAATTGGTATCGGCTATATTGCTGGGTTGTTTTTGCAATGCGTGTGTATCGTCGTTATCTTCGTGATGAAGAGTACGACTTTATCACTTCGTGTTGCGTTATTCATCGTTGGGGCATGGTGGTTTGTGTTTACTTTCCCGGCTGCAGTATGGCTACGACCGAGACCCGGACCACCTTTACCATCTGAAAATCCTGATGACCCGACCGCTACACGCACTTGGCTGGCGTATTTTACATATGCATGGGGTTCGTTGTGGCGTACGGTCAAACTAGCTCGCCGCCTCAAGGATATCGTCTTATTCCTGACGGCGTGGTTCTTGATCTCTGATGCGATCGCTACCGTGTCAGGAACTGCAGTTCTCTATGCTAAGACCCAATTGCACATGAAGCCAGCAGCATTGGGGCTGATCAATGTCATTGCGACCACCGCAGGGGTAATCGGAGCTTTCACGTGGGCCGCAATCTCAAGAACATTCAACCTACGGCCCCATCAAACTATTTTGGCATGTATCTGCATATTTGAAATTATCCCACTCTATGGGCTTCTAGGCTATCTCCCATTCGTTAAGAACTGGGGGGTCATAGGTCTCCAGCAGCCCTGGGAAATGTATCCCTTAGGTTTTGTGTATGGTTTTGTTCTGGGCGGGTTGAGCAGTTACTGCCGTGCTCTCTATGGCGAGCTTATACCTCCAGGATCAGAAGCCGCATTCTACGCTCTGTATGCTATTACCGACAAAGGATCCAGCATCTTCGGTCCCGCCATCGTAGGCGCAATTGTTGATCGGACGGGCGGGATTAGACCAGCGTTCTGGTTCTTAGCAGCTCTGGTTGGCCTTCCGGCACCATTACTCTGGTTCGTGGATGTGGATCGCGGGAAGGAGGACGGTAGAAAACTAGCGGAGGTCATTGAAGGGTTCAAGGTTGCGGAGAGCGGCCCTCCTACTATAAACGGGGAGGAGTCACCGTTGATTGCGGATGATGGAGAGTACGAGGAGCGGACGCATGGGGAGTAATTCTTTTTCCAGCTGGATCAGGCGCATTGAGGTGCTATTAAAGGCCGTGTTTTGTAGGCGTTGTGTCTTGTGGAGCATATAGGTTTGGAGTTTTATAATTCTATATTTGCAATTCAACCATTCAAGATTATCCCACTAGGTCTGGGATCCAAGTCTATCCGAGTCTGAAGTTTGTTTTGCAATTGTAGTACCTAACTACTCCACTTTTGAAAGTGGCTAACGTTTTAAGTCAAAGTGACTGTGTGTTATGCTATTCTCTGAATCTCTTGAAGAGCCCCGATGTAATAACCCCAATCAAACAAGCCTCCCATAACCGTCCCCCATCAGCATATGACCACTTACTTGCTCCCCATAAACTGCTAAGTGCCCCCAAACCCTCATGTCTCATCCCGATCACTCATCCAGAACCAACCTAGCACGCGCGCTAGCCTTCCTAATCTTTCTCACTCTCCGCTTACTCTCTTTGGCACGTTTAAGCAGGCTGTCCAACTCCCTGGTCCTCAGTTCGATCAGGTTGTCGACTTCATCCTCGACCATTTGGCCCAATTCTTCCATTTTATCCAACCACCGCATAATGTTGTATTGCATGTCCTCGGAGTCTGGTGGTCCGTATACGGCCGGATGGACGTAGATGGAACCGGTTGACTCGCTCTCAGAGCGCTTCTGGGGGAAGTGTTAAAACGTATCATGCAGTATGACAGTGACGATAAGGCAAACCTACCTGCCTCTTGGGGGCTGGAGTTACGGATCCCTCGAATTCAAACATGCGACCGGTGTCGGTTTCCTAGGATAGTTGTTAGATGAGAAATTGATATCGTGGAAGCCGGGGGACATACCTCTTCCTGTTCATACTTTCTCTTGGTGGCAGAGTTCATCAGAGGCACCATTTGATTCATGCCATCTGTTTCCAGATTGGCCTCCTGTTTGACTTCCTGCTTGACCTCTTGCTGCTTGACCTCCTGCTGCTTGACTTCCTGCTTGACCTCTGGCTGCTTGGCCTCCTGCTGCTTGACCTCCTGCTGATTGACCTCCTGCTGATTGGCTTCCTGCTGCTTGACTCCTCGCTGATTGGCTTCCTCCTGCTCGACTTGTCGCAGTTTGACTGCCTCCTGCTGAATCTCCCTGAGCTCCCTAGCCTCCCTGTCCTTCATGGACTCCCTGTGCGCCCTAGCTGTCATTAGAACACGCATGTTGATATTGGACGTCTTGTAATCTAACTCAAGTCAGCGTTCAGCTTTGGCTTGCGGCACAAAAGTCAAGGGAGAACCAGAAAATAATACCGGATGGGTATATGAGCTCTTTGTGTTTGATTTTGTTCGTGCGAGTGATAGCTTGAATTGTTTGGGTGTTGTGTGTGTGGGAAGAAAAAGCTGGTTTGGTGTGAAGTCGTGGAGGTGGTTGACTTCCTTGAAACTAAATGTCACCTTTGAGTTGGAAAGCGTGCCAGAATTAGGGCGGTAAATAAAGCGGCTGGTATTGTCACCGTATGGGTGGTGGATCCTATTGTCACAATGCAGTCCGTCGCCGCGGATACTGCCTGTTGATTCTAGTAGAAGGTGTTAGAGCTGGTGATAAAGCCTGAAGGGCTAGTCATTTCAAGAATCCTAGCGCTATTGTCGGCATTTATAATATCTATTCCTAAGTAATAATTAGTATTTATCTAATCTTATACCTTTCGCGCTAGATCGGTCAGGATATAGGATAGAGCCGAGTACTTCTAAGTACTCTTTTAGATTTAGCTCCTCGTTATAAATACTAGATATTTCTTTTCCGAATAAATTCCTTAAAGTAATAATATACTTAGTAGAGAAAAGTCTCGAAAGTCTTAGTATTTCTTAGTAGTTAATTAAAATAAAGATATTTAGTATTCTATGAGCTGGTTAGTCGGGCGCAGGATTCCGGGGTCTGCCTCGCTACAGCAAAGGACTTGAAGATAATACGCGGCTTAATATAACTGGTTCCCTACGCGCCACTATAAGTAGGACAAAACTTTCAATCAAAAATGCCGAATTCTTAACACCTTATTAACCTTTATTGTCCAGCGAAAGAGCTTGTCAATCACCATCACGATCTACCTACGGTTATAGTCGAAAGGAGCATTATAGGCGTGCCATCTAGGGATGGAAGGCACACAATTCGTTGCAGGTATGGCTGGCGATGTTGGCGAGACGACACATACAAATCCTGTGTATCACTCCTGCGAATTTTGTAAGAAGTTCGTAATCGATTTCGGCTTAAAAGATAAAGCATGGATTGCCAGGACCTTCTCCTCAGATATGAAAAGCTTAGGTTCTGCGCTGCAGTTGCATAGTACAGGAATCAAGGGCTGGCTCAAGGAGCGAACATTGGTAGGAAAGATTCGCCGTCCTAGAAAAGAGAGCCTTGGCATAATAGATTGGCCATTGTCAGACCTTGAAGGAAGCAATCGAGCAGAGATTTCTATAAATAGGCAAGATGGTAGGTTTGACACTACTATATTTAATCTAACGAAAGAGGATATGCGTAAGGGGGCTGCAGAGGGCTGCACATTTGCGAAAAGACACTTGCACCTAGTCCCTGGGACTAATAAAAATGAAGAAGGTTTTTTGGCAGCTCAGTACGACTATGACAAAAAATATCCCTTCAGGCTTGTGCTAGCTGTACTGGAGCAGGACAGACATAAAAGGCGAGAGTTTCAGATATACAATTTTTCGAGTTTTACCTCTGACAATAGGTTTGATATGATTGCTCCCCCAGGTAGGTTATGTTCCTACTCTATACTAAATCTATCTTAGCGTAAATTGATAACGGAAGCAATACTGACTATAAGCAAAGGAAATATTACCGAGTTGGAGATGAAAATTTTCACTCGGCCGATGAACCTAACGCCATCATCAAGCGAGAGTTTCCAATTAGCTCGGAGTTGGTTTCGAAATTGTTTAGACACTCATCTCATGTGTCCTAAACCTACAAGTCGATTCATGCCAAAACGAGTCATCGAGGTACTGAGATTCGACGTACTAAGTCAAAACCACTCTCTGCGACTCTGCGAAAGGCTATTCGAGAATGGAGAGCCATATGCTGCTCTCAGCTATTGCTGGGGGACTGAAGGGCAAATAGTAACGAAGTATGAAAACATTGCCCAGCATCTGGAAAGAATCGACACACAACTGCCGGCGACTGTAACCGACGCACTCCGGATTGCTGTTGAGCTGGGGATTCGATACGTGTGGATCGACGCGTTATGTATTATCCAAGATGACTTCCACGACAAAATCCAAGAGATATCCCAGATGCCGTTAGTGTATTCTCAAGCTACAGTCACTATTGTCGCGTCTCGAGCTAGATGCGTGCAGGAAGGCTTTTTGTATAAAAGAACGAGCTCGCAGAACGTTTTCAAGCTGCCTTGCCGTTGCCCCTCTGGTCAAACCGGCGCCGTCCTTCTGCAGCCATGGATTGAGACGTGCCGTGAACCGTTGGATTCAAGAGCATGGGCCTTACAAGAGCGTTTACTCTCTCCAAGGGTTCTGGATTACGGATCTTTTCAGACAAGATGGATTTGCAAGGAATACTCCGAATTTCAAACCCCTACGGACAGGTTTAGAGCTATGTCAACTTACCAAACGATGCCGACTATCACTAAGAGCCAGCCGAAAACCGAGGTCCTCGAACAGTGGCATAGTCTTGTAACCGCATTCACTCATCGTGATCTTACTCTACCTACTGACCGCCTTCCGGCTATTTCGGGGATTGCAACACGCTTTTCGAACTTTCTAGGTGAATATTACGCAGGTCTTTGGAAATCATACTTATGGCAGGAGCTCTTCTGGTGTTGTGATCATCTCCCTGATCCGGCTCCCAAACCTAAGGTGTCCCAAGCTCCTTCGTGGTCTTGGGCTGCTACAAATAGCATGGTTAATTGGTTGTGGGTAGGTAACTATAAGACCGACCCCAGTTTCGAGATCTTGGATAATCGAATCCATCTCGTGGAAACGAAGCAAAACATGACTTATACTGAAGCTAAATTCGGAGCCGTTAGCTCTGGAACCCTCGTTGTCCGCGGGCATCTCCAGCCAGCTGCATGGGTACCATGGTGGGGTGGGATTTGTGGGTACAAATGGTGGGGGGGCGATCAGTATTTGCAAGGCGAATGTCTTCACGCGATAATGCATTACGATATTATGGAAGAAGAATATGCGTCGACTGGGGGGGAAAACCAACTTTGGAGAAGGAAGACGGAGGTGCCGGGCAGATGTCTTTCAACGGAAATGCATCCATATACTATTGGAAAAGAATTTGCGCCGCGTGGAGAGAGAAACCCCATCCCAGTCTTTCTTTTGAAGGTTGCACATATCGATTCTGACCCAGGGGACAATCGTGGTTTTGATCGTCACATAGGATTGGTGTTACGTCAGACTGATAACGGTGAATATTCAAGGCTTGGAGTATTTCAGTTCGAATTCGGCGGCTTTAAAATCCAATACCCCTCTAGAGATGGGTATATAGAACAGCTGCGCTGGCTCGAGGAAAACGAGCCTCAGATTATAACTATAATTTAGCCCATGTTTCTTCTGTACTACATGTGTACACAGTGCCTGGCTTGGCATGAGCGGTGCGTTGTGTAGAAAGCAGAGGCTGCGTGGTTATGCAAGCACTGGTAAGTAGACCCCTAAAAACAGCGGCTAAACCCCGCTAAAAACAGGGTCTCGTTAACCGTTACACTGTGTAAAGAAGTATTTCAAAAATAATATAAAACTGAAATTAATTAACTCTAAGCTTATATATATTAGCTATAATAACTTAATATTAAACTTTCAACTAATTTATTATATTTATTTTAAAATTTAGAATAATTTAACTACTAATATTAGCATCGATGTCTCTACTTATAGATATCTTAGAAAGGTCCTCTAACTTAAGAAGACTATATTCCTTATATACTTTTCCCTGTAACAATAGAGCGAGAGCCAAAAGCGAGGGCTTATCTGGATGTGTATAAACAAACTGAAGCTTTCTCTCAGCTTCTAACGCCTTGCCTAACCTTAGCAGCTTCTTAGTAGCTATTATATACCTCTGATCAGTATGTGAATATTCCCCTGCTTCTTGCCATGGTAACATTATCTGCTTAAGAGTTCCTTTCAAATGAGTTGATAACGCTCGAGCTATATGCTTCATATCGCTCAACGAATCAATTCGCGTTTGGCCTAGATCTAGAACTTTTTCCGTTGCGAGTTCCGAGTTGAGGAAATTCTGGGCTTCAGTCGAGCCTCTGAGTTGAACGAGTGCAAGACAGTAGTATGCAAGACTGGTTAAGGTATCCGAGTGCTCTTTGCCCAGCAATTCTTTCCGGCCTTCAAAAGCTTCTCTCAATAACTCCTCGGCCTGCTCAAGTTCTCCTGCTTGAAGTAGAATGCGTCCCGTCTGCTCGGCGCTAGACAGTATATCTGGAGGAATCATTGCTTTTCGTCGTTTTCCCAATACATCTTTACTGACGATTTGAGCGCTGGCGTGCTGTCCCTCTAACTGAAGGACCCAAACGTAGTTATACCGACTCAAAAGCCGATCGGGGTGATTATCCGCCAGTCTCTCTCGTCGATAATTCGACGCGATTCTGATCTGAATTGCTGCTTCTTTATCTTTGTGCTGGCTTTGGAGGATTAACGAATAAGTGTCAATGCTGCACAGCGTATCTGGATAATCATCGCCGAACATCGTCTGCCTCTCATGAAGTGCTTGCTTGCAAAAAATTTCAGCTTCCGGGTAGTGACCAAGACAATGGAGGGCAGATGCGTAGTTATCAAGACTGGATAGGACATCGGGATGCTGATTTCCCAGTATTTGTTGCCTAGCGACTAAGGTATTTTTGCCCAAGCATTCAGCTTCTTCGTACAGTCCTTGGAGTCGTAGTACTACAGAATAGTTGTGAAGATTTGACAAGATGTCGAGATGATTGGCCTCAAGAACGTCTCTTTGCGCCAACAAAGCTGAGCCAATAGCGGCTTTCGCCTCTTTGTACTTGCCAAGTCTCGAAGATGCCGAGGAGAGATTGCTGAGAGTCGCTAGTGTGTGTGGATGCTTACTTCCGAGGCTCATTTCTTGCCTCTGCATTGCATCCTCGTATTCACGCTCTGCAAGTGCATATCTTCCGTGCATAAAGTCGATCCAGGCCTTGTCACTTAGACAATTGATGGATTCGGGATGTGTGGTATGTTCCAATTCGGTGTTTTTTAATGTCTTGTGCTTCCTCCTACGTACTTCCGTGTACAGCCTCTCTGCTTCCACGTAGCATCCTTGGTATCGATAGACTGACGCCAAATTTCTCATGCTAGTAAGTGTATCTGGATGGTCCTCTCCCAGTGCTTGTCGTCGTCGTTCATATACACTTTCAGCCTCTTTCTTGGCAACACCATGTTTCCCTTGGCATAAATGTATCACGGCAAGATGATCTAGGGTAGATAAAGTGTCAGGATGGTTGTCTCCTAATACCATGCGTCTTGTTTCCAGTGTCTTCTGCATACAATCGGCCGCACTTTGATATTTTCCCTCAGCATGGAGCACAGACGCGTATGCTTGGTAGCTAGCCAATGTGTCTGGGTGTTTGTCGCCTAGCAGCCGCAATCTCCCTTGTAGTGCCCGTTCAATCTCCCCTTCGGCATCTTCATATAGCCCTTGGCAGTGGAGTATTGTCGCGTATTGATGGAGGCATGCTAATGTATCAATATGCTCGATTGGAAGATTTTGTTCTCTTTCTTGGAGCGCTTGAAAGCTATGTTTCCTGGCTTCGTTGTACATTCCAAGACACTGGTAAACAAGGGCAAAATTGTCATGATCTCTCAAGGTGTCCTTTGTTCCAAGCAATTGTTGTCGTGTGTCCCGTGCCTTTTGACACTGACGGAAAGCTTCCGTGTATCTCCCTTGGCCCCGAAGCAGAGCCGCATAATTGTCAATACGAGCCACGAAATCCAACTGATCTTCGAGCGTTTTGGCTTGTTTTTGCGACTTCTCCATGAGTTTCAGAATATTTCCGAGCTCGGCTTCGGCGATCTCATAATATCCTTGATAGCGAAGGTCACGCATGTTGCGGCTCCTCAATGTTACCGGATGACCGAGGCCCCAAACCTTTTGGCTTAACGGGAAGGTTTCTCTTGCTGAAGCCGCTGCATCATCGTATTGGCCGCATTCCCACAACCAAAGTACAACTGTTTCTTGCATCTTCAGAAGTTTTTGTTTAAGCGGCTGAAAGATTTTCTCGGCAACTATATCGCTGTCTTCATCGACGTCTTCGATAAATTTGAGAATGGATGCGATGTGGCTCAACATCTCTTTGTATTGGATGGAGTCTTTGCTGGGCCCGAATTCTCTGGCTGAATGTCCTATTGCATGATGAAGTCTTTCTATCTCTGCGCCGATGCGTTTGCTGCGACGTTGCCAAGTATACTTGGTTGAATTGAGTTCCTCTCGAAGTTTCTTTCTGCTCAAGTCCTGTACCAGCTTGTGAATCGATAAGGATTTTTCTCTGCCATTAGATTGCTGTGTCAGAAATGACAGCCTCTCAAGCCTTATTATCAGGTCAATCACCCCAGTATCAGGGTCAATGTGCTTCTCATCGACCTCAGGTTTGGGCCACAGCAAAAATGATGGGAGGTATGAGGTTACTGAAGTTTGTCTGAGACTTTGCAAGACTTCAACTGGCTTTTCAAACAATCTTACACTGATGCTGGTTGGGTTATAAAAGGATAGATCATCAACAAGAACGGCTTCTGCAGCTTTTGGATTTTGTTTTAGCTCAAAGAAGAAGTCGAATGCATTCTCCAGGACTGGTGTCTGTTTATAACGTGGGTGATCTCTGTAATGAGGAATGTCTATCTTCCAAGTGAGCGCCTGAAAGCGAAGTTAGCTGCTGCAGACATGTATATCAAAGGCCTCACAAACTTTGCTCCTTGCTTCCCAGGCCGAAATCAGGCCATTGATCTTGGCGTACTTTGCCGCCATCTCGACCGCGAGGGGTAGGTTGCCAATGGCGTTGAGGATATCTGCAATCTTGCTCTTCTCCATCTCGTTAAGTAATTTGCTCTTTTCCGTCTCCCTACGATCGAACTTCCATATTCTTGTAAACATCTTAGTGGCACTTTCTGTATCCAGAACCTTGATCTCCCAGCAACGATAGGTCTCCAGAGAAACAAGAAGAAGAATATCCTCAGCTATCAACCTAGATCTTGTAGTAGCGATGACTTTGCAAGTCGAACCTCTGGTAGGGACAATGTCTTCTTGCACAATTGAACATGTCTTATCATGGACATCATCCAATACAAGAATCCAATCTTGATTCTCTTGGAGAGAGTCATATTCTAGCCAACCTTTCAACTTCAATCGTCTTTGTCTTGCATCCGAATGCCGATGTCCGTCTCCATCTTGAGGATAACATTTCTCCAAAGCGCTCAGGATAGATTGGTCAAGAGCAACCTCAGTAGATACCTTGAGCCATATAATACTGATGTGCTTGTGCACTCTATCCAGGTATTCGTGAACAAGCGCAGTCTTGCCCACTCCTGCCATACCCCACATGACACAGTACGATGGAGTTCTGCCACTGCCATCTTGAAGCATAGTACTTATGTGGCGAAGTTCTTCTGTTCTACCTGTAAAGTGGGGTAGAAAGTTCCCAGAGATAGAGTGCACAGGCTTTTGAGGTCTGGTTGCTGGCGTGGGACCTTTAACCACAGTTCTTAGAAGCAGTTATCAAGTAAAATTACCGCTGTGAAATTGTACTCACTCTCTTGTGGGTAATTGTTGATGATCTTCGTTCCTTTGATAAGTGTTAGCAACACACATATTGTAGTTGTTAGAGAGGAACGCAATACTGATTCGCGCGCTTCGATGTGCAACTTGATGACCTGTTGATATACTTCCTATCGGATTGGAGGAGCCCTTGTGTGTCCAGTTTCCGAGTGTAATCTTCCGAACCGGTATTTCAGGCTCGTCTTGTGTATCAACGGAACTTGGCGAAGACGGTGTGCTGGGAGGAGTAGTCGGCGGACCCATATTGTCTTTCAAGACCGGTAGTATCCACAACCACAACAGTGATGGCTGTGGTGTACAGGCATTTCGATCGTACACACTAGTCCAGAATCGTAAGTCGGGATTCGATCGTGATAACAAAGTTCCTTGCCTAAAGCAAGCAAATGAATTGCACTTCGCTGAAAGACCTCACTGGCGAAATGTACAGTGCATTCAAGTTGGAAAATTGAAGTTCTTGGTCTGCCAAAATGAGGCTGGCTGAAAGGAAGTGGAAGATAGGGTTGTATTCTCTAGTCTGCAGGGCGCACGCATGCTGCTGCTGGCCACTAATGTAAGAGCAGAACACGGCTCGCTGCACGTTACGAGTACCAAGTATTGCCGTCGTCCCGAGCACGTCAAAAGGTTCAGCCTCACAAGTAGCTCGCGGCTTTGCCAGATCAATATGTAGAGAACAGGAGATATGACTTCCCAAGCAAGAGGACATCAAGCTCCGCCAGTTCTATCCGCGAGAACTAGTCGCAACTCGAGCCAACGCGGTTCAATTCATTGTCGTGTGGCATTCATCGGCGAAGAGTGTCAGAAGGTCATGCTTGTCGCAAGCCAGCCTGGCACCATTTGCCAATGGAATCGGCCTCCTGCTTACATCGCAGCCGCCACCAACCATTCCAGCTTCGTCCATATTGCGGGACCAATACATTGACTTGCATGATCAATGTATAGACAAGAGGCAGCGGTAATATTTCCCCGCTGCTGCCCCAAACTCTGCGTCGATTTCACCCCAGTGTTTCCTTCCTCTCATCGATTTCCATAGCCTACAGAGCCAAAATCTCCATTCTCTGCTTGCAATCATAAGCCGTGTGTTCATTATGGCGAGTGATACCGTGAGTAAGTCCTCTGAGATCGTGGCAGAGGACCTCAACAAGTTGTTCGATGCTGGCGACGAGGCTAAAGTGGAGTTTGAGCTTCAATTCCTTACTCAAGTCGCTTGTGCTCATTCAACCCCAGTATTGTCTTTGTCCATGGCCTCAGAGGCCACCCAAAGTCTACCTGGGAAGCTTTTGATCCTGCAGATCCCTCAGAGTTGATTTTCTGGCTAAGGAACTGCTTCCCGAAACCATAAAGGAGTCTCGAATCTTCAGTTTCGGATATCCTACAGACTTTGCGACATTCTATCCTATTGTCACTCCTGAATCGATTGCGCATACGACCATCGATAATCATTCGAGTTCGTTGATCTTGAAATTGGCTAACGAAAGACGTGAGACTAACACGGTATGTTTGTTCGAAGTTCGTCAACCTCTGGAACACTATGCTGATAGCTGTCAAGTCAACTCGTCCAATTATCTTCGTGGCACATTCGCTCGGAGGTCTCGTAGTTGCCAATGCGCTTGCAAGCCATTATGGTTCGGATGCTCAAGGCGAGGAAATTGTCGAAAACACTTGCGGGGCGATCTTCCTCGGCACACCCTTCAAAGGCTCCGACAAAGCTATATGGGCAAAGATGGCAAAGAGGGTCCTGGGCATGTTTGGTGACAGCACTGATCAGACGATCCGAGACCTTGACAAGCGTTCCGCGAAGCTACAACAGATCAGCATTGATTTCCACATGCTTTTGCAGAAGCGATACACCTCAAAAGATCTGAGACCCATTCAAGTTGCATGCTTCTTCGAACAGAAAACGACGAGCAAGACATGGTGGAAGGCCAAGAGTGACCTTGGACAGATCGTGACTGCCGACTCAGCTACACTGGCGGGATACAAGCCGATTGGAATTAGTGCAGACCATATAACGATGTGCAAGTTCCCCGATGTACAGACTCCGGGGTATAAAGATGTGACGGGGAAGATGAAGCTCATGATCTTAAACTTGGATAAAAAGACAGAGGACATGAATGTAAGGCCACTGGATTTCACATTCTGAACGCCATTCCCAACGCGACATAAATATACTAATGCCCAAATCCAGAAAGTAGCACAAACCGTCATAACATTCGGCGACTTCAAGGGAGGTGACAATAATATCAGTCTAGGAGGCTTCATGATGGGGCACGTAGTAGGCACTACTAAGGATGCGGTGAATCTCAACCTCGTCAATAATGTTAGTAGCAAACCTTCCTTTCCCAAGATCTATTCACTGATTTTATTGCGCCTACTAGTGGGGGAGCTCTTCAAGCGGCCCGTCTCTATTGGAGACTACTCTAGCAGAGCAACAGAAAAGGATACAGGAGAGCTAAGGGCATTAGTTAGTAGGCGATTATGTATAGGGTAAACCGGAGTTTGAGCACCTCGACGATGTCTCTTTTAGAATATCTCTTCTTCTATCTTGCGCCCCTGAATAGCAATTCCTTCGCCCTCTTCATCAGCTCCTCCTTACCATGCTTCATACACCGCTGTTCTTCAAAAATAATAAGGTAAAATAAACAGCTATCGTGTAAGTCACCTTGCACAAGTAAAGTCGCTACCTAGGGCAAATTCGTAAAGCTGGAAGGAATACCAGATAGGCTATACGAACTGTGTATATGCCGTCGACTTAGCTCTCTCTATGTCGACCTAGCCTTTAAGTCCGAGTTTTTATTCCCAGGCTTCGAGGGAAGAGATAGATTGTTTCAGTTTGATACTAGAACCCAAAAGGTTAGAAGAGATGGCTAACTTGACCTAGTTTTTCTAATTATCAAATGCTTAAAACATAATTTCAGCGTAGGTATTCAGCACTTGAACAGGATTTAATGGATGCTGGGGAATTATAAAAGAATAAAATTTAAATCAAACCAGAGAAAACGGCAAAAAAAACATAAAACAGCAGGTATTCGCTGGTGGTCACCCACCCAACTACTAATCTGCCGATCTGAGGCAAACCACTTGCTTTTTACTTCGGTTGGTGACATCCGGCCTAGCGGGTGAGCGTCGCCGCCTCAAGTTTTTGATGCCCTCACGATCATCCGGTTGTCTCCCTCAGTTACGTGATGGCGACCACTTCAACAACGCAAGACGTGGGTCTCGTATTGAGACGCGATGGACGCAATCCACCGCGACTTTAGATGGCCATGAGCGTGGGTGAGCGAGGCTATTTCTGGGTGAGCGTGGTGAGGTTTAAAAGTAGTATAAAGACAGACTCCTCCCCACCACCTTCACTTTTCGCAGTCTGTTATCTACAACATTATCTACCCTATTTGACTAAATGCCAACAGCGCTCCCGCTCTCCTCTCACAACTGACGATGGTAGCTGAGAATTGGTTAAGCAAGTGTGTCATAGGCTCAAAGCGCTCCTGGATCTTCACTGTACTGCAGGAGATATGGAACGGGACAATGCCATAGCGAACTCAAGCAGGAAGTAGGGAAAAAAGAGATAGTGAAAGAGAGGACAGTAGGGAGAAGGACGAAGCAAGCTCTTATAATCCCCCTAACTAATAACTTACAGCACCAGTTTATCCATTCCTACCCCTGCGGTCCACCCATCTAACAAGACAGATAACAGGGCACACAACGGGGGTTTCATTCATGTCGCTGATTAGCCGCGCAGAGGTATCTATAATAGGCTTCGCGTATTAATTATAAAAGAAAGCTCCTTAGCAGCCAGTCAGGGTGCAGCGAGGGTTCGTGTCTTAAAACTGTCACTTGGGACAACAGCACGCACGGGTCATCTATCCTTCCGCCCTCTTGCCCATCCGATCCCTGCTCCTATACACAACCCTCGCGATCTACACCAGCATGGTCACCGCTCCACCCGTCTGAACTCACCCATTCCTCCCCAAAGCGAAGCTGGTCACCCCCTTGGAAGAATTTAATTCCTCTAAGCCGCAATGGATTCCCTTTTAGGGAGAGCCGCTTGCTAAATGACGGTGCTGTATCAGCACCGACTCTTAGCAAGCGGCAAGCTAGGTTTCAGCTCGGAGTTCGGCGGGGAGAAGGAAAGCTGGAAGTGCGGGGTGGAGGAGGCGGACATCATGGTAGAAGGTGGAGGGGCTGGATACAAGGGTGTCTTAGATAAAGCTTGTGGCGTCGCTTTGCGTTTATAGCAAGTGGTGGGAATGAAGGATGGGGTGTTACATGGACCCTTTTACTGCAACAAGTTAAAGTTTAGACACGTTTGTGGAGCACAGGACTAGGCAGAAGCAAGAAAGCAAGAAAGTGCTGTTGGACGATAATATGAACAACGCATTCATTGCAAAGGGTAAGGCGCTCGGCATGGAGCTGCAGCAGAGTGGCCCTCGAACTATTTTCCAACTACGGGTTCGTTCCCATTGTCATACCAACCACCCAGGCAAGCATGCTAGCGGTCTGAATGCCCATAGTCTTCCCAATCATAATCAATCGCTCAGCAGACCAAGCGCGGAGATCCTCTGGAATAGAGTCCGTAGACCCAAGGATATACAACGGCCATAAGCTGAAGAGCCCGCCTGCAATAGGTGTTCTCTTGTGAGGCGGATGCATTCCACTGCTTTTGCTGAAGCCAAGGTGGAATGGCAAGCTGGCTGCAATTTCAGCCCCAAGATAGTGAGAAGCTTCCAGGGACCTTTGGTACTGTGAGGCGGGGTTCTGTATCGTACCCACTGGGTGCGTAGAGGTTGCGTATGGTACCAGGCATTCTAATATCATGCTGTGGATCATTAAATGGGTGGTTCGGTATGTATTTATGTTGAATGCAGCCCAGAGGTGTTCGTAGATGTGGCAATGGCTGCCATAAGCCATTTCAGTAGCGGTTTCAGCAGAAGTTGTAGTAAAGATAAAAGCTGGCGGCAAGTCCTGCAACCAACTTATTAGGTCTTGCTCGATTTCGAGGGCAGTGAGAACAATATCGGAAGCATCTGTGAGCAATCCATCTTTTAGCAGGGCGCGCAAGTTTGCAAATCGCGTCACGATGTTCATTAGTTCGTTCCCTTTCCGACGATCGACCGAGTCGTCTACTTGAGCTTTTATGCTCCAATGGCAAAGAAGCTCGGGGACTGCTATCTCGCGCTGAAGGCAGCTTGATATCTACCGGCACATTAACTCTAAGTTCGGGAGAAAGGGTATTTGAAGTATTATGCTTACTATGTTAGACCTCATGTATAGAAATATCGATCGACCTGTTTCATTGTGAAATTGGTTCTCGCCCCTCAAACAAATGAGAGATGCGGCACCCTTTATGTGTTCAATCCATGTTTCTCTTGATTTAATGTGGCAACAAGTCATAGTCTATCATCTGTCGTTAGCTTGGCTCATAATTATAAGCAAAGTTTTAGGGGGTAGACATCACTGTCTATCCTGACAAAGACAGAATATAACCAAGGCGTAAGCTTACCTCGAACATACTCAACATCATTACACTCATTACAACACTGTCCTCGGTGGGCCTTGAGGGCCTGCTCAAAGCTTTATTGACCTGTGAAATCGCTGCCACATATTGCATTCTCGCGGCCTGTGTCATTGTTGGGCATTTTGCAATGTTCGCGAGCCCCGCCATACCTACATGAAAATTCGAAAGTTAGTCATCTGCTAACAAGTTAAATATCTCCGTTAAAAAAGCATGGTCTTCTAGCTTGAAAACAGAAACAAAGTAAATAGTGCTGTTCATCTATCGAAATGGTCTTGACGATTTGGGATGCCAAAGATGGCAGATGCAGTATTTATAGGTTAGACTCGTTCGGCTCACATACCTACAGCTATGACTGCATTCTTGAACACTGTATCAGGGCCTCCCCTGTTATACAGCTTCGGCAAGTAGCTCCTTAGACCCTCGGGTCGTCCAAGGTGAGTGAAATTCTCAAAATAGAAATTCGTGGCGGCATCTTTTATATCTATTGGTAGCAAACGGGGGCTTATTGAGCGCTGCATCTGCCAGTCAAAAAGCCCTTGCGATTGCTCATTGGCCTGGATTTTCTCCTTGGCCTGGACTCGCTGGGCCACATCGCTGTACTCATGGCAAAACATGAGGTCTAGTTCATTCCGGTATCCCGAGCAGACAAGGTTTTTGAGGGAACACTTTGCGCACGACGGCTTCTCTGCGCATTGGGTCAGCCGAAGTTTCATACTCGTAGGCACACCGAGGATGGTCGGTCTATTTTCTTCCTAATTGCACATACGGAGATCACAGCGTATCTTCCTTTTCCTACACTCCACACAGCCTTTGCTCGGGACACCACGGTATACCATCGCGACGTGTAGAGTTGAATATCAGAATGGAAGATAAATATATGTAGCAACAAGTTCTGATATCCAACATGATATGACGACGATCTTGATATCGTCCTCGCCCAAATCTGCACTCAGCACAGGCAATGGTTTCAGCAAAGAATGCCATACCATGACCTGCAGCGCTAAGCTCATACTCAGCCGCAGTGAGTTACCTACGGGGTACTTTATTATAGGTGGCAGTTTTACTTGCAGGAAACCTTAGTTGCGCCCTAACTGACTGCCAAGAAGCTTAGAACTATGATGAATGCGCTAAGCCTATTATAGATACCTCTGCGCGACCAATCAGCGACATGAATGAAGGCCCCGAATTTATGCCTCGCCGTAAGCCATGCCGATCACTCGACCAAGTAATGCAAAATTCGTACTTGTTCTCCAGTTTCTCAAAGTAGTAACTAAAATGAGAACGTATTCCTAACCCCAAGAAGAAGCTACGTTTCTCTAAGCCGCAATGGAAACCCTTTTAGGACGAGCGCCTTGCCCTGGAGAGACGGGCTGTATCAGCATCATTAATCGCATATAATGGACGAAACATCCCTCTATATCCCAAAAGCCAGTTCCATCAATTCTGTCTTTACTTGTATTCTCATTCACTTATCTGTGGACCCTCCCTAAAACCAGAACTATTCTTTCTTGCCGCCTTCTAGCTCTTCATTATGGCGGTTCTCACATTTCGCGACGGGGTGATGATTCTAGAGCTCATATTCTTCACACCTGCCTTGGGTTTGTCCATCTGGCTTACTTATCGGCATGGGCTCTGGCGAAGATCCGGGTTTATTTTTCTAGTCCTGTTGGCTCTAGTACGCATCAACGGAGCCTGCATGCTGCTGGCAACGCTCCTTCATCCAGACTCTATAGTCCTCTACACGGGAGCTGGAATTTTGAACAGTATTGCGCTTAGCCCATTGCTTCTCTCCACAATTGGTCTGCTCGGTAGAGTGTAAGTCGAGAGGTGCCTTCCTGATTTTGTTCGGACTCGGCCTTGCTAACATGATTAAAGCAATGATTCAATTCGCCGCACAGAAAAAAGAGCGTTCTCGCCACGGACCTTTCGACTTTTGTCAATACCTACTGTGACCGGTCTTGGTCTCTGTGTTGCCGGAGGCACGCTGACTGGGATCAGTGGCGATCCCACCAATGTCCACATAACAACTAAAATTGGCGTTATCCTCTTCGTGGTGGCATTCGCAGTCATAAACTTTATCACAGCCATTACATACCGAAACCTCTCGTACGCTGAGGCTGGAGAAAGACAGCTAGGACGCGTCGTGGCCGTTTCCGCCCTATTTCTCATTGTGCGCACCGTCTATAGCGTTCTAGGGGCATTTGGAAACGATCTGAAGTTCAACATCCTTATCGGTTCTGTGCCGATATACCTCTGCATGGCGGTGCTTGAGGAGTTTGCTATCTTCGTCCTGTTCCTCGCTGTCGGATTCAAGCTCAGAGTTATCCCTAAGGACTACGAGGCCACCGACACAGAAACCGCCTCTAATATCTGTGAAACAGAGGGTTGACGGACATGCAAGTATCTCGTCGGGGTGGAATGAAGACAATATAAGCTGTATTTATTATTTTATGGTTAGCAGTTGTAGATTTATAAGTCATACACGCCAAAAAAAAGTTCTACACCAAGGAAGAAATATGCATGAGCTTGCAGTAATTCAATATTTAAGAGATGCCGCTAATCGCATCCAAATCCCAAACCCCTAACTCCACATATATATCAAATATCCACCCACCCATGCCATGCCATCCCTCACCCCGCTAACCCTACTCACCCCCGCTTCACCCCAAGATCACCCTTAAGGCGGCAAGGGGCTCAGATTCCACGCTATGCCGACTGGCACGATTGAGAACTACAACTTAATTATAAACCTACGAAGAAACACAGAGTATAATAATAATAAAATAGCAAAAAACATACAACAGCAGGTATTCGCTGGTGGTCACCCACCCAACTACTAATCTGCCGATCTGAGGCTTGTGTATGGCAGAGCGGACGGGATGCCCATTTCTCCTCAGTCTATGGTCGTATGTGACAGGTACTTGCTTAAGTTGATACATGTACTACTGAATGATAGTGGTCTAACAAACGGGAATCACACTTATTCGCACTATTCCCCAGTAACTATATCTCCCCAGAGCAAGAAGGTTATAATAATGGGATGTCTTATTACTAGTAGGATAATAATATATATCCTGGGGTATTAGGGAACTGGGAATAATTGGTGTTAGGTTAACGATTTGATTAGTATATAACGCTTGGCCTACATTCACGCGGATATAATAAGGGCTTCACCTCTATCTCTCTACTATAATCAACTACTCTTTTCAACTATTTTTCGAGGCCCTCTAGAACCTTAATAGAACGCAATATAGTATATCTGTCTGAGTATAAGTCTACGGAATAAGACAAGTGGATTTGTATATAACAGGCTTACGAGCCGTTGAGCCTACTCCGTACAGTATAATTCTCAGTCTAAGGCTCGTCCACCAATATTATAGCGTGATGATTGGGGCAATTTAGCCGCATCCAACCGTTACGGTTAGTTTCAAGTTATTACCTGCCGTATCGAACTGTTCGATCCGTACTAGAGCTTATACTACATCAGGTTGGAAGGTCGAAGGTTAATCTATTCCATGTAGGAGATTATCTTATCTGATGATCTGATCCTACCTGCTGGTAAATATTGAAAGCTATGGGCCGTGGACTATGCATGGACCATGGAACAGGCACTTGGAGCTCGCAGGCTGCCACTTCCACATGTATTAGAACTCTAGCAAGCTTTTGATTATAATCTTATCAGATCCTCCCAAGTTGCTGTTTGATTTTGGACACAACATGCGAACTGCTTGGTACAGTAAGCACTACAGTAGAATCAACTCAGCTATTCATTAGGTGACATCTTCTCTTGAGTTTAATGGCTTGAGCCATGAGAAGAGGAAGCAAGATGATACTCCAGTTTATTTGAATCAAAACAGCCTGGCGGAGTTGATGGAGAGACAGCAGCCAGAAACAGCGAATCCGAGAGCAGCCAGGACGTAAGTGAAAACGTTCAAATTAAACCAAACAAGACTCTGTTTAATACTAAATATTCTTTCCAGGTTACTTGGGATAGCGAAGACGATCCTACAAACCCCTATAACTGGCCCAAGAGCCGTAAACTTACAATGACCATAATCCTCTCCCTGGGAGGACTTGTCTCTCTAATGAGCACAAGTATGATCACTCCAGCACTTAGAAACATCGGTCATGACTTCCATATAGGAGACTCGGAGACAAATCTCACCATGTTAATATATTTTAGTATTAGCGTTTGGGCCTCGTCTGATCTTACCCCTTTCGGAGACGTTTGGTTGAAAGTGGGTTTATCTGGGTTGTCATGTGTAGTACATTTTTTGAAATGCTGTTGCTCCTAGTAAAATCCAGGCTCTTTTGATTGTCGGTCGTTTCCTCTCGGGTTTGGGTGCAAGTGTTGCGGCGGCGGCAAGTAGTACTTTCAATTTTTACTACTAGTATAATAGAACTAATATTGTAGCTACCCGGCGCTATCATGGCAGATATTTAGAGGGATAATAAGAGAGGAATGTTATACACTATTATAACATTTGTACTACTTCCCGGCGTTGTAGTAGACCTAATCGTTGGAGGATTCGTCATGGATAGTTTAGGTTAGCCCTAGATTTTCTAGATTATATCTATATAGGATGGACTTCTCCTCTTCCTAGGCATGTTTTAATCTATGAATACTACGAGCCTACACTTTTTGTGAAGAAGGTAAAAGCCCTTTGAGAATCTACTAGACAAGAACACTTCACTAAGATCGAATGAACTCATCCTACTCTAGCTAGGAGCTCAAAGTTACCATGATCCTGCCTTTACGAATGCTAGTAACGCAACCTATCATCCTGCTCATGTCGATATATCTGGCTTAATACTTCGGACTATACTGCCTTGCCATTTCAACGTTTTCCATCATTTGGACAGCGAGATATCATCAATCTGTCTCGATAAGCGGCTTGCATTACATTGCTATTGCTTTGAGGGCGGCTTTAGCTTCCCCATCAGGAGGGCTGGCTACTGATAAAGTATGGGCAGACCTTGAAGCCAAAGTTGGAGGTTAGGTGACGCCCGAGTATCGTATTCCTCTTATGATACCCGGCGTTATTATCACACCCATTGGGATATTCTGGGAGGATTCCTCCTTTCATAACTCCTCTAATCGAACTATAAAATACCAACAGTTAAACGAAACCCAGCGTGCTACCAAATATAGCTCTGATGTAAGCGACCGATTGCAACTTTACATTTTGAGTGACAGAAATATCGTACGCTTTGGGTTGATGCAATCTATATTAATCAAATTGGTGGTCACGAGAAAACTCATCAAATTCGACTTATGGGAACCATCTATGGACAAACCTCCCAAGTATGTATATAGCTGGGAAGACCAGCGGGAAATAGCGATTCTACTATAGAACTTCTCGAACTCGTCTAAGTTGGTCTAGAAAACACGCCGAAAATACGGAGGCATCCCCTCGTCTGGCAGCCACTGCCTACGCTAGCACCCCCCACTTAGCCCACTACTCCTACTAGCTCCTGCGCTGTTTACCAGTATTTTGTATATACTATAAGAAATATCCCGGATTTAGCTGAGTGATAACATGAATTCTCCTATCGCATACCCTGGAATACTCCCCTTCTAGCGAAGGCAAAGCTTGCCAGACGAGGGGATAGGGCGGTAAACTCGACGCTCCACCTAAGGGCCCCAACCCACGTGCGGCATGGGTAACGGGGCCCTCTGCTGCACCCTAGTTCACATATTTCTTGGGTCGCGGTTTCTCCGCAATAAGGTAAATGCATTTTGATGAGGAGCTGAGTCTACTATGAATACAAACTTGTCCGAGCATAGCAGCAAAGAAAACCGAATTGTGGAAGAAATTTAATCTAGAACGGAGAAAGAAGCGACTAGTGACTGAACAGCAGGTGGTCAAGGACAACAGACAGCAAACCCAACAACTCCTAGCGTTAGCTAGACTCAATATCTGTAATAGGAATAGGAGAAACCTACGGAGTACCGACAGTAGTTAAGGACGGGTAACCAAATAGTGGGCGGGATTCCAGACTCCAGACTCCAGACTCCAGAGTGGTAGATGCAAGAACTCCGTAGTGGACGCCAGCAACGCTACTACAATAAACTATGTAACTTTGCGGGGAAGCGGGGAAGCGGGGAAGCGGGGAAGCTGAATCGGGCTCTCCCAAGCCACTTCTCCGTACTCTGTACGCTCCGTATCACCCTCTGGGCCTCGGCTGCCACTGTATAATGTCCTACGTACTCTGTATTGCTTTCCCTCCTTGGTAAACTGGCAGGGCTAAAATAACAAACGCACGAGCATATCCCGTCCCTGTGTACTTCGTACTCTACGGTCCCTACCATTGGTCTCCAGGGTCACGCCAATGTCTGACGCACGGAGTGTACTCGTAACAGGCGCACGGTGGTCGTTCCACCCCTTTCCCACGTTGCACTTAAACGTGGACAACCCACCCAGCGTATCTATCACGTTCCAAGGTACTTTACACTCCACACACGTTGATTGCGAATATGATCCATTAACCTCTACAACCGGCAGCATGAGATTTCCTCCCCCTGAGGTCATAGCGACATGGCCAGAGCCAAACTATGTCGACCCAGAACGAAGAGGGCTGGAGAATATGATTATTCAGATCGTCCTTATTATATTGGTTACCATCTTTGTTGCTGCTCGTCTCTATGCAAGGTTAGCTATTACCAAGGCTGGTCTAGGCTGGGATGATGCGACTATTATTGGTGCCTGGGTACGTTAGACTATATAATCGTCACACTTCTTTATAAGGCTAATATATCCTTTAGATGTTCGCAGTAGGTCTTACTGTTGGAGTCGTGCTTGCTATGCAAAATTATGGATGGGATGTACATATCTGGGATCTCCCTCCTCGCAACCAAGTTATTAGCCGGAAGGTATAGAACGTACATTTAGCTTGTTCTATTTAATTTTAAAAGCTCCCCTACTGCTCAGGGTTATTTGTATACCTTTGCTAATATCTTCTAGGTTAGCTGGATGTGCTTATTGTTTTACGGGATATCCAATTGTCTTACAAAAGCGTCTATCCTTATATTCTACCTGCGAATCCTTGTCGAGAAATTTGACAAGCTCGTCACTAAAATTACTCTGATCGTGGTGGTGGTCTTTTTAACGGTTGCTATTTTTGTTCTATTCTTTGAATGCCGGTAAGTTCCTGCTAGCTTTACTCTATACTTTAGTACTAATCGTATATAGGCCATTTGGCTACTACTGGCAAATCCTAGTACCAGGTGCGAAGGGCTCTTGTATTGACGAAGGTTCCTCTATGGTCACCATTAGCGTCATAACCCTCGTCCTGGACGTTACTATCTTTGTTATACCGTTCCGTTCACTCGCACGCCTAAAGATCCGCATGTCCCAGAAGCTCCAGGTCCTTGCGCTCTTCTCCGCCGGCCTTCTTGTTATTGCCGCCTGCTCCGTACGCGTCTACTACAGTGACATGGTCTATTTTAAGACCTATGACGTGACATGGCATGGCTATACTGCCTGGCTATGGACAGCCGTTGAGGTGCATGTGTCTATTATCTGTGCATGTGTACCGAGTTGCCGTGCTTTTATCTCTAGCTGGAATCGCAGCTCAAGCCAGACGGGCAGAACTTCGATATATCCAGGTCGTACCAAGAGGAATTATGGCCATATTGATGGGGATGCGGGGGCATCGACTATGGGAGTCCCTAAGGAGGGAATTTATTCAAATGTCACGATTGGAGGTAGAAAGATCGATCATATAAAGGGCGGGGCTACGGTGCAGATGGAAGTGTTACAGTATAAGGAGGGTAGATCCGAAGGTTAAACAGGCCTAGAGAGAGTTAGTATACCGTAAGCCGGCGACTACATATAATATTAATTAATTGTTTTCAGTTCTATATCTTCTAGATACATCCGCAAATCTGTAGTAATTTCTTTTCGCTGAGGCTATTGTCGAGGTGTGCCCTCCGAGCTTGCCTATTTAACCTTGTCTGAAGATCTTGAACAGTCATGACTGCCGATGTTCGTATTATCCCACATACTTCCAAGACAGGTTCCAAGGCGGGTTTCGTAAATTACTTCTGAACCCTGATAAAAGTATAGGAAGATGACCACGTGCGCTTTATACTAACATTAATATACTTAGCAAGTATATCGCGATAGATCGATAATCAGCAGCAGGGGGCGGATTTGGCAGAAGCGAATATGAAAAGTACCAATATTGCAGCAGGTTCGATCTAACCGCAGGCTCGCAGTTCTTTGGGGTGATAGTCGCCATGGGCACCTAAGGTAGCTGTCTTGAGACGTAGGGGTCGAGTAGGTGCTGAAACTTCGAGAAGGGGGAGAACGATCTAGCCTACTAACAATGTTTTCTAATATGTCTCTGTCCTATATCTTATATCTGCGTGACGGCTTTGGTCGCGTTGATAGGGATTTGTTATGGATATTCTTATAATTAAGAGTCCTAATAATTACCCCGTGGGTTAAAATAATAATGTGGAGTCTTCGAATTGGAAATTAATCCCCATTTCGAGAATAGATGGAGAGAAGGACAGCGACAAAATAGATAAAAACGAAATGGACGGAGGTTGGATTATGCTCCTGACCATAAATTTTGGAAACCCCTTTGTTGCAAATGGGTGTTAACAGGCCGCTAGTTTCTCTTCTCTCTAATCCAAAAGGCGATATTGCAGTTAATTGAAGCAAATATTCCCAAATGTCCTGTAATAAATTAATGTTTGAATGGCAATGAAAGTATGGCATGGTCCCTGACATTAAAATCAAGCTCGTCACAGAGTAGGAACTACCCCGTCTGCTAGAATAATAAAAGTATCCAACGAAGTAAGTAACCTCATAGTATCCTAGTGTTCGCATCTTGATAAAGAAAATGGTGCTGAGGCCCTCAGATAGAAACACTTGATCAATTAGGGCAGTAGATGGGAGGACAAGGCCCTTACATATATGCCAAGGTTGAGCAGCAATTTCAGATGCTGTTTTACACCTCACAAATGGAGAGGTCCACTCCTTGTTAAGACTTGGAGACAACCAGCTAGTATAGTTTGTTTATGCATCTAGCTCCCATAGAGAACGGCGAGGATCCAAAAATCAAAATAGCAAATAGTCTGGATATATGAAAACACTATACAAACAAAGTATAGAAGTTACTATTTTTCTTCTATAAGGTAGGTAGGGTGTAGAGTTCATAGGAAAGGGGAAAGGGGAAAGGGGGGAAATCGTGGTCAGCAGCACAGCACGTGTCGGCGCATACAAGTGTTGCCCGTATAAGTCCAATTAAGCAAATGCACCACAACAATCATGACGCCCGGGTAGCTCAATCGGTAGAGCGTGTGGCTCTTAACGAAGCACAAAACTCGGAAACCTCAAGGTCGCGGGTTCGAGCCCCGCCTCGGGCTCAATTCCCGAGGCTCCTCAGATCACTGGGGATCGCAGCCTCCTTTTTTTATTTTTTATTTATTAGTTTTGTTGATGCCAATCTTTATTGTTTCCTTTTTGCTAATTTTTTTTGCTGCTGTCGACTTTATTAGCCGAGTTGTGCGGTTAAGCGAGCTTAAATAGTTCAGCTGGCTCTAGACGGGACCAGATTGCAGACTACCACGCTTATGAAACTGTCTCTCACTCAACCAAGTAGGGTACATAAGAAAGGATCTACATGCCAAACAAAACATCTCATCTTGATGATACTGTTAAAATCTTACAAGTCGCGATCTATTAGAAATTATCCCCGTAAACTTTTATTTCTATTACCGAAACAACCAGCCATCTAACTAACGAACGAGAGATATTATATTTTCTTTCCTCGAACTGACATAGTATCTCAAAAGGGTAACCCTACTTTCCTTTATCCCGCCCCAATTAAAGGAGTCTAGGTAGATTAAACATCAACAGTTTGGATAATAGGCAGCCTTGATATGTGTCCCGAAACAATAATTCCGCAATCTCCTGATGACGACGCACAATCAGATGAACTACACGTCGATAACCTAAGATCGCCGAGCTGCATGTGATGGGTAAGCATTAATAAGAAAGCTGGCTAGTAGAAACAATTTGTCCGACTCCGCGTCTCAGAAAGAAGATCCGCTCGAGTCCGGAAATTGTCAAAGAAGATTTGAAACGGAGGTTGACCGACTTAGTGGGCCACCACAGTTACAAACTTACATGAAAATGTCCTGATCTTGATCTAAAGACACATCATTTGTTAATCTAGAGGCGGAGGCTGTACTTGAATTTTAATTGTTATATCATCTGACAGAAGAACAAGTCAGCTCCCGTCATAGTCCCCGTTCTGTAGGCGTTTCATCCGACGCCACAGGGGCAATCCCGTGGCTCTGAGTAGAGGGACTTTGCATCACACTTTTAGTATGGGCTACCGTTTTTCTGGTGGGCGTACGACCAGAACTCCTCAGCAACCTCGACAGTCAGCATGGGAACACTTCCTTCTCTTGCTTCATCGATCCATATATGTATTGCGGTTTATGTATCTCTTTAGAATCCAAATCCTCCGCTGGTATCTAGCCTTCCGCATCCGTGCAAAAACTCTCTATTAGAAAGCCCTCCAGCTTTTGGGAAACCTCGAACTCTCCGTACACGTCTACATGATCAATTAGAACGAGTACCGTGGTATCGAAAGCTGTCAATTTACCTTTGGATGATGAGGCCTGGGATGACATAAAGGACTTACAGCGTAGACAGCGTCCCCGTATTCTGTATGTGTGCATTGTACAGGGCGAGAGGTAGATGGGAAAAAGTGAGTAGGCTGTAGAACGTACAGTAGCCACAGTCGCGTTAGGTAACAAGACGTGACAGCCTCAGAGCAGGCCCATGCCCACGTGGGCATGAGGATAAGAGTCGCGATGCTAGTAAAACTAATTAATTGTAATTGTGCTCTTTACTAATGTGTCAAGTCAGCGGAACTTTCCACCGCTAGGACCCTGCGATAAATGACATCGAATCCTGACAATACCTCTTGACCCTTCGCATCGAGCGAGCGCCACTGACGTGACCTTGTTCTGTGGGTAAGGATTCCGGATGTCAGAAACGTGGTAACAATAATGAATAACCGCCGGCACAATACAATGTTCCACTTTGAGCTATATCTTGAACCGCCGAACCCCTTGCGTACCTAGGTAGGTATCTTTGGTCAGATATCAAATTTTGTTATCATATGCTAACATCTCTCCGTTCTCTCGACCGAGATAAAGCATCAAGGGCTCCGAACTCGGAATATATGATATCCGGTCACACACAACCATACGAAGCATAATACAGCACTGGCGTAGACTACGCCTCGGGGGGATTTTCTGCTACAGTGCGCCTCGTAACAACTCCACAGGCTGACGACCGCTCCGATATTCCAGACGAATTGCAGTAGAACTACTGTCTCAGAAGCTTCCTTGCAGCAACGAGAGAAGTTGAGGTCCAAAAGAGTGCAGTACCAAGTTTTTAAAACACGGATAAACCCGCGGAAGGAAGCTAGAATGACTCGCATATAACTTGCAGACGAGCTGCATGAGGAGATTGTCCTCTGTTCCTGCATGTGGCCCGGAGATCCGAGATCGGATTGATTGGGAGGGAGAAGGGCTTGATCCGATAGTCCATATGCCGTTGTAGTATCGCGGGATATAGGTGATGGGGGTTGGGATATCATTTATGGTTGGCTGATTGTTTGGAGGAAGCCCGAAATCCTATGTCCGCAGGCTTGCAGTGAACAATATCCGGAGTATATCTGAGAGCGATGGCCGTGTACGGGATGTAGGCGGTTTCTTTGTACAAAGTAAACTCATCCTCCTGTGCATGTTATAGATCAGCGGAGGATCAGCTACCGAGATTGCAATCGTACAATGAATTAACTGTCCTACCTAGGCTGTGTAGTATAGTATTGCGCGTGAGGCTGTACCCACTTCCAACTAACTCTGCAGAGGCGAGCAAAGGAGTTTATCCCCCACTTACTGTATAGGTAGGTGTACCTGGCTTCGCCGCTGTGATGCCGTACGATTGCAGTGCAGTACCGGCTTTGTTTCAGTCGCCACTTGCAGCAAGAATTAAAACCAGAGAATGTTTCGTAGTACGTACAGTACCTTACCCAGGTACTGACTGTACCTAGTCAGTTGGGTGCAAGCACAAAAGGGGGTTTTGGAAAGGGGCGGCAAAACTACGGGAAGCGTGAGCCCCTGTACCTAGGGGCAAAGCTTCCAGAAGGCTGCACGACATAGCTACCTATATATCCTTTTAATTTATGATAACTTTTCAAGGTATAGTGATATAAGGTAGTAAAGGCAGACGCAAAGAGTACATGCATAACCGCCTTTTACTTCGTATGAGAGATTCAATTTCCGAGCTGACAACCTCGGTCATCAATGATCGCTGTGCAAAAACTTAGCTGATGAGTTAGAGGGGCAATCGGAGGATAAAGCCGAGACCACATTGTTTGTGCGGGAAATGGGGAATGGCCTAGCGGTCGTACTAATAACAAAAACTGTTTGCTCGATGCAGATGCACGGACAGGTGAAAGTCAGGTGAAAGCCAAAAATACAAATAATACCGGGCAAGTCAAGCTGCCACAACAAGCCAACCAAAGCCCACTTACCCCGTTGGAAAGGGCCAGGTCTGGCCCAGCCTTAAGACTATCGATTATGATTGTCTTTTCCTAGATTCTGCCTTGATTTGAAATTGTTATCTATAGGCGATTTCCTACTTATTATTGTTATATATACGGAGTTAACATGCCACCTCGGACCTTTCTTCCCATCGGAAGTCCCGAGAGGTCGACCGGAAATTAATGTATGGAGTTTTCCCATCTTCGTAGTATTTCCACTCGCATTTCTCGAGACCCGAGTAAGCCCAGTCCCAGTACCATCCTTTGAAGTTTTAGTTTGAAAGCGCCCCAGCATGATATCATAATTGGGTATCAACATTCACACAACCAGTTCCCGAATCAAGCTCATAGATTGGAGTAATGGCATAGATGTATATACTGTATGCGCAACATATCGCCGTATACAGACTAGTAAAAGGTCAAAACACCAATTGTACCTCCACAAGACGCCGCTTGTTCAGCTTCGGGTTCCAGCTCTCCTCATGCCCAGACGACTGCCTGGGCAGCATTGACATTGTGGCGTTGCGCCATGCGGCGCCCGCCTCGTACGAATCATGTTTTTGGATTTCACTCACACCACTCCCCCGAGCTGGACTTTTGGATGGCTCGGGCCGTGGAGGACGGGAGGGAGGGAGCGAGGAAATCGGGAACTTGGGTGCCAGATTTCCGCTTTGGCTCTACTTCGTGTATATAATTTCCCGCCTTCAATAGTGGCCGGAGTAAACAACAATAATGACTGCCCCCAACTGCTTCGATCTCATCAAGACAAAACATGAGAGGGCTGTGTTTTGTGTGACATATATCTGCCCCTTCCAACAACTATTAACAGCCACCAACTTGGGGGCTTCGTTGACATTACTTCGTACTTCATACATACGGAGTAATCACGCCTCAGCATGTCCCCTCCCGAGGCGATACGGCCCCACTGCACCACGTCCATGATCCCATCATAGCCCTGGGCTGCGCGTGTCCGGCCGTGTGCATCTGCATATGCAACCCTAAGATTATTATTGCGTTACTTCGTACTTCAGACTGAATTTCGCACCGTGCAGGCGGGACCAAGGATGTTGGCTTCCAAGTGACATGACGGATGTCTGCGGCCTGCGAGCTGCACGTTTGACCCATTGAGCCCGAACTGCTTCAGGCTTGAGCCTCGGGCAATGATGGGCAAAAGGACAAAGGAACAATGGACTCCAGGTAGCCTATGCTTGTATGGCTGCAAGGTTCCCCCCCACCTAGTGTCCAGAATAAAAGGAAAAAGAAATGTAAACAATATGGATCGAGATTGGAGGTGGGCCCCTGACGGCGCCATGGCCCTAGCTATGCGTAGCATTATTGCATCTTCTTGGTAATGGCAATAACGGTAATGGCGGTACTTCGTACTTCGTTCGTACGAAGTACTCAGGATTGAAAGAGGCTCTATTCCCTTTATTAGCAAAGGCTGCCTTCTATAAGGCGGATTTGTACAGTAAGAAGCAATAGGCGGCTTAAGAGCCAACCTCTTCGGTCCATACAGTATCTATATCCATGCTGCACCGTAAATGAAGCCCCTTCTTGTGTACTGCGTAGTTTCGAGGTTGGTGGGTTGATGCCCGAGAGAGAGTCTGTCTGGGGTTCAGATTGTCGCGGGGTGGATGATTTGCAACAGGTCCAGGGATGTGGTGGATATCTTGTCCCCTTTCCCTCTTCTCCCTTTCCGGCTTCTCCTTTCCCCCTTCTCACCACCTCCCCGTCGCCATCGCCGTCCTCCTTCTCCTGCTTTGCCTCGTCGCCGTCCTCGCCCCCAGGCTCCAGCAGACCAGTTCCAATAATCCTCTTCCCCGTGTGGTAGTGACCCTTACGAATAGAAGGCCCGGATTGCTGGACACCATCCTGGGACCTGGATTTGCGGCGACCTCCTGCAACACCTCCCTGCATATTGCTTTTCGACGTGGGCCCGAGAACCTCTCCCGGAGTACAGTACCATAGTAAACATACCGAGCACGAACCCGGGTATTTCATCTGCTGATTGAAACGGACATCCCTCGCATTCCTCGCCACACCATCGCATCTTCCCTGCTGACCTCCGCCATACCTTACTTCAACCCCAGGCCTCTGCCGTAATATATCCATCCCACCGTCGTTCTGGAAGCCTTTCTCAGCCTTCTCTTGCATTTGACTGATGCTCCCGTGCCGCGCCTCATTCGACTTTGGTTTTACGAGTGCAACTGAGAACACCCACCGTCGCCGCTCTCTTCAATTCACGGCGCAATGGCCGAGAAGCCCGCCGTGCTCATAGTGGGGGGATTGGGCTACATTGGACGATTCCTAGCGCTGTATATTCAGAAGAATAACCTGGCTTCCGAGGTGCGGATTGTGGATAAGGTATGACGGCCGGCAGAAGTACTGGTGTTTCTGTTCTTGCAATTGACTGTTTCTGCAGACGCTGCCCCAGCTGGCATGGCTGGCTCCAGAGTTCGACGAGGCCTGCTCGAACGACAAATTTATGCAGGCAGATGCAAGCAAAGAGCGTATGTCACACGGTTTTTCTTACGGTTACGAGATTACATTCGCGCATTGCTAGTGTTGGTTGGCGCCATCTGACTGAGCCTTAAAACAGAATCTCTCACACGCATCTTCGATCGCTCAAACGGAAAGCAATGGGACTACATATTCAATTGCGGCGGGGAAACGAGGAATTCGCAAGACGACGAGGTATATAAGGTACGCTCGCTTGCTCTGAGCGTGGCCCTGGGGAAGGAAGCCGCACAGAGAGGCGTGAAGGCTTTCGTGGAGTTAAGTACGGGCATGGTATACAAATCGGATTCGCAACCGAGCAAAGAAGGGGACAAATTAAAGCCATGGAGCAAGATCGCCGTGTTCAAACTGCAAGCCGAGGAGCAACTTGCGAAAATCGAGGGGTATGTAGACCTTGGCTGGAATGGGGTTCTCATATACTGATATCGTACAGGCTTAATCTCATTATCGTCCGCCTCGCCCATGTATATGGCGACTATGCCTCCCAATTTGTTGCAACAGCCTTGTCGATGGCCCGCGTTTACCAAGACCTGGAGGAGGAGATGAAATGGCTTTGGACGAAGGACCTTCGTGTAAATACGGTCCATATATCGGATGTCGTCCGCGCCTTATGGGACACCGCGAACTGGTACGCAGTCAAGCAAAAACCCAACTGGGACGACAAGGCTATGGGAGCAACCCCTATATTCAACATTGTCGACCAAGGGCAAACCTCCCAAGGGACCATGGCGGAAATTATCGGCCAATTATTCGGCATCAAGACTGGCTTTCAAGGACAGTTGATCAGCACATTTGCAAGGCTCAACATGGATAGTGTGGTGGATGATGTGAACGACGACCTCCTAGGACCTTGGGCCGATTTACTCCAAGATGCCGGCATCACACGGCCAGGGCCCTTGACTCCATTCATGGAGAAGGAGCTCCTGAAAGATACAGATCTCAGCATGGATGGCAGCAGGCTGGAGACAGTTGTCGGCTTCAAATACGAGAAACCTCACATCACGAAAGAATTGGTACAGGAAATGATCGATAGCTACACGAGGATTGGGTGGTGGCCGGTGAAGAAGTAGAACGACCTGCCGGATGCTGGCTGCGCTTCGGCACGAATGAATCAACGAAGATGGAGGAATGAGGACGAGCCCTAGCACCCACCGCGGACGATTAACGAACGATGCACGAGCAAAACGGACGCGATATATCAGATTGAGTGATACGACGCTACACCAGACCCAATCTCTTTAGACCGATCTCCACGGTTCCACTACCACCGAACCTTTCTATCTCCTCATTTCATTTCTTTTGTATTTGTGTTGTGTGCTGCATGGCGAGGGATGAACAGACGGCTGTACTTGTATACATGGTTTAATTTCGACCAGAGTAGTTTTCTTTTTCATGTACCACTAAATAAGCGATCTATGTCATGTTATGACCTATTTTAATACCAGCTCTGCGTTTCCCTATAGGGGATGGTCTATATTCGAAAGCATAATACCAAATGCCAAACACTCACTACGTTGAGATTTACTAAGATACTCTCCTATCCTTTCCTCATGAGAGGCATATTTCTAGATGAAAAGAGTTGTCCTACCCCATACACCTACAATTCCAAATCACCCCCCCAAAGGATTTGTACCCCCAGCCGGAAGTATGTTCAAACTCCCAGGTACTACATTTACAAAGTTGTACTACTTGGAAATCTCACTGCGGCTTGGAAGTTCGAGCTGATCGAGAATACCCGGCTGGGTTGTCCCCTGTAACGATCCTGGATCGGGCCGGGCCTCGTTTCTCATTCTTGTGCCAGTGGCGGTGTTTGTACCAGCGTAAATTCTTTGCTGGAAGGGGGTTTGTTTTCTTGATCTATATAGATATTGATTGATATTTCTTTCTTCCTCCTCTATTTTCGGCTATTAGGCGGTATGTAGCGAAATTGGGTGATGTAGATCTTGAGTCTTGACGGATATCTTGCGTAGCATATTTTTGCCTCTCTTAGTCAGACTCAAACGCCCAGTGACGCCCAGGGGATTCCCGAAGAAATATGTAGCGAAACCCTTAACCTATCACATCTGCTGGCAGGTTCTACGCTTATGACTATGGATCCGGAAATATGCTTCTTCCTACCTATCTGGTACATAGTTACGCGATGGTTGAGATGGTACAATACTTTCAGCGGGCTATAGCTAGCACGCAAACTGGAGAATGAACGGATCAAGCTTGTGGCAAAGTATGTCTCGAGATCCACTGCCGTATATATCATTTACAAGCCATATCGTTCTGAGCCGACAGCGATGCCAATAAGAAGACCGCCTTTGCTGACGTGGAGGAATCAACAACCTAGAAGGTACCTGAATATCGAGATTATCCGCAAGATTCACGTATCCAAACAGCCGCCGAATAGTAGGTTTGCAGTTGGGACGTTCGAAGAGCCTGGCGACACTACTCTTAAGTCTGGCGACACTATTCCTGAGTTAGGCGACAGTTTTCCTGAGTCCGGCAAGGAAGGCAAGGTCGATGTCTTTGAGCTAGATGAACCCGACGACAACGATCCGAACGCTTGACTTCGACGACTGTGATAATCGAGCGACGTTACCAACCTCGCTTCAAAGTGTGGCTTTATTTTTGCTGCTACTGTCAGTCTTTGCTAAAGCTGTCAAAGTATGATATTACTGTCATTGTAGTAGCTGTAAATTTGGCTCTAAAGCAAGCACATCACCATTCAGTATGTTAGGCAAAGCAAAAACATGATTATCTAATTCCCCTAACATGTTGTGAGTCATGGAATCCATCTTCACTTGTCTGCCGTGAATTTGACAGGTAGATGTCCATATCTTTTCTGGAAGATTTTCAGGTCTCCAGTGGGGATCTCCCCCTTATCCAAAGCCCGAACTGCGCTTTGGTAGCCCCAGTGATGACAAGTCTGTTTGTGGTCATTTTTAATGTCGTAGAAGTTTCGTTTATCCCTAGTCCGCTTGTGATACCCATCGGGGCCTATCTGCCTACAGTTCTGTAAACTAGCGATTGATTCTAAAGAACTATTCGTCACTGCCCTCCCCCGATCTCGAAGCATATAGGAAGGTTTATGTATTATAGTTCCACTAGGTAGGATGCCACTGTACTTCTCCCTCCCACCATGCCGTTTGAGCGGGCGAATATTATTTTCTATACAAAGTTTTGGTAGCTGCGCCTTGAACTAATAGAGTGTCGGTAAAAAAGCATGTCTTTGGGCTTAATTTCAGCACTGGTTTAAGGTACACTTATAACGCATAACCTTAAGGATGAACAAAGCATATACGGGACAACAAGAGGAATACAAATAGAGGCAAGTGTTGAAATTTATCATTAAATATAGCCACTGGGACCACTGCTATATCGTTATGATCGTAGACTTCTCGAGCACAATATTACCAAGCCTTCAGCCTAGCCCTTGTCGATGCCAGGGACGAAGGAAGATCCATTGAGAATATGCCTCCTGTTGCCTTATTATTCAACTAGCCTAGGAACCCCAATAATGCCTTCACCGCGGGCACTCCCATATTGAAAAATGCGGGTTTTACGGTCGTCTACGTTGCGCCATATAAGCATCAATGGATGCATACCTATGAGATAAACGAAGACGGGACTAGCGCATTACTGTGTCCCAGCCCACAACAGCTAAGAGCATTCCAACTAGATTCTTTTTCGTGGACATTAAGGAAAACCCTTTCAAAACTAGTTAAATGTAAAAATATTTTCACGTTCAAGTAACAGCAATAGCAAATATTCACCGTAGTAGCAAAAGTTGACTACTGACAGTAGTAGCAAAAGCTGACAGCAATAGCGCAGTTGGAAGAAAGAATGGAAACAATGACAGCTGATTCTTATATGTAATGTATACTTACGTACCTGAGTTGGCCAAAGGGACATGCATCATGTTGTGGTATATACACTTAAAAGCCATAATACTAGCCATAGGGTCGACACCCGCCACTGCAGATAGAATGCGCAGGTATGTCCTTCTCGGTAGGATGGCGAAGACGCATAGGCTGGAAGGAATTTGAAAAAGATGCCGGATATATCTGTTAGCGTTTTTCTTTACTCAAGTTGAGAGAGTTCTGGATTCACTAACCCATGTACGATCTTCTCACTCTCCGGTCTAGGCGTGAGACTAGTTTCTGCGGAACTGAATAATGGTTGATTCTAGATTTAATAGGTTCTTGGTTTAGTTGACCTATACCCGAGTCATGTTTTGGCTCATTTGCTGTTTGCAACTAGGTAAAGTTATCCAATGCACAGTGCCTTGGGGGTCATAGTTAGAGAGTGATATATCATAACTAGCCCCAGGTAGAAGCGATTAAGGGCTTGTTTATTGGTTCTCTAATGGCAATATTAGCCTCCCTCGTCTGTTAAACTGGAAAAGTAATATGGCCTTGTAGTCGGAAAGAGATACTGTAAGGTTTCTAGGAGCTTTCTTAGAATAGTTATTCGAATCATACGATTAAAAAATTTTATTAGGTAGGAATGAGCGGTTTAGTTGGTGAGAAGAATGAACAAGGGGCAGAAAACAGGTTGAAGCAATCATAGAGATGTACAATAAATTTGGAGTCGATTTGAAAAGGATACTCCAAGATGGTAACTGGTATATGCCAGTACCTACAGTTTGTTTTCGAACTAGATTATAGAGATCTTGATTGGGTACGCACATTGTAAATTTCCCCAATACTGTTCCAATCAATTCCATGAGTTCGTTATATCACCGCTTCATTGAATTGATCATCTCTTGATGCGTCGCCTTATCCTTATTCGCCTCGGTCAAAGGTGCAATACTCCTCAGATCACCAACTACATCTTTGGCTTTCCCAAAATAAACCTCCTGCAACAGATTTCTCATCTTCAGCTCCATATCCTCCACCAGCTTGCCGATATTAGCAATATGTGAAGCATCATCCTCGACAGGTAGATCGCTCTCAATTTGCCGTGTCATGTTCCCGCTGAGCTCCATCTCGCCCAAGTTATCACTGCCCGTCGACAAGTGTAGAATCACCGTGCTTGTAAGCTTGTAATGTGCCGTTCGAGCCCGATCAACAGCCTCAAACACGTGGATTGAATCCCAGGCCCCCTCACTCTTCCCTGATGGCGTAGCAACTGTCACCCATTAGCTTGTTATTCATAACCTCCCTACGCATCCGCTGAATCCCCATCGAAGACAAAAAGCAACTAACCTTTCTTCAGTAACACTACTCCAGCAAAGCCATCATCCAAGTTCCAGAAATAAACGCTCGAGACACCACCCTCATAATAAAGCTCCCGATAAACATCAAATGCCTCATTGGCTCTAATCTCCATCTGCCTCACCAGCAAGCTCGGCACAGCACCCTCCCCAGCACCTTCATTATTACCCTGGTCGTCTACACCACCGGGGCCACTGCCTCCCGCAGGAGTTTCAAACTCGCCAGACCAAGGCGAGCGGTAGCTATCGCCGTCGCGGTTGTAGTCGCAGAGTAGGTAGTCGCGGCCTGTTTTGCGGCAGCGAGCGATAGTGAGAGGCTGATCTACAGATGATAGGAGGTCTTCGGTGAGGGAGGGAACGAGTGATATGAGGGAGTTGAGATGTGTTGAGGTGTGTTTGGGGTCGAGGCGGCGGAGGAGGTCGCTGTTGGCTGGGTTAGCGCGAGGATGAACGAGATAACAGCAGAATACTATGAAAACTTACAGGGCACTATCAAATGGATCAACTTCTGCCATATTGATAGCGAGGTTTTTGATTTTAAGGTTAAGGTTGATGTTGGGAGGTGTGTTGCGGGAGCTTAGGATTTGGATGGAGGGGTTCGAGGGGTCGTCGGCGTTCCAGGTTGCATTCACAACAAGCTTAAGCGAGGATTACTTCTACGAAGCAGAGAGGTGATGAACGTAAAGCAAAGTGGATACGCTCAAAGCTTGCCCGGAACCGAAATATCATCATGCATATTATACACTTTTGGGTTTAGAACGTCTTTCAATTACATAGATAAGTGCGATGCCGTACTTTTTCTAATGCTCAGCTCAAACCGTCATGCTCCTTAGCCCCTTGTAATAATGCTCCCCAGTGACTCCCAAGCTCCGACTGATTGTACAATGCTAAATCAATACCTTCATACGTTGATGTCCGACCCAGAATCCTCGGCATATCCACTGATCCGTTTTGCTTTCCTTTGCCTTCTACCTGGACTATCAACCTCCTCGCCAGGACCAGGAATGCTGGGGTGCTCTCTCACATATTCCCCTCTGAATTCTGCAGCATCTTTATCCCATTTTGCTGCTTTAATGCTGTATTCGGCCATTGCAACAGCATAAGCTTCTTTTTGAACATCAGCACGCTCAACGTATGGTTTCTTCTCTTCTTCTGGCGCTTCCTTCCACATCTTGGTAACCATTTTCTTCACCTCATTTGGAATGGGCTTTCCCTTGCCTGGTCTCCGGCCTTCTTCACATTTCTTCTTGGCTTCTTCCCATTTTTCTTTGCTGTACATCCTGTAAGGATTGGCATACTTGTTTTCAGGTTTCCAAGGCCGGTCACCAAGCTTCGTCCAAATTGCATTCCATACCTCAATCTCGTAGGCCTCAAGGCGCACTTGTTTTGGAGTTTTAGCATCTTGGAGGGCATCGGATTTCCTTTTCGATGATGACTCTTTGGGTAGGACAAGAGGTTCCGGAATTTTGATGGGCCCAATCATGGATTCCAAGACCTCGGACGCTGCTCTTAATCCAGAAATATATGCACCATGAACAGTGGCTGGGTGAGTACCGCAAGTGTGCTCACCGGCAAAGAAAAGGTTTCCAATAGGTTGGGCCATGACCTCGTAGTCATCTGGGCGGAAGTTCGGTCCGGTATATGAATAGCTGCCGCGAGAAAACTCGTCTTGACCCCACCTGGTTATCACCGCCTCAACTGGTGTCGGCACTGTTGGGCCAAAGACAGTTTTTAGTACGGCGGTCGCCTCGGCGATGACGGCTTCGTTGGATGTCTTCTCCGTTTGGAACGCTGCATCACCAGCCATGAGAGCGATTAAAGTTGGCAGACCGGAAGTCTTAGTGCAATTAAACCATTGGAAGAAACGACCTCTTTGCGAGAAATAATCCGCTTGGTCTAAGCTGAATCGATCGGGGGGGTTACGTAGAGTACCAAAGATGTCTCGACTTTGGTCCCAGAATGGTTCACGGTACACCAGCACGAGCTTGTTCAAAATCCCATAGCCAATGCGCTGAATAGCACCGGTCTTGTAATCTGGTAACGGTGGCTGGAAAGATATGTTTTGGCGCTTTAGGACCCCCAATGGTATGGTTGAGACAATGCAATCAGCTTCGATGATCTCCCCATTCTCACACTCAATCTTTGACGGGGAAGCACTGTTTTCAGTACTATAGGTGATCTTATTGACTTTACACCCCTTCTTTACATCCAGGGGTTGCGGGCAGTTCAGAAGGCCTCGGGGAACTTGTTGATACCCGCCCATAACCATTGTGTGCTTGCCTTCCCATTCATTGCCGGCATCGAGGTCCCACCCGCCTAAACTCAACTTGTTGCAAGTGATAGCATTGCTATATTCAAGGTTTGCAACATGCCAGTTGATCAAGCGCAAATCAAGGGGCGTAAAGTCAACAATCCTGGTATACTGGCGAATCGCTTCGTCAAATACCGAGCCTAGAGTAGCATACTTCGAGCTGACGGCTGTTTCGAGGTCTAAATCAAACTCAATCCCTACGTCAGGTCGTAGAAGCCAGCCAATTTCTTGTGCTTTATAGGCTGCTGTATGCACAGCGGGAATGCCAAGCTCAACATGCGCTCGGCCAGTAAGTCTGTCAGAAGCTATAGGAATCATTTGCACTTCACTAGGTGGAGACCGGTTGCTGGCAGTGGTTTCGGTGGATAGAGATGGATCGTCTTCGAGCTCGCTGATCTTTCTGGTGCCCTCCGCATTTACGTCTCGACCTGCGTCTAACAGATCTTTATCTCCATTAGCGGTTGGCGGCGTTGGTATTTTGAATTTGTATTCGCTAACACGATCGAGGATGTAATTAAAGAGTTTCTCCGCAAATTGGTCTCGATTGGCATCTACAGGCTTGCCAGTAGCATCGTAAATCGTCGTATCTGGTTTCAGAGCATGGTATGGTAAAGCCAATTGGCCTCGGACGATGATATTCAGAGGGTTTCCGCGATCGAATCCAGTGATGATCATACCTCCCATTTCCGCAGTATGCCGACTTCCATATCTGAGCGTGGGATTTGGCGGCTTCGACTTGAATGGGCGGGAATATACCCTTCCACCAATTCTATCTCTCCCTTCCAAAACAATGACTCGTGGACGCTCCTCACCAATCTCCCGAAAGCGATCCTCGAATTCAGCGAAGAGGCCTTCCAGTTGTCTCGCACAGCCCAAACCGGACATACCAGCCCCAATAACGGCAACTGTTTTCCGCTTTCGTTTATTCGACCTTGGTTTCTTATTTTCAGTGCTGGAAGATTGATGCTCGAGACAGCCGTAATTGATGTAGCCACGTCGTACGAGCCACTCATGGCAGGTAGCTGCAATGTCAAACCACCGCGCATCCTTGGCACACCCAATAGCTTCCTCTCGCATAACGCCAATGAGGGGATTTCTCGTCCATAGCCTCAAGATGCCATTGCGTATATTAAGGTAAGTTGTAACCTGCTGATGCGTGAGGTGATTGCGTAGCATAGCATGTTCTTCTGTGTGTAGGCTGTATGGATTCAAACGTGACGATTCCGCAGCAGCTATACACTGTCTTGCATACTCCGAGGGAGCAATATCAGTCGGTATTGAGACTTTTGGCCGAACATCATATTTTTGACGACGTTTTCCAGACCGCGAAGCACCATTTGTATTTTCTCTAGAGCTGCCCTCAAAACCTGTCGGAGATGTTCCTTTACTCGATATTGAGGATAAGGCCGATGAAGCCTCGTCGAGATCTGTGGTCATTGAGGAAGTCATAGAATCGCGGACGCTCTCAGGTCTTAGATGCACATTGTCCCTAGATGCGGACTTCGAGGTGCTTTCGGGTCTAAGGTCAGGGGTATTAATAGAGTTTTGCTTGGAGGGTATATCCTCACAAATTACTCGATGGGATTTAAACTTTAACATCATAGGAAAGAACAATGGTGACATACTGGTTAACATTGGGCGATAACGATTTATGATATCCACCGTTACCATGAAGATAAATCTCCGGTTGAGCCTTCCGTGGATATATATCTTGAGGTGTTTCAACAATGATTGTATTGGAGGGGTTATCAGCGGTGGAAATAGAAGCAGAGTTTGACATGGCACCCGGAGTAGACGAATCTCTCCCGGGATTCGACTCGAATATTGAGAGATGCGAGTCAAGTTCTTGTAGTCCCATCAAATTTAGATCATCATGCTGTGGCATGTGAGTCTCCATTGCTGCCGCCATGTTTGGGTCTTCAAGTCCTGTGACTTTGTATGATTTCCTCGAAATATATGGGCCGTCGTTACGGTTGGGAGAGCAATGCTACTCGAATTTCCCATTCGAAATCATATCAGGGGTATTGAAGCCACTCCACTACCAAAGATCATTCAGACCTTAGAGGATTCCCCTCGACGGCCTGCGCAACAACATTAGTGCCCTTACACCGACTTGATACTGATATACGCATCACCACGTGGAGTGATCTCACCTGTCGCATCGGTTGTTATCCCTTTATAGTCCCCAAGTCCCGGTCCCAGCCACACATATGAGTCCGAGCCAACAATGCCGCTGAGCGAAACGAATTCTTCTTTCCTTGGGACCGAAAGGGGTTGTTGGGTTGTCGTGTCGTACGATATGTATATGAATACATCAAGATCTTCTCAGGACGCTCGGCCCAAATGAGAACGAGAACGATGCGACCCGAGCGATGCATCACGTGGAACTTCAAATTGGCGATCCTGGGCAGAGCTTCTTCCGACGTCTTCGTTAACACGAGTCAGGAATGTGCACATCAAGCTCAAGTTCAAAATCAAAATCAAATCATATACGGAGTAGGATAACAGTTCATGGTAGATTATCTATCTAATGAAAGAGTTCGTCGCAATTGCTCAATGACATTACATTACTCGTAGAGACTTTTACCGCCTCTAGGATGGATGGTACTGTTCGCCGCCATCATCACCGTTATAAACTCTTGCAGGAGGGGACCTCTCTATATACTGTTCTTCCCAAAGGAACCCTTCTCAATCGCCGCATCCATCATCTTGTTTCCACTAATTATCGAAGTCGTACATATCACTATTTGTTTTCGTGCTAAACATAGAGAGCATCATTAGCGGCGAGCGCAATAGCATTGGCATTTGAATACACATACCTTCTTCCTTTTTGGCAATGAATCTCAGAGCAGCGATCTCGGTGAAGGTTATGCCACCTACGAAGACTACGAGAACGGTCTTCTTATCCCCGCTACCAGTGAGAAGAGCTCTAGCCTTGACGGCTTTGTCCTCCCCCTTCTGCATTTCGTCAAATGTCTGTCCGCGGACATGCTTAACGGCTTCCTCGAAACCCCGCCAGCCTTGTGCTGCTCCACCAGTGACCACGCCAGCATTGTTTGCATGTCCGCCTCGAGTGATCGACGTCAAATATTGCTTCTGTAGGATACATTGAACCAAGCGCACCGACAATGGCGCATAGCCGCTGTAAACATACGCAATGTCATTTGGATCCTGCTCATTGACTTCGTCCACTATCAAGCGAAGAGCTTTGCGCAAATATGTGTAATTCGTCTTCGTGCCAGTATGCACCCCACCTCCTGACATCGGGATCATTGTAGCCATGGGAGATGTTCGCGAAAGGAGGAGCTGAAGCTTTTCGAGGGCGTCAAGCGTGAGTATGTGCTGGTAGCCGTACGCCTGCAGGATCATTTTCTTGAAATTCTCCAATTCGCGGGGTTTGATGCCACCACTAATACAAGATTCTAGACACAAAATTCGCAAGACATCTATGAGAGGCGCATCTCTAGCAACAAGCTCCTCAATTGAATCATGTTGAGAGGCTGGATCGGCACCTGCTGCGAGGTTTTGCTGCACCTCAAGCAACCTACTGAACTGATCAGTGCGAGTATGCCTCGTAATCTCTTCCGCGAGCCCAGTATGGATCTTTAAGCTTTGTTGCTCGGCTTGATAACCCGGGAGTTTGTTCACGAATTCTCGAAGTTCTGCCGTATTCTTGGTACCATGCCGACTTTCGTAATCCGTCTGCAGGCGTTTGGCCACCTTGTTCAGTAAACCGCCAACAATCGCAAAATTGGCGTCTCTTAGCTGGTGGTACAGCTTGTCTGAAGAATCTAGTAAAATCTTTCTCTTCTTTGCTTGTGCGGGTGCCGCACCCACAGCTTTCGATGATCCTGGTGGAGGCTGAGGAGCAGCTCCCACAATAGACGAATCAACCTCGGCTTGATTGTTTTGAATCCCCACAACCTCATCTATCAATCCCTCGTATGTTAATTGAGTGAGTAGCGGAGTAGTGTAGTCGACTTCGCGATCGATGACAATCAAACTTTCGATAGTCGTGCTCGGCGTAAGGCCTAGCTTGTTGCTTTCATTGGAATCTTCCCCAGCGATCGCTTCCCGCCGCATTCGCGCAAGCAGATCTGCGAGCTTCTTGGCATTGTCACCTTTCCCAGTTATTCGCGGGAAAAGACCATTCTTCTGCTGGATGAGCATTAACGCACGTGCCAGTAAAAATATCGGGGTGGGATCTTTCCGAAGATAAAGGTCGGCAAACGAGTCGTCCAATTCAAGAGATAGCAAGTCCTGCTCGAGGGGAAGGAAATAGAGAGGGAATTCAGCGATGTTCGTGTCGCCCAAAACGCCCGCTTCTTCGAGGATCTTCTCAGTAACAAGAGTTCGTCGAGGCACCCAGAATACCGAGAATTCATGTCCAGTTTGGCTCTCGCGCTGCATACGCTTGATGTGGTCTTGAGAGCATCAGCATATAATGGCCAAATCGCTTGCATATAGTTTCGACAAAAGTGGTACTCTCAACCATTCCGAATAAATGGACACCCAAATCGGGCTCACAACTAACAAATTAGGGTGGAAATAAGAGCCACCGCATATCATAAGAATTGGAAAGACGAAGGTAGAGAGCTCTCAAATATCGACATACCGGCTATTGATTGAGCTTGCCTTGCACACTCCCCTCTGGCGATGAACACCACATTTCGCTGACTGACATCCGCGTTGCCATTTTCCAGCAGGAAGACCTTGTCAACCCCGTAGTCCTGCAGAGTCGAGAATTTGACGAATATGCCTATTGGTCCAGCCAGGTCCTTCTCAATTACCAAGTTCTTCTTTCCACGGACCTGGATACCGGACTGGTCAGCCAACGCCTTGGGCAAGCTCGTGTTGGTCGGAAGCCTTACTTACACCCTCTAGCAAGTACAGCAGATCTTTCTTCAACTTCTCTTTTATCTGGTCGGTATCAAACCCAGCATGAGGAGCCATGGTGAGCTCTACATGCGGGTTGATGCTGATGTAGTTCTAGCAAGTAAACAGAAGCTACATGTACAGTACAGTACAATGGCGGTCGCATCGCGGATCAAAGACCCCACACAAGCGAGACTGGGGCACAACCAAGAATTTCAGCCTTGCGATGCGGCCATTCCACCATCCAACCAGTGACTCAGGAATTTAGACATTCCACCACCAGAACCCGCCCAACCCCATTTATTCTTTGTGTGGTTGAATGAAGACCTTTAGCCTACGCCTTGGTAGATCTGCAAGATCATTACAATTGCCACGAAACCCAGGCCCCTTTCGATCAGTTCCTCAACCTCAAGCTAGGGCGCGATTCTCGACCTCCCCACGTTTACTCAGAACAGTCGCGGGGTTCATACAAAACGCCGCAGACACAGATATGGCTCCCAAGGGGCAAAAGTTTGAGCTGAAGACTCCCAAGGGGACGAAGGATTGTATGTATGCCATATGTTGCCTTGAGAACGTACGGAATCTAACAGCATTCACATAGGGGAGGGAAAGGACATGGTGATCCGAGACAAAATCTTCTCCACCATCACTGATGTTTTCAAGCGCCACGGTGCGGTTACAATCGATACACCAGTCTTCGAACTAAAGGATATCCTCTCCGGAAAATACGGCGAGGACAGCAAGCTCATATACGACCTTGCGGACCAAGGAGGAGAGATCTGCTCCTTGAGATATGACCTAACCGTCCCATTCGCAAGATGGCTGGCGATGAATCGAGATTGCCAGGCGATTAAGCGCTATCACATTGCGAAAGTCTACAGACGGGATCAACCAGCAATGACAAAAGGCCGCATGCGAGAATTCTACCAGTGCGATTTTGATATTGCGGGCGTGTATGATCCGATGCTTCCCGACGCAGAGATTGTACGTATTACCACTGAAATTTTTGAGGGACTTGGCTGGAACGGACGATATACGATCAAGCTCAATCACCGCAAAATATTGGACGGAATTTTTGAGGTCTGCGGTGTACCAAGCGAGAAGATTCGTACGATATCATCTGCGGTCGACAAGCTAGACAAATCACCATGGGCAGAAGTTCGCAGGGAAATGACAGAGGATAAGGGCCTTGCGGAGGAAGTAGCCGATAAGATTGGAGAATATGTCGTGCTGAAGGGTCAGAAAGATCTGTTAAGCAAACTGCAAGACGATGCAACGCTAATGGCAAATGCATCTATGAAGGCTGGTTTGGCAGATATGGAGCTGCTCTTCACCTATTTGAAAGCTTTTAACGCCCTAGAAAATGTCTCGTTCGACCTGAGTTTAGCACGTGGGCTCGACTACTACACCGGCATGATCTTCGAGGTTGTGACGGAAGGCTCGGCTCCCCTTGCAAGCACATCTGTCGCTGCAGCTGCAGCTGCAACCCCCAAGCCTTCGAAGAAATCCTCCGGCAAAAAGGGTGGCGTGGATTTTGATGAGGATCGCTCATCGGATCCGAGCGTTGGCGTTGGCAGTGTAGCCGCAGGTGGCCGTTACGACAATCTCGTGGGGATGTTCTCTGGCAAGAATCAAATTCCTTGTGTTGGTATTTCATTTGGTGTGGACCGGATTTTCTCCATTACCAAAGCCAGAATGGCAGCCGACAAGAACGCAGAACAGGTTCGGAATAACGAAACCGAAGTTTTTGTTATGGCATTTGGTGGCAAGGGCTTTACTGGGCTCTTGGAGGAGAGACTATCCATTTGCACCAAGCTGTGGGAGGCTGGGATAAAGGCAAGAGTATCCACGTTTGCAGTTAAGGCCAAGTTGCTGATAAGATATACAGGCTGAGTTTCTCTACAAAATCAAGCCAAAACTGGGGAATCAATTTAACGCAGCTGAGAAGAATGGCTGCCCATTATGCGTCGTTATCGGTGAGGACGAAATGGCTCAAGGTAAAGTCAAGATTAAGGAGATGGGACTTCGAGATGGTCACCCTGAGAAAGAAGGCGTCATGGTCAGCCTTGACGACCTCGTACCTGAGGTCAGGAAACGCATACTGCGCAAGTCAAATTTAGAGGAACTTGTTCAGGAGGCCGCGGGACTAAAGGTTGTTGGTGGAATACGGGGTGAGCCTGAGCCTGTGCCTGAGCCCCAGCCAACGAAAGGCCTAGAAGGTGCCGCGCTCACCGAAGCCCCCGCGGAGGTCTCCTCTACTTCACAAGAAGCTATCCCAGCCGTACCTGCTTCATAATCACAATTCAAAATTACGGATGTACGAGTGCGAGTGGGTTGGAGCATTACAGATGGACATCATAGCTAGGCGCAAGCGGTAGAGTGGAAAATTGAGGGGTATCTTGAAAGAGCAAAACCTGAATCGCTTTACTGCTCTTTTCCCAATTCGGCAGAAATATTCCATGGCGCTGATCTGGGATCTTATGATCTCCAATTAAGTTAATCTCATTTCACACAGGGCAGACTCTACCTTCATGCGATGAGATGAATCTCCCCGGACCCTTTGGTTCGAACCATTCAACTTGGCCCTAAGTCCCCAACTACCGTGGAATTCTAATATCGCAATGAGGAATAATTCAGCAATATGATCGCCTTCGCATATTCGCCATCCTATAGCATAGTTGAGGCTTTCCCTTTCAAACGCCTCCAGTTATAGACGCCATTTAGGCGCGAGGCTTACAGAAACCCTGTCGTTCCTTTCTTCCCCATTCCCTTTCTCCTTTCCCATTTTCCGCTCAGCCCGCCCCTCTGATTTGATTCCCGCCTCCGGTTGGATCTAGCGGAACTATGATAGCGCAATAATGCGCACCGAGCACTACTACGTCCGAAGTACAGTACTCGTACTGGTGATAATAACTACTGCAGGGTCCCGGCTCTCGAGCCCTCATACCGACATGATCCTCAGACGAACTGTGCCCCGTCATACGTATCGCCGTTGGACGGAGAGATGTTTGCGCACAGTAGTGCTCAGACACTTGTCGCTGCAACGGTGAGAGAAGGGGCCTGAGCCAATGCAAAATATCGCCGCTTCACATGCCCGACGTCAATGCGGTGTTTCGTTTCGACGGTCCTCCCGCCAAAGTTGGTCGATCTCCCCATGAGATTTAGCTCCTGCGAGGTCTGCGACGAGGTCAGATGCCTTGCGGCAAGGCTCTCAACTGTTGTCAATATATATTTTGACCAGGACCCAGGTCTGGTTCCGCTATCAAACAAGGTTGGTGAGCAATCCTGCACCGCAGCCGCCGGTCAATTTCCCAAGGGGAGGTGTTCGTAGGCACAGACATGCTGTATCTTTGCGGGGGGCGCAGACCTATATAGTTATAGAGGCGCTCGGAGACTTTTGCGCTTTCTTTCCTTTTTCTGTTTGCTGTTGTATCTAATTTTTATATGGCATCTCGTTTATGATAGCTTTTGCTGGCCAGAGGTTAGAAGTAAACAGGCCGAGCTTAATGCCAACCAACCAGCCCCAACATATTCTACAACTTGGCTTTTGCCTCCAATCTTCCTACTGGTACTACTTCGAATGAATTATCTTTGAGACTCAAAGTCGTGAATATCAAAGGCTCTTCCTCCTCGCCTAATCCGGCAGATACTCATCCGACACCAATCTGAAGCAAACCTTAACTGATAAACTACAATATAATCACCGAAACAATGGGACGCTCAAACAAGATGGCGCGGCTGATCTCCCATTTTCATAAGCTGGCGGTTGATAAAAGTCCGCCAGTACCGCAACCAGATCCTCTGAGAGCGGAATCTCCAACTCCTCCAGCACCTCCCGCCAAAGACTCCGAACCTTCAGCAGCAGAACCTCCAGCGCCTCCACCTAAATCTGCAAAGCCAACCCGCCCAAGTTCTACGGCTGCTCTCATAGTCGTTCCAGATACACCCGCAGAGTGGAAAGAAGTCATGGAAGAAGTAAAGGGCTTATACCTTAAGGGGCAGTATAAGCAATGCTCGGCGCGTTGCAAGCAAATACTTAACGGCATCAGCGATCCAGTGCGTTCATGGACCCCACTCATCTCCCCTCGAAGCCAATCTAACAGGCAAATAGTATCAAATCCATCCGCTCCGCTTAATATACCTCTGCTTCATCGCAGCCACCTCCCTAGAACTCGCTGCCCGCGCCCTGCACAACAACTCTTCCACCAAACTCCAATTCTTCCAAGAGTCCCTCTCATACTTCAAAAAAGCACAGTCATACATGGGCTTTGCAGCCTTCACCACAGAGCCACATATAGTTCGAGCGACGCAGCCTAAAGACCGCCTCTCTAATTCCTCGATATCATCGAGCATACGGTCCTCTGTGGATTCCATATTCTCACAGTCTTCCGAGTCTTCGATAGCATCTTCTAGTGTCGAGTCTCCGGTAAGCCCTTCAGATTCAGAAAAGGGGCATGTAAGATTCTCTTCCGTCTCATCAAGTACGGAGATCATCAACCCTCAGCCGTTGCGTAGGAAGAAGAAAGTCTCATTCTCAATGCACCTCCCAACACTAGAATCAGAAACCGACCTCTCGTCGGATGACATCCTAGCTCGGTTCCCCAGCCCGCCAACACACGACGGCCTCTCTCCGACCATATTACCCACCAACTTGGACTCCAAAATCATACCCTTTGTCCTATCCGACAATGTATCACGCGTACGGGCATACTCTTATCCCACTAACACCTCTACGCCCCTACAGCCTGCTCTCTCTCCCCAAGAACAGCAAACACCCAAACCAGTCAACGTCCCCACCCTCACCCACTACCGCCACAACCTCTCTTCATTCACCCCTCGCTTGGACTACCACATCGCCAACATCCAAGCACAAATCCAAACCTTAACCACAGTTCGGCGAACCCACCGCTCCAGCCTCCCTAATCTTTTCCTCGTCACGCCCTTCCCTCTCACCTCGCCCAAGACACCAGACCACAACCCCATCTCAATAACGACACAAACACAGACAGAGACAGAAACCTCCCAACCAGCTCCATCATCATCACTCCACGAGAGAATAAAACGCCTCAAAGAATCTGGCTGGAAAAGGGAGCGTTTCGATGGCGAGAAATACCAAGTACTCTGCGAGAGCGCGTTATGCGAGATTGAGATCGGCGGCAACTTTTTAATGAATTAGGTAAATGACCTTCTTATGGACGTGTTGGTATTATGATGGCGGTTTTCTTTCTTTTGTTTGGGCATGTATATATGGATTGATGATAAATTATATATTGGGGAGGGGGAAGTTTGATGATGCGGATTATAACTTACTTGATGGTTGATGATAAGATAATGTTGAATGGAAGATGAAAATGAAAATTGAAAGACCTTCTCTTGTGTTTTGTATTTCTTAGTATGAAAACCCCCCGACTTGGTCCTATCGTTCAAGATATATATACTATCGAGTGTGTATGGCATTACCCAAGGTATTTTTACTTACTGAAATCTTTGGATTGGATGTTTGAATAGCAGCATCTTATGCTATAGAAAATGCGTATTTAATTAATAAAGTAGTAATATTTTAACATAAACTGTAGTGTCACAGGTTAAATTTGATTCGCCTAGAATAACGATATATGATTATCTACCTAGTTAACTTAATTCTAACAAAGCTTACTGAAAAGCACTGCACTCTATTAGTAATTAAACTTATTTATTTTTAACTATGGCAGACTTGGTACAGCTAGCTAATATTAAAATGTTTAAGCAAAAAAATAAAATAAACATACAACTACAACTACAGGTATTCGCTGGTGGTCACCCACCCAACTACTAATCTGCAGGGCGGATGGGATGCCCATTTCTCTTCAGCCTTCTCGGAACCAAAAATTCATTACTGTTTTTTGGCGGCCTATTGCTAGTGTCCGCTTATTTGGGCATAGTCCGTTTAGGGTTGTGTGATCTATGAGGTCATGGATATTCTGACGAGGCTGGCCGATTATTTGCAAAGCCTCATCTTTGTTGAGACTTTTACACTCGAAGACATGGCATCCTTTGGAACTGCCTCCACAATGTCCTTCAGCCTCGATGTTGATGCACTCGGATAATTTCGTTTTCAAGAGAAGGATGGAGAGAAGCTTGTGTACTCACCTAGCTTCAAGGTTCTAATAGACTAGGGCTATCGGTTGTCAACTATCTGATATCGATGAACTAACTAGGGACACTGAAGCACTAGCCTATGGGGAGGGAAGAGATAATAGTATGGGGAGGTAAGCTTGCGTGCGGTGTTTCTGACATATTTGCACAATAAATCCAAACGTTGACATTCTACACTAATGTGTTCTCCTAGTTGTGACCCAAAGCATTATTGCACGTTGTACTAGTTTTCAATACATAAAAAAAGATTAGAGTTGGGGAATCTGTAGAAAATCCTAACTGTTATGTTATATCAAAGAGCCTCTTATATGATTTTCATTTCATTTAGGCTATCAAAGATTCCAATCCCACCATGCATGGTAAATAGAGTCAAGAAAGGAAGTAAAACGCACGCATCCCATTGCGGGTATCAAGCTAAAAGACGTAAAAAGCCATCTTATTGCGGGAAGCTCTTGGTCTTGGAGGCAGCTGCCTGCGCTTCCTGTTCCACCTTCAGCACATTCTCCTGTTCCTTCATCTCCTTTACCTTCGCCAATACTACCTCTTTGAAAATGGCACCCTTGGCAATATTGCTCAGGCTCCTCTTGGCAGGTGCGGGGGCACTATCGGTACTGGGCCCTGGGGTAGCACCAGCAGCTTGTCCGGGAAGCGCTGCTCCAGCTGCAGCTTTCGACGAGTCCTGTGGAACGTCGTTTTGGCCGGGCCCGGACTCCTCGTCATCCTCTTGCATCTTGAGCGCTTCGATGCGGTTTGCAAGCTTGACGAACTCGATACCGCGGCGGAGGCGTGCCTTGGCAATATATGCCCTGATCTCAGGTAGAAGATTGTGGTCGGTGGCGTTCTCACCGCTGAGCCATGGATGCTTTAATGTTTCCTGTGCTATTCTTAGCAGGAGGCAGAATGAGTCAATTCGAGAGGAAATTTACCTTGCTTGATAGTCTGTCATCTGGATTTGGCTGCAGTAAATGTCCTATGAAGTCCTTTGCATCATCGCTAACTTCCTTCCAGTATCTTTCGTGGAAGATAACTTTCCCGCTGCTGCACTCGTCGACAAGATCCTGGATATTCTCGCTTCGGAAAGGAGAGTATCCGCAAAGGAGGGTGTAGGTGATGACACCCATAGACCACATATCTACAGGCTTCCCGTGGCCCCTCTTTAACATGATTTCAGGGGCGGCATAGCCAAATGACCCAGCCATGGTTGTCAGCACCTCGTCTTTGGAATCAAGCATCTTGGCGATTCCAAAGTCGGCAAGAACAAGGTCGGACTGGGGTTTTGCTGTAAGATAGAGTAGATTTTCAGGTTTGAGATCTTCGCACGGTTAGATATTGATATCAATATACCGGGATCCTTGATTTACTAACCTCGGTGCACGACATTGTTGTCATGTAGGTAGTCAACAGCTTCAAGGACTTGTCGGATAGTTTGGGAGGCATCCTTCTCTGTGAATTTGCCCTGCTCGCAGATACGATCGAACAATTCTCCCCCAGTAGCAAGTTCCGTGACGATATAGTATTTATCCTGTTGAACTTATAAGCCTTTATTTAGCTCCACCAATATGCGCTCCAAGCCTACCCTCGACTCAAACCAGTCCACGAACTGGACAATATGTGGGTGCTTCAGGCATTGCAGCATTTCGAGTTCATCGTACACCATTTGCTCGTTGCCCTTGACATTCTTCTTGAGGATGATTTTTATAGCGACCTTTCCTGTTGGCCCGTCTGCCTCTCGGACAATGCCATATGTTCCCGCACCGAGGGTTCGACCGAATTTGTATTTCGCCCTGACGAATGAAATAGATTAGCTAAATCCTTACAAAGGGGGCTGGAACCATACTTCTTATCATAGCTTTCAGGCTGGCCATGGAACTTGCTGAGCATACCAGCAACTGAAAGGGCGAAAGCCGCCCTTATACTTAGCAAAACCCTCATTATATTATAATACATAGAAACGAGGAAACTGGAGAGAAGGCATGAATGCTGTCCCAGGCCATTCATCCTTGCATTGCACCGCCAGAGCGAACAAGAACAAGGACATTATGTGGAGATGTCTTGCAGATAAAGAATAAGGGTGCATATCTGAGCGTCGCCTACTTACAACTCATCGTGACTGCCAACGACTGTGTGCGAACACGGCCTAATTATGCTATGCGTGCGTAGTTGCGCTTTCCGGTATGTCCTAGAACTTCTCGCAGAGTTCTGAGGGAGCTATCTGGTTGAAGGCGGCAGCTCAAGAATGGAGCACTGGACTGAGCTGAGCTGGGCTGAGCTGAATTGCGCGGGGGACGACTTCGTGGTGGAGTTGTAGAGGAGGGCCAAGTGCTGATGGTGGGGTCAAGGCCTCAGTTGCGCTGGCAGAATAGGCGCAATCAACAGCAACGAAGCCAAGTAATAATGTTCACTGACTCTGGGAATGCCAACCAGATCAAGATCACGATCACAAGAAGGTGAGCTGGAGAAGATCGAACAAAGAAACAAATAATAACAGCGGGAACCGCTGCTCTGCCTCGTGTCTGCGCCAGTGCTTCAGGGGGCGTCGCAGCTGAGGGGCAGTGGAGAGTGGCTGGTTGTTGATTGTGGCTCAGCACTCCACGGCGGCTATCAGCCTTGGAAGTGCTGCAGATGATTATCATCACATGGAATACACAGTAGCAATGAACGAAGAACTGTACACCGTGAATCAGGATTGAGAGTGGAGTTTTTAGCATTGGCAGCTATGTTCCATTTCCTGGGCATAATACAACTACTCAATGTGAATGTGAATATGCGCAAACCCGCTACAAAGGCTATTGCAAAAGCTACATTACCCATTTCGGCATATAACAAGGCTCACGAGTCAAGCCGATCTCTATCCCCACGGCTTCGAACATAATACCTATACTTATCTCATAAAGCCATTTCAAGCCAAGTGTAAGCACAAAGTAATACCCTGACATATAGAACATATATTGCCCGAAACTAAGAGGCTACAGCAACCAGCTTCCAATTCCTGCCTCAGTCGGTATTATTAGGTACCTGGTACCTACGTAATAGTGATACAGTAGCGGTAGTTACAAGTCTCGCTACAAGTACTTCGTACTAGCAAGGCTCGAGTACCGATAACTTCTCCGATAAGACGGGTACGAAACTCCTAATACCAAGCAAGTAGTGCGAACCCCACGGTCAACAACCAACAACAACACCATCAACACCTGGACCAGATCAGCATTCAGAAACCCTCACCTCAACCATCTTGGTCAAAAGGCGTCATAACTATAGATATAACTCCACCTCTACAGCCCCGAACAAAATCGAGGGAGAATCTGAATCATACGACACTGAAAACTCCAGACGCGGGCCCGGACATACAACTGATCTGGTCAGGCTTGAGACATTGGAAGGGCAGGCAACAGAACGATGTCTTTCGCAACGAAGCGCCTGGGGAAGGAGTTGGCAAAGGTCCGCATACATCTGCATACCCGCTACAACATTAGAGACTGCATTCTGACCCCCTTCTGTCGCAGGTCCACGGAAATCTACCACCAGGAATCGCACTCGTCACCGCCGAAGGCTTTCAAGAATGGCTCCTCGACATCCAAGTCCTAGACGCAAACCCAATATACATGGGCCAAACTTACCGCTTAAAATTTAAATTCAGCTCTTCATATCCCATCGGTATGCTTTTCTCCTTACGGTTACTCCATGGCGATCATCCCCACCGCTCAAGAATGATACCTGAGAACTAACGCGCGCATACTTTATAGAACCCCCAGAAGTAACATTCGTCGCCGGCCCCGATCGCCCCATCCCAATGCACCCGCACATCTACTCCAACGGCATAATCTGTCTCGATCTCCTCGGCACGCAGGGCTGGAGCCCCGTCCAGAACGTCGAGAGTATATGCATGAGTCTCCAGAGCATGTTAACGGGGAACACGAAAAACGAACGGCCTGAGGGGGATGAGCAGTTTGTGGCGAGTAATAGACGACGACCGAGAGATATTGATTTTTATTATCATGACAATACGGTTTAGAAGGCTGTCACTTTCGAGAAGCGGTTGGCGCAGGTGCATACGACATAATCATTTATATGGAGGAGAACTCCGGACATGCTTGATGTGATGATGTGGAACGGTGGATACATTGCAAAAACCATGGAAGGCGGAAATGCATACCGGCAAAGGATGTGAATGCCGATTTTTAACAGCATTATAGCGCGGAGTTAGGGTTCTACTTTACGTTCGATATTTGAGAACTAACCTACGGGCGAATTCCAATCGCTATCCAATCAATCTTGTTCGGACAGAAGGACAGAGAGACGAACATCTTGATTTTCAATCGCGGATGAGATTTCTGACACTGGTGGAACTATGAGCGAAGATTTGAATAAGGTCAAGGAAGATCTGAGATAGCAAAGCCGATTTCCAAACCCATCATCTATTGATACACCGATGACTACCATATGGAATACGGTAGTACAATTAGCCATTCCTATTATTCCATACAGTATTCAGAAGACCTTGACCCCTGTCCCAGCAGCCTGCTTCATAAAAAACCCCTTCAGCGGCCCCAATCCATCCACAGCTCTGAGACCTAAGCTCCTCAGAGCCACAACCGGGCCACTTTCAACCGCATACAGCTTATGTAACTTATCCATCACGCCCATCAGCAGATTATTCTGCGCATATCTCTCGGCGTTATAGGCCTCCAGTGACAGCTGCACGCCAATATCTTGTCCGTGGGTAACGCTGTATTCGATCGTCTTTGCTAAACTCTCAACATCCCCTTGGCCCTGGTTGAGACCCTGTCCAGCGAGAGGATGCACGGTGTGTGCTGCGTCACCGACGAGGGCGATTCGTTCCCCAATATATGTATCTGCGTGTCTGAACTTAAGCGGAAACGAAGCTATAGTTCCTTCCTGTACACCGACGACTCGCTGGGGGATTTTGTTCGTCTCGAAAGGAGTATGTTGTTCTCTCCAAGTAGCCTCATCCGTCTGTCCTTCCGGCATCGAATGCAGGTACTTTAGATCCGTCGGCGATAATCTGAGCCCTGCGTTAACCATGCTCACAAAATCTTGCTCATTGAGACTCTTCAATTTGGCTGCCAACTCTGGAGTCGTCGACCACACCAACGTACTATAGCTCCCCGGGAGAGGAAGCATAGCAATTGGCCCCGTGGGCAAGAACCTCTGATATGCAATCTTATGGTCCTCCCCACCCCACCCAGGCCCCTCCATCTTCAACGTAGCAACAACACCATGCCTCTCATAGTCCCAGCCCCTACTCTGAATACCCGCAAAAGCCCTAACAGGACTATTCGCACCATCCGCGCCAACCAGTAGACGGGCAGTAATCTCTCTTCCCCCGCTGACCTTCACCACCGGCCAACTGCTTAAATCGACATCCTCACCCTCCTCTCCCAATCTGATATCAGCCACTTTCTGCCCATCCAGCACGTCCACACCACCCAGCTCATCAATCCGTTGCAGCAGCGCCGAGGTAAGGTTGAGATTTTCGTTCATATAAGCAATTACACCGTCCTTCCCACCAGGTCCTAGAGCAGCAGTGTCGAAATCAATACTCGCCCCGCTGACACCATCCCAAACCCTCATCTCGCGATAAGCTTGTACCCTCTCCCGCTTGACGAACTTCCATGCCCCGATGCTCTGCAGAAAACGCACAGAAGATGGCGTTAGGGAGCTACATCTATTGGAGAATTGTGTGGGAGGGAGGGAGAACGAGCGTATTGGGGTGAGGGATTGGGATTCCACGAGGGCAATCTTGAGGCGGGATGTTGCTGGGTTGGAGCCTATGGTACATCGAATTGTTAGCTTGGATTGTAGTTCAAAAGTATATGTGACGAGGATAAAGAAGGGTAGACTATACGGAGAGCTGCTAGAAGACTCAATCCTGCTGGCCCGCCGCCGACGCAGACTACGTCGTAGATGTCAGGGTTGGAGGACGTAGTCAAGGTTGTGGTAGCATAACGGCGTCGTTGTCGCCGCAATTGGCGGGTGCAGTTATTGCAGACATACTCGGAAAGCTGCCGTGCTTGGAGAGGAGACTGCAGAGGCCTCATTTTGTGATGGTTAACTCTATAGTTAATTAGCAAAGAAGTATAATTCCTAATCGAACGATTGATGAGCTCTATGAATATCACGTGAACTGGCGGAAACTGTACTTCGTAGATTACCTAACGTAGGTAGGTACATAGGTACTACCTCGGCATTTTACTAGCCGCAGGCCGTCAGCGGAAGCAAAGTATTACACAGATTGTCTCTGTATAAAAAATACAGCGATGAGCCCATCTTCGTCCACTTTCGCTGTCTAGCTTGGGGATCGAGATAGATAATACAGTGCGTTAAGGATTACGGCGCACCACCGAACTAGGTAGAGAGGACTCCATATCATATCAAGTTCGCAGTTTTATTCTCAGCTGATTGTTCTAATTTATTGCTTCTCTCCCCATTTATTTAACTAGCTGTATCTTGGGAAACGTAAAAACGTGCAGCGGTAGAAACATTGGCGGTTCCGTTGAAGATATGCTTGTAATGGATAAGCAGCAGCAATCAAGTATCCAGGGTCCTAGATCCTGAAATTCTTGATTCTGGGAGATCTTATCCAGTCAATCCTCAGAGTCATCCCCAAACCCCCGCCTAAGTGCTGGAAATGCTATCATGCCGTCCTCCCCGCTTCCCCCTGTAAATGCGACGTAAAACCAAAGAACGAATAACTTGTGAGCAGAGTACCGATTACAAAATACATGTGTGGGCCGATGCAGAGTTCGAGTTGATGTAGGTCGAGCAGAAGATCCGTAAGGGTCTCAGAACTCCCAATCCTCCTCATCCTCAATCGACTCGATAGCCCAAGTGAATTTTTCGCGAAGAGTCTTCGAAAAGAACTTTTCGATCGGGACATTGAATTTCTTTGCGAAAACAACCGTGAGGCGAGGATCGATGTAGTTCTACGTCGTGTTAGTTGTTGACTATCTGAAATTGCATAGGTTACTTACGATTTTACTAGTGCCGAGCGCAACCTCCTTGTTGCCCTCTCGATCTTCAGCTTGAAAGCTCATTGTAGCAATCCGCTCGTCGAGCTTTTGTATGTTCGTTAGATATTTTTCGACGGTTGGGCCTTTGCCCTCCGCCTCAATCTTCTTCGTCTTATTTTCTTTCTTGAACTTCTTCTCAAGTTCATCGGCTGCCCCCAGTCGCTCTGCGAGTTCCTTAGCCTTCATTTCCTTCTGGCCCTCGGCGACAAGCTTTTCATTGTCTTTCTGAAATTTCTTCTCAATCTTCGTACGTAATTCTTGGACAAGGAATACTTGATGCTCAAGTACCCAGGCTTCATCGAGGTCCTCGTCCAACTCAAACCATTCTGGGCCCTTCTTTTTCTTTTGCTTAGGGTCAATGTCGAGAATCATACGCTTGATTCTCCATTTTTGGTACTTCAGTCCCTTGATCTGAACAAGTCTGTCAGCTCACGTCGGCATGTACATTATGAAAACATTGGCTTACCCTATCAGTCATCTTCTCCATTTGAGCTTCATGGCTGGCACCAACAGTGCGCTTGTGATTGCAAAGAATGGCGACCTTCCTATTGCAGTCGTTGTAGAGCTTGACCTTCTCCTGGAGCGAAATGTTGGAAGTTTTGAGCTCCTTCAGAAGGGTTGACATGGTGAAGGATGCATTGTAGGTTCGGAATACCTTGGCGCTAAGACCAGGCATATAGTTGGTTAAATGTTTGTTCAGTTGTGTCGTCTGGGAAATGTTAGTTTGGGATTTGAAAATTTTTAACACCTGACTTACGTTGAGACGGTCAAAAATATCATCACCTTCCTTCTTGGGTGGCTTTTTGAAGATTTTCAGGTTTTTAAAGACTTGGTCATGAACAACAACCTCGTCGTGGAATCTAATACTGTCTTTTCCAAGGAAATCGAAAATGACTGTATTAGGCGGTTTGAGCTGAATGTGCTCGTATTTCAAAGAACAACATCCGACTGTTTCTGCCTCATTCTCGGCATCTTTCTCGTTGCCGGCACGCAATGCAAACTTGTCGATTAGATAAACTGCCGTGGCTCGTTGGCGGTCAGCCATAAGTTCCGCCTTTAGGTCCCGTTCATAGTCAGCTCTAATGCGGTCGATATGCTTCTTGAGCTCCCGAGCCTTCTCAAATTTCTTGTAGTCACTCTGGCCTTTGATGCTGCTCTTCGCCGCAAGCATAACATACTTGTAAGCTCCGTTGATATTCTCCTGCCACATGACAAGCCAAGTTGCTTTATTATCATGCTGAATAGCCTTCCATTTGTGGCCTTCCGGTGGAGTAGGAACTGTGGCTTCCTTGCCGATATTGATAGTAATTTGTTCTGGCATCACCCTACGCTTGACTTTGCCAGTCTTAGGATGCTCACCACGGCCTCGGAAGAGTCCAGGAGGCTCGACTCTAAAATTTCCAACCTGCTCTTTGCGGCCGTCCCAGATGCAGTTTGTGTATGGGGCTTCCGCTGCATCTTTAGCAGCCTTGTCTTCTTTCTTTTCTGCAGATGATCGAGCCTTTTTCTCTTGATTTTTGGCATCGTAATAGTTGAAGATTGGCTTGAAGTCGAGTTTTGAGAAATCCTTAATCGCAATCTTATTACCATCGGGGCCCCGGGCGCCTCCAGTCTTCTTCACCTCTTCAGCGAAGTCTGCGAAAAAGTTCTTCTGGAATGTGGGGTTTTCGACATTATGCGTGGAATTCAGCATAGCACCAAAGAAACCAGCGATTTCCTCAGCCTCAACAGAAAGAGTAACTGGTACTCCGTCGTACAGGAGCTTAACATGGTTCGGCAGAGGTTCGTATGGTGGAGGAAAGACAACACCGTTGTGCGAAAGAGTTGTCCACTTGATACTATCGTCTTCCTTCTTCGGGGCATCCCACCACCGATAAATCTCCTCAACCTCCTCACTCTCTTCCGTCTTAGCCTTGCCTTTCTTCACCGGAGACGTAGCTTCGGTTTTAACTTTGCCATTTGCTTTCTTAGCCGATGCCTTCTTCGCGAGCGGAGCATCTGAGTCCGACTCGTCCTTCTTCACACCATTTGTCTTTTTTGCAGATGCAACGCCGTTTGACTTCCGTTTAATCTTCGGCTTTACATCTTCGTCCTCGGAGTCATCCTTGGCAGGCTTTTTGGTCTTTTTCTCCTTAGCACGAATAGCTTTCGCTTCTCTGCCAGCCTTCTTTTCAATCGAGGCTTTCTTCTCTGCCAGCTTGGTTAAGGGTTCATCATCCGACGACTCCCCATACGCAGTTTCCGTAGCCTTGGGTGGCAACTTTCCAGGTTTCCTCTTGGCCAGCGGCACGTCATCATCGGAGTCCACATCTTGCACCTTTTTAAAGGTCTTTTGACGTTTCGCCTACGGTATTGTCAGCACATGTTCATTGATATGCTCCTTCAAATATATGATGATCGCGGACCGGGTTGGTCAACAGCTGACATACCAATGGCACTGCATCTTCATCGCTCTCCGAGATACCATCGTTGTAGTTCACGGCTTTTGAAGTACTGCCCCGAGACTTGCGCTTTCCATTTGTAAAAGGCCCATCCACGTCCATTTTATCTTCGACTGGCCCGTTTCGGATAGACACTCCGACTGGAGCAGGTTTCGTCTTCTGCTTGGACAGAGCCTTGTCCATCGCTTTATCGACGCCGTCTGAAATGCGAGTTGCGGAAACTGAAGAGTAATCACTTGTCAGTAAAATACTTGGGCAACGGATGCTGACAGGCGCATGAGGCCAGGAGAGGTCCATTATAATATGAGAGCATGCGAGCTCGGGAATTTGAGGCTGTGAAGCCCGAAAGGGTGCTGAGAGGTGAGGTTTCGAGCACTTACCACGGCCGTTCGTCCTGGCGAGAGGCATATCGTCATCTGAGCCTGAAGACATCTTAAAAGGAAATGGCAGAGCTCGTTGAGCGGTGGCTCTGCCGGGAGTGAGACGGGAGCAAGAGCTGAATAGTTGTCAATACGAGTCAGGTTGAACGCGAATTCAAGCCTCCCAAAGGTTAAAACCTGCCTCTGAGCGCGTAGTATGGTTGGACCAACTGAACTTCTTGATATAGCAAAGCAAAGTTGTCTGTAGGTTAATTGTGGTAGAAGAATGAGGCGCGGTATGAACATGCAGGGAGTTGATCTGGTGCAGTTGAAAATGGAAATGGTCGTCGTCGCAAATCCTCTAAGTCCCGTCCTAGGCCGTGCACGTGATCACAAGCGAAGAAGCTCCGAATTTGAACCACCGTCTCCAGCAGCCGACACCCGAACAACAGAATCAATAGATCTCCAACGCAATCGTGGTCAATTGAGCCTCCCTATCCCCAGGCTTGATATCATTCCCTTTGTTGCCCAGAATGCTTTCAAGAGCTGCCCGACCGGCTTTGAGGGCTGGGGCCGCGGCGTCTGCCAGGTAAGACTCTACACTCCTGCGGATCGATGGAACGGACGAAGAGGATGAGCCGCTTCCCTTGGGACCCAATATCTCGAAGGAGGAGAGGGATTGTGAGAATATGATGCTAACAGTCGGTCTGACAATGTAGGCCAGCCGTTCCAAACGCCGCAACCTTCGCGACTCTTCGTGAGATTGAGGACCGTCTGAAGTCCATTCGCAATATCGAGAAGATCACCAAAACAATGAAGATTGTCGCCTCGACCAAGCTTACCCGTGCCCAACGGGCAATGACCTCGTCTCGTGAATATGGCAAGACTTCCAATACCGTATTCGAAAATGCCGAGACCAAGCCTTTGGAAAATGACGACAAGAAGACTTTGATCGTTGTTGCAAGCTCCGACAAGGGACTGTGTGGTGGCATCCACTCTGGACTTTCCAAATATGTTCGCCGACTTCTCCTCGAGAAGCCAAATGTCGATATTGTTGTTTTGGGCGAGAAGTGCAAGGCCCAATTAAGTCGATCAAACTCGAAGAACATTGTCTTGAGCTTCAGTGGTATTGGAAAGGCTATCCCGACATTTGCAGACGCTCAAGCTATTGCCGACCAAGTTTCCCGCTTGCCAACCGACTACGCATCTGTTCAGATCATTTATAACAAATTCGTCAATGCGACAAGTTATGAGGTTACCCCGATTGAAGCGTACTCTCAGGAGGCCATCGCCAACTCCCGTAGGTCCCGCAACCACTTCTTGAAACCCTGCAACTGACCATGAATAAAGCCAACTTCTCTGCTTTTGAAATTGACGATTCGGTCCTGAGCAACCTCCAGGAGTACTCCCTCTCCAACTCATTATACTGGGCTCTCGCTGAAGGTCATGCCTGTGAAATATCCGCCCGTCGCAATGCAATGGATGTAAGTTGCTATAGCCTCCCCCCAGGAATTTATATACTAACCAGGCATAGAACGCTTCCAAGAACGCTGGGGATATGATCACCAAGTACCAGATTCTGTTCAACAGAACCCGCCAAGCCGTCATTACTGGCGAATTGGTTGAAATTATCACTGGTGCTGCTGCCTCGGAGGAGTAGAGGAATTGTCAATATGTAGTCTAGCTAAGAAGTTTCTGGTCTCTTTAGATCCAGCATACCAATTTCTTTTTGTACCAATGGAAAATTTGACGTTCGGTCGTGATAGCAACTCGCCCTTTCACTACCACTATATAGTAAGGTGCGGGAGAGCACATTTTCTTGACGTTATTTTGAAACCCCATTTCAGACTAGACATTTTCGTAGAAATAAATCAACGAGTCAAGTGCCCCCTTCAACGCTCCGTCCATATCACTCCACCTATTCCCATCACGCTCCAGTAGCGCCATCATACCTTCCAGCCCTCTCACCCGATTGCACTGCGGCATTTAACTGGCTAATCAGACCCGCCATTCTAGTTTTACCCAGTTTCAAATCCATCGCATCCTCACAACTTAATTCCTCCCTCCAAGCGCAGCTCACTGCAGTGAAATCACTCCTTTGGAGCATTCCACCCTCATTAGCTGCCTGTGTATGTAGAATTCGCACTTCTCCGCATGGACGCGGAATCCATGCTGCATGCCAAAACTGTCCGCGAACAGTGGATATAGCAACCGCCCAGTCCTCGCATGTGATGGATTCAAACGAGCAGCTTCGGATAGGTTGCCATAATGTGCCGAAAGGCGAATGACCATAGCTGATAATGCTGAGGAGTCCCTCCCCTGGTTTGATTTCCTGGCCGGGATTGAGCGTGCAGAACGGGCAGGCAAATTCAAGGGCAATTAGCTGTTGGCGAATGATTTGGGCAGCTAAAGTCTCGGGGAGGGAAGGGATTACATAAGTGGTAGTTATATGTAAAATGATAGGGCCGATTCCAGTGTGGCCGCATGTGTGTTTGAAGCTATATTGCAGCATGGTTGGAGACGTAGTTGAGGCAGAAGGTTGAATCTGTGGATAATGCGTGATGCGTGTAGTTGATATCTCCCAATAATGCTACCGGCTGTGTTCTTATTTCCCTGTTCTTACCATGACTAATTCGAAGAGGTAGCTCATACGAATTAGATGGTGTGGGGAAGAATAACTACGCCAGCGACAAGTGAATCATCAGTGTCTTTAGAGTGGGCTGCAGTTAGTGATTCATGTTCTTAAAGAATACGAGGCGGGTATTAAATTGGATGTTAGGTGATGGCAAAATGGAATATTTATAGGTCCAACTATTCCAAGAGTCCAAGGCTATTGGGGCGATTTCTCTGGCTACATGAGAATTGTACAAGCTACGTATTACGCGGAGCTCCTGATCTCTAGTTATTAATAGTCAGCTAATAGAGAGATGTCATGGAAAGAATGTGTCATGTACATATATATGTGTGTCTTGATATTCTCCCACCTTCTCCAACCACTTTTCTCCCTTTACAAAGAAGATAAAGCTTCGTTTATAACCGGCGACCAAAACTATATCTGGACATTATCTCGGTTACAACACTAAAGAGAATAAATAAAAATTTAAAGATGCTTGCTTAACCCGAGCTTTTGCCTCCTAAATATCTCCAGGGCACACATATATAAGTTCGCTGGCTGGAGTTACGTAGTAACAAACAGTTAACCGCGAAATCTTGTTCAACATTCCACATTTTCTGACTTTTTGCCTCCTAGACTGTAAATGATTTATTCATAGACTGCCTTTGATAAAGTAAATAAACTATACATAAATTGTACCTAGCTATAACATCCACTTCCTATAACTCCCCTCTGAAGTTTAATAATCTTCTAATATTAATCTTGAATATTTTGTTCTAATATTATTATATAATAAATACAAATTTACTAAACTACCTTTCTGAGTAACCCTCCTATAACAACTTACCTTCTACAACAACCCTCCTAATAATATAACTACAACAACCACTCCTAGTTGTAAATAGTATCTCTATTCAAATTCTAGCTCCCCAACAATATCTTTTGCAACATGCCCTTTTTCCTGCAGCACTATTTTGCCAACTCCCCGTTCCGCAACGCATATTTTACAACAGCATATTTTACAATAACCCTTCCTCAAAACAACCACTCTCGTCCACGAAAGGAGCTTCCGAAACACGTATTCCGTAATATCTGCTGGCAACCTGTCTGTTTTAACCGCACTGCTCTCTCCTATAATATTATATCTCTTAAGTAATATCGTCTCTATTTTGATACCTTCGCATTTGTAACTACCCTCTCCTCCGCACAAACATATCCTCCGCAAAACTATATATTTCAACAACCTCGCTTTGGTAACAACGTCTCCTTTGCAACAACCCCTATTCCGTAGTAGCCCCTCCTCTGTAACTACCCCTATTCCGCAACAGCCCTCTCTCTTCCTTAGCCCTCTTTCCTCCGCAACAGCCTCTTCTTCCTTAACAACCCCTCCTCTCCTAAACAGTGTCTATCTTCCTTGATACCTCCTATCTTACTCAGGCTCAACCGTCTCCCTTCCACAACTACCTCTATTCACCAACCTCTCTTCAACAACCTCTCTTCAACAACCTCTCTTCAACAACCTCTCTTCAACAAC